ACGAGAGACGCGAGTCAGGCGGCGCCCTGAGATGCTGCAACTTGACGACCTTGAGAATTTCGAGGACGTCGAGGTTGAAGAGCTCATGAGGCTGCTGACGACAACGAGGTTTTGAGACATTTATACCAGGCGTTGTGGGATAGAATGGGCGGATGGATGGCTGGGGGGATTATCATGTAAGGTCTGGATTGACCTAGTTTGGGATCTGTATAGAATAATGATTGGCAACGGAGACAAGAGTTAGGAGTGCACGCTGCTACGAAGGAACGAAATGGAAAGGGGGGTCAGGCTTCGATGCCAGTGTTTTCAGGACGCCTATCCCTCCGACTCATCTCCTAGTGTCAACTGATCATTTCACACTCATGAGCGCCTCGTACTGACGAGACATTTCTAGTTCCGAGCTTATACGGACCCCTTGAACTCAGGATCAATGGAACCTCCATCGATTCCCCCACCGCCTCCACCTCCCCCGCCGCTGAACATCCCTCCTTCTAGGGCGAGACTTCAACTGGCGGCTCGATTGGCGATGCATCAGAAGAACAACCAGGCACAATCATCTGGAAATTTAAGTAACGACGATGATGACGATGACGAGAACCCTACAGATCCGTTTGCCGATACAGAAGAGGACTTTGACGATGATGATCAGACGCAAGGTGATGAAAGGGGCGCATGGTGGAGAGACGTGGTGAGGGATCGTGGAGGAAAGCCAGATGGGAATGAATCAGACGACGAGCGTGATGACGACGATGACGATGAGTTTGGAGACTTCGCCATGCCGGAAGACGACGCTCAAAACGTTATAAGACCTCAACCTGTGAATCCTGCAAAGGAAGGCTCGGCTTCAACGAGGGGATTGAGTGGACTATGGCCGTTTGGACTGTCAAAGGCGGAGAAGGAAAAGGAGGGGAGTAGACAGGCTGCTGAGGAGGGGAAGGATGATGAAGTCAAGGCTGTGGAAGTTAAGGAGGCCAAGAGAAGAACGAGTATTGAGGATCCTGACGATGACGAGGTTGTGGTTTAGATACCTGAGATGGGGGGATTAATGGTGTACGATATGAATATAGGAATTGCTATGGGTTTATGTGTATGTAGACTTGCATCAAGACAGTTGTTTCAATTACGTGGTGTGCCTTGTATGGAGGTAAGTAGTGTTTGGGTGTTGTGGACGGATGAGATGCTCCATCTGATGTGCTACCCCTTTGCGGAGGGTTGGCTTTCCAGGAATGTAAACATCTTTCTCTCAGCGCTCAGTGCTATCGCAGTCTCTTGATCTAGCCCCCAGCAAGATTAATAATACACAGAACGTTGATGTCAGGAGGATTGGATCCCCTGAATCATAGCTGAACTCTCAAGCGCTTAGACATGACCGGTCCGTGTCCAACGGAGTCTTGAAGCGTGAGCACTAAAACGGCCCCAGCTCATCTCGCTTATAGCCTTATCTCGCTTGTAACCGAGGACTCCCGTCTCGGAAACACGGGAAGTCCTTGTTTGAAAGGGGAATGATACTCCGTATTTGACAATTATTCTGGTCTTTGATCTTGGGCATGGGGATGAGGGTTTAATAGTTTGTTTTATGTCTAGAGCGGGAGAGAAGACGGGATGGAAGGGCAGGGTGTTTAGGGAAAGCTTAAAATGGAAAGCAAGTGTTTTAATCTCGGTAAGTTCGCCCTGCAGATCTGGACCAAAGTTCTCTTTTTCCTTTTCGCTAAGGTAAGGAGTAAGGATCTGATAATAATAGGTATAAGATGTCGGTGAACTTAGATGTATCAGGTCAGAGTGTAAGACTTGCAGATGCGAGGGGGCCAAGTATGTACAGCGGTTGGTAGAATGCAAAAGGGGAAAACTTGTGATGATGGATTTTGGGGGTTGATCCTTCAATACGATGTGCTATGACGAACTCTAACAAAGTTTCGAGTTTGGACCCGAGGGTATCAGCCGTGTTAATGGAAGAGTGACATCGTCGCGAAGATCAAGACCATCAGTATTTTAATCTGTCGACTTGAAACAGCTCAATTCACTTATCCAACCTTACCACTATATGTTGGTGTTCAATCTCGATGATTGTCAAAGCCAAGTACTAAAATAGGAGCAGACGCGCATTGCGGCACGTCATGGTGTGGTGATGGAGTACTGATCGCGGTCTCAATTCGTTGTGACCTCGAGTCACGGATACCTGGGCCCTGCTGCTTGAGCTGGGCGGGTCTGGGGTAGCTTGTACAACTGGCAGTTTTGGGGGCTGTGAGTTGGAGCACAGGATTCAAGATTTGGGATGCTTGAGGATGGAGGGCATGTCATAGAAGAATGGGCTTAAAACAAGAGAAGAGAAATGGTAGAATAACTCAAGGATCGCATCTTCAATTACCGATGCTCTTTTGAGCAGATCTTGTTGATAGCATCATCGGTTCAATACAATGTCTCCCCAAAGACGAAGCCTACCACGGCTCATCACCGACCTCTCCCACGACTCACCAGACCAACTCATAGAAGCGATAGCCTCAACACTCTCAATATCGCTCAACGACATTCTTCTCTTTGATTCATTCACCGAACTAGGCGGCGATGAAGAAGCAGCGGAACTCGTCCGTCAAACATGTCAAAGCAAAGGCTTCGATATTAAAAGCGACGACATAATGGCGTGTCAGACGCTAGCCGAGCTTCAGACAAGATGTACGCCAAAGTCTAGATCTGACTCGGTAGAGTCTTATTCTTCGTCTTCCAGCGGAAGTGTTAGGGGGGTTAGTGGTAGGGCTGCAGGGGGAACCTCAGCGGTGGACCCTAATTTGGAGAGCTTACTTCAGTCATTTCCCAGCGTCAGCAGCGTGTGCATGGTCTGGCCCAGAGCAGGCCCATTCGACGGCCAACTCGTTGCTCTTATTAAGATCGACCCTAGCCTCCAACTCCAGAGCAGTAGCAGCAAACCTCTACCTATCGACTCTGTTAGGGACGAGATTTCTTCACTTCGCATGGCCGTGCAGCAGCCCCAGATATGGATTCCCACCGACTTTGACTTTGACGATAATAAACGTGGCGCGCAAACATGGGTGCAGAACATGGACGAGATTACCTACAAGGAGGTCATGAAGCTTCAGATTCCTGCGCGACGGCGGATGGTAAAGAGACAAATGCCCAGGGTGGGGAGTGAGGATTTGGAGGTGTTTCCGATGAGTTCGATGCAGCAGCTTTACCTGGCCGCTGTTGAGAATGAGAGTGAGAGTGAGAGGTGGACGAAAGGGCTCATGGTTAGGGTTAAAGGCGGTGCGGAACCGGCTGATGTCGACGCTGCGATTGAAGCCATCGTCGCTAGGCATGATATGCTCAGAGCACGATTCGTCAAGGGCGATGAGTGGATGCAGTGTGTTGCTCCCAAAGGCACGAATTCCTACATCCTTTCGCATCATATTGATGTTGGTGAGGATGAGATACTCACGCTCATCAACGAAACCGAAGATACGATTGATCCATTCGATGGACCGGTTTTTGCGGCAATGTATATTCACAACCAGGACAAGCAGATGCTATACCTCGCGGCGCACCAACTCATTCTCGATTCACTATCCTGGAGGATCATTCTCAACGATTTGGAAGAGTTGCTCCAAAAAGGCACGCTTTTGTCGGAGGGCAGTGTGTCGTTTGAGCGGTGGATTGAGCATCAGGGCCATGAGATGGAGCAGAGGTTGTTTGAGCCGACACTTCCGTTTGATGTCTTCTCGGCGAATCTGGAGTATTGGGATCTGGATCAGGATGCGAATACCTACGGAAACTCAGACCGGTTGTCTTTTCAACTCACTGCGGAACAAGCGTACTCTCTGGAGCGATCATCGGCCCAGGTCTTGAGAACAGATTCGGCAGATGTTATACTCGCTGCACTCCTCCTTTCGTTCTGCCAGGTCTTTCCTGATAGACTTTTACCGACGTTATGGAAGCAGGAAAATGGGCGGGATGCTTCAGAGGGGGATTTTAACATTTTGGAAACGGTCGGGTGGTTCGCTTCACTATGTCCAATCGGTGTGTCTGTTGATCCAGAGACAGATTTGACTGAAGTCATCACTTTGATCAAGGATACAAGAAGGAGCATACCAAGATCAGGTGCTCCGTTCTTCAATTCCGAGTTTTCATCATCTCAAGGCGCAGCGACGAACACCCCCCTCGAAATCATCTTCAACACTGTCGATACTGCGAAACAACTTCAACGAAAGAACGGATTGTTGGAACCTATCGCCCTACCTGGCCAATCCCATCTCAAGTCCACCACTGGTTCCGATATTGGAAGGACCGCTCTTTTCGAAGTCTCAGCGATGATGGATAACGCTGGAGGTCAGATTGATGTGATGTACAGCAAGACCTGCAAATTCCAGGATAAGATCCAGACGTGGATTCAAGTCTTTGAGTATCAACTGCTCGAAGCTATTACGAAACTCGAATCTCACGAACCACGACTCACACTCTCCGACATTCCTTTAATCCAATCATCATATCAAGCTCTCGAGCGACTCACATCAGATCGAAGAATTAACGTCAAGGACATTGAGACGATACAGCCCATCACACCAGCCCAGCAAGAACTCCTCATCGCACAATCTCAAAACAGCGAATCCTTCCACGTCCATGTATCTCACGAACTCACCGGCTTGAACCACATTATTGATGTTACGAGGTTATGTGAAGCGTGGGAGGTCATTGTTGCAAACACACCTGCTCTACGGAGTATTTTCATCGATGCTGTTTCAAGAGAGGGTTTGTTTGATCAAGTTGTGCTGAAGAAAATCTCACCGAATATTCTATTCATTGAGACGATGGACCCGAGAGAAGCGATTGGCACGTTGCCGGGGTTGAATATGGGGTTTGGAGAGCCGAGACATAGACTTTCGGTGTGCTATAATCCTGAGGGGATGATGGTGAGGCTTGATGCTAGCCAGGCACTCTGCGATGTAAGTCCCCATTCACATACTCTCAAGTAAGGTGTTAACTGTGATAGTTGCCGAGTCTTCATCTCTTGATAGCGGAACTAAGCCGTGTCTACTCCGGTCAAGATCCCCAGGACAATTCATCGCTTCATAACACATATCTCCACCAGATAGCCTCCATCGACACAGCTTATAGTCTTGAAGTTTGGAAAACGAGCCTTTCCTACGCAACACCATGTATCTTCCCGCCCCTCTCGACCACTTCAAAGGATACGTTCCACACCGTTCCCTTTGATCTCGACATTCCGACCATGCAAATGCGCATGTTCTGCCAACAGAACCAAGTCCACGCCCAAGCTGTTTTCCAACTTGCTTGGGCTCTCGTCTTACGTGCCTTTGTAGGCATGGACGCTGTTACGTTTGGGTATCAATTCTCCGCGCGCGATGAACAACTCCTCCGTGGGATTGAAGAACTGGTCGGGAGTTTTGCAACCATTCTACCGTGTTATATCGAACTGCCGCCTTCCGCTTCTCTGGGACAGTGTCTTGCTATCGCGGGAGAAGGGTATGCCAATGCGAGGAAGCATGATAATCTCACCATGTCTGAAGTTCAGCATGCGTTGGGGCTCAAGGATAAGAGGCTGTTCAACACTTGCCTTTACTTTCATGAGGAGAATAATCTCGTCGCGGGCGATGAGTTGATAACCACGCCTTTGACATGTGGGCGCAAGACGGACTGTGATGTGTCCCTTACGCTTATGTTTATCAACGATCGTTTACACGTCAACTTCACATCCCGACATCTCTCAACTTCTCAAATTCAGAGTGTTATGAATAGTTTTCACTCAGCCTTAACGCAAATCCTCACGACACCCCAAAAGCTCATCGTGGAGACAGATCTTCTTACAGATAGGGACTACGCCCAACTCGTCGTTCAAGACTGGGCCACCCAATCTCAAAAAATCTCATCCTGTCTCCACGATGTTATTCTTCAGCATAGTCTTCTTCGTCCAGACGCAGAAGCTGTCTGTTCCTGGGACGGCGACATAACATACGCCCAACTCTCAACGCTCGTTTCACGCCTGAAAACATACCTCGTCAATCTCGGCGTCGGACCAGGAACTATAGTCCCCGTCGTTCTCGAAAAGAACCATTGGGCGCCTGTTATAATCCTCGCTGTTCTTTCAGCCGGTGCCAGTTTCGCAGCGTTGGATTCGCAGGATGCTAGTACGGTGAAATCGACTATTGATTACCTCAATCCTCATATCGTTCTGGCGACTGAGACGGCTTGGAAGGATTTGAGTTCGTTGGCGATCAATCTTGTCATTGTTAATGATACATTCTTCGCAATGCTGACGCCGTATCTTTCGACGATGGGACAAGAGACAAGTCCTGACCACGCAGCGTGTGTATTTGTCACGCCTAAGAAATCAAGGAGTATTTTCTTCACGCATGCTTCGCTACTCTCTGCATTCTTCGCCCAAGGACCAGCGTTGAAACTCAACAGCGAAAGCCGCGTTCTTCAACTCTCAGCCTTCAACGTCGATATCTCCCTGGTGGAAATTCTTGGAACTTTAGTCCACGGTGGTTGTGTCTGCATTCCCTCAGCACACGAACGAAGTAACGATATTGCGAGTGCCATGGCTCGAATGGATGTGACGTGGTCGTACATGACAAGTCTTATCGCGAGGAGCATCCATCCAGATTCAGTACCGAGTTTACGAACGCTGTGTTTTCGAACGAGAAAACTGGATCCTGATACATACATGCCGTGGATGGAAGATCATGATATTCTCCTTGCGTATGGCGCACCGGATATTTGTCCCCTCGGCATTTCAGTCACGGAAGTTGAGAAGGATAACAGTTTGGACGTCATTACGCCACCGGTCACAGGTCGTTTTTGGGTTCTTAATCCTGATAATCCTAAGAAGCTCATGCCTGTCGGTGCGATTGGTGAATTGGCCATCGACAGTCCTCTCGTTACGCCTCATCGCTTTGCACTGGACAGGCCTCTCGTTGCACCAGATTTGGAGGGTGAGCGACAGAGACCTCGATATCTCAAGACAGGGCATCGTGTGCGCTATCTCGACGACGGAAACGTCCAGTTCATTTCTAGCGTTCGTGACGAGGTTAGAGTCGGAGGTCTAATGGTCGACGTCGCGCAAGTTGAACAACTCATGCGTCGTTGTCTAGGCCAAGGCATCGATGTAGTCGTTGACTCCGTCACCATGCGCGACACAGGTCCTTTGCTGGCTGCGTTTCTTCAACTCGGTCACGCTATGCAACCTAATGAGAATCTTCACACTCTCACCCCTGAGACTCGAGAACGGACGTACATCGCTAAGAAGATGTTTGAAGCATCCCTCGAGAATCCTTCGTCCAACACACCCCGTCTTCCACGGCACTCTATCCCTGCAGTGTTCATCCCCGTTAGAGCATTTCCAATGTCAACGTCTCTAAAAGTCAACCGGCGAAAACTCCAACGCAGTGTCGCTAATCTCTCGACTCACGATGTCCTGCTTATGTCGCACGTTCCTAATCCAGGAGAAATCCAACGTGTAACCCTCTCGCAAAAGCCCCTGCCCTTGACAGGCCCTGAGGAAATGATGCGTGAAATGTGGGCAAATACTCTTGGTATTTCAGTCTCTGCTGTGAAAGGCTCAAGTACTTTCTCATCAGTCGGTGGGAATAAGTACCTCGCTGCTCACCTCGTCATCGCAGCTCGCAAATGTGGTGTTTACATCTCACTATCTGATCTGTTGGGTGAACGGTCACTTACCGAGATATGTCGCTCTGCTGAGTCTTCTACGAGGAAAGTCTCAGCTCGAAAACAAGTCGCGAGGAAGATTGATACGAAATTCGTCAAGGAGGTCATCGCGCCGCAGCTTGGAGTTTCTTCACCTGATGTTCTTGACTTCACTGAAGCGACCTCCCAACAAGTCCGCGCTCTTGAACTAGGGATGTTTCCAAACCGAGCTGATATAATCTGTCTCGCGCTTCGTTTCAACGGTCCCATTGATACATCGCGTCTCGAAACAGCTTGTAAAGGACTGAGCGACATGCATGCTATTCTCAACGTAGCGTTTATTTCGCACCTTCACACGGTTTATCAAGTCCACTGCGCTTCTTTCAAGCCGCCATTCTCAACCATTTCTTGCAGTACAGGCTCTCTTGAAGAAGTCACGCAGAATCTCATCAAGGACCATCAATCTCTACCTTTTGACCCAACGACACCTGTTACGAACTTTACATTCTTAAATGCAGAACAACAAGGATGCTTGGTTATTCGCCTAAGTACATCTCAAATCGACGATGTAGCCGCTCATTTACTCGTTCACGAACTCACAGCTCTCTACGAAGGAGACGATACGACTGACGTACCGAGATCTTCGTATCTTGACTACACGCGCGCTTCACGAGTAACGCGTGCTCAAGGTCTAGAATACTGGAATGTTCAACTTGAGAATGCAAAGATGACAAAAATCATCGCTCACACACGCCCTGCTGCTCCAGCGTCTCTGTCTGAGATTCGAACGGTAAAACATACAACTTCTCTAGGCCATCTATCCTCCTACGGCATGACTCCTGATGCAGCGCTAAAAGCATCATGGGCCATCGTCCTCTCAACACTCTCATCCTCCCACGACGTTCTCTTCGGCGAAGTCATCCACACTTCAACCCCGGATATCGTCGGTCCCATGACAAACATCCTCCCTGTACGAGTCCAATTCCCTTCCAGTCACAGCACACCCCTCGATCTCATGAACTGCATCCAACTCCAGCGCCAATCCCACTCTCGCTTCGAAACATTCGGATTTCAAGAACTCATCAACAAATGCACAAACTGGCGCGCCTGTACACGCTTCAGCACCGTCGTTCAGCATCACATCCCTGGACCGCACGATGGATCGTCGACGATGAATATCGACGGTGCGACGTTTACGTACAAGATGGTAGAAGCGTGGACGAGGGACTTTCCAGATCTTTTTGTAAGGTCGAGCATTGAGGCGAATGATCGTGTTATTCTGGAGATCAGGTACTCTGAGGAACGACTTACTGCTGCGTTTGTGCAGAGTTGTTTGAGTTTGCTTGTTGCGGCGTGGGAGACCATTATGCATCCTGAGACGATTCATCAACCGATGGTTCACTCGTCAGATGAGATTTCGAGATCACAGAGGCAGATCCCTTTACCTGCGACACAACCCCCTCAAGGACCGCCCGTTGAATCGCTTGATGCGGCTCAACGCACGGATCTTCAAGTTTCTATCGTCAAGGCCTGGGATAAGGTTATAAAACCTTCTTCCACAAGCATCCCAAAAGATAAAATCCCCACGACACCATTCTACGCTATCTCTGGCTGCATTCTTCCCGCACACACTCTCACAGCTGAACTCAACAACGTCCTCCCCGTTAGCATCACATTGGAAGACGTCCTCGCCCATCCAAGCATGCACTCTCAACTCGAGCTCCTAACACGTCTTCTCCCTCCCAAGTCAGACTCTGGATCTTTACTCCGCCCAAAGTCAAAGTCCGGTCCCGAGCGCTCAACGACAACAGCACTTCGCAACGGGCTACGAAATCTCAAGAACAGAAATAGCATGCTAAGTCTGAAAAGCAGCTGGATCAAAAACAAGCGTCCCTCAACAGCGCACTCGGACGATGAGCCTGTCCCCGTTATCCCAGAGACAGTACCGGAAGCGCCCGTTCAAGAAGTCCTCTCGCCCATCCCAACGATTGTAATTCCGGAGATTGGGTCTTCAGATACACCCGTTAGTTCAAGCGGGCCAATGTATGAACTCGACGGCGGTCCCGTTCTCGGCGATAGTCGAAGTAGCGGAGGATCATCGTGGAGAACAGTTGAAGAGGGAAGTTTGATGAGTCCTGTCAGCCCAGTGAGTCCAGGACGGAGGGTGTCGACATGGGGCAGTATGTTTGAACTACCCATGAGAGGACTGTCACCATTTGGAAACAGGTCACCGAGATGATACACTCATTGTTGATTTCTTCTGTGGCGCTATGCCTGTTGAAGCTGATGGATAATGATGATAATGTCTTATTTCTTAGTTTTGGTAATATGTAGATAATGAAGGATACCCATTGAACCAACTCCAGCTCGCTTGTGAACACCCATGGCTGTACGAGTAAATGAGCCCAAACTGCAGACTTTGAACGAACTGATTCAGCTAACACCATGCTAATCCCCAGCTTCACTATATCACATACCAAACACTAAAATGTGCAAACGAATTGTCCTCGAATACAACCTCTTGGTTTTTTATACAATATCTGTCCCAACAGACAATCTCTATATCAATGCAACCGGGGTATATAAATCTTCCAGGTAATTCAAAAATGTCACAATACAAAAAACCGCACGCTCGAATCCCATATACATTGCGCCAAATCATCTCATCGTGATGCCCCAGTCGAGGCGGCTAGTGGAATTCACCCACCCGAGGACCGAAGTAATCCGTGCCCTCGAGAGGTTGAAGGGGACAGGCGTCGTCCTCGCATCCCACGTAGCCAACTGTGTTGCCCCACCAGTTGAACTCGGTGCCTTCAAGCTGGAGGGAGAAGAAGATGATGATGCCTGCAATGGCGATACCGCAGGACCAGGCTGCAGAGAGCACGAAGTTGTACTGCAACTGTTAGTATTGTTTCGTGAGTTTGGAGAATTTTGAGGCAACTTACTTTAGACCACAAGCCGAGGTAGCGCGACTTGAGATAAATCCAGGAAAAGTACGCAATGGGTACCGAGGGCCAGACATACGACATGTTGTAAGGTGCCCAAACGATACCTCCATACATGATAGCCACAGGGTGAATCTGTCTTGTCCAGGTCCAGTTGGGGAACCTCTTGTTGATAGCCCAAACAGCCAGAACAACCACAACACCCAGAGGGAAACCAATCAAGACCTCAGTGTAGAGACCGTTCTTTCCAAAGATCTTGCTAGGTCCAACAGTACCCCAAAGAACTGAAGCAGTAAAGAAAGTGTTGACACTGGGGCAGGTCATCTTCCACCGGGCATCCTCAGTGCAGACTCCCTCGATCTGGGTCATCTGGAAGTTGAGAACACCAACGCAAACAAAGGTGCTGATAAAAGTAGCGATGATCTGAGCGAAGAAGGTGTGTCGAGGAGGAATCTTGACGTAGTGAGCAAGCTTGAGATCGTTGGAGAACATGACAGCATGGGCGCAGGTGACGTAGCCAAAAGACTTGAAGTAGTTCATGGCCAGAGCATTGCCTTCAACGAAGGAACCTCCAATAAACTCAGCGAGAACTGTCAGAGTGACCTCAATACCAGTCATGGCCTTGATGATGCCGACGGGAATGACAAACACAAGGCAAAGTGCAAGACCGTAGAAAATGACACCAGGTGAAGTGTGGGTGTCCCAGCCAGCAATACCAGAAATACCAAATGCAATAGCGCAAACAAGGCAAACCATGTACCACCACTCAGGAACTTCACGGTAGGCCTTCATGAGACGAGTGTGAACATCGAGGTCGTGAACCTCCTCCGCGCGCTTCGACTTCCTCCTCATGCTGTTGAAAAGACCCTTGAAGCCAGTAACAATTTCGCGTCGATGGAACAGAAGAGCATAGGTAAGGGTCGAAGTGTAGATGCCGAAGAAGAAAATGTAGATAACAACGTTTCCAGCGCCCAGGAAGGGGGGAGAGTAATCGGCGTATTTCTCGGCATCGAAGAGTCCTCGGTCGTTGATAGCTCGAGTGACGTTGTACAGCTCGCCCCAGCGATCGTAGACACGGTTGGTGTTGATGGGAAGATACCCAGTGTTGTAGATGTTGGAGTACCAGAGGCCGAGAACCACCCACATGGAAATGAAAGCACCAACAAATCGGTTGAAAGTACTGAAGAAAGGAACCATAAGAGGGTCAGCAGAATCCCAGAGGAGAACGTTCCAATCCCATGTTGGGAACGGGTTGATGCCAAGACCGTTGTTGAAACCGGTGATGGTGTTGAGGTCACGGTTATAGGGATCAATCCAGGACATCCAGCTGAAGTTGGAGAGCGAGGTCCAGATGTAGTTAGGGAACCAGAACCAGACAAACATAGCACCGAACATGACATAAAAGAACTTGATACGAGAAACGCGCCAGATCTTGGCAAAGGGACCCTGTACCGGGGAGTTGTTGTCGGTATGGAAAGCCGAGTTGAGCGCAATAGTAACCAAAGACGCAGGCCAAACGCAGTACGAGGGATAAACGAGGAAGCGACGGCAGACACCAGCCATTCCATAGCCGATGAAGTTGGTGCTCAGCGCGATCAAAATCTGGTAGGCGAAGTGGGATGCATATGGCTGGTTGAAGTACTGGGGCAGATACTGGACCCAGATGATCAAGTTCGTATAGGGAGTGTTATACGCAACGTTGGCCATGATGGTGATAAGCATATGCTCCTTCTTGGAAAAGGGCCCTGGGTTGAGGGAATGGCGCACACCGAAGAGAGTGATGCCATAGTCAGGAAGCCACCTTTCGAAACCTTTGCCAATTGGATATGAGAGCAGCTGAGCGACATTGGCCATGATGCGAATGGCAGGTTGGCGAATATCGAAAAGCTGATTGGTGAAAGCAAGAAGCATTGAAAAGACGAGACCGATTGTCCAACTTCGAATGGTTGATGAAGGGATGGAAGTATCATCCTTGTTCTCGACGACGGCACGAACTTCGGCATAGGGGCTGTTATTTGTGATGAGAGCAGCCTCGAGCTTCATCTCCTGCACCAGACTCTCGTGCTTCTCGGGGTTCGTAAAGAGTTCATCGTTCTCGAGAAATGCCTTGATCTTTTGGATAACTACGAGTGGAAAGTTGGGATCCTTCTCGTGGATGCGATAAACGCGAGCCATTATGTGGCGCACATCTTCTAGTGTGTACTTTGAGGCCAGTTCGCGAGCCTCGAGAAGGTCATCCTCGGTGACGTGAAGGTCCTGCTCGGTGGTTTGGAAGTCGGGCATGTCATCCTGATCGTAGGAGAAAGACTGTTGAGGTCCTATGTGTCAGTCTAATTGATCCGCAGTAGGTTCGGGTCCAAACGAAGCAAGCAGCGCAAAGCAAGGCAATGTAACTAGACTCACCTCGTCAAACTCGGATGATGAATCGCTGGCGACATTGTGCTGAGCCGGAGGCAATGGGTCAAGAGGGATCTCTTGAGCCACTCCTGTGGAAACCCTCTTTTCGTTGTCGGCCATGGCCAAAGGCCTCCTTTACGCAATGGATCTTGAATTCCACCAATCTCAATGGCCGTACCAAAGTCCCTCGACCTGGGGTCGCTCTTTATGCGTCTTTAGTCGATTGCGCGAACGGAAGAATTGACCGAGGCGATGATGATGGTCAAGCGACAAACGTTGATGCGGTAATTCGAATCGTGACAAGGAATTCGAAGTGTTCGTGATGGTGCTGTTGAGGCGATTGTGGTGGTCGACAAGAACGAAAGAGTGACGAGATGGCGCGACAGAACAAGGCTCGCGGATAAACGAGAATGGGGGGAGTCGGTATTGAATACGTTTACCACGAGTGAAGTGAGTGGTAAAAAGCAGGTATTCTAGCGTAGTCAAGGCGAGGCACGTTGCGTGGGTGGTCGGATCGAGAGTCGAGTCAAGTCTAGACGAGTGGAACAAGGTACGCGTGGCGCTACCGTCGGTAGATAACTCTCAGCCAGCAGGTATCGCGAAAGGAAGGGAAATGAATACCCAGCAGAGGAAAAGGCGAAGCGAAGCCCAGGATGAGGAGAAGAGCCTGTGAAAGGTACGAAAGAGGTGACGAAGAAAAGAGGAGGAGAATATCGGAGTCCGGCAAAGAGCCAAGTCAAGCGTGAGGGAGGGTGAGCGAAATGGAAATGACGGGATGGACGAGATTCGCAAAGCAATTGGACTAGAAGCAGAAGCAAGGGCCCTGAAGTGAACGAGAGCTACAGTGAGAAGAGACGGGGAGCGTTAGGGGAGTGGCGGGACCTGGACAGACGCAAGACAGGGCAGGTCAGGATTTTCGGTGGAGAATTGTGAGAGGAGAGATGCAGTCTGATTGGTCTGGAGAGACACGAGCCGGGGGGCTTGGGCTAGCAAGGAACCCCCAAAAAAAAGGCTCGGGCTCGGAACTAGGGAGCCGTAGTCCAAAAGCAAGCAACCCAACGGCAAAGACGGCAGAAGATACTTGCCGGGTATCACTCTGTGACTGAGAGATATAGGTACCTACCTTGAGCCGATTCATCAAGCACTCAGCACCTCGGGCAGGGCAATGTCTCTGGTCTCTCTACCATACCTATAGCATTGTCTCTCTGGGTACTGTCCACTGTGTCCATTATATTCCTTGATCTTGAAAGACAAGACAAGACAAGACAGACTTGGCAATGGCTGCGAATGAGGCGGGAGGAATCAGTCACTACCCCTTGGCTCCTGGTTGGTCCCCTTCTCCATGTCTTGGCGCTATCGTCAAAGTGGAACAGCCACCACCAGCACCACCTGCAAACTACACGGCCACTCCGTTGATGATGACTGAATAGGATCAATCTCAGGTAATACATTATCTCAGATATTCAGATATTCGATTGATGATATCTCGTCTTCATCAACATATATCTCTGGACGTGTTTGTTGTTGTGTCGTGGTTGAGTGACATCTCAGGTACGTACCTCCTCGGAACTGACGGCACGGCTACCGGCCTGTTTCGTCTCGGCGCTGTCCTGTCACTTCTCCAGCTCTCACAGTGATTGTCGCTCGCTGTCCCTCTCACGCCGATTACCCGGCATCAAGCCACCCAAGGAAATCTACAGTTTCCTTTCCACTCGTAACATCAACGAAACATGCCCCTTGCTCCTCATTGGTCTCTTCGCATTGATTCATCAACAACTTCAAAAGAACACGGGTCTCGGCACGACTTTCAATTGTTTGCTCAGAACTGTCGTGATTGTGTGGGGTAGGATTCAATGTGAGGTACGAGCTGCATCGTATGTACGTACGCCCATGGATGGATGGTACTGTACCACAACGGCACACCAAGGCAAGGCCATGCCGACTGACATGACAGTATTCTTAGCGATAGTCATCCAAGACCTGGTTGTAGATCTTTTAGTGTGTCGACAGATCAGCATTGAGCTGACTCATGTGGTATAGGGTGGGTAGCTTTGTCCGACTTCACATCACTCAACCACTCGTACACTTGACACCATCAATTACGCGAAGGGTCAGAAGACTAATAATAAGCTTGTGTCAAGGTATTTTTATTTGATGTCAGAGAATTCTTATTTTAATGGAGCATACTGTGCAGTGCCGTAGACACTGAGATAAATAGTGTCTGGCTCCATCATACTGCTTGCACCACCCATGATTTGATGCTTCGTAATACAAAACAGTTCCGCGTGTGATGGAAGAGAGCTTTTCTTAAATCAGATAACAAATGCGATCTGATCTGAAACTCTACAAGTAAAGTCGCATTCATCCATGAGTCCTCAGATAGTACAGTTATGGTATCAGCCAACGTGATGTGAGTAAACTCTCCGATGGAGGTCCCGCGTATGGCACCAGAAGACAATGAACATGTCGAAGAAGGTGGCTGCGTTCCGTTCCAGAGAGAAACTCGAATCTTGGGTAGTTCAGAATATCTGGTCTAGAATAGTTTATGTGCATGTTGGTTGGCTCTAATCGTTGGTCTATAGTCAGAGGTGATACCAAAGCAAGGAGATTAATTATTAGTCTATCAGTCTATATTCCCAGATGCCCAGTCCCGCTTATACCCAACAAGATAGTCAAAACCCTTGGAACTCCTTCAAAAGACGCATCGCTCCGTCCCTCAGAGCGAGTTCAAGATACCGTCAATGTCGGCAAAGGACAGAAGCTTGTTCGTCTCATACCAGACCTTATCCGCAAAGGCCTTACCCTCCTGCGTATACAAGAACTTGGTGTAACTGAGAAAACTGGTTAGTCATCGGTTATGCCTAGAACTCATGAGGTTCAACTTACTGGTGAATTCTCCAATCCATGATATAAGACCCATGGGTCTCCTTGCCCATAACAACACCAGCTTGCACAAATGTACTAGCTCCGTTCTTGATGCTCCGAGCAATAAGAAAGTTTACCAAAACAAAGATGTACTGAATGATGATGTTTCCCTGACCGCGTGTCAAGCTAGTTCCGCCAACCATACCTGGATCAACGAGGTTGACGATCACATCTTCGGCTTTGACGCGCTCGACTAGTTTTACTATCCAGAAGTGTGCGAGAGCCTTGGTCCTGGAGTATGAAGGAAGTGCATTCACACCAGAAGAGAAAAACGCTTCGTTGTCGAAGAATTCCATGACGTTCTCGTCTTTGGCGTTGGGAAACTCGGCCGCTAGAGCTGTGCCTGAGTTGACGATCGTGAGATGTCCCGGTTGACCAGCTGGAGCCTTTTGCTTGAGTGTGGGAAGAAGCAGTGTGGCGAGAAGAACGGTAGAGAGGTAGTTGACCTGGAACGAAACCTCATGGCCCTCAGGACTAAGTTCGAACTTTGTCATTTGTATACCAGCGTTGAGAATGACAAGATCAATACGATCAAGAGTCTCGCACTTTTTCGCAAAGTCTTGAACGCTCTTGTATGTGTTCATATCGACCTGCCAGACGAGGATCTCGGCACTGGGATACTTGGCGCGGAGGGTTGCTGCTGCGGCTTCACCCTTGGAGATACTTCGGACAGCGATGATGAGACGCTTGAGGTTCATGGCGAGAAACTGCTCTGCAGCGCCATAACCAATGCCGGTGTTTGCGCCAGTGATGATGATAGTGCTTTCTGAAAGGGATATGTCCTTGGGGAGGGGGGCGGGCTTGGTGATTTGGGAGCGGAAGAAGCGGTAGTCATCTGGGGTGAGTTCAAGAGACTTGGGAGCCATTGTGTGGATGTTGAATGTGGACTGTGGGGTAAGTCTGAATAAAAGTGATGATAGTTGATTGATAATGTAGTCTTGTTATTGTAAGAGCTGATGATTGTGTTTGTGATGTTCTGAGCATGATCCAAAGACGTGGACATTCATCTCTTTTATGTCTTTTAGAACTACACTCGACATCATGGATTTAAAGCACATGTTCGCGAATAAACCGAAAAAGGGAAACAGTTCTCAATTCTATGATGTCTTGGGTGGTAGTGTGCGGCACTGTTGACGACAACATCTCTGTGACAAAGATTGATGTGGGAACCGTTTTAGGAAAGCAATAGATTGCATGCCAAGAGTTTATCTTTGGAAGGATCGAAAGAAGCATTGCATTTGCGGGCCTCCATGAACTTGTCTGCGTCTTATTCGACGTTCGGACAGGCTCTCAATGCCCGAGACCGTTGGCTTGAGTACGATGAAGGAAGCGGGGCAGATGCATCTCGGACGAACATTAGGGCGAGAGGCAGGCAAAATACGAGCGCCAGTGAAATGGCAGATTCTGCGGTAAAGATGACTCTATCATTCTGTCAACCTTTTTAGCCGGCGATCGGCCTTAAGCTCAATCGCCAACCCGACACTAAGCCCTGTGCTCTAACCAAAATAGGAAAACAATCGTGTCTTGGCAAGATGATGCTGACAGGTCCTCCCCAGGAGCTCGATTGCTTTCCGTAAAGAGTTAACAATCTCATCTCATCTCATCTCGACTCAACTCTTTACTCATCAATCTAAGCTTCATTCAGCGTTTTGTGAAGCCATCAAAGTTACTGGCTTGAAAGAGGATACCTTTGCATAATCTCCGAGTCATCATGCTGGAGCCTTTCTTACAACCAGTCCCCGTCCCGGAATCACTCCCAGTACGGGCTAAGCCACGAGCTCGAAAGCCTCGTCAACAGGGTCGTGAGTCATCCCCCGGATTACAAATGATGGGCTTCATTACAGTAGTACTGATCCAGTACAGCCAAAAAGTTCGAGTTCGTCTCTTCAGACCCAGTGGGCAAACCAGCACCTGAATCTCGCAAGTTCATCCGCAGCCATGTAATGCGCGGCAAGAACACAAAAAAGTCACCCCCAAAACATCCAACACTCGATGTTAGAGTCGATGCTCTCCCCGGAGCTAATGACGATGTGGAGGAGCTAGATCGCCCTGCACCCCTGGCGATCACTTGCTGCACAGATGCCATGTGGACTGTTGGCCATACACATGCTCGCCAAGACAGAGCTTGGGTTGAGTCGCCTTCTCTTATGGTGCAACTAGTCAAGCCCCCGCCTGATCTGGATCTTTTCACGTTTGCTACACCCCTTGGTAAAGATTCGAGGTACTATATTTATAGATGTAAGGTTCCCACTTATGGTCCGTCATGTAGCTAATGTTGTAGTTCTTACTACCATCAAGGAGACTATGTACCCTGCAGAATGGTGTTTCGATCCTGACGTCGAGAAGGTATGCTGGTTCCGCTGGCTGCTAGAAGATCCGGCCTACTTGCACTGCATCTGTTTTATGGTCAGCGCCTTTCAAGATCTTATCAATATGCAGTCATTACTTGGTCGTGGGAAATACGAGACTGGATGGGGCGGAGAGTTCTCAGCATCAACACGAAATCGTCTCCGGCATACCATCAAACTCCTGCAAGAAAGGCTGCAAGACCCTGCCAAGCAAGTCGAGGATGCAACTACAGCGACGATCATATCGTTGGCTATGATGGCTGATGCGATGGAGGACGCTCAGGCCTTCGAAGCTCACTCGAATGGCCTTCGACGGATCGTCAAGATGAGAGGTGGTTTACAAGGATATACACATAATCGGCAACTACAGATCAAGCTCTGTCGGTGAGTTCTATCCCCCAATCCGGCACTACCAAATACTAATACTGTGGCAGTGTCGACCTCGGATGGTCCATCAGAAACGGCTGCAAACCCGAGATCTACAGCGGCAAACCAGCATGGGAACCTCTCCTAGAAGCCTTTGGAACCGTAGCCTGCTCTTTCGAGATTCAAGAACCATCTCTGGACTTCATGAACGTCTACTACACCTGGGACTGGAGATTGCAAAACACTTTCAAAGATCTTCGAGACTTTTCCGCCCTGGCTAACAGATACTCGCCGAGTGCCAAGAAGCTCAAACCCGAAGCGTTCCAGGAGATCATGCTGTCAATTCAGTATCGACTTTTACAACTTGACTTTTCTCAAGATCCAGCGCCGATACAGGAGGCGCTGCGTATTGGACTTCTTGCTTATGAGTCAACCATCTTCTTGCAAATACAGGGCATGAAACTACAGTCCGACTCGTTCAGTCGACAGTTCCGCGATGCCATTCAGGCAACGCCCGTGCAAGGCGAAGCCACCGCCAACATCAAGCTTTGGCTTCTTGTGGTGGGGTCTATCATTGTCTTTGACAGCAGTGAAGATTGGCTTGTGCAGTCGATACACAGTTTGGCTGGACGACAGAGCTGGGAGGATGTCCGGGAGCGTGTGAGGGAGGTTATGTGGATTGATATCATTCACGATGTCCCTGGTCGGAAGGTCTTTGAAGCGACACAAGCATATATATGAAGTGGGAGCACAGCGGGATAAAGGTCACCTATGCAGGCCTCCATCTCTCGTTCAGCCCATAACAACAGAAGCTATGGCAAACCACATACTGTAACGCAAATTTGACTACATACTCTCCGTGAAGCAAATGTCGGGCTATGCTCCATGACGGGCTGGGATGCTACCTCAAAGACCCAGGTCATGCTTAGCCCAGTGTTGCATAAAGCCATATACAATGAAAGGCTCGTTTCCCCTCTAGTCCCGGGAAACGATGGGATGACCATTTCATCAAAGACCCTGCCTCAAATTAAGCGAAAGTTCATAGAAACATGCAGTTCAGCTAACCGATACACGCAGAAGCCATATTCAACAACTCCAGCCTGCCAGTTCCGTCCGCAATGGTAAATTCATTGATGAAACCTGGATTGCTATTGGCCTTCTGGTGATGAATCTTCAGTCCTTTCTACGCCACTGTTCTTTGTTCTCTGGGTAGAAGCATGGAGTTATGCACAGCTTTCACGGCTGCTAACGCAGCTTGCTACATCTACGCAGCTGTCCACGATGACTTGTTACTATTATGCTGCCTTATACCTCACTTAAACATCTATGCTTTTTTATCTTGCTGTCGAACCCAGCTGTACGTTCAGGGCGAGGCGGTCATCTGGCGGTATATATCTACGAACAAAGGTAAGGCGGGATTCCTTCCAGAAGTCAAGACATGTGTATTTAGTATGGGAAACATCGCATTCACTTGATGATCTAAGTGAAGTTATCTTGAGAGATATAAATACAAGTCGTAATCGTCAACTCAGTTTCTTAAATACAACCTCTTCTCTTCAACAGCCAAGACCAGAATAAAACAACTTCCACAGACCAGTCAACCAACTTCCTCACTTCAGCACACAATCCGAGAACAACTCAACTCAAATTTTCATACCACGAACTCACACAAGTCACCTACTCATCATGTCTGACTACTCTCCCTCCTCCACCTCCCCTTCGGAGACCCTCTACAACACAGAAAACCGGATCCGCTCCCCCACCCGCGGCACGAAGAGCTCTATCACCGACGACATCGTCGTCCTTGACCCGCGCAACGTCCAGCAGTGGCAGCTGGACGCGGCCTCAGCCCGGGCAGAGGGCACCACCAACAAGCTAGAGGCTCGCCTCGACAAGGCGACTGCCGAGAACCTTGCGCTCGACAGCGAGGCCGCTCTCCTCCATTATGAGATGGACGGTATTTTTAGTTTGCGGAAGGAGGACTTGGAGAGAGATCAGCGGCGTCACAACCGGGCCTTGCTCTTCTGTGTTTTGGCTGTTTTTGCGGGGTTTCTCTGGTCTTGGGTCTTTCAACGTGGTGCCAATGAGGTCTTTGAGCTCTTCAACAGCGACCTTTCCTAAGGCTTTGGGGTAATAAAGGGGGGGAGAACTAAAGGGAACATGCGATGAAGGAATTAGAAGAAGTAGTGGATCTGGATGGGCATGAAGGTGAGATGTGGTATTGCTCCTATCGCTACACATGAGTATTTCATTTTGTTTGTGTTTGGGACTCATAGATGGGTGGGTGTTCAGATTGCGTAAATACACGCTTGGGTTGCGATAATCTTTACAGTTCATTCTGCCATCATCACCTCTGGTTTGACTCGTGTCTAGCACTCGCATGTAACAACACAGGCTCAGGAGGTACTGTTGGCATAAGGTGTTCACATCTTCACTCAGACCTCGCCTCTGAACAGTCAAGTGATACCACAAGCTCACGAGAGAGACGTTGGGATGTTTTCGCAATAGAGTCTACTATTCGAGCTTCACTAGCTTGTGCCTGCTTGGGATGGTGTCGCCAGCATCATCGTCGAGCAACGCGACGCTACGTTAATATCGCTGCCCCAGCCAGTCAGTCAACGAGCACCTATTCATTGGAAAGAGGCTCAATTATCGGATAGTTCTGATACGATAAAAGGCTAGAGATTTAGCTCTCATTGAGATATGGTTGATTTCCCCTTGTGTGTTCTGGCATCAGATCTGTGACTTGACACGACTGATGGACTGGTTGTTACGCCTGGCGAAATGCGGGAAATCTACAATTGTATTTAAATAGCTACAGATCAAGGCGACCGGCAAGACTACAATTCCGACTTCAAGTCGGTGGCCTTCCTCATTGCCTTTTAGAAAAATAATGGCTCACAATCTTGTCGTCAGAGAGCACAGGCTGCCTCTATTGAAGCTCAGCATGGGAGCTCTCTTCGCTCGAGAGTCATATAGTCTCGTACCTCAAGTATTGAGCACCTTATCATTTCGGATGCTACTTATGCTTGGATAGGTAGTGCTTTTCCATGTCGAGGTTATGAGATCCCCCAATTCAAAGCGTAGTTCTAGAATGTCGCATTGATCGAGACTTTTCGAGAACTGCTATCGACTAAGGCAATGCCCAGCGGGCTATGTACTATCCATAAAAGGCTGCGGCGAGAAAACAGCTCGTAAGGAGTACAGCCCTGTGTTCCTACAAGCTATGCTAGTAGTTACGGTATGGATGCAAAGACGATGGATCGTGAACATTAGAGAGCCTTGATTGACTTACCTGTTTGAGGATTCGGGCTCCAGCTGCTCCTATCAGCAGTTAAGGCTTTTGAGTCGAAAAGGGCTTTGCCAATAATGTTAAGACCTAGTTCCAGTCTCTACTCATACTATTGATGGGTAGGTGAATGTGAGAGACCGCTTATGAGTCGACACAGAGGGTAAAACTCCAAATAGAAGCTTCATTAAATGAAATGGGATTGCTATCCTTTTGCTTCTTATGATCTAGTGAAGGACTTGAGTAGCTCAACATGACCAATGGCACACTCCGCCTGATCGCCGCGGACGGGCTTACAACTTGGCGGCCATTTTACTTCCTCCAGAACATCATGCATCACCAGGTAATGCATAAAGCTCAAAGCTGTTCGCCCGTCTCTCTTCGTCATGCTTCGAAAAGGCTATACAGTACCTACTCCGTGGCATCCGAAGACCAGCCCAGGACTGAGTCTCGGGGGCAGATAAGTATAACACATGGACGAGCAACAACGACGATCTCAATAAGAAGATTGCAAGCAGCCAGGGACCCGTCCATGGTGAGAATTGGGTGAGGGACACCGAAGGGTACAGTCACCTCTGCTATCGCCATGATATTCTTTTATCGTGACTTACATGATCATTACCCGGGACCACGGCACTCCAGAGACCTAATATCAACACTACATCAGCACTGCTTTTCTACAAGTCTATTCTCATTCATCATCTAGTCATACCCCATTTAGTCATAACTTGAACCTCAAACACCTCGCGTAATAAGTCCTTCCAGAAGCAGCATCATGGCTGCTTATCCCTCAATCCTCCGAATCATGCATATCAGCGCGACCCGACAGTTTGGTAATAAACGGCCCGTTTACAAGGCAAATTTCCCCCCCTTCTGCAACCACATTGAAAAAGAATACCCGTCCTTTCCGTGCCCTATTCTGCCTAAACCTCCGAAATACAGGTGAAACGAGGACAATGACACTCTTGTGATTGCTTTGGGTAGGCTCCTTGTTGATCAATATCCATTCACTTGCATAAGTTATGTCTTCAACGGCGGTCACTCCTGTTTCTGATAGAGTTCTTCAAGGCTAGCCCTACCAAGCTGCATCAGGTTGTTTGAAAATGCTCCGGAGCCATATAGCTAACTGTCTATAATTCGGAGATGATCTACCTGTGGGTTGTAATGCCTCGGTGGGTTCATGACGTTCTACCATGCTTGGTCCTGCTTGTTGTACTTGTAAGGGTGATTATGTCAAATGTCCGTCCCTTGTCCTGCCTTACCGCCTGGCCCGAAACCTGAAGTTCGATCGCAAGAACACCCCCACAAGCTAAAAAGTTCAGGCATGTCAAGGGGGCAGAACCACGATCCCCTCACGACGGCGCGGCACGGCCTCGGTTTCCGGAACCAGCAGTGGGGTGCGTTTGTGGTCCCAAGGTTCCATCCGTTCCGTGAGAAGGAGAAGAAGGGCAACACTGCCGGAGATTATTTAGGTAGAGACGACACTGGGTGCTGTGATATGGAGGGAGCGAGGGAGAGAGAGAGTTTCAAGTGGGAGGCAAAGCAGACAGAGAGAGACACAAGTAAAATTAAGAGGCGACGGCGTAGCAGCATTGATAAGAAATGACAAACCAACAAACTTCAGATAGAAAGTGTCACAACTGAACTCTGTGGTTAGTGGTGTTCAGTTGAATACAACATGTACTGCCGTTCCGCTGACGGAATGTCGAGAACGGCACTTTTAGACCAGGAACCACTTGCTAAACTAGCATCGCGAGCTAAACTAGAGAAACTAATGATATGGAGAAACTATCGACGTCAGAAAAGGAACTCACTGGAGTGGTCGGAAAGCACACATAATACCCTCCGACCCAATTCGGCCCTCGGATGGAGGTCCTGGGAACGGTAACCACCTCCGTTCTAGAAGGTTTCTCGGCCGTGGGCACCAATTCTGATACTGACGACGCGAAACAAGCATGATCTGATCTTCATTGCTTTTAAGAGTTTCTGTTTGTACTTTGTAGGAATTGCTTGTGAAAACATCCTATTACCGTTGACAGGTAGGGATCATGATCCTGCCAGGCCGATAATCTCATTTACATGTGCTTATACGCCATAGCCAAACAATTATGCCTCATTCTTTTTTCACTTGCCAAGTCTTGTGAGCTGTGGTTGATAGGTGAAAATACCTAGTTTCACCTCAAACTTGCAGATCAAGGTCCAGACTCTGTTGATGCATTCATGGTTCACAGAACATGCCTTTCGGGTCAACGCAATAGAGTGGATCGAATATTGAATTGAATTGAACCATCACTAAACAAAACCCACAATCCGCAAAGCCTATCACACTCTAACTAGTCTCTCCCATCAGTGTCCAAGCACTTGACAAGCGCGGAATTATACCGAATAGTGCGGTGCTCGAGCCCTTTTCCACCAAAAAGCATAAACTGGAGCCTTATGAGAACGGACCTTATCCTCTACAGCCCCAGCTTTTTGAACTCCATCGCATATGATTGTCTCGAGTTAATTACCACTACGGCTATCTCCAGGTTTACATACAGTATTGCGCCAATATGTGCTCGCTGTTATGTTAAAAAGGCAAGGATAGAGCGTTTACGTGCCAAAACAAGCCTGGCCCGCATAAGCACCGAGGTGTCGCCCTGCAGAAAGAGAAAAGCGCATTTAAAACCAATCTGGAGAAACGAGCAAGGCCAATGAATCTTAAATCCCAAGACAGGAATAAGAAGCGGGAACCCTCGACGTCTCTCCCCTGCAGGGATTGCGTGGCCCAGCTGGGGACAGGGCCAAAGAACAAAAACCCCTGATGTTCAGAGCCCAAAAGAGGAATCATTCGAGAATATTTCTGGAAGCATTCCACTTTTGGTAGGCGCTACGAAGGTGGGTGTAAGCTGTTTAATTCGTCCGTCTCTCTTTTTCCACCCCCTCAAAATGTCGATCGTCAGGCTCTTATCACCGGTTATTATAGCTTCATCCTTCTGAAGAGCAAGGTAATATAGCCTCAAAAGGTAGGTCAACCGCATGTAAGTCACCGCTTACAGCTATCGAGATTAAACGTCGTTATGTCCGAGGAAGCCGAGATGTCATTCATGTCATGTCTGTCACTGTGTCATCGCAATACCAAGGCCATATTCCCAGTTGAGGGCACATCGCCCGACGTAACCTTAATTAACGTGGTTTCAGATAGAGGATCGCCCTCGCTAAAACTCGTCGGTTAGCAGCTTCACTGATACTCAGTGTCAAAAAATGACCCCCCCTCGGCACTTAACAGAGATAGGAAACGTCTCGAATAAATTAGAATTGGCAGAGAAAAGGCCAGCCCTACGGATAACGTTTAGCGAAGAGACGACAAGCATTTGGCTCCTTGAGCATTGGCGCCGAGGATTTCATCCTCAACGCGGCAATGGGGCACAGTGAGTATTTTTCCCCGATCAATTGGAGGTGAAGTCTGGCAGGGCTACGAGTCAAGGATAGCGGCGTAGCATTCAAGTCTTGACGCTTAAATCCTGAGCCCTGCAGGATTCTGAGGGCGATCCGAGCATTTTTGGTCGAGATGCAAAAATAGCCCACCGTAAATATCCTCAATCTGACACAAGACATTAAGTTCAGGTATCGCAAACTGTCAAGAGAACTTTATGTGCAATAACAAGACTTGGCAACATCAATAAATGAAATGGAAAAGAACTTTTGAGGCTCACGGATTGCCGGATGAGCTGTGCAATAGTGCGCGTCATACAACATCATCTCTGTGAGACATGTTGTGCTCAATAGTTGACTTGCTTAACAAGCAGCATCCCAGCTTAACCCCGGGCTCTCGTTGAGATTGACCATGTTCTCAGGCCACTTGGCTTTTATTTCCGTGGCAATTGTCATGTGAAAGCGCCTGTACCATGTCGATTGTTGCAATGGCTCGTGGGAATATTGCTTTTTTTCAAATGGCCTCAAACCCCACAGATCTTCCCGGCCCGCTGCAGCCCGTCGTCAGCTTTCACATCTCAGCTACCGACATATCGCCTGCTGCACCTAAGACACAAGAGAAAAACAAATAAGGCAGAGCAGTCGTGATATACTCGGCACAAGACAACGCTCGTACAACATCCTCTCAGATGAGCGAGTACATGTGGACCTGTTGCAAGTTTCAGGCTTTCGTGCACTTGCACTCGCACACTCTCCAGTTGGAGGCCTGACGGACATAGAGACCAGACCACCTCGGAATTCCGTCATCCGCGGAGCAGTTGGTGATCCGTTCTGCGGCGGTCGATCCCTAGGGCAAAGAAGCCGAGGGGGGCGCTACGGAGTGATATCAACTTGGATAGGGCTGTGGGAATCCCCCTCCCCAGTGTGTTGACGATTGGGTTATTTCCCCGACGCCTTTGGGCCGAGATGTTCAATGAGAGAAGATCCGCTTCTCCATGCCAAGAGGGCATCGAGCTTTGTATTGGAGGCTTCGGATGAGGAAGCTAGAGCGGCCGCTTGGCTGATCCGCTTTCACGATGAATGGAGGGCGCCTGAAAAATGGATCGATGGGGGAGTGAATGTCGTCCTCTTCTCTGTGTCCGGTGATGCCTGTCAATAAGACTCTTTCGCCCTCCTGAGTGAGGCGATACTTCCCTTTCTGGATAATCATGTAAGAGTCATGAATGAGGTCTCAAACTTGTTTGTACAAGTCAGCTGCCGAATGAAGAGCGGTGAGATGTCATCGTGAAACACCAATCCCAAGATGGTGAAGATCGAGAGAAATATAATCAGAGACAAGACCAAGCAGATCTCCCATAATAAGCACCCCCTTTCCATATTCCTCAGCCACATATGATTTCTATTTCCCTAGGAATAGTTACGTGTCGCATGAGCAACCCGACTACAATGCTCCAGCCCTAGACCAGACTTCTCAAGACGTCCAGTCGCAACACGAGAATGCAAGGCGCCAAGATGCAAAGACAAAAGTGCTTCTGACTATTTCCTCCGGTAGACGCGCGGTTCAATTTGTTTCATAGACTACTGATCAGCCACAAGCCGTTCTGAGACTCAGATTGGATATCGTGGTAATTGATAGTCCACTTTTTTAGTCAACGGCGATGTTTTGATCATGGCTCGTTGAGCATGACTGCATTGGACGAGATGCGATGCTGATCATGTCAGTAGAGACACTATCCCCTGAAATCCTGATGAAAATCTGCATATGTAATGATGCTCCGTGCCGGAGGTTACGGACCGGAGGCAATGGAACAAATGGTGGATGTGTAGATAATCTCGTGTGGCTATATCTCCGAACGAATCAGCTTCGGAAATCGCCAAAATAGAAACAGTCTATCAACTCCTTGTATCAAACACGAAGCCGAGTGCAGTTGCTATTCAGGGTCTTAAGATGTTGGTTCTCAACTTGACTTGTAATCCGTTCAACGTTGTATTGCCACAGAAGAAACCAGGATATCAGCGGCGTCTTTAGATGTAGAGTTTTCGAGCCGCATTTGCCAAGAGTGCGCCCGTAGCCAATCCCGCCTTGATGGGCTGAAAGCCCACTGCCTTGGTAATTCTAAAGTGCCCTGTAGACGAAGGAGTCTGTGGCGCGCCTCTCCCGCACCCGCAGGGCTGTGCTGCTGCAGTTACGGGCGTCGTTCAAGTCTCTAATTTTGAACCTCGTTCAGCTCGGTTTGCCCAACGCGAAGCCGAAGAGTTTCGGTAGACGCCCTGTGAGGAAGAGAAAAAAAGAGTTACGTGGACTACCATAATTTCGAACCTCTAAGACCAAGGGAATGACAGGGCCCTTTTGTTTTGCAAGAGATGAACCTCGGCAACCCCACCGTTCAGACTTTCATACTTAGTCGACTCCGTGATTGCCACTGGACTTGACTCAAAGGAGATAATACCCCGGGCGCTATTGGTCAGGACGGATGTACGGATTTAGACAGGGCTTGAGACTTGTGAATTCAGGAGTAGGACAACTGAATTGCATGGCGTTTTACAGTGTTCAGAATTGTAAACTATGCCCAGAGTTGGGAGACTTCGTTTGGATAACATTTTCCGCGTACTTGACTGACCATACAACACCTCATGTGGGGCGTCAAAGGGCAGCCCAGGACATTGTGGAACACGATACCAAGAGACATACTACAGTGTCAAACTCTCGTCGTGAGGAACAACAATAGTAGATCTGGAATATTAACAAAAGCAACAGTCATCACTGAATAATTAAGTCAATGCATCAAGGGTCTTGTGATGCCATGCCATGGACTGCTGGTCGAGCTTGGATCTCGCATCTGTCAAACCCCTCGGAATATCGCCCAGATACCTTGCAAAGGGTGCTAAAAAAGCCACACTAACGTAGTGTTATCGAGATCGACAGTGGACATTTCGCGGGTGTGAAATAAGGTGTTGCTGCGCCTCGTTGAGTCGTCATCAGAGTTGTCAGTATCAATTCTCTACCAATTGTCCGTAAAACAACCAAGACAAGACCAATCCTTTCTCCCACCGGCAGTAGCTCAGGGCGTCAATCTTGGAAAAATATCCATCCATCCATCCATCCATTCCTGAAACCCCAACGTCGGTGCAACATCAACAGGGCCCCTCGTGCCCACTTTCTGAAATCAAGGTGCTGACACCGCGCAGGGACTTACCGCTCGGCAGTTGGCGGCGTACCCAGATTTTGCTTGGCTCAGGCCTTTTGGTGTTGTTCGATAGGGCGATCGCGCACACGTCCTTGGCTCATGATACGAATAGCCCACTGAAACAGGGTCGTATTCTTCCTTTCTTTCTGCGCCTGGCCCATCCGAAACGGCAGCAGAGCGTCAAAACGGCAGTGCGTGACTGCAACGTCAGGGCCAGCTCGTGACCTAGACCCGGGCGGCACAGGGCTGAACGAGGTCGTCATTGGCGCTTCAGGGTCTCAACATCATGCTAAAGGTCAATGGTGCAGTGCTAGTCTCAGATTCGGGAGGCCTGTCTATTGGTAATTTCGATTCACGAGACGATGGCGGGCCCTTCGATAGCGAAAAACCCTCCATTCATGGCAATAATGTGCGAAAACAAACAGGCATGGCTATAAGCCTGCAAAGTCTAAAACGAACCATTACAGTAGAGAATCTCCACCATTAATAATCGCGTACTTTGCAACCGACAACTCTACTGTACTCTTATGCTGCAGGAACCTAGAGGATAAGGTATCAACCGTGCAAAGGCATGGCTGTTAGGTTTCGCCTGGCCTCCGCGCGTCAGTGTTTAATCCACCGAAAATTGACGGCCGGGGAGTGAGCCTGCAAAGGCGTGTGAATCCGGCGAACTGACTACCCTATTCGTAATAGCCTAAAAGGGTCCGAGGGAATGGAGAGCTAAACGTTAGCAGAGAACGTCCCGCGTCCAAAAAGTCAATGGTCGCTGAGCGTGTGCCGGATAGTGGGAGTTTTGCCGCTGCCGGGAGACGAAAAGAGCGTGTACACACATACACGTATTCCCCCCCAAGAATGGCTGAGTAGGATGACGAAAGGTGATGACGCTGAGGCTCAGGTGAAGGTTTGGGGCGAAACGGAGATGAGTGGCAGGATGTGGAAGCATGGAAGCACGAAAGAAGCAGGTACAGAACTGCCGAATGCCTGTCCCGGGCATCAGACCTTCTAATGAGAGAAAGAGAGCTACAGTGAAGTGGTGAAGGTGTGGCACAGGCCGGTAAGTTCGGTAGCTTTGCAGCCAAGGCGTTGGATGACTTTTGCCTTTCACGCCCTCCATCGGGGCCTTCAAGTTTACCGAGAGCCCTATGACTATTGCAACTATGGCTTGACCTTGATACTGCACTGCGGTCAATTTCTCATTTCCTTTGTCTTTGAATGTGGCTTTGGCGGTCTTGGAACTACCACCGTCTACTTGGCTTTCAAGTAGATCACAGCCTGATTTGGATTGAGATTAACCGAGCTTTTCTCCACGTTCGGCAGATGCATGTAAGTATTTGCTATTTTATTGTCCGTCGCTAACAATGGATTGTAACGTTGCTTCATCCTCGACTGTAATGACAAGAGAGAGAATACAATCGAATATCATTTTTGCCTCCTGTTGTTGAGACGTGTTAACTGTCCAGTACACATCTTGGCAGTACAAATCTCATCACACCACCAAGACAGCCCTAACACTGGACAGGCAATTCAACAGATGCCAAGACTGCAATCCCATGGTAGGGCTGAGAGCCAAAAAAAGCCGCTAACCTGCCCTGCCGTAGGCGCCGCCAACCAAGTCACCCCCGGCCGAGGTCCGAAAGAGTGTGGCGCGTGTACGAACAAGCCACGAGGGTACGCGGGTACTCTCCCTCTCCCCACTTGGTCAAAACTTAATTCTCCTATGCCATCCTCTCTGATGGAGACCAAAGAGACCTGGACCTGGAAGTCCACGACTCAGTGCAACACGACAGAACGCAGCTTGCGTCGCAATGGAAGTTAGGGATACTGTAGGGCTTAGTACAATACCGGTAGGTGAGGTGCAGAGCGGAGTTAGGGACTTTTTACCGCCAATTTCCAGTCATCCATCCATTGTCCCTTGAAGGCTTGAACTCTCGACAGGGACGATCTTCATGTGCCGGGTTGGTAATCATCTTGTAATCCTCATTAACTTGGTGTAGCTGAGGTTGCGAAACTTGTTGTATTCCAAACGAGGTAACCCAGCTACCATCACCAGATTGAACCTGTAGCTTCGTAACACGTTGATCGTAAACAAGAATCGGTCCTGCTCCAAGGACAGGACCACTACTCCATCCTCAACACCATGTACATGCAGACCCTTACCTTGGACAAACAATGCCTTGGACAGCAGCAGCAGCAGCAGCAGCAGCAGTTGGTTGATGCCTTGAGAGGGTCACAGCCAAACTGCCTGCCTCTTCTGGAATGTCGTGCACCCGACGGATTGGATTCGCTCCTCACGGTGAGAGGATCAGTTATCAGGAGGAACCAAGCCAGAATGGGTTCATCAGAAGGTCGTATCGAACCGTCGATGCGCGATGCTTTCGCTATCCGCTCCCTTGGCCGGGTGCAGGGACCAGGCCACGACGACTAACACGGACGTCTAAGTGGGGGGACACGACCAAGGAATTCCCACCACGTCCGTCCGTGTTGGCTCAGCTTTTTCTCTCTGGGTCGTGGGATCCCGAACGAGCAAGTCTGAGTGTGCAAGATGCTGAAACTAGCTGTTTGGCTTGATGGATACTGTACTAGAAACTATAGTCTAGGCAGCCGAATTGCTTCTTCATGCTAGTGGGCGGAGGCCGCCGTTCTCAGATCCATTCACCAATGCCTTAGGATCTGGCATTTGATTAGGCGGAGTAAAGATTCATGAGGGGACCTAATGAGCCAAGCATCATGGAGGAACTGGCTCGCTAAAAATGATGAGATGTCAATGGGGATTGAAGGATGAGACTAGACTTTACTAGCTAGGGCTGGAAGCATCTTGACAGCAGCCACAAACTTGAATTGCGTAAACGTACCAAACAGATGAGCAGAATCAATGACGGACACACGCGCACGCATGCTGCAAGAATTGCCTGTTGTCTATCTAACCGCTTTCTTCTCATGTGCTCTGCTCGTCTGTCGCATGTCGTCAGGCGATCCCTATTGAGGGAGATATCATTCAAGGGAGATCCGCTTGGGATGATCCTGGCACGTTAGGCAAGATCTCCAAACTTCTTTACCCGCGGGGTTTTATCGATGGGGAACATTTCGTAATTCACCTGCAATCCTGAGAGATATAGTACGTTTACATTTACGTACGTTTGCAGTAATTGCGCAAGTAAAGATGCCACTACAAATTGGTCTGTTATTCCCGTTTGCTTTAAAATGACATTTCGTCTGTTGGAAACCGCGTGCTCGGCCAGTGAGACTGACACAGCGACATCTCATGTCCAAGCGGCTGTACCTAGCTTTTCCTGTGTTTGGCAGGTTGCATGAGAGATGGGGCGAAAAACCGTATTTGCAAACGTCCTGTATTCTCTTTCGCGCGGTTCTCAAAATTGGGCTTTTGTCGATACTGCTGATCTTGGGTTGAATCAGCGTAGTCGAGTCATTTACCCCGTATCTTCCATGCCATCGGTCGCTGACCAAGGAATGAGAAATGAAATGCTCCCACTCACCGCTGAGCCTCAATATTCGAAGTCAGATCGTTCTTGGCATTTCTATTGAGGCTGGAATGTGCCAATGACAATGAGATAAAAGGTTTCGCTCCAGGTCGCGACCGTTGACCGAGCACCGTCCGTACCCGTATTAACGCAAATAGGTTCAGGCTCTTGGCCGTGGCGCGTGGGTAAGGGGAAAGCCCAACCGGGCGGCCACGAGGTTGATGACGAGGCGGCATAGAGGAATGACGGCGTATTAAGGGCCAAGACGACCGCAAGGCGATTCCAAGCCACGATATTCGTACAGTGAAAGAGGAGAAGCCCAGACGTAGAATGCCCTGCTCGGCTGTAATCTGCTCGGTGTTATTCGAATCACAACTGCCGTTGGCAAAGTGTATTATAGGGCCAAGGCGAAATATCCATGGATTTCTTTCTGGCTGTTGGTGGGTTTGAGGCTAGGAATAGCTGCGGGAGGCGGACGGGATGCACTTGAGCGACCAGTGAGCATTGCAGGTGAGAGAAGCGGAAGCGGAAGCAAAAAAGAAACCAGCCGGCAACGGAGCAGGGAAGAAGCCTGTCCTGTACTGTAATGTCGTAGGGCGTGATTGAGTGAATGTGAAGCATCTCGTGCAGATGCTACCACCCACGGCTGTTTCTATGAATATGGGATCATGGCCGTCAACGGCAAGAGCAGGCAGGATTGGATGGACAAATGTGCGTATAGCAATACCGATTCAGTGGGTAGGTTGGGTTGCGCAGGTGAGCAAGGGATCATGACTCCATCTCAAAGGTGAGAGAGGTAAGGTAAGGTAAGGTCAGATACTGTACATTGGCCGACAGCCAGAATTTGGTACCCTACTAGATCAACGCCCTCAAGGCGTCCAACAAAGCTCCATTGACTGCCCTGCCCTACACCCCTCTCCCACGCGGGAGGCCAACCCCCAACAGCTTGTGCTTCGCCCACACCCAAGTGCCCAGTCCAGCCCTCCAGGGCAGAGATAGCAGCGCAGGGCTACAGAGCAAGGTGGTATTCTGATGGAGCCCATCTCAAACGAGAGTCCGTAGGGCAGGGCAGTCAAAGACCTCTCAGGAGCACCGTCGGAGCGGGGGTAAACCCCCTGTAAACGACTTGCGGGACCCTTCTCTGGTCGACAACAATAGCGGAACGCAGAGCCAGATTGATGCCGCACCCCCCTGTTCTGCTCCTCTTGTCTGTACGGAGGGCCAAATGAGAGACAGTTGGGAATGGTAAGCAGCTGGACTCCTCTGTAAGACGATTCTCAGCGTTCAGAAAGGTTGAGCGTAATACGGCGTTTTATGTAAGAGCCAAGTGGAGGAGATATCACATCACCCTTTTTTTTTTCTGCTTCGAGAGATGCAGCCCATCATGATCTTGACAAAGGGAGCTAACGAATCTGTGGGTGATTTGAACTGACAGTTGTTGGTGGCACATGCAAGCCCATGGATGAATAGGATAGGATCCTTTGGCATGCCACTGCACACCCGTTCCGTCCCTGTGCCTCAATAACTGTGTTGTAGAGAAAACAAACTGATGCTACAGTACAAGGGACGGATATGCAGCTCCATCTTGAGCAAGCGAACGGGTGACGATGGCTTGGCATGGCATGGAATGTCTGGCAGTTGACAGAAGAGCCTAGTAGGTAGAGAGAGTCTCATTAACAAAAAGAAAGACGTTGATATTGCGCTCGTCTTGGCTTCGTCTTTTGGTAGCTGGTATATGTCCTCACACCCCCCTTCATCGGCAGATGCTCACTCCCCCCGTCTTGTTGCTCATGCTCCCACCTCTTTTTCCCTTCTTCAGCTTGTATCTTGTTCCCCTCCGTCACATCTTATTACTACTTTCGAATAGTTCAAGAACGGGAATAAGCTGTGAACACAAGAAATGAGGCGTGCAGATATCGTCATTCCTACCGCCACATTCTTTTTACGTTGCGTTGTAAGGCAAGGTTGCCTTTCAAATCTCTAGAACTTGCCTTGTCCTGCCATTTTGCACTCCCGGGCCCATCTTCAGCCCTCCTCCCCCTTCTGTACCGTACCCTACCAGCTGCTAGCCCAGTTCAGACTCCCCCCTACGCTCCACCCCCGTAGGCGTACCTACAGGGGTTGTCGACAGCGCTTGCCGACGCCAGGAACAGTGAGTGTAACAGCGCCAGAGCATCAACGTCAACGCTGGATCTCCCATTAACCTGAGGTGCTTGATGCGTAAGGTGCAGATTGAACTTAACCGCTTTGCCTCCCACCTTCCTTTTCCCATCCGATTCTTCAATACCACATCCCGCACGTTGGTTCTTCATATTGGATCTGTTTTCTTCTACTTTTTTTTTCATTCTTCTCTTCTATCTACAACCAATAAATATATACTCCCAAATAAACAACAGCATTCCTCCAGTTTCAAACAGCATCCCCGATACGCTCTGTCATTCGTCGACCTTTTTTTGCTCCGGCATTGGCGGACGCGGACCCAGCTGCACCAGGTTCTGCAGAGCACCTATTGTGTCTTGGACTGACCAGACGGATACCCCGAAGCCATCATCGCCACCACACAACCACCCCGTAACACCCTAGCACCAACAACATCGCTTGTTTATTTCGGCCGGATCTTCAAAGTAAAAAAAAAAAAGGAGGCCGCAAACGGGGAAGAAAAGAGGTCATCAACAGTTTAACCGAGAAACCGTTACCTTCTCGACAACCGTCTATTCTATGACGGATTAGTCTCGGGCCTATGTCATCCTAGCTTCAGCCTCCCTTAACTTCAGCTGCCATTGTCTTGCCTCTGCTCCATCTTCAGCTAGAGTCATCCCAACTGCCAAGCTTCCCAATTTCACAACAGCAACATGGCCTTTCCTCCTCAATATAGAGAACCTGCTCCGGGTCTCCCGAGCATTATAGTCCCTACCTCAGGCGACCGTTTCCGAATCCACGCGAGTCATCACCACGAATTGCCTTTTAGTGGGAGTCCTGCCATGTCAATACCCGGCATGCCACCAAGAGACGACGTTCCTCCACCACTACCTCCTCCTCGATATCCCGGCTTCGATCAACCTAGTGCTTTGGCTGAAAGTATGAGGGAAAAACGGGAATATGCTCATGGCTCTTTTGCAAGTGGTTACGGAAGCATGAACTCATCATATCATGAAGATCGCCCGAGCTACCAGCGAAGAAGCAACACAGGCGCCTTCGGCGACCGAGATGAAGGTTATGCTAGTTACTCATCTACAGATAGGTATGGCTTATAATGCACCTCGCATTGGTGCGATTCAAGCTTTCAATGGCTTGATAAATACTCTGGATCAACGAACTAACATTGTATAACCACAGGTCCCGAGAATCTGCTCCCAGTGGCTTTGGCCGCCTACACAACCAGTTCCAATTCCAGTCCCCTGCCGACATACATGGGGATACCCTCAAGAAGAAGCTTGACCAAACTCGTCCTTTGGAAAAGTCACCACCTCGATCACTTCTTAGCTCATCAGCCAACGATCTCCTCTCACGAAGACCTTCAGCGGAAGGTCGATTCCCTCCAGCCCTCAGTGTTCCAGTACAAGTACAGCTTCCCATCCACTCCCGAGGCATTCTAGGATCTCCCGCAAGGTTGACCGACACACCAATCCACTCCGCCATCTCTCCACGAAGCACACCCTTTTATCATGGTGATAGATCACCAAATGATAGCTCAGATATCGATCGTTCACCTCGAACACGAACAAAGAGGAATAACAGCGACGATGCCACTTCAACAAATAGCTATGACTTCACTGGAGCAGAGGATATGGAGATGGAAGATGGACAATCACTCAAGCGACTACACATTGATGATGCTTATGTGCCAGGCGGTCAAAAGAGACGGGCGGCCAGTCCTAATGATGAGCACATGCTTGGCATGCCAGATATGTCTCGACGCCGTGACATGAGCTCACGCGGATCTCCTCAAGGTCGATACACCTCGCTTCCTCGAGGTGCTACTATGCCTTCAGTCTCAACTTCACGATCCAACTCATACATCTCCAACATGTCAATGTCCATGCACCCTGCTGGTCTTGCGACTGCCAATTCGTTCGGTCGACGCTCACCTGTGGGCCCCTCTCCCGGTGGCATCTCACCTACATCTTGCAATTCACCTTACACAGCTCCCGTATCACTCAACCCAAGCCCTCGAACCTCCATCTCTGGCCGGGGATCAATTCACTCTAGGACCGTTTCGGGTGCCAGCACACGTAAGATCACTGAGGTGCAGAAGCCTGGCGGAACTAAAGTGCAAGGCTTCTTCATGTGCGAGTGTTGCCCCAAGAAGCCCAAGAGGTTCGAGACGATTGAGGAACTCAAGTAAGTCAGATTTCACAATCAGCAGCCCCACTTCAGATGAGGCTGCGTGAGATTATAGGACTCGTCGTTTATGTTTCAATGCTAACCAACAACTAGCGCTCACGAGGCTGAAAAGCAATACGAGTGTTCGTTCTGCGGCAATCGTTTCAAGAACAAGAACGAGGCAGAGCGCCACCAGAACTCACTCCACGTGCGCCGTCATTCATGGTCATGCTCAGCTCTCTCCGGATACGATAGGGCTTTCCACGATTCTACTAACAGACCTGGCGAAGCTGACACCTGCGGGTACTGCGGCGATGAATTCCCACGATCTGGACGTGGCCCTGGTACAGGTGCCTTGAGTGGTGGTAATGCGCCTTGGCACGCCACGGACCAGGACTGGGATGAGCGTATCAGGCACCTGCAGGAAGTGCACAAGTTCCGAGAGTGCAACTCGTCCAAAAAGTTCTTCAGAGCGGATCACTTCAGACAGCATCTCAAGCACAGCCACGCGGGCACCAGTGGAAAGTGGACCAACATGCTGGAGAATGCCTGTATGTTGGAAGAAGACCCAACTCCCCGGTAAATCGACACAGCACAGTACAGGTTCGGCCGCGGATGGGCACCAGAAAGACCTACAGGTTCGGCCGCCAAATGACGAGTCAATGCTAAAGGGCTGGTGGGTGTTGGTGATTCAAGATAAGTGGAGGATCAGTCGGAAGAGGGCGGGGTACAAAAAGGGAATCGCCGGCGCCCAGAGAAAGGAAAAGGATCAGTGGGTCAGAATCCATGGAGCTTCCATCGGAAGATCAGCATTCGAAACACTGGCCAAGAAATCGATCAGCGTTTTGAACTCATCGAGCCGTTGGGATGTTTGGAAACAACAAGCCGGCGGCAATTGTACGACGTTCCGCCCGCAACAGACCACCAGCTATCCAAACAGTATCTGAAATGGCAAGGCATACGACAGACGCGGAGAAAACTCTGTATCGCGTGGGCGGATTGCCGCATGATGCAGATGCGGCAAGTCCAAGACGAATCAAGGTGCCGCTCCAATGCAGCCGTTGATCTCTTCGGATCAATTGGGGTATTCCGCGTGCACCTAACGCGCCTAGGGATGCGGTTGTCCGCACCTAGTCATTGGGCTGCCTCTCAGGGCTGAAGCACGAATGTGGCAGTGCTGTCGGAAGGGAGGGACAACGGTCAAATACTACCTTGGCATGTTCCGTTGCATCTACAAATATTGCAACAGCGTTTTAACGTTTTACCGGCGGCCCTAAGCGACATGGAATCTTGTCTGTGAGCGGACTCGCACTTGTGGTGGCCAATCAACCATTGCCTTCTGATCCAGGGTTCAGGTGGAAGGGGAGGCCCATTCCCCGACAAACCTGAAATGCACATGGCGAAATGAGTTTGACGATGGATGAAAAGCAGGCGATGGCACAAATGAGAAGACGCAGGCCTGGGGCCATGCGTCTGTGGATGCGCTACTTTCTGACTGGGCTTGGGATCCCTGCCGACAACCCAGTCACGGATGAGCTACACGACTGCCGGAGTTTGGTAATGGAATGGAGATGCATACAAGAGGAGATTCATGGCAGAAAAAGCCCAGGCGTTGTCTTCAGAGGTTAGCACTTCAGCTAATGCTCACCAACAAGCGAGCGAGGATGTCGGCAAGTGAAATGGGGAGGACAAAGGCTTCACTTCGTATACATATTAGCTGGCACAGCTTGATGCTGATGTCGCATGCATCATCTTATGGGTCACGGTACAAAAAGGTTCAATCATGGTAACGGTCACGGTTCATCGGCGCGGCATTGGGACACATGGCATTGCTTATTATTTGAGATTTCTGGTTAGGGACATATCAGACTCGGTCATGTAGATATAAAGTAGTCTGACAAGATAAAAATTGCAGCTCGAATTCTTAATACCTCAGTTGTCTCTGCCGTGTTCTGTCCTGTTCAGTCATTGTGACGCGATGCACCAGCCAGTTCCAGTTTGTGAAACATAGCGTACCCAACACTGAGGTTGCGGCCGTTGCAGGGACCAGGCAAAGACGGCACATCCAATTTCTTTGTAAGGCTTAGTTGGAAAGATCTGCGAGGCTTTTCAAAGGGCATTCATTCATCAAGCCTGAACATCAGAATTAAATGCAGAGTTGCCTCGGGCACCGGCAAGTCCATTATCAGACAAGAACACAGCGGAATTGAAGCGCATATCACTCCCATTTGGGCAATTCGTGTCGCGTAAAATTGTCTGTCTGTTCAGCTGAAGCCTCTAAAAGTTCAGCTGGCTGGGTTTGATGTTTCTAACACCACCCTGGACGCGGAACTGGAATCGATCACGTGATAACTCGTATAACTGCGCTGTTCGGGACGTACTGTCTGGGGAGCTACGAGGTACATTCCATTCGTGGGATAGTTGATGTGTTATTTGACGGAAATAGATGAGACGATGGTTGCTTTGAATTGACGATGGGATATGAGAAAGTGTGGCTGGTGGCATGCTGTGGGATGGAATGTGGCGCTTGAGGGTATGGCGGGGTAAATTGATGTGGCGCAGTGGTTAATGTGGAAGGAGGGGCAAAAAGATGGAAAAGTTGCGGAAGTCATGATTCACACCGAGGTTGAAGCTTAATTTATTTTACTTCCTCGGTTTCGAGTTTCGCATGACTGATCCATAAAAACCACTTTCTATTAACTGCAGATTCTATTTTTGCTCTTGAAATACCAACAGCTACGAAGCGATCTAAGAATATCCAGGTGAATATTGCAACTTGCGACAGGCGCACAATCTGGCAGAAGACGATTCCACAAGCGCCGATCAGGCATATAAGGTTTTCACATCGAAGGACAACCAGGAAGACGATTCGAAGCCGCAGCAGTGGGAGGAATTTGGCCACAACTTTGAACCTGGAGAGCTTGAACTTCTCAAGCAAAGTATCGCACAAATGGCTCTCAGCAGGATCGACGGCCAGGATGAGCTATTCGTCGGAGGGTAGGCCTCTCTCACCACTAAACAATTTAAGGACATGCAGTGATAATTATTTCCCAGACTCTGGGCTTTGCGCCGCTCAGACTCGCTGACGGATCGTCGCATCACGCATGTCCTCTCCCTCGTCCCATTCGACATATCAAGCCTCAAAAACTTCAAGGACGAACCATGGATCGACTACGGAAAAGACCTACAACACCAAGTTATCGACATTGACGATGTGGAGGACGCTGACTTGCTGATTGAGCTGCCCAAGGCTGTCAGATTCATCGAGGAAGGTCTAGGCGCGAGCTGGCTTGCGAAGGATGAGGAGGATGGGGGCGTCTCGTTAGAGAAGGGTGTCGAGGACCTCGATATTGGAGAAAAGAGGAGGAAGAAGAAGGGAGGCGTCTTTGTTCACTGTGCGGCTGGAAAGTCGAGATCTGTTTCGGCGGTTATTGCTTACTTGCTTAGGCGATATCCAAGCCGTTTCGACCCTAATATCACGCCGACTGCCATTTCGGATCCGACCAACTCGGTTCCCCAGACTGAAGAGAAGCGTTCGAGAAAAGATACCGCTAAAGAGGCTGTCCATGCTGCACTTACGTTTGTGCGCAGAACTCGACCCATGGCTGAACCCAATGAGGGCTTCATGGAGCAGCTAGCCTTGTGGTGGGAGATGGGTTGCCCGGATGATATCGAAGGACACCCTGTCTATCAGCGGTGGGCTTACAAGCGTGAAATCGACGAGAACCTTGCAGTAGGCCAGGCACCGACAAGGCTTCGCTTCGAAGATGAAGAGACACAGCCTCGTGATGACTCGGGTCTTAGTCTCCGGTGTAAGAAGTGCCGTCGAACTTTGGTCACGGCACCCTTCATTGTGGAGCACAAGCCTTCTGACAAGAAGTCCTCGGCGTCTACATGCCAGCATTACTTTGTCGAACCACTTAGTTGGATGCGCGGGGTCCTTGAACAGGGAGAGCTCAACGGAAGATTATTATGCCCCAATGCAAAGTGTGGCGCTGGTGTAGGCCGGTACGACTGGAAGGGTTTTCGGTGCTCCTGCGGCGGATGGGTGACGCCGGCGTTCTCGCTCCAGAAGGCGAGAGTCGACGACGTCGTCAAGCGGCCGGCGACTCAGAGCATGGGGATCCGGATGCCGCCCGGGTTAGCTCCACGGAGCGGAAACTTGTGAGGACAGGTGAGGGCGGAATTACTACCAACCAATACTACACAAGAGCGCCGCATAAACACTGATTCAGGCCCATGTTACCGATCCGTGCCTTGAGAGACCCGGCCTCCGCGGACCCGTTGTTATGTCCGGTGCTTAAGACATGCCGTATACTGTTTGACAGGTCCGTCTGGACATGGAGCTTTACCCTTCTCGAGATGCATTCCGCTCTGGCATGCTGCATCTCTCATGCAGAACGAACCACTGGGAGAGAGGGAGCAAAAGCCGGCGGGGTACTGGGCGGGATCAAAAGCCTTAGGGCTTACAGGGCGTGAGGTGTGCGCTGTGGAAGGGAGAAGAGAAAGTGTGTCTTGGTGCATTTTGCATCTCGTCGTGGATAAGCCCGGGAGACTCGGGCTGCATGAAGAGGGGATCTTCGCAGAGCAGATGGTTCCTGGGAGACAAAGTCCGACGGAGAGAAAATGGAGACCGAGTTCGGGGTCCAGAGAAGACCCAAGGCATCAGCACTAGACCTCGTTGGAGCGTCGTATCACCTCTACCTGTCAGAGATCAGATCAATATCCAAACAGAAGAAAGAGTAACATGCGCACGCCTCTGTTAATACATACGATAGTGCCCTACAGCCCTGCATGAGCAGATCCTTCAAATGTTTAGCTCCATGATTCGACGTCTTGTTGTCTTGTTCCCATGTGGATCTTCTTCTCCATAATTGCTCTACTTTCAACTATTTAATCTAATCGAGGCAATTCTGATGGCAGCCCTAGCTAGAATCCTTCTATATGGCCCGGCGTCTTACATAGCTCGATCCACCACGGAATTCCGACATAGCCCAGCCACTAGCTGACTATAGGGCTGATCCCAGGATTTAAAACCATGAAAAAAGAAAACAAAGAAGAAATACAGACAATCACGAAACTTTGAATACGCTACGCTTACTGATATACCCCGTTTCGCCTTGGTCTGAAAAACCCACATCGGGCGTAAGCCAGTCAGCACCACCGTCTTCACCTTGGTTGAAGGATCGCGCTCATTGTGGAAAAACCTTGGATGCGAGCTTGTACAGCGGGGACATTTGTCCAAAGGGCCTTTCTACCTATCGCCATTTGATCTATGATGCGTCAAGGCGGAGAAAAAAGAAGACAGCGCTGTCTTGGCGGTTCCGCTTACGCCCGGCGATTGCCCTTTGGGGTATATGCTTTATCTTTTTTTGTCTTACCAGCACCATTTCAGCCTTTTGAGGTTTGTATTTAGCCCTATTTTGTGTGTAAAGTTGAGTTATCTAAACGCCATGCTTGGCGGATATAGCTTCGAGGTTGGTCATAGCTCCCCTTGTCTATTCTCATGACGTCTTTGCTCGCATCTTGATACTGCTTTTGAACTCGAGGCTATTGATAATGGGGGAGTGGTACTGGACAGTATCGACTAGTTTGCTGGGAACTAGTTAGAAACTATCTACCCGCAGCGTGCCTCATCGACGGGTGCATCTTACTGCATGACACGTTTTCCCCGTCTTGGGTTAGAGTGCGTGTTGACAACGAATGCTTTACGCAGTAGTTTTTGGGAGATGCAACGGTGCGAACATAGCAAGCGAAGGAATATGAACTATACCTCGGTCTTGTTTATGAACTGACCATTTGAGAGTCAGCCCTATCTTGTAGCCTGTCCAGACAAAGTTATTCCAGCAAGGCCCTAGAACAAGGGCAGAGTAGCACTCATCTACCAACCCTCCAAAGGGAGGGGCGTGGTATAAGTCGTTAGTTCGTCTCTCACACACCCCTGAAAAGGATACCTGCTCGTCTGACAGCATACAAGTACCCAACCTGCGAAGTTCGTCTGTCTATCCCCGAAGGGAAAGGTATGCGTTTTCTGACTGCAACCCCAACCCACCGGAAGGATTTGTAGCCGTTTGGACCCCTTCGATGGGGGAGAGGGATCTTCGGGAAGTCTTTTTCCTGGGTCTTTGTTCTTGTTGGTTCGCTCGCTGTCAACACCCTCGGCATTCCCGATTTATGAAACCTGGAAGCATGAAACTTGATGGGAGCGTTTATAGAAACATGAAAAACTCTATTTTGAGAGGGGAGCTACTGCATGGTGTCATACCTACGTTGCCGATAAGATTCGGTCTGTGTGGTTGTATGGTATGGTATGGGAGGTAGTTTGCTGTGCTCTTGTTGTCGCGCCATCACTGTGACCAGCCCAAGCCGTCGGTACTTGGCCTAGACCGCTTTCTCACAGAGAATATCTTGGAGTTACATGTCTTGTTTTACATGTCTCATGTCAGCCCTATAACCACGCTGTGGAGTATCTCGGACTCGGGGAACTACAAGTCACGGACCGAAAGACCACAATCTGTGGCTTTTTACCAAGGAAAAAAGAAGTGACGCTATTCTATATCATGTCACTGCATGCGACGACATCTAGGATGAATCAGTTGCAGCAGTAGTGCTCTCAATGCATGTCACTCCCCTAAACCTTTCGATCATCATGTATATCTGCAGTCATCACCTAGAGAAAATTATTCCTCTCTCTACTGTTCTATTACAAACAATAGCATGATTCTAGATTCTTATTCTGAACATGATGAATCCTCTGACTCGCTTTTCGTGGTGAGGCCTCTGTATCTCGGATCCGAATCTCGCGAGGTCACCGAGTCTATACGCTTACACCTAAGAGCTAGATGCCGTAATTCTGCGGAGATTCTTACAAGGATGTAAGTTGCCAGAAATCGTCACCTTGACACCGCTTCACGATGGCTTTTTCTTCATTTCCGCGCGAACGAGTCATTGGCGAGACGTCACGATACCCCCTCCGTTGGAACTCAACGGTAACTGATCAATCAGACCTCGAGACAAGCGAGCATCATATCACCATTATCATCACAATATTGAACTTGTATGCCCTCTGAGTGGGAGTTGTCGCGGCTCTTCTAGCTCTTGGTTTCCAAGCCCAAAGATGTAAGCACTAAATAGCACAGACGCCCCGCACCCTGAGGGTCACATCCCATGGTTTTCTTGCTATCCTATCCTGTCAGACGTTTTAGAATGCGAGATCAGTACAAGAATCCCATGTCGTCCGTTTACTAGCATCGGGCGAGATGTGTGTGTGTGCACTCCCTACGCTCAGACCAGTCATCTTGCAGTTGGTCTGCATGGAAAACTTGAAGACCAATGCAGCTGTTTCAATAAAAGGACATAATCGTCGGCATAGTGGCACGCTAAGATTGGATGTTATTTGCGCTTGTGGCTTGCGTGGTAACGAGACTGGACGTTGAAAGGTTAGCGTCATGATGCCGGAGTTTACGGTTCACTGGTCAATCCGAGACATGACATGACTTGCCTAAATAGGAAGCCAGTTATGGCGAGGTAGTTAAACTAACTGATGTGATGTGTAATTGAGAAATCTCTGCAGTTTGTGGAGAGTGGCTTGAGGATGACAATAGTGTGTTGCCATGCGATCAAATAAGAGCTCAAAGGACGCGCATTCTGAGGGAGAAGTTGAGATGCGAAGCTTGACTAAGTTCTGACAAAGTATTTTAAATGCAGTTTGGTTAATTATAGGACGGCGAGTAGCAGGACTGCCACTGAGTTGCAACAAGGTTGTCGATGTAACGAGTGTCAAAGTTATGAGATATTACCTGAAGACCGCATATTCGCCTCACATGGAACGTTTCTTCTCGTGTAGGCATGAATCAACTCCGCTCAAGTCAGTTGGAATACTCATCCAAGCATGATGCGAGCTTGTTTGTGGCGTTGGCATCATTGTCATGATGTTGTACTCCTGGTAGTGACTGTGCAAGCCATGATGACACCGATGGACGGTACGGTGACAATTACTGCGATGTCACTTTTCTGCACCCTTCCATCTTGTATGTTGAAAACGCCAGTATCGGCTCTCTATGACCTCTGCTTGAGTTGTCGGCTGTGTGTCAGCTTCGTTATGCTTCCCTCACAAGGAGTCATAGCAACACTCTGTCGCACTCTGTCGATTCCAAGAGCTGTGACCAAATAACAAGTAAATCCCGCAGGAAGTTGAATGTTGTTTCGGTTTATCTCTTGGATTTGTATATGTCTTCGAATTGGTTCGATGGTGATCAAGTCGCATGTCTCTTCTGGGAGAGCCTTTTTGTTGGTAAGATGTTCCCATTTTGTCACCAAGCTCTTCCCATAGTTATAAACTCTGGAGTTGAAGAGGTCTCATAGGTAGAAGCTTTTACGCAGAATTCTGGTGCATTGTGGCCGTTGCTGCCCTGAACGCTGCCTCTGGCCGTCACCAGCTTATGAATGGCTCCAACGCCGCGAAGATGACTACAACGATGCATCAATATATCCCTCAGAGATAGAAGGAAACTTAAGGCTTTATTCTTAATTAACAATAATATTTGGATAAGCCGAGATATATCTTGGGATCTTGGGATCTTTTTGAAATGAACTTGCAGACTCCTTGACTGGTTATTCATTCAGTAGCAACTTGAGAAACTCCTTAACTACCTAGTTATTCTGCAGCTCTTAACATAAAAGAAAGTCTGGTTTGAAGACTGAGAATGCTTCTCAATTGATCGTATTAGAAAGCAGCCAGCTACCGGACGGAAGGTCCCAGGTCGGGAAACCAGGGTGAGCCGCATGTGCTCGCAGACAGCAGAGTCCATCCTATACGATTAGCGAACCATATGGGCATGCTACGTCTTGGTATACTGACCTGAAAGTAGGCATCGGCGGACTTGACGTCTTTCTCGTTGGTGAGAACGTGCCTCCTAAACTTCACATTGGGGTCGTGGTTTGGTGGATGAGGATGATTCTGAAGTCTCTGAATTTCGCAAATGCCGTCCGAATCAAGAGTGATGCATAGACATTCAGGGTCTTTTAGTCTTTCCTCAGAATCTGGTGCAGCTTTGCCGCGCTTCCAAGACTTAGTGCAGGAGAGACCCTTTCTGATTAGAGTTGTAATCATAGGTTGTCTAAAACGTAATCACTTCTTGTGGTTCAGGCGATGTACCATATTCCAGAAATATGCATCTGGGCAATGAGATTGAACCATATCAACAAGCTCCAGAGGAAGTCGGCCGAGGAATGGGAGATCAGCAATCCTCCCTGCTCCTGATATGGCCGCTCGACTGACAGGCAGAGGTCCAGGAATGCCAAGTTCTTTGGGGAAGAGACACATGTTGTCGAGTTTGCGCCACGCCAAAGCTCTCCCGACGTAGTTGACCTCGTCTTGCGGTGGATTGGGCGTACTGAAGATTCTCAAGAAACAGTCCGAGTGTATGAAGGCAAATCCTGAAAACTGGCGGACGGTCTCATGGCGCCGTCCCCCACGACTAACATTGTCAAGACTAGCAATAATCCAATGTCCGGAAGGAAAACGATGACACCAGACTGCGGAGCTTCAGGCAAATTCCTGTAGGAAATGAACCGGCAACTCACTTTTATACGCTGACTCTCCTGCATCAGCTATCAATGCATGACAGGCATCGCATTGAGTATCACCAAAGATCTTGGACATTGTATCGATGGGAACCACACAATAGCTAGCTGGGCTCAAAGTATGGTGTTCGCCGCAAGGGATAAAGTGCTGGGTGAATCTGGAATAAAGACGGAGAAAAGCCTAGATGTTATGTTGATGTCAAGTTTGAACATGAATGATCATGAGAAGAGAAGGGAAAGGCATGGCATGGCATGGTAAGAGCAGGACATATACTTGTTCTTGCCCCTGAAGTTCCCGTCAATGCAAAGGTAGAAGGTCCGATGACGGCTGAACCACACGTGAAGAGCAATGTGTGTAAAGATTCAGGCTGCAAAAGAACTGAAAGCTCATGATGAACCGATCACCAAAAATGTCAAGATGTTCCTCGAAAACAGGGATATTCCTATATGAGTTTCCGAGACGACGGAGAGGAAATTGGAGAAAAGAGTGAGTTGATAGCGGAACCCTGACGCTGTGAACCTAGACACTTTCGTGAACACCTTGTGAACGCAAGGAAGGTAGCTAAATTGACGGGTAGGTCACCTAAGTACTAGGTAGGGTGAAGTGTGTTTCCGCTTGATAGGTACCTTTCCTTTCCTTACCTTGACTTGAACGGGCTGGCTTGTCCAGTACTCCCAAGGTTCGCAAACCCTTTATGACAGTTGCCGTATGCTCAAAATCCTCAACACCTTGCCTTGTGAGCTTTCGAAATTTGAACATATTAAGTTTAGCCTAGCTCGCCGTCCTAACACGACAGTCAACGATAGCCGCCGCACAAAAGCCTCCTTTCAAACTCCAACACCAGCATCGCCGTCTCCTGCTATCGACTGGGCGCATCAGAGGGCACAGAAGGAAAATAGCCAGGCTTTGATGCTCGTTCCCGATCAGCTTTTGCAGCCTCGGCTTGCCGCTTCTTCAACAATCTTTGCTGGTAAAAGGCACTGTTTCTGTTAGCATGTTGCCTCCCAAGCAGACACACAACATACGTTTTCAGCTCAAACACACGAGGCTCTTCCTCAGGAGGGGGGGATTTGTCTTCCTTGTCCTGCAAAAGTCAGTCATGTCAAGACAAAATGATATAAAAACTCACCTTGTCTTCATCCTTCTTCTCATCTTTATCCTCCTTGTCTTTCTCCTTATCTCCATTCTTTTCCTTCTCCTTCTTCTCTTCCTTTTCTTTCTTCTTCTTCTGCTTCTCCTCGTACTCTTTCTTAACCCTCTCCTTCTCCTCCTCTAACTCCTTCTCCCTCTTCCTCTTCGCAGCCTCCTCATCAATCTTTGGCGTGCAAAAGTACCGATCCTTGAGGTGAACCGGGCAAACAAAGAAGAAATCCTACCATACCAATCACATAAGTTTAAGCTTACAAAGGGATCAGCTGTATTTGCTTTGCGTGTCAGTATCCCGCATACCTTTTGATCAGGTGTGATTAGCACTGAGGTGCTCGACTTGTAGCAGATATCGCATGCTTTGGCCGCTGTCTCGGCAACCTTGCGGAGCGTGTAGATATTCGGAAACGTAGTCGCCATGATTGCAATTCAGAAACGGCGATATTGTGAGACAAAAGATTGTTTGTTTACTAAGACACCTGACGGCTCGTATCACACGAGGTCGGTGAATAAGGCTGGGCTGGGTTGGGTATCGCGGGGAAGCGTCCCGTCCAACTTTGACGTCAGCACCTGATAGGGCGAAGCATCCCCTGAAAGGTCTGACAACAGCGCCTGTAACCCGCCAAAACTAGCGCCAGTCCCTGACTAATAAGCGCTCTCCGTCATGAATTGCTATCTTATCGCACTTCCAGGAAATATGATGACCTACGCATATCCGATCGCCACAACCAACTTCTGAACAATTCTCTTTCACACAATTTTTCAACCCCCAATCTCTTAAAAACGCTGTGATAGTCCCACAGCAAGACGATTGGTTTCAGTCATGGGCAAAACGCTCGATACGGAGAAGCTGGGTTCGGTATTTGGAACCCGGCCGGATATTCTTGAAGGAATTCAGAGAGCAGCTGGTAAACAATACCCCTGAAGATGTTATTCGCGAAATACTAACTCTGGAGTCTAGATACGCCGGGACGAATCGCTCTGTTCAACGAAATTGCGACTCATGTTTACGATCAGTTGTTAAATGGGGGTAACGAGCCCGCGCACAAGAAGAGAAGAGTCGACGTTCAAACAAACGGAGCCGCGAATGGCACAAAGCCTGTTAAGACCGAGACGAATGCCGCGGATGAGGCTGTTCTTCTCGAAATCAAGGAAATTTCAGTTTCTGTGCCCCAGAGGAAGAAGTTCGAGTTGTGTTTTACAGACGGCCACATCTACGCTCGCGCGCCAAACACAGCCGCACCGATTCCAGCTATAACCTACGCGTGGTCAGACATTGGTACGCGTTACCGCATTGTTGTTATGGGTTCCATGCTAATCTTGCGCCAGAATATGTTTTCTACCTCCCTGTACCCGAAAAGAACCAGGTCCAGCACAACTATGTCATTTTCCCACGAGGAACATGTCTCCCTTCCAAGACGAACCCCCCGGCCGAAGAGCCACTCGTGTTTACAGTCCCCGCGACTGCGCCCAAGCAGGGTACGATAGGTGGACCTGACGCTGGAAGCGCGGCTGCAGTCTCGGACAATTACAAGTCTTTGTTTCACTGGGCTTTGAACCGCCATCTCAAGCCTAATGGTGTCAGCATTACTTCAGCCGACCCCAACAAGTTCCAGAGTATGGTGCGACAACCTCATCGACCGAGCGAGAAAGCTGTGCATGTCAAGGCCTTCAGGGGCTCCAAGGATGGATACCTTTTCTTCCTCGAGAACGGTATTCTCTGGGGATTCAAGAAGCCGATGATGTTCATTCCCCTGAGCCGAATCGCCGCGACGAGCTACACCAACATTCTCCAACGAACATTCAACATCGCAATCGAGGTCTTTGCAGGCGAAGGCGATGCGACCGAAGAAGCTGAGTTCTCCATGCTGGACCAGGAGGACTATAGCGGAATCGACGATTACATCAAGACGCACCGTCTCCAAGATCGCAGTATGGCCGAGCAGCGTAAAGCTAAGCTCGAGCTTGCAGAGAACCGCGGATCCAAGAAGAACGGCGAAGAGGCCGGAGACGACGCACCAGCTGAAGCTGGTATTTCTGAACTTGCAAAGGCACAGCTGGACGCTGAGCAAGCGCTACAGGATGAAGAGGATGAGGATGAGGAGGACTACGATCCCGGTAGTGATGCGGACTCTGATGGTTCAGGGGAGTCCGATGATGATGATGATGATGACAGTGACGACGACGATGAGGACGAGGAAGACGAGGAGGATGCAGAAGGTGAAGCCGAAGACGGCGATGAACAAGCTGAGGGTGATGAGGAGGAAGAAGAAGAAGAAGAGCAAGAGGAGGTTAAGCAGGAGCCAGAGCCGGTCAAAAGAAGCCGAAAAGCTGCCCCTCCACCAGCAGAACCTGTACCACCATCAAAGCCCGCCAAGCAACCCGTTCAGCAGCCCGTCGTGAAGACAGGCTGGGCAGCGCTACGAAGTGTTCCTCGAGCGCCAGCCCCTGAAAGTATGGACTTGGACGAGGAAAAGTTTGATGTTGTCTAATGATGCGGGTGTATGTATATATGTAATGATAGACTTGGCGGGATATGAATCACGGCGGTGTACACAGCATAGGAGTCGAGGAACATGAATATTATCAGTGCTGAAAGGACACTGGTCGATGTGAATATGTTATTGATACAATTTTATTGATGTCTGAACGGAAAGGGAAAAGAAAGTCTCCGCAACAAAGGACGTAGTAAGGAGACCCATGGTATCATTCCATCGCCGAACTTCAAAGCAAGTGACTTTCCCTCGACTTATCCTCGACCTTGACCTCATCCTTATTCTCATCCTTAGCCCCGTCCACTTCTGGGTAGGCGAGGACTTCAGTACGACCCCTTCGGTGCCACTCAGCAATAAGTATTTTACAATTGCCACACCGATGAAGAACATCCTTGGTCGAGGACATAAGAAAGGGAAGAGGCATCAGCAGCCAGCAAGTAGTGATGAACGCAATCCCGGCGAGGGCACTGCAAACATCAGCAACTATTTCTTTCTCAAGAAAGGCAGGGCAAACTTACAGAGTGAAACTACCAGGTTTCACCATTGTGATAGTCATGGCCCTTACTCCACACTTTGGGCAAACAACTGGTGCACTCAGACTTTGCAGTGTATGGATCGGCACACTCGGGAGGTCCTGCTCCTCTAGCTCCGGCTCGAGCGGTGAGCTGAAGTCGCGGGACTTGTAGCCTGAAGGTTGTTGGTTATCATGCTCGAGGGAGTGATGAGCGTGATGCTGATGATGCTTGGGATTAGGTGCTAGACCTCGTAAGCAAGACTACCATGTATACGCACGAGCAACGTCACGTACTAGGTTTCTCCATTGTGAATGTGGATGCAGGTACAGTTGTTGATAAGATGAGATCCGAATCTGGTGTCTTTCAGCGTTGAGCTGTCCAGTTCTTCCCAAAGACGTCTTGCAAACTTATGAGGATGATGAAAGGATGATCTCGGAAGTTTCCTTGTTCTAAGGTACTGCGCCAAGGTCAAAGGTACCCAAGTCACACAACCTCATGATCAAGGAAAGAACCAAACACGGCAGTAAAGTCCTCTCCTCATCAAGAGAGTTCAACAGGCGGAAGGTGGCACCCAACATTTTGGGGAAGAGGCAGTGATGTCACGAATGAAGTTGAACTCGTGTATTACTCGTCTGTAGAAATCCTTCCATGCCCGAAGGTGATGATCATAACATGAATCTTGTAAGTTGTGCTGGGTCAAATCGTTGGCCGACATCACAAGCTTCGCTTGCAAGAGTAGAAAGGTGAAAGGCCGTGGCTGTATGCTTGACGATCCATTTGTGGCAAGTAACGATGCATCACGAGGTTGAGCAGAAGAGCGCATGTAAATAAGAGGATGTGTTTTCCTAAAAATAAGCCAGGTATAGTTGGGGTCTGTTGTAAGTTGGAATGGCGATACATTCCCATTTCTGCAGCTTGGTAGGTACTGTAGTGAGTTGTAGATAGATGCATATATTGCTGATGGGAGTGCGCCTGTGCGTCAAACCTTGCACTCACGCAGGTAACAGAAATACAGAAAAGTCTTCATCAAGTCCAATTAAATTGAATTCAATCCATGTTCCCAGAAGAAACTGTTTAATCCTCTCCATCTCAAGATGCTCATCCACGCAACTTCACGCTCCAACACAGTCTTATCTTATCACCAATCTTATCTCCATCTCCACAGCACGTGACACCTTCCAAACTTTCCACTCCTCCATAACCGCATCACGACCTCAATCGCCAGATCGATCAATCCAATCCCCCATACGATCCCTCAAAATGACCGGCCGACACAAAGCAATTCGTCTTCCACCTCTGAAGACCCTGCGCGTCCACAACCCCAAGCGCCAGGTCGAGAATCCCTGCATCGCCATCATGTCCAGCGTTCTCGGTACGAACTCCCCTCCAATTCGACGGCTCCTCGCAGATCTCGGATGGCATACTGACAATGGATACAGCATGCTGGGCCTCAGCAGGCTACAACGCAACGGGCTGCGCAGCAGTAGAGAACCAGCTCCGCAAATGCATGGACGGTCCGGCTCCTCCCCCCGCGGGCACGAATACGATTAACTACCATCTCGCACGAATGCAAAAGTACATGACCGGGCCGAGGAAGCAAAAGTAGAAACGGACACAAAAACGAAGCAGAGGAAGAAGAAGGAAGGGTTATGCATTTTGGGCGTCGGAAGCGCTGCTTTTGCTGGGATGGGATTGGATTCGAGATATGTACAACAATACCCGCATGGGGGATAGAAGGGAGGATGTATAAATATCGCTGTACGATAACAGTTACAAGTACAATTCAAATCATGACAATTTGAATCAACAACAAATCGATGGTGACGATACGCGGATGAAAAGGATTATGGGACTTATAGCTACAACATCACAATATGCATGACGGACCAGTTCATTCAAAGTGTTTGCATTTCACTACCTCGCTCTGCACAACACCTAATACTCAAATCAACAACTCTACCCATCATAAGGCGCACACCCAATGCCACAAGTTTCCCACATCCACCTCTATTGCGCTGGGGGGAATCACACCCAAAAACAAAAAGGAACGACAAACCCGAATCTTGAGAAGACAGACACAAAAAAAGAAGAAGTTAAATGACAAAGAACGAGAAATCAAGAGAATGATGATAAACGCCCCCATTTCTTAATAGTAGCGCCGGATCCCATGAAACTGTGCTGTAAGTGACTGAGAAGATGAATGATCCCGGTACAGAAAACAGCTTGAATCTAACAATAGAAAGGACGCATACAATGCGAATGAGCCATTTCTATGCAAGACAAAGCCATCCCGAACCAAAAAGAAGTCTTAACCCAAGAAAAATAATGTCCATGGGACGAATGAGTGGCTCGAGTAGGCGGTTTTTGTCGTTAGATAGTGACGATAGAAAAAAGAGATGTGTTCGAAAAGTCGAGTTCGCTTGCCGTCTATATGATAATGTATCGGCCTTGCCTAGTCGTCCAGACGCCCTTGGTCGTTATCGTGCCTTTGATCATGGATGGTTTCTTCAAAGTAAATATATGAATGTTTTGTTTTCCGTGCGCCGAAAAATGCGATTAATGATCCGTGGGTATCCTAAGCACAATGCACCATTTCTGCCTCCTCTCCGGGTGGTGGGTGTCGATCGACGTTTGAGTGTGCGCCTGTGAGAGGATGTCTAGGAAGTGCCACCGACGCAGAAGAGCTCTATCTCTCCTACGCCTCCAGAGTACATGTTCCTGACACCTTCGCGCCACTCCATGAAGGCGATCTGGATATCATCATCGCCTTCGATTGCGACAAAGTCACCGTCTTCGTCGCGGTATCGAAGCTTGAGCAGGCCCTTGCTGATACTGCTAGTAGTGAAGCGGGCGAGCTTGGCGTCGATGCGATCAACAAGAGACTGATAGGTAATATTGAAAGCCACGACCAGGGTGACGTAGTTTCCTGCCTCGCAGTTCACTCGAACCTTGAGCTGTGTTGGCAGGGGCATTTCTGGGCTTAGAGGGTTCGAGTTTGGTGGCATTGTTGCTGTACCAAGAGCTGGGGACACTGTTCGTGAGTTGGCGGCAGCAGCGTCAACACGAAGAGCATTTCCTCCAGCGCCGGGCGTCATTGATCGTGGATGAACAGGTTGTGAAGGGAAGTGGTTCATGCTGCCGCCCACACTGCCGGTGTGCTTGTGCATGCGCTCTCGCTGAGCGCCTGGGCTGTTTGTTTGAGCCCGAGTTGGCTGTTCATTTCTAGGTGAACCTGTTTGTTCTCGGCCAATATTGGGGTTGTGACCAGGATGCAGATGTTGAGGAATACCAGGGACCGCTGGAATGTTTCCGTGGCTAGGCTGTCGTGTGCGTGGCATTCCTGGTCCGTTAATATCAGGAGTGCTATACGAGCGGTTCCTCTGTTGGGCAGCAAGAGCAGCCTGGTTGTTTGAGGCCATTGCTGGCAGTGAAGGTCCACGAGGGTTACGTCCATGAGGGTTCGGTGAAGGACCGTCGCGAGAGGGAGCACGTGGCATGGCGGGTGCGGTGTAGCGGTTACCGTTACCATCCTCCCATGTTGGCTGAGGAGTGGCACTCTTGGGAAGTCCATAGTGAGGCGTTGTGAACATTCCACTGGCGGTGCTGGTTCTTGATGATGCTGGCGACTCGGCGACAGGAGAGAAGTAGCTATCGCCCGCCCAGGCGCCGGGTGAATGAGCACCATTTGCTGCTGTCTGAAGGCTGAGCGGTGCGGGGGGCGCTGGCAGAGGGAATCGAGGCGGAGGCGCTCTCACCATACCGGCCAGTGAAGCAGAGCTCTCTCCGGTTCCGGCCCGAGCGCGAAGGTTACTGGTTGAAGCTGTCCGAGGCACGATGCCCGCGGGAGGTCCAGTAGGGTATCCAGCGGGTGCTGTTGCTGGTCCGAGGTCTTCATCATCGTCGTCCTCCTGCAGGTATGGATTCTCCAATCCAGCCCCATGCTCTCGTGTCCAGGCAAAGTCGGTTGAAAGCGAGTCTGAGTTTGAGGACTGGCGCGGCACGTTATGCTTCCTCTGGGTCTCCAGAGTCATCACCCATTTCCTCAAAGTCTCTTCGTTCAAGAACTTGATGACAAAGTTCTCAACACCAGGGTCTCCCTTCCACCATATCTGTACGCTATGATTGCCTTCCGAGAGTTAGTTTTGTCGATTACTCCGGGTTCATAACTTACCTGGCTTAGAAAAGGACACAATATCAGTTACATTAGTCATGAAAATTCTGCCTTTCAACTGAAGCTTGGCACTCTTGTTCCGCGTCTTGGTACCTGATGACCGCAGCTTGTCCTTCTTATCCTTGCTCTTGCTTGATGATATCTCCTTGCAGCACAGGAGAATAGACTCGAAAAGGTAGATTTCGTACTTTTCAAGGTTAGTGTCGGGCCCCTGGAATCTGGCCAGCAGACTTACATCCTTCTCTTGATCTGTCTTTCCGGTGATCACACCATACACGCCATGCAGGAGAAGCTTGCCAAATTGTTCTACCTTGTGGTTTTTCCAGTCCTCAACTCGGCTTGTAAGATCCTCGAGGGCCTCATCAAGCAAGTCGCGGTTAACGGCTTCGTTAGCCTTTTTCAGCACTCGCTCTGCGGCTTCACAACCGCTGGTCAGATCTATCTTGACTTCATCATCCTCGCTCTTCTTGTTCAAATCCTGCCATGTATTAGCTATTGAATATCGAAAAAGCGCAATTAACCCACCTTGAGCAACAGGGGATATTTCACCAGTCTTTGCATGGGCTTTAGCAGGAAACCATCCAGGGTATTGAAATCGGCTGCCACGGGGTGTGAGGAGCGTTGAATTTTGTCGAAAACCTGATTCGCAACCATAGCCGCCTTACGCTGGTTGGCGATAAAAGGCTGGTAAATGTCGAACGCATCCTCGTACATAACGAAGGGAGCCCCCCATCGTTGGGCGTCAGCAGACATGGAGTTTGTTGTCTCTACTCGAATCAAGAAGCGGCGCTGGAAATCGAGAATGGCGTTGATGTTGAGGAAGATCTGATGGAGAGTATCGCCAGGAATTTCGCCTTGTTGTTCGAGTGTCTTCTTCAAGTCGTGCAGGTTCTCGAGGTCTTGAACGTATTTTCGCTCGGTGTCGACAAGTTCACGGATGATGTGGTCTCGGTAGGTCATCTGTCCGCCCGTGGGCTCGTTGTTTCCATCCCCGGATTCTGGTAGAGGTTGAAGAAGATATCCGCGTTCCTCTGCTCGATCCAAGACGTAATTAACAACTTGAGTCACCTATTTCATCACTTTAGCTCAGTCTACACACCATGGCCAGAATCTACCAACCTTAACAAAGCCGCTGGTATCGTTACCCATCAAGTCAGTTATCACGAAACTATGTGAAGATGGAATATCTAGGTCCTTCATGCAGGCCTGAACGAATTTGAAGATGGCGATCTTGGACTTCTTAGCTTCATTAGCGCTAGGGTCCTCGACCTTGAGCTCTTCATTAGGTCGCAGGGCATTGTAAATGAGGAGCAAAGGGTATCCTGTTCGGAACAGGTTCCATAGGGGATCAACAGGATCATTGGGGTCTAGTTGATCGAGATAGGGATCGAAGCCAGGAACCTGAGCCAAGCGCTGCTTGAGCGAAATGCAAATCTGGTAAAGCGATCGTGAAGCGTCGGCCTTTTGGTTGATAATATTCGCTGTGGCTAGCACGGGACCGCCGTTCTGTGGTGTGGCGGTCGTAGCCGTGGACAGAGAACTCAACGAAGCCGAGGAGCCAGCAAAGGCTGTCGAGCCCGAGAGTTGGCTGGCGCGCGGCGCATGGTTCATACTGGTCTGCGAGAAGCCACTGAATCCGTTGGAGTTTGGCTGAAAGGCCGGAGTTGTATTATTTCGTAGCAACGGGGCATGGGCCATAGCCTTCTACGCCATCCGTCGAGAGGGAGCGACTTGGGAGAGAGAGATAGAGAAACGAAGCCGACAGCAGGGAGGGAGGGACGTTGCAGCGAGGAAAAGGATGTCGAGGGAGATCGGTTCGTGTGGAAGCGCCGTGGGGATTGTCTTGGGTGTGAAATGTCTAGGGATGTCACTTGGCGTTGGACTCAGGAACGTTTCAACGAGCGGTTCGACGTCATTCGGCGGTGAATCAGCGTGAGATTCGAACGCTGATTTTTCGCAGCTGCAAGACAGGACAGGCGGGGTAAGGGGGTGTTGAGGAGGAAGTGTCGAAGCGAAGCGGTTTGAGGGAGTAATTCGAAGGTTGGAGCGACAAAGGGTTGATCGCGGCGGGAGTCCCTCTTTGAACGTATACTTTCTGAAATCGGCAGCGGGCCTGGTGATGGCTGGTCGAGAGTGTAGAGGTGGTGGTCTCGGGGGGTCAGGCGGTGGAGCGATCGAAGGGGGGGTTTAGTGAAGCGGATCGACGATGCCGAAATGGAAGCTGGACAGTTTTTGAAACGATGGAAGTAGGTTCTTGTCTGATCTGGCAGGCGGGCCAAGTATTCCGATGTGAGTTTTTTTGACTTTTTGAGTAGGGCAAAAGCAGGAAGAGGAATTAAATTAGAGCCAGAATAAACCGTTGTTGCCGCAGTTTTGGTCAAAGGAAGGATTTCGACGAGGCTGGGCGTAGGTTTAAGGTAAGGTTGAGCGGACGGCAGATGGGAAAGTCGTTTAAAGGAGGGAAGACCAAAAGCGGGCAGTGAGTGCAGGACAGGACAGGAGCAGCAAGCAGCAGCAGCTGGGGAGAGGAGGCGGAACGGAAGCGGGCGGTTGGCAATTTAGCGGTACTAAGGCTACTAGGCTGTTAGTGGAGGTTTAGTTAGTGATTTATGATTTAGTGGGGGTGGGCGCGGCCATTTCAGAGGCTGGTTGGCGCTGGAGTAGCCAGTGAGTGGACGGGAGGGATTGGATGTCATCGGTCTCAGTTTAGGTGAGTGATACTTTACGCGCTGACATTGTCACTCCGGAGCAAATGATTTGACGGGCTTGATATGACTCGAGTGATTGCATATTAGGTGATACTCTCTCCGTTTCCCTCTGTACGGCAGTTGAAGCACAATCGCTTGAGTACAAAAGCCCCCATGATCTGGAAAAGGGGATCAGACCCTTGTGCAAATGGGACTGTGCGCGATATGACACAGTCGACACTGTACCGCAGGGCGCAACTGTAACCGATGGAGTCCGTGCGATGAGTTCGAGGGACGTGCATTTCTTTGGGCATTAACAAGTCTTCCCCGGTGCACATCCTATCTCCATCCATCCTTATCCATTATGTTTCAAATTAGCCCAAAGCACTTGATCTTCCTCCTCGGGCCTTTTTAATCGTCATCAGCAAGTCATCGACTATTATTTAGGTTTTGCACAAGAAAGAAGCTTTCTGGAAGGAGGTCAATTGGCACATGAGTCGTGCTCCAGGCGAGATGCTGGGCCAAGACCCTGATCTACGAGATACCTGGTCCAATAAAACACCAAAATCCAATGGTAACAGTAAAGTGTTACCAAGCATTGTCACTAACCACTTCCAGTCCCACATGTCCTCTCTCAGATTCAGGGATCAACAGGGGTACAACGATACTGCCATCGCTATCAGCGTTCAAGCTAAAACAGAAGAGAAGAAAGCATTGCTGTCACCGTCACATGGCAAGAATTTGACTTGACGCCCAAAGAGGGGAGGGGGGGGAAATACAAGGGTCTTGAGAAAGACGATTGACTTGACATGGATAAGCCCCTGAATCCGCCAGAACGGGTGGTGTGGTTCCCCTCCTCTTCCAGAAGGACATTGCATGAATGTGCAAGGAAGCATTTGAACTTTACAGGCATCCCATTTTTCCTGTCTACTTCGATATAGGAAGCTGCATCAGTTTGACACATCCGAGGAGAAGCTTCAACACACGTTATCAGCAATCATGACTGATCTTCAGTGATAGATCTATCCTGTATCTTGTTCACATCAAATTGACTTATCTCTGGGCTCAATCTACAGTTCAGAATCGACGCCATGTGCCCACTGCCCACGGCGGCTAGTCACCTCTTCACATACCCAATCGCCGCTATCTTGTATCATGAGATTTGACGACAAGATATCCTCAGCAGATCTTCGCAGGTAAGAAACGCAGCTATCCGAAGTATTTTCTTCTCATCATGAGATTTTACCGCAAATCTCTTCATGAACCCTTCAAGCAAAAGCAAGCACGCATCCTACCACTTCAACTGCCAATGACCCCTGCCTGACATCATGGGTCCTGTAGCTCTTCAATCTCTCCAAGCTCAGGGGAGGCGCTCGCTAGCTTCTCTTAGAGAAGGTTTCTTGGAACCTTTCGAAGCCGGCTTTTGGCAGTTTCTCTGTTGGTTTGCTGCACATTTCCGCTCCCCATTCGGGAATAGTCAAAAAGACATGCATTACAGCGTATGCAAATCTGAAACCCGTGGCTTAATGCACAGGCCAGCAACAAGCTTTTGTGCAGACAATCGCACTACCAGCATCATATAAAAGCCAAATCGAGGGACATGGACAAAGAAGGCTTGCATGGAGAATGCTAGAATCGGCCAGAATGAACTTGGGATATTGAGGCTAAAACGTAGCTTGAAACATAGAACTGCCCGCTTTTGGCTCGACTTGCTTATACGCTACTGAGTGTCTGTTTATGCCTCAGCTGCAACTATCGACGATCTTTCCACAAAACCACTCGGGGATTAACCATATTCTGTCCATGATCAGCGCCCCCAGTGCTTGTCTTTCTCTTTAATATCCGAGACCTTGGAACTTTGCAAATCTCTTTCCATATATCGTATCGGCCATCGCCCGAATGCTGTGAAACTTGAACCTCAGCTCTATAGGCAGCCTACATCAAGACTATCTCGTACTATTCCCGTGATACTTTACCACTGTACACATTTTGACTTTTTCTTCGTCGATCCTGAAACAAGGTGCCATCCCGACTTTGTATGTGGACAGTGTTCATGTGGAGACCAGAAGTGGAAATACTCCCGCCCAAAGTCGGGTGCCAAGATGAATTAGAACTCGACGCTTTTGTTTCAGGAACTCATGCGCCTCCACAATTTTCTTCCTCCATGTTACAGCCTTGTGGGTGGGTTCTCGTGGCTTCTTGCGTGTCGATAAGCTTTGGGCTATGGCTTGACGATGTTTGTTTTTGGCACGGTCGATCCCGCTAATGCCTGGTGAAGCTGTCAACAGCACATGGATATGGCTTGCCGAGGTTGAGAGCCGTGAAAGCTAGGTTGATCTTGAAAGGGATTGAACGCGGGGTTGAAGTTGGATACCTAGTATATGCAAACTTCAGGTGAAGAGTTGAGGCTGTTTGCGCAAAGGGTATAGATTCCGAGTTGAGAATTAACTTTCTATGGTGTATATTCTGGATATTGCGGCTTGCATCCAATAAGTCGGCCAAAGAGAACAAGACATCCCATCAAAGAGTATGTCACGGCTCCTCTCACTCTTTGTTGCACAACCTCCCCAAAGACCTCTGGTCCTTTCCAAAAGACGGGATAGTTATCATGAGACCAACAAACTGTCATGACAGAAAGTAGCATTCCGACTGTACCCAATGCGCCATCCTTCTTGTCCATGATCAAGCTGATCATGTTGCGAAAGAATACCTCTTTGTCCCCATCGCCAGGCTCAGTCCATTCCCTCACAATGAGGTCAACGTCCTTTCCCGCTTTCCCTTCGTCCGTCTTATCTGCGCGCATGTATTGGTGGATTGTGTACCGCGGTATAGTGATGATCCCGTCATCCTTTGAGAAGATGGCTGTGCGGTCTCCGACTGTCACAAGAGCATAGCCTTGGACGACTTGAAGGTACTCAGTGTGAGTCTCGTGCCAGTGAAGGCCTGTTCCTGGTGTGTTGTCGCCGGCTCTCAAGTAGATGTCAACGACACCCGGCTTGTTTGTTTGGGATGAGAAGTCGATGCCTCCGGGTGGGATGAAGAGCTTGTCCTGGTTTCGTGTGACTGTGCGGGTCATGATAAGCTGCTATAAATTCAGGAGATTCGGGGGAGGATTCGTTTGCAACATATCTCTGTATGATTATGTTCACGAAGTGGCAGATCATTCGGAGTGGCTTATATATCACTCAATGAGCCTATTAGCACGTCGGCGACTTTCATTGTGATGCGGGAAGCATTACGCCGATCGGGGGCTATTTCCGGTTCGACCTGGAAGTAAGCGCAAATACAGGCTAATCAACAACAAAAAATTCACATGGCTTGAATAAGCACTATAGTCTGGAATTATTCTCAGTGTTTGAGGAATACCTGTTCAGTTTGCTCTTCCGACGAGTTCAGGAATAGAAAATACGTCGTCAAATCCACTTACCCTATAAATGAGCAAAGGGATCTACCTAAGGCTCTGTTGACCAACACTTGCCAATTTTTAGTGAATATAGAGTGTAATAACTCTGAATTGATTAGTAGTTGGAATATTGGAATCCTTATGTATGTTCGGTATGAAGCTGAACAGACACAATCCATGATTCGCCAGACAAAAACTATGCGATACTTCAGCGCACATCCAAAGAAACCAGGGCTTGTTCTTTTCGTCGTCTGTATTGCTGGATTGTCCATAGATCTGGTTACCATCATCGTTCAGCACAGAAGCGCACGCTATAGATGCTCTGGACAACTCTCAGCCATTCTCATCATGGGCGGAATCATGGTGCGCGCTCAACCGCCGTATCTGAATTGGAACTTTTGCAGTCTTGGAGTACAGACTGTCAGCTCAAGCAATTATCTCGGCGTTCTTCATCACCAGCCTGTCTAAGCATTTGTTAGCCCAGCGACCTTGATCAGCTGGAGTACACTCGGTGATTGAGATCAAAGCTCAGTCAAGCAACATGTAAAGGACCATTTAGCTCCAAAAATGTAACCTGTAGTTGCAACTCACCCAGGACTGTCAAGTCTGGCCTCATATGCTGTCCAAGTAAGCCCACAAGATAATATGCTGTCTAGATTAAACGATGATCACCTACACAATACCCTACTGAATGGCGCACAAGGCCATACCCAATATCGACCACGTTCTAGTACATTCTAAGCTTATTCGAGCTTACAAAACACAAAGGAGAACCGCGTATGGTATCCGGTCGCTTACAGCTGTGACAGCTGAAACGGTACGGAAGTGCCGAAGAGAATAGCTGATCATCTAAGCCTTTTTTGTTAGAGAATCTTCAACAACATGACACCAAAAGTATGACGACTGAGAAAAAGCAAAGAAAGGGTTGGGGTTCTTTGCACTGGGGGAGCATTGATCGTCATTGATGTCTTGGATTGATCATGCCGACATGGGATAGATGTGGGGGTTCTTGGGTCCTAGTCGAAAGAGGTTCCATGATCCTTAAGCGATCCAGAGCTGGTGCCAAAGCAAAGCCACGCGATTTCGGTCGAAATATTGAGATTGGCATCAAGATAAGCTCGGGGTCTTTGGCATTGTTCATTGACTGGCTACAATCGAGGTGAAACTCTTTTGAAGAACAACTATCCCAAGCGTCACGTTCGTAGAGTCATCCATGCTCTCGGAATGCCCTACAATTTAATGATCTTTTCCCAGTTCCCGGTTTTCAGCTCTAAATCCTCTCTGAGCTCAGACGATTGCCACAAAACTCCGTTCAGATCTCCTACTCGTAACATCCTGGATGTGCGGAGGGCAGACTTCTGCTACTGGTCTACACTCATGGCACAGGCTTTGAAGCACTGCGCGAAGCAGACGAAGCGCCTCTTCGATCAGAAGAGGCACTTTTGCCATGGGACACATTGCCAAAGTTACCTTATAGCCAGGCTGAACGACCTGCTCCCATTGTGAAGAGGAAACAAAGTCACAGTCGGGAGCGGGGGGGTTCATACTGTCCCTCTATGGCATGAGAACCAGTGACGTCCATACGCCCCAGAGCTACCATGAGAAGCTCCTCTACTCCATGGGATCGCATTAAATCTACTCCCAATTCTGGACAAACCCTCCAGGTCTGGGCGAGATGGAATGGTAGTGTGAATTTCCGACCAGCGGAGTTCGTGAACTTGATAGGGGTCGCTCACATCTTACCACACTTCCTGCTGATGTATTTATAGAGTTCGCATATGCGGAATGTTTCAGATCTTCTGTAGTGGTATCTCGTTCGACCTGAACATTTTGCTGTACTTTCTTCTCGACTGCCTTCTGGTACCTAGGCCCCTGATCCACCGGCTCAACACTTGATGCCACTTGACGAGTAATAATGCGTCTATGCTCAGCGCTGATATCGGATTGTGATTCATCTCTAACGCGGTCATCTTGAGATGTTTCCACAGTGGCTGTATTTCCTAATGACCTGAATAGGGCTTGGAGGTCCTCTCCGATCCCATTGCTATCACGATAGCCTCGTCACTCATCTCAATTGCAGTCAAACGAGCTCGTGCACGATCAACAACCTGAGCAGGCTTCTTCTATTACAAGATATCAGCCACTTGTTCATTCATAGTTTGTGATCTCAGTTGGTGAAGTTATTATCTCTGGTTGTTTCTCTGCTCTGATCTTGGCCGAATTATGGTCGTCGACGTGACCATCTCCTGGATCTGGTGATGGCTTCTTCTTCGCCTGGCGAAAATAACCGGATTCTTTACGGCTCCATATTGGGTAATGATGTATTTGGAGGATCATGTTATTTGCGTCGACTGTGGTTCAAGCAATGTTCTATTGGTCACCCTCAATACACTTCAGGGAAGTTCGTCATCCAAGGCATGGAGTGCAAATGTGTAGATTGTTCTAAATGTCTTCCAAAATGCTCAACATAAAATTTCATCCCAAATATTACATATCTGCGTATAGAGCATTCTTCTGCGATCGTCCCATGTCGGAGGTTGGGTAACTCACCAAACAGTAGCAGATCAAGAGAGTTGCTTCTTGCGGCTGGTCCCAAATATGACAACAGCATCATTCATCCCTTGAGGCAATGTCTGTATCGGACCTTTCTTTCTTGCTTTACACTTTTCCAGTCTCTGCGGCATCTTCGGGCATATCTCTGGTACAATCTTGCAATTCTGGCAGGGCTCAAACAAATGAGCATCCTCACACGACCAAACCAGATTCTGATAGCATCCGGATGCAGAGAGTCCTCTGATGCAACGTAGACTCACAGCAAGATATGTGTTGCTACGGCCACCTGGCAGAGGAGACCATTGCCGACACACCTGGTCTGGTTGCTCCGGGACTATCAAGTCGCCAATCTCCTGTGCGAAGAAGACGGGGATCGAATCTGTGAATGGTAACCAACAGGGCGGAGAGCTGAACATCCGGGAAGCAAGGACTTGTCTCCGTTGGCTCACAGCCCTCTCAAGCCCATCTACGAGTTCAAGCCAGTCCCACCCCTTGATACTGCAGCGACCCAGCGACAAGGTGCCACGGGCGCCCTCGTCACTGCTCGCATTGATACTCCTCGTCTTTTGAATTCGGCCATATAACCTCTTGATAATACCCGAGATTTTAATATCTGAGGGATCCTCATCGGCCATCTTCTCGATAGCAATGCGCTCTGAATAACTCCTATTGGCGAGGACGTTGAATGCAGCGGCGCCTCCGTCTGCACTCGCAGTGGCGTACTGAATGCCTCGCAGACCTTCTCGCTGTGCCCATATATTGAACAACTCAAGGATCATCGATAGTTGGGAGACCATCCAGGCGCGTTCGTTCTGACTTTGGGTGTCATAGATAATGACTGGCATGTTCTGCGAGATCCGCAAGACTTGCTTGTAGGTCAGATCCTTCTGGTCATCAAGCTCACGCTTATGGCCGGTTCTTAGCCTGAACCCTATCGAACCCTCTGCTTTAGCACCCCCTGCACTAGAGCCCAGAGTAAGCGAGTTCAGCGATGCCTCTATGTTGGGCTTTTCGACCTCTGCATGTGAGTATTGTGGTTCATTGTGATATTGGCGGCGGGCCTCGGTACCCAACTGCACCATGGCCTTTTCACAGTACCCCAAAACTGTGATTGATGTTCTCAGAGTGTCGTAGACCGGAATTTTGGTCCACAATGGACCACCATTTCTGTCGGGAGGGATTGCTGGGTCTCGATCTCCCTCGTCATCTAAGGTCTTCTCTTTCAAATGCCATTGGATAACAGGCTGTCGGTCGGGGAGCGCCTTATAAGAAGTTGGGTAGAGGAAAAAGGAGATACCATCGAGGTAGATACCAGTTGCATTGCCCTTGTCATCCTCCAGGCTGACATCGCAAATTATCTCAGCCAGCTCAAGCATGGCATCAAAGGGCATCTGCAAGCCGAAGACACCTGGGTGAACTGGAACCTCAAAGCCCTCGGCCATGACCGTCGAAGGGAACAGAGGGGTCCAACAAGTGCCCGGTGTGCCATGCTCTAGAGGTTTCAATTCTTCCAGTGAAATATGAAACACGTGGACCTCATCTCCGACACTTGGTGCATGTAGGAAGCTAACCGAAGAACTGGTTGTCTTCTTCGGCTCGGGCAGTCGGAAGGTCGCTACGATCCAGCAAAGAAACTGTGAAAATATTGATATCTGAGTTGGAGAGCCTTTGAAGAGCACTACTGGAGTATCTTCAGAGTCTCCACTCATGAACAATGGCCGGTTAACTGCAGGTTCTTTCGGAACTTGGGTGTCTTGACGTCGTCAGTATCACTACTATAAACGAGGAGAAGTAGAACCCACCTGTCGAAGGTAGCTTTTGAACAAGAAATGCTTCTAGATCTTCCAGAAACACTGTGCCGTTATCTTTCCAGGTTGCTGAAACATATTCCTGGCAGCAAACCGCCAAAGAATTTGAAGAAGTTCCTGTTATAGTGAGGATTGGGCCAAGATCATAGCTGCCGTCTAGTTCTTCCTGTACACAAACTGGAACCTGCCAGCGAACAAGAAACTTGACCAGGCAGGTGTCTGTGTCATCGAAACTCTCCAAGGCTTCAAATACCTTCGCTTCAATCATCTGTGCAGCCGCCAAGCCACTCTTCTTGTCAGCATTTAAGAGCTTTTCGGGTGAGAATTCCTTCTTTCCAGAAAGAGTCTCATCAACCGTCATTGAATGTGGTTTTCTGATGACCAGGCCAGCGTCGTCAATCTGTCGGACTCGTATAGATTGGCGTTGACTCTGGTGGCTACGCTCTGTGAACTTTTGCGTAAGCCTTAATCGACTCTGGCGCGAATATGTATATTTTCTGTCAACCACATGTGCCTCGACTGCGATGAGCGCTTTTGGTGGTGTTTTGCGGGGGCCAGGTGTGGGCTTCGCGATGTAGTCCCTATGATTATCATCCTGGACTCTCTGGTCGACACCTTTAAATTTCTCGAGCAGCTCACTGGTGGAGGCTCTTTTCACATCTTCTGTTCGTACAACGATCATGTATTTCTCGATGATGTCCAGAATATCATGAACGTAGTTTGTGCATGACTCGTGATGGTCAAGTCTTCGAATGAACTAACGAAGTATGTCAGCTGCTCATCTAAATTTCTCCGGAGGTTGCGGTATCCCTCTCCACATTGACCTACACTGAATACTTGTGGCTTGACTGTAAATCGACGCAACTCATCGTCCTCTAGTTTGACAATTGCAAAGAAGCTATCGGTCTTCATGATACCCGAAGTGTCCTCTGTCAGTCGAGCATCTGCGAATGCCTCAGAAAGCTCCCAGCCCCCTAAGAGCCAGCAGACCATCTCAAGTAAAACACAACCGAAAGACCATATATCGGAAGATCGTGACATAAATTCACCCTCGATATCAATCTCTGGAGGCGCATAGGTGTATGTGTAACCCACGTTGGTGTTTTTTGTGAAAGACCTGCTACGCTCCCGGTGAAATTTGGTAAGCCCAAAATCTGCCAGAACAAGTAAGCCATGAGGTTCATTATCCAATTCAAACCAAAGTATGTTCTCGGGCTTAATATCCCCATGCCGACCATAGGACTGTACGCCTTGGGAATCGTGAATAGCATCCAAGGCCGCAAGCAAACCGAGAGTTTGTGTAGACATCCAACGGATGACGTCGAGATCTCGGTTTCCAGTCTTTGAAAAAGGGTCAAATTTCCAGAACTCGTAGAGATTGCAAGAAGCCCAAGGTAATATCATGTGATATCTGTCATGTAGCTCAAAGGTCGCCAGAAGTTGAATGATATGCCGATGGCCGACACCATTGAATCGTTGAAGCCCTTCAACTTCATTGTCGAATTCAGAACGGTCCTCAAGCCTGAGTATTTTGAGGGCAAAAATGCCTTTTGCGGCAGATTTCTAGCAGTAATTTGTTAGATCATCTTATTTTAGCACATCGCTAGAACGCTGACCAACTCACCACCCCTCGGAGAACCTTCTCAAATTCGTGAGAAGATTTGTCGATTTTGATAGGTTGAATTGTTGAATAGCCACCTTGAGTTATATGCCTGCCGAATTTCTTCAGTCCAACCTCAGACCCGTTAAGACGACACCAAGGTAAAATTGTCCTCCGGTGGAAAACGTGATGAAATACCGGGATATTGTCTCTGGGAGCATGAAAGAAAGGGGCCGTGAACCTCCATTGACACATTTCAAAGGACTCCAATTGATAGGGGCGAAATCTTCTGAAGCAGCCAAGGGGATTTTCATCGCCTTCCTTTCGAAATACAGCATTCTGTCTTATATCCAGAGTGAGGGGAAGGTCATCGTCACAGACTCGATGTTGGATGAATTCGTGAACTTTCCCTTCTTTTTCAATCATGACCAGAATTGCAAAAATCCTCAGGTACGTCTTTTGACCTGAAGGCATTTGAAAAGGCATTTCCTTGTACGCATCAGCCTCATCGGCGTACAACGGTCCAATGTGATCTGCATATTGTGATGCAAGATCCCCGTACTCTTTTTTTAGATGGGCCTCAATGCATGCCTTGTTCAAGATTCTTGACAGGGTTAGGAATGGCAGGAATGTCTGATAGTAGTCTGCGCATTCTATAGAAGAAGATCGTAAGCGGTCCGCAAGGTTATTGGAGTTCTCGAGGCTGTAAGGGTCCAGAGTTTCATCGTTAACTGAGAGTGTAGGAATATTTATGTCGTCCATGGTGTGCAGGATGAAACTCGTAATGGAGCAACGAGACTTGTGTCTTGTGCACCGTTTTGCAGTATTTGAGGAGCGCAAAGACTGATATGACAAGAGATAGGCTTGGGGAAAGGGTCAGGGACGTGGTCAATTTCAGGGAAGTTGCCAAGTCCTAGATGAGGGGGTAGGAAAAAGAGCGGCTGAAGTAAACAGTGCATAAGTCTCATGATAACCACCCTCTACTACCAATAGAAAGGACCTGGGAAAGTCATATCAGCTGTGGCTGCAGCTCATCCATGTCAAGTCAGCACATCACAGCTTAATCCGTAAGAAGACTACCTACACCATTTTCAAGAAATGGGAAATCAAGTTGAAATGTATAGAAAGCACAAAGCGCAGGCCAGAACGTTCTACGTCACTGTTTAGGCTTAAAGGCCCGAAAAGCGCCTGGGCGCTGACACCATCACTATTAGAATATGCGAGAGAGGTCAATGTAGTAGTGCCACGTATCAATACATACCTTATGCAGCCACATCAACATCTCAGCTCGAATGTCAGCATCTCATTGCTTTTTGAGTGGCAGCCTTGTCACAAGCACGAAAACATAGATACAGGTCACCTGACAGAGATATCACGATAGACACGCGGTGCTTGGTGTGATTGTGTCTGATATTAACCAATCACTGCCGATATGAAAGCTAACGAGAATGAAATTTCAGGACGTTGGCCCTCTTCGCGCTATACTCTTCATTAAAGTATCACATATTTCCGAGATAAGAGATTTTGACCTTTGAAGAAGCGAATGAGCGTCTAGCTATGAACCCTACGAGAGACACCTATCACTCCTATGCGGAAATGTAGCGGAGCTCGAAGCGGAGTTTGCTTGCCTTGGGTCTATTCACCTTCGGATACTGCAACTCCTTCACTTACAAGCTGGAGTTAAGGATACCTGTTCGGAGTTAAGACACAGGTCCCCTCTCCAGACTACAACTATACATTGCATCTTTTCGGGGTTAATTTTCGGTGATAGCGATCATGTTATATGCGGTTAATCAAGGAATTCTATTCAGTGTCCAAAAGCACAACTTTCATACATTTCAACAGATATTGGGAATAAGGAAGAGATATAAAGTCCGGCTGGTATCTGGTTCACAGCTCGTTTTTCCAACTTACCTACTCCCCTTTCCTGACACATTGATCACGTAGTATTCTCCTCAATCGTCATGGCACCTCCAGCATCTCTTCCCACTAAACCTCTCAGCAGGACGGGACGACAAATACCCGCTCTCGGATTCGGATTGATGGGCCTGAGTGCGGTCTATGGGCCTGTTGAGTATATTTCCCGTTCTATATGTTCTCAAACTCACAATAGCGTTCATACTGACACTCACTTCCCTAGCAATGACGAAGAACGCTTGGCAGTTCTGGACCGTGCCTGGGAGCTCGGCTACACGAATTGGGACACAGCCAATGCCTATGGTGACAGCGAGGTCCTGATCGGGAAGTGGTTCAAGCTACATCCGGAGCGTCGGGCTGACATATTTCTCGCAACAAAGTTTGGCCTGAGAGCCGGAGTCAACGAGAAGGGCGAGTGGAAAATGTGGGCTGATAATAGTCCCGAGTTCTTCAATGAGTGCCTCAAGGGAAGTTTGCAGAAGATGGGCGTTGATTACGTTGATCTTTACTACGCCCATCGTCTTGACACCAAGGTACCTGTCGAGAAGACGATGGAGTTGATGGCCAAAGCTAAGCAGTAAGCTACACTACCAAAAGTCTCCGACACCTTGGACCGTGCTGATATATCTCTATCAGAGATGGCAAAATCAAAGCCATCGGCATCTCCGAATGCGCCGCCAGCAATATCCGCCGAGCCTACGCTGTCGTCCCCGTCGACGCCATCCAGGTTGAGTACAATCCATTCACATTGGATATCGAGAAACAAAATATACTCTCCACGTGCCGTGAGCTTGGAATCACCATCTTCGCGTACTCACCTCTGGGTCGTGGCTTTTTGACAGGTCAGATCAAGAGCAGTGATGACTTTGCGCCTGACGACCTCCGCCGCATGTTGCCTCGCTTTAGCCCTGAGAACTTTTCGAAGAACCTAGTCCTAGTTGAACGTCTTAAGACACTCGCAGACAAGAAGGGCTGCACGTCGGGTCAGTTGGTGCTCGCATGGCTGTCGGCGCAGGGCGAGGATATTATCCCAATTCCTGGGACGAAGAAGATTAAGTATATGGAGGAGAATGTTGGCTCACTAAAAGTGCAGCTCTCCAAGGAGGAGATTCAGAACATCAGGGATGAGGTCGAGAAGGCTGAGGTTGCGGGTCATCGAAACCCGCCGGGTTTGTTCAATGAGTATTCGGTTACTGTTGAGCTTTGAGGTGTCACATCCGGATAGATCCATAGGAACAAGCCTTGGTGGAAAAGAAAATCCCAAACTTCATTGGAGCCTATCTCTTCCATAAATATTGGTACATATGCTAGCAATTCCAATGCAAACGAAAGTGAAGGAGTTGTCCCAAAAGATCTGAACGGATGGTGAAAAGCTTCAAACATTCTTCTTATAAAAAAAGTTCAATATTCAAACCGAAATTATCAAGATCTATTCTGGTGGTATAACAACGCTAGTCATGACAACAAATCATATCATACAAAATCAAAACCAATAACCCTTTTACTCGTCATTACTCCACTTCCAGGCTTCCGAGATAGCCTTCCAGTACTGCTCAGGATGCTCACGCATGTGTCCAACATGGTCAGTATCCACAAACAGCTCCTGTCGAGTCTCATAGCCTCTCTGCTGAGACTCAGCAATGTAGCCCTCGATATCCATATGAGAAATAATCTGATCCTCCTTGCTGTAGAGATACAATCGCTTGGAGTCCAGTGTCTCGTAGTTTGTATCATCCACAACTCGCAGGGCGAAAGCACCAGAAGGCTCTCCACCAGTGAGCTTCTTGATAACAACGTCCAAGGTAAGGACAAAGCCCCAAATACCCTTGGTGATGACAAAAGGCCAGGGGAAGAACTTGGCGGTGCCGAGGGCCATGGCGTGCGACCATTGACCTAGTCTCTCCCACGACCAAAAGGGGTTTCCGGGCGTTGAGTCAAGGACGAGAAGTTGATGAGGCATCTGTCTACCATTCTTGTCCCTGAAAGCCTTGAGCGTAGTAGCGTAGCTGATAGCACCGGTGTTGGACATGCTGTGAATAAGAATAGGCGCCGTCTTTTCTTCGAGAAGTCCATCAAGGTTGTCGATAACATGTTGCATAGCGCGTGTTCGTGTCTCAAGACCCGTAAACATAGCGTCTGAAATAGGACTCAAGATGATAAGAATCTTGGAATGAGGGAAAAGAGCGCGATAGCCCTCGGCGTATTTCCCAACATGTCTAGCAAGTCCATCGCCCCAGCCGTAGATGACAACAGCAGCTGGATGATCCGCGGGTGGCTTCTCTGAAGTCTCCTCGCTGACGAGAAGTTTGGCGTTGATGGTTTTGAAGCCCGCAAGCTCAGGGAGTTTTTTGCCCGACATTTTCTATACTATAAATAGACTTATTATAAAGGGTACTGGCTGTGCTGACGAGGAATTGACAAGGGAGAGATCCATGGGAGGCATTGACATTTTATATATCTCCTTAAAGTAAACTAAGTTTTTTAGTTTCAAAGGATCGAGTAATGTGTCGATTGCTGACATGGTTTTTCGGCCTGTCAGATTCTATGTTGGGGACAGCGTGTAAAGTCCGTCGGACGTTTATGCGGATGAATTGCTGCTTTTGGGTATTGGAGCGGTCCCAGCAAAACATCCTTCAGCCCAACAATATGCAGCCGAGGTTCGTGGAGATTTTTTATTATAAATTTGGAGATGGCATCGGGGAGTTTTATATAATATGTTCTGTGACATGTACATGTATTTATGTGAGTTCAATTGCGTTTACAAAGCTGAATGGAACGGCAATCAATGGACGGTACAACGTTGATCCACTTATCAGCAGAGATTTAGAGACTGGAAATCAAGATGCACAGATCAGTCTTGGCATGCGTCAAGATTGAATATCATGCGCCAAGTGTTGAATCTAACGACGAGTCATCTCCTTCGGGGTTATCGAGGTTGCGTGTATCTTACTCAGACTTGCTGTAGCCTAATAACCAACCCACGATTGGAATGACCCAATTTGTCAAACAGTTGTTGGATGGCAGACCTCATCCCAAAGTAAGCTAAGATGCCAAAGAGGTCAGACGGGACTGATAGTGTAGGACTAAGTGATGAGGGTCTTGAGGGCGATTGCCGAGTCTAGTACACAGTCATCTGTGAGTATGCTCAGCTATCTATCGAAATGAGTCAAGCGACTCGACACTAAATCAAATAAAAAAACATGAAATCGTTATGACTACTCACCTAGCATGACGTCTCACTCGAGGAGGAACTTCGACGTATCAAAAGGTAAGCATCATCCGTTGCATCCGTGAGAAAGGCTTGGGCTTTTTAAAAGCTGCAAAAGGCAGTCAGGTTATTATTTCTTGTCTGTCTATCATAAGAAGTCTAGTGCGGTTGAGTGGTGACATGTAAAGCTCTCAGCTTTTCATTTTTCATAAAACAATGCAATGCATCCTGGTATATCTCCGAAAATCAAAACAACATCCAATACACTTTTAAAAGGTAGCCGTGATCTTCCATCCAACACGGTGGACTCTTGCAGCAAGGATGAACATGGTGCCAGCCAGGCAAAAGACGCCAGCAAAAATCTTAACTCCAAGCCATCCAGTTGGTTTCTCGAGGATAGAGCCGTTGATGGGGTTGGTCGTGAGTCCACCGATCGAGGAGACGAAGAAAACAATGCCGCTGCGGAATCCAATTTCCGGAAGAGGCGAAATCTGAGCAACGAGCGGTGCAATCAGAGAGACGTATGCGCCAGAGCAGAAACCAAACAAGGCAGCAAAGGCGATGATACCGTCCTGCGAGTTGCAGGGGATCCAAAGAGCAAGGATCCAGATAGCAGAAAGGAAGCCGACAATAATGAAAATGTTGTAACGGCCCATCTTATCACCAAGAATTCCTGAACCGACACGACCAAAAAGACTGGCAGCGTTAAGAATAGGAATCAAATACTGAACAAGGTTGGGGTCCACGCCAGCATGAAGAGCCTGAACGGGCAGGTAGTCGATAGGAACGAAGAGTCCGTAGGTGAAGAAGAAGAAGCCAAGCATACAGAAGATGAATTCTGGCTCGTGGAATGGCCTGACCAACTGGGCGCGGGTGACCTTCTGAGGGTTGGGAGGGTGAATCGATCTGACTGTGAGGTTGGCGATGATGAGGAGTCCGAGGATCATAAAGGCACAGATTCGCATGGACCAGCCGAATCCAACTTGCTTGATGAGACGGGTGACCATAATGGGAAAGATGACACCACCGATACTCGAGCCGGTTGCAAGGATGCCAAAGGCAGCTCCTCTATTGCTGTCAAACCATCCGTGAATCGTCGATAGTGCTGAATATGTTGGCAGGTTTCAATATGGAGGGCAGGGACGAGGCTTACCTGGCTGGAAGATTGCTGAAACACCAATGGCAGAGCATACACCCTGAGACAGAAGAATCTGGTAGTACTCGGTGCTAATCGATGCCATCATGATACCAAAGACATGCATGACACTTCCGACAAAAATCAACCACCGCGGTCCATGGCTATCATAAAGCTTTCCGATGATCGGACCCATCCCCATGATGAAAAAGATCTGCAGCGAAGGGATCCATGCGATAGTACTAGACGAGTACTGCTTCAAAAGATCGTTCTGGTAGTATTCCTGAAAAGCGCCAACACCTAGGATAATTAGTCAACGCAACAGAAATACACAACGTAATACTTACTGTTGATCCAGCCAAAACTGCAAAACGAGGTACACCATGCGCCAAGAACAACAAGCCAGGCTGTGAGACCACCATCGGGCGCGCCACTTCCAGCTGGCCTAGCTGCAGGCTCAGGCTGTGTGGTACCCTCCTCAAGGTCAGACTTTTCGTTGTTGTAACCAACCTGGTTCTGAAGCGTGAGCTCCGAATTGCGAGGCGACGAAGGTGCGGTGGTTTGTTGAGCAGCCATGATGAAAGATGCTGTTTATCTGATCGAGGGTTGCTTTGAGGCTCTAGTTGTTGACATGGGCGTCGAGATTTATAAGTACCAGATGCACGGGAGATCTGAGCCTAAAAGGGATCCATAGCGCGCCTTATGGAGCTCCATATTCACGGTTATTCGTTCCATTCACTTAATTTCGCGACGCGAGACTTCCAAAGGCCGATGATGGTGGATTGTTTGCAGCCGAGCCCAAGTCTCTGATTCGCCACTTCGGTCTCGGAACCACTATCTCTACCGAAGCCGACGCTAGTATATCGATAAGATCGACTGCAACGAATTAGAGCTCGTCATTGACCTCACCATCTTCAATATCCCGGTCACGGAGATAATCCCCGGTGATCTCAGCTTACAAAGACCGAATCCTCATCCGTAAAATACCACAGCTCTCGGCCTGTCAGTTATCGGTCGGTGTAATACCACATCATGTCATCTCGGCCCCGAACTCGGTCGTGCGCCGTATGTCATCGCCGAAAAGTTCGCTGTGACAAGAAATTCCCATGTGCGCAGTGTGTTCGGTCTGGCTTTGAGTGCTCGTATCCGCCTGCGGGGCCTCCTGCACGACGAGCGAAGAAAACGACAATTAATGATGTTGCAAGTCGCATTTCGCAGATGGAGAAGACGATTGAGGCGTTCAAGGCTGGACAAGCTGTGTCGCCGCAACCGACGGTGTCTGCAAGTTCAGTGACGCCCGCGAATAGTGTCCCCACGCCGGCGAGTACAACTGCAGATGTCGAGAGCAGGGAAAGGGTTGGAGGTTCACAGAATGTGGTTTCTCGTGAGGGCCTCTTGTTCAATAAGGGGAAAAGTAGTCACTATGTCAATGAAGTTCTCTTTTCTCGAGTCATCGAGCAGGTAAAGACATTCGAGTGGTTTGTGGATCTCGCGCTAATACATGTTCAGGAAGACGATGTGCGAATGGCCTTGACAACGCCCAGAGACGAGCCGCCCCACGATGCCAATTCCCCAATATGCCATTTGAATCCCATGGGATGGCTATCCGCTGGGATTTCGTCCGTGTCTACCGCCGTCTATCACCCTCAAAGACGCGTGGCTGTTCGACTATGGAAAGTCTTTGTTGACAGTGTTGATCCATATGCCAAAGTTCTGCACCTCCCTACCGCCGAGACAGTAATCTACACGGTCACAAGCGACCCCAGCAAAGCTTCGAATGAAAACTTGGCACTTTGCTTTGCTATTTATTACGCTTCTGTTACTGCCATGGGCCCCAATGAGGTCCTCGACACTACTGGAGAGGATAACAAGAATGCTCTCCTGAGATACAGGATGTGTTTGGAGCAGTCGCTCGCCCAAGCAGATTTCCTTGATAATCCCACAATCACCCTTCTGCAGGCCATTGCAATTTACGGCGTGAGTTTCTGATAAACTTTTCAAAGAGCTTCACTAAATTCAAATAGGCCGCAATGCGTGTCCATAGCTCCGGTCGAGCCGTCTGGATCATGAATGGCCTCGCACTTCGATCCGCACAGTCAATAGGTTTGCACAGAGACGGCAGCAAGCTCGGTTTATCCCCCTTTGAGTCAGAGATGCGACGTCGATTATGGTGGTACTTTCAAGAACGAGACGGAAGAGGTGCCGAGGATTATGGACTGCAAAATCCACCAAGCTTTAATCCAGTATATGGTGTTGAGCTGCCACGGAATCTGCACGATAGCGATCTCTTTCCAGGGATGAAAGAGCTTCCGCCATCGAGACCAGATTGGACGAGGATGACGTTACCACTGTGCTGCAATCAGTCGTCTCAGGCTTGGGCTCAGCTCTTTCAGATGAGCGGCTCTGCCGATGGCATACCAGATGAAGATGTTCGAAGGCGGCTCATCAAAGATGCCGTTGAAAAGGTCGAAGGAATTCTGCAGCGGTGCAACCCCGTTATACCAGAGCAAAGAATGACGATTCGAACTGCGCGGTTAATCCTCTGCAAAGTCGACGTAGTCACGCGCCGCCAATGGCAGATTCTTCGCTCGCCAGACGATCGCCAGCCACCAATGGCAACAGAAGCCGAAGTCACCGAAGCAGTCGAACTTCTCGAGCTCTCCAACAGCATGTGGCAAGACGACGACCTCATCGCGTTCCAGTGGCTCGCGCGCGCATTCCCCCAATATCACATAATGCTATTCATCCTCCGTCACTTGTGCGTATGTCCTCGTGGAGAACTAGCGAAAAGAGCTTTTACAGCTGTAGAGATTCATCTTGGGTATTTCAAGACGAGTGGGAATGGTCCCTTGAATGGGCTGAAGTGGACGGTGCTTACGACGTTGAGAGAGAGGGCGTTTTTGTTGATGCAGAAGGTTGAGAGGGAGAGTGTAAATGTGCAACAGGATGAGAGGAGTCACCAAATGGGATTTCAGGGGAGTGGGGAGGGGATGCAGAATGGGAATGACGTCGCTGTTCCGGATTGGAATATGATTTTGGAGGAGTTTCCGTTAGACATGGAAGACTTTTCGTTGATTTTCTGAGGGGTAAGAGAACATTTGTACGATTACATGAAGTAATATGACTTAAGTCAACATTGATGCATACATGGTACAAAACAAAGATGTTAGATCTTAGATTAAACAAAGCGAAGCTACCCCGTCTTGAACATGATCTACTCTGGTACCGCCATTTCCCGCTATTTGAATTCCTCAACTCATCTTTGTACACTGTCATACCCAAACTTGGTCAAGCCTTGAGGATTCTGACTTTTCAGAATATCAGAAAGTGTTTCTTCTTTTTCCACGTCTGCGGGTTCCTATCTTGTCAGCTCTTTGTGGTTTTACAAAGTGATACAGGACTTACGTGCGGCCCATCGAAAGTAATGCTGTTGCCAAAGAGAAATGAGTCCCACAATCAACTGAAGAATGCCGAATATGATGGAGATGACGACTTCAGCAGGAAGCATTGATTGAGCCATGGCACAATTAATCTTGTTTGTATTGCTGGTAAGATGGTTAGGCTCCGTCTATGCTTGCTGAGACAAACTAAATGAGTTCTTTGAACTTATGAAAGAAAACAATGCGAAGAAAATCTTAACAACTTTGAATATGACACAAAAAACCCGCAGCCCTTTTTAATAAGATTTCAGCAAAGAATAGTAGTTTTGCAGCTGTAAAAGTGAATATGACTTCATTGCATGAAGACCAGGTCTAGGGGAGCCAAGAAAACTTCTGACATTAAATCAGGGTGCCAAAATAAACTGGTCTAAAGGCTTACTGAGATATGCTAAACTTACCCAAATCTTTTCATCACTTAGGATAGAGGTCCTAAGTTTCTTACTCCCTAAGGCAGATGTATCGTATTTTTTAGTGGCTGTTGGTTGCTTGCATGACACCCATGTCTCAGCACAAAATAGTACTTTTGAGTTTTCCTCGACGATTGGGCGGAAGTGCTGTGGCGTACAGGGATTTAAAGAATTGTTGTTTTGTTTCCCCCCTGCTTCACCGCAAAATAGTAGTTTTGGAAAATGTGATGAGGCTGACTCTTACGTGTTGACTCCCTCGCGGGAGCCTTCTTTTCTCTTTTTTGTTTCTTTTAAATTATTTGCGACACCGCTCTCGCTCTTCAGTCTCTATTCATTCTATCTATCTTTTATTCAGCGTCTTTCCCGACAGCAGTGGTCGATTCGCCGGCTAATAAGGTTGCTGCGAAGTGTCACCAATACTCACCATGGATCCCTGGTTCACAACTCCAAACGATTTCTTCAGTGAATTCGACAATTTTGGCCAACAATTTCCTGGCACCCACCTACCTCCTGGGTTCGATATCCCAGCTCCGCACGAACAGGCTCTTGGTGGACAATTTATCGCAGACCAAAACCATTCATATGCTCCACCCGATCCGGCTTTTGACTCTTTTATCCAAGGGTTCCAGGATGCCTCCTCTACTGACAACATGGATGGTTTAGGGCCCGCCCAAATTACGCCTACCCCTACAACGGGCCCTCCCCGAAGGAGTAGGAAGAAAAAGGCCCCGACTCTACGTGATGAGGACTGGGAACCATTTAAAGACCGAATCCTCGAGCTCTATGAGACGCAAAAGCTGCCACTTGAGAAAGTTAAAAATATGATCGAGGAGGAATTCGGCTTCACCGCTCAGTACGTGATTTCATTGTTGAATTAATAAGGCAGTCTCAGGACTTACTGATATGTGCCAGGGCACGGCAGTATCAGAGCCGTATAACCAAATGGGGCAAAGACAAGAATATCAAGAAAGTTGAGATGACAGCTATCGTCAGGAAGCATCAGCAGAGAGAGATTCTCGAGACTGGCAAAAGGAAGCTGTGTTTCACGGTCAGAGGTAGAGAGGTTGAAGCAGATAAGATCGACCGATGGATGGACAGAAACAATGTCGCACGAAATGATCTGTATGCTCCGAGTCCTGCAGCATGTAAGTCAAATCCGCAAAGTCCTGAGTCAATGCAGCTGACTTTAGATCCCGAAGCTACCCCGTCCGCAGTCAATTGTAGAACGATTTCTGAGAGAGGTTCCCTAGCCCACAGTCCAGCCTTATCCGAAATGAGTCTCGCCTTCTCTTCCGGTGGCATCACACCAGTAGCTCAGAGTCCAATGGCATCTTCTCCCGCACTCTCCGTACGAGGGATAATTCAAGGCCGCGGCAGTACTTTCACTGGGCAGAGTCCGGCTCCTTTCTATCAAGCTCTTCCAGCACAACTCCTGGCTTCTTATCCATCAGCTACAAGCCCTGTTCATCCACATTCAAGTTCTACATTAGCCTCCAAGCAGTATCGCTACAGACAAGCTGATGAAGATCGTCTACGATCAGAACTATCTGTGGCAGAGACTTTGTTCGGATCCGAAGATGCTCAAACCCTCCATATATTGACAATGCTGACTGATGTTCTTATTCAACAAGGGAGATACAGATCCGCCGAAGAAATGATTCGCAGAGCGGTTTTAGGCTATCAGAAGACAGTTGGGGGTGACGATATTCGCACTCTCAGTGCTTTGGAACTCCTAGGACAATGTCTAGGACTCCAGGGCTTCCATCGTCGAGCCGCAAAATTCCTGGAAGGATTACTTGAATCCGAAAGGGTGACTCTTGGCGAAGAGCATCCATCCACTCTGTCCTGTATGGCCCAACTATCGAAGGTGTATACGAATCAAAGACGGTGTGGCGAGGCTGCTTTACTTTCTGAGCGAGTGCTAGAAATAAAAAAGAGGGTATGTGGCAAAGCGGACTATATTACGCTGAGAAGCATGTCGGATTTGGGGGTTGCATACATGTGGTTGGGGCGATTAGAAGAGAGCAAGCAGCTGATAGGACAGGCCCTCAAATTAAGCAAGAATATCTGGGGGGATGAGAATCTTGCTACGCTAGGAATCATGTCCAACCTGCTACCTTTATGTGTACGACAGAGCGATTGGGGTCAGGCAGAGGTGATTGCAATGCAAGTTATCAACGTATATATGAGAACAATTGGCGAAGAACACCCTAGCGCTATATTCGCCAAAGCAGCGTTGGCTGATGTATATGAAGGTCTAGGACAATTAGAGAAAGCTGAAGAAGCAGGAGAGCAGGTGTTTGAGATGCAGAAGAGAATACTTGGGGGGAAGCATCCTGACACACTGAATATCGCACATTTCTTGATAAATTTATACGAGAAACAAAAAAAATATGGCAAGGCTGAGGATCTTAGGAGGAATATTGGGAAGATGGCCGTGGACGGGCGAGAGGATTTCATTTAGATTAGTTCTGTCGATTACCAGCGGGAACTTGAAGCTCATTGCTACAAATAGGGAAATTAGTAAACCTGAAGAGCTGAAGTGTTCAAGTCGAGCTAGGATGCAACTTAGCACGTAACATAATTCGTCAGTCTCATATGGTAATGATGTACCAAAGCTACAAAGCTTCAAGACAGATGGTGACTAGTTTGTCATGGGTCACGCGACAATAAGGTCGCAGTACCCCTATTCATTGTTTACAAAAAGGTCCTGGTTGACTAATATTCAGCCATGAAGCGACTCAGTTGTGAGGAATGTCGGCTGGTGCCTGAGCAAGGCGATCGAGAGTGTCGATGTAATGCTGACAGGTGCTGATGTTTGATGTCGATGTTTAGACCGCCCTACCGGAAGTTTATCGTCAAGCCTCCCGCGTATGAGTGGGTAAATCGAGATACAGTTCAGGCCACCCTATAGATTGGCAAAACGAGACAAGGACACTTTGGCAGATATTTTTACTGTAGGAAAGCGTTTGATCTTTAGAATTAGTCAGATGTTGACTATATATGATGTTTTAACATCGCCTCATCTTCACGAATCTTTTTAAATAATTCTGTAGGGCTGCTTCAGTTGCATAAGCGCTCAGCCATTCCTCCACCGCTAGAGCCAGTTGGGAAGGGTTCCCTTTTTTTGGCTGCCGTCCCCTCTCGGCAGAACGAGGCAAGCCCAGGCCATTCCAGGGCATCAGCCAATGCCAAATCTCAGATGAGCGGGGCTTGTTTTGGTATGGTCCTGGCCTGGACCTTGATTCGGAGCCTCCACCTCCACTCTCTCTCTCTAATCTTCCCGAGCACCCCATCCATCCATTACCATCCTTGAATGTTTGGTTATCCGTCTTTATTCATCCCTCCCTCCCTCTCTTTACTTGTTTTGGTCACATATCATCCACCAACTTTGCTCGAGTCTTTGTTCTGGCTGATAATCTATTTATTGTATTAGCCCCTGGTCTCTCAAGTCCCTTCCCTCGATTGCGTCACGACATCTCGACGTCTCCTTGTTGCCTGCTGTGCGCGTCCTGTTGTGACACTATCATCTCAACGTTTTTAACCGCCAAGCTTACGCCGCCCACGCATACGCATCACATCCCATCTCATCTCTGACCGCTGTCTTGCGCTCAACTGTCTTGCCGCCAGATCATCGCTTGAAGATCGAATTGCTACATCAACAGGGGCCCGAGGCCTCGAAGTTCCCAATGTCGAATAAGAACGAGGCCTTGTCCTCGATGGATCCCTTCTCACCTGCACATCAACCCGACGAGGGTTACTCCGAAGATCCTCTCACACCAACCGTGAATCAAGAGTTATCGACCGCTCTTGCTACGCTACGTTCTCCCTCCGACTTGAGCACATGGCTTGTCGCGAACTCGTCGCTTCTACCCCTCGAGGTCAGAACAGGTACGTTGTGTTGATTGGATTGCTGGGGTCTGTTTGCTGACTGTTGACAGAACTGACCATGGCGTTACTCGACAACTTACCTACGTCCGTCATCGCCGAGATCGTCCACCGATTGAATCCAAGACTCTACATCGACTTTATTCAATACCTCCCTGCCGAGATCTGTCTTAAGATTCTAGGTTTCCTCGATCCTGTTTCCCTCGTAAGCGTTACGCAGACATGCCGCGCCTGGTACGAATTGGCACTTGACCGAAAGCTATGGGAGCGTCTATACCACATGGAAGGGTGGAAGACCATCATGAGCGAGATCGAAGCCTGCGAGACTAAAGTTAACAACGGCCTTGACCACTCGATCCGTCACCTTAACCGACTCCAGTCGATGCAGGACGCCCATCCCAACAAGATTCGTGCCGTTGTCAATTCGGATGAGGACCTCGAGATGACAGATCATGACCGCACGCCTGGCCCCAGCGAGACCTTGGCCGGCGGAAGCATGTTCGGTAGCCCTTCTTCCTCCTTCTCGTCGAGTCGACCTGCGATCGTGCCCATGGGCGAGATGGACCTTGATGGTTTGTCGAGTAGAAACCCGAGCTTGGATCGAACACCTTCATCATCATCCGACAGCAGAGGAAAGCGTAAAGAACCCAGCGACGATACCGAGTCCTCTCTTGCTTCAATGTCGCTAGCCGATGCAGCCAACACATTACCACCGTCATCATTGTACATCTGGGATGTGGGTCGATCACGATATCGTATCAACTGGCGCTATCTGTACGGCATGCGACGGAAGCTGGAGGCGAATTGGGAGCTTGGAAAATACACCACTTTCCAATTTCCTCATCCCAATTTTCCCGAGGAAGGACATCAGGAGTGCGTATATGCTCTACAGTTCGACAAAGACTACTTGGTGAGCGGTAGCAGGGATCAGACCATGCGTATCTGGAATGTTCGCACCCGCCGACTTGTCCGACCACCTCTGACAGGACACATGGGCTCCGTCTTGTGTCTCCAATTCGACGCTGACCCCGAAGAAGATCTCCTTGTTTCTGGAAGTAGTGACTCCAACGTCTTCATCTGGAAGTTTTCGACTGGTGAGCTGGTGCAGAAACTAACAAGGGCTCATCACGAGTCCGTTCTCAACGTGCGCTTTGATAAACGAATCCTGGTTACGTCTTCCAAGGACAAGACGATCAAGATCTTCAACAGGCGCCCGTTGAAACATGGCGATTTGGGCTACAACGGCGGCGATCTAGTCGGCCCAGTACCTGTTCACCTGCGAAGGTATGGTTATGAGCCAGACCTTTCCCAGGAACTTCCCGTCAAGCCTCCATTCACCATGATCGGTCGTCTGGATGGACATAGTGCTGCCGTAAACGCGATTCAAGTTCGTGACGAGACCATTGTTTCCGTATCAGGAGATAGGCATATCAAGATATGGAGTTGGCCAGATCAGGCCTGTACTCGGACCATTCCAGCACACGACAAGGGAATCGCGTGCGTGGAGTTTGACGGGCGCAGAATTGTGAGTGGCAGCAGTGATTGGGAAGTCTGCATTTTTGATGCACCTACTGGTCTTAAGGTTGCTCAGTTGCGAGGACACGCCCACTTGGTGCGTACTGTCCAGGCGGGATTCGGTGATCTGCCGTACAGCACAGCAGAAGACTGGGCGGAAGCCAAGGCGGTTGATGCTGAGTACATGCGCGCGCTTGAGGCTGGTGAGATTGACAATGCCATGGACCGAAGGCATAGGAGAGACCGTCGGGCAAATGCTGGAAGCTCTCGACCTCAGGATGTTCAGGCATATGGCGCCAAGGTTCCCCCCGGAGGTGGTGGAGGCAGAAAGTATGGTCGCATTGTATCTGGTTCCTACGATCAGAGCATCATCATTTGGCGACGCGACAAGGAAGGTGTTTGGAAGCCGGCAATCCATCTCCGACAAGAAGAGGCTGCAGCAGCTGCCCAGCGTGAGGCTGCGGCCAGCTTGTCGAGCGCAACGTCGAACGTCGCGATAGCCGGATCTCTGGGTAGTAGATCTTCACATTCGTCCACGATCGTACCACGATCTCCGCCTACGAGCGGCACTCCTCTCGGGCCTTTGATGCTGCGCGATCACCACGGGGATACCCAGCGAACGGCAAACTCATACCAGGTGCTGATCGACCAGGCGGTACCCCTTGGGCCCAGCTCGCTACAACATGTACTTGCAACATACCCGATTGTGCTGGCTCACCATTCCTACCTACAAACCGCCATTGAACGCGAGACATCGCCTTTGGTCCGAGCCCAGCTTAGAGGGGTGGTAACGGATGCTTTGGCCAACCTCCAAATCCGTCAAATGCCGATGCGACAGCAGTCGAGTTCTGGTAGTTCTCACATGTCCAGCGATAGCGGCCGTACCAACCCGAGATCCGGTCAAGCGCCTCATGCGGTGCCTGTTCCAGGAGGACCAGTTGCGCAACCTCCCGCTAATAACCACGCACAAGGTGCGCCTCCTGGACAACCAGCCCAACCTCCAATTCACAATGGCCATCATGCAGGCCATCATCCTCATATCGCCGCTGCCGAGAACACGTCAGCACGGGTCTTCAAGCTACAATTTGACGCGCATAAAATTATTTGCTGTAGTCAAACCCCAACGATTGTTGGGTGGGATTTCTGTAATAAGGATCCCGCATTGGAAGAAGCTGTCCGATTCTTTGCAACAGTCGACTAGATCTGTAATTCTGGACCATAAACGTATATCTCAGAAAGCATTCTTTTGAGCGAGGGAGTTGGGTTATATGGGCTTGACAGGGTCTTTATCGAGAATAACTGCAGAATCATCAAGAGTTCCATTGGCTACAGTACGATTGGATGTCTTGTGTGTACAAATGCGTACTGGACACCTGCGGATACTCAGGATCGATGTTCTTCAACAGGTAGAAACTACAAGTTTAATGTATTCATGACAATAATGGAAGAGTGAAATGATGTGCTTGGGTGACCCTACGAACCTAACCAACGCCGTGACAAGCAAAACCCATGTAGAAATCTCCGAGAAGTCCACCGTGATCCAGCAACGCCGTTCGTTAACCAGCAACCTGCTTCACCTTGTCCTCGGTCTGAGGAGGCTCGTCCACAAACTCTGGCACGACCTCATCCTGCAAGAAACCCGGCACAGCACCACCCATCTCATGCTCCATCTCGACCTCCATCCCCAACGCCTCCAGCTCAGCATCCAGCTCATCCTCCTCCACATCCTCAGGAATATCATAACTCCTCGCCAAACTCTCCTGAATCTCATTACCCACATCCATCAAATCCGCCATCTCATCCTGCAACCTCTCAATCTTATCAATATCAATCTTGCCATACTGCTTCTTCAGCTCCTTATTCGTCGTCTTCATCGCATCCACCTGCGTCATCACGTTCTTCAGGTTGTCCTGCATGTTGCTCGCCTGCTCCATGTTCCACACCTGGCTCTCGAGCTTGTCCTTCTCCGCCTCGTACGCCTTGCGGCGCTGCAGCACCTTGAGGGCTTTCTGCTTCATCGCTTGCTTTCCGGGGCCTTCGCGCATGCGGGAGAGCTTTTCTTGGTAGGCGCCGAGTTCGGCGTTGAGGGCTTTGAGTTTGGTGTCGAGCGAGGATATGCGGGTGTCGAGGTTGGTTATGGCGCCGTTGAGGGTGGGTTTGGGGCCCGCGGGCTTGGAGCCGAAGAGGCGGTTCATCTTGACGTTTGTAGAGGGTCGATGTTTATACAGAGATTTTCTGTTCGTAGAGTGAGAGTGTAGAGGGTAGATATGCGACGTGTGCCGTGTGTCGTGGAGGTAAGTGGTGGTTGTAAGGGTCGGAAATGGTGGCCTGGAGAGATGACGTTCACTGCGCACGCGGCTCAAATGGGTGGATGGGCCTGGAGCGAGCGGCGGGGCGGGGCGGACACCCCGCCTTGGATCTGAGACTCAAATCGAGCTACCCTAGAGCCAAAGTACGAAAATTCGAGAATCAGAGTTTGGGACACAATTTTGAGACACGTTGAGTGAATGAGTAATAGAAACATGTATTAAAAATATCTATATATGCTTTTGCAATAATACAGTAGTTTTCCAAGGCTAATCCAGCTCGTTTTTGGTGGGTTGTTGCAATTGTCGCATTCTGCATTAGAAGGACCCGCAGAAAGTAAACAAACATTCCTGTCAATCAGAAAAGACCCTGACCTGGTTTAGCACAACCGCTGGTTCCCGCTTATAATTCAGGGATTTTGATCACGGATGTCAAATTTAATGCTATTGTTCAGTTTGTGGTACTCGGAACGAACCTATGGCTTGAGCAAAGACGTGACCCATTTCTGGCTCGGGTGAGACATGCTATTACTCGACACGGGAGAAGTTCATTAGATTGCAACATCCAAGCCCAGGGCAAGGCGGTACGGCACTTCAGTGTCATTCATGAAATGTGATTGGTCTTCCGACTGTGTCAGTGTCTAACTCTAATCTACATCTTTAAGCATGTTCCAACGTCTTGGGTTTGACATATTGAGGCTTGATACATAATAATGGCAGAATCACCGTCGAATAATAAATACTGGCAACAAAATGGAGTAAAATCAATCTCATTTTAGACCCTATTGATCCTTGGCACTCTCATTTACTAGAGGTAGATCGTGGTGGTCTGTGGTTCGACAATGATCGCTAAGACCAAACGTAAATGTCATCTGCACCAGTGAATCAACAATTGAACAACAATAGCCAACAGGAACAAGAATCGTTGGCCTCACAGCAAGTAAAGTCTCAATTGTTTACTTCTGCTTGTCATTGACAGGCCATCACTGCTTGCCAGCTGCCAGCGGTGGACCCTGAAAGCGGTGACCACGCATGACCCACAATTATCTGGTGCCCACAGACGCGTCCGGAGCTCCAAGCCCAAAGCGCCTCCATCTTCGCAGCCCACATCGAAATTCATTCGCAAAACAAAACAAACTCTCAACTTCTTTGCGCACCAGCACTTGAATTCACCAACGAACTCTTCACGAACTCAACTGCTAATTCGCAAACACTTTCATCACAGTCTTCAGCTTCTTCAAGCCTTTTTTTCACACTTTTCGCATCCTCTTCGCATCGTTACCCCGTATCGCGGGAGGTTTGTTTACTTTAAACCTTCTCTTCCGCGCTGCATCTTCGCGATGGCGGCTGCGGACGTCCCCAAATGGGGCTTTGGGCAAGAGCCAATGCAAATGTGAGTATATACTCTGATCGTGAAGCTACCATGTCGTCTCTTGAGAATACTGACATTTTATTTGCAGCAAACCTGTTGCGGCCGACTTCATCCCGCATTTCACGACAACTGGCGACACTCGTGTCGACGCAGGCAAGACGTAAGTTTGCTCGACCGTTGAACTCAAAACAGCTTTGCTAACGGTTCTACAGATTCCTCAACTTTGGAAACTTTGCGTTCAAGCAGTCTCTTACCCGACCGCCTGCGTGGGAACGTGTCCCTACACATTCGCTTGCTGCTCCCAGCTCGAACCGACAGATCATGCGCCGAGTTACAGTCTCCAACGAACGACAGCCTGCTGCACCCTTCGTCATGTTCCCAAACGTCTCTGCTGTTCCTGTTCCTACTCGTGAGGAAATCGGGTTCGACCTTACTCTTCCTCGCAAAGTACAACGCCGACAATCCTACCAACCTGCCTCTAGGGAAGCAGTGTTCGAAGATATGTTGATGTTCTCACATGCACAACACATGCACAATCTCATGACAGCCAAGGGTAAGCAAGTTCTCAAAAATTACGCCGATTTTTACTGACATTTTATCTAGTCGGTGTCGTGAACAACCTTATCGAGACTCACTCTGGTCATACACGTGAAGACATGGAAGCTGCCAACCGAGGAATCGCACAAATCGTTCCGCTCAAGCGAGTTGCTAGACTCATCAGTACCGATCTTGTCGATACAGACAGCTCTCCTGTTTCCCTGGTGCCCGCCAGAGGTAACCGATTGAAGCTGTACAACGATATGCTTCTTAAGATCCAGGCTGCCAACCGATCAGGAAAGGAGTCGGTCGATCTCGGCACTGCGTCTATCGCAGATGTCTCTACCGCACTGCGAAACAGTCGCCGGGATCCTCGAAAGCGCCTCGCTGCTCTTGGCGAGACCGACCTCTCCGTCATCATGGATGAGGATGAGCCAGAGAGTCCCACCGTTGTTCATGAGCCTGTTCTCTTTCCCGAGTCCCGTTCTCCCTCGAAGCGACTTGCTCGTCTCCTCACCAGCAAGGCCATCAAGAAGGGCGTTCTGCGACTTTCTGGCGGGTTTACCAAACTCCTCCCAGGCTCTCCCAGCAAGACTCTTGGCTCTCCTTCCAAGTCTTCTCCTTCCAAGTCGAAGCGTGCTTCCTCACCTCTCGCCCAGCGTTCTAGCCCCATCTATGGATCTGCTGCTGTCAAGGACAACATGTCCACTGAGTCCGTCGCTGACTCTCCCACCCGTCCTGGTCGAACTTTCCGAGTGCCGTCTGAGTGCGACTCATCTTCTTTCGAAGATACTGGTCTCCCGGAGACCCCTAACAAGGCGTCTTCGCCTGTCATGAACTACTCGCGACCCATCGCTCCCACTCCTTCTCAGTGGAACCGACCTGAGCCCTCAACTCCCGCCACTCCTGCTGCCCAGAGTGCTCCCTTCAACCCCGTCACCCCTCAGCAAACCGACAGCCCCATCGGTCTCGCTGCCCTTCTTCCTGCCATCCTTCCTCCCTCCACCCCTCAGCCGCAAGGCTGCACACTTGAAGTCCCTAGTGTGTCTTTCGAGTTCGGGAAGTTATCCCCTTTCCGTAGCTCTAACTCTTGGATGCTTCCTTCTCCTCTGGCCACTGAGCCCAATCGTATCAAGACCGGTAACCAGGCGCGCCGTCGTCGGAGCGAACCTCTGCTCCGCAAGTTTCTTGACACCCAAGCTCGTCGTCTCTCGGCTTCTCCGCAAAAGGTCCAATTCCAACAGGAGGCAATCTTCAATGATGATATTTCTATCGCCTCGCTATTCGACATCACTAATGAGTCCCCTGCGAAGGTCGCTGCCATCGATGCAGCCGACGAGACTTCTGGCCTCGATTCCACTACCTCTCTACCCAACGAGCCTGCAGCTGATAGCGCGGCAGAGCACACTCTTCCTCTTGGCACTACCATGGAGGAGAGCGTTGCTAACGAGGCAGATCCCATTGAGGCAGCCAAACCTACTGAAGGCGGGTCTGGGTTGGGCTATGCCAGTGTTCTCACTGAGAACCTCTGGTTGCGGGATCTCAACTCTTCACCTGCACCCGCCCATTCCGACCGACGTGACGAGCAGCCCAGTACCATGCAGCCACCCACTACCGTTGCCGAGTCACCTGTCACCCAAACTCTCGCTTCTGAAGAAGGTGTTGTAAATATTGATGTCCGGGAGAACCCTGATATTTTCGGGACTCAAATCTCATCACCTCCTGCCCCTGCCCCTATACAGAATCTTTCTCACATGGCCGACGACGCCTGCAATGGCCACGCTAAGGTCGTGATCACTGAGGAAAACGGTAGACTCTTTGTCCGATTTAAGCTGTCGGCCAGATATGCCCACATGTTCCCTGCAAGCCAAGGGTTCAACGATTCTCTCTCGTTCTCTCCCTCCGTCGACATTTCTACACCAAGACCCCGACCTGTCGACTCCACCGTACAGACTCCTGATCTCAATAGCTTCGGTGACTTTGCCAGCCCATCTCCCAGCGTAATCCAGACCCCCGAACCTCAATCTACCGAGTCGCTCCTCAAGACACCTGATATCAGCGGTGTCGGTGTCATCGACCGCTCCTCCCCCGGTGAATTTGATACACCTGAACTTCCTCAGAATGATAACACTCTTGTCTTTGGCGAGCCTGCAACAATCGACCGACCTTCTATCCGACGCGCTCCTCGCCGTCAGAGTGAGATAACCCCCTTAAAGCGTGCTGCAAGAAACGCAATGGGTATCTCCAAGGGGCCTGCCACACCCCGGTTTTCGACACCAGCCGCAGATGATGGAGACCGCACATTGACCATACCTTGGGATGATGAAACACCTGCTCGGCAGGTTGACACTCCAGCAGCTCCTCCTATTCAGGAGGCAGAAGCCGCTGCTGCTGTCAATAATGGTAGCCAGGACTTGGACAGCCCAAATCGGGATTACTTGCGTGCTTTCATCAACCAAAATCGCCGAACTACCGCTTCCGCTACCGTTACTGCTACCGCTACCACCAACGAATCCTCGACTACCCCTGCCACAAACACCACCACCACCACCCTCACACCCGCCGCAGAAATCACTCCTGCCGCCACCACAACTGAGGCTGGGTCCCCAATCGCACCGGTTACAAAGCGCCAGCCTCTCGGGGCTCGAAGCCCTAATAGGGGTAGTCCCATGAAGACTAAGCGTAAGGCCGATGGCGACAGGGAGGAAACATCTCCCGCTAAAAAGACGAAGGTCGACGCGGCGGTGGAGGCAGCAGGGTCGATCCGGAAGGTCACTCGAAAGACCAAGGCTAAGCGCCAGAAGGCAGAGTTGGCTATCGACATGACGGATCTTCCCTCTGCCTCCTCCTCCGACACTCCCAACCGCAAGCAGGCTGACGATCTTGCCACCAACGTATCAGTCACCCGCCGATCATCTCGGCTCCGAAGCCAAGAGCACCCAAGCAGTACCCCCAAGTCGTCGCTGCCTACTCCCATCAAGCTCGGCCGAGCCGGTGCTGGCCGTAGCCTCCCAAAGAAGGCTCGCAGCGAGGAGGACGAGTTGGCTCGCAAGACGAGGGCCAACACCAAACGTAACATGGGTAACGCCGAGTTCCCTGCCGAGGTCCTCGTTAGAATTGCGGACGAGGCAGAGAAGGACTCAGACCATGGTCACGAGTCGGAGAGGCCAGCCAGTGGTCGACGTGTGGGGTGGAACCAGCCCCTTGAGAAGGTGCAGGGAGAGGAGCCCAAGAAGGGGCGGGCCAAGGGCAAGGCCACACAAGGACAGACGGGCATCTCGAAGCCCAAGGCGAAGCGGGCCACCAAGGTGGCAGCGGATCTGGGCATGGTGGCCAACGGCACACCCGCCAAACCCCAGCGCGTGACGCGTTCCAGCGCACGCTCTGTGGTTTGAGCACCCAGAAGTCTCCCAACGGATATGGAGACAGCTGCCTTGGTGCTTGGCGGCTTTGCTTTTGTTTTCACGATTTTTTGCTTTCGACATGTCAACGCTGGCACCAGTTGGTGCACAAGAACAAGGACAACGACGACTTCTTTTGGCGGCGTTCGGGAGGGAGGGCTCCCGAGGCCTTTGGGCGAGTTTTCACGAGTGCATGAAGCATTGCGAGGCGTTGGTGGTTGCGCAAAGATACCACATTCTAGAAGTTTTTGGGACCTGTTTTCGGTGGACGACGCAGGTCTGTGTACGGGTTTAAAGTCCTCGGGATGAGGCTGGAAAACATAGATGCCCGGGATGGGCCATTGTACGAGAATAAGACTTGATTCACTCATGGTATTGCCTTGCTTTGTGATTTGCCAGATGTGATTTATGTAAAGTACTTGTTTAATATGCTAGCAATGGAGGTCTAGTTTATCGTCCACCTGTGTTATAATGGTCGGCCGCTGCCTATGAGCCCAAGTCTAAGGTAGTATTGGGACTTTGACAAGCAAGTCTTTACGGGTGAACAGTAGCAAAGTCTATAGTCAAGTGGGAACAATCTATGATTCATATCTATCTAATTGGTAAACCTAAGTCTTTATTTGTGATAGAGACAATATTAATCGGTATGATGTCAAAAATGCCAGGGCTAAGATAGCTCGGAGTAGACAGCCTCATCAGATATTATTGTTGTGTCTTGATCACGAGCGATTTCTACACGGGAAAGCCATTATGCTCGATGGTAGGTATAATGCCATCTTATTAAGCAGGTATTTCTGTGTCATTCCAGGGCATGGTCAAAGTGCAGTCTCCATCATCTGCGTTCGGTGTTGGAAGATATGGGTGTATCAGGCCTATAGGAGATACGGAGGACTTTCGAGTGATCTTGCGGATCGGCCCTGCTGCCTCCATCGCCGCGTCAACCTTCGTCTCTTTAGCGGGTGACTTGTGCCCTCGTGCTTCCGCCTTGCCTTGATCGGGATGGTAGTTTCGACGCGATGCTCCTTAGTTTTATGCCAGAGAACTATTCCCCATTCCGGGTGGGTGAACGTCGCCTTGGGTGCTCAGCTCAGCTATGAGATGGTTGGCGGCACTGGGTTCTCAGTTGTCAACGTTATAGCCTTGGTCCTCGTGTAGGTCTTGCACTTCCAGTCTTGATACTGTTCTCCTGGACTGAGACTCGGACTGAGACTGCCTGTCGAGGATGCTCCAGGTCGAAGCGCATATAGTCATTGCTCTTGAACATGTCCGGGCTCGCTCACAGGCTGATGGGCGTCGCGCCCTTTCGCATTTTGCGTCCGTAATTTGACGAACATATCCTGACGTCTGCTCTTGGTCCTATCAGCCTGTCTTCTCTGCTTCAGAGAGAAGTGACTGGTCTCTGGCGACGTGGTCACAAGAAGCCAACAGGAAGCATGGCACCTGGCGAGGATCACCAACTCATGAGGACTGTGGAAAGCCCAAGCATTAAGAGCGGTCTTATATCCGGCCAGACCGACCTCGCCTCCTGTGTCGTTTGCATGCTCTGGCCCATTCCGGGCTAGTCAAATAGGGAGTAATAATGATAGTAAAGTCGGACTCGAACTGAGTTGGTGTTGATTAACTCTTCATGTCTAGAAATGTCTCAAGGGTTTGGCGATTAGCTATGAATCAAATACTGGCAAATCTAGGCGCTATATTGTTGCTGTCCACCGGATCTTTATACTATAAATGGAGAAAGAGACATCCTCCCATGTTTCGTGTCCAAGTTGGTTATCGTGAGGCGGTGATGTTAAACGTATCTCCAATATGGGTATACATTATATATATGCGATCGCAAGTCTTGAACTTCACAAGACCGAGATATAGTATACTCTGGCTAAGAAGTATAGTAGCTGCTATACCACCGAATCTAGCAATTGGCCTACCGAAGTGATTGGTAATATGGAATGACAGGCGGTTAAGTAACGCCTTGGCCTTGTCCGTCGTCATCCGGGGGGTTATAACATCAGAGAACCGTAGGAATTCGAACTTATTATACTTACGCTTCGACGAGTCAGCGTATGCGTATGCGATCGAGGGGTTCTCGCCAGCCTTCTTGTAATGCTCCACGTGGACGACATGGTGGTTCTCTTTGGCTTGATTCGCAGCCTTTTGACGATATAATAGGTGGTGTCAATGCGATATGAGTCAGGCTTGGCCAGCACGACTACAGCCTGTGCATCATCTTTGATGTCCGCAAAGTTCAGCTGTATCTTTGGAACGCCATCCTGTGTCGAAGGGCTGGCCGTGGGTATATATAGTTTTGGATGTTATCCATGCTGCTGCTAAACCAGACATAGCTCTCGCTGAAGCAACCTGTTTCTTGCGGGATGATGACTCATTCAGCTTTCTTTTGCCGCCAGGCCTCAGCCAACAGCCGCTCTGAGAGATTAGATAGATCCCTGTCCTGTATCCAAGGACATTGCTAGGGATCAGTGCAAAGAGCTTCGTATATTCGGACCTTGTTCTGAATCGTTGATTTGAAGCGGTTTTGCAGGCGATTCAGTGCCTCCCTGCTATTCTTTAGCACCAGCTGAGCCACAACCAGGACTAGACCCAAAGTTTAGGAGGTGCGATATGTTTCTTTTGCAGGGGAGAATCAGTCCTTCTATATGGATGTGCCATCGGTCGTAGCTCTGAGATGATCTCTCAGTCTATCACCAACTCGCGAAATGCGTCATCCATTGCATCAAGTGCATCGAATATATCAGGCCCCCAAGGGCATTTGGCTCTGAGGTCCTCCAGTTTGGTGGAGCATTTTTCCCATTTTGCGTGAGTGAGCTCTTCGCGGGTCCAGTCAGGTAGTGTAATTCTGCAGGGAGCATGGTAAACGGAGGAAGCCACTTGACGGGAGCTATTCACAAATGAGTAGAAGCTCATGTGTTGTTATACATAAGACTTGGGGGAAGCCTTCATACAGTGGGGTGATTGATGGGTTCTCACGGTCTGGATTCTCCTTGCTTTTAGGTATCACACTGCTAGGTGATTCTTTGCTTTTGCTCTCATCGTATGTATAGTATAGCTGCCATCGACAATTAAGGAGTTGTAGATGTAGAAATATATGCTCTGTTGGTGGTACAAGGTTCTCTGAAGATGTGTCCCAAGGGGAGAATCTGTCCAAGATGGCTGTCAACGCCTTCGTCTTCAACGTGTTCGCATCGAGGAAGCAATTTGGCTGCTTCCCCTTGGCCTTCTCTGTCCGGTTCGGGGTTCACATTATCCCAAGATAGTATGTTCTTCCACGCTTAAGTCCTATTTAGGACTCGGAATCTCTCATCAACATACTTCTTACGGTTGCTAGCTGGCCATCTATGTAGGGGGCCGATGCCTGTTGAATCATCCAAAGGTGGGTTGTAGCGAAACGAAGACATAATCGAGATCCGGTATAAGCCCATGCCTGACAAGTGTATTAATGATAAAGAACACGAACGAAATAGGGGTATATATATGTGTTGTTTCAAGCCTTGCTGCAAACTGGATATAGCTGACACCGCCTAGTATAAATGATTTGCCCCTTGCTTCAACACCACAGATCGATAGTGAAATTCGATGGCTGCTGGAGATTCCAGACATTTCAAGCCTGGAAACGCGTTATCCGCAACAGCTTTGCTGCTAAATCTTGTTGGATAATAGTATAGTGGAATGTAACTCGGTTTATACGTTGCTCTCAACTTTGTTGCATTATGAGCGTATATGGCGTCGACTAGCGCAGAGACTTTATCCCAGCTCCAGAGTGGAGGGAGATGCTAGCCATCCGTACTTCGAAGTCTGCCACGTCGATATTATAATATAACCGATTCGCGCTTCGAAGAACGTCTCCAACATACCATTATTGCTGAGTTAGTACAGAACAGACACTTCCGCAGGCCCTTTCGCGTTGGCTTCTGCATCACTTTCGCAATGGCCATAGAAGATACAGAGTATGATGAACTCTGCAAAGTGTTACTGCTATCTTTGGAAATGTATAATGGATTGGCGCCTTGCTCTAATGCCATGGAGCGATATTGCCTTGTCGATGGCCTTAGACAGTCCAGCTAGCTACGCGTTATCTGCTCCAGCTTTGCCGGAGGAATCAGTCGAGCAGAAACCCTGGGTGACGCAAAGCCTTGCTGGGTTTGATGCTGTGGGCTTGAACATGCTACTCTGGTGCTGTCCGAGGTAAATAGCAGGTGATGCTCAGCATTCCCCATGTTATTGCTTTTGCTGACCGCTGCTTTGTGAGTTGCTCCAAGGCTCTGTATTGGCCATGAGTTAGCATTGATACAGAATTCATCATATGGGATCGTTCTTTACTTACCTGTTACTAAGTCCCCACGTAAATGGGAATATAATAAGACTGTATCAATTCTGGTACGTCGGTGTTCTTCTGTCGCTGGTGCGCCGAAGCATCCTTTGGCTCCTTGGTGGTCGCGCTGCTTGTCCTATCTCACATCCTAGGGCCCGAGAACCTAGACTGTACCCCTGGAAGGAATTAGACTTCCGTACTCGCTTGTATTGTTTTAATGTTTCGGTACGTCCTGTGGGGGCTGTGAGTTCAGCATTCGACTTGAAGGAACCTTTCTGTGAATCGCTTTCTCGGCTTGGCTTGACATCCGTGGTCTTTAATATATAGGACCGAGGAAGGCACTGGCGGTTACTGTCTTTGACTGCCGTCTTCATGTCCTCATCTCCCTCGACATCTTGTGATCTCCTCTCTAACCACGGTCTGAGCCCCGCAAACCCAGAGACAAGTTTTCATTTCTCACAGAACTCCTTGGCCGCTGTATATTGCGCCTCTAGCCAGGCTTTTTACTTGTCTAATTCGCCGACACTTTCACGACAGCGGTGCTAGCATGGAGCAGATCTTTCTTGCAGCCAGAAGCGTTTCCGTTATACGTGGCGCCTATGCGCTGACGTTTCTGAAACGGCGAAAGGACTTGGGAAAATGTCGAGTCGGTATGAGATGGGACCTACAAGCCTGATAGGGTGTCTTTGTCGATTTTCTCACTCGGACCATTTGCAGGTCTCTCGTGAGCAGTATGTATGTATATATGACATGGTACCAGGGGTTCGTCTCCATAACATCAACTATAGAGAATCGTTAATCGGGGAATACTATCAGAGTAAATAGTTTAGTGGAAGACTTACTGGAGGCTTGATTATATGGTAGCTCGGAGAAGATGGACTCCTTGTGCCGAGGAGTAATCTGGAGATTTTCGATTTCATCGGCTAGTAAAGCATTGCTGGTAGTGGCAGGGGCGTGGCAGTCCTTGATGAGTTCGAAAGGTGTATTCCACTGTCCTTCAAGGATGTTGCCTCAATTTGAGCAACCTTCTGATCGAGCACGGCGTTGGTCATCGCCAATTCGGGATCCGGAGTCTGGGTGAATGCTACCTCTCCAAGGGGCTCGGCCAGTGCTTCAGGAATTCGAATGCAATGTAGGGCGCCTGGCTGGTAGGGCTAGGGAGAAACGAGTCCCAGAGACCGCTGAGTGTGAGATAAAACGCCCACCGGAGGCCATCGGTTGGGTCATCCATTGCGACCCTGTTCATCTCGGAGGTGTCTGCTCTGGCATGGGCTCGCTGCCGACCGAGTGCTGCCTCCTTGCGCTTTTTCTCGGACAAGGTGAGAAGCTTCGAGTTGTCCTGCGGTCTTGTTTTGGTTGGATGGGGGGCCTGTTTTTGATATTGCGGTGGCGGACATGAGACTTGATGGTTGTAGTATTTCCAACAAGCTATACGCCTGCTGGTTGAAATCATCGATAAACTCATGAGGGGTGTCTTGTGATGGAGGGAAGGCATTCCAGACAGGCAGTCTCGCCCACCTATTGCTCAGCTCCTCTTGCTGGGGTCTGTCGACCACCATAGGTCCAGTTGGATCCCCTGGAGGTTATGCAGAGCACTCAAAGAGCTGGCAATAAGCTGTGACAGGACTAACTCGGCGTGGGGTCCCGGAGATGGGTGGCCGTGTTCAACTTCGATGATGATGTATCTGGATCTTATGTTAGTAGAATACCATCTTTAGTAGATATGACTTACTTTATGGCATAAAAGATTGCCATTATTGTGGAATTCAGCTGGTAGGAGATCGACCATTGCCTGCGCCTGGAGCTCGATGTTTCTCTTGCCACCTCTGATCATAGGGCTTCTCAGGATCGAGGAGGGCTTGGTCGCGGGGATCAAACGTCTGGAGTACCCCCTCATGAACACCGAAGTTGAGTGTGGCCCCCGACTGAGCGACATTTCCAGCATGCCCTTCATCTCCATTATCCCCAGCATTATTATATAGCTTAAATGCTTCTGATGCTCCACGTTGTGACCGACTTGGCCTTGCTGGTGAGTAGTGAGAGTGTTGTGTTTTGGAGGTAGTGGCTTGTCGATATGAACAGCTGCCTGAGAATATTTTTCTTTAGATAAAGTTGATGAAGGATGGTTTGGCACCTCATTGGATCCCTAAGGAGCTGGCAACAAGTTGCGGGAGCACCAGCTCGGCTTGAGGCCCTGAGGATGGGTAACCAGGCTCTACCTTAACTTCGATGTGCCTAAATCTTATGTTAGTAGCGTACTATTCTCAGTAGATAAGACTTACTTTATGGCAAGGATGATATCATTTGTTGACGATCGGTTTCGCATGAGTCTGTGAACTCCTGGAACTTTATCCAACAAGTATATCACCCAGTTGATTGCGCCATTGTTGACGGCATGGTTTGTACTTTCGAGGTGGTTTATGTCCACAGGGGAGGATTACTCCCTGGTGGGTTTCTCTATTCTTGTTTTGGGGCTGTCCGCACAAGACATCTATATCATTCAGTTGATAGGTTGGCTTTAAGTCAACATAGGCAACGTTCTTCTTGTAACAAGGGTTACCTTCTCTTAGTTGTTGTTCTGGACTGAACAAAAGAAGAGAATGGACGGAGAAGTATAATCTACAAAAAGGAATGGACAGGAGGAGCATGCAAGTGTTATACTATAGAGTTAAGTAGTTGAGGAAGTTCAAAGCCTTCAGCGTTCTCAAGAGCTCTATTTATACTTTTCCCAGCTTAGTTTGCATCTAGGCAGCATCTATACAGTCTCTCATCACCATATCATTCACATCATCACCAAACTCCATCACCAAACCCCAACTACCATCACCATCATCATCACCAAACCCAAACCCAAACCTCATCTTCATAACGCCCCCAAACTCCAAAAAGGTTGTCAAACCCTCTCAAAGCCCAACAAGGATTTCTCATCCCATCCTCCACGCGTCCACAGTCTAAATAAAGCACACATCCCCGATATGAATGCACATACCCGTTTCAATCTCACACAAGCTCACTCCTCACCACCTCTCACGCCACAAGATACTCAATACAAATACAATCAGGAAAACCCCTCACGGAAACCCGCATCATAGTGAAACGCCAGATCTGCTGTCAAAACCACGGCTCATCCTTCCCTTCCCCGACGCCATGAAACGAAACAAAAAGCCCCCCCTCTCTGTGCTCACACTGCCATCGTGTAACCCATTTGTACCACTCTGGCCTTGACACTTTTTTGCCACATAAATGATTAGAATAAAAACTGCATCTAGTGCCGTCATCACTCCAAACCAAACCATCCAATAAGCAACCTCACAAAAATCATGTTCTTTTTGCTAAACTCGTGTTTGCTGAAAGAGAGGTGGGGGGTACAGCCATGGTCGCTTGTGGAGGGTCGCGTCGTGCCGCGCTGTGGTATCACCACATCTTCAAATGCAGTCTAGAGTAGAGTGCTTACCAACTAAAGAGACGACTCGATTGATGGATTGTTTGTCCCTCTTCGCTTGGATGACCCGTGTTTGGACCACAGCTCCAAGGCATATTCCACGACATGGGCTGTCAGTCACAGTTGAGACACACGCAAGATAGTTATTTTGATTCTTTTGTATTATTCTTTTTGCTTTGCTTCACTAATCTCCTCGTCACCAAGGTTTTCTTACCAAGGCCGGAGAGCTGTCCAAGTTTTGACAGCCATTAATATCGTCCCCTCACCCTCCGCCAGTTTCCAAACCAGATACGCCAAATAGTGATCCCCCCATGATACATACACATGATTGTACACGCTCATCCCCCTTTGTGACATGTTCTCCCTTGATTTCAAATCCATCAAATCAACCCATTACTTGCTTGCGTCTGCAATGTCCGGGGATAAATGTTTGTAATGTGCGCTGTGCTGTCTTGTGTTTGTGCATTGCATCCTTGTGTCAGGTTGCCAATGTCGTGCACTCCAGTTTCATGGCGGGGAAAGCAAAATGTAAAAAGTAAAAAAAAAGAGAAAAAAAAAGGCAAATCCAACTCCTGCAAGCTAGAGCTGCGGTGCATGCTCTGTTCTGCTCACTGTTCTTTGTTTTTGTACCCCAGGTCCAGGTCCCGTCTAAACTTTTTCGTCTTCTCGATTCGCTTTGCTTTTCGAATATCCAGGTTTCCCTCTGTTCAACGCCCCGCACTTCCCATTATGTACACTTCTAAACAATAAACAATAATGTCCAAGCCCCCTCCCCACGGAGAAGGCCAAGGTCGTATGTTGTGCCGTCGTGGCTATATCGGGATCGGTGTCCCAAAAAATAAAAAGGAATGACATGAGTCGGGGTATCTCTGTAAAAAATAGTGCAAAATAGGACATGAAAGAAGTAGAAACGCCAGCAACCCCATGATAGCTGGCTTTATCATCCAACGACTTCTAGTTTGGTCTAGTCGTCATCGTCGTGGCAGTCATTAAAATGGTCGTTGATCCCATGTTCCAGTTCGTGTTTGCTGGAGGGGACCATTATTTTCGCAGGCCGACTTTGCCTGCGAGGTTCTTCCAGAATCGTGCTCCCTTGCGCTCTTCGCTGTGCGTCCGTAGCATTACCTCGTCTCGTTGCATGGGTCCTACAATGTCTTCGTCGCCTCGGGAGGGGAACTTGCCATCCGCATCCACCAGTCGGGGAATTGCGCTGGGCAGTCCATCCTCAAGGCGCTTCCATTGCATATCCGCAAAGACATCGTCCATGGGAGGTGGTCGGCCAAGGATGGAGCCGCCGCTATTGGCCCGTGATCGTCCGCGGCCACGGCTGCGGCTTCGTGAGGCGCTTGTCGAACCAGGAGCAGAGCTGGTAGCTTGCACAATCTCCGACATAAGTCCGTCATGGGTTGACCTCCATCGCCTCTCAATGTCGGCCCATTTGGCCTCAGTAAGAGCGTAGATCTTGCTGGTTTCGCCGTAGTTCTCGCCAGTGCGCACTAAGTGCTTGGTGTAGTTACATCGTGCTGCGTCCCAGTCGTTGCGCAACTGCTGAAGGGCCTCCATGTTCACAGTCTCGGGTTGATAAGGCTGCGGTGTGATGGTGAAGTTGGCGTGACCAAGGCGATCCGACCACTCATCGTGCTCCTGCAGGATCGAAGGGAAAGGGATCGGAACCTCAGGACTGTTGGAACCAAATCGGAAGGACGACACTGAAGGCTTTGTGCTCAGAGAAGGTCTAGGGAACTGTGTTGCAGAAGGGACCGGTGACGGTACTTCGGTAGTCGCAGAGGGTGGTGCAATGGTAGGCGATTGTAAAGGTGACTCAGGCGGTGGGCCGCTCAGTGGGCTGGTCATTAGAGGAGGTAGTAGAGGGGTGGTGGCCAGTCCTCGTTCTCGCTCAAGGTCGGCTTGCTCGACAAGAGCCTGCGCCTTCTCAATGTCGATGGGCGCAGGAAGGTTGATACTCTCGGTGCTGCCATAGTAGGATACTGCCGGGGTGGGAAGTCCAGTGTTTTCCAACATGCGCTCCTTTCCAGGTCGGCTGGGCGCAGACATGGACGACGATCGACTAGAAGGACCTCCAGATAGTACAACGCTCTCCAAGCTGAGCTCGGTGCTAGGTGAGAGCATCGGGTTGCCCCTGCGGGTGTTGGGGTTCCAGCGCGTGAGACTAGGGAAACGGGCACCAATTCGTGACGTTAGTCCAGCAAAGGGTGACTCGCTACCGGATCGCTTCTTGCGGGATCGCTCGTCCATGGAGGTGTCACCGTCACTCAAGAAACCCATGTCGTAGTCGATATCGTAGTCGCGGACAATGTCTCCATGGAACATAACATCTTCGGAACTATTTCGGGGCTCACACAGGTTGTCGCCTACACGGGAAGGGTATGGGTCAGTAACTCCACGATCACCAAGACGAAGACGGCAGGCCAAGCACGATTTCCCGGAAGATACGACAGCCTGGCCAGGCGGACGAGACATACACAAACAGTCGTAGAGACTAAACTGGTCCGAAGGGGAAAGACTATCACGGTAGCTGCTCTCTGTGTTGTCTGTGGTGGTGTTGTGTTCAGGTTCCAAAGGTTCTTCTTGAACATCGGGCAATGACCGCATTGGGGGTTTTGTGTGGACCGATTGAGTGGGCGATACAGGAGTCTCGTTCAATTGCGGTGGGAGATCGAGAGAAGAAGTCGAGCTCGACATTCGAAAGTGACCCTTTCCAGGGGAGAAGGTAGGTGTGATTGGAGAGGTAATGTCGGAGGAGGACGAGTTTGTTGTGTAGTAGATGTAGGAGAGGTCGGTCTCGGGGCTACCTTGTTGTACCTCCCACTTACGGCGCTCCTCTACCAACTGCGGGAGAAGCAGCGGCTTGAGCCTTGGCGACATGATGTCGGCCTTGACGGTCGAGGCCGTTATGATTGCGAAGTTGTCGAAAAGACGAACGACTGCGTTTCCCTTCTGCTGTCTATGGTGTTGTTGTTTTTTGTTTTGGTGTTGGGGAGAAAAACATAAGAAGAAGGAAAACAAGAAAGTTGGAGGGATGCCTCGGGAGGTGGATGTTGATAGAGGCAGTGACACAGCGGCCAAGTTGGGTTAGCCTCGTGTAGTCTTTTGGGAGCGAAGGTAGTCGCTGTCTGTCTGTCGGGCCAAGTGGCGGCGGATCCGGGGACCGGGGGTGCTTCTCTTTTTTCCCACTGAGACTCAGACCGGGGTGGGATTCTGGGAGGGAGGGTATGGATGTGGATGGGCGAAAGTGAAAGTGGGCAGGTGAACAAGACAAGGGTGCAGAAGCTAAAGCAAGGCGGGTCTTCTCAAGCCCAAGCCTGAACAGACTCTCTTGGCCTGTCTCTCTCCTCTCGCAACTATTTTTCTTGTCTGCGTCTGAGCGGAACAAAAAATGGTGGGGAACCGTTGGGTGGGAGTCAACGAGGAGACGGTTCCCGATGGTGGATTTTTTTTCCTGCTCCAAGTGGGCTGTGTCCAGCAGAGACTACCTTAGGGCGGGGACTGACTCTGGTGGTTGACTCTGGCTCTTGTTTTCCTGTTGATGTTTGGGGTGGTTGAAAAACAAACGATTTCTGGTTGCTGGTTACGTTTTTGGCTTTAGCTCGTCGTTTGAGAGGTCCTGGTTGGTTGTCCTCGTGAGGGCGGGTGTGTGACTCGTAACAAGTGATATCGATGTTTGGCTGTATCAGATGTATTCAATGACGACAGATGGTCGACAAATGTTGGTAGAGGTGCTGTTTGATCAAACAAGGAGTCGACAAGGGAGAGAAGAAATTATCCGGGCATGACGCTCGTTTATTATCAAAGGGTGTGAGGAGGTTATGCATGGGGTGATTGACTGCTGATGAGTTCTTGGGCGTCTGTCTCTCCGTGTATGCGAGCGACTCTTGACTGTCTGGGCAGGGCTGGGACCACTACGCGGTAGAGCACAGCACAGCGCAGCACAGCGCAGAGCAATGACAGGGCCTTGCGAGTGAGAACAAGCGCTCGGTCGTCCACGTGTTATTGAACCGAGGATTGGGCGTGACTACATATCAAGTGTTGGCCGTCTACTCAGAACCGCGGCTGTATCTTTAAAGTGATAAGGTGTTATCGTGGTGTTGTACTCTATGTATAAAATATGCGTATGTAATGTAATGTACGTCTGTCCACAGGTGGTGGAGGGTGAGGTGATGCTGTGCGGGTGGACTTGGTGACCGGTGAGATGGCTCTCATCTTCGGTACAGAGTCGTTCCGTTGTGCCTCTCTTCAATGATCCCTCTCCAACTGCATAATGGAGTCTGTAATGACAGGCGGTGATGGATTAACTCTACCCGACGTTACGTTCTCAACATGCAGTGCAGTCGAAGCTGCGTATACCTCTTGTTCGATTGCAGGGATAAAAAGGTTGGCTGACGTTCGAGCTCTGGGGCACGGAAGCGGGGGAAGAGCCCTGACGAACCGCCGCTGTGCTTCTCCTCTCGCGGCTGGTGTTAAATTGTTTCTTTTCTCCTGCAACTCTTGACAAGGGTTCAGTCTGTGACGTGGGAAAATAAGGTGATGAGGAGATGAATCCTGGAAATCCACTGGTTCAGAGACTGGCAGCTGTTCAAAACCTGCTCGTCCTGCTGTGAGACCGTACAGCAGCTTACAGTGGACGCTTACAGCACGTACAAGATTTTACAGTATTTTTTTTTTTTTTCTTTCAGAGGGCTTCAGGGAAGTGGGGCCATGCTTCCGCGGTGGACATCCAGTGGGGAAGGAGGTTGGGTCAAAAGCCTAAGCACAGAGGTTCAATGCAACAGTAAGGGCTTACAGTGGCTGGGTTTATTCAGAGCGACAGAGTCACGATGAGGAAGGGGAACTAGCCGTGCTCTGATGAGGCTGTCCGTGTTGTTTACATGATCGACAGAACGGCAACCCGAAACAATCACATTGATATTGACCTTATAGACAGATGAAACAATGGCTGCAGAACATGCACGGGCAAAGAAAAGCCTAACCTTGACTTTGACCTAACTTTTGAGTCAAACGTAGACTGCAATAGCAGGACCGTACGAACGATATTCGATTGGGGGGAACCGCATGGACCCTGAAAGGGACAACAAACCAGAGCAGCCAAAGCCAGTATCCATCCATGACCGAGAGGCTTTGGTACTTAGTTACAGGGGTCTTCCCTTCGACAATTGCTAATCGATGACGGTGCAAAGTCAATTCAGAGTTTGTGTTTGTATAAGCACTTTATACACAAACATAATTCCTATTGCTGTCTGTTTATGCAATGCACAATCAGTTTTATGCTTCTGTGGCTCAAACGTTGGAAAACCGTTTTGTGTAACTCCCGAATTGGTAAGAGCTGGAATGCATTCCCTGAATGCAAAGCTGGGAGCTTTGCTTTCACATGGAAGCGATAGCTCTAGCTCCCCCTCCTGCCATTGGATGCAAAGATGATCACTCTCTGGAGTTTTTTTTTTTGGTTTGTTTGTTTTACCCGCATTCCAATTCATTGACCTCATCGTTTTTGCCGATCACGTTTCTTTTTTTGCTAGCAATCAATTCGAAGCTCAAACTCTGTATCATTCTCATTCTTACCAAAATTTCCTCATTGAAACTTTGCGTTCCGCTTTGGGCCTGGACCCAGCTCTTCCAAAGTCTGGTTCCCTGTCAGCCAGGGCTCTCAATAGGCGATGAGCATCGAGAAGCCGGTGACATGGGTTAAGCAGCTCAGATGGGAAAGGTTTGGAGGAGTCAGCAGGGGGTACGTAGCCTTGCACTGAAGCATCGTATCTTCGCTGGGCTGGGCTGGCACCGCCTCTCTGGGTCGGCCTCGATTCTGCCATGACCATTCCATCCTTGCCCCGGATTCTCATGGATCAGTGAGTTTTTGGAAGACCAGACTTGCGGTATGGTAATTGCAGTTGGGTTTGCACTTCACCGTTATCTCTGACTCTGGGCTCTCTCGCTAGGCCAGGCGACTTGTGCCGTTGTGGAAACCCCGCGCGTGCTGGCTTCCATTGCAAGCGGAAATCCAGCCCGAGCATTTCTCTGCTGAGCTTCCAATTTTCGGTCTTGATCCCGCCACCAATAAACTCAAACCAGCAACCGAATTTGAATTTGCCAAATCGTTGACCGAAGCCGCTGACGGCATAACTCAACTCTGTATGCGCGAAAAAGGCAACCAGCTCTGCCGTTTTTTTTTTTTTTTTTTTCCCATGGCACCGGCTGAATAAACTTGTTGAGCTTTCTGGCTATGCAATATTACGTCGTTGTTCACAGCTTCAATGGAAGAAGCCATTTTGTCGATCACTTCCCTTTGAGATAGAGACTGAGCGTTGGTCTTGTTTCCACGAGACAACTGGGTCTTCCCGTTTCCCCGTGCTCGCAATTCCACCCGCTGTGTTTCCAGCTCATGACTTGGGCCTCAACTGACCGTTTGGCTGAGTTGACCGCCTACAGTCAACTACCGGTCAAGTTTCAACCGCGGGCCATTTCGTCAGAGCGAGGACGGATGTTTCCGATACACTTGATTTGCTTCTTTTCAAAGGATGACAGAGAGTCATTCATAGTCGCCTTGTTCGAGGCCATTGAATCGTTCCGCGCCCCTCCAAAAGACCGCGTTCTCGCCTAGTGGTTGGTCCCTCGTCTTCCTTCAAGACCCTTGACAATATTCAAGATGGAGTGACACATCGAGTGAATGCATCGAGATGCATCGACACAAAACAGTCTGAACTCGGAATTCCTCTGCCTTGCCATTGACAAACAAGGCTTTCCATGTCTTTCATTTCTTTGCTTTGCTTTGTCATGTCATGTCTTCAACTTTGCATCCTGTCGCGCGACAGACTCGTGGCCAACGGGGCACGCCTACCCATCGCGGCATAGCGTCCGCAGTCCAAGCTTCCCAGCGGAAGGGAAGCGACGCCGATGGTGCGCCGGGATCCCATGGAAGAACATGGAAGTCCCTCTAGCCTCGCCGGCGGGACTGGGTGGCTGCAGAGCTTGACACCGAGAGGCTGCCAAAGCCACGCCAACTTGCACCGGCGTCCAACGCTCCGGGAACAGTTGTTTGATGAAAAGCTTAACCCTCAACTGCTCATTTTACTTGTCTCTAGTGACTGTGTCGATCTACCAGGTCCCTACCCAGTCGTCTTTCATCGGTCAACATCGCGATCTCCAGGTGTTGATCGCCTGGGGAATAGGCAAGCAATTCGTGGAGAGCGTCGGAGAATTACAAATCTGCTCGTATTGAAGCAGCTACATGCCCCATCGGCATGAATTTACGTTCTGAAGCACCACCGTTCTCGGATGAATACACCGATTGCATCCTGTTTTACCGACCAGCACGCAAGATGCGCCTAGTGATACGTACTGCCAGTTGTCGGCGTGTTGCCAGACCCTTAGCCATCCTCCAGCAGCCACGATGACCCTGAGCCCCGGGTTGAGGCCCTGTTGCATTAGCCTCACCACGATACCTGGGCCGACATTGGAAGGAAGTCTTTGGAGGCTGACCGTTTTGCCCGCGGAAGCTGTCAAGGATTCCGCCCTTGCGCTTGTGTTCCTTGTCGCTGGGACCTTTCAACAATGGATGGACATGGGTGTTGGGAGGCTCCATTTCAAGGCTTTACAACAGTCACACAATGACTTCCATTCTTGATGGTTCAGACCTGCCGGTTTTGCTCGCTTGCATTTGACATTGATAACGATTGCGCCATGGTGAACAAAGTTACAAATCCAACACCAGGACTCTAGCTTCGTTGTATGGGCATGGGCGCTATAATGCGCGAATTGCTGTGATAGACAGGCTCGGCCCCAGTCCCAGTGGCGCTACTCTCGAGTCTTATTGAACTCCAGAAGACATCGCTTAGAAGTGTCTGTTTGAGTTTACACTTGACAATTCGTTGAGCTGTCAGATACGCGGATGAACCATGTGGCAGAGAAGACGGAAAGGTCACTGTTGAGAGGGGACAGGAAGTTCGGCTTGACAGAACCTTCTCTGAGAGCTAGTTGCTCGTCCAGTGCCAGGGTTGCATATCTTGTTACTATTCCAAAGCCGTTCATGTGGCTGACGGCCTTGAATGAAGGAACAAGTCCATACTGATGATCTTTTGAGGCACACCATTGAGGCACTCTTTCCGCCAATGGAGCTGGATCCTGACGGCCAATGTCCCGGAGTTGAAGTCAACAACTCTATCACACCCGGGATGCAACTCGGAATCTTCAATGTTCTCAATCCGTGTTCGCACAAACTCAATTCAACAGAGATTCCGACCCCTCCACCATCTTCAACTGCTAGGGCTTGAGAGTCCCATCCGAAGCACAATTAATTGCGCCGAAGTTGCTTCTATTCTCATGGCTGATAAAAGTCTTCGTTAACTAGGGCTTGTTGATTGGTTGACCACTCCCGTTTAGGCCCCTTGCAGCAGAACCTTTGCTTTGACCCGCCGCAGGTTGTTGATGCCTCGGTCGCAAGGCAGAACACCATCTTCATGATTGCGACGATCCTTCACCAACAAGGAAAGAAGCTTAACCAAGGCTGCGGGTGCCTAGTGAAAGAGCTTCAGCAAGAGTCCACCAAATGCCGTCATTGTCATCATGATCAACATCATCACTTGGAATTAGTCTCTTTGCCAAATTGAAAACTTCGCGGGGCTTTTTACAAATTGGTCAAAACCTCGTGGCCAGGATGAAAAGACAACAGAGTTTGCGACGCTTACTGGTGTCGGGCCGTCCTATGGAACCTCTGAGCGCCACACTACAACCTGCACGCTCTTTACTAACGGTCAAAACGCCGCGTTTATGACGAGATTCTGATCGAGATAACAATTGAAGTACGGGCTTCAACGTGGAAGCCACACGAATTACGGATACCTTGAGCTTAACTTGGACGTTATGACTTTGTGGTCTCTTTGTTGAGAACAGAGTTCAGCCATGGTGTTAGAATCAGCATCGGGAATGACACACGGGCCGCTTATACCAACGGCTGCGGCTGCAATGACTTGCATTCCATTAACTCAATGCTACTTTCACAACAGCATAATGCGACTATATGTGATGGTCAATTCAAGAAGATGCTGAAAGAAATCGTATGAGAGCAGGGCCGAGCAATTGCACACTGTCTAACACTCAACATGTTCTCCGATATCTTTAGCAATTGAGATTTGTTGAAGCATGTGAGTATGCAACGATCTCTCGATGTAGCCAGGTCTCAAGCCACCGCGATCGCCTTGACATCTGTTCCTGGTGGCGATACTAGTGCTCTTCCAAAGAAAACTCGATTGGGCAATGGCCTCAAATTCTTTTAGTGTGGGTTACATCGTCCGTCAACGTCGTTAATCGCGATGTCACCCACAAAAGGCACAACTGCGAGTTTACAGGGCAAATTCTGCCACCCAGAGCCTGCGGAACCCCCCAAAATGCCCCAAAATGCTGGGAAATGTGCATGAGCCTCATGAATTGTTGGCGACTTCGTTTGCGGCAGCCAATCGCGACTCTATCTCTTACAACTTTGAGGCAACGTCGTTGAGTCTATTTCGGCTCGTAAGATGCACGTCACGATCCGAGCGGGATACTCTGATTGTTCCCCGAAAGGCTTGACTGTTACATCAAGCGCAGATATGCTTGGAAGCCATGTGCTTGAAGGCGGCCGGCTGGTGAAGCATCCATCTGCAGGAACGCCAAAAAAAATCATCGCCAACTCGGCCTCAGACAGAATATGGAATAGATTGGCATCAAGTTGAACCACAATTGGACCAACCAAGACCAGATGTTGGGGCTTTTTCAGGAACAGAGGAGAACAACGCTGACGACAGTTTGTGTGCCTTGGGTGCTTGGCCAGAAGATTCCCACATGCATCTCCACCGGGCTTACAGGATCAGAATTTTCAGTCTTGCCTTTCTTTTTCCGTCATCATGAAAGAGTCTTCCACCGGCCCCACGCCGCGTCTTTTTGTCCCTCTTGGCTGTTCTCCGAGAAGCGGCTCCGAGTGTCTCCGTGAGAAGTGCATCGCTGAGAAGAGAAGCCACCGGGAACTGATAACGTGATAGTAATCTGCGATGCATCGTGGGGGAATGTCAGCGGGAGGGAAATCGGTCGATATGCAGGCCTATGGAAGGGGTTCCCTTGCGTCCACACGCAGTGGTTGGAAGTTGGATGCATTCGTGGGAAGCAAACTCGACTGCAGGATGTAATCTTTTGAATTGCTTATTGCATATTACTCCAGCTGTTATGGTTCACTGGATGGGTTGCAACGGAACACACAATAGGAACCAGTTAATTTGAGCGGCCGCAGGGAGAGGAATAATGTCTCAACTCTGATGAAAAAACTTTCAACGGTGGCTGATTGACTTTTCCTCTTCTCAGCCTCTGCAACATTCACCTGCTTACCCGCGAATTATGCCTCCCGATTTGCCCTGGCTATGCCTGAAGAGGGACGCGGCCAGCGGACATGGGGTCCGGAGGCTTTTGGTGTGTCTCGTTCCTGACGATCGCGACAAGGGTTCGTGTGGCCGTGGCTTCTCCTGTGGCTGACTTTTGAACTGGGACATGGCATTGAGGCACGACCAATCCTTCGTTGTGCTGCGGCGCGACGCGATGCACATGTCGGTCTCTGCTTCTGCTTAGCAAGATTTTGCTCATACTCAAGGTAAGCACGGAAATTTGATGCTCGGGATATTCGGCATTTCAGGTTTGAATGCACGAGGTTGTCATTGGCTTGCTCTCAGGATCCTATGCTCAATATCTGCATGCAAAGCCATTGGCTTCCTGAAGTTACTGCAGGCACTTTTTGCCTGACCTGAACTCAATGCAGTTGCAGTTGGCTTGTGCCGTATTCAGCGCTGACTGCCGAATCTTCTGACCTTTGCAGGTCTGCGAGAACGCAGGACTGACTTGTACAATCAGTCATTCGTTCCTCGCGCCGGCGGATACCACTCCATCCCGGCCAGGTGGCCATCAAATCGTCTGAACTACTTGGTGACATGTTTCTGTCATTTCGATGAAACTTCGCCTCGGTAAGGCACGTGGTCTCGCGGATCCTGCTGGGTGAAAATGGCATGGATACCACATTACTCTGAGACGAAACTCAAGCGTACCAAATCCATTTTCGTTTCCAGAGCTGAGTTCTTGCTGCTCTAAGCTGAGCTGTCGCTGAGTGCAGGCTGCGGAGGACGAAGAGTGGGCTGTGGTTTCGGGCCCTGGCTACGCTCAACCCATTTGGGACCTTCATATCTGACGCCATCACCAACTCTACAATTTCTCATCACTTGTCCTTGCTTTTCTTTATTTTATTTTCCAACCCAGGTGAACATAAACATCACGGTTGATCTATTTCTTACCTAAAAAATAGATCAACTTCTACCTTCCCAATTTCCGTACTGCAACCGTAGCCTTCGAGCCATCTATCAAACGCCTCTAATTCAGCATGCCCTTAAAGACCTCGATCTGCTCTAGCACGCCTGCTCGGCTGGTGCCACCTTGAGCATTCCTTGACTCAACACTAGCCTCGTAGTTGAATACATCCTTGATGTTATCCGGGAATCGGCTATCAATGGCCTGCAGCTGCTCCAGGCTCAGTTGGTCCATTGGGATTCCCAGCTCCTCGCTCTTGGCCACCACACGTCCCGAAATATGGTGTGTCTCACGGAAAGGCACGAAAATTTTCACGAGGGCGTCTGCAACGTCGGTCGCAAGGAGGAAAGGGTTGAGCGAGGCTATCATGCGCTCTGGTCGAAGCTTGAGAGTGCTGAGGATGCCATTTGCGATCTGCACTCTATCGGAGACAGTCTTGACATGATCTAACATAGGCTCCCAGCTCTCTTGCAAGTCTTTGTTGTAGGTACTGGGGAGGCCCTTCGTAGCACAATAAACACCGGCAAGATGACCAAAAGTCCTGCCAGCCTTACCCCTCAAAAGTTCGAGGTCGTCGGGATTTTTCTTCTACGGGTATATTAGCCAAGACTTCTATACGGTAGAAGAGGGAGACTTGCCTGGGGCATTAATGATGAACCCGTTGAATATGCATCTGCAATAGTGACAAAGCCAAATTCAGGATACTATGGCACACATCTGTAATGCAAGAGCCGAGGCTGACACGCTAGAATCTCGAGCAGAGTCGAAAGATTCGGGCTTCAATACTTCGCTCAAGTGTACCGTTGTTGCTGTGTTGTCGGAATGAAAGCGCCGATGAATCCCTGCCATTGCATAGAGCTCACCGCTGATACATTGTTGCTTTTTTGCCTTTCTTTCCCTTGCTTTACTGTACCTTGCTGGTTCATCCAAAAGAAAGTCTCTTTTCCCCTGCCCTGTTCATTCAATTGATGCGCCGTGTGGCGGATGCTCATTCGCCCACATCCTGATTCCGTGGTCGAGGCTGTTACAATCAATGAGTTGTATCGCGCGCGTGTGGGGGAGAAAACTTCTTCTCTCAGATAGCCACGATAATGTATTACCCGCCCACGAGGCTACCAAGTTCGATGGTATGCTATTCTGCGTTGGCCTCGATCCCCGGGGCCGCTCTGTAGCTAGGCCTCACCGGTTTCTGGGGTAGCTTTTTTGAGTTGTTCTGGCCTCGCTGCTGTAGGAGATATCACACTTGGTTCGTCCAATCAGTTTCGCGGAATGAGATGCGGAATTACCGCCTGGGATAGAACGAGGCCTGATTGTGGCGAGAGGGAATGGGATGTCGGAGGAGGGAAGTCGACGTGTCTATATGCCTCAATTAATGTGTTGTAGATCATTTGAGGGTGTGCAAAGGTGTTGTGATGCTGGCTGTTGTACCCGATATCAAGAAGCTGGACCGGGAGATGGCGCGTTGCAAGACAAAGATGTTTATCGGTGTTTTTCGGGAGAGAGGATTCAGTGCGGCTCAAAGAATGTCTCCGGATGTATGTACTGGCTTCGTTTGTAGACGGATTCATTTGTAGGTTTTGTTGAGCTTTCCGTAGGTTGTAGGTCCATCTGAGGGTGAGCTTTCAAGCTCCCAAGCCAATCAAATTCGCCAATTGTCTAGAATACGGATGTAAGTCCCGTGAATGTAATTACGTGTGCGCCGAGTGTCTGATCCAGTCGAATTGATATGATTGAAGCGGTTGAGTTTGAGCGTTGCATGTTGGCGGTGTGGAAGGTTTAGGGTAGGTAAGATTCGCTGCTTGTCCTTTTGGGTATGATGCTGTGCGTTTCTCAATCATGTTTTCGTGCTATAGCTATTGTGTTAGTCTTTGGTAATATGAACAGCATTAATAAATGGCAAGAAGTCTAAGGAAACTAGTCGCGAATGTAGTTCGTGAAGTCTGTTGTATCGATGATGGTTCCATGACGATCACACCTTGATGAACTCAAGCCTGGGTAATATCCAGCACGACCAAAGGCAAAGTGAATGTGATGAATCTGAGAAAAAGCTTCATACATATAGAACAAACCTCCGAGTAAAATACTCGCTTCAATGGTCCGTTTGTGATAAAATGTATCGTCAGTTCTTGGAGCTACCGGGTAGTTGAATTGACTGCTGAATCGATCGCTTCACTGGAAGCGGATCCAAAGGGAGCGCGATCAAGAACTTCAAAAAGGGAAGAGAATCAAGATATCAGTCTTGAGTTGATGCTAGAGGTACTGCGTATCGTGAGATTCCCTGGTTGCGATGTGTCAAGAATCTCCATCGTGAACATCGCCGAAGACAAGGGTGGATGGCTCACTCGGACCATTAGTATCCTGATACGCTGCTGTGAAAAAGAGAGCAGAATCGAGGAATTCTCATTCCAAACTGGCTCGCATGTACTGCATTCAATTGACATTCTCTTCGCCTGTTCTCGTGGAAGACGGAGAGAGATGGCACTGCCCAATCTCGAACGGTGTGCCAAGTGACACTTGTCTATCCACCCACTTGAGAGAATAGATATGGGCTCAGCCGCGGCAGTCAACGATGGAGGAAGCAAGAGGTTCTAATGGAGTTGTTCGAAAAGGCGTCAGCCGGAAATTGCCATACATGAGGCAGTGACTCTGCTCACGATGTCTTGAAACCAGGAATCACCTACACACTCAGTTGTCGTTCCAAAAGAGTCTCAACCGACATAAACAGTGACGACGAGGCTTGGTCCAGGGTAGCATTCAGTCTTCAGCTGCCGTTTATCTACAAATCCTAACAAATCACCATCTCTGGAGCTGACAACCTCCGGACGATGTCCTCCGCGATATCGGTAATCGGCCCCACGCCGGAGGTTACACCCGGGATCGACAAAATCCATGACTGAGCCTCATCATCCAAGCAAATCTGCACGTCAAAACAGGGTACGAGCGCGTTTACCAACAAGGTTGCGATGTTCAGCGTGTACCCAGATCAAGACGCTAACCAAGGCCCGTTTGTGTCATTTGCGGAACCGTGACGTGGAGGTTGCATCGAGTACAGCTGAAAAGAGCTTACGACAGCTATCATATCCACTGGATTTTACTCTTTAGGTGATACACTGTGTTTGGATTTTCTGGGGAATAGTTGCTGTGATTGGAAATAATCTGTTGGTTGCAGCTGTCGTTAATCTAGGACCTTATGACGTCACGGAAGGAGGGCAGATGTCATGATACTGATTCCCTGGCATTTTGACGTAGGAGGCGGGGAATCAAATTCCAGCTCAAGAGATACGAAGACATAACAACTCTAATCTCCCATTAATCCTACCCACGTTGGAGACTGCAACGTTCTACGGTAGACATCATGGCTACAGCAGAGGACCCAAACCGTAGCTACACAGCAAGCAACACAGGAAGCGAACCAGAAATAATAGAACAACACCAAGAAGAAGCCCCAACCGTCAGCCACTCCCTCGCCGAAGAATCCCAAAACTTTGAAGAAAAAGGCGCAGCGCAGCTTGAGCACGGCGATGTCGAAGTCAAGAATCTAGGATGGAACGAACCTCCCCGCGTCGTGCCCCCGCTGGTGGGAGGCTTGAAGAATGAAGATGTCTGGGCCTTGATACGACGCTTCGATAAGCAGGTCTTCTACGTCAGGAGTATCGAGGAGCCACCGCTGGGAATGCTGGATATGAACATTGCAGACGAAGAAGAGTTTTCGCCTGAGAAGCTCAGGGCGCAGATCGAGCGACTCTATGTTTCGGTTTTTGCGCAGTTGTTTTCGTTTTGGAAGCATATTGTGCGTCTTCGCTCTTGGAGGGAGTATCAGCGAACATCTGCGTTCCTCGCAGTATACACACTCGCATGGCTTCTCGATATTCTTGGTCCCACGATCATTGTCTTCCTCATGGTACTCATCTGGTCCCACGAGGCCCGCGATATCTGTTTCCCTGGAGCACCACCCTCGATAATCGACTCCAAGACAGGAGGCGTCAAGAAACCGGCAGCTGGTGTTCTGGCCTCCGATGATTCAGTCACTGGTGCGCCGGAGAAGCACAAGGGCGAAGCAGTTGAACAGGAAGCTCATAGCTTTGTGACGAGCTTGTCTACGGTATGTTCAGGTGTAAGATTTGCTTTTTTGATCCTTGAAGTATGCAGACTGAGTGATTTGTAGATTGTTGTTAGCACGGCTGCGGGTAAACACCCCCAGACGGATCCCGACGATGATAGCGCTGCGCCTGATCCGACGAAACTTACTGAAGAGGCCACCGAGGCTAGACAGAAGTCTGTGGGAGAGAATCCTCATGCTGAACATAACAGAGCCAAAAAGCCGGTTTCGAACGCTGTTTGGGACAAGGCGCGTCCGACGATGCATATGATTGCTGACTTTGTTGATACCTGGGAGCGATTCGGCAATGCCTTGAGTCCGGCAGCGCCTTTCCATCGCCATCGACCTAAGTTTATCCTCATTGGTGTTCTTGTACCTATGCTTCTCGGAGCTTGGTTCACGACTCCGTACATGGCAATGAAGGGAGTGGGATTTGCTGCTGGCTTTGGATTCTTCGGTGATCCCATCATCACACCCGCTATGAACTTCATCAACAGGACGTATCCCCGCTGGGAGAAGTATGTCGAGTTGCGAAACACTATTCTTCGAGGCGTTCCTACAAATGCGCAGTTGGCTATCACTCTTCTTCGCATCGGTGAAAAGAACAAGGCTCCTCTGCCACCCCCTCCTTCTTCCGACGTGCCTCCCCCGACTGTTCCCCATGAGACTGCTGGAGAGGGTTTGGAACATCTAGGTGTGTAATACTCATTGACTAAAGTTCAGCACATACTAACACCACCAGAAGGAGTATCACAGAGCGAAATCGCCGAGGCTGTCCAGCCTGATCCAAACATTATCCACGAAGATGAACACGAGGAGGAAGAGGAAAAGACAAAGCACAAGAAATCTCATCGCATCATGAACTTTATCCGTGGTACAGCAAAGGGTGGTGTTACAACTGCTCTGGCCGCCGACAAAGCGAAAGCCAAAGCAGGTGCTCACCACGCAAAGAATCGCCTCGGTGTAGTCAAAGGCCAAGAACCGTATCCTCTCACCGGCCCAATTCGCTTCCCAGCGCGGTACAAGGGAAAGAAGGGCCATGCTTACATTACGGCCACGGCTACAACGCCTGCTGTTAGTTGGACGACTGAGCTAGGAGATGTGAAGCCCGCTTGGACTGTTACGATTGGCGATATTGAGGAATTGAAGAAGATGGGTGGTCTTGGGTGGAAGAGTAAGATCATTGTCGGCTGGGCAATGGGGAGTGAGATTGTGGATGGTTTGATGATCAGGACGAAGGATGGGCAAGAACATCATCTCACGGCGGTCTCTATGCGGGATCAGTTGTTCAACAGGTTGATCTCCATGGGAAACCAGATGTGGGAGGCGTGGTAGACCCGTCTTTTGGGAATAGTCTTGATTTGGTAGGTGTCTGGAGTTTGGTGATGGACTCATGATACTCTTTGATACCAGGAATACGAAGTACGATGTGGAATCAATGTTTGGAATCAATTGAATCATAAGTCTAGACCTCGCTAGTTGAAGCATTGGTTGAACAAAAGATCCTGCTTTGTAATCTCGTGAGTCCACTGAGGAATTCAATACCTTAAATCCTCCAAACAATCGTGTCAAACGTGGGGAAAGTGGGACAACTTGACAGGGTGACGTCAATTGACTACAGAGGAGAGCTTACAGATCAATCACATCTGCAACAAACCTGCAGCAGCACCTGTGACAACTCGGCCGAGGTCGCTCAAAGGTGGGGGATAAAAGGTGATACAAGAAAACAAGAATACCCTCCCCCAATTCCCTATTTCTGTACAAGATCGTCTCATAGCAAGCTAAACCCATCATGAGCTTCACCCCAGAGCCCTACGACCCCATCACTGCCGACTCATGGCTCGTCTGCGACACATGCGGAACTCAATTCCCAACGTCTGATCGCAGCACCCTCAAGACATGTCACATCTGCGATGACCCGCGCCAATTCGTGCCGCCGTCTGGACAATCGTTCTCTACGCTGGGGGAATTGAAAAAGAAGCATAAAAACGAATGGACTAAGTGTTCTTCTGATGAGAATATCACGTTCATCTCGTCGGTGCCGAAATTGGCTATTGGACAGCGTGCTATTCTTATCAAAACGCCAGAGGGCAACATTCTCTGGGATTGTATCACGCTGCTTGATGATGAGACTGTCGAGAGGATTAAGAATGAGGGAGGGTTGAAGGCGATTGTTATAAGTCATCCGCATTTTTACAGCACCCATGTTCAATGGGCTCGCGCATTCAATTGTCCAGTGTATCTCTCCGCCGAAGACAAAATCTGGACAACCCTCTCCTCACCACATCAAATCTTCCTCACGGCCCTCGAAACGCCCATCCTCTCCACGGCCAAAGCCATCAAGCTCGGCGGGCACTTCCCAGGCTCCATGGTGCTACACTACAACTCACGGCTGTTCATAGCCGACACGCTTATGACGACGGCGTCAGGCGTCGGGAACTGGAGTGTAGACGCCACCGGTGAATCGCGGTCCCGACCGGCTGGGTTGAACTCTTTCTCGTTCCTGTGGAGCATTCCGAACTTCATTCCTCTGGGTGTTGGGGAGATGGCGAGGATGTGGGGGATCCTGAAGGGGTATGAGTTTGGGGCTACGCATGGTGGGTTTATGGGGATGGATATTGAGAGTGAGGATGTCAAGGGGAGGGTTTTGGAGAGTATGAAGATACAGGCTGGGTTTATTGGGGATAAAGAGTTTGAGGAGAAGCTGTGATGTGTGATGTATATCGATTGCCTTTTGTGTATCGAGTATGAGAGATGAGAGATGATAACGACGTTGTTCAATTAAAAATATGTAAGTAAATCAGGGCCATTCTGATATCTGGGTATCGATCAAGTTTTTAACGTGCATCCAACTCCTGCTCATGCATCTCAGTCTTTCCATCCATCAACGCCATAGATCCAATTGATAAAAGGTACGCAAAGCTCAGTCCTTCTTCCAGAACTTCCACTTCTGCTTCATCGGCGACGATGGACATAGATAGCGGTTCAGTAGCTCTCGACCCTCATCAGGAAGATCGATGACAGATTCATTGAGCGTATCGATAATAAAGCGATTCGCTATAAACAATTAGTATCAATTCAACACCCAATCCAAAGAAAGAGGGAACTTACGCATCAAGTCAACGCCGCATTCGCCAGCATCAATGGCCATATCGATCCTCGTGGAATTATAACATCCATATCGAAGTTGCAGCTCAAGCATACATCTCCAGAGCTCCCTCGTCTCATCGAGGCTCATGCCTTCGCAGCTGCGTTCAGAACATGTGCTTGCTTGGCGGGATCGTTGGTTATCGTGGTGGGATTGTTTTGGTAGAGGGATTGCCTCGTCGCACGGGGGACTCCACATGGCGGGGAGGGAGAGAGGGCCTGGATGATTCTCGCGATACATTTTGGGTGGTGATGACAATAGGCTTGAATGGTTGAAGATGGATGTTGAGAAGAAGGAGTTGAGGTCTTATATAAACAGCCTCAATTATCTTCTCCTTTCTTTTTTCCCTCGCCCTTTTCTTGGTTTCAGGCTCGTGAGTTGTCTCTGCTGTAGTGGGGTTTTCACTTCACACTTCTGGCCCAATATGACAGGCAGACCCCTGCTTATTTATATCAAAGCGTAGCTCCGAACAAAACAAACAGAAAATCAGGGCGAGCCCGATTAAGTTATACTAACGAACCTGTCCCACGGTAAGTGCCGCAGACAAACAAACAGGAGGGTGGGAAGCTTTACGCAGTCAGCGGGAGAGCGCCACTTTGAGGGTCTGAGACAGCTGGGAGCTCTTGTTGATGAGCCAAGAAAGGCGTCAGTGAGTCACATGTGGGAATAAAACATGCTTAAGTCCGTGTAATCAGTGAGTTTACGGCCACGATATTGTCATCAGGGTGGGTGTCATCATCGGAACATAGCCTGACGGAATAACATCACAAGTGATCGACTTTGCATACGAGAAGAGACGGGAGAGAGAGAAAATCCTTTCGGCAGTTTGAGTACGTACTGGGCCAGTTGACCTGTCACTCGACGCCAAGTTAGTGCATGATCTGCGGACCATGGATGGATTGAGGCTTGCAAGCCTGATCTGATGCCCAAGACCAAGAATCAAGATTAGGGGTCACAAGGACAGGCTTGTGATAACGACGACGCCAAAGACAGGGCGGTTCGATAAGCTTTTGCCTAACAGCAGTGGTATGGATGATAGAACCATGACGACGGACAGAAGATAGCAGAAGCATACTGCGGTCTACGGGATAAGTAGCGGTGATTTGAGGTCTGTTACTGTACCCGTGAAAGCCGCTATAGCCGGGTAGAGTAAACATCATTGATTTTTTGTCTTCTTGAGTCACAGTCACATTTCACAGTCGCATCTTAAGCCAAGACTGGTTTAAGGCTGAGGGAGGAAACATCCGGTTGCCCCGCCCCATAAAATAGGTACCTACATAGCACGGGAGGACCCTGGGTTCCACTGGCAGAGGAGCCCTTTTAGTGACTGAAGTCTCAAGCAATTGAATGTACCGGATAACGTTGAGTTGGACAGTTCAGTACATTCGTTGAAGCGGTCAAGACTGTGGCTCTGAAAAAAGCAGTTGAGGCAGTGTTTCTCAACGGTTCACCCAAATGCAAGGGATATACGTTCACCGCCAAGACCACAATTCACAATTACGTGGCGTACAATACAAACTCAACCACAATCATGAACAAAAACTGCGCCTCGGACAAAACACGTGCTATTTTTTTTTCTTTCTTCTTTTTTCTTCTCGATATAGCAAACAACATACCTTGCATGGTCATCTCCGAGCAGCTGGTATTTTATTAATACTTTTGTGGCGTTAGATCTTTGGCTGTGGCGCACTTTCCCCAGATGCCACCTTGGATCTATTGTTCCAGATCGTGAGTTAAGCTTGGACTTGGTGAAGAAGGTTCTGAGCGACTGGTACTTCGTGTGTGGATTGGGTTTGGCTAGGAGGTGTTTGGTGGTTTGTGGTTGGAGAGAAGGTTTGGTAAGTGTGAAATCTCCACATGGCATAGGCAGATGGCATGTTGCATCAGGTTTCTTGAATACTGATCATATCACGAACAATTGAGACATTGGTTTATCGCTGAAGCAAAGGAGAGTCTAATTGGTGCATGGATTTTTGTTCAATAGGCTTTGAACGGCTTGTAAGTTCGCTGCTGCCCAAGGGGAGCTTCCGAATGATTGACTCTCATCCATATCCCAAAGCGTCACCTGAGTGAATACCCTACCTGGCCGCCTGGATACCCTCAAACGCTTCACATTAAACAGATCGATCTTCAAGGCTGAAGCAAAAATATCCTAAGACTGATAACCGAGTCGATCACAATAATCTCCGTCAATAGTCACAAACTAGCGCTTGCTAGTTCGCCATTCAGCTGCAATCTCTCTTGTCAAGGGGAGGCAAAAAAGCCCAGGACCTCTTATCTAAGTGATAAAAAGACTTAGGTAAACTTAATATATCTTATTAGTACTTTAGACCAGTTTATTTTGGCACCCTGATTCAACGTCAGAGGTTTTCTTGCTCCTCGAGGGCCTGTCAACATCTAGAACCCAATAGTTTAATCTCCTATTCCATAGGAAAAAAGTCTTCAGAATTGACGATGGGGTAATTCCGCTCTTTCATCTGCTTTGGCAGTCGTCGCTCGTTATTTTATCGTCAATATGCGTTTCGCGCTTCTATGGTCGCTGCTTGCGGCGGATGCTGCGGTCGCCAGTGTATGTAAACCTCGCCAGTCAAGTGGTTCAAGTAAGTACTTCTGCAATGTCTGGTGGAATTGAGGAACTAATTGTCAACAGGCACGGCTGCGACCGCTGAGATTGAGACTACGACGACAACTTTTGTCGAGTTATCCACCAGCATCGCGACGTCGACAGTGGAAGATGTAACCATCACCGAAGCTGCAACCGCTGTCGACACCAGCACCGAAACCGCTGCTTCAACGCTCACAGTCGCCGAAACAACAACAAGCGACATCGCCGGTCCCCTCGAAACCTTCATTCTCGCCGCAAAGGTCGAGGGCACCGTCAGCGAAGAGCTCTCGGGCGCAGACCGCGATGGTTCGCCAGTAGTATGGCCAACACCACGCTTCATCGCCAGCGGTCCATTGATCATCTCCATCGACTCCACGACTAGTTATCTCCAAACAAGTGGCGGATTCTACCTATGTGTTGCATACGGAGATGGTACTACACCCAACGGTGTCAAGCTTTGCAGTGCTGAGTCGCTGAACAATCCTGCATTTGGCGCCCTTACATGCGAGCAGACGGAGGATCGGAAGATTGCATGTGAAGCTCAAGCTGGACAGTGCATTAGTGATGGTGAGAATAACGTATGTTCTCAGCTTCCGGGGACGTATGGTCAGTTCTACTATTACAGGGGACTCTTTAATGGGGTTTATCTCGGTATTGGGTCTACTGTTAATACCGATGAGAGCCAGCATCCTGTTGAGCTCAAAGCCAGACGAAGCAGTACATGATGCATTCAGTTAGCTACTCAAGCATACACCATCTAGAAGAGATAATGAACAACTGCCATAAATCTGTGCATCATGAGCTGAAGACCCCATGTCGTCATACCTCGAAGCTTCCCAGCCACGGCGTCTTCCCCTCAACGATCCAACGTTCCAGACCCGTTATGTCACTTCAGCCCTAAAACTTCATAGCTAGGACATGAGGTAATGTAGTCCGGGCTGTTGGGTCTCAAGCTTTATGCAGTCAGCTCACTAATACCGGCACCACCGGATGTTTGCAGCTTGGGTTAGTGAGAGTCAATGGACGTTAACGTTGCTGCCTGTTAGCACTTTAAACAGTAATATTAATAGGACTTACATAACCAAAACAGTAACGCTTGGAAGCATCCGACTTTGACGTCAATCCAATGGAGTTTGTTTGCTTGCTAAATTCTGACGGTGAGGGGAAGCTTGGTGACAGGCGCTGAGATGCGTGGTTGGGATAAGCTCCAGGAAGATGAACGCTTGCCGATGACTCACAAAGTCAAGCTTGTAATAACTGAAAAGTTGACCGGAGAATGATTTAACTCCTTCGCAGGCTGAACTCGCTGACAAACGGTGCAGGAGGTAGCAACCGACGAAGGAAGAGAACTTGGTGATGACTCGCTGAGAACTACGACATTGGACGGGACTGGAGACGACAGTTTTCGTCTTGACGGCGATAAGAAGGAACTCCGAAGCCAAAGTGATGAGAAAGTTCTCTGGTTTTGAGAGGCATGGGCTCAACTTGCATGTCGGGCACGTTCCGCGACTGCATCCTCATGGATGCAAAAGATCAAGAGAACAATCTTACACGTCAAAAGGCGCGCATATAGAAAACTTTCGTCGGGGCACTGATCGAAAGACGCATTGGTCTGATAGCACTGAGAACTGCAAAGGAGTTTCACAAAATGGTGACGGAGAGAATATCCTCCCTCACGAGCGCGGTCGATGACACCAGACTATGCCAACAAATGCCATCAGCATCTATAGTACTTCGACTCTTCGACGACCAACATATACTTACCCGGGCGCCATATAAATTATCACCAGCCGGCCTTGAACCTCTCATCTCTTCCCTCATCCGAATTAGTACGTCACCTCATCTACATGTCTCTTCCCAGTACCAGCGATGCCCAAACTCTGCATCATCTAGCGCTTGAAGCCGTATAAGAAGCCTGGGGTCTTAAACGAATGCCAGCAGGACAGTGCGTGAGGACGACTAATACAGCTTTTGAAGGACGTCGTTGTGTTGATACGATTCGCTGAAGAATCGAATCCCGCGCTGCTCTCCCCTTGCTCTTGAAGACGATGTGACAAGTTCTTATAGCAGACATAGTCAGCGGTACTCGGGTCGCTGAGCTCGGCCTGTACGCCAGCGAGGTTGAAACCCTTTCTGGTGAGGTATTTGTAGACACTTGGCGGATTTTACAGACTGGTGGCCGCGTTTCCACAATGAAATGTCATGAGTAGGTGCCGACAGCTGGCGATGCTTTCCAGGCATAGCAGCCGTACGAAACGAATGGGCCCTTCTGAAGGACGAGCAGTTAGAGAAAGCATGAAGCTCAAACCGGTGTACCTACAATTGAGATTAGAGTGATGGCATCCCTCACCAAAGATGGGTGCGTCAAAGCCCCGTTTTGTTGCGGAGAGTGCTTCTCACAGCAGCTCTGCTTCATATGGCTCAACACTAAAACATCACCAACTATAGTAACTTCACGTTGAACGGATCTGGTGTTCCGAGACACGGACGAATCGTACAAGGGACCACTCATACGCAGCCTACCATAGCGTCTTCAACTTAGTCGTCGCTGCATGTAGAAATGTGTACGCCTATTAGGGCACATTGCAGGTCTCGCGTGTCTCGTTTTGTGTATACAACCGTCGCTACATCTAAAGCATACACATGTTTGTAGTTATTCCGACAATTAGTAACAGAAAGGTTGTCTAGCGGTTGATCTCCAGCGTATGGTCGGGTTTGGTACAGTATCCTGCGTTGGGTTATCAGGAGTGCCACTGCTATCAGCTTCCTTGAAACTCGAATAAGGTATGGTATATCTTTCAGTTCTCGAACTGGCTGTGGAACCCGTATCCTCGGGCTCTGATAACAGATTCATTTTCCACGTGCGTATCGTGAGTACCTCTGAAGGACTAGCAAGGAGAGTGAGAGCACTAAGGTACAGATGAGAACAAGATACACGATACTGCCATTCAGATGCGTCTTCCAATTAATGTTGCCCCTGGTAAATACAGAACACCTAAGGGAACACCGAGTAGAAGGTATCCCATCCTGCCGTCCCCCTCCACCATGTTCAACAGATGGACCTCACTCGCAACAAGGAGCCCAGAGGCATAGGGCGCTCGAAATATTATCCCAATAATATTTTATCACTAATAAGGAGTCATTTATTAAATTTGAGCGATGCCTGGTTCTATATATATACCGCAGCAGGCAGTTCGTAAACCCTAGTCGTGATGTATTCGTCGATCCGTCCCTACTTGGGCGCCCTGATCCATGACCGATAGAAGTATGCCTTTGCAGTCTGACCAGAACAGCGAATAAAAGAGCAAGAATTCTCTGGGCGTTATACTGCCTATGATGAATGCCTTCATGAGAGGAGATGGAGGGCGGAGTGGCAGAGTGATCCCAAGGACATCTTGAGCGAACATGGCAAAATCTTTTTGACAAATACATTGCATAGTAACAACAATAAGCCGCGCTTGAAGGGCAAGAATCCACTGAAATGTTTGAGGTAAGTAATCATGGCAGTCCCGAGTGCAAAGCTTAGCTCAAGGTCAAATTGTCTTGATCACTTGCGGCTGCTGAGTTTACCACCAATTTCACAAGATCCATGCCTTCCGCACATGTTCACTTCGCTGAAGTCATTCAGGGGCTAAAGCAGTACGCGTGAGAAGTAAATGCTTGGCGTGACTTCCTTCAGCATTCGCCGAGGCGGACATCGCAGCCTGGCCCAGTCGGAGGATGTCCTCGGCTGCTTCACCTGGGCTCGGGGAGTTCGTGTATCTTGATAACTCATTGATTCCGCTGGAGGGCATGAAGAGACAATCTGGTGAACGCGTTACCAGAAACCTTAGCTTCAAGCCTCCACCCTGATGGTTGGAATGAGACGAGGCGATCGAAGGGCGAATCACCAATGTGATTCAATATCCCGGCACATCATCGCCCTATGAACCAGAAGATACTCTCCAGAACGTAACAAAGCCTCAGTTACAATTCATGTATGGCTAATTGCACTTGCACCTCAGGATATATAAAGAACTCCGCAGGGACAGAACAATGCCCAACATCAACTCCGCTGACATGAAATGAAGAATGTAAATCGCTGGTGTTGCATCAATTATAATCGCTACATGATAACGCTCTACAACTTTTACACCTGTTTAACTCCAGCGTCCTCTGCCGTTCTAATAGGAATTTGCCCATCGATGCCAGGCATGAAGGCACGATACGATGCAGCAAGTGACCACTCCTGCAGGTCTCTAATCGTCGCCTGCAAGATATCAGTTACTAAACATAAGAGAAAAGCTCGAGGGATCTCACCTCAGCTTCCGCTGTGAACCGTCTCCGTCCCGTCGGACCGTCAACACAGAGTGCTTCCTCTATTGTGCCGCGCCAGTTCACTTGCACTCCCGAAGTACACGCTGCAAGCCATTGTAATTCGCCGTGCTGCATTTCAGGATGTTGGATGACGTAGTCTCGGAAGTACGGCCATGATATACAATCCAGCATGTCAATGTGAGGGACGAAGACTTGAAGTTCAGTTGGTCGGATCCAGTCAGGGAGATCCTAGAGAGCATTAGTGGGTTTCCAGCACCCAAATTCATTTGGTCTCAATAGGTGCAGCACACCATTATCCTGTGTTGCCAGAATTGAGACGAGTGTGTGTACTTACAGCATATGTCTGTGGAGTCGGATTGATCTGCCATCTCATCACAACCCAAACAACCCACACAGCCGCCATGGACGTAAACGAGTAATCCTGCCTCCTCGCACTATAAATGAACTGAACAGCCCATTTACTTATCATCGGCGCAGTTTCATACTCATCCTTATCAAACAGCGCCGCCACACACGGAAACGTCCCCGTGAGATCATCAGGCTTTGCACCCTCTGTAACCAACTGCCTCGCCTTCTTGAGTGTGTCCGCCCAAGCCTTTGTCACAGAGTCAACACCGTGTCCGTCGTTGGCTGTCATCATTGCCCAGTTGTGCTTGGCGTAATAGTTTTGTAGCTGGCTTCGCTGGGCGACGGCGGGATAGTGGTTTGCTTTTATACCGCTGGAGAAGGGGAGGTTGCCGAAGTGGTAGGAGAAGTAGCTCTTTGTACGGGAACCCAGGTCGATGTTCCTGGCGTCGGCTTCAAAGGTGGTGCCGTCGAGCCATTCTGCTCTGTCGAATAGTGTTTCGATGAATTTGCTCTTCGCTTGGTGATTTACACCGACGAGCCTGGTGGTCAGTTAATATCAAACTCATCTCACTGCCCAGGAACTCATTTGCATCTGGTGAAAAGACATTTTCTCTATACCAGAGCATGTTTTCTCTCATATGAGGTGAAGGAAATGAGAGTTGGATGAGAACAATGTAAGCAAGACTGCACTTCACTTGAAATACATGGCTGGGGCTGTCTCATATGAAACGTAAGAATGACATCGCACATCTAACATCCCACGAATAGACTTATAAGAACACAAACATACCTCTGAGGCACAACAACAGCCCTAGACTTTGACTCAATGTACGAAACAATAGATTCAACAGATTCACCTATTCTTATCCAAGACATAACCTCAGCAGCTTCAGAATCCGTGCCATTCCTCATGGCCGCGAGTATAGTCTCAAGCTGATTCAGCCTCCCCTTCTGCTCATTCACGGCATTGGTCAATCTATTCAGCATCTCCCCCGACAGCACTTTCGTATCGTACGTGCAGACATTGCTGCTGAACTGACACCTCGCGCAGGGATGTCTCCCATCGCACTTGGTCTTTGTCTTGCGGCACGGCACACACGCGTGGTTCGTCGCGGACTTGCGGGACGATGAGGCCCGGGATACCCGCGGGCGTGCGGCCTGCTGATGAGGTTGAGGCTGTGGTGCCGGGGGTTCGGGCTTAGGGGGAGCTGGGGCGAGATTGGGGAGCCTCTGCATGGCCTTGCCTGGAGGTGTGAATTGGCAAGGGGCTTGGCCTAACGTCGAATGATGACGTCGTTTAGAGATGGTTCTGCAGCTAATGTCATGCAGCGCATTGTTCGTTTTCGGATTTTTTTAAGGGTTTTTCGGGGGATGAGATGTCGCGGCTGATCGACGTCGCGTTAGGCTTTGTTTGATACTGCACCTTGTCCTCACTACGGGGGAGGATTGTAATCTGCGGGGTGTCATGTCAGGTGACTACGCGTTTCGTGTTGATGATTTGAAGCACCAGTATGAGAGTGTCACCGAGTATCCAAGTATGTCTGCAGATGAAGTCGTTGGAATAAGATATAAAGCTATTGTAGTAGAAACATAATCTTTGATTCAATTAGACTAAAGCGAAGTGGTTCAGTTAATGGATCGACAACTTGATACGCTGGTCAAAACGGCCCTTGTTTCTACCAACCCATGTCAATTACGGCATTAGAGACTCCCCAATTGGCAATGGAAATCTGCAGTCAAGAAGTAGCTAAACCAAGAAGGGAAATAAAGATAGATTAACCAGGCTGAGAGCACTGCTTGTCAGTATTGATCATCTTATCTACCGGAGCGGACCATATACGCTGATCAGAATACCTTCGGAGCTGAGAAAGAGTCATATCCTCCGAATAATCCATCACCAACCGGTCCGTGGTGGCAAGTAGTAAGCTTTGCATAAAGATCATCAAACATGGTCTACAAGCTTCAAGTCTTGGTACCAGAATTACGTCGTTGTAAGATGCCAAGGGGATACGCCTCACTTGCGGTCTCGAACATTCATACTGTAGCATTTTCAATTGAACGCCGACAAGAACCAGAACGATCAAGAATTACACGCCCCTAGAAAAAGAACAGCTTCGATGCAGCCAGTAACAGCTGTGCTATCCAAGATCTCGGAACAGATCAAGAGATTTCAGCCAGGGCAATACCAAATAGTGACATCATAGAGGGGCATTTTCTCGCAACAGACTCTTAAACCCGGCGGTTTCTGTCCGCAACGAAAAAAACAGGTTACGAATCTTTTACGGGCTCTCATTCACTTTCTGTTTCTTTCCCCCGCGATGACGGTCTCTTCTTTTCTGTTCCTTTACAGGGGGTGGAAATCTCGGGAAGCATGGCTTGCAAGCATGAGTGACGTCGTCTGAGGCAAAGCCCGTCGCTCTTGAATTCGAACCCCACGGCTGCCGAGCAAGGCAGATGCTGCATCTGGTGTGTGACTGGACGCCTTGCCTGAATTTGACATTGTAGATCATTCGTGACAGCCCGAGAAAAACAGGAACATGTCGGCAAGGTTCACCTTAAGCTGTTAGCTGTTCAACGGTTCTGCAGGTTTCCGAACGGACCCGTTTCTGTTGGCTTCAATTGCTTTCCCCAGAATTTCCGGTACCGTGCGATTAATTGAGGATACAAGAACGAAACAAATTTTCACGGGCCGAGGACACTTTAGAAAAAGAATTTTTTTTTCAGAACCGTGCATCCCAAGAGCCGGCCGGGGAACGGTAGCCCACTGTTTTTACAAGACCGGGCCGAAGCCGGAGCGAGCGGGGGAAAGGCCGGTGCTTTGGCGGGGTTGATAACGATAGAGAGTCATTCACTTCATTTTCAATTCAATTACAGCATTGTCACCGTCGAGATAAGATATCGGCGAGAGCGACCAATATTTGTGTTACATCTAAAGGCGGTGTCGTTGCACTTCTAGTCAGCAATCTGTTCACCTTGTGGCTTACGAGAGCCGGACAAGGCTCAGACTAGAAAATAAGAACGAACCTGGAAAAGAGAGAGGGTGTGTATGTGTTGGGAATGATTCAAGACATGGCATCGCACACTGTACATGTCCGAACACGACGGTGACCCATGACTGACTCAAAGGTTTGCTCAGTGGCGGACAACTCACGACAAATGAGTCAAGTCTGACAAGCACAAGAGCCAAAGGAAAAAAACTCTGTCGGTTTCGGTAACTCTCAGCTTTCAGCTTAATTCAATAACCTCGTGCATGTCTCGGACTCTATTGATAAACTTTTTCAATAGACTCGGAGACAAACTCCAACTGGCTGCTGTCTCCAATTCTATACGGAAATATGTACGGAGTGCTAATAGAAGTAACAAGAATGGTCAGCCCGGATGCAGAAGGATTTCGCGGCTCCGGGAGTTCGGCGACAAGGATCCCTGTAATCCTTCTGTCCCCAGATTCCCCTTTACAGACAAGATATCCTCGGCCTGCAATCTGTGCTCCGGGCGCGAAAAGGATAACGTTCTCCAAACTCCCAAGCAAATCTACAGACTTGGCATTGAATCATTCATGATTGTACTTACTTCTCCGCTTTTCACTCACCGTTCCAGCCCTCGGCTCCTGTGGCGCGAAGCTATCGTATCCCCCTCCTAACCTAAACATGTGACGGGCGGCGCGCAAACCCCAGCTTTGCCCTCCCCCTCCCCGCCCTTTTCGTGATAGAGAAATCAAGGTATCAAGATGCGGCACATGCGCCGGTATTAAATCATGGGGTTTGGTCAAGCTAGCACTTTCTATTGTCTCAGATGTTATCTTTGTTAGGTGCAGGTGATTCTTTGAGCCTCAGTCCTAGCGACATGCTATCTCATGCTTTGATCAAAGAAACGAGAAGTACTCTGTTCCTTTTGTTCTGGACAAAGACCTTTGTCCCTCACACCATGTGGAAAATCAGGGTCCAGAGCTGCGGCGCAATCGATAATTGTGTTGCACGTATGGCTCAGCCCGGTGCGTATCGCGCTCATTGTCAGCTGCGCATTTGCTCATTCCGTTCCGTACGAGGTAGTTCTTGCGGTCTGGTCTCAAGTCAGCAGGCGTTTTATACCAAACCTGTTGACTGATTGTTTTAGTACAATCGTAATCTGTGCCCTCCGTATCTCACCTCCCATGTGGCATCTTTGGGCGCGGGGAAATACAGATGGGATGGTTTGCATCTGGCAGCTGTGTTGCTTGAATAGGTAGCTCGATTAAGCATGCCCTTGCTTTATCCACACTCCCCCCTTTTAGTCCATCCCCTGTCAACAACAACATCTCCACCAAAGATGCCTGCTTCCCCGCAAATCGCGACGTGGTTTATTTTGTTTGCTGGCCTTGGCCAAGTGGACGGCGCATGTATGTATACCGAGGATAAGGACGAATTGATTATTACACTTTTTAACCAACAAAGCACATCATATTCCTCGCCAAGGATATCCTATTTCATGCGATAGTTATGCCTTGTCGCTGAGGCCTGCGAGACCAGGCTTATTCGTCGATAGTCTCACGCAAGGCAGGACTCTCACCGCAGGGCTGGGCTGGGCTGGCTGAAACATACGTGTTAGGCAACGCAGCAATCCATTTTCAACCACAAAATCGATCATCACCATCATCTTTGTGCATGCACAGTGTGTCGCAATTGCAATCCCCCATAAGCACATACGATAACATCACCCTTTCTTTCTCTTCTCTACATGGGGCCAGAACAATCTCTCGGTAAGCGTAATGAACATCGTACCATCGACTCATGGCCGGGCCCGAGCTTTTTTTTGGGACACGAACGACGATAAGGGGGAGACCCAGCCTCACTTTTCTACTTCTTTCGGCCGGTTCCCATCATGATATCGATCAGTTCACCGAAGCGGACCCGCGGGATCCACCAAAAGTGCAGAGACAAGTCATCAGCAGAGAAATGTAAAAATCACCTCTTGATTCAAATTACAATCTTGATACCTAAAGTCGAGTCAAGACAAGTTGAGTTCAGTTCCCTGATTTGGTAATATCAGCCAAGCCCGATCGTCCAACATTGCGGCCCTTTTTCTGAACCTGTCTTACTTGATATCGTGTCAAATCAGCGTAAATAAGCATGACACTGTAGGATCATTACGGTATTATACGAATTAGTTCGACCGAGAATGACTTTGGACGTTCGAATAGGCACTGATCCTCTCCTACTGGAGGTAGAAAAAAACGAAGAACAAATAAACAGAAAAAAGCTCATATCTATCCTGTCCAGTAGTCTTCAAGCCCGTCCATCCATCTTGACTCCAACATGGCGGATTCAACACCCCAACCCGACTTATCCCCTCAAAGTTTGTGTGTATACTGTATCGCGCGCGAGTTAAATCTCAACAACATCGTGAAAATTCCCTCACGATCCCGCAAAGCCGACTTTCGGCGCGCGTGTCACAGTGAATCGGTGCTCCCGAGAGAAGCTTCAATCTAGTCATTTTTACTCAAGTAGTCTACACTTTCAAGATAAGGTAAAAGGGCATTTGGTGGAATGCAGGCTGCTAGGGCATCTCTTATCCAGGCCCTCGCTCATCCCCGCAAAATACGCTGGAGGAATGGATCCAGCCTTCTGGTGCCCCAGGCCTCAAAATATAAAAAAAGGACCAGAGCCCACGACGAGATTCCGGGCCTTGGCTAGATCTACCCCCAAAGTTGGCTTTCTACTGTGCGCGGGATGCCTTGTTCGGTACCACGAGAAACTCCTGATTGCCACTGTGGATTACCTATGATCCTTTGATACTGTGCCGCTGAGCCTCACTATCTTTCAGTGACGGCACAGTGCGGCTCAGGTTCGTAACAGGGGGCGTTTGCCACTCCCCCCCCTTGAAAAAACAGAGCCCGCCACACTCCCCACCTCCTTTCGCTTCCTGGCTTCACCTGAGGCTCCATCTATTCACTCCCCACTTACAGGTCGGGTACAGCCTCTGCCTGTGTCTATATCCATCAGCCTTCCCCCCGAAATCCCCTTCCCCGGCTTTCTTCTCTCTTTCTCTTGATACTTCATATATCACCATCACGAGATTCATCCCGTCACAGCTATTAGCGTTTTTTGCTTCTTTGTTCACGAGCTGGACCTCATCAAACTATTTTGCTTGACGCAATCAAACCATCTCACACACAAATCTCCCATCCCTTTGAAAGAGTGACACCTGCTTTATTTACCAAGGCGCCATCTCATTCCAGACACAAAACAAAGGAACCACCATTAACAAAACACAACAACAACAACAACACAATAACATATAACTCTTCACAATCCACCCAAGTGGATTAACAACAAATTCTTCTGGCAAACCAAATCACATCAAATCTTGTCACCATGGCTCACACAACCGAAACCTACTACTACTACGTCCCCAATCTTCAGGCCCTCGACCCCACAGCTCGCGAAGTCGACCCTTCAGCTTACGCCTGGGTGCAACCCACAATCATCGAGGATGAGGATCTCACTTTTGGCGGAAAGGCTTTGAGTACCTGGTACGAGGAGGATCGTCGTCGTCACAGCAGTGGCAGCGATGAGGAGGAGCGACGCGGTCGTGAGCGTGTGCGAAGAAACTACTCGCGCTCCGGCAAGTCGCACAAGAAATAAATATATTTCTCTCCTCCTCTAGAAGCAAGGAAGCGAATGCGGTTCTCGACACTATGATACCCCTTTAGACAACCGACACCTGAACTTTACTCACCGCCGCGACAAACCTTGCTCTCATCGCCATTACTCCTCAAATACATTTCGCCATCACAACGAACTCAATCACTCGACATGTCCACATGAAACGAAACTATAGACACTCATATTACCAAACCTGTACCACCTCTTTTCGCTCTCCCAACCGACATATTCTTTGGCATAGCATTCAGCATCACGACCGGGAAGCGCATTTAGACTTTTTAGGGGGGACCAACCCAACTCCCAGGGACATTTTGATTCAGGCGTTTTTGTTTTTTCCTAGTACCTCTCTTCTGCATTTGGGATACCCCCCATGTTGGATCACTTGGCTGGTAGCCAAGATTTGTGGTTTAGAGCGGGACTGCTTTTACGGGCAATCTCCTTGTGGAATAAAGGAGAGTTGATTTGACGCGGCACTGGCGGTGAAATCAATAAGAGGTAGCACCTACACTGAATGGCAGAAATACCATAACTTAACAATACCTACATTGTGTCTATTGATTGCAAAGTGAATGTGATGTGATGTGATCGTCAGCTAACGAATACCGCGCTCAGCGCACTTGTCGCGTAACTAACAATGTGTGGCATTTGACTCGCGTCATGTTTTACAACGTTACAGTGCTTCACGTCTACACAACTAAAAGGGCATTCGCATCATGCCCTCTATGGCAGATGATCTCCACATGAGGTCACGCACACAGTCATGCCACGTGCAAATCCCATCAAACCACGATTCACTTTTGTGCATCAAGGCAAAGTCGACGTTTCATTACGATTCAGGTTTTTTTTTAAAAAATCCCATGCTCGTTAAATGACGTCGTTATTGATCTTGTGCAGTCGATCTTCTCCCAGCGACAAAGTATGTTGTACACCGAGGTTGTGAGTGGTTCTACAGTATGAGATTTCTCCAACGAGGGGAAATGTCAAAAAGTCGATGTGGGAAAAGATGGGCTTTTTGATAGGTTTGCCACTTTCTGTTGTATGACGAGGCATGGTTGCTCTCCCGGTTTATTCTTATCTTTGACGGATGGGCTCCGTGGGTTATGAGTCGTTCGGAGAGATAGATGGGATCGACTTGGCAGTTGGGGATTTTGTTGTGGCGAGCGTGGCTGTACGTTTTGTATGATCACGACAGCTGGGGGTGTGGTTTCGATGATGCCATTTTGAGGTGCTGAATGGCACATTTTGAACAGGGGATTTAATCTGGTCGCGATTCTCTTCAATATACCCGGTCTACAGTCTGTACATTATGTAGCTCCCCGCACTGGGTCAGACTGGCGATATGATGCTGGAACTTTGTGTCGTTGTCACTGAAGAACTGTGAGAGCATCGATCGCCCGATGTTACTACAGAACAGACATTTCTACCTTAACGTCATAACAAGTGAGGGTATTCGTACTTGAAAGTTCGTTCGTAGCCGTTGTGTTCTTGTTGTTGATCGACATGCCCCATGGTCTTCTCCTCATCAGCGTCCGCTAGTTCTAGACCTCATCGACCTAATGCTGATCCCTCACAGCGCAGGATCTAGACCTACCAGACCACTAAATTAGGTGAAGGACTGGGCATGTCAGACCCGAGCACTCGGTAAAGCTGACCTAAATCTGCTTGGTGGAACGGGCTGCGCGATGATCCGCGGTCGCTAGAGAGGGCTGCATCGTGTCGATCCTTTAGCCGTGTTTCACGGCAATGGTCGTCCTTCCCATAGTGCTGAGATGAAAGATTGAAGGCAGAGGCTTTGCTGCTTTGAAGAGATGGTAGCGCCGAGTATCTGCGACGTTGACTCTATGTGTTAATGTGGCAGGCAGCAGTCTTGGCTATGTTGCGCAGGCTGGAAAGCTTGAAGAACATAGCTTTGATCAACTATCGTATCTTTCTGCCTCTCAGTCTGCGATTCACTTGAATGCGAGTAAAATTGACTATATACGGGCGGTAGGAGTCGGAGTGTTTGGAGAGCCTCCCGAGGGCGTTGCCATAGACCTTGAATCAGTACCACACGGCCGATCGTGTTCGAGCTTGGTGCTCTTTGAAATGAGAGCTATAGGAGGTATCTAGGGTTTCATGTGCTCAAAAGAGATAGTCAGTGATTATTCCTCAAGCTAAGTACATGTAGTTTCCCACGGCGATCTAAAATAGGTAGGTGGTTGACTGTTGAGATTGTCGCGACAGATGTTGGTGTCAATATCTAAATATCCAGCCTGGTATACAAGGAACGATCGATCTATATGTGATTCAATAAGAATAAGCTCCTACAGTTCCACACTTTCCCTTGCTGTCCTTCCTCTCAAGCGACGGTTTGCATAGTGTCGCGGGACAACAGTCGTATGAGAAACGGAGTTCAAGGCAACCGTAGAAGATATTCATCGCGTAATAACCTCACAGTAAAAGGCTCCCGAATGAGAATCTACTATTGAATGCCATAAGGAAGTTTTACGTCTCTGAGGCGGGCTGACCTACCTCCGCTTCGCTTGTAGCCATATCTTTCTCCTCCGTTTCTTCTCGGCTACTGCGTAACTCACTCCGTTAGTTTCTGTTACCAGATCCTTATGAGAAGAAGTTACTGTGAGATATTATAAATTCTACTTCAGTGCGAATATAAAGAGACATAAAGACCACGTAGGTGTCTAGAGGCTTGCTACAAGTGCTACCTGGCATTCTTCTCCAGCGAGGTCGTCAAGATATGGAAACCATTTCGGGGACGATGCCAAAGTGAGAGAGAAGGCAAGCTACTTGATATGATAGGGGCCTTTCTTGAGATATTTTGGGCAGCTAATGTTTTAAATTAGATCTACGGAATTGATGGTGCGTACGCAAGGGAATGGTATGGTGTTGGAGTTCACAGCATTTATCGAAGCTTGCTTGATTTATTCCAAACCTCAACATACTGTATTAATCAGGCATAAGCTTTGGTTCATTACATGGCTGTTTGGTAAAATCTCTTCTCTCTCCATTGATGCCTTGAGACCTGCAGGTGTAGAGCCTGCAAAGGGTGCTGGCATGATCTGATCCGAAGCGCTCCAGGGTATCATCGTGAGCAGGCGCCAACATCAACAGGCCTCCAACACCAACCCCAACACCAACACCACGATATGTTCATCTTAATGTATTTACCCTCCCCCCGTGATCAAACGGCATGCGACATCTTCTCTCTGCGCCAAACCGCACAGCGACAAACGCTGCCTAAAAACTCATGCACCCCAGAGACCACCACTACAGCCGGGCGCATTTGCCTAACGCCCAAAAACACAATTGGTCACTTCTCACAAATGAGGCTCAGCCCTGTGCTACCAACACTCGCAAGCTTCAATAGAATCATGCAGGTTATGCACACACTCCGCCTCTTTTGCCGCCCAACCCTGGTTCAGCCGCAGTATGAAAATGGAACCTCAGCTTCTCACAGCGGTTAATTCTTCCACTTCTTCAATTGTAACACCACGTAAAAAATGCCGGCTAGAATTCATGAGAATTGCGTTGACTTTCGGGTTTTGATATGGGATAAGGGTAAGTAATTGAATCTGAGTGTGAGGGTCATGCTGATGAGAGTAGGGAATGAGAAGTGGCTTCGTGAGGATGTCCGACCGGGGGACTTTTATGAGGGGGAGATACCTGCGCTGTGGACTGAGTCGCATGTTATAGTCGTGTATGTGTTTTCTCGTTGAGGTTGAGTATTATGCTGACTATGGCAGATTCGCGGATGCAGATAAAGTACGCGACTGTTCTTTGTGTAAGAAACGCTTCACCGATGTCTTCTGTATGCCTGAGCTCTGGTGGTCAAGCTACAGCCGTCGATCAAACGGCTATTTTGGAAGCGAGACATTTCGCGATAACAACGGGATGATCACAGCATTAAGTCAGTCTTCCTCCCTCCAATTTCATCGAGGAACTTCGCTAACAATGATAGATACGTGGTCACGGTTTCTCGTCAAGCAATTAAACGAAAACAGCCATCAATGGCATAAATTCAACATCCTAACACGCTGGATAAAAGATCCCCAACAAACAATCCTGCTTGTCTTTGAAGCACCCAAACAACTGCGCCTGCGAGATAGGTTCCCCGATCCGCTGCTCATAAACTCTCACAACGACACGCTCAGCGACCCCTTCTGGTTCTACCCGCGTTTATTCGAAGATCTCTCTCTTCTTCAAGATAAATCCGTCTGGGCAGTCAGAGACCACGTTCGCAAGATTGAAAAAACAGATCTTACACAAAAGCCTGAGCCGAGATATCGAGCTATGCACGATACAGCCAGGCATGCTATTCACGTCTCGGAAACGCTTGAAGTTGCGGAGAAGACTATCACGGCGATCATACAGCAGCATAGCACTTTTGAAGCTGAAGCAGCGGGGGGGAATAGACCTGCAAAAGCAAAGTTTCGACATGTAGGTGAACGACTACTGTGGTATATCCACATTCTGCAAAGTCTACGCTGCAGAGCCTCCGCGAACAAAGAACGACTCCTCAACGAGATCCAACTCGCGTTCAACTCAGTTGCTCAATACGATTCTCGTATCTCTGTTAAGATTGGCCAGGCAACCCAATCCGACAGCGCAGCTATGAAGACCATAGCTTTCGTGACACTCACATTCTTACCCGCTACGTTTATATCAGCGCTGTTCAGCATGTCGTTCTTCAAAGTCGATGACAATACTGGGGTATGGAGCGTTAATGAGAAGTTCTGGGTGTACTGGGTGTTTGCGGTTCCCGCTACATTGTTCACCTGGGGGTTGTGGTTGTCGTGGCAGTGGTTTTATAGACCGGTTAAGATCGGGGAGGAGGAGAAGCCTGTGAAGCAGTTTGGGGACTTGATTGGGTTTGTGAAACGGGGTGGGACTGACGAAGAATACCGGATATCTTGAGCTGGGAAGTTATCGAATAGGGATGGGTCGGATAGTGTTATGGTTGGATATTGGGGTTGCGACTTGGATAGCTTGACATTTTGAGATGCACATGAGCGACATTCTAGCGTGTATTGCTGTTAAGTTGGAAGTCAAATTATATTGCGTGCTAATATCCATTGTACTCGTGTCTCGTTCCTCATTCCGTTGTGTACATTGCTAACAATCCCATTGTTGAAATCGACCAAAACATCCTAACCATAGTTTCGAATTGCATCATAATAGTCATCAGTCACAAATGTTCTCTATACATCAAATGAGTGCGTTGCACCTGGCACCAACATCATAGTCGACTGGCTGCACGGGATCAACCGTCACAATAGAAGCTGGCTTTGATGAAGCATCATATTCCTGCACAGCGAGTGGTGCTGGCGATGCACTCGTCTCCAGTCCAGGCGTTGGGGTCGATTGAACCGTCACCTCCACCACAATACTATCCTGTGGCGCTGGCGTTGATACCTGAGGAACAGGAGCCGTGTTATTCTCAGTCACTAGACTAGTACCAGCCAAGATGTCGTTACGGCCGTATCCGCTGTTGAGAATGAGTGTAGTGTTCTCTGGTGTACTCGGGACTTCAACTAGAGGAATGTCGCTCGTAATGATCTCGGGCTGGTTGTTCTGAAGGAACACCGGATACATGGGTTGCTGCGCTTGGGTCTGGGTTGTGAACAGTGGTGCTGGTTCGGCGGCATAGTCGGGTACTGAGTACGAGATGGTAACCTGCTGCTGAGGCATTTGAGTTGGATCGTAGACATACGGCTGGGTAGGATAGGTCTCTTGCGAAGTAACCTGATATACAGGTTGTTCAGTCAGCTGAACGGGAGGCTCAACGCCGGCCTGCTCAGATGTAATGACTGTCTCATAAGATGTTGTCTGCTGAGCCAAAATTGGCTCTTGGGTTGAAGTAGCTTCGAACGTAGTCTGCTGCTGAACTTCAAAACCGGGTTGCTGCTCGTATGTTTGAGTGTACTGAACCTCCTGCTCGAAGGCTGGTTGACCCTCATTAATAGTGTAAGAAACCTCAGTCGTAACACTGAACTGCTCAGGCTGCTGGCCAAAAGCAGGCTGTTGATCAAACGCAGGTTGTTCGAAAGCTGGCTGTTCAGTCTGTACCGAGTACTCAAATGTTGACTGCTGCTCGAAAGCTGGTTGCTGGAACATCGACTGCTGATTATCCTCAAAGGAGAATGACTGCTGAGGCTGTGAGAAAGACGATTGCTGATAGTCGAAGCTTTGCTGGAACTGTCCTTGTTGCTGGTCTTGGAATCCGCTCGTGTCATCACCTCCAAATCCGAAGTCCCCATCATCGTTGTAACTGTCGTCGTACTCGCCATCGCTTCCGGAGCCGATACCACCGAAGCTGTTGACTGTGTTCAACATCCGACCCATCTTTCTCCAATTCTTCTTCTTGCCAAGCTTTCCGACCTGTCGACTTGCCATCTCAACGCCTTGACCAGTGAGCCTTGCTGCATTGACCGTCGCTGAAAGGATGCTATCGCCGACATTTTGCGGCTGATTTGGTTGACCAGGCCGTGCTTTTCTCACAATGACCTTATTTCCTTGCTTCGTCTGTCGTGGCTGCTGTCCCGGCCGATCCCACGTCGATAATCCAAGTTGTTCGTTGATATAGAACGGCGTCATGTCTGGCGTTCTCAATTCTCTCCAACCGTCAGGCAGAGAGTTGGCAGGCTTCACCCATGAACTGGTCCCCAATCTCTTGTTGAAGTAAAATGTTCGACCATCAGGTGTCTTGCGCTCATCCCAGCCAGGTGGCAATCCAGAGAATCCAAACAAGGCCGCTGCCGTGGGCTTCAGGTGTGTCTTCAAGCCGGTCGAATTATGAGTGTACCAGAGTCGGCCAGAGACGTTCTTTCGAATAGTCCACATTTGGGTTGTCGCATCTTGAACGGAAGATTGAACTCGCGGGTCGGATTCAGTGGCATAGTAGGATTTATCGTGGCTGTGAGAAGTGTTGACTGCATTGGAGGTGAAGCACCACACACAGAAGTTCGTCGTGATATGCGCTGTGCTGCAGATGAGACAGGTGTAGACCGACACGTTGAGAGGAATCCCTGGGAGTGTTAGCGGCAATAACGGTTCACTCAAACGACACTCTCACCCTTTCGACAATGGTTACACAGCTGAGGTTGCCCAGTAGATGTGCGTCTCAAGTCTGCCGCAGGAGTAGCTTGAACAGCTGGAGTCGGCTGGATCGCTGGAGTATGCTGAGGTGGATGATTCTGCTGAACCGCTGGGATTTGTTGAGCTGTCGGGGCATATTGAGCCGGTTGAGGTTGCTGTGCGCCTGGAGCATGGTGAATCGCTGGACTTTGCTGGGCCGGAACATGCTGAACTGCCGGGGGTTGCTGGCTCACAGGTGGCTGCTGAACTGCGACAGAAACAACATTTGGCTCCCATCGTGGTGTGCCCGCAACGCTTGGTGTAGCGACTGTAGTGGCGGGCGTTGCGATACCGGCGCTGCTACCGCTGATGCTTCCCGGTCTGCCGTGATCGGCCACAAATGAACCGATGTTGCTGTTGGCAGTGTCAACACGATGGATTTGCGGAGTTGGGCTTGCTGGAGATTGTTGTGGTTGTGCTTGGTGAGTGTTTGGCAGAGTCGTTTGAGGAGCGGGGTTTGGTGATGGGTTTGTCGGGCTGAAGGGTTGTTGCTGAGGGTGTTGCGCTTGGACATGCTGCTGTGGAAGCTGTTGCTGTTGCTGATATTGTTGTTGCGGCGCTTGTTGATGGTTTTGCTGATACTGAATTGGTTGTTGGTGGAGATAAGGAGGTTGAGGATGAGGTTGGCTGTGCTGTTGTTGCTGCTGGGGAGGATACTGAGCAGGTTGCGCTTGCTGGTGCTGAATTGGTTGGCCTGGGTGTGCTATCGGCTGAGCTTGGTGAATCTGCTGTGGACTTTGTTGGTGATAAACAGGTTGAACCTGTTGCCCAGGATGATATGATTGAGGTCTCTGTTGTTGGACATGTTGCTGCTGCTGCTGCTGGTTGTGAGGAGGATACCCAGCTTGCGGATACTGCTGCTGAGGAGCAGGTCTATGCGGCAGCGAAATGCTCTGCGCTTGTCCTCCAGCCGGCTTCCCAACAGGTTTCCTAGCCACAGACCTCTGATGCATCAAAGGCTGAGGCGTCGTTTGTACAACATTACTCTGAGGCTGTGGAGACGCCATCTCGACTTACACCAGAAAACACAAGGACAAGGACAAGAAATGACAAGACGGGAGACGAACAGGAACCCTGCTTGGCAATGCATTCTATTTATTACTTTTATTCCCCTGTACATCACAGGACTTTAACAATCGAGACCGGAAAGAATATTTTGTATTTGGTGGTGGCTCGTCTTTTCTTTCTACCCCTCTATCTGGTATGTGCAAGGGTCCTGGTTGTAACCTCAGCCGCAAATCTGTAACCATTCACAACGCTTTATCGTCTACTTCGTGGCGCGCTATGAGATGCATCTTGCTTTTTAGGGAAAAGCTCGAGGCAGATTTGGGTCGATGGCGTTTTTAGTTGCCGTTGTCTTCTCCGATGTTTGGTGTTTGGTGTTTAAGCGGCACAGCTCCGCTGTGTTTAATCTGCAGCTGAAGGCGAGGCCGACATGCGGATTGCGAATGAGTAGTACCTCAGCTGTCCTCAGGGAGCAATGAAACTTCTGACGTCGAGCTAGGATGCCAACGTTGACTGGTCTAAAAGCACCCTAAGCTTAGGATAACTTACCTAAGTCTTTTTGTCGCTTAGAATCGAGGGTCCTGAGTTTTCTTGCCTCTCTTACCTAGGCTGTCAAGGAAGCAGGGACGAAACATCAGTCCACGGGTGACGCTTTCATTTCTTGATGGAAGTTATTATTATCAAGTGAAAGGGACCCTTTCCAAACTTATTTCCTTAGTTGTTCAAACTTATCTCTTGCTTTCCTAACACTAGTACACGCACCCATCACTGACTGCATAAACGAGGTCCTTCGCATCAAATTTGATGTCTGTGTACATCAATGATCTACCGATGGGATCCAACACACCATGTGAGAGACGCGGGGGCTGAGTATCCCAATCAGATTGAACCAGCACTCTCGTTCCTCCTCCACAGCCTGGTCTCCATTCCCCGCACTTCCACATTGCGATAGAAGCCATGTCTGGACTGGAAGGCCCAGGCATCGTTGCAAATGTTATTGCTGTGGTTGACTTGTCTCTCAAAGTCATCTCATGTTGCTCCAAGTACGCTCAAGATGTCAAAAACTCAAATGACAGCCGCGCCCGACTTCTGCAGGCAACCATCACGTTGCATTACGAGTCCGGAAAATCCACAATCTTCTCACTGGAAAGAATGGCAGCAAACTGGAAGCTTCTCAGAAGCTTGCCCAGGCTATGGGAAGCAGTAAGGTGCAGTTACACGAGCTTGAAAGTCTGCTGTCCGACAATGCCAATTGTTCAAGCCTCAAATGGCCGCTGCGGAAGAAAAAGGTTGAAGGCGCTATTCGGAACATCGAAAATACAACAAAGACCCTACTAGAAGTCCTTCAGATTGATACGACGTACGTATATCCAGTCTCTCGCTTATACCCTGCATCAGGACTGGACTCCGAAGCGATGGGTCACACACATAGGAAGATATGACGGCGATAGTTCTCAATCATAGACCGCTGAAGCCACTAAAGAATAGCAATGCTGACCACTAATTGCTATGTAGAGGCATTATCCTTGATATCGATGATAGGACGGAGGCTGGCCAGCGAAGGGCAGTAATCGATCAATTGCCATACGTTAGTGATGCAGTTTGGGACTCACATGCCGAGGAGCATAATGCGACCTGTCTGGAGAACACCCGTAAGGATATTCTGCGGGAGATCAAGGATTGGGCCGAAGACACAACTGACCAGTCGAAAACGGTGTTCTGGTTGAACGGCATGGCGGGTACTGGAAAGTCCACTATCTCACGCACAATTGCCCGCTCCCTATCCGAGGCTGGGAGATTAGGCGCATCCTTCTTCTTCAAACGTGGCGGACTGAATAGAGAGAAAATACCCAAATTCGTCCCAACTATTGCGCGTCAACTTGCGACAAATCAGCCGGCGCTCGAGTCTTATATCTATAAAGCGGTCCTGCAAGATCCAACTATTGCGAGCAAAGCCGTTAGAGCTCAGTTCGAAAGACTTATTCTGGAGCCCCTCTCTCAAAGTTCAGCTGAGACTCAGGATAAAAAGCCGATCACTATTGTCGTCGACGCGCTGGATGAATGCGAGTCTGATGCTGATATTTATCTCATTATTAACCTGTTTTCCCGCACAAGTGATATAAAGCAACCGCGAAGTAGAATATTTGTGACGAGCCGCCCTGATCTTCCGGTTCGCATAGGGTTCAACGACGTGCAGGGAACTTATCAAGACCTGGCCCTTCACGAGATACCCGCTCAAGTAATAGAACACGACATATCAACATTCTTGCAACACGAAGTAAATATGATTAAAAGGAGATGGAATTCTTCAATTGCTGAGGGACGTAAACTGCCCCCCGACTGGCCTGGAAACGCCTGCATCCAGCTCCTCACAGAAAGGGCAGCGCCCCTCTTTATCTTTGCCGCAACTGTATGCCGTTTCATAGCTGACCGGAGGCATGGTAGCCCTGACGAGCAGCTCCAAAGATTCCTGGAATCTTCGGCTGAGGATAATCCGTCTCGGATGGACCTTACATACGGGCCAGTCCTTGGTCAGCTGCTTGGTTCGCATTGTTCCAAACGCAAGAAGGAGACGATCATCCACGAAGTCAAGCGAATCGTCGGTACCATCATTAACCTCGCTATCCCTCTATCATCATCCGCACTTTCGAGACTCGTGAAAATTGACCAGAAGACGATTGATGTCAGGTTAGACTATCTCCATTCGGTTCTCAGCATCCCTTCCTCTTCAGATGCACCAATTCGAATGCTTCATTCATCCTTTCGTGACTATCTGATGTACCCATATATCGAAGGGAATCCTTTTCGGATCGATGAGAAGAAGTCATCAAGAGATCTAGTTGGAGACTGTTTCCAAGCGATGGAGAGCCTTAAAACCGATGTCTGTCACCTGGGGATTCCAGGCATGCTCCGTTCGACATTAAGACCCGAGCTTATCGACGAATATCTACCCCCAGAGGTTCAATACGCATGCATTTACTGGATAGACCACCAAAGGGTTGCAGGAATTGCTCCCGGAGATGCCGCCGCTATCCTCAACTTTTTGGAGAAGCATCTCCTTCACTGGTTTGAAGCCATGATCTTACTAGGGGAAGTCTATCTGATCACCGGACTGATCAGGAGTCTTAAATCTGTCCTGGAAAGAAAGGTAGGAAAGAGCATAGGCTGAGAACTTTCAGATCGCTGAAACTTCATTTGTTAGTCTGCTGTTGACGTGAAGTTGATCGATTTCCTTGACGATGCAATCAGATTCGTTGACACAGATACCGAAGCGATCAACCTAGCACCCTTACAGATATATTACTCTGTTTTGGTGTTTACGCCTACGAACAGCATCGTCCGAAAGACCTTTGTCGCTGAAATACCAATTTGTTTGAGACGTGTGACAGGCAGAAGAACCGACTGGGATCCACGCCTGCGTTCGTTCGAGAAATCTGCGCCCACATGGTGGCACCCTGGAGACAGACGCTCTACCGTGTTCTCGCCTGGCTCTGAACTATTGTATTCTGTCTCCAACAGAGAATATGCCAGAGCTTGGAGTTGCGACACAGGCGAATGTATCGAGGAGCTCGAGACAGATCAAAACTCTTTGATGGCTCTTTCTCCCAATGGAAAATACCTAGCAGTGACTACCCCCGAGCACAAGATAAGCTTATTCTCGGATACAATAGCATATATTCTAGAGCTAACAGAAGATAGAGCCTTGGGTGATTTAGCCTTTTCACGAGACTCCGCATTACTATGGGTATGCTCAATCAAGGGACAAGTGAAAGCCTGGGATGTGGCACCGGGGGATTGCGTGAGAGATCTCAGATGTCCATGGGGCATGGAAGTTGACACCGACTCTCGTCAGACCTACGGGTGTCAGTTGGAGTTCTCACTGGATCAATTCACCGCTCTACTTATTTCGAACTATGTTGATGCGCATGTTTGGTTTCTTGAGAGTGTTGAGGAAGAAAAGTCCTTTCACATAGCGCTGTCCAACGATGCCATTGACAGCCCCAGTGGCTTCTCGCCAGATGGGAAAGTATTGGCTACGCCTTCAGCACAAAACTCAGTAATGAAGATCTGGGACCTCCAGATAGGCCAGTGTGTATGGGATCTGAAGGAGGAGGATGCTAGTTGTATGATGGACTTTGTCTTTTCACCGGACTCGGGCCTCCTGGCGATAGTCTATACCAACGAATCAATATTGGTCTGGGATACTCGGAGTGGAAAGTGCTCAGCAAAACTAAACATCGGGCGTCGCCTCTCCTTTCCCGGTATCTCATTTTCACCCGACATGGACTTTCTCCTCTTCACAAGTGAGAGAGAGGATGGGCCGTACAGCAACATTGAAGTATGGAACTTAAACGCAGAAGTCTGTGTGACAATGATGAGATGTCATGAGGGCGATATATACCATCTTTTATTTTCTCCTGATGGGCAAACCTTTGCCTCTGTGCGACGAGGTGGCGGTGAAATACAGTTATGGGACTGGCCAAGCCTCCTCAAAGAGCCTCTAGAGGACTCAAAGGAAACGACGTCACTCGTTCTATCGCATGATGCATCAACAGTAGTAGCGTCATATGGAATTCACGAACTGAGAGCATGGAATGCCGCGACAGGTGAAATGCTCCACGAGATGCGCAATAAGGACCAAAATTCCTCTATACGATCTTACAAGTTTTCCCCCGATTCTGCATTCATAGCAACAGACGGATGGGATGAGGCGGCAGTATGGGGTGCACGCGATGGCAACTGCGTGTGGCAGCTCAGCCAGCGCGACGAAAGGACCAGAGTGCATTTCTCACCAGACTCTCGACGTATAGCAGTAGGTATTCAAAACTACTTGGGTAGGGATGGTCCTTGCATTGAGATCTGGAAGCGGACCAACGGTACATTTGATCTCGAACATACCTGGAGGGAGATCTGGGCCTATGACTTTTCATTTTCTCCGAGTGGAAGCCTGTTGTTCGTTAATCACGGAAAAGGGATAAGGGGTTTCGACTGTGACACAGGCGAGCTGTTTCACGAAATAACATTTGATGGACACGAGATAACTGTGGTTTCGATGGCAATTGCCGAGGATTCTTCCACCCTTGCCCTTGGACTTCCATCTGCGATTCAAATGTGGAACTTTGAGTCAACGATGTGTACCCAAGAGTGGCGGACTAACTCAGGTTCCAACTTAATCCTGTCTTCCACGGGAACTCTTTTGGCCAGCCAGATTAATAACGACATCCGAATCTGGAATTGGACGACTGGGGAGATGCTTGCCGATATCAAACTTTCTGAAAACGACTGGAAGATCGATGCCTTTCTACCAGATAACTCTGGAATCCACACCAATTATGGAGTCATTCCAATGAGCCTGGGAACTGTCTCAAGCCAATACCTCACACCAACGTTCAGACTCAGAAAACATTGGATCCAGTGGAAGGAGAACAATTTAATCGAACTACCACTCGATTTTCGAGGTGTTTGGACTGCAATATCAGCAACGAATTCGGAACTCACTGTTGCATTTGGGTGTAGCTCGCAGCGGGTTACCATTCTCAAGATCTCAGAAAATGAAGAGTTGAGATGGTTGCTTCCTCTCATCGAAGAGACTTAAAATTATCTAGTGACATATATACAGGAGCGAAGCGTTATAATGGGCATTTTTAGAATGAACTAAGCAGGGCATCTCACAAGTAAATGCCCCCCTCGTTTAAGGCCTCAAGTTTATTCAGCCTTGAGATCGGTCTAAAACTATATGATACCTCATCGAAGAAGCTTGAATGGGACATCCCAATATGCCGCATGGAATCCAACCCAACCATGAAATCAAAAAGACAGTCAATGAAATAGCCGTTTCCAACTGCATAGTTTGACTTCACCTAGCCTACGTTTGTAACAAGACATGCTGTCTCAACAACGAGTTGGTAAATGCTCAAGCTGGAGTTGCGTTGACATTTAGTGCAACCTGTCTTGAGGACAACACTACACACTTGCTAACGAGCAATCGATAACAATCAAACGCTCACAAATATCAAATAAAGTTAATGATGGAATTTAACGCAAATACCGGTAGCTAGAAAAACAATGCGAGGTTGAAAGTGTTTTCGGTGCAGTTTGCTCTGGAAACAACAACCAACATACCGTCAGTTAGGGAGTCACTGCTTGCCAAATAAACCAAAGAATTTGATGAAGTTCAGATATTTTATGGCTTTTGATATATGGCATTGATTGTCAAGCGACATTCACCAAAGCTGGACGCGTACGCTGATGCATCACAATCAAGGACATTGGGGTATTACAACATGCTCGACCTTCACAAATGAAAGTCCAGAGAAGGAAATCACTCAGAGATCTCCTGAAAACTTGGAATACTCCAGAAGATCATTGAAAAGCAAACATGTGTCTGGCTGGCTATAAAAGCTACCTTTCCTCCCACCTTTCAACTCTTGTCCTTGTCATCCACCACCGCCACCAACACCAACAACACCAGCACCAGCATCTATTCTTCCCATATATATAAACATTTTATAGAAAATATTGTCACCTAGCAAGGCCACTATCACTCTCGGCTCATGCGAAGAGATTGAACTGCAAGGTAGGAGATCAACATTCACTATTCATGAACACTAACTAAGCTGATCAAGGTGAAATCTGCATATACACTTACTATGTTACCTCCTCAGTAGTCTCCTTTCACTAAGGGAAGATTTAAATGTCAATTAACTCTTTTTATTCTCTCATAATGCTTCAATCTCAGTATACTCTCCCCATCATGTCATGAACCCCATTTGCTCTTCGACACAAAGCACCTTATCTGAGACTATATACGCCAACCGTTATCACCGCCGACGCCGCGGGATACATCGCTTCCCGCTGGGACTTGGGCTCGAGGGCTCGACACCAACTATCCAGAACATAGCACCCGACAATCCCTCCTACAAAGCCCCCTTGGACGCAATCACCCCAATCGCATCACCCTGACGAGTTCCAAGAACCAGGAGAAGCGAGAAAGGCACGACACTCCGGCCACGTCTTCTTTATGCGTGTTGGAGTCTTCAGGGAGGAAGGGATAAGAAGACAGGATTCAAGCAGCACCACGTGTTCAAGATCATCGGCTACGAGGTGATGGCAGTAAATACAAGTGCAATGTGCAATGAGTTAGGTTCCCAAAGCCCGAGGCTGTTTGGGTAGGTGATGATGAGACACATTGGGCATATGGTGCTTACTGACAAGTGTCGGAAGCCTTTATATATATACAAAGGATGTTCTCAAGGTTTGAATCATTTCCTCACTCAATTGAATGCTGTCAGGCACCCCCGATATGCTCTTGGTGAACCAAATGGGTATTGGGAAGACGAGGAAATGGTTACTACATTGTTCCCCTCAGCAGTATATCACAGAAATCAGGTAAGTCAGAGAAGTACCGGGGCCTCAGAGTTGAAGCCTTGGTGTCACGTCGCAATCTATGGAGCTAACAGGACAGTTAATAGGCAGACGCTCCATGAAGTCGAAAAGGTTCAACTCGCCACCTCCATGTGCATACGGAACGAGTCAGAATCACACGATGTCGTTTCAGGTGGCATTCGCATGCCAAATCCACCTCGGTGTGTTTCATCTGCTGCGGGAAAACCTATTTCGACAACAGAGGAGCTCATTATCGCAGAAGCTATGAGGCAGGTCGGGTTTGATGGCGACGAGCATATGATGGGATCCCCAGTACCTAACCAGCACGTACGCGTTGCGTGCAATGTGCACCTCTACGAAGGGATCTGGTCCATCCGCGATACTTACACAGTTACGGAAGTCCACCCTATGCTGCGTGGGGTCATGTTGCCCGAGAATATCTCGGCCTGAAGCTCCTAAGTGGACATGAGCCTCGAATCTTTCAAGAAGATGTTGACTTCATGGAATATATACCAATAGCCAAAAGGATTGCTGCACAAGAGAAGCCTGGTATCAGGGTACCTATTTCGTTCGTCAGCACGCATTTCCCTAATACCACCCTGTGAGGATTCTGGCGACAAGGAGGACCATTACTACGCCTCCCCTGAATGTTCACGAGCGCAACATGGACTTCCTAGGCTCTATTCACCGGCCTACAGGTTTAGAGACATGAAAGCTGAGCCTTCATCACCGGAAGTTGACCATTGAGACACCTGAATCACCCCAATCTCCATCACTTTACGATATCCCACTGGTTTTATCCGCACAAGTCCCTCCTCAAGCTAAATCCAATGAGCTAGGGGACAGTCCCATTGAGGGTGAAGCAAGCCCTGCTGTACCGAGGCTAGACAGATCTCATCTCCTATGCTTCGGATAGCATACGCCCAGAATGATTAGGCCATGTAAATGTCTCTCATCTTCTTTTCGCAAGCATACCACTAACCACACGGAGCTAATAGTAATATAAGTTCTCAAGTAGCTTGGTGCGCCGCTCCGCAATGGCACCGGTAGGATTCAGCAGGTGATCTAGACCATTGGACCCCCGCAATTCCTCAGAATATGAGAGAAGGACAGAAATTTTCCCTCTGTTCACCGTGATATAATGTTTGTAAGATCACGTCCATGACTTACTATGATAACGGTGAGAGCATGTTCCAATCCTGCTGCCAGACTGGACCTGCGGGCTCACCCACGCAGAATGGGGAAACTGTTTGACCAAAGCCGAATGACTCAAGGACGGACCGCCTGAGCCGGACACCTTTGCTGTACTTGATGCCATGGAATATGCGTTCCGTGAGTTGGTGGGTGACCAGAGAACGAGGCTTCGGGTTCACGAACACTTGCGCATCGGCCCATTGCGATACAGCCACTGACTCAACAGCCTGCTGCTAGAGGATGATCCATGCCTCAGCAACGCGACTCACCAGAGGCGCTATCAACTCAGCCATTGCAGCAGCGTCGGCAGCAGCAGGAGCTTGTACACTGAAGCTGTTGACTCCAGAAGAATCCTACACCACCCGCGAGCAAAGCGCACCAAAGGCTTCCTAACGGCCCTTATTTTCTTTTTGTTTTTCTCATACTTTTTCGACATTACGTGATGCATGACAGGCTCCAGTCGGTAATATACACAATGGAGCATATTCTTTTATATTATAAAGGCGCTGGTCGATACTGTGCCGGAAACTTGGAGCTGGCCTCCTAGCCTTTATCCCCTACAGGAAAAGCGGAGATGTCACCGAGGCATCATTCCAGAGACTTGCCCACAAGGACAACAAGGAGGAGCTCGATAAATTTATTAGCTTTGTGAACCAACTGTCGCTCGTCGCGGAGACGCTCAAGAAGGCCGGGGAACATTTCTTCAAAGCCTTTGCAGAAGGGGGCTTTCAGGGATGCCCAACAACCCTGTCCAGCGCCTCTACGAGCGCAGACTGGGGATGATAACACCAGATAAGTGACTGAAAGAGTCTTTAAATGGTGAGTTTACTTCTCAACCTTGCGCAAATCCATGTTGTGTTGAGGATGGATGTGCATCCAGCTATCCATGAGGAACAGGGTTCAACACCGCAAATCTTCAAGCAGGTACGGAATCAAATCTATGCTCTGCCTTGCACAAATCACCCCTAATCGAGAGCCTTCAACGTGCGCAATTCATGCAGGAATGGAGATCTGATGATGGGCATAGTTTGCTTGTTGATCTATCATCATTGCAGTTGTACGCTATGGCGGTCGCAAAGACGTTGAGATCAAGCTTACAAAGCCTTCTGACAAGAAGTTGATACAGGAAAACCGAGAAACTGAAGACCTAGGTGTAACGCTATAAACGGGAGCTGCACTCTTATAGAGCTCTCTATCTGGAACTGTAAGCATGCCGAAATCTACCGCAGCCTACAAGATTCGCAGTGGGCGAAATACGCAAGCCGAACAACCGGCAGACTCTTGGCCATCTTCAACGCTCTAATAAATTGGGACAACGTCCGAGACCTGACATTCAAAGAGAAAGACCTTCCTTCACGCTAAGTCAACCGGAGAATGAAGGAATCCTACTTGACGTTTCCTCAAGACCCACGGTGGATTGGCTTTCAACGGCGACGCCGAGACCAAGAGACAAACGGTTCTATGGTATATTGAAGAACGAAAAGATATACCATGACAATATTAAACACTTTGAGGTTGCCAAATGGTTGATCAGCACCTCCGCCTAATCCAAGTCTCCATCTTGAATGAAGAACGAAGTTCTCGAGATATGCTTGTGCGAATCTTCGTCCATCCCAGACAATTCCGTAATCAACACACCAACTCCAAATGACACTGAAGGCATCGGTATTTTACTGTCATCGCCTGAAATTCGCAAATCCATCTGGAGACAAGCGGATAGCATTTCCCAGGCCGGTTGTGCCCTTTCCACTCTACACTCTACACTCACTTGACTACCCAGAAGGCACCAAAAGGCATACTCTGCCTACTATACTATCCACGGGGCAATGGATCCCATCACGAACCTTGAGAAGTTGGGCGATAACGACCAAACAATTCGATACTGGCACCCAGATGGGAGTAGAAGACGCCCTAGTCTGCATTTGAAAGCATGACCAAAGTACAATGGAATTTTTGAACGGCATTTCAGGATCTCTTTTCCGCAAGATACTGATCTACTGGAGGGTGCGATCAAGTCAAAGCACGATTTACTGCGCATCCACATTGAGCAGCGCCGTAACTACAACAGTCAGTTTGTCTAGGAAGGCGATTTTGGAAATGAGGAGACAGAGGTTGAGTCCGAGGATGACGGTGAACTGAGCGACGATGCTCATGACGCCCTCCACGATGAAGCAGTTGCTGAAGAAGCTATAATGAAATCGGAGGATGACACCTCCACTCCAAAAAGTTGGGTTAGGATTAGGGACTTACAACGGCGCTGCTGGCCATTTTGGAGAGCAAGACTCTCGTGGAGTCATTGGGTGACTGTAACTTGGTGGAGGAGCTTGAGCCGCGGACCGCCAGGCAGTGTTTTTCCTACCTCCGACGACTGGTAATGCCGTTCGACTTGTCTGTGGTCTCTGGTGGCTGATGAGGTAAACTTTTCATTCTTATGCCTCCTTTCACGAGTGACAGGAGCTACAATCCAAAGGGCTCACTTTCCATTACTGCTCTATATCCCTTCAACGTCGCATAGCTTGGAGGACAAAGCTCGAAATCAACTAGACCGTCAAAGTAGTCACAAATGTTGTACTCAGACCAGGAGAAACTCGTCATGGAGGCCAAATTTATCATGCTGCAGAATCACAGTTGCTATGGTGCCTGGACCGCAACTTGGCTAAGACTGCCAACCGGGCTCCGAAGTCACGACAGTCCCTTCGAATAGACCTGGATCCAGTCGAACTACCAGGACACCAACCGAGGTCTACTTTGAAATCATACATACTGTATTACTATATTCATACATCCGTCCTGGGTTTCTGTACAGAGATCCCGTGCGGTAGCTACGAGGTACAACACCATCATGCCTGCAGATGATCGAGACAGATACTACTATCGCTTCGCTGTTCGAATGTACAAGCCTGGCGGCGACAAGCCGAAGGGATCGGGCTCTACCAGCGTCGCTGATAGTAAGAAGCACCCTCAAGCAAAACGCGCAACATGACTGTCGAAGTACATTCAGTGTATGGAGGGACTATTGGAGCAGAGTGGGTGGGTTGAAAGAAAACAAGCTCAAGAAGGATCCGATTCATTTTGATCAAGTTTCTTGCTAGAAATGTTCTCCGGACTAGGGTCCAATGTCACCAGTCTAACAGTAAGTTATTCTCCTACAAGGCGGCGAATCTACAGTTTATGAGAAGTTGCCAACAAGGTTACACTTTGGCAACATACATACATTCGTCACCTTTTGTCACCCTTCCTCCTTTGCTGGCTGGCCCCATCAACTGAAAACTCGATGGATATAATACATTGACGGCCTTACGTATAAAAACGACTACTATCTTAGTAAAAGGTAGCTCCAAAATGCTCGCGGTATAAATCCGTCCTTTCAACCAAGGCAAAGACCTACTCCCTGCCCTGTTTATATCCATAAAAAAGAATTTACCTAATATAGATTACTTATCTCTTTTTCTTTATAGGCTATCGAGCTCTGAGACTTCTTCCCTTCATAGAAAATTAAAGGAGGGCCCTAGTTAGGACGCAGTTGAAGTATTAATATCAGACTTGCGGCCACATGTACAGACAACCGCCTTCTCAATTGCGGTCTGCCTTTGAAGTATGCACCAGGCCGGGGTTTTTCTTGTTCGCATTCTAACAGTGTCAAGAACAAGGATACTTCGTTGGCAAAAGTATCTCACCCTTCGCCGTTTGATGGCTTTTTCGATATATCCGATGCCGCCTGCTACTCAAGGCCCTGGCTCGGTTCGATGACGGAGTTAGAGACACAATACATCCTTTCTTCGAACAAGGAACTGTCCAAGCGGTTTTAATATGTATATATAACACCGACTACCCTTATTACATTCGGCAATTACTGGACGACACTCAATGTGAGAAGAGAACGTGACTTAATCACATGGACGAGGCACATCAGAATGAACATACCGATAATCCTGGGTCGCAAGGAGTTGTTCGTTTGGCTGAGGCACATGAACGGCGACGTTGCGAATAGTGTATACACAACCCAACCAGCTACCAGGGCAATGATCCACGCCATGAAGTAAGCTTTAGCTACTTTTCCGGATGCTAAGAACTTTTGCGATCATAACATTCAGGCACATCATAATTGAGGTTTTTCTGATAGATGGAAAACATTCGTCAGATCACCGGGGTAGTTTGTTAAAACCGCTTTTGAAGCACTATATACATCTTCCTGTGGAAGAAAGCATCGCCAAAAATCAACAAGCCTAACTGAGTCGACCCACTAGGAGCTTGGAGAGAGAATAACAGTTCTCCTTACTCAGAAACCTTTACCTGAGACACGGACAGTATCTGAGGCAGTTTTATAGAAGTAAGATGAGTCACCCACCATCCCTTACGTTGAGCAAAACCATGGAGATACGTACAGTTACGTTTCAAAGGTATGTTCTGGAAATGCACGACTCCTAGCTATGTTGGGATGGCTTATTCCCCTTTCTGAAGTCGATATTCCATGCAATTGCAAAGACATCTACTAATATCTCTACAAGCGGTTCTTTGCTGTTCTCGTTTTGCTAATCATCTTACTCGGGATTCGTGGTCCTCACACGAATACTCCTCATGGTCTTCGATCCCCCGGCTTTCCTGAATCTCCTTTCATAGGGATTATCACGGTTCTTACAGGGACATGCATCTGAGTTAGAATTGAAGGACTTCCTGTTCACACAGATGGAAAGCCCAGAGCTGAGAGAAATAGCTAAAAAGGACGTCATGAAGCATGATAATCTTATTGCAGAGATCGCCCGTCAATTTGAGTTTGACAGGTTACTGGCCGACATCGAGCCGTTTTCTGATCTTATCCTGCCAGAGATTTGCGCCCGATATGAATTGCCCGACACTCTGCGTCCTAATCATGCAGACCTCAAGAGCGATGTGGAAGCTGCTGGATGGCGTCCCACAATGATATCAACCAGAAGTTCAACTACCACCGATATCATCAACCATCGATGTGAGATTCTGAGTATAATATCCCTCATATCCAGCAGCCAGATCACACCGCATCTTTTTCAAGCACAAGCACGATTAGGTGACGAGACACCGCGGCCTTGCCTAGCATAAGTTTTAACTACTTTATCAAACAATCTTCATTACCACCATCATGGACTTCTTAGAGAGCTTATGAGGCTTCTTCCTCCATCTAATTCTTTGCGGCGACCACACACATATTTCCAAGGTTCTCATCCATTGGATGAAATCTAGAACGCTCGCATGTGGTCTCTCGACCTTGCATCTCGTTTGACTCTACAAATATATTTGTCCTTTGGTATACCGTTCTTCTCATATATATAAGCATTTCACAAAGCAGAAGGGGGGAGAGAATGAAACCATCGATCAAGGCATGAGGTCTACAGGAGAGAGGTTTAATGACTAGAAACACCCAAGGCACCTCAGATTCAGCATACTTACCAGCAAGTATGAAGTGTCGATTTTCTTTATATATAACAGTCCTGGCGCCGGTGCTGGTCGTGGTCGTGACAGGAATCCCATCTCCCGCCAGCAAGACGAAGACAACCCTGAGATGAAAGGCTCCTTCATAATCCCCGCTCTACCACTAGCTGGTCTGCCTGATCTCCTCAAACGAAATTTGGTATATATACAAGCTCACACTCATACCTACAAGCGAAACTCACGATCTAACAACAACATGGTCAACAAAATGTGTAGAGTTGCCCTCCAACAATCCGGAGGTCAACGACCTCCGGAGCCGAGTGAAGGTGATCAAAGAAGGTAATGCATACGTGGAAAACGAGATACATCAAGCAATAGCGGGAGATAACAACTCCACCGAAGCCAAGACGCGATAGCTTTGTGCTTTGGTCTGCTGCCTTGACTCTACATGTGTCATAAACAGCTGAACTGTTTCTACCACCTGCTATATACACCACTCGAGATACTAGGACAAAACAATGGAACTAATTGAAGCGCAACCTCTTAGTCGGAAAATTCGACTCTCTATATAAATCATGAACCAAATCTCAAGTCCAAGGACCCGGAATACACGATGGGAACCCAGGTTTGAGCTCAAGGCTGATATCCAGTCCCAGCTCATCGAGAGCTTGAAGAATCCATCATGGCCTATCATTTCGGCAATTGGTGGTAGATTAAGACCATCTCGCAACTGAAGGACGACGCCGAAAAAGATATCAGCATTTTGCTCTACCTGTATCTTGACATCCTGGGCTAGGAACCCTCGATCATGGCCCAGGTTGTTCTTGGAGTGGATGACACTCCCTATCTTTCTGGTGAGTATTCCCGATATCGGCTTGGTTAGAGTAACCTTCAAGGCGTATGCTGATTTCGCAGATCGTATCATCCGTAAACTAATCGACACATTAGTGATATGCTCTGGTATCTGACAAGGAACTCATATATACGAGGCTCTACGAGATTTTGTTTTCTGACCCTTCATAGTGGACAGAATTGCCTGCTTCGCGCCCACGAGCGGCGCCGGCCCACCTGAGCATGCCAACAAACAACAGAGACAGGTGCTTCCTTAGTACCATAATCAGAGTTTTCTTATCTTAGCAAGCTCAGAACTCGTCATAGACTCCCCAAGGCCCCAAATATCTCACTTTGCGCGCCTTTCAAAAGCCCGGGTCTGCTGAGATGCTGCCGCCGGGTCCTATTGTCAATGCACCGCTTCCGCTATTGCAGATGCCTTCATGGCTGGCATCGAGTCCCGACAAAGGCTAAGAAATCGCCAGCCTCAGGTCAACCGCGGATACTTCAGACCATTGTCTCTTCTCGCGAGTAGCAGATATCGCGACCGAAAGCCTAATCGGAGTTTGCAAGGACATCTAGGAAGTAATCGTCAAGAAAGCCCAGTATTGCTATTAGATATGCTCTACCAACCAATAGGCTTGAAGCGGAACATGGCTTCTCTGAGTTGACTGTTCGTCGCGATCGTGGGCAGCTCACGAGTGAGGAAGAGGGGATGAGTGTTTGCTATTCCTGTAAGAGAGGTACTTGAAGAATGACTGATGTATCATCGCTGATCCTTGATTCTAGACGATGCCAGGATCTACCTAACCCTACTGACAACATTGACTCACCAGAAAACCATGGCTACCTTTCCTGTTATCACCGTCAGCGCCTTTGGCCAAATCGGCTTCTGGAAATCATATCTCGAAGAGATCAAGGAGACCTACGTCTGTGCGTGGTATATGAGCACACCAAAGATATGCCCTATGACTAAACTCCCAATAAGTCGTGATACGATGGGTTCGGTTGGCAAAAGCGAATTGTTATATATATATATATAATATCAAGACCATCCCAGCAGCGCCACGTGTGAGGGGGTGCATGAAGACTGAACCTTCAGAGTCTAGCCAGGCCTCCATTGCCGCTGCTGTGAGCGACCAGTTCCTGATCCTCCTTGATCTAAGTCCTGGTGTATCAGTCTAGCATTTCCACCAGGACCGACCACTCATTTCAAACAAGAGAGAAATCCTGGTCGTCAACTACCTATATTAAAACGACTAAATTACACACTTGCTCTTACAACAAGACCAGAGCTTACGCCCAAATGGAATAAATTACCAAAACTCAACTCAGATTAGGCGAATCTTCTTCCTCCAAAGGGGCCGCATGTGGGGAGGAGATATACAGAATCGAGGGTCAGGACTTACCAAGCAGGATTCTGACAAGAAGGAGAAAGACCTATATAAGCATTTCAATGACCACTCAACAGCAGGTCGACCATAAAGAGTGTGTTGTCGATGCAATCGAGCACGCGACTGGCTTCTGCTTCTACCACCCAGCCTATTAGGCTTCAGAGAGTGATTGTTGGACTTCTACGCCAGTTATCTCTAATACCTAATATTTATGTATGCACCGACACCGTTGTATATGCTGAGAAGCTGGATACACCAGATGGAGAAGACGACGACAACTTACTAAGAAACATTACTGATAATAACATATGATGAATACTTCACGATAGTCCTAGATTCCTATATGCAGCTTAATTAAAAAGAAGAATTAGAACGCCTTACATGCTTGCCTTGACCATGTGAGAACGATGAGTCTCCATGCCAATAATGAAGAGTCTCCTCTTAGTATCCCAAACTGGCACAGCTATTCTTCACTCGCCGTCTATTTCTTTCGGCAACGCACCTTTAGCCAAGTCAATCCCAAACAGGATCTCATACTTAATGATCACTAGTATACTCAATCCACTCCCTCGTAACCCTTATCTTCCCAGAAACAGCAGTTCCATCAACCCCAACCAAATTCTCACTCAACCAACATAGCTCCAGTCTTACACACCGCCTTCTATGCCTTCCCTATCCAGCCCAACTCATTGATATATCGCCACAAAATCCCATTTCCAGGAATCCCTCCTTGTCAGCTCATGGTGCTTTCCCGGTTTTGAGGTGAGTCTTATGGGGATAAGTGCTGGCGACAATGTCGACTGCCACGCCAGCAAAGTACTCTTCTCCCTTCCTTGGAACCCCCTTACTACTTCCATTATTCGCAAACCGTCTCTTAATGCACGCTCCCAATCGACGAGAGTCTTTATTCGCTTTGTTCGCATGTCCGTCCAATATACTTACATTTCGTAGCTTGTAACGTATGGCATCTTTGACGAGCTTGTGTATCTCATAAGTGCGTTCATTATTGCCGAGATGGTGCTCTATTAGGAAGGAGAAGTTCTTGAGTCGACGTATTGCTTCTCTCTTCTTACTCTCAAGCATGTCTTCCATCTGCTTTGTTTCTCCATGCGCAGCAGCAGCATCCAATAACCGCTCAGTAATCTCCCGTTTATCCATGTACGCAAGGATGTGTAGAATTTTGTATGCCAACTCGTTCTCTTGGCGAATGAGATGAACCGAAGAACTCCAAGTCTCAAGAATGCTGTTGGAACTGTTGTGTAACCTGTATCTGTCGAACTCGGGTTCTTTCGAGATGCGCCAACGTGTTTCCTCTTTTTTCAAGTCATTAAGATACTGGCTGACGGACGTCTCTGTTCTTCGCATGTATGCCCCAGCTTGCGAAATAGCAAGCGGCAAAAACTGCAGCTCTTCAAGTAACAGAGTAGCATCATCTAGCTCGTCATCACCTATTGATTGAGGCATTGTCGACTCAAGCAGTGCCTTGCTTTCATCAAAAGTCATCCTTGAGACAGCTACACCTCTCCATACGCCTACAAGACTCCCAACAATTGCTTCATCACGGCTGATCCACAAAATAGTGCCATTTGGGCCTTTCGGGATGTAATTTATCATCTTGCTGGTGTTTCTTGCTGCTAAACCGACGCCAAGTAAAGACAAGTCGTCGGCATTGTCGATGATAAGTAGCCATCTAGGTAACGATTCAATTCTATGTCGGACGTTTTGTAGAAGCTCAGGCACAGAACCTTGAGCGTTCATGCCCAGAACGCTTGCAATTGAGCCATAATCTTGTGCAAAGGTCGCCTCGCTATTTGCATGAACCCAAAAGACGGAGCATTGTATTTTACTGTATCGACTATATGCGAAATCCAGAGCGATTTGCGTCTTGCTGTCAATTTGATGTGAGTGACGTTCTTGTGACAATCTCAGTAGGCTTACCCAGATCCTTCGAGGCCCCAAAGAGCGGCGCTTCGAAAGTCGTCGGAATTCTTTGGTAGAAGTTCCTCAAGTTTGGATAATATTTCAGGCCGTGTAACAAAATCTTCATGTTTCTCATAGGGAAACAGAAAGAACGGCCTCGACTCAAAACGTTGATTGAAGTTGAAGGTTTGGTGAGCGTTGCCTGTAGCACTGATCCCTGTCACAACGTTGCTCCCGTAGACAGGGTCGTCAAATCTTGGGCCAGCCATTTTATTAAGTATAAGATGATGTCTGAGATGATCAAGATGTTTTTACTCCAAGATATCGTGAGACAAATTCGCGTGTCGAGTTCCATATCCCTCAAGGACGATCAGATCAGGTCGTGGCCAATCGACGTGATCACCTTGCCGCCCAAGGCCCTGGTCAGGATCCGTAAATCGAGCCTGGATGAAACACTATCATGCTTCTCGATCTTGTCCATTTCGCAGGCGCTTAAGGCTTCTTTTCTCCTCAACTCGACAGAAACCCTGTACTTTTTTTTCGGTATGCAAATCCGTGGTTGTGAGATCCAATGATCGCTCCACCAAAAAGCCGCAATGACTTCCTAATTGGCATCATCTGTGCCCTTCCTCTTGAGTATGAGGCAGTTGGCCGTGTTGTCGACGAGTTTTGGGAAATCAAGCTTGGGAGAGCGGTCGGCGACACAAACTCATACTCATTCGGCCGCATCGGAGATGACAATGTTGTTCTTGTCATGTCAGGCATGGGTAAGGCCAATGCTGCGAGTACGGCAGCGAGCCTTCACATCAGCTTTCCGAACCTCGAACTTGTTCTGGTAACTGGGATCTGCGGTGGTGTTCCGACGTCTGATTCGAGTGCGGAACTTTTGCTGGGCGATGTTGTAATCAGCAAGGCTGTCGTTGAGTACGACCTTTTCCCAGGCAAACTTAGGAGCAAAAGCACCATCGATGATCGGTTAGCAAGACCGACGAGACATGTACGTAGTTTCGTTGCTCGTTTCGAGACAGACAGACTCCGCGACGCGCTTGAAGACAGGTCAGCTCTCATCTTGGAAGAGCTTCAATCACGAGCCGGGGTGGAGGGCCAGGATTCGATCTATCAATATCCTGGGGCAGACAAGGACTGTCTATTTATTCCCTCATATCGACACAGGCACCAATCGGACTGTGATATTTGCGCATCTGACTCTAAAGAGGTGTGCGACGCAAGTCGTAAGATTTCGTGCTCCGAGCTTGGATGTGATGAGGAACAGCTTCTTGCCCGGAAGCGTCTCGACCAGAATCGTAAACTCCAAAAGGATGGTCGCGAGAAAGAGGCTCAAGCCCCATTCGTGTTTGTTGGCCATTTCGGTTCGGGAGACACTGTCCTCAAATCAGGCGAAGAACGCGATAGGCTTGCACGAGCTCATGATATTATCGCATTTGAGATGGAGGGTGCTGGCGTCTGGGAAGAGATACCGTGTATTATCGTTAAGGGCGTATGTGACTACGCCGATAGCCATAAGAACAAGGGATGGCAGAACTTTGCGGCTGCAACGGCGGCAGCTGTGACGAAGGCTCTCATTGAAGAGTATCCCAAGACTGATAAACCCAGAAAGCAAATTGATGATAGCAGCAGAGCTGAGAGCGAGGAAAGTAGTGAAGTGGGCAGGGATGCGCCAGTATTTTATGCCGATGTGTCAAAGTGCAACATTTTCACTGGATTTCATTCAAGTGGTGGAACGCAGGTTATCAATTTTGGATGAAGGTGAAGGTCTAGGAAACAGTAGAAAGAGGGGGAATGGGAGGCACGGTTGATTCACCACATGATGTCACTGTAGGCAAGGACTCAAGATATAAGAATGAGTAATATGATACTCAAAACGCTTCATAGGATTCATAACTATTTATAAATGAGTGCCATTTATGACACAGCTAAACCATTTCATATTTTGTATCCGATTCATTTAAGCTTCCTGCTTTCGCTGGTGCTCGAGCTCAATGCCAGTGGCGTGGCTCTCCTCAGCATATCGCTGCTTCTCGTCACGAGCCTGATCAAGCTCCTCGGCGTTCTTGTTACCGTGAAGACCGATCTTATACCAGGGAAGCTCGAAGAGCTCATCCATGCTCTCGAGGCTTCGTCCACTGGTCTCAGGAACGGAGAACCAGACCCAGACACCACCGACGAAGGTAACAGCGGCAAAGCACCAGAAGGTTCCCTTGGGGGAGATACCGCCCTCAGAAACAGACAGAAGCATGTTGGGGACAGCGCGAGAGTTTCCGTACTGGTTGGCGAAGTGAAGAGTCATAGCCCAAGATGTAGCGAGGGCACGAATGCGCAGAGGGAACAGTTCGGCAGTCAGGAGGTACTGCATAGAGTTCCAGCCGAGAGCCCAACCGAAACCAGAGACGTAGATCATGGCGATGGCGCCACGAGAAGCACCCTTGTCGCTCTCGGGAAGAACAAAGTCCTCGACGACACCTAGCTGGGGGATCTTGGTGAGGAAAGCAGCAACGTAGATCATGGCAATGGTCTGAAGAGTGATACCGATGAGAAGAGCGCGCTTTCGGCCGATGACATCGACGAGGAAGAGAGCGCAGATAACAGCGGCGATGAGCTTGACGATACCGAAGACAGCGGTGACGAGAAGACCTTCCTGCTTTCCAACAATGCCCATGATCTTGAACAGATCGGGAGCATAGAGGGTGATGGAGCCAGCGCCGGACCACTGAGAGAGGAACTGAACCATAGAGGACATGTAGAGACGGTACAAGTTACTAGGAACAAGGATCAACTCCTTGACCTTGCCAAGGAAGCCAACACCCTTGGTAGCCTCGAGCTCATGGTCAAGAGCAGCCTGGATCTCGGTGATCTGGTGGACGATGTACTCTCCGTCAGCGGGCTGCTGTCGGAGACGGCCCAGCACGCGGGCGGCTTCGTCGGGGCGTCCTTCCTTGACGAGATAGCGGGGAGACTCGGACTGGAAGAAGCTGAGGATGAAGATGATGCCGGACATCATGATGTGAAGACTGGTGGGGACGAGCCATTGGTTGTGAGAGTCGTCGGGGAGGTTGAGATGGCAGCCGTAGTTTGTGAAGTAAGCGAGGACGATACCGATGTAGACAGCGCCCTGATCTGTTAGATGATGTATATGTAAAGGGTGAGCGGAGTAAACTTACAGTGAACATGCAAGAGCAGAGACCTCGAACAGCCGCGGGGGCAATCTCAGCGATGTAGACAGGTCCAACGACAGGAGTCTGACCGACACCAAGACCACAGATGAAGCGACCAGCATAGATAGCACCAAGGTTTCCGTTGACACCACCGATCATGAAGATAACAATACCAACAGCCCAAAGTGTGCAAAGAACACGAGTAGCCCAGATACGACCAATGCGATCACAGATCAAGAAAGCACTACACCAGTCAACACCCAAATTCCCCATCATTAGCGAGGGGCGAGCGACTTACATCAGAGCACCACCGACAGAACCGATTTGAACCATAGCAGAGACATTGGCCTTGATATTAGCCTGCTCAACGGAAGAATAAGAATCATAATGAATAGTCTCCTGGAAGTCCTTGCTGTTGAACGATCCAGAAATGAGACCCTCGTCAATACCTCGCGCAGCACCGAGCAGAGCAAACGACACAACGGCAAACCAAAGACGCCAGTTGAAAGCGCCCTCTGGTTCGCCCAGGTCCTTCAGCTTGAAGATGTTGACGGGTTTCTTGACGCCTCCAGCCATGATGAAATTGCCCTTGGTCCTTAGGTAAGAGATATAAGGGTAAAAAAGAAAGATGGACAGAAGTGCCTGGTGTAAAAAAGGGAGAGACAAGAGGAATCTGGGGATCCTTTTATACAAATTGCAATACTGGTTTCCCCACGAGATTTGCGAGTTGATCTGGTTCACCCCGCTCTTCTCTCCGGACTTCGTTACACCGAATCCAACACTAAACTTCTTTCCCCATCCCTCAAATAAACAACATGATGATCCCTCCGTTCACTAACCATCCTCGAAAATGACATCCAATAGCGGAGTCTCCATCGTTTGGGGCACTAGAACGTTACAGCGGCCGTGGAGAAACCTCTCACAGGAAAAAGAAATATGGGGGTCTAGCAATGACGCTAACACTCATCTTTTGTTCGCCGAGGCCCCCCCCCCCCCTCACGTTCAGAAAAGGGAAAGTCTGACATCAATTATCACGGCAATGGCTTTTTCAGTTGTTACTATGTTAGGGCGCGTGGAATGCCCAGCCGCTACCGGCAAGTTTACCACGTTTTTCGCCAAGGGCCAAGGTTTTGCCAATGCAAATCGTCCCGGCTGGGCAGTGACTTCAATTGGAGGCGGGAATAGCAGAGAGCTCTTGTTCCCCAATACCAAGAGAATTCTTCAACTACATCAACGACTCAGTGGATGGTTCTGTCAAAATAACTGCCGTTGCATTGGAAACTTTTAGTGACATTGCTTAAAGAATGGGCCAGGTCCAGAATCTCTCCGCAATCATGCCACGGCCACGGAGAAGGCAGAGACGATCACTCCGCATTCCCCCGCAGGTTTTGCATCTCACTGTGAGATCTTCAGAATAAGCATACAAACAAAGTGTAAAGTTTAGCTTAAAGCAAATAAAGCTAGAGGCCGGGCCACCCCTGAGACTCAGGGATCATCCAGTTCTGGGTTGTCTTTAGTAAAAGATTCGGACCGGTTCTTTTTCTACGACCGATGGACTCCACTGGCAAGGAGCATATTCCTCTATTCAGACTCGTTCGTGTGGGTTGGGCGGTTGTTGGTCGAGTAATTGGTCGAGTCAGGATGACATTAACTGCATTATAGATGGCCGGAGCGATATCCACTACCTCCAGGCTACCAGATAAACTACCTGAATACCCCAGGAGCCCCGTCTAATACGGTGAGCAGACCCCAGAACTTATCCTCGCTTGCAATATCAACTCGTCTCGTCTTTCGCTTCGCCTTCCCCAATATGGCTATGCGGAGGCGATATGGACCTCAACTGCCCCATGAGGATTTGGAGCTGCTGATAATAAAGAATTTGTGTGATGCGGAGATGACACGATGCCAAGGTGAATAATTGGGGAATTCTTTTTTCTTGTTCTCACGTCCAGTATCGACCCCAGATCTTGTACTCATCCTGTGAACCACGGAACTGAAACTGCACCTCCGTAATGTCTTGGAAACCCTCCTTCACCTGTGGCGGTTTAAACCTGCTCGCGAAGCCTGTAAATGCCATCTTGGGTAAGATCTGTCTTGACTCAGGATTCAATGTCGTGTTTAGCGCCCGCACAGCATTGTTGTGTTCACAGACTTGGAGAGGAGTTTTGAACCACACACAACGGATAGAGATGCCGAATTTCTTGGCAAGCTCTACCCAAATAGTCCTGGTCTCTGGATCGGCATTGGTATTATCTGCAAAGGGACCAGGTTAGCGCGCCAGGATGGGGTAGTGGTGTGGGAATGGGGTAGCCCTGGGGTAGCAAAATTTGGAGAAAAACGCACCTATGGCAATGGGCTTACCCGCTTGGAGATGCTCCCTCGCTGCCTGCACGCACTTGTCGCGTGTCTTGAGCTGGTCCTGGTTGATGCGCTCGTACCCCAGAGGCTTGAGGGATTTCCAGTAAAACGTGGATTTGCCAGCCCCGGGTGGCCCACAGAATAAGATGATGTCCTTGTCGTTGGTCCTGTCAAAGGTCACCACGGAGTTCCCCGATTCAGCATCGTCGACGAAGGGATGCTCGGACAAGTCGAATTCACGAGCGAAACTCCGAGGCTTCTGGCCGAGAAAGAACTCCTCCGGCGTCTGATACTGGATTCCGACGTTGTGGGCAAAGTTTCTGTCCGAACAGCTAAAGTCTTTAGCTGCGGCCGCAACTCCGTCTGGACCTTTCCCCAACGTTGCTGTGCGACCCCCTGCATCGCCGACAAATACGCTGTTCCCCAGATCTATCTCGGATTCCGAGATGTCGTAGTCGTCGCAGAGTTCCTTCCACATGCCTGTTCTCGGTTTTCGATATATATCATGCTCGGTCGCCGCGTAGACGCATGTCGGAAGGTTCAAACTATTGAGGACGGCGCTGCATTTCTGTTTAAATTCGGTAACTCGTTTCTGCGCATTGGCTTTCGGTGCTTTGGACTTGGGGTCGAAGTGTAGCGTTAACCCTGCCTGGTTCGATAAGATGACGACTCGATATCCATCTTGATACAGCTCTCGAAGTTTGGCGGGGACCGAGTTGTCCCACCATTTCCAATCTATCCCGCTACCTGCATGTTTCTTGCCTGAGGCTGTCGAGATGAGTGTCGAGTCAAGATCAAAAGCAGCTATCTTCCTCCTCTTTATTGTTTCATCTTCCTTGACACCATCGAATCGGCCGACCAGGAGAGTCGCAGGGGTATCGTCGTTAGGACTTCGCTCAGACCAGACAGTAGGATCCTTAGGTTTTTGCGATGCTGGAGTAAAGAAGTTTGCTACAGCGGTCTCTAGGTAGGTCATGTTAGCTAGTCATCCAACGATAGCATGCTGCGGCATGGAAATAACGCTGCTTCTGGGATTGCGCACTCACTGGTTGTGCCGCTCTGAAGTTTGCGCTTGAGGGGCGGCGGAGAAACAGGAGCATCAGAGGCTTTGCGCTTGGGTAGGTCGCTTGAAGGCATTTTGGCGCTGGCCAAAGCGGTTGCATCTGGTCGTGTTGTGATATGTCGTTGTTGTTGTTGAGGGACGTTGAAATGCCGAGGCGTTAGTCGGGTTCAGCAGCCAACCACGCAAGCCACGCCAAGCCAGCTAAATGCAAGCACTTAACCTACAGTCTTGCAGTTGACACGGGAAATCAGAACAAATACTCGCAATTTCGGGTGACTGAAGTTAAAAACATATACAATAAATTTATTTCACTATAATTTTCACAATTTCGAAGCTTCTGCACTCCTTATCCGTTCGGTGATGCATCATATCTTGTTAAATGAAACGGTTGGACCCTGAATTCAGACGCGCAAATAGCTTGGATTTAGTGCTAACGCGTCAACAGTCGCGAAGTCACGTGCTCATGACCAAAGTCAAGCTTGAGCTTCAAGCTCTGGTGGGGTAATTTGAACGCAATGTTCATCAACAGCCAAACAGTTACATTGCGTCTGAACATATCGCATGGCATCATACCTCAGCAACACACTAGCCTTAGCATCAGAATTTACAACAGACCACGCAGCGATCGTTTGACCCTGAAGGACCAACTGGCGTCAATTGACAAGTAGTCAAAGACACACGCCTTCATCCGCTTCATGGGCCAACTTCTTTCTCAAGCATCATCCCTTAACCACGATCATCGTCGCAATACCAACATAAACTAAGAAGACAACACAAAACCCATATGCAATACAACTGGCGATAAAAGATTTTTCTCGCTCCCGCCAAAATGCACGAGATCTTCCTCACAGCCCTCATTGAGGACAAAGACTTCACCTCAGCATGCGCAGTCCTCGGCGGTCTCACAAACATGGACCCGTGGGAATCAATCCAGCGCGTCCTCTACTTTCAAGGCCCCCAGCGTCCCATGGGCATCTCGAACCAGAGCTCTATAGAAAAGCCCATACGGAACAATACTGGGTTCCTTTGGAAAGAGCTTCATCAGAACTTGACCCGACAATCCTTCATATTGCAAACGCGATATGATGTACTCAAAGATCGCGACATGGGAGCCAATGCGTCGCCGATGGACCTGGATGCGACGCAGGGTATCTTGAGATGGACGGATTTTCCTGATCCGCCGCGTGGACAGCCTTTGCTTACCCAGCGGAAGAAGGTTGAGCTTTGGGATCAGAAGAAGTTGCCTTCAGTTATGCGCGACAATAACCACATGTAAGAGGACTCACCCGCTTGGCTCAATTGTTACTGACACAGCCCAGATTCAAGACGGAAACAATTGAAGAGGTCTACCGCTTCTACAGAGATGACATCGAGTTCTGTCTAACACGCCACTACTTCCTCCAACCTCTAGAACACTACACCCCCATGGAAACAAAACAGCAAGCAACCATCCCAATGGGCAGTCTACCGCCTTGGGAGTCTCTCACTCCAGTGGATCAGCAGAAACGATGGTTTCTCCAGGTCAAGGCACATGTTGTCCAGGATAACAAACCGGACGAGATTCGCAAGGCTCAGGATCAACTACTAGCTGTGCGAAGAGAGCTCGATGGAGTTTTCGAGTTCCGGGGTATTGATCGCAAGGTTCACGATACCAGGGTTATGCAACAGATGCAGGGGGTTCAGCAGTTGCCGCAGAAGTTTACGGTTGGGAAGTAGAATGTCCACAAGCAGAAGAAGCCGCGCGTGCGGTATTGAAGATTGCCCACTTCCCGCATGTTGACGGGGCACTGATTGCATCTGGGGTAGAGAACATGGGGCACGTGGCATCCGATGATGTCTAACTCAATTAATAGATGATACCCGGTATGACAGACGTTCGGTAGCCGACCTATCACTACTTTCCGATCGCATCAAGCCTTTCATGCGCTATATCCCAAACCATTCATTCGTGATCGTCACCCATGCTTTCGTCCAGCTCCATCTTGTGAACTACGCAAGCTTCATTTGTTCTTCCACGCCTGATCCGCATCTACAAGAGTTAGCATAATCCCTCATCAACTCCACGCATACTCACCCTCATGAACGACCGGACTAGGAATATTCTTCCTAGCCTCCTTCTTAACCCTCCAATCCGTCCCAAACTTCCTATCCCTCTCCCCCACATTCTTCTCAAAGTCAAACTGTCCATCCGCCGTAAAACTCGTCATAAGCTTCGGCTCCCCCAACGGCAGCGTATCACCACGATCCGTCTGCCACAAATGATACACCTTTCCGTATAGCTGCACAACTTGGTCCATCTCGAAGTTCTCAGCTATTTGCCATGCACTCTCGGGCACCGCGTGATTCGGCATTATGAGCATTCCTGATTTCACTTCGTAGACGTGTGAATGCCAGAGTTTGCGCTCTTCTTTGTCGAGGGTTTCGTAGAGTTTGGGGGTTATCATGTATTCGATTCCGATGAGGCGCGCGTTGGGCTCGTCAGAGTCGTAGAGGAGACATTGGCGGACGTCCTCGTCTGCTGGGATTAGTGATTGAGTCGGGGTGATGGTAAGGGACGTACTTAGATGGGCGCAGTAGTGGTTTGTTTCAACGAAACGCGAGGGGTCATCGGCGTATGCGTGAAAGGCGTTGAGATGAGCGCAGATATGCTTCACAGGTCGAAACTCCTACCATCGAATGAGCTGAAGCTCTTCAATTCTCTCTAGAGGTAACTTACCTGTGTCACAGCAGCACCAGCAGTGAGGACCTCATTCTTCGCCGAAAGAGGTTTTCCCATGCCCTCATTCGTAACAGGAATTTTCTTTTCTTCAGCCATCTCGAATGTCGTCAAGTTAAGATTTTGCGATCGTCAGATCTGAGATTGCGACTTAACGGTTCATATAAAGCCATTGGAGATTACGTCATAGACATATGAACTCACTCGACACAAAAGATGTTTCATTGGGAGCTCTTGCGGTACGTAAATATGAGATTCTTGGAGGTTCATTGTGACTTGTTGAAGCGTCAGTATGACGAGGTGATGACCTTCCGATGTAGGCTCGGCGCCGATGATCCATTTTCTCGGTCGGGCATTGCGGGGGCTGGCCCGGCGACTGGAGGTTACCCTGAAGACACGCATATGATCCTGATATCTTTTTCTTTCTTGTTAGTATAGACATGTAAGAACACGAACTTGATACAACATGATCTATTTTCACATCTCACTCAAACCATCGAATGGGGAACCAACTAGTCGGTTTCAGACGCCAATTTATTGATCTAGTCTAAAACATCTCAATGGGAGGTATCTACTCTACTATCACAAGAAGTTTGCCCGCAGCAAGAAATCTCAATAGAAACAATCCTCTACCAGTAGTCCTCCAAATCTGTCCCACTTGGTCCAAAGTATTCAAGGATACTCTTGTCCAATCTCAATCACAAACTCCAAAACTCAAGATCTAGTTACTCACAAGCTTACTTCTTGCGGCCGAAACGTCGCTTGCGCTCCTCGAGCTCCTGCTCTTCCTTCTCGCGACGAGTGTCCTCATCAGTCCAAGGACGAGCCTGCTTATAGTAGAAGTCGTTGATCGCGTCTTCACGATCACGCTCATCCTCGATGGCTAGGATCTGGCTGTAAGTATCCTGGATAGTATCGACTATAGGAGCTTGAGAGTTAGCTTTCAGACCACCGAAACCCTCAACGCCAACTTCCTCGTGGGGGATCATGCCAAGATCGGTAGGGTTGTGAGTAAACTCACTTGCCTCATAGGTAATCATACCAGGTCCGGTGGGGCTGGGAGTAAACTCACTCGCCTCAGGGTTGAATGTGGTGATGGAGCAATGGTGAGGGGGAGTAGGGGTGGGAGCCTCGTTGGGAGATGGGCTGAGCATCTCGCCCAGGGAGCCGATGCGCTGGGGATGATAAACAGCAACAGCCTGCGAGTTGTAGGGGGTAGAAGGCTGAAAAGATTCGGGGTTATTAGGGTCAGCATAGTGAGCGACCATGGGTTGGAAGGGGTGAACACCGACAGCCTGAGCACGAGGGTCAATAGGCTCAGCATGGTAGTAGACGATAGGCTGAGCTGGATGAGGGCTGATAGGCTCAGGAAGACCAGGCACGATTGGCTTGGGGTGGTAAGGGGTAATGGGCTGAACAAAGTCAGGGCTGGGGGGATTCATCGCATGATGAGGTGTCATACGAAGTCGATTCAAGGGGTCGACAGGCTGAAGATGCTCATGGCCGACAGACTGAGGGAGAGGGGGGTTGATACCCTGGTACAGAGTGCTGTAGCCTTGGAAGGGTGAAGATGTCGGGCCAGCTGGAACTGGAGGAGTGCTAATACCACGAAGGTAGAGCATGGGGGGCTGGGGAGCCTTTGGGGAAGTGACCTCAGGCTTGCCATCACCCTGAGTCTTCTCACTGGGGAACTCACCAGCGTCCTTGGCCTCGAGAATATCAGCTGGGCAGTGATAAAAACTAGCCTCGGTGTCATCGTCCTCCTTGGATTCAGCAGGATTAGCAGGACAGATGAATCCGCCAAGAAGACGGACATGTCCTGGAAGGACATCATCGCGAGGGGGAATAACGGAGGGCTTGAGACCGACGGGAAGATTGGAGTAATAGGAATCCATGTCGGTATCTTCAGACTGGGAAGAGCTGAGAGACGGGGGAGTGACTACCTGACGCATAAGAGGGTTAGTCTCGGTAAGACTAGGTGTCTCGGGGTGAATGCTGTCGGCGGGAACAAGGTCGTCACCCTTGAGGATAGAAAGACGACGAGACATGGTGAAAGTAGTCAAGAGACCCTTAAGGTTGTTGGCTGTTTCGTCTCTTAGGGTTGTTGATGAGGTTGATGATAGTGTTGGTTAATGCTGTCGAGATGGAAGAAGGATGAAGAAGAGGTGGGGTGAAGATGAGATGTGAGTTGCTCGAAAGCTGGTGAGGAAGGGAAGACGAAGAAGATTAGGTTGAGAGACTAAAGATGAGATTATAAAGGATAGATTCTGTTATTCACTGACAGCGCTCGAGATGTTCGACCACCACTGTCAGAGGGACTGCGCAGCTGTAAATGGGGAATGCATCAGTCGCCAGTGCACTCATTTCTGTTCAAATGGAAGCCTAGAGTTGCCTCCTATCTTCATGACAGTGGCACTTATATCCCTTTCCATTCATTGGGCCTCTCGAGAAGGACGAGTCTACAGTCCGTTGAAAGTCATCGAACAATATCGCTGTGTCGCCTGCAGTGGCAGGTCATCGAGGTTAGTCTTATGAATGGCACATATCGTAGGTGAACATAGAAAGTCTTCGAAGTGAAGCTCATTAGTATGCAATATGTCGATAGAAATGTTATTCTCATTGAGATAGGTAGAAGATTGATGACCTGGAAGTTGACATCGTCAAGTTGATCTAGGCCCTGGGACGATTGACCAAGTCTCCCCCGTAAACACCAACGATCCATCTTGTCTCAATTTCTCTGGATCAAGATAAATCTTCACTTCAACATTCGTCTTATCAACATTCGATACTCTTGCTATCAGATAAACCGTAGGCGACGTCGCCGGTGAAAGAGTCGTATTAGAATTCTCCTGCATCTGCGCAGCCCATCAGTTAATTTCCAAAAAGAAACGCTGAACGAAAGCTGTGACCACTTACCCTTTGATACTGTCTCTTACTCATGTAAAACGGTGTTCGGCTATGTCCCGTTGTAGACTTGACCTCAATCAAGAACAAAGGCTTTTTGTTCTGCCAAGCTGTTTTGTCGAGGTAGCCTTTGTCCACCAAGTGATTCGTCAATACCCGCTTTCGGTCAAAGTACACAATGTCGGCGGTTTCTTGGGCGGTCCAGGGGAGCATGTCTGAGTAATCGGGATGAATGGTGACGAACTTTCGCATTTGGCTTTGCCAGTTGTCGCGACTGAAGCGAGGTAGTGGTGGATTCATGTTGCGAAGAAGTTCAAAGACCTGTAATCTTGTAAGTATTGTATGTTGGATAAATAAGTAGTGGTAACTTACATATAGTTCACCGAGAGCTCCTATTCGCATGTCTCGTTCAGGAAGGCCATGTGACCGGAATTGTCGTGATAGCTCAATCTCTTCTTCATCTACTTCTGGTAGTGCACCGAAAAGCCCCGACATGTCATAAGCGCCCTTACTAGGAAGCGTTGCTGTATTTGCCGCAGAAATGACATTACTGACTAGTCTCAGATACTCTTCTTCGTCTTCGATGGTAGGATGTTGGGATGCTTCGCCAAAGCTCTGGAATAGGAATGCTGAGCTGGGCTGCGCTGTAGGGGAAGAGCCAAAGACAAAGGTTGGCTGTGGCTGGCTTGCTGATCTTGGCGTCGACTGTAAAGACTCATGCCTGCCCGCGTTCCGGTGAATATTTGATGATGTTCGCCTATTTTGGCGGAAGTATTCAGCCGTGGACGAAGTTGGGGTGAACAGTCGTCGTCCAGTGACGGATGAGTTTGAAGTCGCAGGACTTCGCTGTCGAACAGGGAGATCTGATAGTCTCGGAGGAGATCTCAAGTTGTCGAATGTTTGTAGCATTGAGTCTTCGTCGCTCGATATATCGTCTTCGTGAATCTCCGGTTGGGCCAGAAATCGAGCAATGGGGTCTTCCTCCGCCTCGTGGGAACCAGTTTCATCGTTTGTCTCCAGCGCTTCATGATACACAGTGGAATCATGTACGTCCTCCTCTTCGATGTCGACATGACCTACTTCAGTGACTTCCACAGCCTCGTCCTCAGTCGCTTGGCCGTCCCTGTCTTGAGGGATGTCTACCTCGACAACACCCTCCGCCTCCAGAATCTGCGCCATGTTGATGAGAGGTGCATTCAAAACCGCACTTACGATCTGGATAGCTTTGGAGCCAGCATGCTTGACTTGTAAAGTAACAGGGTCTGTCATCATCCATTCTAGGAACCGTCTTGGAAGAGTCGAGAAGTAACAGAATCCTTGGGCCTTGGGATCACGTGGCACGTATATCTTGAGGCTGCTGTCGTCTTCGCGTATGTGAAGCTCACTCCTATCTTGTACATGCACTAGACCATGGCCATCCTGTGACAAATGGAGTTCGGAGGAGATGCCATCCGTTTCGTAGACCTCTGCACCCATGAGGGTCCAATAAAGCTCCGAGCTGTCCTCTGAAGTCCGAGGACTGTTAAAATGCACCGCGATTCTGTAGAAGCAATTAACAGCTATCCGTGGCGTCTTTAGCCTGCAACTTACCTGAACAGACCATCTGCCTTTTGCCTGAACTCCCTGTCCCGATACTGTAACTTGTCCATGAGCCCGCCCGCCACAGTAGAGATCTCTCGTACAGAGGTAGACAAATACCGCGAATCCAGGTCGAGCCATGAAAGGAATGGCCGCAAGCGACGAACTTCGTCCAACGAAAAGTCAAGCATCTTGGCCTGAGGAGCGAAGATATCGCCCAGAGCCTTTCGGTCGGCAATAGCGAATTGTGTCATACCAGACTGTAACTTCACTGACTTATTTGGATACCTCACAGGAAAGACCGTTCCTCGAAAGATAGGTTCTTCATCTGGTGGATCAGCTGTTGTGTCAAGTAGAGAATTGAGCGCCCATATGGTTTCCTTGACTGCAGCGACTGATGGTGGTGGCACTCTGCTGCCCATCTCCTTGAGTTCGTCGTAGGCCATGTCCAGCGTAAGTTCTTGCACACCGAGGAAACTGACGAAGAAACCTTCTAATTCGGGATAGAGATCGTTGAGAGCCACTCTGCCGCGAATTTGTGTAGCGCTCGACCATAGGCATTCGCCGACTGTGTACCAGCGGCTTACGTTGCCGACATTGAAGTAGATCAATGACTCTTCAGCGAAAGTTTTCCTAGATATCCGTCAGCTGAAAGTGTGAAAAGGGAGAGAGTTCATACCTGAGCTTTGTAGTATCAGCCTCCATCATACCAAACCTCTCAGAGTCCAGAGAACCGTACAGGTCATTAACCCAGTCAAAGTCTTCACTCTTCAAGTCCTTCAATCTTCGTATCTCGCTCAGGTAATCCTCGCATGAACAGTCTCTGACTCCCAGTGCGGTCTTGAAGAATTGTCGCAAGACATCGAGATCTTCTTCTGAGCGGTGGAAAACGGATCGGTAGAGGTGGGCGAGAGGGTATGACGTCTGCATGTCTTCTCGGGCGTTCCACAAGCATTTGTCGGAGGATGTCCACATCGCTGGGCTCGAGTCGTGTGCGGGAATGTATATCAGGTTTCCGTCATTAATCGCTTGCCTGCGTACGTTAGTAAGTCGTAGATCGAGATACCAAATACGTGACAACGAACCTTGCTTCCGCCTGCGCGTCGAGGAAGCTATCAGCTTCCCGACACCGGGCATGAATGACTTCGTAGAGATCTAACACCCTCGTATTCCGACGCACTCCAGCCGCAGCATTACTGTACCGGATAGTTCTCAGAATGGCTAGATAGAACTGGAGATCATCAGTACACCCAACCCCAAGATCATCAACCAAGAAACCCCATTTGGAACGATACGTGCTCGAAGTAATCGGTTCACCCAAATCCAGAAACACAAAACCTTCATCCTCAGCATAGCGTGAATGTTTCCCCTCAAGCTCAGGCAGAGGTAGGTAAGTAGTCGACAGCGGCTCAGACAAAGCAAACTCATCTCTTCCTTTGCACACGACCTCGACTTGCCGCAACTCCCTCATGATATCAGTAGATTCCATGACCTTTGTTCTCTCAACATCCCAGACTCTCTGAAGGGCACCCAAAAGACATTTCGGTCGGTGCTGCTCAATGTAGAGAAAGGCGGCAGACAGCTTTAACTTTCGGTCTGGACCCTTCTTGGTAAGTCGAAGTTGAAGCCGAAGTCGGAGGCGTAACTGGAGCCATTCATCCCATCCCCAAGAGTAACCTGCTGGTGTACCTGGCCTTTCCTGGACGTAGTTGTGATGAAGAAAAGGCGCTGCGAAGCCGGGCGCATCTACTTGAGGTTTGAACAGTTCACTGGGTCCATACGCGTCGTCTGTTGTTAGGTAAACATCATGTTTAGTTGGCGACCGTGCTCTCATATTCTGGTCATACACATGGTAGCCACGCAACTTCGCCTGATCCTCATTCTCCTCGAGTAGTACCTCGGAAAGGTACAAGAACTTGAGATGGGCGATGGATACTGCAAGAGCACCTGCATCGGCGACCGGACTGATTGGCTTCTTCAGGATTAAAGCTCGTACATCCCTCACAAGCGCCTCGATGACGCCGAACTTGTCAAAGAGCGCACGACGATCAGGGTTGCTGGCTGCTTCCGAGTCGATCAGGCTCAAATCAAGGTCGTCAGGGATTGCAAGGCTCCCTGAGGAATGCGAATAATATAGTGGCCCGCTGCTTGAAGAAACCCAGGTGCCATTCTCGAGGGGGATGAATCGAAGTTGCTTGAGGCGGTCCTGAGCTGGACCCACTGTCGCGGTGTTCTTCAACAAGATGAGTGCTCGTGCTGCAAGTGAGTGCCATTCGTTATCCGTAGCGGGACTCTTCATCCTCGAATCCTTGATGTCCCTTTCGAGATCCTTCTCAACACGAGTGATCGCATCCGATGGCGACATACTTTCCAGTCCATACGTCTCCAACAACTTCAGATCATCACGTGTATACTCCTTCGCAAGGTAAATCTCCTCGTCAAGATCAGTGAAAAGCGGATCACCGTTTTTATCTCGCAACCATGGCTGAAGACGACACAGCTTGTGTATGTAGTCCAATCTTCCAGTGCCGAGCGTGCGAAGTATTTTGACTTCCTGTATGCGCGATTCGATCCTGTCGAGGAGACCCGACCAGAAGCTGTCCCAAGGGTAAGAGGTTCGTTGGGGGAGCCAGCGCATCCATTGGTATTGGAGTGACGGATGCTGACAAAACTCCTCGATGGCTTTAATGAAGCAATCCGCGATGCCGTTCAAGAGACCGCGGTTTCGGACGGATGTGGTGACTATGCCTTGTCGACTGGCCTCGGTGACGAAATCAGTGTGAATGAGGAACTACGTAAACGCATTTGTCAGTATCTGGCAAGACTTCTGCGATGGGCTCGGTGAGATTTTCACTTACCTTGAAGCCCATTGGGCGCATTGGCAGAAATGCGAATACATCTTGATTCTCGACAATTGGTGTACCTGAATCCGCTAATGGGAATGCCAACACAACCTCCGTAGACGAATCGGCGCGATACTGCTCTTCGGAATACGTCCTGTTCTCGCTCTTGGGAATATTCTCCGCAACATGCTTCGTGACATGATACTGCCTCTCCTCCACCCCCTCAAAAGTCTCCTTCTTGACAGTGACTGGGTTGCTCCCACGGAGAGAGTACGCCGTGCTTGACGTTTGAGTGTCATCCTCATCGACGAATGAGACCTGCACTTTTCGGAGTTTGCGAAGGAAAAGTAGAATCGTATGTTGTAAGTCTTGGAACTGGAGTCGGATGGTCTCGCGCTGCCTCGCATCCTCCTCCGGGTCATCACTCGTATGCAGGAACAACGTGATGCGAGTCGAAGAGCCTCCCAGTGACTCATCTGCATCTTCCCATACTGGTGTAACCATGCCGAGACCGGAGTCCCCCTTGCGATGCGTGAACGAGAAGGAAAAGCCGTTTGACTGAATGTGAACCTTCCAAGCCGCCATAAACACTGACTTGAAGCCAATGCCCTTCTCACCAATGTACCCAGCTGCACCAACCTTTGAACTTTTGCCGATTGCGCAAATGGCCTTGAGGTTCTCATGCGTGAAGCCGTTCTCATTGCACTCAATTGACACCTTATCTGGGCGAACCTCGAAAGACACATATGGATCTTGCCCGCTTGAGAGAGCCGTGCTGTAGTTGTTGTCGTCGGCATTTTGGAGCAACTCAAAGACAAATCTGGCGTTACTTGTGTAGAGGTTTCGTGCCAGCCTGAAATGTTGTCAAGAAAATACTTGGAAGCCTGTGTTTGAGATAAAGTACATACGTCAAGACAGCTGAGCCTATCATCTCATCCTTTCGAAGGAGAGCTTCTTCCACCTCGCGCCTAAGCTCAGGGTTAATCTCTCCAATCCGCGCAAGCTGCTCTTCGCCAAGATAGCCGCGCTCTTTCGCTATCTCCTTCACCAGATCCTGAGCCGTGCGCTGGCCCGGCCCGGGCTGGGGAGTATCGGTGGACATCTTTATGCGCGGCCCAGCGGACCCTGGGCTATCAAGACCCCGTAGTTATCGCTATGTAGATTGACGCAACATGCAGCGAAGAGAAGCAAAGACAAAGCGCGGGAAACGATTGCCTGACCTGTATGTTTATCAGCCGCCTCGCTCAAAGAAATGTGTGATTTCTTCCTACCGCTCTCCTCGTACGAGGCCGGAAAGGCGCGTCAAGAGGCGATGCAGGGGCTTTCAGCTTGAGACGCAGATGATGGATTGATTGGCCCAAAACATCGCCAAGGTGCCAGACTCCCGCGTTAATCCTGGTCTAAGTGGCATTCCGTTGTTGTTTTGCTTTTGTCATGAAACGAATTGAGTAGCGAAAACTCTGACGTTTCTGTAATTGGCCTGCTTAGAGCCCAATTATGAGAAGCAGATGAGGTGCTTCATTGGTGATCTCTGTGCTGGATTGAAGATGTCAATGGAGACTGGCTCGTAAGATGATGAAACATTCTGGGGGAGACCCGTGCTCGCCTGTTGGAGATTCACATTAGTGCCCGCAAACCCTGGGTATTTCCGGTGAGGGATAGCACTGGAGACTATTACGCAGACTTCACTGGGGCATGTCAAGCAAAATCAGGACTGCTTTAGGTCATGTCTTTCGCATTTTGCATTCTTGAGTCATAGTATAGGTCACATTGGAAATGAAGAACAATTTGCCACGTCACTTTTTCCATCGGTCTGTAGGATACTTGAGTACTGTGTTCTGTCTTGTCTGCCGAGAGTCAAAATACGGCTCACTACTTTTCATTCAATGGCACCCCAATCATCCCTCTGCAAAAGACCAAGACTACCCATAATAGTCATCATACTTCCCACAGCCATTTGTTGTCACTCGGTCTGGTGCTTAAGCCTTGGCCATAAGGAAGGCTTTGACGTTGGCAAACTTCTCAGCGGTCTCGAGAAGCTTCTCAGCATTGTTGGGATCATAGGAGAAGTTGACAGCACGTCGGGAAACAGCGACAACAGGAGTCTGTTCCTGCTCCTGTCCCTTTTCATTGTCTTTGAGCTCAAAGGCTAGCTCAGCTGGCTGGGAGGAGTTGGAGGGGGAATTGCCAGGGGCCCAGCGGCTGGTGGAAATGCCCACTTCGTCGGGGTCCAGGATGTTCTTGACTCCTGTACGCTGATGTCAGTCACCGTTAGGATTACAGAGGGAATATTCTTACCAGAGTCGAAACCGTGATTGTCGGCGTTGTCACGTTGTTCACCAGTGGGGGCAGTGTTGGTAGTCCACTCATCAGCGGGAGAAGAAGCGGGCTCAGCAACAAGAGAGTCAGTTAAAATAGGCCCGACTGGAGATGAAGAGGCATCCTTTAGAGTAGCATGCTCAGAGCTGGAGAATCCACTAAAGTTCTTTTCAACGGCAGCCTCGAAGCCGGGCTTGAGCTCAGCAGACTCGGAAGTGGGCTCAAAGGCGTGCTCATGGGTGGGCTTAGTAGGTCCAGCGAGCTCAGCGGTAAGACTGGCACCAGATTGACCGGCGTCGGCATCGAAATGAACGTGCTGGGTGATGTTGATAGCCTCAGTGATGGGACCAGCGGGCTCAGTAGAGGTCTCGACGTGGTAGGGACAGGCAGGCTTGTTGAGCCAAAGCTCGGAAATGAGCTTAGAACGCTCCTCCCAGCCATTCTGGGCGTCGACAGAGCGAAGAAGAACAGACTCCAGGATCTGCTGAGCCTTGAGTCCGTTGCCGACTCGGTGCTCACGGGGAGTACATTCCGCGCAACGGGCCTTCACAACATCGCCGAGGTTAATTCCTTTGGTGGGAATCTCACGGTCGATTGTGCCGCAAGAGCCGAAGAAGCAAATGCATTTGCCGCGAGCGGCGTCACAAACGGTACGATCCTTAGCCACGAGGTGAAGCTTTGCACAATAAAATGCGAGAACTGGCGCCACCTCTGGGGCGCACTGGGCAATGGTGATGGTCTCACGGCACATCTTGACGACCAGATGAAAGCGCGCGAAGGAAAGCGGAAGACGCGTGAGGGTGAACTACACAGACAGGAGATGAGAGAGGGGAGATGAAGGAACGGTGGAAGAGATACTTACCGTCGGTTCAAGAAGGGAAGAGTTCAAGATCTCTCGTGCCTTGAGTGCGGTGGAGTGGAGAAGGAAGGAGGGAAGAGAGAGGAAGGGGGAGGAGAAAAAGGCCTTAGTGAAGTGCCTCAGTTGCGTGCCCTAAAGATCAGGCAGCCGTGAGCGTGAATTCAAAACAAAAGAATGAAGAGGAAGGAGAGAGAAGGCGCTAGTGGGAGTACAGGCACTGACGAGACAACTGCTGTAGCTCAAAAAAGTTGCAGTGGATAATAGGGGGTTATTGGGTGACTCGAGGCCTGAACGTGCGGAAATAGAGATGAAGATGGGACGAAACGGTTTAGTAAGGGGGATATGAGCGAAATTTGAGTGTCTATATGCCTTAGATGCGAAAGTGAGGATGCAAACCAGAAAGACGAAGCAGTGATGCAGCTCCTGAGTAACTCCTTATTTGCTCTTGATATTTTGGTACAAGGAGATTCATATGGAGCTCCAATGCTTGAGTCGAGTACTATTCTAAACCCATTTGATAACCAAGGTTACTCGGTATGTATTGCATATCGTGAAAGTGATGTTTGTTTATTAGTGTCTGTGTGCATTGGGGATTGATGGCAATCTGATATGTGCATCTAATTAGGCCTATATACTCTCCAACTCCATGCCTAACTACCCCAATAAAATCAAAAACAGATACCACATATGTATACCACGAAGATCAATGATTCGAATTTATCATGATCACATTTGCTGTGTCTATTGCCGAGTGTAACTGGTGGTTGCCTTTGAAATTCTAGAAGGACAATGGATGTTTTCCACTTTTGATTGCCCTACGTGCATTACCAAAGCAAGATCAAGCAACCAGGAATCTCAACCCCGCTTCCACGGCGGTGGAAAAGGCACCCAGTGAAAGAAGTTTCTTTGTGTGTTAGCAAAACACTACAAAGTGACACTCGACGACTTTTCGCCCTTTGCTTTTACTACGACAACAAAACCACGCCTGCTATCCAAAGAGATCATGTTTCTACGAAGACCGACAGAAATCCTCGAGATTCACCGCTGGTAGTGTTATTGTATTATAGCCTCCCTACAAGCGCGGGAGATTTCCTTTTGTCGTTGGGTTTCGACATCCTTCTTAGAGTCAAATGCATAAAAAAGCAAGTCAACTCAGCTCAGATAGGGCTTTGATACAGGGCTAATGGTATAGATAGCCGAGAAGCCCGTCGTTGGCGATCGTTGCTTCTTTCTATCGACCAAGTACGGAGCCTCTGACCACGAGACACCTGCGCTGCAACATCTCAGTGATACAGCTCCATTTGTATGCAGCGCTCAGATAGTTAGAGCTTGGCTCGGGGCTAGGAACAATTTTGCTTCCCAGTGTGCAGTTTAAAAGATTCGCGATCAATGTCCACAACTCCCCCGAAGCCAAGCAGACAACATGCAAATTGAAAGATTTGACATTCATCTGATCAAAGGCTCAGACCTTGGCGCAATGACAAGCCCGGCCAAGTCAACAGGCAACAGAATTAAAGATTGGGTCTTCTCCACACCAAGAAGTTCTTGTGGAATGTGTCTTGCACTTCGGGGTAAACTGGGTCGGGTCCACATATCTCAGCTACTGGTTAGCCAGTCCCAGTATTCGATGATCGATTCAGTTTATTTGGACCACAACGGGTGATCCGAGTGGTACACAGGTCACCAAGTATGATAAGTTGAGCAGTCAAGTTGCCAATGCTTGGTAGCTCCGAGGTATGTAGCCAATCTCAACGCCGCCAATCAAGCTCACCAAGAACTTAGCGGAGGTCAAGATAAGCTTGTCCTTAGCAAACCACCAACGCTGGCCATATCTGGCTCAAATCCACGTGCTCAATATCCGGGGTAAGCGAAAAACACCCAAAACCTCACAGTCATCAACAAAAACTTGCTCTTGGGACGATTCAAGAATTGACGTCAAGTGCAATGTTTGGTCGACAGACTGTGACGCACGCCCAGACTAGCGCCAAGTCACCCTTGTCGTGGGAGGGTCGCCCATTTAAGCTTAATCGAGACGGCTTACCGGGGTCCTCACGCCGATGATCGTTCTTGGGGGAGACATAACGGGCTTGGCGGACGATTTAACGTCGGCGGCTTGGAGCAGGTTTGTGTGAGGCTCTTTTGGCTTCATTTTTGAGTTTGCGGAGGTTAACCGCTGATTGACTTTGGGCAGAACTCAATCGATAATTCTCCGACTCTGGGCCATGGTAACGATACGGACGAGAGCACCCCTGCTTGTAAAAGAACAACAAATCTGATACAATGAAGCGGCCTTAATTGGAGAAACCACGACGTGAAAATAGGCATGCCGTCAGTTGTAACTTCAACTCCCGTTACATCCAACGCGTCATCATCACCCAGTCTCCCCTTGAAGGATTCGAGAGGCAGCAGCAAAGAGACATCTCACTTCATCTCACCTCTTGGACAACGTCATAAAATGGGCTGCCGAGACAGGGATACACCGAGCTTTGAGCCGCACACAGCCAAAGAACCCGACGATCATCTTGGCAGCCTCCACTGCTCCATCCTCAAACTTCTTTGAACGTTTGCTCATCGTGTGGAGTAAGTCGTCTCGAATCCTTTCCAAAAAGCCATATAATAATTGGGCCGTCCCCAGCTTCTGCGACTCTATTGCATCCAAAGTATTCCCTTGACAGAATCCGGGGCCCCAACTTCTCCCCAGACTCAGTTGCCAGTGCCATTATCACCCTCTTGAGTGGCCTGCTTCTCATCTGCTGTCTTGCTTCTTCTAGACAAGCGCACGATGCCTCTGCCAAGAGCCGACAGCGAGGCTCCGCCTGCCTACGACACGGATCACATTGGCCCCAACAACGACAGCCACCGCAACTCCAGCAGCAATGGTACTTTCGTCAATGATAATGAGGGCGTCGGCTTCGGCCAGCGAAGAGTCTCCAAGGCAACTCTTCTACGCAACCCTCTGGCTGGCATGACTCGGGAAGAGGTCCTGGCTGACGTTGACGCTTTTGTCGAGTCCAAGGGCCTCACCGAGCACCGCGAGGATTTCCGAAAGGGAGCTCTCGTTGCTCAAGTTAACAACACACCCGGTGGCTTTGAGAAAATCGAGATTCTTTCTGAAGATGAGAAGGCGATATTGAGAAAGGAAGAGACTTCTCGATGGCATCAGCCTTTTGCCTTGTACTTTCTCTGTACTCTCTGCGCCGGATCGGCTATTGTTCAGGGCATGGATCAAACCACCGTAAACGGTGCGCAGGTATGTGAAACTGCTTTGTATGCCACTGGCGGGTGTATCTAACGATCATAGGAATTCTACTTTAAAGAATTCGACATTACAAATGAATGGATGAAAGGTTTGACCAATGGTGCTCCTTACCTTTGCTCTGCCGTCATTGGTTGCTGGACCAGTCCGATTCTCAACAAGTATACTGGCCGTCGAGGAACCATCTTCATCTCTTGCGCTATCTCCACAATCACTGGTTTCTGGATGGCTTGCACCACCTCGTAAGTCTTCTGTGCCTGTCCCGAGGCTTGGGATCTCGCTGACATCTGCCAGTCTTGGTAACTTCTTGGCTGCTCGTTTCATGCTTGGTTTTGCCGTTGGCGCCAAGTCTAGCACGACACCCGTCTACTCTGCCGAATCCACACCGAAGAACATTCGTGGAGCCCTAACTATGATGTGGCAGGTGAGAATACCCTCAATAGTGTTGAAGGTTCATAGTCTAATCAACCTTCCAGATGTGGACTGCTTTCGGTATCGCCCTTGGCTTTATCGTATGCGTTGCTTTCCAAAATGTCACCATAATCGGCGGCCCGAACTCTCCATGGCGATGGATGATGGCTTCAACCTCTGTCCCTCCGCTGATTGTCATGCTTCAAGTGTACTTCTGCCCCGAATCTCCCCGCTGGTACATGGAACGCGGCCGATTTGACAAGGCTCTCCGATCCGTCAAGAAGCTTCGCTTCTCCCCTGTCCAAGCTACTCGTGATATGTACTACGCCTACAAGCTGCTCGAGATTGAGCGTGGTGAGCGAGAAGGACGAAACCTGCTCAAGGAATTCTTCACTGTGCGCCGTAACAGACGTGCTGCTCAGAGTGCCTGGTTCTGCATGGTAAGATATCTAGCCCCAACATGAGCCCCAACCCTTTGATTTAGAATTTTGCTAATATTATCGAAAGTTCATGCAACAATTCTGTGGCGTAAATGTGATCGCATATTACTCTACTTCTATTTTCACCGATGCCAACTACAGCCTTTCTGAGGCCCTCCTCGTCTCCATGGGTGGCGGCATCATCAACTTCCTCTTCGCCATCCCTGCAATTTACACCATTGATACCTTTGGACGCAGAAATCTCCTTCTGGTTACCTTCCCTCTCATGGCAGCATGCCTCTTCTTCACTGGTGGAGTATTCCAACTTAGCGACGAACCTCGTGACCCCAAGATCGCCACCATTACTTTGGGCCTTTATCTCTTCATGGCGGTCTATTCTCCTGGTCTTGGACCTGTGCCTTTCACCTACAGCGCTGAGGCTTTCCCTCTCCATATCCGAGACATCGGTATGGCCTCCAGTACAGCTATCACCTGGGGCTTCAACTTCATCATCAGTCTCACCTGGCCAGCTCTACGAAGAGCCTTCTCTAATACTGGTGCCTTCAGCTGGTACGGTGCTTGGAATATTTTTGGTTGGATCTTCTGCTACTTCCTCCTTCCTGAGACTAAGAACTTGACTCTTGAGGAACTTGACAACGTTTTTGGTGTCTCCAACAGAGAGCATGCTTCATACTACTGGAGAAAGCTGCCCTGGTACCTCAAGAAGTATATCCTGCGCAAGGATGTTGCTCCTTTCCCTCCCCTGTATGAGTTTGCTGCCAATGACGGACATTATCCTCATGAGAAGCCTGATACGAGCCATATTGAGGGCAACAACGCTGTCGGAGGCACTCAGGATAAGGAACTCTTCCCCGGGCCCCGATGAGTCACTCAATCATGAGGCGTCTGGATGAGGAGGAATGATATTTTGAACGAACATTATGTATTAGCTATAAGTTTAATGTTCGGCATTTAGTCAAGACTGGGTAGTGCCGCGTTTTTTAATGTACATTAGGAGTTAAGTGTATTTGCCTGGAAGAACAACATGAAGTAATGAACTTGATCATATGAGATGAAGGCCATGTTGCAGTACTAGAGTGATTATTTCATACGAAGTGTCGAAGTCAAGTCTCTTGAATGGAGTCAATGTTTCAGAATTCAATACCAAGCCAACACATACATCATAGGCTTGAATGCGCAGCTGAAGTGGTGTCCAGCACCCAATGTCGGATTTTATATCACAGCCTGATCAGTGTTAAGAGTGCGTGATTAGTTTGGAGAACTGCATAAATCCACCTTGACACCCCCTTCTACACCACTGCAGTAAGACGGGCTTGCATTATGGCAAATGAAACAATGAGTTAGAGGACTTGAGCAGCAGGGAGTTAAAAATAGCATGGACTAGAAGAGTGGTACTGGCTCTTTTGTATTAAATCAGGCTCTCGCACTTCTGACTTCGGTTTTTAATTCTCTATCTGTCCTCTACCTGCTGACCTGGAGCGAAAAGCTTGGTATGGCTACTTCAATGAGACAATTGCTACTCAGTTGCGACACAGAGCGTGATACAGAGCAAGATTTACCAAGGGAGCCCTTATCGCAGAAAGGCTCAACTTGGCGAGGGATATTCGGCTACATACAATCAGGCGATTTATCAGTAGCCAAGGCATTCAAAGACGCATTTTATGATCTGACCTCCTTTGGAAAACGTCACAAAAATGATCGACGATTCGAATTGAGCCTCATCCGACAGGTTCTCTGTGTCGGTTCCTGGAACTTATCTGTCCCCGGCTTGCTCATCTATTTATGTCTGTTGCCACTGGACTTCAGCGACGAAGAAAGCCCCTGCCAGCCAGATGGAGAGTTTCGGTTCGATGGGATAGATCGGCGTGATAGTTTTGATTGGTGGGCGCCTAGGGGATTCTTTCAGATTACGCTTGGCTGGGGTCGACTTAGTTTTGGGACCGTAAAGCTCATTGACGTTATATGGGACTTGGTAAGTGCCCGTGGCGAAGGCTAGACCTGATGATTATGCGATTAACATAGAGTTATAGGTTGTTGGTCGAGGGGACCAGACACTCGTGGCTCTTGTATCATGGCGAGTGTTTGTCGAACATCTCCAACTCTCTCTTATTACAAAGCCGGCGGCTTATAGCACAGTGTGGCTTATCAGGTTCCAGAAAGACAACTCCGCGCTCGCAAGCCGAAACTGGCCTCTTGCTTCTTCAAGGTTGGCCTCGCATCCAAAAAGGTCATGTGCTTCATGATTTGGACAGCATTACTCATTCTTGCTTTCCCGACATTTGCCAGTTCAATGACCGGTTATACGCCGTACAATAAGGCTTATGTTAACGGCACTACTGGAAAACTCATCCAGTTTCCGGCAATCGCCCCTATCGCTTATGTGATAGGAGATGGGGATAGAGTAGATGATCTTCACAAAGACTATCCCGTGTTATGGAAAGGCAGTAAGGCGATTTACCAGGCACATAGTCAAGTACGCAAGCTTACAAGTTTTTTAGACTCAATAATGACTTCCAGGTCTTCTGCGGAGCTTTATGACACGTGTGATGGGTGGGAAGACGTGAATAACACACAGGCTGACTGCCAGCTGCAGAGAGACGTCTCACAATGTATGCACCCCCCAGTCTGTTTGGTCAGGGTATTGAATATTAACTACTCGCTAGATGTTCAGCTCTATGGATTTGATGGAAAGGGTGGTCACGAAACCAAGCACGGCCAGAAAACCTATCTCCGTAACAAAACACTGGACTGGCCACCCCTCAACGTACGTCAAGGCGTTGTATCTCCCCACCCCATTTTACTGGAACTGGACGGCCAACTTTACCGGCATGGCCTCTTCAACCCCTCTTAACCCTTATCGACACAGTTCAGAATTGACATTTCTGGTTGAGGATGAGGTATACAATGTGAAAGATGTCCAAGATGAAGGAATATGTCAACCAATAAGGAGTGGAGTATGTTCATAGCATTGTGATCCCACCAAAAGCTGACACGCATAGGAATCTGTCGAATATCAATGGGGCTTTTCATTTCTTCAGTTATTCGTCATGACTGTTCTTCTTCATTCGTGGAGTATTGGCCTTGTTGTGTTATGGACGACGGCACGCTTGACGCTAAAACGAAATAATATAGCAGCATCGCCTGAAGGCTGGAAGAGTCTTCTCAAAATGACGGACGGAATCAAAGAACAATTGATGTCTGCTGGCATGATTTGGGAAAACCTCACTGACAAAGAGCTGCAAGGCGAGATTCGGCTACTTCTCACAGGGGGGCCAGTTCCTATATCGTCGGAGGAATCTCATCCAGAAAAAACCCTACCTCAAGGACATTTCAGTCTATGGCGATGGATGTGGAAGCACAAATTGCGTCTTCTAGAAGGTATCTTCTTTATTGTTTTCACTTGCCTGGAAAACTCTTCGTTCTGATGGACTATACTACCACTTCGACAAAGGGGTTTTCTGTATGGCGGTCGTTTTGTACACCACTGCAAGCATGATCATCGCCTGTGCCCTTGGAGCGACATATCGGCAGAGGCTACTAATCCTGTTGGCAAGCATTGTTTTATGCTTCCCCTTCTTGATGTACGATGCCACGGATCGCGATCTTGTCTTGCCTGGGTTCTGTTTGGGAGCATGGCTTGCCTTTTTTCTTGGTTCTTCGCCGGGAAGTCGTGCTGTCTTATTTGTCATTCCTGTTCTTTGTAATTATTTTGGTGTTCTTGGCTTCTTTATTTCTGCAGTTAAAATTCGGCGACCGTACTATTATCATTATCGAGAACAATAAGTCAGCAGACTAGGAGGCAACATGGCTTCTCTTCCTACGCGTAGGAGGCTAGTTTCGAGAGTTTTGAAAGTCATTTCCCGCCTCAGAATATCCTTACTAGCCTCTGATCCTTCTGAAACTTAAACCCAACTCACCACGTTAAAAATGCGGGAATAAGTCCCTGAACACGCTGTTTTGTAGAATGTTAAACTTCTATTGGCTTACTCAACGGTTATCAAAAGTCAAGTGCGTCATTACCTGCACCTAAATCCAACGCCCATAAACTATCATGGTTGTTCATTGGCTTGTTCGTTGCTTACTCATCCGTCTTCACCTCGCATCGAGTTCTGGGCCTAACATCGTGGTATCGTGCTGTCTAGGGAGGCTGGCTAGCGGGACAAGGGTCTATAATCTGACAAACATGAGATATTCTGTTAAGAACTGCATTGAGGCGCAGCATGAGACTTTTTATCTCTTTCCTTCCCCTCTTGCAGTACTTTCTCAGATGTTTTGAGCCTCAAGCTGAGCTGCTGTTACGATGCTTGGCCTTTTACCAGCTTGTGTTGCGGTTATAGCTTTTGCGGGCCATGTGCAGTGTAGTTCCGACTTCATTACACCCGAATTATCGAGTGCACCGTGGTCCGAGAATCAAGTTTATGAAGTTGACGACGAATTTGAAATCAAATGGAAGACCGATCATAAAGGCTGCAATCTCTTCCTATGGCAGGACTATCCGAAATTGGCGGTGGAATGGTACAGCAAACTGTTAGGTAAATATGATCGATATTCCTGTCTGGTCCCCAATTGGCTAACCAGAGTCAAGAAAACACAACTGATACTTCGCACGTTTGGAACGCAAGTTCGAGTGGTTTCTCCCAAGAGTCCGAAGACACTGTCTTTCACTTTGCTCTGTACTCATCGGACAAGGATATCCCGCTCGCAAATTCCGGATCCTTCAATATCTCAGGAACAAATTCTTCAAAGCTCAAAGCAACATCTGTATCAAATTCAACACCAGCTTCGACAGCGTCTCAAGCATCAGAAACCTCGACGGGTTCATCGGAGACAACACATCACTCAGCAACAAACTCCGAAAATGACCCAGGATTATCGACGGCAGCATTGGTTGGAATTTCAGTTGGCGTCACAGTAGCGGGGCTTTTGATTTCTGGGGGCGTAGGCTTGTGTCTATGGAGACGCTTCACGCGTAAACGGACGACGGAGCGAGTGGATAACATCGAGAAATCCGATTTTACAAAGGCTGAGCTGGGCAATGCGCAGATATTACAAATAGGAAGTTCAGAGCTTGATAGCACGAGAGATGCAGCTGAGCTTTGGGATACGCAAAAGCCGGGAGAGCTAGGGGATGAGAACAAGATACGGACGATATACGGACTTCATGAGGCGCCGTAGTTACAATAGAGTACGACAAAATTGAACGAGGTTGATTGATAGCTATCTTTATATGCTGTTTCCTTACTTTTGCAAATCCTTATGTGCCGCAACATAAACCTAGTATGTCTCACAATGGCACAACGTTAGAAATCAATAGTTATTCCTGTTGAGTCTTTGCACTTTTGCCTACCTAGGGTCTTAAAAGGTTTGTTTCAACTTTCTTTTTTGTCTTTCTTTTTTGGTCTTTGACAATGGTTTTGGCTTGATGTATCTGGTTGAGAAATCATTGGCTTGGTGTCCGAATCAATCAACTGGGCAAGACATCGCCACCAACATTAAATCATGTCACTATTCCAAAAAGTGGCAAAATGAACTTCAGGACATGCAACCTATGGAAAAATTAAGTCGTGGTATCATATGATCCGTACGGTCAATCAGCCAATATTACTCGGTGTGAAATGCACCGAATTCCCTCCACTTTCCCGACCAAGGGTGCTTTAATTCAAGCCTCCAGACTTTTCCTCCTCCACAGATCCGAAAACAATCCCAGCTAATGCGGGGAGATCTGTCAATCGTCCGGGGCCCCAGATGCACCATGAGCTTAATTGGTATCGTGCCGGTTGAACCACGGCACTGGATCATGAGATGGAACTATCATCCTGTCCCTATAAGTAACTCCTGATACCAAGCTTGATCATGATGTTCACACTCAACATCATTGAGCTTCTCAAGAATGTCGAACATTGAGCGAACTACAAGCAAGGCTGACTCCATTGGAGTTGACCACAAGGAGACTATCCTAGCTGTTGAGGTTGCGGAGGAGAGCAACACAACTGTTTGGAAGCTCCTGAGAGAGAATGTTCGTGTCATCATTTTCACTTGGTTCGCGAACTGTGGTGCATTCCTCTTCGGATATGATGTCCTCGTCCAAGGAGCCATCAATGCCCTCCCTATGTTCTCGTAAGTCGAAAACCTCCAAACCCGTATCTGATGCAAATGGCTGACCAGGTAGAATCACCTTTGGTTCTCCCTTTGGCGAGACCTTCATCCTTCCAGCCTTGTGGCAAGGTCTTTGGCAGGCTTTTAGCGCAATGGGAATCATGGCTGGCGCAGCAAGCAATGGCTTCCTTCAAGATCGGTTCGGTCGAAAGATCATGTTTGGAGTTGGAGGTCTCATCTCTGCCGTTGGTAAGTCGAGATAGGAAAGCTTTAAATATTGATCCAGTCTAACTTGGACTTTTCCAGGAACTGCAATTACCTTTGTGTCCGGCAATCCCGGGACGGTCGAACAAAGACGCGGTGTTCTCTTGGTTGGAAAGTTCTTCATTGGCCTGGCTATGGGTATTAGCATGTCGACATGCCAAACATACGTATCTGAGATTTCACCACCCAAGCTTCGAACTATACTTCTCGGCTTTTATCCCTTCATGATCGTGAGTACTACTATCTACCGACATACAGATGACGCTAACAAAACGTTACTAGACTGTTGGTCAGATGATTGCCATTACGGTCGTGTTCAAGGAGGTCGCTACAATGACACACTGGGCTTTCAAGATCCCTTTCGCTTCTCAGTGGGCCTTCTCCGCCTACTCTGTCATCGCAGCCCTAGTCGTCCCCGAAAGCCCTGTATACCTCGCCGGTAAGAACAAAATCGACCAAGCCAGAAAGGCTTTGACTACACTTGGTTGCGGAAATATCGATGAACGAATATCGATCATCGAAGCTACAATCCAACAAGAACAGAGAATGAATACAGAGCAGCCTTCGTTCTCGGAGTGCTTCAAGGGTACCAACTTGCGAAGAACTCGTATTGTTGCTCTGCTCAACACTCTCCAGCAGTTTATGGGAATAACTCTGGTCTCCAACTCTACCTACTTCTTCATCATGGCTGGCATGACCCCGACTTTCTCGCTCACTCTCAACCAGATCGGCGTTGGGTTGAGTATGGCATGTACCCTTGTCTCTTGGGTTATCATGTCCAAGGTTGGCCGAAGGTTTGCTATCCTCGCAAGCTTTGTTGTTGCTGGAGCCATCTTTATTGGTATGGGTGTTGCTGGCTTCTGGCCCCAGAACCAAACAGCATTGAGGTGAGTTGCCCCAAACTACTTTACCACCATTTTATACTAACAACTGCTATAGATTCATCGGCGTATCTCTTCTTCTAGCTGCTTGCACCGGTAACTTGGGCACAGGATCAGCATATCCCATCGTGGCAGCCGAAGTTCCTTCAACCGTCCTTCGAGCCAAGACTCTTGGTATTGGTTTCTTCGTCAATGCTTTCATGACCTGGGCTTTCGCTCTTTGTGTTCCGTACATGTTCAATGCTGATCAGGGTAACCTGGGAGGCAAGATTGGCTTCGTCTTCTTTGGCTTCTGCGTCATTGGATTCGTTCTTACCTGGATCGAAATCCCCGAGACCAAGAACATTACTTATGCCCAGATCGATTATCTCTTCCAGACTAAGACTCCGGCGCCAAAGTTCAAAGAAAGGTCTACTACTGCTATTACTGAGGAGGCATAATGTTTCAAACTCAACGACCTTAGCAAGGATAGGGAACTTCGAGTGTTAATAGTGCTGATTGATATCTCTGGTGATTTTACACACAGGGTTGCTGCCTTGTTCCATATCGATATGGGGTTCATGATAGCCTGCGTTGATAGCCAAATTCGAATCAAGCATATTCTACAGATGCGCTGATGGTTGTTGTGAAGCGATGTTCCAAGCCTTTAGTCATCGTTGAAGAATGGTTGCTTGAGTTCGGGTAGATGTACTTGTCTAATGCAACGTGCATGGCTAGCCCAATCTCTTCGAGAAAGTATCGACATACTCTGGTTTGGATCTGGCCACAAAACAGAATGGATTCATCTCAACCCCAAGTAAAGTTGGATGTAAAATGAATATTTGGAAGAGCTAGAAGCTAACTGTCTAAGGAGGTAAGAAAACTTAGGACCTTCATCCTAACTAATAAAAAGATTTTAGGTAAGTTTAGTATATCTTAGACCTTTAGACCACTTAATTTTGACACTAGTTTAATTTCAGTTATCTTCTTGTTTCCCTAGGAGCCTCTTGCAACGGTATGGGTCATTGTGTTTTGTATTCTACAAAATCGTCCTAGATTTCATTATGTCGAGCCAATGCATAATTCCGTTACGTAGTGAGACCCATGTATCATCTACGTAGACTCGTGTATGGGACTCACGGAGCTATAATGAACCGACTTTTACCCATGCATTCGCCCGCTAGGGATCAAAGTCGATCATCAGACCACTAGATCCTTCATAGCTCGGAGCTGTCGATGCACTCATCAAACTCTAGACCGCTCCAGATCGGTCCCCAACTCCAAAATTGGAAATAGTTCCACCTGAGGCGTACATGATGAAGCGAAGTTCAGCCGTAAACCGCACCTAGCGGAACGCCTCCTCATCGGGATGTGGAGGAAGCCAAGTCTAGCCAAGAGCCTCATCGGTTGTCATTGACCCGGCGTTAACAAATGACCGAAAGCTGGAGCTGGCGATGATATCGTACCATTACAAAAGCTCTCATCTCATGAAACTACAATGGGCTGACTGACGCCTTGTCAGGGTTGTCTTCCATTCCAGCCACCATCACAATGGCAAACGTCAAAGTTGTCGACGTCAGACTCGAACATTACAGACCTGGAAATACTCTTGGAATTAACGAGACAAAGCCTCGCATCTCATGGCGCTTTGAAGGGACCCATTCAAGTCCCACGCAGGAAGCATATGAGATTGAACTCACAGAAATCGACCCAAAGTCGCGACAGCCTCATGAAGCAAAAACCTACAAAGTCAAGTCATCGCAAGCGTACCTCGTTCCCTGGCCTAGTGGCGAACCACTAAGTTCTCGCCAACGCTATGAGTTTCGAATAAGATCATACCTTTCCGACGAACGTGAACCAACGCCTTGGAGCGATGTTGCATTTGTCGAAGCTGGTCTCTTGAACCGACAAGATTGGTCAGGTACCCAGCTCATTTCAGCACCATGGTCCGACGAACAGGGCAAACCCTTGCCTGAAGACTTGTTCCGCAAACAATTCAGCATCACTGGCGGCATTCAGTCCGCAAGGCTGTATATCACATCTCATGGAGTCTACGAAGCTGAGATCAACGGAAAGAGAGTCGGAGATCACTTTCTTGCGCCTGGATGGACAGTGTATGAGCATCGACTGAGATATCAGGCCTTTGATGTGACGGAACTTCTTTCCGATGGCGAGAATTGCATCGGAGCTCGTGTCGCTGAAGGGTGGTTCAAAGGCCGTTTGGGATTTGAGGGTGGAAAGCGTAATATCCATGGAACGCAGACAGCGCTGTTTGCTCGACTCGAGATCACAGCAAAGGATGGAACCATCTCGAAAATATCGACAGATGAGACATGGAATACGACCCAGGGACCGATCCGAATGGCTGAGATTTACGACGGGGAGAAGTACGATGCCACTGCTGAAATAGAAGGGTGGTCAGCAGCAGGTTCTGTGTCAGGAGATTGGCACCAAGTCGAAGTTCCACCGCCTTTGTCTGAAGATATAGCACTCGTCGCTGGATCAGCGGAGCCAACTCGAAGGATTGAGAGCATCAAGCCAATCTCAAAGATTGACACGCCTTCAGGCAAGTTAGTGCTCGACTTTGGGCAAAATCTGGTTGGCTATCTTCGCATCCGTGTAAACGGCTCAAGAGGCCACAAGATCACCCTCTATCATGCCGAAGTCCTAGAAAACGGTGAGCTTGGAACCAGGCCATTGAGACACTGTGAAGCCAAGGATACCTATACTCTTCGTGGTGAAGGCGAAGAAGTCTATGAGCCTAGGTTCACATTCCATGGCTTCAGATATGCCCAAATCGACAATTGGCCTGGGCCCCAAGACGACATTCTGAATAAAGTGGATGCTGTTGTTTGTCATACCGATATGCAAGAAACAGGCGACTTCCACTGCTCAGACAGCATGCTCAATCAGCTATGGAGTAACGTCCGTTGGTCAACAAAGGGCAACTTCCTCTCTATACCTACAGATTGCCCTCAGCGGGATGAACGTCTCGGCTGGACCGGCGACATCGCTCTCTTCGCCCCAACAGCGACATTCCTCTATGGATGCCACGGAATCTTAAACGATTGGCTCAAGGGCCTCTACTACGAACAGAAGAAGCGCAATGGTATCCCACCGATGGTCTCCCCTAATACCATCGTGGATGGCCTCTTTGCTCAAGTCCATCCATTTGCGATCTGGCATGATGTCACTGTACTAGCGCCTTGGGCGTTGTGGGAGGAACACGGGGACTCCGAGATTCTGGCTCAGCAGTATGACTCGATGGTGGCGTGGCTGGATGCTGTGCCTATGGACAAGGCAGCTGACAAGTACCATTTGTGGGACTCAAATATGTTCCAGCTAGCTGTAAGTGTTATCTTCTTTCGCCCGTTGAGGACGCTTTACTGACATGGATACCAGGACTGGCTTGACCCCAGTGCTCCTCCAGACGCTCCTCAGAAGTCAGCAACTGACATGATGCTCGTCGCCAACGCATTTCTGATACACTCATATGACATCATGGTTCGAATTGCAGATATTCTTGGAAAAGACGACTCCTCTATCTACAGGGCAAAAGCAGCTACTGCCAGAGAACAATATGCCAAGCACTATATTTCGGAAACTGGCCGTTTGACATCAGATTCACAGACAGCCTACGCTCTAGCCATTTGCTTCAACCTACTCACCACGCCTTCCCAGCTGAAGTTGGCAGGCAACCGTCTCGCTGAGATTGTTCAAGCTAATCAATACCGCGTTGGCACCGGCTTCGCAGGAACACCATTCGTCTGCGAAGCTTTGGCAAAAACACAACATATGGATGTTGCATACGGCATGCTTCTGAACAAGAAATGTCCTTCATGGCTATACCCTGTGACAATGGGCGCGACAACAATATGGGAACGTTGGGACAGCATGCTGCCTGATGGCTCGATCAATCCAGGAGACATGACCAGTTTCAATCACTACGCCTATGGTGCAGTGGCTAAGTTTATGGTGGAGCGTGTCGCAGGCCTGAAGCAATTGACACCCGCGTGGACGAGATGTCGAGTAGATCCTTGTGTTGGTGGTGGTGTTACATCTGCGAAAGCGTCGCATTTGACACCGCATGGGAAAGTCTTAGTCTCTTGGAAGTTAGTCCAGGGGGGCGAGGTACAAATTGACGTGAGTGTACCGCCATTTACAGAAATAGAGGTCGTGCTTGGAGATAGTGACTCTGACGTTCAAGTCGTTGGACATGGAGAATGGTCTTTCAAGCGATACGTATAGTACAAGACTGACCGAAAATAACACTAAAAGGCCTCTATCAGTTGCAGGCATCAATCAAATCGCAGTTTATGTGACTCAGTTGGCCAATTGTTTGCCGACATCGCAGAGACCCGAGGTGATCTGTCGTGAGGGGTTTCCGAAGGATCATCTTGGCAACACGGAAACACATCTCCAAGCCAACTGATTCGATGAGTGATCACGTAAATCTTCAATTGCAACAAAAGGAAATCCGCTTCTAAGCTGCTAGGGCCAATGCGAGATGGGTAAGCCCTCCGACCGAAACTCACCTTATAACAATGAGAAGGCGCTTTCCATCTAAGATCAGCTTCTCTTCCAAACTTCATCTTCAACCTCAACATTTTCACCATGACCTCACTGCCTCAAATGGACGCAATCGAGCCTGCAACAGTTCAGTCTAATCGTGACCTCTCTGATCATGTCGAGAAAACGGCGACTGCCGACTCCGTTGCTGGCTCGGTAGACCAACCAGTTGATCTTGACACCGAAAGCAACAGCGGAGATCCAGAGCTCCAAGATCAATCACAGCGTCTACCATTCTTCCGACTCATTCTTGCCTACCTCTGTCTATGTTTCTGCTACTTTATCTCATATCTCGACATGAACTCTGTCGCAACATCATTGCCCACTATATCTGAGGCTCTCGATGCTGGTCCGACTGTTACATGGGTCGGAACGTCATACCTTCTCGGCCAACTCTCATTTCAGCCACTTTATGGAAGAATATCCGATATCACCGGACGAAAGCCCATCCTATTGTTCTCAATGTGTTGTATCGTGGTGGGTGGTCTCCTCTGTGGCTTCGCTCGTACGCCCGTCTGGCTGTATGTCTGTCGTACGATCAGCGGCATTGGCGGAGGTGGCATAAGCTCCTCAGTGGCTATCATCGTAAGTGATCTCGTCAGTCTGAGATCACGAGGGAAGTATCAAGGATTTATCAGCCTCGCCATTGGGATCGGAGCTGCTTCCGGTCCATTTGTGGCCGCTGGGCTAATACAGCTGACCACTGACGGATGGCGATGGGCGTTCTGGGTCCCGTCGATAATGGGAGCCGTGTGTTTTCTGCTTCTTCTCCTACTTTTGCCTCTGAAGCCCGTTTCTGGGAGCTTCAAGGAAAAGGCTCGCAAGATTGATTGGATGGGTGTTATGGCCTCAATAGCAGGTATCGTGCTGACGGTTGTAAGTATTTCGAGCACCCCAGGAGCTACATGTTCTAATGATTGACATAGATGGCGATCAATTCTGGTGGAAGTATGTGGGCCTGGGAGAATGTGAAGACCGTCTCCATCCTCACTATCGGCATCATCATGCTGTTTGTCTTCATCATTATTGAGGCTTTCTCTGCCCGAATCCCCATCATTCCCTTGAGACTGTTCAGGCAGAAATCCCCAGCTGTTCTCATCCTCACAGGATTCTTGCACGACTTCGCGTGGCAGTCTACGCAGTACTTCGTTCCTCTATACTACCAAACTGTTCGTGGCTTCACGCCTCTGAAGAGCGCGATGCTCATAGTACCGTTTCTGCTCGCGCAAGGACTTGCTGGCGCTGCTTCAGGGCCTATCATGGCTCGTTATGCAAGGTAAGCAGGACTTGTGGTTGAATGGCCGATGTAATTCCTCACGCATCTACAGATACATGCCCATCTTACGGACTGGTTTCGCAATTTGGACGATCGGTGCCGGCCTCAAACTTCTATTCAATGAGCACACTCATGTCGCCGTCTACGTAGTAGTTCTAGCTGTTGAAGGAGCTGGGATAGGATGGGTCCATCAGCCAGGTACGTCGAACGCTTCCTTTGACGATGGACTGTCAATTTGTCTAATGCACTAACTCCGATTGAGGCCTTGTTGCACTACAAGCCAACTCTGCAGACGAAGACCGTGCTGTAGCGACAGGAACTCGCAACGTCTTTCGCTCCCTCGGCGGCGTTGTTGGTATCGCTGTGTCCACACCTGCACACTATGCAACTCTAAGCAAAGCCCTTTCACAAACCAGCGAGGTGCCGGAATGGCTTCGTGACCGTGTTTTGGATGGAACCTGGGCTGTTGGAGACCCCAACACACCAGAGTTCGAAAGCGCTATCATCGATGCGCGCATGCAAGGTTTTCGAGTGATCTTCATCACAACTATACCTCTTATGGCTCTATGTCTCCTGGCCAGTTTCTTTGTGGATGATATCCTGCTGAAGGGCGACGCTGGCCAGGGAGGTATGAGAGAAGGAGGCCAGATGACGAGGTCAACAAGTACTCCCACGGTGCCATCGGACACCAAGAGGGATGACTCGCAGCAGGCGGAGGCTTCTAAGGGACAATAACGGTCCACAGACATGCCACAGTTCATATTATCTTCTGAGTGTTGCCCGGTATTCTCAGGACGTGCCATAATCGACTTTGAAGAGCCTTTCCTATTTCATGGACCGGTGTCAGTATCAACATCAAACGTCAACGCAGGTTGTCCCCTCTTTCTCCGCCAATAATTCGTCGAATCCATGATCTCAGGGCAATCTTGAATCAGGCTCCCCCATTTCTTCACAAACGCGGCATTTACTTCCCAACCTCTTGCATCCCAAGCGATAGTCCACACCAAAAGCGACGGCTGCTCCCCCACTCCTGCTCCTTCAACTCCCAACAGATCGCCACAGAGTTCATCATCGTCGAACAACCCTTTTTGCATACCACGAAGAACATTGTCGCGGAACTTGGGGAAAGGGAACAGGTCTATCCAGGGATGATGTGCCGTCGAGCGCTGCAGCGACGTTGGTTGAAGACTCGCGGGACAGTTGGGTGATGGGATTTGGATTGGGCCGGTCTGGTAGAAGGGCGATATGAACTCATCCCGACATAGACTTTCCTTTGGAAATCCAATTACTGTGGCGTTGTCGGCTATGGCGTTCAGAACATTTAGGCGGATGATTATGTGCAAGTTGGATGGGCGCGGGGTTTGTAGTGAATAGTCTTCAAGAGACTGACGTATCAAGTTTCGAAGTCTCTCTGCTTCGCATACATTGGGTATGAGTAAAATCCCATCGCCAATGATCGGTGCTCTAGCAAATATCGAAGGGAAAGTGTCTCTCAACACCACCGAATCATCATGAGAAGTATGAGTGGATGTCGCTGTGACAGTCTGGGATTGTTGTCCATCTGATGTATAATGAGCACCCTTTCTTCGGCCTATCGGTGGTCTAGTTATCAGTAAAGCCATGCCGCCATGTCATGGAGTATGCTCACGCCATGCTCTTTGATTGAGCCTGTTCTGTCGTCGCTTTCTTTCCTGCCTTGAAGTTACACCAGTCCAATCGTCTGCATGAGTGCGGAGGTCGGGAAGAGGTTTGAAACGATCAAGTCCTGCAAGCACATCTTGACCCTTGACCGCTGAGCTCGAGTCCATTTTGATCTAGGTGATTTATTCAGTGTAATTCCCGTAATGACTAATTACAATTGATGCCAGGCAGCGGTGGTATTCTCTGTCTCTCGGCCGAATGCTTGATGGGCGGGGTTGATCAAGGAAAGCACTGGGATGACTTTCAGTGAAACATAAGTAAATTTTAGCGCATTATTGCAGTGGAGTTATTGGTAATGACGTCGCTGTCCAATGAGAATCATGTGTCTATCCATTATCTGGGGAACCTCCCGGCAATAAGTTGCCCTTTGCTATTTTAACTGTACTAATGAACCAATCTAGTGGCCGACCAAAGCCTGATGAGTAGCACTATATCTATTCCCCTGTGGTTTAGCCGAATCAATAATCCTCCTCATCTCAGCCTTTTCGTCATCAGTCAAGTCAACATTCCTAGATGCCCAATTCTCCTCCAAACGGTGCGCCTTGGTCGTACCAGGAATAGCAATCATTCCCTGGGACGCAACCCAAGCAAGCGCGATTTGCGTCAAAGTGCATCCCTTGCGAACAGCGAGTTTCTTGATCTCCTCTACTATAGCCTTGTTCTTGTAGAAGTTTTCGCCTTGAAACTTGGGTACTGAATGACATGTTAGTTAACGTGAGCTGCAGTAAGTTGGAGGTGTGATGAAAACGTACCTGTTCGTCGAAAGTCGTCAGGTGCGAAATCATCCGGACTCTTGTAAGGGAAGTCATCGACGAGCCAGCCGTGGCCAAGTGGGCTGTAGGCGACGTAGGCGATGCCGAGCTCTTTCGCCGTATCAATAAGACCATCGGTCTCGTGCAGTGTCTCAAAGGCCGAGTATTCGGCTTGGACAGCATCGATCTTTGCAACTATTATTTGTAAGTCAAGCTCACTGGTTCTAATGATAAGCTTACTGGAGTTGGCCTTGCGCAAGGTGTTGGCGGAACATTCGGATAGGCCAATGTACTTTGTCTTTCCCTGCTTTCGGATTTCATCCAGAGCAGGAATGGACTCCTCGAGCGGCGTCTCTGGAATGGAAGGTTAGAATCATCTTCATTATAGTATCTCAAATCGAAGAGCACGTACTAGGATCAATTCGATGCAGGTAGTACAGGTCAGGGGCAAAGCCAAGTCTTTCGATGGTCCCTTCGATATACTCCTTGATGTGGGAGGCAGAATTGGTCACTCCGCCCTTACCAAACACATCGAAACCACACTTTGAAGCGACTATGATTTTGGTACCAAGTCAGCGAAGGCTCAAGTCAAACCCAATTTCAAGTTCCAAGTCTTTGTGAACTTGTTATCAACTTACTAAAGACCTTGTCTCGAACGTTATGTTTCCTGATAAAGTCCCCAAGAAGCTTTTCGTTAACGCCAGCCTGATATACTACCTGTTAAAGAGAGTTAGCACGTCCATGGCATCTGCTACTCCTTTGCTTGGACATACAGCTGTATCCCAGAAGGTGCAGCCTAGCTCAATAGCTTTGAGCAAGACTGGTTCGGCTTCCTCAAGGCTCAGGTTAGAGCCGAGACCAAAGCTCATGCCCATTGCTCCAAAGCCTGGCGATGGAACAGTGATGTCGCCGAAGGGAATAGTTTTGACCATTGTGAATGAAATAGTAGTAGTTTGAAAAGTAAAAGATGAGTATTTGTTGCCAGGATACTGTTGAGTTGTTGTTCGAGTGATGTTTCATAAATACTTTTTGATAGACCTTCGGCTACCTATTAATAGTCCTCACAAAATGTCAATTATCGCGTCTGTCTAATGAGGCTACGGACTTAGCTGTAAACTCCATCAGGAGATAAACGAAGCAATCCACAATGACGTTGTATAACGATCGAGACTCCACGGTGGGGCCAGGAGTCCTCGGAAGATAAGCCAGTCGCATAAGGTTAAAGATCTGATTCTGGGAAATGCCGTTGCCTCTAAATCCGTGGAATTGAGTGGGGGATAAGCCAGTTGCATTAGCGCCGAGTAGAGGCTGTCACCAACAGTTCAGCTGTAATGCCTGTCGTGGTGGGTCTTCAACAACATGCTTCTGTCCCCTCGCGCTTTGAGATATAAGATTTCACTCAGTGGCAACTCATGCAATCGGCTTATTGTGCTGAAACCGCCCACTAGGTTGATATAGCATTTGCGGTACTGACCTTATGAATCGGCGAGATGGGAAATTACATAAACCAGTGGCATTTGCTGCCATTCAATTCTTGTTCAACATGCAATATCTTCGATTGAGAATTATCTAGCAATATTTTACCAAATTCAGGTTGAAAATCATGACGTCCGAAATGAAATATGCCCGGTAAGCATCTCATAACCCTTTCTGTTCCCAAACAGCGACTAATATGTCTTCTAGGGTTGGGAAGTCTGGTCTCAAAGTCTCACAGATCATCCTGGGATGCATGAGCTTCGGCGACAAGAACTGGCAACCCTGGCTTCTCGACAAAGACGAAGCTCTCCCGATCCTCAAGTATGCCTTCGACAAGGGCATCAACACGTGGGATGTCGCCGATACATACTCGAATGGAGAGTCAGAGAGGATCCTTGGCGCGGCTATCAAGCACTACAACATTCCCCGCTCAAAGCTGGTCATTATGTCCAAGTGCTTCCAGTTCGTCAATGAAGAAAAAGGCCCTATAGATCCTGCAACTCTCACCAGTAACGATGGTTCTCGCGTCAACAGAGTCGGCCTCTCTCGAAAGCACATTCTTGATGCAGTGGATCAGAGCGTCGAACGACTGGGCACCTACATCGATGTTTTGCAGATTCACAGAATGGATCGTGATGTTCCGCCAGAGGAGATTATGAAAGCACTCAATGATGTAATCGAAAGTGGAAAGGTTCGCTATATTGGTGCCAGCTCGGTATGTTGACCTCGGCCATATTATTCTTTGGCAAAGCTAACGGCCGAGAAGATGGCAGCTTGGGAGTTTCAAATGCTCCAGAACGTCGCCGAGAAAAACGGATGGCATAAATTCATCTCCATGCAAGGTCTATATAACCTTCTGTACCGCGAAGAAGAAAGAGAAATGAATCCTTACTGCAACTACACCGGCGTCGGTCTGTTCCCTTGGTCTCCCCTTGCCGCGGGAGTTCTTGCACATTCCTGGACCGACAGAACAGATGCTCGAGAGCAGAAGGACCCCTTCCTCAAGCTCCTATTCCGCGGTGAAGACCAAAACGCTGATCGAGCCATTGTTGACCGTGTTGAGCAGTTGGCTCAGAATAAGGGTGTCGCTATGGCTCAGATCGCGCAGTCTTGGCTGATTGTGAAGGGATGCATGCCTATCTGCGGTTTGGAGAGTAAAGAAAGAATCGATCAGGCAATGGGGGCCCTTCAGGTAACACTGAGCGATGAGGAGATCGCGTATCTCGAAGAGCTCTATGTTCCCAAGGTGCCATTCCCTTTCTGAGTGGTCATGATAAAACTTCTGGATGGATGTGGAAGCCAAGCTATCTCAAACCAACTATTTGACATGCATATGAAAATTCTATCAATAATTCTTATGTGGCCATGAATTCAATGACGCCTATTATTCGTGTACTATACGGTGCCTAAAAGGTGCCTTAGTCTAATTCTCGAAAAGAAAAGGAGCCGGGACAAAGACCTGCCGAATTAAATTAATTTCTCAGCATTTTCTAGCCAATTGCAAAAATGATAAGAATATCGAAGAACTTGGTTCATATGATGGATGGTTTCCAAGCGATCCGATCAAGTTTAGCTTCCGAGCTGTCAATCAAGACCTTGCGCCTCATCTTCTTTCAAGGCCCGACAAAAGGCAGCGAGATGTCGAAAAGCGACCTTGGCCTATTTCGTCAAGTAAAGTCAAAGGCTTTGCATGCGTTCAGGGTGTTTGAAAATTGGTTGTCTCATAAGTTCATAATTATAATTCATTCAGCTTTGATAGGCCATGCACAGCTAACGGCTGAAGCTGATGGCGGGTCTTGAAAATGGTTCTGCGCAGGCTGTCATGTAAGCGTAAGCACCTAATTATTGCAACACCATGACAGTATCAGAAACTTCTCGAAGTTCACATATTATCAGCTAGATTGTTTTAAATAATTCCGATTTAAACAATGAGCGGATCAATTAACTCGCCAAAGGAAATGGAATCGGAGCAAAGACTCGCCGAGTCTACTGGAAGTATTTCTCCTTTGGGCAATAGCCCACTCCGTCCGCGGACACGGGCCTCGGCTCAACGACTAATACAACATGGCAAGATTTTCGTATTTAACAACTTGAGATCAGCCAATGCCACCTCACAAACCATAGACACAAATCGAAATCATGACAGACCTACTCGTTTCAAAACCTCTTGAGCTACCATGCGGCCTCACGCTGCCCAACCGCCTTGTCAAGGCAGCCCTCGCTGAGGAAATGGCTGATCGTCAAAATCTTCCTACAACAGAGCAGATGGAGCGTACATATGGTGCCTGGGCTGATGGAGGCTGGGGTATGATCCTGACTGGAAATGTTCAGATTGACGATCGATACCTCGGTGGATTCGCTGATTGCTCCATCAATGGGAATCTGCCAGAAGAAAAAGTCCTTGAGGCGTATAAGAGATTCGTTGGTATTTGTCGAAGAAAGGGAACGCCGACAATCATGCAAATCAACCATCCGGGTCGACAGTCGCCCATTGGAGCTGGCAGCAAATCATTCTTGGCTAAGAATATCGCCCCGAGTGCTGTTCCGCTTGATATGGGAAACGACATTATTTCAAAGATCGTGACGACCTTTGTCTTTGGATGTCCAAAGGAGATGACGCTAGAGGACATTGAGGATGTTGTAAAGCGATTTGCTAATACAGCCCGGATCGCAGCGGCCGCCGGTTTCGATGGAGTTGAGATTCATGCTGCTCATGGGTATCTCTTGTCTCAGTTCCTGTCTGCAAAGTCCAATAAGCGAACCGATGCGTATGGAGGATCAGCAGTAGCCAGGGCAAAGATCATCGTCGACGTCGTCAAGGCAATCCGAGCAGCAACGCCAGCGAACTTTTGCGTCGGTCTCAAGATGAACTCTGCAGACCACCAGTCTCCCACTGAGCTCCAGGAGTGTCTGGAGCAAATTTCTCTGATTACAGAGGTCGGTTTGGACTTTTTGGAAGTCAGCGGCGGAAGCTACGAGAACCCAACTGTAAGTCAGACAACACATTTTTGGAAGCCTTTCTAACATGCACAGATGTTCACCGGGACTGGTGAGAAGAAAGCCGCCAGTACAGCTGCGCGAGAGTCGTTCTTCCTCGAATTCGCCCATGAGGTGCGCGCCAAGTTTCCAAAGGTTCTTCTGATGGTCACTGGCGGGTTCCGCACGCGAGCGGGTATAGAAGATGCTCTGAGTCAAGGTGCTTGCGACCTAATTGGAATTGGCAGGCCCTCTATCATCAACCCCTCTTTGCCTGCGAGTATCATTTTGAACAAGGAGGTCAAGACTGAGGATGCGAAGCTTTATGCGAAAAGGATTCATACTCCGTGGATCCTGAAGCAGATTGGACCCAAGAGCGTTGGATCTGGTGTTGAAATTGTGAGTCGTGCTCTGTGATTAAATGTTGGCAAAGCTAATCCTTCTCAGACATGGTACAGGAAGCAACTGCAGGCTATCGGAAAGTGAGAAATCGCGGTGCTGAGTTCCTGTTTACTGTCGTTTTCTTCGCTATAGGATATCCCAAGGCCATATTAGGCCTTTTTGATGGAGATTCATATTTGCAAAATAATTCCTAGAGCTTGAGCTCAATTAGAACAATAGACTTGTTTTCCCATGATCACGAAAATTGGTGGTTCATGCAAAGGCAGTGCATAAAGAAATGGAAAGAGGCAGACAAGGCTGCGATTGGGTCGATGCGTCACGTGGCGAGCGCTGCCAAGCTTTTCTGCGTCCAATGAAATCGCAAGGCTGAGAATTAGAGATGCGGGCCTCCCGCTCTCCCCACGATCCATGCTGTGCGACCGGAGCTGAAAGTAAACGACACGAAAGCATCACGAGAACAGCAAAACGATGAGGATTCGATATCAAGAGAAACAAGCAAGTTCCAAAGCTGAACGACAGCCTTATACATAAGCATGTGTTCTGCCACTGTCTCCACGACCCGTCACGTGCATGCGGCCAACTTAGAAAACATGGCAAAAACCCAAAGACCCGAAATAAAAAAAAAAAAAAAAAAAAAACCTGTTTCCAAATCTTGATTCAGATTGGTGAATTCAAGGTGAGCTCCCGGCCAGGATCGAACTGGCAATCTTCTGATTCTCTTCTAGCAACCTTTTGAGGCTGCTCTTAGAAGTCAGACGCCTTAGCCATTAGGCCACGGGAGCTAGCTGTACTTGGCTGCTTGGCCGACAAGGTTGTGAACCACATTATATCACTCACATGTTGTGGAGCCCTCCTTCACAGAGTTTGACAACACCTTGACTTGCTGACCTATCACGAACGGTCGTTGGCAATGGGGCTGAACTGTGTGTTGCACCAGATTCTCTTAAAAAGCTATGTACCTCGTGTGTGACTTGTTTACTATCTACCTCATCTTAAGCGCGATGTCCAACCCCAATGGCTTCCTCAAGAACCCCTCGCGTGTCTCCATAACCTCCTGCTTCAACTCCGGCGTGTATCTCCTCGCCCACGTCGCCGCGATCAACTTCATCTCCATCTCCGCGACATTCCTGCCCACACACGCCCTCGGCCCATGACTAAACGGATTAAACGCAGTCTTTTGCAGGTTATTCACACTATCCCAACGCTCAGGCTTAAAGTCATCTGCGTCAGGGCCCCAGATCTCCTTCGAGTGATGCAGTGTGTACGTCGGCACGCTCAGCACGCTGCCGGGCGGGAAATAATGACCCTTGATCGTGACGCCGGGGGAGTTGTCTGGAATTTGGCGCGGAAGGCCGATGCCGGATGTCGAATGATATCGGAGGGTTTCGCTGATGACGTTGTTGAGATAGGTTAGGTCGCGAACCATGTCGTACGTAGGGACCGATACGTCAGCGGGGATCGCCTCGTCAAGCTCGGCCTGTAGCTTCTCGAGAACGCCGGGAGTTCGTGTGACGTGATAAAGTAGAGCGCATGACGAATTGGACGTGGTGTCACTGCCGGCGATGAGCTGCGTCAAAGCTTCGGCTGTCAATTCCTCGCGACCCAACGGCTCACCCTTCTCATCTCTGCCTTCCATGAGTCGCGCGAGAAGATCTTTTCGCTCAACGGATGGTGGGTTATCCAATCTGGCCTTGACGCGCGCGATCGCGATTCCCGCAAGATTCTTGACTGCGTTGAGGCCGTTGCTGAAAAACGGGTCGGGCAACCATTTTGCATACGGCTTCAATTGCGGCCAGCAACCCAACGTCGCGCTGACCTCACCTCTTCTGTTCAGAATCTCAATCGCGGATGCATAAATAGGCGCGCTGTCGGGCGTCTCTCGAACTTCAGCTACGTCGGCGCCATTTGCGAGCATGCCGAAGGGTACACCAAAAGCAAGGTCGCCGATGACATCAAATGCGAGGTAGTTGAACCACGGGAGACAATCAATAAGCGCTTGTCGCTTTCCATTCTTATCGGTAGTCTGGCCTGATACGACAAGTTTGTCGAGCTGTTTGACAAAAAGTTCAAGGTTGGCGTGGATATAAGGCTCAAATTGGCTGATTGACTTGGCGGAAAAGACGTGAGAGATGAGCTTGCGCTTTCGTGTGTGCTCAGCGCGATCACGAGTGTTGAAGAGACCTCGTCGAATTGAAACAAAAGCGTCGTAGAAATCACTGTCGCTCATTAGCTATGAGAAGACGTGAAGCTGCGCGATACTCACGATTTCAAGAAGCCATTTCCGTGGCCGTAAATGGTTGCGATCGCATCAGGATCCGCGATGGAAGTGTGGTTGGGCTGGATTCGTACGACAGGACCCAATCTCTTGTGAATCTCATCCACGACGCGATATCGTCCACCACGCCTGCAGACGTAGAGAAGCCACAGATTCGTGAACTGCGCCGGGAAAGGCGCTGGGATATCTCTCAGATGCCCATAGGTCACAAAGTATGAGTAGAGATACGTGGCGATGAGGACACCTGCGGCAATGGGGATTGACCACCAGGTGAAGAGGATGTCGACAACAGCCATGACGACGGATTGCAATGCTGTTGTTGGTTAGCTCTGTTCATTCTCTACTGTCGCGCAGGCTCACCTTTGATCGCTCAAGAAGCGCGAGTGTTTAAAGACAGCGCGATACTCGTTCAGTCAATTCGAGCCGTAGAGCAGTATTTAAGCAATTGAATCGCCACGAGGACGGAAGAATGAAGTCAGACATCTCCAAACTTCCGCATTCTGGGCTAGGTAAACCTCCGCTCGCCCCCGCATCTCGTTCGGCTTGTCTGGATCGGTAGTTGATTGAAGATGGGGATATTCTCGAAAGCTTACCCCGGATCCAATGACATTTCTTTCATTTAAACTTAGTCCAGATGATGGCTTTCGTCATCGGCCTCCGAAAGTGCCGATATCCTTTCACACCCTGTTGCTGTCTTTTGAGCTAGAGTGCAAAGAGCGTTTGGTGGTCAATGTGGAGTTCGTGATGGTTGGATACCCTATGGCGGCAATAAGATTGATGAAAGACCATGAATTGGACCCGTTCAAGAGTGTAACTCAAGATCATATAGAATCTATATATATAAATAATACTTTGGTATCATTTTATCACGTTTTTCAGTGTTGGAATAGGCAGATTAGTAAATGAACCAGGTCTTCTGATATGCGTAGCACGTTCGTGATTTGAGCGTCATGCGAGGTCTCGCAGATTTCCATCTTCTTAGTTTCTATGAGACTCACAGTGTTCAAATCTCGTTGAAGTTCAGGGTACGCAATCATCAAAGGGTAGTTAACATTATTTCGGCACCATGCTATAGCAACGGCTCCGAGACTCCTCATCCGAGGCTCACAGGGCTGGATCTTTGCCAAGCTGATGCCCCGCTCCAAGCAGAAACACGACCGTCTTGGCTCTGTTTACAGTCCCTCACACAAAAGTCGCGTGCTAATCTACCCGTTCTGAGCATTCAAATCTCTTCCAATGACACCAAAAAATAAAGATGGAAATGAAACAGCTGACGCATTTGACACCTGCACCGCCCATCAATTGGCCATGGAAACAGTGCGATCCGAACAACCGATAACCGCTGTCAAGCACAAGCCATGGCGGGGTTTCGATTGACACCTCAGATCTCAGCAACATCATATGCGGTGAAGAATATAGGGGACTTTCATGTTTGGCGCTCGCAAAAACAGTCCAGCCAAGCTGACATTTCTGAAACCAAGGCGTCAGCTGTAGAGAGGTAGCCGCCGGAAGTGAGGACAGCCGGCTTGGTGTTCTACCAAAATACACTGAAACCGCCTGTGACCAGGGGTTTGGCGTGTTTGATCTCCCGTCTCACAATGCCACCTCAGGCACCACCCGGTTTCGCCTCAACCTGCTATTATGGCTGTGTTTATTAACAGAAAATACATGAGAGAAATATAACTCCATATCTACGAGACCCTCGCTCTTTTTGGTTCTTTTCTTCTCCCGCGCACGTTGATCTGGTATCACGAAGCGACACGACTTTCATTTCGATAATTCCATTCTTACGGTCTTTTTTATTAATTCTTTAATTTTAATTCAGACAGTTCAGCTCTGGTAGCATTCACTTCGATTAAAAAGTCTCGCAAGCATCTCTTTGGCTTCTCGTCTCGTATCCGATATATCGAATGGCTTCAATGAATATGGAAGATGCGGCCTTGGATCTACAGCTCTCGCGAATCATTTCCGCCGTCGAACAGACCACGATATTCACAACCATTGTACCGAAGCCAACCGCCCAATCAGAGGGTACGACAACTGCAGATTCACCTGTTGTTACAGTTACACAGGAAAGCAACTCAGATAATGGATCGTCTGGTCTGCCTGGAACCAAGATCTTTGGAGCACTTGAGATTATCATTGCTCTTGGTGTGCTAGGTATGGATCCTCAATCTCATTTACATGATTACGACTAACTGTAATAGCTGGTGTATTGCTTCTCATCATGAGCATCATTCTATGTGACCGACGAAGAAAATCCAAGCGAAAGCGAGCAGCCGAGAGAGCTCAGAACAGAATGACAGATAAGAGTGAACCACTAGAAGGACACCAACAACCATCAGGAGCACGGTTGCCAGAGTCAATATGGCCCAGGATGGCGGACAAGAACCAAGCTGTTCATGATTACTGGCACAGTGAAACGTTACGGCAGAAACAAGGCTGGAATCAAGGACAACAAGCTGGCGTGCAACAGGGTCTACCTAGATATGGATAGCTTCGATAATCAGTTTGACACGTGCACGAAGAAAAGTAGTAACAGAAAAGTAATTTGAAACTCTCGAGACTTGCGAGGGCGAGATGAATGAGGCTTGCCTATTTTCTGCTCTGTTATCTTACAGATCACTTGCTGGCGACTGGAACGCTGCATTAAGTCTCGCTGCCCCCCCGATGATGTAGCTACACGTGTAAATCAAGTCTTTATAGGCCTCCGATACGTAGTACTATAGTTTCAGAATTCATTGATGGATGCATCACTGCAATAGGTTGTTGGTCAGCCGGCTTTTGCTTTCAGCCTCACCGGCCCGTTTGTAGGCGACTGTTCAATCACTGTCACTTGGAAGTGTAGTATTTATTCAAATCTTATCAGTGCTCCTTTGCTGTGGGAAAGAATATGCCTTGTAAGCCCAACGTCCGTTTCTGGGGGCCGAGTCGTGGCCAGACACAGCGCGTAGGAACAGTGTTGGCCCATAGAACAGCCAACAGCCGTCATCTTCCTCAAAACCAACGGATAACAAGCATAAACAAGAAGTCTTCCAGCTAGGCATCTCCAAAATGATAAAAGTTCTTGAAAGGGTTGCTTCAACTGTGGCCTAAAGGCCAAGTTGCGCAAGGTTGGCGCTTATAGCCCCTTTCTCTACGTCCTCTAGCCGCTATACGAAAAGGAGGAAGCTGACAAGGCATTTTTAAATCGCGTCTATTTAATCTTCAATTCTGACGGGTGACTTGAACTCATTAAAGATAAAGCTAGCTAACTGACGACACTGACAGACCTCAACATTATACCGCAATAGACTATCCCTCTCCTGAACTGCACCGTCAAGATGAACCCAGTAACTGGATTCATCAGTACAATCAGTCGCGGACAGCTCATGGGACTAATTTTGACACAGGGCCTGCCAGCTATATCAAGCGTGATTGCTATGTCAGCTCAGCGAAAAGAAGGAAAAGCCGCAGCGCAAAGGAGCTGACGTACAAGGAAATGCAGGAGGCCATACCCAAGCTCCTTCAAACTATCGAACAGAAAGAGATTCGGCTCGTCACCAACGCATTCAACTCCACCCCGGAATTCATTGCATACTTCCAAGCCGCCGCCACCGGTGCTGTGCCTCTTATTCTTTTGGATGTTGCGCAGTCTATCAAAAGAATCGGTGCAAGGCTTGATGGCATCAAAGACGAGCTCGCGATTTCAAACATAGCGAAGGTTCAAGGCTGGGCTGACGATGGCTTCGGGACATATGTGCACCGATTCGTTCGGAACGAAATGGCTCCGGCTGAGGGGCGTACAAAGGGAGAGAGTCACTTCTTCTATGTATGGAACCCTGATAGCGATTGGTATCCAGACTTCGAAGGAAGGCAGAGAGAGGATCCGCTGGGTCCCAACTTCGGCGGCTATCATCACGACCTAGCCACGATTTGTGTCAGAATGAGAGCGGACAGACAAGCCCTTATTGCAACCACTGAGGACAACAACAATGTCGTGTTCCATCTCATTATTCCTACTTACTATCCAATCGTGATAGACACGCCTATCGTATTCGCTGCAGAGCTATTTCCGCTCACTATTACCGGAAGCCGACATCGTGGCACGGATCTCGTTTGGTTCAACCTCGATGAACGCTCAAGATTCCCGAGCCCACAACTCGAATTCATCGGTGTATTGCATTTGGCTGAGAATAATGTGAGAGCAGGCGCCGCTGTGACCTTTATAGGTTGTGGGTTCGGCTGTGTAGCTTCTGGGATTGCAGCAGTCGCGTTTCCCCCTTGCGCCCCTGCTGCAGAAACCGTTTTCGTCTCATGCTGGACCACTGCGTTCGCGTCGGGTTTGGTGGGTGCCGCAGCGGAAGAACATGAAAGAAGGTCGAGGAAAGGAGTGCAGGTTTTGGGGGATGCGCTTTTCCTGAATTAGATGGATTTTGAGTTGTCACATCGTTCTGAGCATGTTTTTCTACACCTTGCTTCGACTCGTGTTATGCATGTTTGTCACTGTATTGAATGAGCCCAAACTATTAATGCTCCTTATCCTGAGACTCAGGCTACGATTAATCAACCTAGGTCGAAGGTGGGATTGTATAGTTGGCTGTTTAGCTATCATATCCTATGTATTAGTTCAAGAATATTCTCTATGGGAAAATTGAAATTTGTGTGTGGTCATTGGAGGCAAGGCCCACAGCTTGCTCTCAATTTCAGTCAGTGTTACTAACAAATACTATCATGACAGTTGTGTAACTGAATTTAAGTTAGTACTTCCTTGAACGATAGGAAAAGAAACTCACGTTGCTCCAGCTACAGCCAACTCAACAGTTTTGGCATTTGTCAATAAAGACATGCAACAAACAAATGCAGCTGTCGAAATAATCATAATGGCCAGTCTAGCCGCTTGGCTATCAATCATATTGCAAATCACGACTGGCGCCAATAACAAAAAGACGATGAGCGGACTCAGGATCGCCCGAGCTACTCTCATCGTCGAGGAACGAGAAAAGATCTGAACGTGAGGATCGTTGGAAATGTTCTCAGAGCTCTAAGACACTATCAGCTCGCCGGCTTCCAACATGTCATAGGTACTTTGTGGGATGTCAATGACAGGATTTGCGTTGATATAGCCAAGGTAGTGTATGAGGGTATTAAGGATGGTCAGATGACAGATCAATCTGTGGCCTGGGGGCTTCATGAGGCGAGCCGTCGGCTGAGGGACAAGTGGCTGGAGAAGATGGACCAAGAGGGGCATAATAGAGGTGTAAGTGATGATATTCTCAACAATCTGGTTATTAGAGCGCCTGTGGTCCATGGAGTTAGGTGGGAAAGAAGACGAGTTCGGAGTAGAGCAATGGCCAAAGGCATGTCGATATCCTTGGGGACGAGGTGGAGGAGAGTTGCGACCAAGGCTTCCAGAAGTATACGGGTAAGCAAGAACCACATATCCGGGGTCGAGACCAGAGGTCAGAGATGGTCTAGAGAGGCTTCCTTAGCTATCCTCCTCAGACATAAAGTCGAACCTTCACCGGTTTGGGTTCCGTTTATTCATCATGGTATCTAGACGGCGGGTAGCTTAAAAGCTGACGGCCTTCAAATCATTTTCATCCCAAATACATGGAAATATCGGGACTAAATGTGTTATCAACTCTACCGCTCTATGGAATACCTCGAGTCTACCCTAACACCAAATGCTTGTTTCCTGGAAAGCAGGGGTGGTTCGATAAGCGGTATTTAACAACCCACATTATAGAGCTGTCATTCTCGAATCTTTGCTGACCTGCCTAAATGGAGGGGAATAAGATGGTCGATCGGGTGATCTGAGACGACCCTGGTAAAAGCCGGATGCTTAATCGACAGTCCGACACGTCGAGTATCTTGGTCCGAGCGGCTTAGATTTGATATCTGACCACTGCATAGGCTCGGAAGCCGTCGGACTCAGCTTGCTACGCCTTTTTGGTGGTACACAACTTTACTCTCCGCGAGTGAGCTGTTATCCAGCATCAGTGCTTGCTACCGACATGCCTTTTCGGGTTGAATTACATTAAGCATACTAGCAGCTAGACCAATAGTGAAGACACTTTAAAGTCGCCTTTTGCTAAAGGCGTTATTATGGCATGGATCTTAAGGGAGAGTGGTGAGATGGAAGGGCTACACTTGTCTATGGCTTGCATAATCATCCCGTAAGATTCCTTGGCTACACCAGCTCACAACGGTCACGCTAATACGCGGGGTGCAGCTCATGTCCCCCGCCACAATTATTCTCGAATCTTCAACGTCCAGCTGCGAGACTTGTCGACAGCCATGTACAGCATGCGCATCTAGACCGCCGGGATTTCTGTATAGGACTTCGACCGGGCCGATGATAGCCTTTCAGTCCCGCGGTGATAGTGTGCTAATCGATAGCGAACCTCGAGCAGGCTCGTCATTTGCCAAAAGAGCATCATCTTCGGCTTTATTCAGTAGAAGTGAAAGAGGGGATATACACAACTAAAGGAAACAGAGTACCATTGAGACACCACTATAAAGAAAAAGCGTCTTGGCTATCACAGATATAGTGATACGGCCTTATGCCGGGATCTACGTTGTGACATAGTCATTTTACCCCAGATTTTCCCAACCACTAACAATCCGCCTAACAAAGCCAAGCATCATAGCCAGCAAACACACACCCTTGGCAAATTCACTAGTTGTGGTCTTTCCTTGGAACTCCGAAAGACTTTCTTTTTTCAGTCGTAGATCGAGGTCAAGTGAGCTATCGCCGAGCCATATGGTGCCATGGCATGCAATAGCCTGCTTCTTAATGGCTGCCACCTTTTACATCCGGTCCCCCTCCCCCTGCTGGGTGTACCTGACAGCCAGGTAACATTTCTTTTTATGGTATGATTTATCAACACCTTGTGCAGAATCTCAGACAATATTACTCTGGAAAAGGTGTGTGTGCGGGGATTTATCTCGGGGTCGGAGGGCGCCGCCGTTTGGGGATGACGTTCCGGACGGGCCAGCTGGATTGGTCTTGTGAAACGGATGGTTTTTTATATTGGTGCGGACTCGAGGATAAGAAGTCGTGCATGGAACGCAAGAATTGGCATTCTCTTGGCTCTTGGCTTTATTCTTTACTTAACAGACAAGAAACTCTTTGATAAACAAGCTTTTATATCTCCATCCGCACAGCTTTTCTCAATGGCCTTCTTCAAGACCAAGATGCCTGCACTTGACACTTCACCCGTGTCCTCACCAGTCCTCTATCCCTCCGTCACGTCTGACTTTGAAGCTGCAAATCTCAAATATGCAGCAAAGTTTACCCAGTCCCACTTACCATCTCCGCCCCGTCGGTAAGTGATCTAATACCCGCGCCCTAGGATCAAGGGCCTAACATTTACCCAGAAAGGTAGCGGTGGTAGCGTGCATGGACAGCAGATTGGACGTTGAGAAAGTACTGGGTCTAGACCTTGGCGATGCCCATGTCATCCGAAATGGTACGTACTCCAATTTTCTTGTCTCACCTGCAAAGCTGACAGTTACAGCTGGCGGTCGTGCTGTAGAAGCACTTCGATCAATCTTGATTTCTCAGCAGATGCTGGGCACGCGTGAGATTATTGTCATGCACCATGTAAGACCATCCCATTTCATTGCATTCGATATTTTTCATTCCCACGGCAATATCATAAGGCCATATTTTCAGCTGCCGCCATGGAGATAGTGACCGGCCCGGCTGACACCCCACGCTTCCAGACCGGCTGCGGCATGCAGAGCTTCTCCGACACAGATTTCCGGTCCAAGATCAGACGAGAACTAAAGGAAGACGTGGACCACATGGCGTTTCTTCCGTTTTCTGATTTGCGGCAGAGTGTTATTGATGACGTTGCGTTTTTGCGCAAGAGTCCGTTGATTTTGGATGTACCTATTACTGGATATGTTTATGATGTCAAGACGGGTCGGATTGAGCAGGTTGACGAGAGGGCTGACTCTGAGTGCTCCAGCCCTTAGAGTTCTATTTGATATGTATTTATGGCACTGTAGGATATTGGTTTGGCGGCAGAAAAAGATAGCGAGCGAGCAATTGGAATTATTTAGTATTATGAGACGAAACCCAACCGACACGTGACCTGCCACGGATTGCCACTTTTATGGCCTTTTCGCTTGTTGGCTTCTCTCACGGCACATGTTTTCCTCCCCTTATTTCTTACAAGCTACTGATTATTTTCTTTACTATGGCTCTACCTATTGCTGATCTTAAAGAGCATCCTGTATGGATATATAACCCTTCTACTGATCTTCAAGAGTATCCTGATTGGATACATGACCCTGAATTACGGACGCCACGCTTCGATGGAGACCCTCGATGTCGTCGCAGCATCTTCATCCGCTTAGAGCAGGCGTTAACGCACGGCGGCCATAGACCCCACCAATGAGGGTTCACCATCATACGTACTGCTTATGGCCCAGAATCAGATGAACAGTTCCAGCACTCCTTGACTCTTCTTGGCCGTATAGCTCAAGTATGGTCTGACGATGAGATTGCTGGCTGTAAGACGCTGCTGGCATATCTGAAGCAGAATAACATAGAGCGGCTTGGCCATGTCTCTATGGAAGTCGACACACGACCAAATCACGAATTTACACGCCGCTACCAGAATGATATTTTGCAAGATAAACAGCAGCTTGATGGCGCTTCAGTAGCTACAGTGCGTAGGTATTTTAATGACTGGATTGCATCCAACAATGGCACGTCAGTCGCTGGCGATGTACGCTTTACTACATGTATTATGCTGGACGCCGAGACCCTGCTTCAACTTGCCGAGGCGCCTCAAGACCTCGGGCTTGACTATAATTCGAGCGAATTCTTCAGGTCGCAGTATTGGGTGAAGATGGTGGACGCAAAATCTGGATATGAAGAGGCCTTTCGCGCTCTTCTCTATGCTGGGGATGGTCTCGCAGAATATTGGTTTCACAGAAATAGATCGCGACGATTGGTTGTCCACAGAAAGAACAGCGAGAACCTGGGAGTTCTGTATTATGGCTTTGCACCGTGTGAGTTGACTCCCCATGAGAAAGCAATGCAAGATGCGTTCAAGGCACATATGAAGCAGGGGACGGGTATTAGAGGCGATCAAAAAAAGAACTGATCTACAGTTGAGAAGATTCGCGATTCGTATGTAGTCATCATGGACCAAGATAGAGAAAAAGGATCTAACGTGTAGCTAGACTATCATGTTGTGTCCGACCAGTTATCTATAGGAAGTTATCAAAAAGAAATTCATTGCCACGGCCACCTTATGTACAGACAATGTTGAGCAGCCTTGGTAGGCTGCCCAATTCAACATTCGGAATTCGGTCTAAGTACATTCCGAGCCTAAGCATACGTCAAGTCTCAACAGCCGGCCCAATCAGTACCATGAGTTTCAAAATACCGATCTTATTGGTGACATTATGCATGTATGCATCCAGAGATCCGGCATCGTTAGCCTCCGGAGATCCTTGTGCGGATCTCATAGATCACTATCAACTGATTCATACCAGACTGTGGTCCATAACAGGCGAGAAGGAATGGATACTTTACAATTTTAAATGCTATGGATATTGTGGGGAGATATCTCTAAAGCCTCTGTCAGGTGAGTCTCTATGTAATGTTTATTCCGTTGAGGTGGGTTTCGAGCTCGCAAGTCTTCTTTCTTTCATCAAAGTGTTGGGAGAGGACAAAAAGGTCTACAAGATCCAGGAGCTGCCCAAAAGCCAACATAGTACTGACTCTAACCCCACACAACAGTCAACGCCGTTAATCGATGATGAGATCACTCGGGGACGGCGCTCAATCTATCAGAATAATCTCTACTCTCTCCATGTCGGTATCAATGGACGAAAAGCCGCCAGGTCACGGTACAAACAACTTTTACCATAGAATTTCTCAAACGATCCGGTTCTTGAATCTCGAGCAAGAATGTGGTTATCACTTGAGTTGCGAGTTTCTGAGCTTCTCTACACTCCATAGCAGCCCATCTAATAGTCACCGGCCGAGATCTACTACTGCCGAATGGTTGCACGAAAAGATAATTACGATTCTCAAATCGATAGATACCTAGATCTAGTTTATCACATACGAAGTAGATAAAAGAATACTTTCTTACTATACGCGTAGCATCTTTTATATATCGAATTTCAATACTCCCATCAAAACCTTTTTGTTTCTTAGTCCTACAAATCTTCTCATTAATCCTACCCTCTACATCTTGTCTTGATTTGGGCTGCTTCTACCACAAGCTGCCGAGACATGGAAAATTAGAAAGCCATTATTATTGATGGGGTTCACTGATGACTGATAATCCGATTACTACATAAGTGCCGAAAAATGAATCATTTGACGTAACGTGGAGGTCCCAAGTTTGTGGTATTCCTAAATAGGACTAGAGGTATCCACGTTACGTACGGTTCGTGTTAGTAACTCAGGGTGCGACAGGATTAGTGATTAAATTATGTGTAAAGGAAAAGTTCCCACTGGTCAATGCTATTATAAATAGGACATTCATTCTATTTTGATGGGTATTGAAGCGGGGAAACCTGGCACTGAGTTTCTGGGCGGAGATGGAGGCTCAAGAATCGGACAATTGCTCACCGAGATATATCAACCTGCACATGCCCCTCTCAGGTGTGCTCGGTCTGCTACGATAGTTTTTTCATCACCTTTGATTTATCATAATGCCTTCCAGAACAATCGACACGCCAAATGAGTGGTCCGACTCGGCGGATATCATCTCACGGTTCTTAGCCTTACAGCAGATTTACAGTGCCAAAGAACTAGACTCATATCTCCAGTCACTACAACACCTCAAAGAGCACGAATCAGATCCTGAGATTCGATCAACTGATGTAGTAGTTCTTTGCGCATCAGCGATCCTGGCTATTCCTGAAGCCGTCTTTGAGTGGGCATACCAGCAGCAGAGTCAAAACGAGGAACAACAAAGAAACACAGTACTGGTATTATGTGGCGGCATCGGACCTTGTACATCATTCGTTTACGACGCTATCAGAGCGAGCAAGAAATACTGCATGATATTTGACACGATAAAAGGCAAGCCTGAAGGCGAGGTGTTGAAAGTCATGGCGGAACGCTTCTATAAACTCAAGATCGACCAAAGTGGAGGTCAAGACAAAGGCTTTCGGATTTTGGTGTCTGATCGCTCGAACAACTGTGGAGCAGATGCTTCAGAGGCACAAAAGGTTTTAGAAGAGAACGGCATTCGATCTCCAAGATCTATGGTTGTTGTGCAGGATCCAGCTATGAGCAGCCGGACAATGTCTTCATTTGAAAAAGTCTACGAGAGCGATACGGTCCAGATTACTTGCTGGCCACGCCTGAAACAAACAAGAGCGGGTCAAGAAGAAAAACCCCGAGCTGAGCAAGATTCTCGAAGAGAACTCTGGTCAATGAATCGCTTTCTGGACAGGATCATGGGAGAACACAGTGGAGTTATCAAAGCCAAGTCACCAATCGGCATTCCAAACGAGGTGGAAAATGCCTGGTCAGCTATAATGGACGAAAGCAGCTCGAAACTCTTTTCATAGAAGATAATATAATAATTTTCGATCTCTGTTCGACTGTGATATTGAGTGTTTTTAATATTGACCGGCAACGATTCCGGTTCTGACGTCAACAATTCATATAATATATCGCATCGGCGTTGTCCGAGATGCAGACATCAGATCAGGCTGCGAGATTATTTTCCGTTTCACAACGTCACATGATGCACATTATCTTCAACCCAGCCCCACTGATTGGTCACTCACCAAACATTCTCGAACCATCACCAGAAGCGAATTTCCTCTCCCGGTCCCGGATCTTCTCGCAACACCATGGCATCACTACGCCGTTTCAGCCTCGTCTTCTACGTCCCACCCGCCAACGCCTCCGCATGCAAAGCCGCCATCTTCAAAACCGGCGCGGGCCGCTATCCCGGCCCTGGCGGGTACACTGAGTGCGCGTGGCAGACGTCGGGGATTGGACAGTTTAGGCCGGGAGATGCGGCGAATCCGGCTATTGGGAAAGTTGGGGAGTTGGAGGAGACGCCGGAGGTTAGGGTTGAGACGTTGATTGTTGGGGAGGAGACAGTACGGAAGGCTGTTGCGGCATTGAAAGAGTGAGTTTCCGTTGTTCGCAAGGTAAACTATGACTGATTTTATAGGGCGCATCCATATGAAGAGTGTCCGTATCAGGTTTATCGAGTGGAGGACTTTTGATGAAGATATTAGTGGTTTGGTGGGAATCGACCAGTTATGTGAGCTTCGGTTTTACAACACATAAAATTCGGTCATTCGAGGCGATTCACAGAGTCATTGATAATTACAAGCATTCACTTTTGGCATCTTAGCAACTATAATTCAAATTAGATCAGACTAAGGAAACCGAAATTAGGGTATTATCAAAAACTAAATCTTCCAATCGCCATTTTTCGTGATCTTGACCTGAAGTTCTAACATCATGCAACAAGAACCTTTGTCTGCGGTAAGAGAGTCGTCCATCTCTCTCCAGGCTTTCTACTCCACATCCTCTTCAACGCCTCAATACCCTTCAACAAGTTTCCAAACCCACTTCTCGCATGATGTCTTCGCAAAATATTCTCAAAATACACCTTATGCTCTTCAAGCTGCGCATCCGACGCTGCCACAAATGTCGTCCAGATCAACATGTGTGCCACGGGGGAAGTTTCTGGAAATTGTTCGAGTGCTTCGATGAAGCGCTGCACGCGTGCTACCGAGTCGGGATTGGTGGGTATGGGATCAAGGTCGAAGAAGTTGGAGGTATGGTCGGAGAGGACTTGTTGAAGATAGATATCTCGAGCTTGGTAGACGAGACTTGCGACTTGGGAGAAGAGTGGTGTGTGTTCTGGGTAGAGTTGGAGGCAGTGGTTGAGACAGCCGAAGAGTTGGTCGGTTCGAGCTTGGGAAGAGATCATCTGCAGACCTGTTTCTTCACCAAGATGCGGAGCAGCATATACTCGGATCCTGCTCTTCTGTTAGAATGTCTGTCACTCTGTTTGGGGTTAAGTTGTGTGTACTTACTTGTGAAGCTCACGCATGATAAAGCCAGCCAAGATGCCCGTACCAAGCCCCTCCTTCCCGCCGATAGCGTCCAGCGCTGACTCAAGCATTCGCAGGAGAACAGGAAAGTCTGAGCCTCCAGTGACGAGCACAGATGTCATTAGTAGCAAAAGGCTGATTAGCACAGAGTGCTGTGTTGTTTGCTTATTGCACATGAGCTCTTGGCGTTGTCGTAGACCTTGAAGCGTTCGACCCAGAAGTTGATATGGATCGGGAACGTAAGTGTCATACGTGTTGGTTCCGAAAGCAGAGTACTGCTTCTGGTTCTTCTTGAAATTATTATCGAGTTTGTTGATGTGGAAGTGAAAGGCTGAGACGGTGAGGACGGCATCCATGACGAGCTCGTCTTGCTGAGCGAGCGGAAGAAGGAGGTGGCGCCAGTCGTTGTGAAAGCCGTCTATGGCTACCATCTCCGTTGATATGCATCGCGAGACTAACAGGTGTAAGTACCTAAAGGAAACAAGCGAAGGCTGGATACTTACAAGTCATGAAAAGATTCCTCTTCCACGCTGGCATGTTCTCTGGAACTCCTTGCAAGAAAAGGGTCATGAAGACTTCCCGATCCTCAATTGCCTGAGAGTTCGCTAACACGAGGTCATAGATCTCAGGGTCTGATGAGATGAACTCAATATCATCATCTTGCATTTGATTATTGTCGTCATCATGAGTATCCGTGCTTCCCGGGTTTGTATCTGCGGCCGAGCTTGATACCGATGAAGTAGATGCGTCCTTGTCAACTGAAGAGACTCTCCATTCATTCCTGTGATGAAATCAGTTTCCCGATTGAATACATGGAGATGATATTGAGCATACTCTTCATAAACCTTGTCGATAGTCTTGCCAGCCCACTTCCCTCTCGCGGCAACACCCTTGTTGAACCGATGTCGAATACCCAGGCCACTGCAACTCAGGCCTCTGGAAGTACACTTATTACAACTTGGTTCATTCCTATCACAATGAATACGTCGTTTAGAGCACTCATGACAACCTATTCCCACGTCAAAACCCGTGCCAAGCAAAAATGAGGTTGTACTGACCCTTCGTCTTTGGTACATATGCACGTTTCTTTGGCGACATTGCAGCCGTCGGATGGAGCCGAAGTGAGCTAAGCTGATCGACACTCGGCGCGCACGAAACTCGGTATCTTCAGGGGAGATAACAGCTGGTACCTGCGTGGCTGGGGAAGATTAAAGGGAAAATTCCTCTGCCTTTAGAATTTTGCAAGCATCATGTCAAAGAGGACCCGGGAATCTATGGCCGAGGTTGCGGGGAATCTGTTGGAGCTTTGGCTCCGCAAACGCTAGTCAAGGTTGGAGAAGAGGCTAAGCCAGGATAGGATGGTCAAATGAGAGCACTGCTCACCTCCAAAGTACGCTAGACTTACGTGCTTAAAATTTAGCAACATGGTGCTGTTAAAATTTCACTGCAATTTTAACACACTCCGGAGCCTCTTGAGACTTGCCTTTGTATGGCAATGTTACTGATACATATATACGATCATGAAAAGTTCCCCTGATTTAGAGTGAAAAATATCTGGAAACCAAAAGTCAGAGATCCCTGTTACGATATCTTTCCATATCAGCCCCCGTTACACCATACGAAGATTCCAAAAGCTCTTGCTACTTACAGTCGCGAGACCAATCTTGATAATCTTGATCAATAGACTAACAAGATACATGATATGTTGAAGTGCTAGAATAATGATTAGAACGCGAAGATGTAGCTTAAGTGCCACTGTTTTCTTGGAATCTCTTGGGATAAATTCATGCTATCTGGGAGGTGGACCTCTTTCACAGAGTGGCCTCGCCCGTTACAAGACAGCATATACGTTATCTAGTAGATTTCTTCTTCAAAACCCAGGGCTGCAATTTGCTTCTTATACTCCTGTTGCTGCCGTATATCCTGTGCTATTTAGTTATGCCCCACATCTATCAATCGAACATCTTACCTCTTCCACTGTGTTTCTCGTAATATATCTTGTAACTCGAACCTCGCTTTCTTGCCCGAGGCGGATGGCTCGAGAAATCGCCTGGCTCTCGACGCTGGGATTCCATTGTAGTTCTGCGATGAAGATTCGATTTGCGCAAGTCAAGTTCAATCTGCGGTGGTATCAGTCTACCGATACAACTAAAAGGGCAAACAACGTACCCAAATGCTCCGGTTCCTGTTGTCATGATGAGAACAGGCGTCTCATCCTCATTCTCAAACTTGAGGAGCGTGGCTTGCCGTTGAGGCAGGGGGATGTTGCCGTCGAGTTGAAGGTATGGAATCTGAGCCTGCTCCAGGTGTCTTGATACTAAATACAGCGTTCGTGTCCAGCAAGAGAAGATTATACTGTTTGTTGTTAGCGGCAACCTGCGATTTGGGATTAGCATACCTTTTTGTGGTCCAAAGATCCTTCTGCACATCCTCAACCAGAGTCCGTATTTTGGTTGAAAAGCCTTGTTCATTGAAGTAGCTCTCGTGATCATCCTTTGAGGCAGTAGCCTTCCGCCGCTTTCTGGGTCTCTCGCCTGCTGCTATAGTTTGTTCGTCCCTAGGCACTGAAGGTTCTTTATACCATCTTATGCAGATGGGGCACCGTCGTTGAGTCTCGGGTAAGCACATACTTGACTCTTCAATGCACTTCGAACACAGAATATGTGAGCATTCATCGTCAAACATCCTCTTCGTCAAGTCACATCCCAGTACTGGCATTGGCTGCTCACACCCCACGCAGGATATTTCTCCATATTGACCAGCAGTCCCAACTATTGCCTCTCGTTCTTCCAGGAGACTTCTCCGGTGCCACGAGAAGAGTTTCTGATATGTCCCGTGGTTGCAGACAATTCGCAACTGAAGCCACATCTGGAACATGCCAAACTGGGAGCTCTTTTTGACTTCACCCATTCGATGCTCCATGTTGCGTAGAATGACAGCCTTTGTTTTGTCATATTGATCGCGCTCTTGTGGACTGAACTCTAAATGTCGGACAAACTGCCGTGTTTTGGGCAAGTTCAAGACCTCTCTAGTTCGGCGTAGACACAATGCTTCGAGGAGCATGACTAGGCGATCCCTTACGAGCTCAGGGTCTTCGAATGAGTTGTCGAATGGTGTTTCTATCCACTTCCTAAACTCGGATGCCTTATCGAATGGCTCGGCGCGAATGAAGCGGAACAGTGAGCCAATGTCAGTGAGCTTATTTTGGATGGGTGTCCCGGAAAGACACCACCGAGAGTTGGCGTGGAGATATTCGCATGCTTGGAAGAACTTTGTGGATGGGCGACGTATGATATGAGCTTCAAGCTTCCCGGTTAGATAGGTGTCTTGGCAAGCGCTGCAGATGAGTAACTCACCTTCATCAAGGACTATTCGATACCAACCCAACTTATACAACGGTGAAGCCTTCCCTTTTCCTATCAGATATTCAGCAGTAAGCGTATGATATGTTGTTACCACGATATCCGAGTCCTCAATTACAGATAGCTCCTCAAGAGTCTTCGGCCTATTTTCACCATGGTACTTAACCACTCTGAGACCTCTTTGTAGGTGCCTATACAGTGTCAGAAATGTCCTCCGAGTGAGGTCTAGCGACACGTACTTCTTAACCTCATTCATCCACTCATCGACCAATACTGAGTCCTCTCAGTAGCTGAAGCATGACTGACAATGAGGAGAAACTCACAAGCTGCTGAGACTACAACGAGAGTAGAACGAGAGAATTTGAGAGATCTCCTGCTCTTGTGCTCCGCATTTCTCTCCCCCGCCCACTCTTGGCCATTGTCAAGAGTCTTCATGATCAAAGCGAGGATGGAAAGCGACTTTCCCATCCCCATGTCGTCAGCAAGAATACCGCCGCCCCTCTCTTCTGGCCGTATATCCTTACGTCTCTTGGTGATTCTGTGTCGGTATTGGAATTTTCCATTCTCATATTCGATCTCTTCCCAAAGTCTGTACTTTTCGTTGATATGCCCAGACTCTCTCTCGAGCATGAAACCCAGTGCTTCCTTCTGATGTCTATATTGTTATTAGCGCCACAGTCAACTGGTCGTTTAGTTTCGATAGGCCACCTTAAAAGCTGACGCGTCACCTTGTCACCACCTTCAACCATCTCAAGCTCACGGCTGTTCTCAACAGTCTTGTAAACCTCATCCACCATCTTCCGAAGTTGATCTTCCTTGCTCATTTTCTTAGGGACACCATCACTAGGAGCCGGTTGCGTATCTTGGACTTCGCCAGCTCCGGTATCTTGGATGCTAATGTTCAGGAAGTGCGGATTCTCGTAAGCAAAACCATGTCTTCCGTGGCTTGACCTTTGAAGCCACAGCTTTCCATTGGAGAGCCTTTTCCCAATATCCAACGCCTTTGATCGTAGACCATAGATGTTTATGTCGACTTTCACCCTAGCGTCCGCGGGTTTGTTTGCGCGATTTATGACCTCTCTCAGATCGTATCTTAAGGCCAGTGGTTGAATATTGACTGATGTCTCCCCCATTATGAGCAAGAGAGTCTGACCTGCCGCTGAAGGTAGATGACCGAAGTACTTCTCATCACCAGGGAAACAAAGCATGAGTTGCTTCTGGTACTCCTTTGATGTGAAGTATTGATAAGCTGAGACCTCTGCTGCCAGTCTTTCATCTATGGATGACATGTCATCAGGCACTAATTTCACTTCGATGTTGTGAAGCTAAGGCAAATGAGTATTAAGTCTTGACTGAGGAACATCATTGAAGGTGTATGTATTTACCATGCCGTAGTGAACTATGACGTCGTCATCTTCCGGTAATGTTATAGGTGTTGCATTTGACCGACTTGGCACAGAAAGCTCTGGTGTCATAGCTGACCCTTCTCGAGAGCTTTCGGTGGGCAATTGAAGGAATTGGAAGCTTTCTAGTGTAGTAGACATACCCGAGGGGACGTTTTGTTCTTCGTCGGGATGAGATGTCATTTGAATATTGTTCATGTCGAAGTCGATATCAAAATTCATCATTCCAAGTTGTGGATCAACGTCTAGAGCATTGTTTTGAGTATAGTGGTGTTCAGAGACACCATGTTCTGGAAATAAAGGATCACTGTTTTGTATCTTTAGTCATAGGTTTAATTGATACATAAAGCTACATACACTAGAGTATTTGTGAAACTGGACTGGAGGTGGTTGTCAGCTTCAGTAACGTCTCCATTTAGAGCGCACCAAAAGGCTTGCGAGGTCTCATCAACCGATCCATTGATGCCGAGTCCTTGAGCACTAGGAGCATCGCCCATGTAAAGATCTTGGTCTTGCTCCACTCCCAGCCAGTCGTCCAGGGAGTGATACATATCGTGCTTGTCGTCATCTACGGGATTGAGGAGATCCCGCACGTTAGACATACTGTCAATATTTCGAAGTATTCGGCTGCGACGGAAACTATTTGATTGTGAACCACGCACTGTTGAAGTATGAGAACTATGATAACTTTGACGGCAAGTTCTTCTTGACACACGGACAATATGAAAATCAGGCTGTGCAAGCCCTTATTCTAATGCAGGAGATCCCTAGAGTCGGTGACCCAACGTCGAATCAGAACCTCTTTTTCAGCCAACTGCAGCTCGCTTGGCCAACAAGGCAGACCAATGTCATCACATATGGTTCGCTCTGCGCTTGTGTTACCCAGTGATTGGATGGTAAGACCTGAAAATGCAACACCGCCATTAAAGGCTTTCAGCAAGGCGAATTTTGAGGCATTATTGGACTTCTGCAGTTAGGTTGCCTCTTTCTTCACACCGCCAGCTGGTCCTGGTGCTGCAAATCCCTCCTCGAGTCACTGACAGCTGCCCTGCCCTTCTCATTAACACAGTGGTTTATTGAGCCTCGATCTTAGAGGGATCTATCCAGTGCCATTCAATTGCTCTTCACGATGAACCGGCTTTATGAACTGGCTGACGAATTCAGGAGATCCCTGAGAACCCACCATGAAGAAGAATTCGAAAATACGACTATTGAAGATATGCGAAAGGAGATCCATGATATTCAATTGTTGCGAGACAAAACCAACAACATGATGGATATGAATCGACTGCGGATGTTTCTTGGCGGTATGGAAGAACTCGAGAAAGTCCTCTTGCGCCTTCAGTTTCCTGGCACGACAGGTGTAATGTCAATCGTTTGGGGCTCCGTGAGGTTCTTACTCAGGGTAATCATTGGCCTCTGGTTCATGCACGGGACTCAGCTAAAGGCTTACAGAGTACGAACACTACTGATAGGGCTTTTGACGGAGTGCTCGATGTTTACGGACTTCTTGGAGCCCAGCTCCTGCCCTTGACTCGATTTGAGGAATTCTTCCAAAGGTTTCCGTTTGCCATAGAGTGCATAGTCAATATCTATCATGATATACAGCGATTCCATTCCATAGCATATAGGCTTTTCTCACTTACAACGAAGCGTAAGATATCCTTTGCAGAGACGAATCTCGCTCGGCTGACTTATCCAAGTATGGCAGCGTCTTCAGAGGCCTATCTGGGATGACGCAAGTCACTTATTTTCAAGACTATCCGATTTTCTAGGTTCACACGCTAAGTTCATCAAAGAACACAGTCCTTCTACACAAGGTGAGTTTCCAAGTCACAGTGATTCAACAGAATGATCTAATTCCACAGACTATGATGCCCTTCATGCGGCCTTCCAGCAGTACTCATATGGCCTCAAGTCAGACTGGAAGAACTTCGAGGCCGATGAAAAGGCTCGGAGGCTTGGAAGAAAGTACGAAGTGACTGAATGGATCGCTTCTTCTCCGAAGATGCCAAGGTTGCAAGATGAGTTCCGTGATATGGTGATCTGTCCTAAGAGTGGTCGTTGGCTTTTCCGAAACTACAGCGATATTTCGGAGTGGATGGGCGAGGAAGACCCCCTCACTCAGCCATATGGCTGCATGGGAACGTCGGATATGGTAACTATTCCCTATAGACCTTTCAGAAGATACTGATGAATCTAGGCAAAACGGTGCTTGCATCCCTGATAGTTGATGAACTGAAATCATCTAAACTCCAGAATACAATGCCCTCATTCCCAGAGGCCAGTAAGACATGTTATTTTTACTGCCAAGAAGACGACATTGAACACAGAAACCATCTTGATATCCTTAAAGGTATACTCCTACAGATGGTAGAGGCCGAAGATTATATAATCCCCTTTTGCTACCAGGAAAAGGTCACAAGTGGAGGCTCCAACCTCATAGATGCAAAGCTGGCTCAAAAGCTCATCAAGACTTTTGTCGAGTTCTCTGTAAGACACTATATTTTGATAGACGGATTGGACGAATGTGAAGGAGCCGAGATCCAACAGACTGCACAGTTCTTCAAGGATCTGGTGTCGACATACGATACGCAAATCAGACTGGGGCATCTGAGAGTCCTTTTCATCGGTCGAGAAACATCTGACACCAAAAAGCATATACCTGGAGACGATTGCATCAGCATAGCACTCAGGCCCGAGGACAACCATGACGATATAAGAGCTTTTGTGCAGAAGAAACTTCCAGACTTTTCAAAATCAAGTCACGGCATTGGTTTCAGCCTATCTGAAGCTGACAAAGCAGACGTCGAAAGGATCATTTGCCATCAAAGCCAAGGTTCATACTGATCAACAGTGCAGTAGTATAAATTCAAGGCTGATATGACTTTGTAGACTCCTTCCTCTACGCACACCTGGCAATTGAATTTCTACTCCAGCAAGATACCAAAGGTGACTTGCTAACCCTACTTAGACAAGGGATACTACCAACGAAGCTTGGAGACATGTAGGTACTCTGATGTTAGCACTTAACTTTAACTTACTGTTCCAGGTACGAAAGATTGCTCGACTCTGTCAAGAAGAGTCTTGTGGCACAGCCAGGAGGTTCTGTGAGGTGGGAGAGATCGAAACTACTATTTGGGTGGCTCATTTGTGCCAAAAGACCACTCAGATGGCATGAGATGCAAGCAATCTTATGCTTTGACCCTATTCAACTCAAAATAGACTTTGAGAATGACATGCTACGACAAGATATGGAGAAATATCTTGGCTCCATCGTGCATGTCCTTGACGGAGGCCATATTCGACTCATCCACTCGACTGCGCGCAGGTCGGTTTTAATCACAACAAAAAGTGGTAATTGCAAGTGGCTTACGTTACCTGGCACTTTTAGATACATCATAGAGAACAAACATATCAGTGAGAAGCAGGTCCAGTGCCAGTTAACTACTATATGTCTCAGATACTTGACCCTCCCATGCTTCACCTGGGACGACAACTACCTATCGCACCAAAGAAGCCAAGATGCCAAACTGGGTTGGTTCTCTTTCCAGGACTATGCGTGCTCTCAGTGGCTTTATCATGTCGACACTTTGATCAGAGAATGTAGTGAAATCTTTGCAGCCGAGAACTCTTCAGACGTTGCAGCGGACTTTGCTTACGCTTTGAAACATTTCGTTAATACTCATCGTGTAGATTTGACCACCACTAAGCATTTTGAGTTGGTTGAAACCCACATAGAGACGTTCATGGACTTGGAACTCTACGAAGACCTTCATTGGCTGTGGAACCACATATACACTCACCAGCGAGGTGATTACACAACAAAAAACACCGTTGGAGTTAAGCAAATCGAGAACGGACTCAAGGATAATAGGACAGAACTGGAACGGTTCCCCTCAAGCCAAAGATCCGGTGACGAGGATACCATCGAGGACTATTATGGTTCGAATCTCTTCAAGTGCAATCGTACACTGTGTCGGTTTTTCTACGTCGGCTATGACAAGAAGAGCGCCCGAGATGATCACGGGAGGCGACACGAGAGACCTTTTCATTGCCCTATGTCCTGCAACGCGGCTCCTCTTGGCTTCATGAGTAACAAGGATAGGGATCGACATATCAATATTTACCATCCAGAACTAAGCGAAGGACCCCCCATATTTGAGACTTTAAGCCGCCGGCAGGCCTCTGGGGGATTCGTTTGCAAGATCTGCAACAAGACCTTCACGAGAAACATCAATCTCAAAAGCCATGAACGGAGTCACTTTGGGGACAGGCCTTTCGCCTGTGCGACTTGCGGAAAGGCTTTTGCTAGGGTGAATGATTGCCGAAGGCATGAGAAGATACACGCAAGGAGAGGATATTGACATAGAGGCGGAGGGACTAAGTTCTGAGTTCTGCGTGGTGATATAAGTTCTCATGCACAGGTCTCGACTGCATATAATACATCTAGCTCACCACTTAGACATTTATACCACAATTGCTGAGCAATTGCTACAGCGCCTTGGGGAAGTAATAAAACTTCTGGCGTGAAGATAAGGTGCCAAAATTAACTGGTCTAAAGACCTACCTAAGATATACTAAGTTTACCTAAATACTTTCGTCACTTAGGTAAATGGTCCGAAGTTTTCTTGCCACCCCTGGAGCGTAATTGGGCTTGGAAGCACCAGGTAGGTATGACATACTCGAATGGCTGACCTACTTTTCCTTCGGCTCCAAATCAACACTCTGAAACTTGACGCTAGTCCAAACTGTCATATCTTCGAACAGGGCTAAACCGACTCTCCTGTAACTTCCACTAGACGTTTTGAGTATCATTAAAGCCACTCCGGTTTCTTCATGATAGCTGCTGGATTTACCCAGGAGAAGATACTCGCATTCCCCCCCGGCGAATTCTAGATCTGAAGCTGACTCCACAAGATCCAGCATCGTAGACAGCGTCCACCGCTTAGTAAGGTCCATATCGCTGAATTGAAGTATTCTGCAAGACAACCTGACCTTGGCTGCTGTCAAGATCTCGACCTTGGCGTCTTCCACCTCTATCGGATCTTCGTACCGAATTCCGCCATCGACTGAAACCCAGGACCAGCTGGGAGCTCTTTTGAGGTGTCTTTCTCCTACTCTATCGTTATCTGACTTGTACCACGCTAGAAGTTGGATGAACCATCGCTGCCAGTGGCTGTAGATATGCGAGTCTCGCCAAACCTTTTGTAATTCAGTTGTGATACCCGTGACCGCTGGCAGTCTATCTTCAGGATCCTTCAGTTCTCTTCGCGTGTACTGAATAATGATAGTCTTCCAAAGGTAGAGTTTCTCCGAATCATGTGTTCCATAGGACGGCTCACCCTCATCGTCGAAGGAGGCCCACGGTAATGACTCAAGATGCTGCTGATATTCTAAACCCGCATTATTTCCAGTAACACTCTGCAGCTCGGTCTCTTGGCACTGCCAAAGAAGTTGATAGTCTGAGAAAATGAGCATTCGGGACGACAGCATATACTCCTGAAGAGTCCAGCCCCTTTTGTCGAGAGGATGATCAGGCTGATATGGGCTTCCCGACAAATAAACAGTCCCAATACGACCTTCATTCATCGGTATTTCAAACTTATGCTCTGGCAGATACGTAGGACTCTTATCCGGCAGGCTTGCTAAGAATCCTTCACATGCTCTTGTCGCAGTCCCAGCAGCCAACGTGATCGAAGCATTCTTGTACGTTGTCGCCATTTTGGAAATTTCTCTCCTTTTGTCTTCGGGACAGTTTTGGATGATGCACAGTCTATCCACCCAGAGATAAATAAATCCTAGTTCTCTAGTCACGCGAATTGCATCTTGGACAGACTGTTCCAACTCTGCAAGTTTGACCTCTTTCAGTAGATCTTGCTCGTTGTTCAGGCGAAGCTCCGAAAGCCGGCTTTCCATTTTCGGGTTCGGCTTTCCCCAGCAGTAGCTTAAAGCAAGATATGATCCCCGAGTCTCTGTTTGGTTGATCTGTAGCTGTGCAGTCTGGCCGCTCAGTTTTATGACGCGTGTAGGAAGGAAGATATCTCTTGAGTATCGGCACTTTCGATGACCCCGACTTGGTGTACCTGGTCCCAGGCAAGCCTCTATCAGTTTTGTGGCGGATGAATAGACTTCTGGGCTTGAAACGTCCCTGCATAGTGGTCGTCGTGATATCAAGCTGGAGAGGGGATCGCCTAGTAAAGCAGATTAGAAAAGAAAGTATAAAGAGGAAGCCAGATCCCGAACTTTCTTTGACAAATGGATAGAGTGTGATACTTCCCATTGCGCCATCCACACGACCAGTCAAGGCGTTAATATCGGAGTCTTTGCCTCCCGTATTAGGTGTTGAGTTCCAGAAACGTAGGCATTTCCCTTTCTCCCAGTATTGTCTAAATTCATTTAGGGCAAGTTCATAAATTAGATTGCACAGATCACAGCCAGCTCTGGCTGAGCTTATGAGACTCTGGCGGGTTTTATGGGCAAACCCAGGAGAAGAGTTCAGATCTTGCAGCCCTTGTTGGGAAAACAAATGTGTACAGGCAGCGCATCGACGTATGAGTTCTTGCACCTGCGCTCTTTCAAGTGGTAGTATGGCGACGGGGCCGTTATCGCCAGAGCTACCCATTTCTAGCCCAGATTCTATGTGTCTGATAACGCTTATGTAGAGTTCAAATCGACGTGCAGTCGGCCTTCAGAGGCTAGGCTAGTAGACTGCCTAACAAGGACCCTTGGACATCAGGCTAAGGCTTCCATAAGAAAACTCACGAGATCAGGTCAGTTAAGCACTGCCTTCTGAAACCCTACGTAGTTTGTTAAATTTGCAGTGAAAGGTGGCAGGGATTGTGGGGGGCCTCAAAGACGGTCAATGTGCGTAAGCTGAACAAACGGTCTGACACAAACGGTCCCGGTAGTTAAAGGCTAATGAAGAAGCCCACCTATGTAGGCACAAGTTTTATTTCAAGGCTAGCTCCTGTTGATCAGTGGAAGGGTAAGGACGAGTACTCCGCCACCTCTCTATACTAATTGGCATCTCAGGAACTTGTCCAGGCTGAAGTGTCCGATAATAAAAGATCGCTTTAAATATAATTCCCGTGTAGGGCAAATTTGCAGTGAAAGGTTATGCCAAGAACTCGTCGGGTATCATTCTTCGAGCAAGAAGATAGAAACTTAATATTGGTATATTTGTAAATTCCAATGCTGACATCGCCTTGGCATCGGTGTGGATCACATGGGATCTTTTGGGTCACTGCCACTCTATTGTTGACATGGGGCGCGGGATGTCGAGATGTGTTAAAATTGCAGTGAAACTAAAAAAGCATTTAAGAAACACCACAACCAACGATTTCAGTGTGCTCAATCTAAAATCCATATCAACAACACTGAACAAGATAACCATAGATTGATTATCCGCCAGCCACTCAATGTTAAGTAGAAAGCATTGATCAGGTCCAGTGAGAGTACGCAAATGGAAAAGAACAAGAGAATCTGGTGTAAATGAGTACGAGAATATCACCCAAATAACAGCCCAGCTTTCAATAGACATACAAACAAGTTCGCCTTTATATATTTATGAACTTGCCAACAGGGAAAATGTCAGCTGGCGAGGGCGCCGACTGAGACGTTTTACACAGGCCCAGGGATAAGTCTTTCGGATTCTACCTTACTATTATAAGTTACCTAAAACTTGGATCAGTCGATGGATATGAAGTATCTCTGGTGCTGCAACACGATAAAGTTTCCTGATGAACATGACTTCAAGTAGAGCTAGATCAGTCAGACGGAAAACAGTCAAAATAATTACAGCTACTACCTATGAAATAATCTCGCGACAAGTTAAAAAACGCAGTGAAACGTTTATGTTTGTGAATTTGGCAGTCAGGACTATAGGGACTTGGGGTAAGGTGGGCGATGTGGAAGCTTCAGCTCTCGGCCAAATGATCAAATCCTCGCTTATCACAACTGATTAGGAGCGCAAGTCGTCGGGATGTGTTAAAATTGCAGTGAAAAAGAAAAGTGAGGCTATCGTGAAATTACCAATCTATATATGATCATTAAAAATGTCTGCTTCAAGAACTAATACGTCGGAAACTCTTGTCTTTCCGAATTATTCACCAATCCTCATTGTTAAGCTGTATTCTTCTCATAAAAAGCAACAGAGTTGAAGAAGTGTTGAAATACGGACGATCTTTACCTTCGCAAGGCCCCTGATAAAACAGAGCCTGAACTGGTCCTAAACGGCGTTTGACGACTCAATAGTATTAAAAAGAAAAACTCTACAAGCGACACTTGGAAATGGCATCTCTCCATTTCGCAGAAGAAATACCAGCAATCTATTCATAACGGCAGGTTGACATTTGCAGCAAAGCACATCCAGCATGCAAATCGGCACATTTCGTGTGGTTAGTCTAACTGAGCCCTAGGAGGGTTAAAATTGCAGTGAAGGCTGCACGTCGTGGGCGTGATGCGAATTCCTTTCAACACCAATCATGCAAATCCCGGCCTCTAGTGACGTCCTGATTGATGTACCTAGTGCGGCCCACTGGAGGACAATCGGTCTGTTCTTACCAGGCACAAACACTTAGCAAAACGCTAAAACCTCCAACATTCCAGACAACTCAAATCTCGACACTTCTTCCAGGTCGATCTATCTCAGGGTCTGGTACAATCGGATCTGGAAAAGCACCATTCCCCACACGGCGATCAGGAACAAAGCCATTGTCGCCACTACTTCCACCGCAAATAGCCTAGAGACACCAGAAATGGCATCACCAACAGCCTCGTTCCCCTGTGGCTTCACTACTAACACAACAACTTGAAGCCACAGAATAATTATTATAAGAGTTTGCATCATGTCTGGAATGTATTCTACTCGTGGCGCGGCGTCCCGACTTCTGTCTGGACGTCTTGCCGAAAGGTTAACGGCGCATCGGCATGTCCAAACCGTGAAGTGATCCGAAAAGTCGGGGCGTACGAGCCAAGACGATTGAATTGAAGTTTGATAGAGATCTGGACTCCGGGATGGCCTTGGGCTTGAGGGCTCGATCGTTGGTGGTGGAGAGGGTATATAGAATGAGTCGCGCAGTCGCGCAGCATCCCTAGGGGAGCGATGTTGATCTCGTCATTCATTCATTCACTCATTCTTTGCGCTTCACCACTCTTTCAACATGAAGCTGCTACTCACTCTCATTCTATCGGCCCTGGTTGGCCTAACATGCGGTCTCGCATCTACAGATACCATCACCTGGGGAGGCGACAACTCCCGAACAGGCTACCAGACGTGCGCTCCCCATCCTTTACTCTCACTCACACTAACTAACATCTCAGTAACCATAACATGGATCCCGCAATCGTAGGAAGCCCTCAATTTGACATCGTCTTCAAAACAGCACTCCCAGGAAAATACGTCGGCGCCGCAGAACAGATCTTCTCCCAACCACTAGTCTACACTCCTTCAGGTGGAACAACGCAATACGTTTATCTTGCGACGACTCAGAATAATATTTACAAACTTGATGCAAAGACTGGTGTTATTCTTGCATCGAGAAATATCGGCATTCCGTTCCTTACTGCTGATCTGGACGGTTGCGTTGATGTCAACCCTACTGTTGGCGTCACAGCGACTGGTGTTATTGATCCCGATACCGATACGTGGTACATCACGTCAAAGACGTATGTTAACCAGAATGCGGGCCAGGTTCCGCAGGGAAGACCGGCAGGGAGGTATAAGATCCATGCTATCAACGTGAATGATCTTTCGGAGCGACAGAACTTTCCTGTTGATCTGGAGGGCACGATTGCAAGGAATAATCCTGAGAGGATGTTCACAGGCGGTATTCACCACCAACGACCTGGACTACTCCACACAGGACAATATGTCTACGCCGGCTTCGCATCGCATTGTGTACAGTATAACTTTACCGGCTGGATCATGGGCTGGGACAAGACCACCGGACAAATCGTCGAGCACTGGGCTTCTGAAGGCCTCGGAGTAAGCAGTAACATCTCCGGTGCTGGAATCTGGCAATCTGGCGGTGGTCTTGCCTCTGACGACGCAGGGTCTATGTTCTTCGCCACTGGAAACGGATACGCTTCTCAACTCTCCACCATTCCTGTTAATGGCTTCACGCCTCCGACTGCGATGGAACAAGCCGCTGTTCATATGTCAATCAACAGTGATGGTACTCTCTCAATTGTGGACTTCTTCATGCCGTTTGAGAAGCAGGAACTTGATGGTGCGGATAAGGACCTGGGAACGAGTCCTCTTGAGATTCTGCCGAGTCAATTCTCGTGCGGTGATATTAAGAGGATGGGTATTGTCACTGGCAAGTCTGGAAAGACTTATTGGCTTAATCTTGATGATCTTGGTGGTTATCGCAATGGTCCTAACTCGAAGGATAGAGTCATCCAGACGTTTCAGAATGAGAATTCTGTGTATGCGGGCGCTGGTGTTTATCCTCTCGAAGGAGGCTACATTTACATCAATGGTACGCACTCCAACGCCCCTTGTACTCATCTTACTAACATCTCCAGTGATCCAATACCCAACGCACGTCTTCAAATTCTCCTGTCTCAACAACACACCCTACTTCACAAAAGTCGCCGACTCACCCACCAACAACGCTTACATCCTCGGCGTAAGCCACGGCACAACAACATCCCTCAACAACCAAGAAGGCACAGGTCTCCTCTGGGTATCCGACGTCCAAAACACTAACTTCAAGATCTACGACGCCGTTCCTCAGAACGGCTACCTCAACGTCATTCGAAACTTCACCATTGTGGGGATTACCAAGTTTAGTAGACCTGTGTTCGGTGATGGTATGGCGTATATTGGCACGACGGTGGGATACTTTTATGGTCTTGGGTCGACGAATAAGTTTCCGCTTAATTGTACGAGTTCAATTGATTTCGGGACAGTGGACTTTCAGGGAAGTGGCGTGCAGCTTGTTAATTGTACGGCGGTGTTTGATCTGAGTGTTACGGGTGTTGCGCTTGCGGATGGGACGAACTATAACATCAGTCAGACGCCGAGTCTGCCGTTGTCTATGTCTGCGGGGGATAAATTCCAATTCGCAGCGCAGTTCGCCCCCAAGAGTGTTGGAAGGTTGGGTACTACCATCAATATTCAGACTTCGGGCGTGTCGGATGCGTCGTATAGCAAGTCTGTCAAGGTCAGGCTTACGGGCATCGGCAAGAGTTCGAATTCGTTGTTGGATGTTAGCCCCAAGTCTGTGGTGTTCACAGGTCTCGTCACCGGTACGCAAGCTGAAGCTCAGAGCGTTCTTATCGGCAACGATGGATCGAGCGATCTCCAGGTTTCTTCAGTTCTGTTTTCTAACACCTCTTCATCCGGTCCATTCACCACCTGGTCGGGCACAGGTAGTCTCACCGTCGGTAAGTTCACACTGACTGGTATCCCAAGTATAGTCCCTGGAGGAAACGACACTGCCATCTCTGTCAAGCCAGATACGTCTGTTACTGGGAACTACACGGCTTGGGTCAAGTTCGTCACCACCGGAGGCAATGCTACGGTGTCTTTGTCTGCTGCCGCTGGCGATCCTCCAACCGCTCTTCTCGAGTTCCAAACACCAGATGGAAGCGGCTGGGTCAAGTACGATCCCAGCAATCCCTTCACATTCGGAAACGTCACAGAAAATACATCTCGTTCTCTCAAATTCCGTGTCTCAAACACTGCTGCTCCCGGTGGTGTCAAGCTCGGTCTCACAGTCTCAAAACCACCCTTCGGCGTTCCAGGCATCATCAAATCAGCAAACCAGATTGATCTCGCTGAAGGAACACTCATCGCTCCAGGTCAAAGCCAAACAGCAACGTTAACCTGCACCGTCCCCAAAAGCCAATGGAACCTCCCATCTTACAACGGCACCGCCCAGTGGACTATCAACACCAACGATCCAACCTGGTCTTTCGAAAAGCGCGCAGTGCAATTCTTCTGCAACGCCGTCTCCGAACAAGCAGCTCCTCTTCTCCCCAACGGCCAAGGACGGTATCAATACGTCGGCTGCTTCAAGGAGAACAATCCCGGCCGTCAGCTCTCCTACCAACTCTACGCCAATAGCTCCAACACCAATGAGATGTGCATCAACACTTGTGGGTCTGAAGGTCTAACATTCTGCGGTACGCAATACCGAAGTGAATGCTGGGCAGGCAACAAGATCCCGACTCAAAAGGTCGACGATAAGAATTGTAACTTCGACTGTGCGGGAAGTCTGAACCAGATTTGCGGTGGGAATGGTGTTGATGGCAGTGGAGCTTATATCAGTCTCTTCGCTGATACACTTCAGTGGGATGGGACGTATGCGAGTGTTACTACGAGTAGTAGTGCCAGCGCTGCAACGCCCCAAGGACCGTCTGTCAACCCTGGTGTCGGTGGTTACACCAGCATTGGGTGTTATACTGAGGCTACCAATGCTCGAGCACTTCCTAATGGTAGGGGGAATAATCCCCCTACTGTTGCGAACTGTGTTCAGGCTTGTAGTAATGAGAACTTCGTTTATGCTGGTGTGGAATATGGTGGAGAGGTGAGTTCCTTGATCTTGAGGTTGGAATATGTACTGACGAGGTTAGTGTTACTGCGGAAATAGTTTCTCGGACGGATCAGTGCCTGCTCCGATCACTGATTGCGGCATGACTTGCAACGGTGAGTAGTCATACTTGGATATATTTGAGGAAATACTGACGTGACTAGGCAACTCGAGCGAATACTGTGGTGGTCCTAGCCGTCTTAACGTCTATGAACTCAACGCGGTCTACAGTAGTTCATTACCCACATCAATGGGGGCTTTGTCGTCAGCTAGTAGCGTGGGCTCCTCAGTAGCTGCCTCTTCAAGTGCTGCTCTCTCCGTGTCAGGCTCTGGTTCAGTTGCATCTACCAGCATTAGAGCTGCGTCTAGTTCCTCAAGCGCCTCCCTCTCGTCGTCTTTGGCCTCAGCGAGTGGAAGCTCTTCTTCTAGTGGAGTATCCAGCTCGACCTCGAACAGCGCTTCTAGTAGCACAAGCTCAGCCAGCAGTTCGACCTCAGCTCCCGTTTCAAGCAGTATATCGACAAGCTCCACGAGCTCTTTCAGCACTTCACTGAGCGTATTTGGCAATATCGCCGGCGGCCTCAACAGCGCTTCTTCTTCTACCTCCAGCTCTTTACCAGCTTCCTCTTCCGGAAGCTTGGCGTCAACAAGCAGCGCCACAAGTCTCTCAAGCTCTGGAGGCTCAAGCAGCTCGGCTCTCAGCTCTTCCACGAGCGGCGCAGCAACGAGTGCTTCTTCGACTGCCAGTACCAGTACCACCAGCTCTGCTTCTCGGTCTACAGCCTCGACTACAAACACTGCCCCAACCACATCGACCTCATCTGCCTCTACTTCGTCGACGACATCTTCTGGCACAAGCTCAAGTACTTCTTCGACAACATGGACAACCTTCGCTACACTCTCTTCAACTAGCTCGCGTGCCTCCACCACAACAACCAGTACGACTTCATCAATCTCGAGTTTAGTGTCTGCGAGCGTGGCGTCGTCAAGCACGTTGCCTTCAAGCGTTTTAAGCGCCCCAAGCGCCCCTTCTCTTAGTGTGCTATCATCAGTGACAACGTCTTCCATCGTCAGTCGCCCCTCATCGGCTACGACATCGTCGGGTGTCTCGATTGTCTCGTCACTGAGCTCTCTGGTTGCGGGAGGTCCAGCTGGTGTTTCATCCATATCCAGCGTCGCGTCTGCTGTCGCGACATCTCGTTCAACTTCCGTTGCATCTTCATCAACGACGTCTTCGACTACAAGCTCGTCCATCTTAACTACATGGTCCACCTCTAGCACGACATCACGGGCCAGTTCCACGACTACGACTAGCTCTAGCACTTCAACCACCAGCAGTTCCACAACCTCAAGGGCCTCCTCAACCACTACAAGTATTACGAGCACCACCTCAACAACAATCAAGCCAACAGCTACAGGCCCTTCAATCTCCGACACAGTGGGAACGTGGGCTTTCCAAGGCTGCTGGACAGAAGGCTTCCTCATCCGCGCCCTCAACTCCAAGGCCACCGCCAGCGATGACATGACCCTCGAAAACTGCGCCAACTTCTGCAGCGGCTTCACTTACTTCGGTACCGAGAACAGTAGAGAGTGTTACTGTGGCAATCAGCTCAATTTCGGAAGTATTCAGGCTCTCAATCAAAAGGACTGCTCTGCTACCTGCGCAGGAGACAAGACAGACTATTGTGGTGGCACGCTTCGCTTACAGCTTTACAAAGCTGGTGCTAAGACTACAACTACACCATCTGTGGACCAGGGGAACAAGAACTTCACGAGCTACTCATGTGTTTCGGAGCCTTTCCTCGGTCGTTTACTTCCTCAACTTGTCATGAGCGACGGCAACTCCATGACAATTGATACGTGTCTCGAGAAGTGTTGGATGTACAAATACGCAGGTGTCGAGAACGGTCGCGAATGTTGGTGCGGCAACAACATCAATTGGCAGGGTCTTCTACCTACTTTTGGTCAGGGTAAGAATGTCTCTATGACGGACTGCAACATTGGCTGTCCTGGAAACAATCTTGCGTACTGTGGTGGCTTGGCGAGGATGAATCTGTATGTTAACAAGTCTTCAGCTTTGGCGTTTTTGAAGAAGCATAGGAGACGGCATGCGAAAGGACTCTGAGGTGGACACGGGGTGAGTTTTTGGTGTTGGAGTTCACTTCATATAGACAATAGCCTGCATATATATACATTCGTTACGAACTTTCTTCTATTTTGAGATGCGATATGTATTCAATTGAAAGCCCGCTATGCCATGGGCTTAAGCCAAGTGGCTATATAGGCGTGAATTTCCTCAGCAGTGACGGGTGAAGTCTAAGGAAATGAAAACTCAAGTCCCTCATCTTCAACGGCTTCCCTAACGCCCTCTATCTTCTGAACTTTTATGACATGCCCATAATAATGACTGTACTCTTTCTCCAGATCAATCTCCACCTCATGCGCCCATCGAGCAAAGATGTAAACGTTGAAGTCCACGACAGTCAACGCACTTCCAACAATAAACTCATGATCTTTTACCCTATCGTCTATCCTCCTGAAGCATTCATGAATAACCTCCCTTCCCTTGGCACGAATCTTATCATGGGCAGTAACATCGTCACTGAACCGCCCAGGAGCCAGCCAACCTCCATATCCAAGGCCGTGCAGTGTGCCAGATAGGAAGACAAGCCACTCCAAAACCTTAGCTTGTTGAATGGGTCCAATGCCGAAGAGGTTTTCTTTGGGGAGAAGCGAGTTCATGTAACTCAGAATAGCGGGCATCTCAGTAATGACTTCGTTATCGACAGTCAGAGCAGGTACGTATCCTCTTGGGTGAACAGATCGATAATGAGCGTTACTGAAGCTTCCGTCAGCTGCCTCGAGCCCGTCGGGTCCGAACTTTAGTCGAACTGCGGTAAAAGGGATCTTGTAGTGACGAAGAATCGCGTGAGGAATAAGAGAGCAGGATCCATTTGCTCGATAGAGTGTTAAGGCGGGCATGTTGATATATTCTGTGGTAGATCCCATATTGACTTTGTGAGTAGATAGACTATACTTCAATTACGGTGCGTATAGTGTTGTATTGTAGGGTCTTATATATCATCGCGGCTAACGATACGCTACTTGGCAGTCTGTTTTCTCAACGTCATAGCAACGCCCTTCGGGTCAATACCAAGACGAGCTGACAAATGCCAATGTCTGTAGGATTATTTCCCATGTAAATTCACCTTCCTCTCCGGCTGGTACCTTTTCTTTCTTTCGCCGATTCTCAAATCTGGTGCATTGCATGTCTCACCTGTACACATTAATCAAGACCATACACAAGCTCACCCTTTCACCAGCAGCACAACCTAGAGCAAGCTCCAAAGTCAAGATAAATCTATTGAATTCTACTTCCAAAATGCAAGGGTATCAATAATCTCTAGCGTCCAGCGCTAAGAGAATTCAAAATCGGCGCAACTTCATCACTCATCTCCCATCTCCGTCTCCCCAACGGCAAAAGCGCGTTAAACCTCGCCATCCAGCCCTCTGAAACACATCTACACAGCGGAATGTTATTCATCCCCGCAGTACCCTCTGCCTGAATCCACGTCTCCAATCTTGCAGTGTTCTGTAAATCCAACGGATCATCACCGATATTGATATGGTTTATCGTTGGGACGCAGGAACATGCTGCTTCGGAGAACATGAGCCATGCCCATACTACCAATGCGCTCATCGAAATGGCGAGATAGGACGTTGGATCGATGCTTTGGGTTTGGGGCTCGTTTGCTTGGAGATCTGATTCACATTGACGAAGAACTGCCAGGGCGTGGAGGAGAGCTCTTCGGCTTTCGGATGTTTTGGCCCAGATGTTGAGCTGGGTGTGGAGTTTCTGCAATCTCGGACGAACACCAGCTTCATGGTCCGGAGATACGGTGGAGGCCATGGCTACTGAGTTGATCATCCGGGGATCAGCGTAAAGCTGAAGACCTTGTAGATGATACGTCATCAAACACTCTGAAATCAAGCACTTGATATTTGATATCGCCAAAGCTTTGGCCCTCACTGGGTCCTCATCATAATCACCGATGTAAGCAGTAAAAGGAAACTCTCCAACTTCAGCAGCGTGGAAACACTGGTGTTTTAGTCTTTCAATATCAGCTTTCCACGCCTCGAGCTGCCACGCGAGCGACGAAGTGCAATTCTGCGTTGATCGGCCCGCTTCTGTACTCCGACGAACAATTTGAGTTTGATTCCAAATTGCAGGTAGTAAGCCACACAGGGCGAGGTGAATATCTTCGAAGAGGAGAAGAGGTTTTGCTGGGGTGTTAGGGTTGGCGATGACTTCTGAGAGTTTGAAATTTGAGCGGTCTGTTGGTTCAAGGGTGATGCGTTTAAAAAAGATGTTTAGGCCGTAGGCGTTCCATAGGGAGTAAGTTGCTGGCATTGTGAGATCGATTTCTTCTCGGAATAATGTTGGGGCTTGAAAGCGGGCTATTGAGAGGTAGGTGTCGATTTTGAAGAGAGAAACAATGAGTCTACATATATCAGTATCGCATCAATGGAGGAGGAGACAAGAAACTTACCGCTTCCATCGATCTCGCATAGTCATGAGCCATGGGACAAAGGTTCCCGGATAGTGAACGCGTTGCTGCTCGGCTGCGTTGTCGCTGTTGAAAAACTCTGCTTCTCTAAGAGCTACAACGAAGGTGCCTCGTAATAAAGATGCTTTAGAGACTAATTTCTCGTTCTAAAATTGAGGTCAGCAGGTACACAGTGACGGTGTGAAGGTTACCTACACCATGATAAAAAGCAAAAATGATGTTCATGAGGATGGCTTGATATGTTTCAAAAGGCCATGGTTCATCATATTCGTGTCGAGATCTGGGGTTCGCCTAAAGCCTTGTTAATCTGGGAACATCTTTCAGGCTAAATGACTTACGATCCAATCAGAGAACGCGCTCATCAACGACTCGTGCAGTTGTAGAACTACATCCTCAAACTCATCGGGATTTCTTAGCCAGCAGCTTATCATAGCTATTGACACAGATACTAGTAGAGAAGTATCCATAGTGACATAAGAAGGTCCATGGAGAATAGGCCATGTATCATGAAACCTCCCAAAGTACTCTTTTGAATTTCCTTCGATCCAGTTTTTGTCAAGTGCAGGTAGTGGTGTATCCTCACCAATCGGAATCTCTCCAGTTCGAACATGATTAGCGATTCGTTTGAAACCCGCTTTGATTTCGTCATTCGGTGAGATTTGCGGTGTTCCTGGTGTGAGATTCTGTATGAGGGACGGTGAAGTAAAACCATTGGCTACCGCTCTAGGATCTGCAGTATCCTCGCTTGGACTCTTACTCCCGCTGCTACTCTTGGACGCATGTTTATAAGTGCAGTTAATTCCCCTCTTGACACATAGAGTACACCTTGTACCGCCGTCACACTTTGTCTTGTTCGCATGACACGCATCGCAAGCTCTTCCTCTTCTTGGATCAGGAGCCGTAGGCATGTCATGCCGTGTCAGGTGACGCCGCAACAAGTCACTATAAAAGCAAATTAACACTGTAACTGAGAGAATACGGGGGAAGAATACGAGACATGTACTAACTTGCGTGTGAAGGATCGTTGACAAATCGGGCAAACGAAATTGCGCTCTCCATGGGTCGCTTGATGGCGTCTCAGGTGTTCCTTTCTGATAAAGCTCTTCCCACAGTGGCATGTATGTCGACTGGGCGTTGGTTCAGCACTATCAGCGGAGGATCTGATACATCATTTCACTACTGTTAGTCATGGTACAACAGAGAAAATCCACTCGGTGATCCCACCTGTGGCTGGCCGTTACATACCTTCTATCACGATCACGATCACTGTGGGATATCTCCATGGTGGATTATGATTGCTTTGATTTGATATGAGGGTATCGAACCGAGTGGGATTGCAAGCAAAAACTCGGTGTATTATTTATCGAATAGTTTGACTGGAAAAAAACTGAAGCCGATGCACTGTTACGTATGCCTTGCATTGGGGGCCATCCCTTGAAGGCTGACTTGGTAATCGTGAGTGGGATTGCCGATGGTGAAGTGGGATATCTCAGCTCGGCCTCCGCGGATGGGATAGAAAATCGGGGTAAACCGATCAGATTTGACCAGTCAGAGTGTTACATGCACAATTAAGGTTTTAATGGGACCCGCGGATAGATCCATTATCCCACTCGGCTCATCTCATCCCACTTCAGTCTATCCCACCTCCAATTAAATTATCCCATCCAGCTGAAAGCCACAAGCACAGCCATCTGTGGCGGTCGAGAATGAAGAAGAAGAGCACTGTAAGTTGGGGGCCAAGATCAAAGTGCCGTAGACATATTCCGGGGGGATCCTTTGCTCATGTAATGGGGTGGGATGTAACTTTTTTGGGTTGACAGCCTTATGATCGCCAATCTTCCGAATCTTCTATGTTAACTAAGCGGAGCTTCGATGGCGTCTATAGTACGACTAATGGTATGATTAAGCATTGCAACTGTGTAAATGACGCCAAACATGTCGACAATTGTTGATTTCAGGAACATATATAGATAGATCCATTCTCCTTCAATTGCCATCCATTCCATCCATCAATCATCCACTCAAACAATAATCACCTTCACTACTTCAATAACTTCAATCAACCAATTACATATTACACTCACATAACAATGTCTGCCTACAAAAACATCGCTGTCGCTGGTGCCGCCGGTGATCTTGGCTCCGCAGTCTTCAAGGCTCTCATCGACTCCAACAAATTCAACCTCACAGTCCTAACCCGCGCCGGATCAACCTCCAAATTCCCCTCCGGCATCAAAGTAATCCAAGTCGACTACGAGTCCATCGATTCTCTCACCTCCGCTCTCCAAGGCCAAGATGCCGTCGTCTCAACCCTCGGCAGTCTCGCCATTCCCAGCCAATCACTCCTCATCGACGCCGCAGTAGCCGCTGGTGTCAAGCGCTTCCTCCCTTCTGAGTTTGGCTCAAACCTTGCCATCCCCAGCGTTCGCAAGCTTCCTGTCTTCAAGACAAAGGTTGATATCGAGGATAAGCTTACTGCTCTTGCGAATGAGGGCAAGATTAGCTATACTTTTGTTTACAACTCTGCTTTCCTCGACTGGGGCTTGAACCATGGCTTGTTCCTTGATTTCAAGAAGGCCGAGGCTACACTCTGGGATGGAGGTAACACTGAGTTCAGCACAACTACTCTTGCTAGTGTTGGTCAAGCTGTTGTTGGTGTTCTGACACATCCTGCGGAGACAAAGGATCGCGTTGTTTATATCCAGGATACCGTCGTCTCTCAGAAGAAGCTCCTCGATATTGCCAAGGAGCTCAACCCCAACAAGCAGTGGACTGTCAAGGAGGCTAAGATCGACGACGCGACTGCTGCTTCTGATGCCAATATCGCAAAGGGTATCTTTGACTGGCCTACTCTTGCTGCCTACCTTTACAGGGCTATCTTTGACCCCTCTAGTGTTCCCAAGTTCCCCAAGCTTGATAATGAGTTGCTTGGAGTCAAGGGTGTTACCGACGAGCAGGTCAAGGAACTTGTCAAGCCTTTTGTTCAGTAGAGATATATAAAATATTGATAGATAGTTACAATACCAATTATTTCATATTCACTTTTTGTTCGACTGAAGCCTCTCTCTTCACTATCATACTGATACTTACAAGTTCGATATTAAAATGATTTACATCTACTTCATAGAATTCTGATCTGAATTATTATATCCTCAACTGAATCCACTAATTAATGTTCTTCAAAACTCTAAGGGCTCTTTGATATTCCGGACATTAGTTTCGGCGGTATAGAACACAATAGTGTGCAAGAAATTATCCCAGATCGCATTTGGTGGATGAAAAGTGTATCACTGTCTGAGTACAGAGGGTGTTCTAGCAGGTGGCGTTCTCAAGTAATTGACTGCTCGTATAGTTTAATAAATATTAAATGTTCTGGTAAATAAATCTCTTGAATAATTCTTTATGTGCTTTTGAATCAGTCCTCTAGCACCGTGACAGTACCTTCGAATAAGAGCTGAGGAGTGAGTGTTATTGTTCTTTTAGATTATGTAGGTAGGCATACATAGAGTCAGGAGTTTTCATACTCGTGAAATCTAGCTTGAGTTACTTAAAATAGTATCGCATCTTCTTGTAATGTTCTCTGATTCTTATATCTACTTGGCCATATATATTTCATATCAACTCTGGTCAACCTTCCTCACTAGAGTTCCCATGCTGTATCAGTAGTTTGGGCTATCTTCATATGTCCTCCTATAAAGTTGCAATTTGGCATTGTTCCTTTATATAGCGACCATTCCTCTCGGTATTTAATTCATTATAGAGGTCTTGTCTCAAATTATGCCTTCCGTTATCGCGATAGTGATGTATCTCGACGACTTCTTCGGCCTCTCCAGAAGTCAAAATCCAAACGCCACAGATTATATAGCCAAAGAATAATTCAAACAGCAGTTTTATTTATATTAGCACTTTAACATTCATTGCTGTTATCGTCTGCCATCGCGGGGTATCCAAAATCAGAAGTTGCGAGATAGGCGAACCTTGGATTGCGTGATTCTGATAGGGGTTGCACCATCGACAAGCCAGTTACCTGGAACCTTTTTATAACCGAGCGTAACCCACGAGGCGATCTGTATGGAGTATTCCCCGCAGACTTTGAGTGCTAAACACGGATTCTTGCCGGTATCTCGGCAATGTTGAGTTTCGGTCATGGATGCATGGTTTGATGATCGCTAGAAGACAGTGCCTAAAGAACACGGGAAAGGAAGCAAACAGTTACCACTCTAAGAATTTGGACCGCTACACTGTGATTTTTTGAAATGGATAATAAGTATTATAACCTTCTGATGAATGTGTCTGGGGCTTGGCCATCTTGCATCGTCTCCCGTCTGTCATACACGGAACCGGGATACACCCGATCACGCCCAGAACAATCTAATCAGTAATCCTTCGTTACCTCGAATCACCATCTCGGGTCCTCTTTAATCATCAAATCTCCCATATCATTCACTGTCGTGCTAATTCCGCACGTAACATCCCTGGAGTTGAGTGATTGATAGTCCAAATAACACCATCGCCCCGTGTGGGGATCTCACCCCGACACCGGTCTCTCCCAAGATGTTTCTTTGAGAAAAATCTCGTCACGTCATTGGAAGAATTGCGGGCATGGGATAACATATCAAAGCGTGATTCGACGAAAAGTACATGACGCCATGCGCTATGCTCTTCGGGAGTCTGTTAGGTTACTTGCATCCGTTGAAAAGGATCGGATTGCCTTTTTTGTCGAATGGATGGTAGATTATTGAAAAGGTCGTTACCCCTCGTAAACTTTGGATTTATAATTTTCTTTGCGAAGAAGTACTGTTATCTTAATAAAGGCGTGTTGGCTTGTTGGACTTGGGCCGCCAAATCAGTCTGATATTACATTCAGATATACGGATAAATATCAGCACTATGAGCGCATACCTCTCCCTTTCGGCCGAACCGGCTTTCGGAGCGCGGATACCACTCTCATTTGTCACAGATTCATCGCAAGAACATCCCGTGTCTCAGACACCATCAGACTCTCAGCCTCGATATACACCACCTACGGATTTAACATCACAAGATCAAGCAAGCGACTCTGAGACTCAACACCCTATTCCAGCTTCTCAGACAGTTTTGTTATTACATGGTTTGCGGCAACCATACCAAATCACCGACGGTCACCCCGTCCCCAGCACAAAACACGACCATGAGCTACTAGTTCGCACTGATACTATTGGACTGAATCCCATCGACTGGAAGTCACCGTTAGTTCGATCCACGTGAATGATATAAGTACAGCTACTGACAGAATTCACAGTGACTACGGCTTTGCGATCCCCGAGTTACCATACATCTCCGGCCGCGAAGCATCAGGCACCGTCGTCCTCGCCCCCCAAACCCCTTCAAGAATCAGATCCGGCGACAAAGTAATCGTCATATCAACAGACTACCGGGATCTCCGCAAAGCAACATACCAACAATATGTCGTCGCCTCAGACTTCAACGTGGTGAGAATTCCAAAGGAAATCACAATCAAGCAAGGCGCTACACTTGGAGTCGCATATGTTGCTGCAGCTCTGTCGCTAGGCATTTGTCTCGGCGTTGATTTTACGTCTGTTCAGGATGGTCCCAATATCCTTAACCTCGTGAGGGAAGTGCCAGAGGAGGTGCTCCCTGAAGATATTAGGGGAGAGTGCTTGAATAGTATCTTGCCGAATGAGGGTGCTAAAGCTGGGGATTGGATCGCTATCTGGGGTGGGTCTTCAACCTCAGCTGTTCTCGCCGTTCAACTGGCTCGTCTGGTTGGATTGAAGGTTGCTTTGGTTGTTGACAACGCAAAGCATGGAGTTCGAATTTCCGAGAATCCTGTTCTTCGACCGGATCTGCTGGTTGACAGCCATGATCCCGAGCGAGCGGTTGCTGTTCTTCGCGCCAACACGAAAGGAAAACTTCGCTTTGGTATCGACACAAGAGGTAAAGATACAGCCGAGGTTTTACTCCGCGCTCTTGGCCCTGAAGAACTACATCGAAGCGCGGCGAATGTCACTTCACCACCTAGCACTCCGCCCGCTGAGCCTATAGTCCCCGCTCATCTGGTCGGTATGAGTGGACTTCCCAAAACGGGCCAGTCAGCGGGCGTCATCTTCCATACTATTCCGTTCAAGCTGTATCACGAAGTACCGGAGGTTGGTGAAGTGCTATCGAGATGGTTGGAGAGATTATTGTCAAGCCGTGCGCTTGTGCCACCGAGAATTATCGACGTTGAGGATGGTCTGCATAACGTGAACAGGGGGCTGGATAGAATGAGGAAGGGGGAGATTAGTGGAGGGAAACTGGTGGTTGATTTGAAGACGAGCCAATAGACATATTTCAGCGGTAGACCAAAATTCAAGAAGAGAAGAGTTATCAGTATTTACAGCCAAGACTGTCGTTGCTTGCCTAAAACTTGGCGTAATGCTGACTCCGCTATTGGCTGCGTATTCCGTATAAGACTGGACTACTCCACGGCAGGACATGGATTTGGCTCCCAAGCATCAAAGGGTACAGCTAGATATCCTCTAGAATTATTTGATTGAGCTAGAATATTCTCTTCGACTACATCAAACCTTTTATCCTCCTTCTGCTTTCCATTTTCACAGCTCTCTAACCAGGATCAAGCTAAATCTATATCCTTTTTCATAACCTCTCATATCAGTCTCATAATGTCTTCAAACAAATCATCACAAGCTCTTCGAACAGAAGTTTCCAAACTAGCCAGACTATCCAATATTCAAGGTGGTCTGCCGCCTCTTATGAGAGGCCTACCAGTTCTAGCGATCATGGCTGGAGAGGCTATCGCAAAGACGACCAACACCACAAACATGATTGAGGAGCGAATGCTTGGAGCGGACGAAGTATTCATACTGCAAAGTCCACAAGGATCAACGAGAAGTACAGCTATGAATGATAGTGGTCGGCCAGGCGTAAACTTGATGTGCCAAACATGCGGGCAGAAGACGGGCAAGATCCAGAAGGAAGCAATGTTTGATATTTCAAGGGCCCATAACTCTTTGAAAGGGTATCATCAAATATCTAGGAATGTTGGTTCTGCTCTGATGCCTGAACGAGATATGGAAACCATGCGGAGATGAAATCTTCAGCTATTCTATTGTACAAAATCTAGTTATTCCACTCTATCACCTCAATCCCAACTCCCAATCTTATTTCTTTCTAAACCAACACCTCCGGTCTCTAGGCAGACCCTTATTCGACCAATTTCCGCAACGCTGGTTCAAAGTGCTTATACATAGTATAGTGAGTCTCATCCTCAAACTCATGCAATTCACATCCTCGTATCCGCTCCGCCATATACCGAACCATCTGGATAGGTGCATTCGCGTCCTTCTTCCCATGCCATATTTGAATATTGTCATACTGGACCTTCTCAAGATCAAACCCCCAGTTCTTAGACGTGAGGAGGTTCATCTCGTGTACGGCACCGTCAGCTCCTTGGCGGAACGGCTCGTCGAGAACCATCTCTACCAACTCTTCTAAGCTCAGAGACTTTGGTTTTGGAGCCTCACTCTCTGCTTCTTCCTTTTTGTGTTGAGCTTCGAGCCATTTGCTGAGTCTTCTGGAAACAGGACCGGATAGAACAATCCATCTCAGTGATAGGTACAGCATGTATAGTGCTGCACGGAGAGTCGATGGGGAATATTCCGCCCAGACTTTAAAGACTCGACGGTAATATTCAACGTGCTTTGTACCAGCCGCCCAATGCGGTGCAGTGGCAAAGAGCCCAACACTTGTAATTGCACGCTTTGGCAAGGCATAAGCGCAAGCTAGAGCAAAAGGACCGCCACCCGAGAGACCCAAGACAGAGAACTTGGAGATTTGATGTGTTTGAGCAAACTCCATCACATCAGTTGGCCACTCCAAGATTTGATAGCCAGGTTTAAATGTCGACAGTCCAAAGCCGGGTCTGTCTATAGCTATGAGACGAACACCACAGCGTTGAGCAATTTCATGAATCGGCTGAGCTTCGAGTCTCGAAGAAGGATATCCATGGAAGTAAAAAACGGGCTTTCCATCTTGTTTTCCGAATTCGGCGAAGCCTAGTGTTCGACCATCTGATAGGTGAAAGGTCTGGTGGGTTTGGGAGGATGTAGTGAGTAGGCGCCGGGTTGACGACGTTGAACGGTTTCGAACCGCTTGAACTGACATTTTAAGCTTTGGATCAATAAAATAATGAGGGATTGAGTCGGGAAGTCTTGTGGTTATGAGATCTCAGGTTCATGTTATATAGCGGGTCAAGGCTTACACGCGGGATACGCGATACGAGAATACGGAATACGAGGCCAATCAAAAGTCACAATCATTCGACTGGGGCAGCACCAAGAACTCATCAGGCTTCAGCATTACAAGCATGAATAGCCTCTAATTACGAATTGCCATTAAACTACAAGACTAAACTCGATATATGCCAATTAAACAGCCTTAAAGTAAGGCGACCAAAACACGCCATCAGCATCCCAAGTCTTCTTCACATCCCTCAAAACCTCCAACCTCTCCGTATCATACATTTCACTCAAGTCCTTCCCAGGCCTCAAATTATTCGGAAAACTTCTCGGCACCATCCCCTCATCACTCTTTCTAAAACCCGCAACTACATCATCCAGAATTGGCCCAAACGCTTCTCTTGTCTTGTCCTCTTTGGCCACCATCACCATAAACGCATTGATGTTTCTATCCCTGCCCTCTACGAACTTCTCATTCTTGATCGCTGAAGTCTTGTCGATGTTGTATGCTGAGATTATGAGACTTGATTGTTGAGCATCAGGATAGTCCTCCGTTGCGATGCGCCATTTCTCGAAGCCAGCTTTTATGGCTTCGGCTGTGGTTTTGTGAAGCCGACAGGATGCTATGGTTTTGTGGCCGTGGTGAGAGTTGTAGATGTTCATCTTGGCATTGACATTCTCAAATGGCAATAGCTCTGTGTTTGCCACGACGGTTTTGCTGACGACGTCGTCCTGGAAAAGCAAGGTCGTTGCTTTCTCAGCCTGCTCAGCAGGACCAAAATACTGGTACCCCAGAATGATGATTGGAGATCCAGCTGCTGGAGTACCAGGAGGACTTCGTGCAAACGCCAAGCTCATGTATCCTTCGGCTGGAGGGTGGCTCAGATCCAGAAAGGCATTGATAGCGATATCTAGTGCTGGAGCAGGAAAGATGAGCGACCTTGTCCATATTTTGTTGTCCTCCATGTTGAGACTCGAAAGTGGGAATGCGGAAACAGTCAGCTCCGTGACGACACCGAGTCCATGACCCGCGCCGCAGAGGACGTTGAAGAGAGATTGTTCCTTGTCCTTTGACGAAGAATCGACTTCTACAATGTCGCCTGAAGCAGTGATAAGTCGGAACGAAACCATGTTGTCGACCATCCATCCATGAAGGCCAATCTGAGCACTGTTCCCACCTCCAAGCATACTTCCCACAAAGCCAACGGCATCAGAGTTGGGAATGGGAGTGTAGTAGCCCTCGTCTGCCAAGGTCTTCAGTACCTCTCCGACGATGACGCCACCACCAACCTTCACAGTTCCTTCATCCTTGTTCAGTGCAATCTTCTTGAAGAGCTTCATGTCGAGGTACAGGGATGCTGGGTCCACGCTGACAAACGTTCCATGGCCTCCGCCAGCAGCAACGATGATAAGCTTGTTCTCATTCGCGACACGAATGGCATCTTTTACATCTTCTTCGGTCTTTGGGGTAACTATAAGAGCAGGGCGTTGAATGTGTGTGTCGGACCAACGAGGAAGTTGTGGTGTATCGTTGTCAGGGACGACATATTCGCATTGAAGCGATTCAATGCCCTTGATTTGAGCAGACATATTTACAAAGACAATTGGAGACAATAAGATGGATTATTATTTACTGATTTATTGGACGGAGTCCCGTTCTTATAGTCTGTCCTTCAAGTTGACGGATCTAGTGCTTACCGTTCCATAGATATCTGACATGGCTCACTTCCGAGATACCCGACTTCTAAGCCGTAGTAATATCACGATATCACATCAGCGATGTTATCCCAAGCGCTAAGTAACTCCCATCTCCATTCCTCCAGGTCAGATCAAGTCGCGCCAGCACGACTAAACATCCATCCTAACCCACGAATCCGCCAGGCCCCTACACTTAACACACCACACATTCCTCACTTTGAGCATATCCACAAATCCCCCCTGATCATCCTTAACGGTGTATGGCACATCCATCACAAGCTCACAGTCCACACAAATAACCTGATACACGTTCTTCCCATGTGCATTACAGGGAACACACCACCCCGGGCCGAGGTGGTGAGTAGTTTCGTTACATTTTTCGTTTTCGCAGTAGGAGAGAAAAGTATCTCTTCCCCTTTCGCGCTTGTCGGCGGCTTGTTCTGTGTATATGTCTTTGAGGCAGCGGAGACACATTGTCTTCGAGCCGGTGAATGAGGCGTGGCAGCGGGGACAGGTGCGGGATGGGGGGTTGAAGGCTGGTGCGAGATAGCCACGGAGGAAGGATTGGCGGATGAAGGATGCGTTCTCGTCAGTCATTGTTGTGGCGGTGGGTGATTGAGGAGTATTACCTTGTTGACACATTTTGGCTTTGTAAGTGCTGTAAGCTTGAAACTGTTGTAAATATTGGAGCGATGATGTTAAAGTGGTTCGAACTGTTGTTCGCAAGACATTAGAGATGAGGTGATCTTAAATAAAGTGACGGTATCGAGTGTCGACTTGCGTGTTCATCGGTATGGAAATGAACAAGACCTTGTTGTTCGTTCGAGACGCAACATGCTTTGTTCCGAAACAAAGCACCTATGTTCCAATACCAGCGAACAAGTCAGTGAGAGTATGGTAATCACATGGTCACCACTGGAGCAAGTGTTCACAGAGACCAGTCATAACCATCATGTTCAATTTCGAAAGGCATCCCATGTATTCGTCATAGTACCAAATATCTCCGTCGTAAACCATCTCTCGTATTCTCGTCACCACATTACCCTACCCTCCCCAATCATCGCATCCATATGTTCAAAGCGCCGGTCCTTCCCACTGCTCACGACGCAGTCTAACAAGCCAAGATTGTTTATGCGGGAACGAAATCTGCTTCTCACGCGAAAACCCAGTAAACTCTAGGCCCTGCAGAAACCTACTTATTGTCAGCGCTGAACAGCCATGTTCGAAGCAACAAACTCACCTCGCATTGTCCACTCTCGGCTCAAGGCATATACTCATTGTTCGGTAGTCCGATGTCAAGCACCAATGCACCAATCCCGTCAACCAGATTGGAACCCGACCTCTTGCCCACTCTTCTCCGATGAACACGTGAAGACCTCTATCCCAATCCGCCGCATCGCTACCGAGATGCTGACCGAGAATATCTTCTTTGACCCAGTAGATCTCAAAGTATCCAAATGGTACGCCGTCCCATTGTCCAATCACAGGGAAGGAGTTGGCTTGGTTCAATGATTTGGTGAGGAATTGTTCATCATACTCGCCCCAGAAGGCGCTCACTCGAGGCTTCTTCATCCACATCTCCAACAAAGCTATGTCATTCATCGTACTAAGATGAGATTGCTCAGGAGGCTTGGGTCCAACGGGTCCAAGGTAAGGTACAGGATTGGGTGAAATGGAAGCAACTCGGAACGAAAGGTACTGATTAACGCTCGGGACAAATCTTGTGTAGAAGACTTCGCCCATCCTAGGTGGCTTTGGTCTCATCGGGTGACGGATATTATTCGTAAAGATATATTGAAGAGGAGCAGGCGGATAGTAAGTCGGAAGATGAGAGCTCGAAAAGAAAGGTCCAATAGGGAAGCTCGGCGGGTTTGCCATCGATGTGGGAGTTGGTCCACCGGGGAGATCATGATCTATTCGATTCAGAGACGAATGCGGTGAATGGCGCTGGAAGGTCTTGTGGTATGGCGATGGTGGTTCCATAGGTAAAGGTGAGTTCGGGCGACTGCCAATAGGCGATCCAGGAACAGAATCGTAATTCGCACCAGCTTTGTTAGGCTGTAAAGAGAAGAGAAAAAGCCGACCGGGGAGTTGCCAAAACATCCGTCTCGAGACAAACATATTAGACCAATCGTCCCCATTATCATCCAAACTCGTTCCAACAGCACTGCTCTCCGACGTTATAAGTCCCATGCGCTCAAGCTTAGGGATCAAATTCCGACCTCGGAGCACTCCATCGCGCTTGATGTTGATCCTCCATTCACCACGAGGTTTAGCAGCTTGAGGCGTCTTCTCCGCTGCCTGAGCAGGAACTTGCGGCGCAGGTTCGGGCTGGTGGAAGTACCAGTATAGTGTAATCCACAGCATCATGGCAATCTGCCGTGTGGGACTCGCAGCGGGTTTGAACTCGGAGCTCGAAGGGTTCGCGATGGACGAGATGAAGAGGTTATCGCCCTGCAGCGTCGGTTTAGCGAAAGAGTGAATTTGCCTCTTCGCCTTCCCATCCAGCGCAACACCATTCTCTCTATTTTCAACATCCTGCTTCTCAGTATCATCATCAGATCCATCATCGCTCTCCGTGTTCAGCACAACGGTCCACCCCACAGGAAACGCATTATGATGCGTATTCAACTCATGGCTCTTGAAGCCGAGACCTGCAAAGACGGGTGTGACAGTGAAGGTCTGCCCATCGGGCAAGCGAATGACCTGGGGAGCCATAATCGCGCGCTTCTTCCTTTTTCGGGGCTTATCCGTAATCGGGGGGGGGGCTGTAGGTTGCGCTTGCGGGGGATCGGCTGGAGAGGGGAAGTTGACTTATGTTTAACTTGTTTTTAGGTCGGTGCTAAAGCTCCTGGAGAAGAGTTCCAGAAGACTGCCTCTTTCGGGTCACATGCTGACCTTTGAAGAGGCGATCGTGACAAACGCCGAGGCGATGGTTGGATGCTTTGATGGAGGTGGTGGAGAGATGTTATATAGGCGTGGTTGGAGGTGAGGGACAGTAGATATGGGCACTGTACAGCACCTATATGCTACGTCAAACACAGTATCAATACGGAAATGCACTATTTGTTGTACGTCATGATAAGTCCATCTATCATATCATACCCCGCCATGAACTGGAATGCTTGACTCTATCTCGGCGGCTCTAACCCCAGTACGAAATTGTTATCTCGAGGTTTTCGTTTATCAGGCTATCAGAATTTCCATGTTACAGATCATTTATGCAAGTCACAAATCTAACATTAAATCAATTGTTTGTTGCCTATCGCTATGCGTGCTCCATAACCCGTCCGAAATCGCAGCAAGTTCAATTTACAGCAGTCTCAATCTCCCTCTGAAGGTGTCACCACACCCACCATCAATAATTGTCGCATGTTCTAAGCCCCCAATGCTAAGCCATTCGCCATGATCTGATGTTTAATGTACAAACTTTGCATCTACTCACTTCTAGATCTCGCCGTTCACTGCTTCTTCTTCTTGACCTCTTCGGCAGATCCGGTACCCTCTTCGTCATCTTTGCCCTCAGTCATCTTGGTACCATCTCGGCCCTTCTTCTCCTCTTCGAGAACCTTTTGCACTTGCTCACCTCCCAAGTCCTTCTTCTCATCCCAGTCAACATCGTACTCACTAGCCACGACCTTGATCTCTTTTCGAAGTTGATTGGCTTCGTGAACCAACTGCTCCCATCTGTTCTGATCAAATCCTCGCTCTTGGTAAAGTGCAGCCTGTCGCTTTGACACTGTCACCTTCATGGCGGCTTTGTAGCTTAGATCCCGGCTGATGTACAGGAACCAGAGGTAAGCGCCCATGACAGTTGTCAGACCGGCGAGATACGTAACGGGCTCGACCAGATCCCAGCCCCATTGAGTGTGGAAAGTGACATAGTAGACAACTCCCCACCATCCAGCCAATGCCGCAAAGCCGCCTTGTGCCAATCGATGCGCTCCTTTGTGCGCGAGTGCGTCGCATTCGTTCTTGACCTTTGACATTGCTTCAATGTCGCGTGACATGCGTCTTAAGTTCATGCGCATGTAATAAGTTCGGTCTCTGAAACTAGGCACTGCGACCCTAAGTTCCTTGTCGAAGCCCTCAACGTCAATCGCAAACTCCCGACCGCGAGCAGCATCTCGAATAAAGTCTCCGATCTCGGTGCTGCCACTCCATCGCACCCAGTTCGCCTCTTTACGGGAGGGACCTTCATGGCCAAGACCAGAGTATGACGCAACATTGACGCTGCTGTTCTTTTTGTCGTCCTTCTTCCCATGCTGTTCTTCCTGATCTGCTTCGGCTCGGAAAACTATGTCGGGTAGCTTCTCGCGGCCCTTGTACTGGACTGGGGGGATTTCAGCTTGGATCAATCGCTCGAGGTAAGAAAGGGGTTGATGCGGGTGCACGAGGAGAGCTAATGGCTCAACTGTTTCGCCTTTGTCTTCGACATCTTGTTGTACTGGTCTATTGACGTGTTCTTGTTCAGGGTGAAAGGGCATTGGAAGGATAAGCTTCAATAGGCGTGTGGGGGTTGTCAATAGACGCCCTGCTCGTGTCAGTATAGATCTTGTGAATTGATTGTATGCGAGCTTACCCTTCTTCATTTCCGTCTTGTCAGGTATGTCGGAATCCTTCTCAGCTTGCGAGTCCACTCTATGCCATGGTCGGTCATTCTCCAATGTCTGAGCGCTGGCACCAGATGTGACCTTCTTCATATCCCTCTTGCGCGCCATTTCACTCAACTCTTCTTTTCGTGCAACTTCCTCCTGCGACTCAGCTGCTGCAGCCTCTTGGTTGAAACATCTTGTCGTTGTGAAAGCGCGTCTAAAGGGTGTTTGATTCGTTTCGCATCTGTACAACGCAGGTAATTGATGAGAAGCAAATTGTGTATGCAATCGTGATGTTCGTAAAGCAGGAGACACTCCAAGCGCAGCGCGCCTCAAAGCGTGATTCATTCTGTCTGCACCTTAACAGAGTCGGAGATTGTGTGTAGGTATGTTGAGGGAGCAGCAGATGAAGGTGCAAGTAAGCTTTCTGGCCAAGACGGGAGGCACATGCACAGGGGACACAGAAGATAAGACGAGATACGACATGGAAATAAGGTCGTGTCATTCATTTACAGCCAAGATTTGCCTTGCTTGTTTTGGAATTCTTTGCCCGGTGCGGTCACCACTATCTCATCGATCAGCTCGGGTTGTGACGTCAGGACCTAAGCCAAGCTTTGTCTGTCCCTGGAAGCTTCATGCACTCGGCTTCTGATTGGTTGAGAACCCACTGCTCACCGTTAATGCAGTATCACTGCCACAATTCTCAGCTCAGCCAAGAACAGAAATGTTAGAGACATGGCGCTTTATGAGTCTTATGATGGTTCGTTCCGGAGGTTAACTTCCTGGTTTGAAGCCTCTTATGTACCGCCACGTGCTCCTCTTCAAGGTACACAGAGCTTGATTGTTAAGAAGAACGTAAGAGGCTATGCAATGTTGGAAAGGTGAAGACAAGAAATACCGAGGAAAATTCTATCATTGGGCAAGCTTATATTAGCAGGTTTTAGTAACATCCCTGCTTTACTTTTTACATCTTGGTGCACTGAAGTGAATGGGCTGTTAAGAAGTTAAGTGCATTTAGTTGCTTTAACATGCGCCATACATACTTGCGGTTACAGTGCTGAGCTACGCCAAACGGCTTTTTGAAATCAAGAATAAGAGATACAGGGGATATTTTTCTTACCCTCGAACTTCAATTCTTGTGGTATATCATACCCGACATATCATTGTTGCATCGTGGTTGTGTTATTCTGCGAGTTCAAGATTGAGTCGCCTACCCTGTAGCCTCGAACTAATCCCAGTTTCTCGTGGTCGAGCGGAACAGCAACATGGGCTTGTTGAATCAGTATACCCTTTTTCATGACAAAAGAGATCAGAGACTCTTTCAACCAGTCCTAAGCACCTATGCTATCACAGTTCAGTCTAGTAGGCACGATGCGAAGCTTCATAAAGCTTTCTTTCTATACATTCAGCCAACTATTGTGTCTTCACTCATGATCAAGTTCAAATGCAATCGCCAAGGCTCTTACCTCATGTTGAGCCGCTACTCATCTGCAATCTCGCCTAACAAATTACCTTGCTCTATTGCATCCAGACAACGTAACAAAGTCAATTGATGTCTTAATGAATTGTTCCTGTGATAATTGTTCCAAAAGCCCATCATGAATAGAGATACCCACCTCCACTGCAAAACGAACCCTTTACTGGCGTTCCTGAACCCAACCTCAAAGCACATTGGCTGATCCCCAAGAGCTCCCCTTGGTGTTGAGGGGCTTCAGGGGTCCAGAGGGGTTGGACCCCGCACTAGACTTCTTGAGGTTACAATCCGACCAATTCTCTGGGCAACCCGTCCACGGCTCATTTCCCCATAGGTACAACAAGTCGGTGAAGTCAATTTTCCTTTTCGTCAAGCCCGAATCTTGCGTCTCTCGTATCAATTGAGCGTCTGATTTGTTTCACTCCAATCTTTGTTTCAACATCTCCAAACCTTCCTCCACACCAGTATACCCCGCTTCATAATGTCCGATACCAAGGTCTACCGCGCCAGCACCACTGCGCCAGTCAACATCGCCGTTGTCAAGTAAACACTCTCATCGCAACTTGAAGACCTTCACTAACATGGTGCAGATACTGGGGGAAGCGCGATGCTAAGCTCAACCTCCCTACCAACAGCTCCCTCTCCGTAACCCTCTCGCAAGCCGATCTCCGAACCCTCACAACAGCCTCGTGCTCGAGCACCTTCACCGATGGCGACAGCCTCACTCTCAACGGAGAGTCCTCCGACATCTCTGGCGCCCGTACACAGGCTTGCTTCCGCGAGCTTCGATCCCGCCGCGCCGCTCTCGAGGCCGCCGACTCCTCGCTCCCCAAGCTGTCTACATACCCCCTGAAGCTCGTCTCCGAGAATAACTTCCCCACTGCTGCTGGCCTTGCTTCTTCGGCTGCTGGTTTCGCTGCGCTTGTCCAGGCTATCGCTCTTCTGTACGAGCTTCCCGACTCGCCTTCTGATCTTTCGCTCGTCGCTAGACAAGGTTCTGGATCTGCTTGCCGCAGTCTCTTCGGTGGATATGTTGCGTGGAGAATGGGCGAGAAGGAGGATGGAAGCGACTCCAAGGCCGACCTTGTCGCTCCCGCTTCACACTGGCCTGACATGCGAGCTCTGATCCTCGTTGTCAGCGCCGCCAAGAAGGGTGTTTCTTCTACCTCCGGCATGCAGCAGACCGTTGCTACCTCTGGTCTCTTCAAGGAGAGAATAGCAAACGTTGTCCCCGCCAATATGGCCGCCATGGAGGAGGCCATCAAGAACAAGGACTTCCCCAAGTTCGCCGAGGTCACCATGCGCGACTCCAACTCTTTCCACGCTACTTGCGCCGATACCTATCCTCCCATCTTCTACATGAACGACGTTTCCCGCGCTGCTATTCGTGCTGTTGAGTACATCAACGAGAAGGCTGGCAGGACCATTGCCGCCTACACCTTCGACGCTGGTCCCAACTGTGTTGTCTACTACGAGGAGAAGGATGCTGATACTGTTGTCGGTACTTTCTACCAAGCGCTCCAAGGTGTTGGTGGTTTCAAGGAGGGTGCTGCTAGCGCCAAGTCTAGCGTTGAGCTTGAGAGTGCTCTTGCTTCTACTCTGAAGGAGGGTGTGAGCAGAGTTATTTCCACTGGTGTTGGTGAGGGTCCTATCAAGACTGATGAATACCTCGTTGGAGAGGATGGTCAGGCTGTTCGACGATAGACGGGGATATAAAAGATCTAGTGAAGTAAATAGCATGTTGGAATGATATACAGAGAATTTTGAAGCTGAAACAAAATGCATTATTACTTGTTTACGTTCTGGAAGTGATCCCGTCCATCATTATTCCAATGCTGCCGGTCATGACCATGACTTGAACCGTCGTTGATCCTCCACATCGCCGTGTGGGGCCGTTCAAACTCACCTCCACGCCTTGAATCGGCTCCGGGGAACATGATAAGTCTCCACCAAAAGATAGATCAATACAAAAGAGACATCTTTGGGTTTTCTAAATCCTAGTCACGTCGCAGTTCTAAGGGCACATTGTACCTGCCGGTCACACTGACACGTCTTCGCCCTGCGGGGCACTGCCCGTGTCACTGCAACATGTGCCGTAACACCACTGTGAGCAGCCTATAGCTCACAGCCTTCCAACTCTCATCCTTACAAACCTCATCAACGCCATCGCGATGGATGGTCTAACGCAACTCCTAGGTCGCGGCGAACCTGTTGAGATCGTGGAGCTGGATAAATCGGGAAATGTTTCGCGAACCTGGAATCATACCGTCGACAACCATGTCCGTTACTTTATCTTCGCTTGTGAAGTATCATGGCTAACATAGGTGCAGGTCGTTGCCAAGTCGAAGCCTAGTATCCCACTCATTCCCTCTCTTCGCGAGGCCTTCATGCCAGTCGGATACCCTCACTCTGTGTCATCCGACTACCTGAACTACCAATTCTTCGACTCCCTTCAAGCTTTCTTCTCAACCATCACTTCCCTCCTTGCAAACCGAGCTCTCCTCCAAGGTCTCGGCGTCGGAGATGCCAACTCGTCCGCCACCTTCGCGATGCTGCTCACAGTCCTCAAGGACGCCATGTCTCGCATCGCCACTATTGTATTTGCCCACCAATTCGGTCTTCGTATTGAACCCGACGCCAAGCGCTTCCGCTTCCTGGCCGATCTTTTCAACGACACTGCCTTCTTTCTGGAGCTGTACAGCCCGTACTTTGGTCCTTATGGAAAGATCCTCGCACTGACTTCTGGAGAGACGTTGAGGGCGTTGTGTGGCGTGGCTGCTGGCGCGAGCAAAGCTGCTCTTAGTGTACACTTTGCAAAGCACGACAACCTCTCTGAACTCAATGCCAAAGAGGCCAGCCAGGAGACTGCTGTAGGTCTTATCGGTCTTCTTGTTGGAACTATCGTGGTCAAACATGTCGAAGACCACCATAGCGTTCTATTCTTGATGACCGTTCTCGTCTTTGCCCATCTGTGGATGAATTACCTTGGAGTTCGGGCTGTGTGCATGGACAACCTGAACCAACAGCGTGCAACCATCCTGTTCGAAGAGTATCTCAAGACCGGAAACGTGCTCTCTCCCGAAGAAGTCGCCCATCGTGAGAATATTCTCCTCTGGCGACCCGTCGTCCGAAACCAGCATGGCCAGAAAATCGCACGCATCGAAATGGCCAAAAGCTACTGGGACGCCATGGGCGCCAAAGCCCCCAACAGCAACGTCGTCATTATCGACGGTGCCCGGAACTCACTCTTTGTCTGGTATCACTCGAAGCGCAGCTACACACCCATCAAGATCATGCTCTGGCAGGACGCCAGTGCCATCCACGCCATCAGTGCCTGGTTCATGGCCATGGAGATGGCCTGGCTTCTGGAGAAGAGCCAGGGCTACACCGACAAGCTGGATAAGATCTTCCGCGTAAAGGAAACCGTTGATGGCTACGAACAGAAGTACGACAAGCGCGAGCTCTGGGATGAGATGCTCGCCAAGGGATGGAATATTGAGTCGCAGGCTTTTGAGACAGGTGCGCCTGTTCGTCTGCTCGCTCAGCTGGAGGGGAAGAAGGATCAGTAGTTAGACTGGAGGTTATTGGCGTCGAGGCGAGAGGGAATAATACCCTGGAACATGAAAATGGATTCAATGGAGATTTATGCTAGTCATTCAACCCTCTATGCTTTTTACCCATATTGTACATTTTCCAGAACGCCTTCTAGTGAATAGCTCATACATCATACAGATATCGTACAGCAGTTTCATCGCTATGCTAGGAATGCCCATCTCTTGGCTCGCATCTTAACGCCCTCCCATGTATTCAGCTTCGGCCGCACATCAAGATAGAAACTCGGTCCGCCCTTTCCATCTGGTCGTCCGGCGTAAAAGTCAATAACGTAGTCAACCCTCGTACCGCATCGGTCGATAACCCAATCGTGTCGATCGAACGGCGCCGTGTAGCCGAGAATAGTATTAAAGCGAGCGGTGGGAGTCATGCGATCCATCTTGTTGGCGAAAGATTCGAGCTTAGGTCCATCACATCTAACACAATTAGTTCTCGCTCGTGAATGCAGACGACGTAGTCTTACTTGGTGCCCTTGAGATACGGCGCTTCCCACTCCTTGATCTCCTTCCAAGCTCTTTCATTAACAGCATTGTGAATCGGCACAACAGTCTTCATGTCCGCTACCCTCGCATCGTAACCCTTTCGCTTCATAGCATCGAAAAACATCTTCTCTGAAGGATAGACCCAGTTGCCGGAGGGATCTACACCAGTCTCCATTTCGTGATTCGCAGGCTTTGCAGGCTCCTTTCCATGATCTACCGGACACGCCGCAGGTCCGCCAGATGTTCGTGGAATCGTGGATACAACGCGATCAGTATCAAGACCGTCGTTCGAAGGTATTTGCGTAGGCGGCGGTGCAGGTTTGCTCGAGGACCATGGGAGATATGACGAGAATGTTTGAGACCATGATTTCGACTGCGCTTGCGCTGTGTGGTCGACTGGACATCCAGCTGCTTTTGCTTTTGCGGCTTCGGCTTCACGGGCCTGAGCGAGCCATGCTTCGCGGGATTTGTGATCGACGGGACAAGCGTCTTTGTCTGCCATTGTGAGGATCGTACTCGAAGTTATCGTCGAGTAAGTCGAGAGAGAAATTTATGTTCGGGGAGATTCAACTGCAAGGATTCAGAAAATGGCGTAATTGATCATGGATGGATCGTAAATGCGCCGGAACGGATTGGCTTGGAGGTTTGCGAAGAAAAATAATATGGGTCAGGTCCGGGTTTTTCCCGCAGGGTCCGGGCCGGAGGTTAACCTACATCGCCGACTTCACTCCATCATCAATGCTTGTATTAAATTACACAAGTTTAGGAGAAATTTCTTGAAGTTATGATGAGTTTACGAAGTTTAGGCCTCACTTATTAAATCTTTCAAAGCAGCCCTAAGATTTATGGTTATTTTTATAAACCTCACCTAAACTTTGGCAATTGTAAACACGAATACTTTATTGTTCCACTACCTTCTTGCCGGGAAGACTTTCAACCGAGATCGAAGCGCCCTCGAACTCCTCGAGCATCTTTCCACGTCATGACCCGGATAACAAGCGGGGGCAATTCTGTGTCCTATCGCATCTGAATAGAAGCCTCCCTCACCTCGTGGATCGCCCGTTCCAAGCCCCTACACATTGTTTTGGTGATTGCTTTGGGCAGTTCGTAGTAAATCCTCTGGCGAGCATTGAAATTCTTGGGAGGGACCTTATCCACGGTCTGTGTGTAAGCCCAATGGTAATCCGTCATACACTCGGTGAACTGTGGCGGGCCGACCATCCGCTCAATGGTATCTTGGGGATTGACGAGGATGTACAGGACGCGAAGTCGGGGGAATCGGTGTAGAAGTGCGGTCGGACCTCCAAGGGTGGTGGAGGCAATGTAAGGCCACTGCAAAGTGTGGTTTGGAGGGTCGTATTCATAAAGAGCGCCGATAGACTCGACTCTGGGGAATGTTGTCCACGCCGCGGAAGCGGAAGGTCTGCAGACGATGATAAGGTCATTAGAGGCATCAATTGACTCGCTAGCTGCTCCTGCCCATGTTCTGGGAGGGACCTGGAAGTGCATATGAGTATAGTGATGGATCGTATTACTCTGCATATAATGAAGAGACAGGGAGTTGCGGGGCCTCCACATATGTGCAATTCTCCTCATGATTGCTTGTGAGATCCTACAGGTCCCCATCAATGCTGTATATATTCCCGGCGGCTTTAGGGGCTCACTGAGGCCTTCGTTCGAAGTGACTTTAAGCCGCAGTTGCGTAACTCCGAGGGTGGTGCCCCAGAAGTCAGTGAAGTGGGCGGTTGGTTCTTCCAAGTGACTGTACGCGGCGACTTCCTAAATCTCCCACTGTAGTTCTACAGGAAGCCTGTTGAATTTCGTGAAAGACATGATGAATGCTGACAGATCTTTTGTATGATGATGATGGTGATGATGTTGCTGTTGTGTACATACCTGACAAGGCAAGGTTACTTGAAAAGACGAAGACAGTGACAGTTAAAATGCTGATGTGGAAAGTGGTCATCAATGGCAAGTGCCACGTACTGTCACTAGGTACCGTACCTTACCTAAATTACATATTTACATTTATATAAGGTAAGAAGATACAAAATTTAGCATCATACTTGAGGTATAAATAAAGTCAGGGATTTAATTATTTGAATTTAGTATAATATTTTAAGTTGTAATACTAAGGTTAAACTACCTATAAGTAGCGGCATATCACTCATCATTGCCAGCACTCGTTCGGCCTCCTGACCTTTAACAGACTGTTGGGGAAACTCCAAAGCATCCAATGTGATAGAACGCAGCTTCTGACTTACTTCATTTCCTTGGGCTACCAAACATCTTACGCCCCTTGAGTAGCACATGCAGGAGAAGTCAGCCTTGTATTTAGATCATTGCTGATAGATAAGTAGGTACCTAGTCAAACATTACGATCTCGTGATATTATGAAGAATTTTATTCTAGCTGGAAAGACCTGGTGATAGCTACGTGTACATATGCAAATGAGTCCATACGCCGTGGTTCCTGCCAGTATGCAACGACCCATGGCTAGTTCCAACTCGTTCTGCGTCGCATACCTCGTGTTTAAGCCGCCTTACCCGCCTCGCGGTAACTCTTATACTTCCTCATATGCCAGTCAATGCTCTTCCACTGCTCGCCCTTCTCGTCTTCAAACTCAACATCCATTCTCAGCCCCACAAAGTACGCGCACGAAAACCTATTCTCAGTTGTCTCCCCCGGGTACGGAGCGACGCGGTGCACTACAGACCGGAATTTCCTCCCCGAGAGGAAGCGGAGCGAGTTGCCTACGTTGACGACCGCGCAGCCATTGCACGGTTCTACGGAGCGCCACTCCTGCGTGTCCTGGACGAATGTCTGCAGGCCGCGGGCGTCACAGAAGAAAAGCGAGAGTGCCGACGTCGGTATGGGGGCCGAGGCCTGCGTTGGAGTCTTCGGCTGAGAAGGAGGGGTATCGCCGAACGACAATGCATGGGGTTGGCAAGTCTGCGAGGCGGTGCTTTCGCGCAAGTGATGTGCTGATGTTGAGCCATGCATCGTGACTGATTTGGCTCAGGGCATCCAGGAGGCCTAGAACAGTCTCGTGAAGCTGGTCCATGACGCTGGCTAGGAGTGTGGTTTCAGCTTGCAAGATAGGTAGCAGGGGGAGAGGTTGTTTGTCTTTGCAAGTCAGAACGAACGCAGCAATGCTGTAGAGTCAAGGAGGTACCCACTCGCTGAGCTTCTAGGATCTGGTCGTATCAACATCATGTTTCATCATCTCCTCTCCGTCCAGCTGTCAGACGCTGTTCACGGCCTTGTTTACCGAGGGTACCTCCTGGGTGACCGTAATGGGCTTTAGGTTCGCACTCTGGAGGTCCAGGTCCAAGAACCTGTTCTTTTCACATGCTCTTTGGATAGTGGGCAACTCATTGGCGAACCTTTGCTTGATCTTAGCATACGAGATGGTTATCAAGTCAGCGGATTCGGACAAGTGGGCTTCAGTTGTTTTGGTTGCGGTGAAAATACTGGGCTAAATCGAAGAGGTACATGAGTTCGCCAAACAAAGGTTGCGAAGACCGGTACCTATGGGCAAAACCACCTTCGTTACCGTTGAGGTTCTGTTACATTACCACACCGAAAGTGGCATGTTATAAATGGCTCTGAACAGATCACTGTCTTCGAAATGGGGAATGCATAAGTTGCCTTTGGCTTAATAATTAGACGTGACCTCGGGGCGTATCTTCAGAGTGAATGCATGCAGCGTCATTCATGCAAGGATAAGATCATCGGCGTCGTAATCAGTGTAAGTCGACTTTCTGCGGGGTCATTGACATTGTTCCTCTTACATCTCATGCATGTCAAAGAGCGGTTCTGACATTGTTGCTTCAGTTTGTCATAAAGTCGCATCGGGATAGGTAAGCACATACTGAAACCTGCTGGAGTTGTCTTCTCGAATGATCTAGTTCTAATCCTTTCGCTATTAGTATTACGGCACAGATCACAATGAGCACCTCAGGCTTTCCTGTAGAAGGATCACCACAATCCTACTGGCAGCATGAAGCCCAGCAGCCAGAAATACCTTCACATACCGGACCTCTCCCCAGCTCATGTGATGTGGCGATTGTCGGCGGTGGGTATGCAGGCATTGCTACGGCATACCACATCTTGAAGACGACCTCTCCACCATGCAATGTGTTTCTCTTGGAGGCAAAGGATCCATGTTCCGGAGCTACAGGACGGAACGGAGGACACCTGCGCCCTGACTATCTGATGGGAGCTGCGAGAAACTGCAAGAAATACAATGCCTCTGCAGCAGCCGAGATCGTGCAGTTTGAAGCTCGCCATCTAGACGTGATCAAGTCTCTTATCAGGTCGGAGGCTATTGACTGCGATTTTGCGGAGACGAGGAGTCTCGCTGTTCTCACTACACTGGAGCAAGTTTCCATGGTGCGCGAGGCATATGAGGGCTTGAAGCAAGCATCGTCTTTCAGTGATACCCTGCTGGATGTGATAGAGTTCTACGAGGGTGATGATGCGCCCCAACGTACAGGATTGCGAGACGCAAAGGGCTATTTCTCCACGCCCGCGGCTCGGGTATCGCCCTACAAACTTCTCACGTCTCTGTTGGCGCGCTGTGTTGACATGGGACTCTCGCTGAGGACCCAAACTGCGGTTGTATCAGTTGAGCACGCTGGATCAGACGGTCATACCCTTATGATGCGCTCAGGAGAGACAATGACAGCTCAAAAAGTCGTCATCGCCACGAACGCCTACACCTCTGCAATTCTTCCCGAGTACGCGAGTTCCATCGTGCCATGCAAGGGACTCGCATGCCACATCATTGGCCCCAAGGGTAAGCCACTGCCAAAGCTTCTGGCCGCAAGTTGTGCCATAATGGAACAAGACTCAGTCTCCAACAAGACGGGCTATAACTATATGGTACAACTAGAGGACAACAGCATCGTTCTCGGCGGCGCTCACCACAAGTATGACGGGAATGACCTAGGGAGCTGGTACAACAACGTCAACGACACGCAGCTCATTGAGCCGGCGCGGCGGTACTTTGAGGCTGACTACATGCAGAGGACGTTTGTCGGGTGGGAGGACTCAGGCGCGTGTGTTGACCGTGTTTGGACGGGGATCATGGGGTATAGTACTGATTCACTTCCTCATGTGGGAGAGGTTCCTGGTAGAGATGGGGTATTTATAATTGCTGGGTTTCATGGGCATGGAATGCCTGTTATCTTCTTGGCCGCAGAGGGTATTGCAGCCATGACCCAGGGGCTGGCGTACGAGAAGACAGGACTGCCGTCCTTGTTCAAGACCTCTAGAGACAGGCTGGAGTCAGAGAGAAATGATATCCTCGCTGGTAGAGGCATCCGGTCGACTAGGGATTAGAACTTGGCGATTTATATAAGGACTCAATATGATTGATGTAAGGGTGAGATAGCTCTTCTGTAAGCCCCTGTCTTTCTGATCCCTCTGATCACCAATCAATCAGTCTCAAGTCTCCTCCATATCTATAGCCGGCCTCCTTTCTTTCGAAGGCCTGTTCAAGGTCCGCAATGATATCCCTTACATCCTCTATCACAGGCGATAATCCCACGAGATCCTAGGATGCTCTGAGTGCGCAATGGCGGCGAGGGCCTCGAAGTCTTGGACGGAGAACATGGGGTTCGCAAGAGACTCGGTGAAGATGAACTTGGCTCTGTCGTCAATAAGAAATTTGGCTGCTCAAGATCGTTTGGATCACATTATCGTGACTCGATTCATCATGGCCACTACAAGCGAGGCCCATAGTAACAATTCGCCATTGCGCCCGCTGCTCTGGCCTTGCATGACCAACTGCAGCAGCGCGGACAAAAGTTCCTGGCACAGGCAGTCATCCCGTTGGTCGTTGATATCCTTTTCTTCATGGACATAATTGGTCATGATTTGAACTGGATTTATGTTCAGTACCATAACTATTCACTACTAATTCATATGAGTGGACATAGGCTTCCATATACCGTTTAAGCTTACTCTTGACAACCAGGCTGGCTTCGAGACCTTACGCTTCAGTACTGGGAAGCCAAGCCGGGACATGGTATAGAGCTACGGAGAATATATCGACTAGGTATAGTACCAATAAGATCAGCTAGATTCGTTACAGTTAGCGTAGGATTGCAGATGTAAAGTTACGCCCGTTAATTCCCATGGATCATCTCTTATCAATGGGGCTTTTATAAGCCGTCGAGGCTTCACGGTCTCTCATGCTGATCGCTAGGAGGAATCTGTATATACGTACGGCACAGCAACCAAACGGGATTATGATACCTCTATGATCTAATGAGCCACTCCAGTTGCCTGATTCAGTAGATGATATGCCAAGAACCCTGCTCTCTTATGTTGTTGCCTGGAGTATTTGGGGTCTAAATGCACAAACCTCCTCCGTCGGCTCGTTCATACTCGTGTTTTGTCCGTTTCTGATCGTCAATATTTGTGCTGTGAAACCGTATTATACGCCATCGCGGTCGTTTACTAGTATGGACCGCCACTCTTGAGGCTGGGCGGTTTCTAGTCTGGAGGTCTGAGAAGACAATTTTCTACGTGTATCAAAGACAGGCTCTATGTCGCTAGCAGGGTGACTGTGTCTTGGCTCTTTATTGAAACGGAAGAGCTTGAAGGCTGCGTCCTCTTCGCATCGCCTAAGCAGCAGGAAACGCACCGTCTCCGCGAACGGAACAGAACTGCCAAGAGGGCATCGAGTATGTTAGACCTTACTGCAACTACCTTCTCTTCTCGGTGCTCACAAGCCTTAGGAGCCCGCCAACGGCAACGTGAGCAGCACAACGACACTACTGCGGACGTCGCAACTGCAGAGGCAACTGCGCAGGACGTGGACGTGGCGCCGCCATTGCAGCCGCCACAACATCCTGGTTCTGGTTCTGGTTCTGACTCCGTCTGTGTACGGGCCGAAGCGTCGGAAGACCTTGACGTCTGGGCACTAGACGGCCCCCTAGACGACCCTACCGCCCTGCCCTGGCCCTCCTCTCTCGATGAGGACTGGCCTGGTTTAGTGGTTCACGTGGACACGCTCCAGTCTCAGTTCCGGGGATATGCAACCCAGAGCCGCGAGCACCGCCTGCGTCTTCGAGTTCACTCACCTCCAACTCCAACGACTTCAACAGTAAATCATTGAGGTTACTCCACATCGCCGCTCGCAATGGAACGACCGGTATTCTCCTCTCGCTGATCAAGGCCGGCGCAGATGTGAACTCGCGCGACTGCTCCGGCACAACTCCCCTCCATATCGCTGTACGCTTTCGACGTGCAAGTGCTCTCGAGCTGCTGGTAAGTCACGGAGCGAATATGAATGCCCGGGACTCAGCCAACATGACGGCTCTTGAAGGAGCAGTGAGGGCCCAAGACGAGCACGTCAACATTCCCCTCTCTGGTGGAGCTGAGCTTCACTAATCAAGCGCTTGACTAGAACAGTCACTATTTGAGACAGATAATTCTTTCTGGTATCCGGGCTGGCAGTATAACTGGATGAGGGTGTAGGGCAATAAACGAGTAATGACTTTTTGAACTTGATGGTGTGCGACTTGTACTCCTAGACGTCTAATTTCCCTTCGCTGTTGGGGACCATCTTGTCTTTGCTGGTCATGTCGTTTACGCTTGCGATGGAGTTTGATCGGTCACGCTGGAGCCGTCTGATATAGACAAAATGTTCGCAGGGACGATCAAGGTTGTTCGTCCTGTCTAGTTTGTGTGATGTTGGAAAAGCAGTGATCGTACCGTCATGTACTTGCATCTCGCTCATTGTTCACTCCTGATGTATATCAGTAAAGTGCCTTGGTCTCCTGGGTTGAAAATGTACCTTGATACAAGCGTCTACCCACCCAAAACACGCGTCGCTAACTCGTCAAAGATTTCTTGCTTTATTTGCTTCATGAAGTATTCGTCTTTTCCATTCTCGACCCAAGACAATCTACGCTCCAGTGACTCAATGTCGTCTCGAATTTCTATTATTGCAACCTCCTCTGTATCCTTCTCGCTTCTTTGCGCGGTTTGTAGTGATGCGACCTCTGCCTCAAGATCCTCCTGCCTGTTCTTCAAACGCTCTACCTCTTCACGAAGCCGAGCGTTCTCAGCTCTCAGCTCAATAATCACCTGTGACTGGTCTGTAGGCTGGGTAGTCTCAGCTTGCGACTCGTCAGGCTTTAGCTTCTGGTCTCGGAGCTTAGCATTCTCAGCTGTTAGCTCTCCAACCTTACTGTGAAACAACGACTCTAGCTTCTGTAGTTTGTCCCAGACTTGGCTGATGCTATCGGGCCCTTGGAGACTGTCCTGTCGAGGTCGTTTACGTTGATACGAGGGAGCGCTTGGCGGTTGTGAGCTCGTCGCCTTCTCGTATGATGGTGGCTTGGGTGGAGCGAGTTTCGTAGCTTTTGCTCCGCTGCCACTGAACATGCGCGAAATATCATATTCAGGGCCAGAAAAAGGCTCCAGCTGACCTTTTGTTACTCTGTCGCTGATGGAACTGAGTTGGTCGAGGGACAATAGAGAATCTTGGATATATATTCGCAGAGTAGTGACACGGGATAGCTCGTAGAGAGAGTCCAGAATCTTGCCAGAGCGTGGCCGGGAGGCTGATATTGGCTCTTTGACGTAGCTGGGGACGAGTACAGCGACAGTGTTGCCGAGTTCAAACTCGAGACATGCGGCAGAGTCAAATCGCTGCTTTTTTATAGAGTCCGAAGGGTCAATGTTTGTAGAAAAGCGGAAACAAGTGATGAATAAAGGGCTGATTCGTAAGAGAACCGCCGCACTACTTGGCTTGTCTTTGAATTTGACAGGAATGATTATCTCGAAGTGAGCGCGATGCTGGTCATGGGTCGAATCGATATGTATTGTAAATCGTATCGGAACATTGTCCGGATCTGGAGTGGCTAAGCAACGCGTCGCGCCCTCCCACTCCCACTCAACGATAGCGGCTGTTTGGTCAATGTCGATACATAATGGAGTCGCCATACTTCGTGCAGTAAATCACATACCGCTGACTGCGAAGATACTAAACGGTCAGTACAACAAATATTGGAACTTACCTACGAATCCCCAAACTCGACAAGGCACGCCAAAGAGAAGCCGGCTTCGCTGCCAGGCTACCTGTGACCTCCAGATGAACTGCTAGGTCGCCTCAGTCTCCAGATGAACTGCGAGATCTGAGCAGGTCCCTTCTACAAGCCCCGGTTATTCCACGAAGCGATGCAGAACGCGCTCGCTGGGTGGGTATAATCCGGAATTTTACAACGGCTGTAGCGCGATTCACGGGCTTCTCTCGGTAAGCATTGTTGATAAAGGGTTCGGTCGGGTCGAGGCGAGGCGAAATAAATCAGAAAGGCTTCGAGGCGAGGTGTGGAAGAATAGAATAGGATGCGTTAAATGAAGGAGAAGGTTCGGGAGCAGAGTTAATTATGGCGACGGTTGAGAGAGGTTTGAATGAATGACGGTGGTAGTTTACGTGAATTGTGGTACGTGAACAGGAGGCTGGAGTGGAGAAGTTTGGCCGGCAAAACGGTTAGTCCGACAGCGTCAAGGCAGCGATAGTGGAGCAGCCCCGCTTTTGAGTCAGCCTGATCATGTGACGTGAATACGTATAAGTTTCGAGATATAGTAACATGCGACGGGGAGCTCTTGTGAAAACTCCAGTCAAGCTGTACCCAGTGGATAGTTGCTCTATTATGAGCGGGGGATATATAAATGTATATATAATGCTATGAAGAACTTTAAAAGCCCGTCAGCTGCACCACTGCATCGAATGTTGCATCTCCTGGCCCCTCCAGTTCACGACACCGTCACTCACAACACCAACCCAGGACCCAGTTTGCGCATTCCAGAAGACCTGGGCAGAAGCCCTTCCCCAAGGTCGAACAATGCTCAGAACAGAGGCATATTCGCTGGTACCGCCAGTTGGCTGGCGAGTACTCAGAATCCAACCTAGATCCACTTGCTCTGGAACAATAGAGACACCTCCGTTCGAATCGGTTTGCACAAAGACATTCAAGATAAGGTCAGTTGCTTGAGCCAGGGTGACGATCCAGTTGACCCTGGCTCTGTGCTGCCTGAATTGTCGCTTCTCAAGGCCAAAATGCTCTGGTTGAGGATGCCCAACACGTGCTGAGAGACCAGACTCAAGCCTGATTGTAGTTAGCAAAAGCTCAGTGCGAGGCATTTTCATACGGACCCTTCAGAAAAAAGGCTTCGTCCTAACGCAGGAACTGATGCAACGGCAAGCCACAAAATAGACAGATCAGGCTTCATATTGCCTGGGGACAAGGGTAACTTTGATATTGATTATTGACTTAGGAACTTTGCGTACTCAGGAAAGCTGTAGAAATCTTTAGTAGGAGGACAAGGCAACTTTTATATACTTGTGCAGACTCGTAGCTCAAGATTCAGCTGGATCTTACAGCTTTTAGCCCTGCCTCCGCCAATTCCTCATTTCATGTATTCTCTTAATGGTGCGGATGGTCCGGAGAACTTGTCTATCATCTGGTAGTTGCTCATTGGCCACCGAAGTCTCACGCTTCACCGGTCTCATGAGCGATTTCTAGGTATTCAAAAAGTCTGTTCATGGCTTCTCTATTTGAAGAAGGGGTAACGATTTATATCGGAGGACTCGGAATTCTATGTTACCGAGTCTGTCTGCCAATGCGTATCTTGAGAAGCCTTTAACTGTTCTAGCATGATTGGCTAACTGATACTTCGTTAGCCCAGGTCACGCCGAGAAGTTGTATTTCACTTTCCCTAACGAGGAGCTATACGCGGATTGTCATTGTAGCTATACGTCTGGTCGAGCAGATCACTTCTCACTGGTCATCGCATAGCAAGTAGTAAAGTTTAGGCCGCATATACGATCAAATATATATTGTAGGCTTTACAGGGGTATTAATATAATGCGAAAATCGCCGCTTATAAAACTTTTGAGGACTTGATACCTCAGTCTGTTGTTACAGAACGTTGCTAGTGGTTTATTTATGTCCGAATAAGTATATATATTCATCTAAACTTCATCTTTCTTTATGATAGTTTCATCCACTCTTCCATCCCACAATTAAGTACTAAGTCAACTTTGCTCATCTAGACATCATGATGCTATCTACAAAGGCCTTGGTCTTGGCCATCAACTGTCTTTTGTAAGTAATGCTCTACAACACGCTGAAGGCTTTCCTATTACATCTACAAATCAGGCCACTTGCTGCTGCGGCTAGTTATGACTACTGCGCCTGCCAGACAAAGACTGACGGGGCCCTCGACGATACTAAAACATCGCTCGTTGCTAGGTCGTGCGGTGACTCTTAGAGTTTTGTTTACGGTCAGTTCAACAAGTTTCAACGTCATACTGTAGCATTTAACTGTTTGCGGCAGGTCCGGCGATTAATGACGCGAATTCTAAGCAGCCCTGGCTCAGACGTGATGAAGGTGCTGGGCCAAGATTTCAAGGATTATTTGTGCGTATCTAACTTTAGATGTTGACAATCTTCTAATACTGCGGTAGCTACAAAGCATTTTTGGCAAGATCGAAGGAAACCTGTTCTATGATCTATGCAGGGATGTTGGGGCTGCAGATAGTTCGTGTTTCAATTGTGCAAGGCTCCAGCAGAATGGCCCAAGTCAGGGAGGAACATTTCAGTGCACTGAGTAAGGGAATGGAATATAAGAGGGCTCACACTCATATGTCTCTTATCTCTAGCACCGAGAAAGTGTACGATAACTATTAGGGGACTGATTGTCTTGTGTCTTACACAATGGAAGGTCTTTTGTGGTTTTATATGGTGCTAGTAATACAATATATTACAAATAGCGCCATGGGAGTAGAATATGCGGCCTGCAAACAGGAGCCTTCAAGTACTTCACCCTGCAATTGACTCCCCTCAATGACAACTCCCCCCCAACGTCGTTCCATGACCACCGATATATTTGGTAGCTGAGTTGATGACGATATCGACACCAAATCTGGCTGGCTGGCAGAAGAAGCCAGCAGCTGAAAAGCTAGCATCCACGATTAGAGGAATCTTTGCACGTCGGGTAATAGCTGAAAGACCTTCCAAATCTGCTACTGCGAACTTGGGGTTGCTGATAGTCTCAGTGAAGACGAATTTGGTCCTCTCATCAATCGCCGTTTCAACCTTTTCTAGGTCATTTGTATCCGTGATGCGACACTCTAGACCTATGGCATGGGGGATGACTTCGAATTGATGATACGTTCCACCATGAACATAACCGTTCACAACGGCATCATCGACGACAGTCGCCAAGGATTGCGCGACTGTTAAAATGGCAGCGGCACCGCTGGCGAAGCTTAGACCGTCTTTCTCGAGCTCCAGAGCCGCCATGCGCTCTTCGAAGCCGACATTACTAGGCTTCACATCCGTCAGTCCCAAAGGTATTGGAGTAGGCGGGAGTACTCTTATCCGTTATAGACAAGGCCCCCGAGTCCATAGCCATTCTGGGGTCTGGTGCAATGCCAGAGACAGCAGTCTGGGTGACCGGTTGGGCCAAGAAACAAGCCAGAACTGTGCAAATCCACAGTCTGGAGCTTCTTCCCGATCGCCTGGAGAAGAGTGTCAAGGTCCTCAACAGACTTTGCGAGGATACGCAACACTGCACATTTGAGGCTGGCGATATCAAAGACGCTCCTCAGGACCTCCGCGAGCATGACGTCGTTGACTTCAACGCCGCAGTTGGATCGACAACTTTGGAGGAGGAGAATATTTTGCTTAGCGTGGTGTATCGTATGAGGGCGGGCGCTCTTGTGCTGACGCGAAGCACTCCTTCTATCAAGACTATGGCATATCCTGTAAGTGGCGCTGCTTTGAACCACAGTGAATAAGCAACAGCTGGCCGTTCATACAGCCAGCTAAGATCCAAACTCGACGTCTGATCAAGAGGTTGCGACCGGTCCTTACGTGCCAGCTGAATGGCGAGCCTGGGAAGAACGCGAACGCGAGTTTTATCATTTCTAGGGTAGTTTGGTATGACTTGCTCTCGCACACTACCTATCTTAGGTATCCTATGTATAGAACTTTCCTTTTCTTGATCCTCAGTGGAATCTAGATGGATGGCAGCCTTGGTGCACTCGGTCATGTCGGTCTCGTATTAGTCCATCCATTACAGAATGTGAGCATCAGCCAATACTAGCGTTGGTCAATGTATCGCCAATCGGGGACTGGTAGGACCTAAAAGAAGTTATGAAGTACCACCTGCGTTATTCAAGTAAACTGTTATACAAGATGACACGTGACCTCCGTGCCGCTTCCCATAACACCGCGGCTTGATGACCTGTCATACGTATCCGGGGTGTAATCAACTTCACCCTTGACACACCCATTAAAACCCGTCACTGTTGGCTGTGATGTCACTTCAGTTTGCATCCATGCTTGTCTTATCTCCCGTCTCAGTCACCGCCCTAGGCGTTGGTCGCCATGCACTCTCATCAAGTGACCCGTCTTTCTTCTTTTCTCCTTTCCTACATCCTCATGACTTTCATTAAGTAAAAATGCACCAACATCGCGAAAATGGGCACGAAACTCATGCCAATGAAAGGACAGCCCTCTTCTCACCACAGTCCGAGGCACCAAGCAGTGTGCCCAGATCAATTGCGAACGTGAATGCGCACCGCACTCGCTGCTCATGGCCATGGATATACGTCGTGCTCCTCTGCATAGTCCTCGCCGTTGTTTCAGACGTTGGCGAATCTCTCTACGCCGCGCCAAGAGTGCGGCTCTTTGAGTCCGTCGCCTGTACCCGCTACTATCTGCGGCACGATCCGTCGTTAGTGGATCGTGCCGGGTCTGTCCCTGAGCGCCTCTGTAAGATCGACCCGGTGCAGGACAAGGTTGCCTCGGTCGTGGGCTGGCAGTACTTTTTCGATGCCATTCCCGCGATCCTGCTTCCAATCCCTTATGGTTATGTGGCCGACTTGCGTGGGCGTAAATGGATTCTGGTATTAGCATTGGTTGGGTATACCTTGTCCTGGGCGTCGACACTGTTTTTTGTCAGAATCACCAACGTTCTGTTTACCATCTAATGATATTGACCATCTTTTCACAGGTCGGGGTACTGCATTTACCTTTGAACGCAGTCTGGCTATCATCACTCTTCTTCATCATCGGCGGTGGCCCAACGACGGGCACAACCTTGCTCACTACGGTTGTTGCTGATGTTGTGCCGGCAGAGGTCAGGAGTACCGTCTTCTTTTATCGCTTCTGTACCGACCTTGTCGCAGATCTTATTGTCCCTCCAATCACCTCGATCTTGATGCACAAGAACACATGGATCCCTCTCCTACTGGCAGTGGCCTTTCAAGGGCTTAGTGTCATTGTAGCACTTGGCTTGCCGGAAACACTGCCAGTGGTTGACCCTAAGAGGTTCGGTGAGGACGCCGATGGCATCTCTTCAGAATCCACAAGCAGTGAGCAAGCAGAGATACCGTCCAAGAGTGACGGCAGGTGGGGAAGCTGGCTTACTCGGAACAAAGGCTCGTTCGACTTCGTCATAAAAGACAGAGCCCTGTCCGCCCTTGTCTTCACTTTTCTCATCTCCAAGGTCGGGCGCCAAGCTGCCAATATGCTCTTCCAATATGTGTCGAAGCGATATGGATGGACTTTAGCACAGGTGAGTTTATACTCTCTAGATCCATTGGTACGAATGCCTATCTAACACATTTCGACACCTAGGCAGGATTTCTCATATCACTACGGGCCGGAGTAAACATTGCGCTATTTACAGTCATACTGCCTTTCATTGCAACATACGCACTCGTAAGTTGGAGTGCAAAGTCTCGCGACTTATCGATCGGCAAAGCAAGCATCATCCTCTTGATTCTGGGGAGTTTTATCATATTCTCGTCACAGACAGCTGTAGGCATGATGATTGGTAAGCAAAAGGTTGACGAGACATGTCACATTCAGAAAGTTAAGCATCTTTTCAGGGCTCGTCATATCCACCTTGGGCTCCGGCTTCGCGCCAACCATGCGCAGTCTGGCAACCAGCCTTGTCGAGTCTCGACACCCTAACGCGACAAGCGACATCGGGCGGCTCTATGCGCTCATCTCGGTCGCAGAAGGAATAGGAAGCTTGGTAGCAGGTCCCGGGATGGCTTTGGCCTTCCACGTGGGCATGAGCTGGGGCCAAGTCTGGCTTGGGCTGCCCTTTGGGTTTGCTGCTGTTCTTTTCGCCTTGGTCTCGACCATTGTGTTCAGTGTGAAGATTTAGATGATGGGATCTAAATACGACTTGACTGGAATAGGTGTATGGCAATTTTCGCATTTTGAACTTCAAAACTATACAGACGGCTGCTTTTATCACCACGTTCACGATATACACCGCCCCCAAAACAATACTTTCTGCAGTCTAGTCGACTGCAGTACAAGTTTTATTCGATTACCACAAGTGGAATATATACGCTATGCATGCTTATAGGTCAGGGTCCGAACCGAAGAATGAGCGCAACAATTCATTAAGTTGCTCGTCTTGGATGAGGAACGCATCATGCCCACCATCGCTCTGAAGCGTTGCGAAAGTTGCATTCTTCAGGCCCTGGGACAGAAATATTTGCTCAGATGGTGGGTAGAGGCCATCTGTCGGGACCCCGACAATCAATGTGGGCTTTCGAATCTGACTGAGGACTTTGAGTATGGCTTCGTCGTCCGAAAGACTCGGGTACCGGACGCGGGCGATGTCATGGGAGTCGATCTTGTCCAGGATGTGGAGATAGCAGTTGGCGTCGAAGCGAGCATTGAACTTTTCTCCTTGGTAACGCAGATAGCTCTGCGCCAAGAATATGCCCGAGTTGTCGTAGTGCCCATCGTCTCGCTCTGCGCGCTGCACATCGACCGCGAATGGCGCACGGGTGCCGTTGCGGGTGCCGCTGACTTTCGAGAGCATTCTGTTGGGTGTTGTGCAAGTCTCCAGCCGGCGTCTTCCGAATCGCTTTTCGAAAGATGAGTGTGTCCGGTACGATATCATGGCTGCCATACGCGCAGCCGCGAGACCATCTCGAGGAGGATCGCCACCATAGCGCCCACCACGAAACTTGGAATCGGGCTTTATGGTTGCTAGCTGGCTCTCGCTCCACGCTATCGCTCAATGACTTTGCCTGGCTGCGGTCGCGACGAGAACCATAGATCGTACGAAATGCTTGCTAAGCAATGCCCACTCTAGCGCCATCATGCCTCCCAAGCTGCCTCCTGTAACGCAATATATTGACCGCACCTCGAGCAATTCGATGATGATCAGTTGCATTCCATTTGGGATAGCGAGTCAGCCTTGAGCCACGCTCAGACTCGTGCGTATACTTACCGGACATCGTTACGAATGGTTGTCTTCGGGAACGGGTGTCCATAATAAGATGCAGTGCCTGGCCTTACAGATAGCGGGCTCGATGAGCCACAGGGGGTCCCTAAAGAATTGCAGCACATGATGCAGAATCTGTCGGGATCGAGGACTGGGTTCTTAGGGCGTGATAAAAGTAGTGACCACCAGTCCTTAACATCAGCACTGCTGGAAAGGGCGTGGCAGATGACGACGGCGTTGGTTCGCTGAGTGTTAAGTTGACCCTTGACGGTGAGGCCACGGTTGCGTTGGTCAGAACCTCCTGACTCAAGCACGAACCTGTCAATCGTTGTGTAGAGTTGCGTTGGCAGCTGGTCTTGCATTTTATGTTGATCGTCTTGACGTCGAATCAGCAATGGTATGTTATTAGGAGCTGCAGAAACGTACTGTTTGGCGTGATAGTCGATGACAACGGTTCGTCTACAGTCATTGCACCCGTTGTATACGATAGTTTCAGATCGCTAGGTGGTTCGGGTAATGCAGCTGCTTTGATCCATCAGCTTCAATGCATGAATAGAGCTCAATTACAGAGGACATTTGAAGCACATGCTTGAAGTACAGCCATGGGATTCAAACTCTACTACCAGATCATTTTGGCCGAGACGCATGCATAGATGCGCATGATGGCAAAGGCTCAGTCCCTACCGGGCAACGTGCGACGCCCAGACGGCTCGGTCCGCCTATCAGTGACCGTGCATTAGTGCGATGACCTCGCACTGACGGGGATGTTGACCCTGCAGGAGGAGACGTTGCATTACAGATGGGGAGCCCTATATCCGGCGGCTCCAAACCTCAACCTCTCATGAGAGAAGAGGTGCAGCTCTTAGCAGAGATTTGGATCCCGGCCTGTTGCCAACCAACAACTTCTCCGGAGCATTACCTCCCAATCAGGGCGAGCGTACGACCAACGATGGAACTTATGAGCGATGTCTCGTTGGGCTTTGATTCCTGTGCAGAAGGGCACGTGAAAAACTTGGTCGCAAACATACGCGACGTGATGGTGGCATTGTGCCATATAGGTAAAGTGTCAAAGTCAGTCTCAATTGGAGCCCTTGCGGATATTGTTGCTGTCACCTGTTCTCCCATCCATTGCGACCGTTCCCTGTGGTCGTAATATCTACAGACCTTGTGCGCATCAGTCCTACGGATGCGCTCTCTGTGGCTGAGGCCATTCGGCCAACACCATGTCCCTGACCTTCCTGTGAAGAGGGAGGTGACTGCGGAACAAGATGCAGGTTTCTTGAGCAAACTTTGGTTTGCTTGGATCAGCCCGCTCATGACTGTGAGACTATGCCTATCTGTGCTGTACCTATGATGTTGCTACGTGCTGACCGTGAGAATTTATGGTGTAGATCGGATACCGGCGCCACCTCGAACGCAATGATATCTGGACAGTGACAGACGCAAGGCTGATGGATACGCTCCAGCCGAGTCTTCATGCCGCTTTTCGAAAACGAGTATTGGCTCGCAACCGACTTCCCCTCCTATGGGCACTCTACGAGGTCTTCAAATTTGGCTTCTGGCTCGGCGCTGTCAGTCAGTTCGTTGTGTCGACTCCGCAGGTGATGACGCCCTTCACGCTGCGATTCCTTATTGAGTGGGTTCAACATGTCTACCCTGACGGACACGACACTCGCGGCTCCACGCCAGTAGCAGCTGGCATAGGATATGTCCTCGGTATTGCGGTTTTGCAGATGCTTCAGACTTTCGCCTCGAGCCAGTTTTATTATCAGGGCATGTTACTTAGTGGGCAGACACGCAGCGTTTTGATAGCCATGACGTTCAGTAAGTCACTGAGACTTTCTAATAGGGCCAAGGCTGGAGGTCAAACAGGGAGTGACGGTTCGGGTCCATACGATGGTATTCCCAGTCGGGTACATGAGAAAGGCTGGTCCAACGGACGTGTGATGAGCCTGGTCTCCAATGACACCGCCCCTAGTGACATACGCGACGAGACCGCTGGTGGCAAGCCGAAATCGTATCAACATAGTCACTGACCAGCGTGTCACACTTACGCAAGAGACCCTTCAGAGTATCCGCTTTGCAAAGTACTTTGGCTGGGAAGGATTCTTCCAGGACCGCCTGGGAAACATTCGAGCTTCTGAAACCTGAGCATTGCGCATAATGCACCTGATCGGGTGCGCCGTGGGAGCCCTCGCCCAGTTTCTACATGTGCTTGCCATCATGATCACGTTCATTGTGTACGCGGCTGTGAATGGCAGTCTTGATCCAGCGGTTGTATCTTCGTCCTTGGCGATGCTGTACGTGCTGCGCGTCCCGAGGAATTGGTTGCCCGTATCCTTGAGCCTTGCTGCCGACGCATTCCAATCGATCAAGAGGATCGAGGACTTCCTGCTTGCTGAAGAAGTACAAGTGCAGACAGTTCCAGACATCACTCTTGCTCCAGCTGTCAAACTCAGCAATGCATCCTTCACGTGGGAGAGCCTACCAGCGAACGAGGAGGGTAAATCACGAAAGGATGAAGAGAAGAAGAATCGCATGTCGAGAGCTATGAGAAGACAACGAGCGGGACATGAAAAGAAGGGGATCCAAACTTCGGGTACAGAAGTCCGCCCAGTCCAGGATAGTGACGTGCCGTTCTCGCTGAACGCTATCTCCTTGGTATGCCAGAAAGGCGAGCTGGCCGGTATCATCGGAAGCGTTAGATCCGGCAAGACGCCCCTTCTTAGTGCTCTTGCAGGAGATATAAGGCAGACTGGGGGCATTTTGCAGTTTGCCGCTGACAGGGCGTACTGCGCCCAGTATGCTTGGATTCAAAATGCCAGCGTGCGAGACAACATCACGTTTGGAAAGCCATTCAACCAGCAGTTTTATTCCGATGTGGTACACGCCTGCGCTCTGTTGCCGGACTTTGAACTCCTGCCACATGGCGATATGACAGAGATTGGTGAGAGAGGTGTAACCCTGTCGTGGGGGCAAAAGCAACGCATTAACATCGCCTGCGCGATATACTCTGACGCTGGCATCGTACTACTCGACGATCCGCTTTCAGCTGTTGATGTGCACGTAGGTACACATATCTTTAACGAGGTTATCTGCGGTTTGCTCAAGGACAATGCCGGTCCCTAGCAACACATCACCTGCATCTACTGTGCCGGCTTGACAGGATCATCTGAATGGTCGACGGACGTATCGAGGCCATTGGCACCTATGAAGAACTGGCGGAGTCTCACCCTGCCTTCGCCAGTTTGGTCGCAGTTGGGGGGGCATTAACAAAAAGAGGCGGACAGCATTGATGAAGGCAAGAAGGGTGGTTCTGTCGGCCTCGATAACACAACGACGAAAGCCGAGGTCTTGATGCAGGAAGAGGCCAAGATCGTTGATAGCGTCCCCTTCTCTCTATATGTTTCGTGGTTGCGGGCTTCTGGGTCCCAGTGGAATGACCTTGCAATGGTAGTTGGACAGCTCCTTTTCCCATCCTCAAGCATTTTGGGAGGCTTGTGGCTCTCGTGGTGGGTGGACAACAAGTACGGCCTTACCCGCGGTCAGAACGTAGGATTTCCTGCCTTGATATAAATAAAGCTCGAGGAGTTTTGGTGACGATCACGAATTATATCGGTATATACTCAGGCCTGGGTCTCGCACAATGCGTGCTAGTGTTCTCGTCTTCGCTCATTCTACTTGGTCTGTATCAAGTCGAGCCAGGTCATGTCAAAGAATGCGCTTTGGCAGGCTCTAAGAGCCCCCATGTCCTTCTTCGACACGACTTCTCTTGGTCGCATCATATATCGTTTTACAATAGACACTGATGCGCTGGACAACAATCTGGTCGTTGCTGTGCAGCAGCTGCTAATCAATGTAGCTGCACTTTTGGGCTCCTACACCCTCATCGTCGCCTACTTCTACTATGTAATTTATGTTTCACGTCTTCCTTGCCAAATAATCAAGCTGACAGATAGTAATTTCGGACAGCGATAGCTGATTGTGCTTGCTCGAGCACTTCTTTGCAACACGCGTATCGTGCTGGTGGACGAAGGGACGAGCAGCGTTGATCCTGAGACCGATGCAGTCGTGCAAGAGACACTAGCGACTGGCTTGGGAGAGAAGACACTGATTGCTATTGCGCATCGTCTTCGTACCGTATTATAGTACGATCGGGTGTGTCATGGATAAGGGCAAGATTGTTGAGCTGGGGCCGCCGTTGGAGTTATGGGAACAAGGGGGCATTTTCAGGGCTATGTGTGATAGCAATGGCATTACGCGAGAGATGTTCACGAGTGTCTAGTTAGCTCTGGTGGTCTGTAGAAGACACTAAAACCATGAATATGTACCGGTATATATCTTAACATCACCTTGAGCTCTAGAGGTGATGTCCACTTGTTATCCGAAGGTACTATCAGCCGATCTCTTTTAAGCACCTTACTGATACCTCTTTCTTTCAACCTGTAACGAGCATCGTTTGTTATACGAAGAGGGTTTGGGGAATATGATAGTGTGGTATTGAACAAATCTACTGCCCAACATTAATGAGTCAAGTTGCATTTCTTTCTCCGGAGATCGCTCGGGTTCCTGGTGTGCACCTGGATAAGCACAGTCTGCCAAGGCGATGTCGTATGAGCACCCTTCACGATAGATCTCGATTTGCAGGCATAACTCATTCTTTTCAAGGTCTACGATCTCTCCGTCTCCATCAAAATGGGTCAGAGGCGGTTTGTGCTCACTCAGTTCCCACAATTCAATCGTCGCGATGAAATCATCGAGTGAAGGATATGATTTCATATGAATGACATCACTGTTGCCTCTTCACCACTACAAATAAGAGAGATCTCAAGTAACAAAGATTTTATCTTCATTACAATCTCATCATAGCAACTTAAACAAATTTCTTTTTTACTTCGTCACAAACAAATTCACTTCAAAATGACCAACTACGAGCAGATCGCCAAGGAGGCCGAGATGGACCTCAACACCTACCAGGCCAAGACCGGCAACGCCCGTCCTCAGGATGTTGAGGGCGCTGGTGTTAACCCCCATGCTGAGAACAAGTTTGAGAGCGCTCAGGTTGAGTTTGGCGATGAGCTGAGCACAAACGCTGGCTACAACAAGCGCATTCCCCCCAGCGAGGGTGGCATCGTCGACGACAAGGGCCGGTAAGCATCATCCGCCCAAACATCACTTTTTCACCATCTAACTCTTGCAGACAAACCCGTGGTCAGCACTACGAGGGCGAGGGCGGCCCTCTCGACAAGCTCTCCAAGGCCAACGACGAGCGCGGCGGTTACAACGACAACGATGTTGTCGGCGCCAACGTCAAGAAGACCTCCGGCCTCGGAGCCACTGACGATCTCGCCTCAAAGGGCCAGGAAGCACAGCGCGCCAACGTGGGCCGCAACCCTCCCGGCCCTGGTGGCTCTCAGTTCAAGGGCGAGGATTACTACCAGCCTGAGAGTGTTCCTGACAGCATCTCTGCTGAGGGTAACATTGCTCCCGAGAGCGTGATTGAGGCTAGCCGAGAAGCTGAGCGACCTTGAACGAAACAAAAATGGAATGGAATGGATGGAATGGTACGGATGGGTTAATAGCGGGCGCCTGTATGATATGATATGTTCATAATTTGAACCGCCATGATTTACGACCACATTATTTGTGCTTCTGTCGCATCGTGATCTCTGTATAAGTTGAGGTGAAGCTGAGGTGAATAAAATAGCCCCCACTGTGGCTCCCGCTAGAGCCGCCATCATTTAAAGCATGATCAACGTCATGAGGCCTTGGCCTTTATCTCGTGACCAGCCGCTAAATGTGAAACCTCGACGACTTCCTATCAGCAACATTACAATTACAACCTCAACCTTTCCTCGCAAGACGTGATGTCGTGTGTGTTATCAAGGCTCATACAAGAGTGCTGATTGTCGCCGCCATGTCCGGTCTCTCACCGTCTGCCTCTGGATTGCTCCCTATGCCAGGCGCGCCTTCGTCATCTTGGGCTGTGTACAAAGCGAGAGCTGCAGCCATGATGGGCCATCATGATACGAAGGTGATTGTAGCCTTTTGGCTTTTTGGTACGACTTCACCCCAAATCTCCTCGACTTGTAACTAACAGTCGCGCCAGGCCTCATCAATAATGTCCTCTACGTGATCATCCTCTCCGCCGCCCAAGACCTCGTCGGTTCCATCCCCAAAGGCGTCGTCCTCCTCGCCGATGTCGTTCCTTCGTTCCTCACCAAGTTGATCGCACCGTACTTTATCCACCGAATACCGTATCGCATGCGAGTCCTTATATTCATAGTGCTTTCTGTGGTTGGCATGCTCATGGTAGCCCTGACACCGCGCACGCAGTCCGTCACGATCAAGCTCGTCGGTGTTGTCCTGGCGAGTATAAGCGCTGGCGGCGGTGAGTTGAGCTTCCTTGGCTTGACGCACTTCTACGGCCCGATGAGCCTCGCCGGCTGGGGGTCTGGGACTGGTGCTGCAGGTTTGGTCGGTGCAGGCCTCTACGTGATGTTTACGGACTGGTGGGGATTGAGCGTGCGTAGCAGTTTGCTAATCTCGGCGTGTTTCCCTGCGATTATGTTTATCAGCTTCTTCGTGATATTGCCGCTTGGACCTCTGAGGGAGGGCACGACTCGAAAGGACTACGATGCGATCCCGGATCTCGAGGATGAGGATGTGAACCACATGGATCAAGGAACTGCTTCGTCGGCGCTCTTGGCTCCTGGGCCTTCTGTCGCGGCGACTGCATACTCTGCGCATAATACGCAAGACACACTCACGATGCGAGACAGGTTGAAGAAAGTGAAGGTGTTGTTTGTCCCATACATGCTCCCGCTGCTTCTGGTGTACGTGGCCGAGTACACGATCAACCAAGGAGTTGCACCCACATTGCTATTCCCTCTGGACGAGTCGCCGTTCGATGAGTTTCGAGATTTCTACCCCATGTACGGGTTCCTCTACCAACTCGGCGTCTTTATCTCCCGATCATCTACGCCATTTCTACGTATCCACCATTTATACCTCCCATCGATGCTGCAAGTTGCAAACCTTGTACTTCTCACATTCCACGCCGTATACTTCTTCCTTCCATCAGTCTACATCGTCTTTATCATAATATTTTGGGAAGGTTTGCTAGGTGGAGGTGTCTACGTCAACTGCTTCGCCGAGATCATGGAGAATGTGCCACCCGAGGATAGAGAATTTAGTCTTGGAGCAACGACTGTCAGTGATAGCGGTGGAATCTCTATCGCTGGACTCATCAGTATCGTGATGGAGACGAAGCTTTGTAATTATCAAGTGGCGCATGGAAGGGATTGGTGCCGTCGTATTTCTGCACAAGGTCAATGATTGTTGGGTTCGTCAGGCGTTTTTCAGCGTTGGGTAGAGCGAGTTTGTAGATATCGGTCGGCATTTGGTATAGAGATTCTGTTACATTCATTACGTGTCTATCGCCTCGTTGACGTGAGCTCGACGCGTAACCTGGAGAAACATGCGTAATAAGCGAATACATTTTCTTTCATCCATGTCATGGTCACTGATCTCATTGTCGATAAGCGATATCCCACCTGAACCCGAGCGAGGAGAGTTCAAAAGACTCTGTTCTCGAACGATTCAGGGGCTTCAAGATAAGTTTTTATACTAAAAAGGCCCCCCAGTAATACTGTCACTGTCAGCTTACAGCTTACAGAGAGTGGACAAGCGACAGGGAGCCATGACCAATAAATCGGAAACAGTCCTGGGACGTCCCTTGTAAGGCGACGTTAAATTGCGAGAGATGGGCAAATTAAAAAATCTGGATCTTTTGTCGCGACGGGGCGGGGCATTTTTCTCTGTTTAGCGGTCACGGGCGATAGACTTTTTGAAGAAGGTTATATTTTAAAAATGTTACGTTTCGTAAAAAGGTTATAAAAATTCACCAATGAAATGCGTATGCATGAGTTACAGGACATCTGATTGGAATCACGGCTGGAAGTTTCCATCTTTAGATCATGGCCCGGCAGATGGGCTGACGGGAAGACCGGCACGAGAGTGACACCGGAGAATAGGGCATCATCGATAATATCACGCGATGTCTGCTACGTTGCTCGTTGCTCTTTCATACGAAGCTGAGGTGCAGAGATACGACGTCGCCAAGAGAAGGATAAGCACATCAACGGATAACGGCCTAGCGCTGACCGGCTTGGCAAGTTTCATCCTTGTGAGGGCGTTGATCAAAATAATACTGTACATACAGCACAGTACATGCTACGTAGTAATAATAGCTGAAGGGTTCTCAAGAGTTGAGTCAAAGACAGACTCATCAGGATGAGACGAAACATGGCCATTCAAATGCTGTTAATTCCCGTCGGGAATCGTTGGTTTGGGGCTGAGGAGGAATGCGGTGGAGGAGGGCCGAGTCGGTGGAGTCTGGAGATAAAATAAAGACCAATATTATCAGTGACAGGTCGTTTGTCCAGGTTCAGGTTCGTTCTGCCAGCCGTGCGTTTGTTTGTACGTATGAACCATTAGACCCAAGTCAATATACAATACCTCGTCTATCTCGAAAACTCAACAGTTGTAGAAAGTATCCACGATATTGCAAGACATGCATATTCAAGGGACTGTCTTGTCTCTCATATAAACACTCTGTCTCAGCTCTTCAGCAGGGAGATCAAGTCTAAATACCTCCCAGCACCGCCAAACATCGATAATCTTTGCAAGGGAGTATAACACCATTCCTCTCAACGGTAAGGGTTCTCCGCTGAACAAACCATGACCTCGGCCATTGTCCTTGGAGGAATTCAATGCGAGGGGCGATTTTTTCTACTTCTATTCAAAATTACAAGCCAAGCCAAATTTCCGCCTAGCGAGACGTTGCAGATAAGCTATTGTTTGATTGGCTAGATCACTGCATGGATAACCATGCAAGCGGCTCCCCGAAGGGAGAATGCCATTCAATGAGTTGATCGAGATGCATTCTGCAGGGGGGAGAAAGAATATGGGAGTTGAGATCAATATTGTTGGTTCTTTCGCTATGCTAACCTTTCTTAACAGTGGTTGGCAGCGTTGATGATGCTGATAGATCAGCAGTGAGATGCAAGCCTTATAAACTCAATTCTCCAACCTAGATTAACTGGCTTGTTACATTGGATTGGATAACGTGATGACGCACTTGAGCAGAGAATAAAGGGGGACTCTTTCACAGATCTAGGCTTACCTCACTGACACCCATAGGAACAGAGCCTATTGGTTGACTATACTGTTAAAGGGGCTGGCATGAATTGAGCAAGATAACATTTCCAACCTTGACAGTATCAGACAAGAAAAAAAAAGGAGACAATTTTCGAGTCCAAGCCCCCTGATTCACTTGGCGTTGGATTGGCTCCCGCAGAAAGGTAAGTTGAGCCTTTGAGGTGCCCTCGGGGGGCAAAAAGACTTAGGACCTCTACTCTAAGTGACAAAAAGATTTAGGTAAGCTTAGTATAAGTTTAGAGGGTCTTTAGATTGGTTATATTTGTCACTTGTGATAAAGGTCCTAAGGTTTTCTTGCCTCCCCTAGGGTGCCCCGCCACTTGGACTCAGCCCTCCCAAATACACGTTTAAACCCATCCATTAGCGCAAACGCACGCTAATTGTGCCCCTGTAACCTGCAACCTACGCCCGGGCCTTCATCTTCCCGCCTCCATAACTCGCTTCCCTCACTCCAGCTCCTCCTCCTCCTTCTCATCCCCCCTCCCCCCTGTCCGCTTTTTATTTAATTTAATCCCACCTAAAGGCCATTCTCTCTCTCACTGTTCCCCCCCTGCTCATTTTCTGGCCTTATCAGAAACCCGGCTCCTCTTTTCTACTCAGCTTCTCTCTTCCCCTTCCTCTCCTCGCCTTCTTCCTTCTTCACCGTTCGTCTTTCTTTCTTCTTCAACCTCCCGTAATTCTTTTTATTTACGTCGCGTGCGCTGAGAGGTTGATTCTGGTTCTGGGTTCTGCTTTCTTGTGTCCTTGTCGGCACCTTTCACTCACTCACTCATTCTACCTGAACCTACGTCTTTTTGACTTTATATTTCGAACCCGTTGAGATATACGCGTCGAAGCGTTGAAGCTTGCCCACAATGTTTGGACAAGTGCGCACAAACCGGTCGACGGTCCTTATGGCCGGCACCGTTATCTTCCTGGTCGCTTTTGTTAGCCTGGCCTACAACCATCTCGACAAGTGGGAGCCTCCCGCTGACGTGTAAGTTGACTTGCGTAATCTAATCTCCGCGAAGACCGAAAAAACTGACGAATTCACTATAGCGCTACCGACACCGAGACATCCATCATTGGTGATACCCACGATGAGCCCAAGAAGACTGAGCCCGAGCAACCGGAGCAGCATGGCGCCATGTCGAAACCCGACCACCCTTCCAACGCCTCCACCGAGCTCGGCGACTACTACTTCAACTACATCATGAAGGCCCGCATCAGCCCTGCCGACAAGAAGTACGCTCCTTTCGGCGCTTTCCCCATGGAGCTCCCCGCCGAGCCCAAGTGGACTGAGATGATTGGCGAGGACCTCTGCATTATTGATCTTGACAACCGACCTTTCGACGAGCCTGGCCAGATCTTCTCCCCTGGCCTGATGAGCTGGGACCGCGCTGACGAGACCCACGGTCTGTCCCTCGGTGTTCTGAACCACTGGCTCTATGGTGCGTACAATCCTGACCGAGTCACCTTTCTGTGTCACTAACCCCTCAATAGCCAAGAACCACGGTTACAAGTACTACTACGTTGACATCACCGATCCCTTTGAGGATCGCCGCAACTCCTGGAAGAAGCCCCCGATTCTGTCCAAGATCCTCAAGAAGCACAAGGCCTGCATCTTCCTTGACTCCGATGCCGTCTTCCACCACCTCGATCTGCCCTTTGAGTGGCTCATGAACTACTGGCAGCTCCACCCCGATACCAACTCTCTCGCCCTTGCCTACGATCCTCACCACAAGAACAACATGGACAAGTTCGACAAGGTCTACCTCAACACTGGTTTCATCGTTCTCCAGAACAACGAGAAGACCTTCGAAATCCTCAAGGAGTGGGAGGACTGCCCCAACGAGGGTGGCAAGCACCCCGACTGTGTCGAGTTCCGAAAGAACCGCCCCGGAAAGCCCACCGACCAGGGTGGCTTCGGTACCTACATCCGCTACGATTACCCTAAGGACATCAAGGATCTTCCCTGCACCGAGGCCAACGGTTTCCCCGAGAGCCGATCTGGCTGCGACGGAAAGTTCATCAAGCATCTCTGGACCGGCAAGAAGGACCACATCAAGGTGGTCATCGGCCAGCAGGTCCCCGGTGCGCTGCTAGAGATGTTCCACAAACAATTCATGGAAGAGAAGCCAAAGTTCTTCATCTCCGAGCGAGACCTGATGGCCCAGAAGGATTAAATAAGTAATGAAAATGCTTTAATGAGACCGAGTACTAGAAAAGGCGGACATGATACGGACGGCTTTTGAAATCATCTTTTTTTTTAATAATTTTACTGTAAAACTTATACCATCCAGGAGAGGTATAGGCAATACCTCTTCTCCCTCTCAATTGGGGTTTACTTGACATGGGTGTTTTTGGGAGTGTTAAGGATTTGTTAAACAAATGGCCTGAAATCGGAAACTTTTTTTTGGATGTTTGTTCAATGTTCATGAGAGAAAGAAAGCTAGGCATGATCTCTTTATGAGTAATAGGGATAACAATGAGTTTTGACGTTGATGATAAAGTTCAGGTTGCGTGATGACTCTGGTGATGCTACCCTGTGTGTAAGCGAAGACAATTTGAACGTGAATGTAATTGAGTTTGGAAACAGGAGAGGAATAGAGTTCGTTAGAAGCAATCGAGAGGCGTTTTGAAACTTCTGTGTTATCATAAGTTTGGAATGTGATTCTCCCAGATTTAGGGTAGACCTCTGTCATGGACTTAGCAGAGGTTCAGTTTGTTGCCAATGGCCGACAACAAGCCAGAATTCTGCTCAAAGTGATATTATTAAGTAAGTAGTAAGGTTGGAACCTAAATGGCAGATGAGATGAGCTCTTTGTACGGGGCAGTTGAAAAGGTTGGGTGAGGTATCTGATTTGTCACTTTAAGCCAGAGAGTCCTCAGAAGCTTGACATGCATTCACCCTCACAAATCTTCGTGTGAAGATAGATGTGACTATTGGGAGTATTTCTTGTCCCTGTTCTTCATTATTATCATGATACAGCTACCTACCGATAAATCGTGTTCGATAAGTGTATGCAGGTGTCCTCTTCTTCTTAGAAAGATATTCTTCTGTCGAGTGTGTTACTCTTGCGACTATGAGATAGTGCTTTGTAACTTTAACGATGACCAACTGCCGAGCAGTTCTATATCGAGTCAAGGCCAAATGCGGCGATATCGAAGCTTGAGCTGGCTATTCTCCGTCGGAGTTTCGCTTACCTGTTTATACATTGTTTGGTGGTGATCTATAGGACTTTGAGATCTTTGCGTCAATGCGAATGCGACTATCCCAGTCAACACCAACTCTTACATGGTCGCACGGGGGTGATTTCTAAGCTCTATAGAAAGAAAGATGATGAAATGTCGTATACGCCCTTTCGAGATAGTATTAACCGACGGGAATAGTGCCTGGCTACTCTGAATAAGTCGCAAATGCAATGATGCCATCTTCCCATGATGGATAACCGAGGCATACAACATCAAACACTTGCCCCAAAGCTTTATAATCGGGAGAATCAACACAATTGATAGGTCAAGCTTACTGACGCGACTATGATCATTAATCCCAAAGCCGAGCTATTCGCAGCGACAGGGTGTGCGCGACCAACTGGCGTTGAGAAGCCGATCAGTAATCATACAAATAGGACGGGGAAATCACATAAATCTCCAACGCGGCACCATTTCCGCAATTTATAATGCATTCAGATTTACAAATCCGTCGGGGTTTTGGATGGAGGATAAAGGAAAGCGTCAAGAATGGAATTGAGGTATTGAATCAAGTTATACTGAACAAACCTCATCATGGAGAAGATTGATGATACTGGTATTATGGGCGATGCGTCGCTTGGGAACGACTCTGCGACGGAGGGCGAGATTGAGGCTGCGAGGCCGAAAGAACAGGTTGAGACTGATGAGTTGGATTGGGATAATAGTCCTCATAATCCTTTCAATTGGCCAGCATGGAAGAAAGCTCTTCAAGTCGTGATGCTATCCTCAGCAGGTCTCCTAGCGTAAGTCCACCCCATCCCAAGTGTACCTATGCAATCTAACATCTCAGATCAATCGGAACATCAATAATGAGCCCCGCTCGCAAAGAGCTCATGATCGAATTCAACGTCAGCAGCACAGTCGCCCTCCTGCCTCTAACACTCTACGTCCTTGCCCTCGGCTTCGGGCCTGTAATCGGCGGCCCGTTATCAGAAACCATAGGTCGCTATCCTATCTACGCAGCGAGTATCCCTCTTGGCGCACTGTTTACTATGGGTGCGGGCTTCGTGCACAATATTGGAGGTTTGGGCTTTCTGAGATTCATGGCGGGTTTATGCTGGGCGCCTGTGCTGGCTGTTGCGCCGGGGACGTTGTCCGAGACGTTCACGCCGAAGAATAGAGGACCTGTATCGGCGGTGTTTATCCTCATGCCGTTTTTGGGCCCAGGATTGGGGTGAGTTCTGGAATGGAACTGCTGAGGACCTGACTGACTTTCTACTTAGACCGGTTATAGGCTCTTTTGTGGTGAATCGAAAGGGATGGAGGTGGACGCAGTGGACGTTGGTCTTCTTTTCGATACTGGCTATGATCATCACTGCGTTCTCGCACGAGACGTTTCATCCGGTTATTAAAAAAAGACTTATGAAGAAGAAGGGAATGAAGGTTGATCCTCCGCCACCGATGGCTGCTCGACTCAAGATGTTTGCCCTCGTGGCAGTTGTTCGACCTATTCGCATGCTTCTTCTCGAACCGATCACCGGATTCATCTGCCTGTACGTTTCGGCCGAGTTTGGAACTCTTTTCAGTTTCTTCGCCGCTGTGCCGTATACCTTTGGAAGAGTCTACCAGTTCTCCATCGAAGAGTCAGGTCTCGTCTTCCTCTCCATCGTCATCGGCTGCTTTCTCGGACTCATCACCGTTATTCTCTGCGACGTGTTCCTGTACAGAAAACAAGCGCCGAAATACCCCCCTCATCAGATCCCACCCGAGCATCGTCTTTACCCTTCCATGATTGGAAGTATCGGATTGCCAATTGGACTGTTCTGGTTTGCTTGGACAGCACGACCTGGCGTTTCTTGGGCAAGTCCCGCAGCATCGATGATCGTATTTGCTTGGGGAAATCTTTGTGTGTTTGTTAGTACCATGCAGTACATCACTGATACATATCATGGGAGTGTTGTCGCAAGCGCTGCTAGTGCTAATAGTCTGGCGCGGTATGGTTTCGCAGGAGTATTTCCGCTGTTCACTATTCAGAGTAAGTTCCTACGCCCATCTTTGCGAGAATAGTCGCTAACGAGAATAGTGTATGAGAAGTTGGGTATTGACTGGGCTAGCAGCCTTCTGGCCTTTGTTGCGCTGGCCTTGCTGCCAGTTCCGTGGGTGTTGTTCAAGTATGGCCCGACCATCAGGGCCAAGAGCTCCTATGAGACAGTCAAGTTCAATTAAGACAGAAGCATCTAGTTACGAGAAACACGTTTCAATATGTTCTATAGAATTATAATAGTCTAATATACGTTTTCAACACGAAGTCGCGCTGCGTTGTTTCAGTTCTTAGGAAGCTGGATCAACTTGTAGTCCTTATCAAGGTAATACCACAAATCATACTTCGCCGGTCTCTCAGCAGCAGGAAGAACATTGGACTTGACAGGAATGCCGAACTTCTTGGTAGCGTCCTTGCTCTTGACATAGCTCTTGTAGCTCTTGGTGCTGGTCTGGTTGTAGTTGATCTCGTTGGAGTCAACCTTTCCGCGCACGAGATCTTGCCAGTCGCCGTGGCTGCTCTTGATGGTCTTGGCCATGAACTTGGCGTTTTGGTAGTCGCCGCCAACGATCTCGAGAACACTGTCGCCGCGGGGGACCTTGTAGTACTGCTGGTGTTAGTGGGGCTTGGGGAGAAGGGGCGGGGAGCTTACGGTGAACCAGTTGTAGAAGGTCTTGGCTAGACCTGGGCGGTACTTTTCGAGGTCCTCGACGGCTGGGAATGTTAGCTTGTGTTGGTCAGAGACAAGATGGCACTTACAGTCGACCAGAGCAGCAAGGGGATCCTTGGTGTCAATGGCAATGACCTTCCAGTCAGTCTCGCCACCCTTTATGCAACAATTAGTGATCGTTTTGTGCTAGCCATGTAACAGACTTACATCGTTCAATGCAAGGCCACCAAGCACCTTGACAGACTTGACCTGTCCAACGTGGGCAGGTCTATATACAAATCAGTCTTTGCTTTCTCATTCGTGAAAGAACACTCACGCCTCAGTGATATCGAACAGATCAATAGGATCGTTATCACCAGGGTATCCAGTGAAATCGTGGTCAAAGTTGGGACTCTCCCAAGTCTGGGGAATTGACCCATAGTGGAATGGGTATGACTTGTGAGGCCAGACATTCTCAACGAAACGAGGGGCCTTCTTCTTGTCATCATGGAAGATAGGGTCTTTGATGGGTCAGTATGGAAACATGATGCGAGGAGTTAGGTCGTACTCAGAGGCTCATCGCGGCGGGTCTCAATCTTGCCGTCTGTCCATCGGGGAATCTCAACAACGTAGCTCACGATGCGATTGTTGCCCTTCTCAGGGTACAGAGGAATATCGTGCCAGAAGGAAATAGGCTGCCCATCTTTCTCCAGCCAAACACGCCAGTCCTGCATCACTTAGCAACGCACTCCGTTAACCATTGAGGACGACTTACAAGAGTGTTACGAGCCCCAACTTCACGAAGCGTCAAGGAATCATAGTCAAATTCCTTCGCCCTCGGCGCAAGAGAAGAACCAAGAACCAGACAAGGCAATAAAGCCAACTTAACAAGCAAAGAAGTAGCTACCATTGTGAGAGATGTTCGAGCGCCACGGAGCCGGAGAAAAAAGTTTAAGTTACATTGGGTTCCTTTTAAGCTTGATTCAAATAAAGCCAAGACGGATATAACTCGCGTGAGTATTTTTGCCCTCGGTGACCAAAAATGGAAGATCGTTATCGGCGCGGATCGGGGGTTCGTAGATCCAACGACGATGCGGATTTGATGCACGTGGAGTTGGAGTGTAGATCTTGGAGGGGCATTTGGTGTAAGTTCGTTGGTGGTTTGGGGGGATACACGTGGGGATGATGAGGATGGGTAATTTTATTGCGCATGAGCTACTGCAGGCCAAGTTGCATTGAACACCAATGATTCCATGTGAAGATATCATCTTGACTTGGCCATTCTCTCATAGAAGAGTGGTAACTGCTCTTTGATGGCTTGTGTTAATTGTGTCATCTCATTGGGTATCTCCAACGAGTGATGTGACTGGCTGTCCCACGTGCTTCAGCCAGTCAAGTTGCGGGGTAAAAGTCAACACCATCGCTGCTGATATTGAGATTTGTAGAAGAGGAACAAAGTGAATAAATAACATGGCATCGTGGAATATGTATATGTTTCCAAGTTCATGTCCAAGGCCTCTTGCATACGGCCCGTGTGACGTGGCAGATTCCCTACTAGTTCTCAAATAGTGTCTCTGCGGCAGAAATGACAGTTTAGTTATCACGTCAGGTAAGGCTCACGACAGGCTTCAGCTCTCAGCTGGATCGGCCCAAACAAGACATTAACAACACTTCAGGTAGTTCAAGAGCTGATCAAATGCCATTCAGGCTTTTTGTCTCATCTTCAATTGAGAACTACTCGCTGAGTGATCCTCACCGATGCGGGGCTGGCCTCGTTCGAGGTCCAAGCAACTGATACATGCACGGACGGTCATATTCAGCCAGCCACAGTTATACGGTATGATATGATCGACAACGGAGTGTTGATCTTCGACTTTGAGAAAGAAGACTGAAAGGTATAAGTAAGGAAGAAGATACACTGTAAGATTCACAAGTAGATAACAACCTTGCCTTTTGTCTCCCTTATATTGAAACCTACAGAGGTATAACTTACTAAATCGCCTAACTCACCGGAGCTACAATGCTTCTCAAGATCCTTGTTTCTATCACAGCTGCCGTTTCAGTTACAGCAACAGCTATCGGTAAGCTACTTGCATAATCCAGTAACACTCTCAACTAATGAGTGCAAGACAAACCAGTTGGTGTTGCCGGCTGTAAATGGTCGGGCACTGCTCCTTATTGTGCAGGGGAATGCGAGCCCGGCTGGCATGAGAGGGGACGCAGTCAATGTGGCGATGGCAGCTGCTGTTGGACTGGCAGCAAAGCCCTCTGCTGCGAAGACGAGGATGCAGTCCAGGACCTAGTGCAGGAGAAGGAAGAAGTTGGCGTCGACAGCTGTTATTGGTCGGGAACAGCTCCTTACTGCGCAGGGGAGTGCGGACCTGGGGAGCGTGAGATTGGACGCAGTAAATGTGGTGATGGCGCCTGCTGTTGGACCGGGGAAAAGGCCTACTGCTGTAATGATGAAGAGAGTGACAACCGGGACCTCTAGATCAAGTAATATCGAGGGGGAGAACCAGTTATGTAGCTAGCCAGCATAGTGACCCTCTGAGAATGCGTTGAATTGCCTTGCTGTCTTATGTTGCAATGTACAATAAGTGAAACAAGTGTAATAACTTTGGTAGTTCAGACGAAGAAGTGATGGGATGTAACGGAATTCTGGCTGGTGGCTTTCTGGACATTTCGAACCGGATGTGGTCACTTGTTGAAACTTCCCATATAATCGCAATTGACTCAAGAAAGTTCGAAGATGACGGCGGAGTGACCGAGTGGTTAAGGTGAAGCACTCGAAATGACGATATGCTTTGGTTTCGGCCGCGCAGGTTCGAATCCTGTCTCCGTCGCATGATTTTTTTCTTCTTTTTTTCTTTTTTTTCTTTCTTTTTTTTTCCCGCGTGTTTTTCCCTTATTTTCTAGCCAGTAATGGTCACGGCGCTAGGCCTTTCTTTGTCGTACTTGACTGGGGAAGATCACCGAAAGAGATCTGCAATTTTGGTGTTAATGACCTTGTAGTATTCCTCTCTGATCTGACATTGGCATTTGACGACCAGTACTACTTTCGCAGTACTCTCCCAAAGAGTTCATGACAATTTTTTTTTTCGCCTACAACCAAATGGCGATTTCACTATGCTTCTGACATATCGCGCTTGAGACTTCATATGCAGATACGCACATATTGTTACACCAGAATTAAGGTTGTGGGGTTTGCCTATACCCGCCCCGTCATAACGTCAATACACCTTTTCCGTGTAGAGCTTGATGGTTCATAACGACTGAAGCCGTGTTTAAATGTATTCAAGTATGTAAAGACCTATAGTGATCTGCGAGCAATTGGTAATGTTTGGTATAATTTCGTATAACATAATGATGATCCCACCGTAGGATTAATACCACCAGACTTGAACTGCTGCTTTAAAAAAAAGAAGAAAGGGGAAAAAACAGACGCATCCAGACTTTTAAGCAAATGCGATAAGGTCATCGTCAATAAAGTGAGGGCCTTCTTCGACATTTGCCGTGTTCTTCTTATTTGTGTGAACTCTGGAAGTCGTATCTTGACCAAGCTTCCCGTCCATATACGTCCGGTTCTCTTGCAGGCTCTGCATGTAGATGTTAGCATGAGTACACTGCACCCCAGACGAAAGACTAACCCTGAGATGGAACATCTCATCAGCTGCCCACTTTTGAAGACGTGGGAGGGTCATTGGATCTGATGGGCTCCCTAGACGAGTTCTTATCAAAAAGTGTTGAAACCGGCGTGCTTCGCACCATTTCTTGAAGTCATCGCGTTTAGCTGCCGCGATGGCAATGAGGGCCTCTTCGGTAACGACCTTGCCGTTTGCCAGATACTTCATGTCTTGCTTTGATAAAGACATGGTTGTTTGCTTGTGGAGGTGAGGTCTTGGGCTGATAGTGGTTGGGTGATGAAGGTGGGATGGTTGTATATAAATAGAATAAGCTTGGGAAGTTGGATTTGGAGAATAATTAGAAGGAAGGGTAAAAGATGGCGAAGAAGGGGACATCGGGGATTTATATAGGTAGCATAAAAGTTTGGAGGGGAGAAAGGTATATACCATGGGATGTCGACAGACTTAAGGCACTGCCATGGGATGACTCAGAATGTTAAGTATAATGCATTTATCCAATAGAACGGTGCTTGAATAACATCGTGAAGTTATAATTAAGCATTGAACGAGCGATAGAAGAGATGAAGCCAAAGTTGAAAAGTTTGAGACTCTATCTGCGCGTTCAGAAATTACTTGTCAACTGGCACGAAGGGGTCACCGGTGGCAGGCAATGAACCCTTTCAAAAGGAACCTTATAGAACTTTACCCATCTTAAACTTCTTCAAGTCTGGCATCTGATGAGTGAAAACGTCGGAGAATACTTTTGATAGGATGTGAAGAGTTCATCATCGGTTTACAGTACACTCCCGCATGAGAACATTGAGAAGGCAACTGTTGGCCGCCGTGAACTGATGGAGCTGTCAATCGCCACTCCTGATTCCAGCCTTCAAGGCCGATGAGACTACACAGCCATCCTTCGACAGGGCTGTCAATCAGACCTTTGACATTCACTTACCAGAAGCTGCGGTGCCCATTGCACATTGAAGTTCAAAATAGCTCTGCCCACGATCATAAGAAACTTTAACTCTGCAAGTTTGCAAAGCTAACAGCCCAAATACGAATGAGAACGCGAGCAAATAACCAAGGCAAAAGCACAAATTCAACACAAAACGAGAGGTTCCTTCTAGAAAGAAAGAAAGGAACCAGCTTATTTTAAACTGCAAAGTCGTTTCGTTACCCTATTTGGGATTGAACAAATTACAAGTCTTCAGACTCAGTTAAAGTTTTGCCCCTGAATTTGGTTAGGAGTCACAGTGCCACCCACATGCAGACACTTAAGGGATCTGGAGTAGTTGGCCGAGGTTAGTTGATGTTAGAAAGTGTCAAGATGTCTATCTATTGATTGGCGTTCTGCTTGTAACCTTTTTGACGCCCAGAGTCAAACAGTACAACCCAATGACTCATGGCGAAACTACATGATAAGATTCTTTCGAGAGTCTATAGTGTAATGTTGATGAAAAGACAAAAGCTTGTAGAGCTGACGCTTTGTGACCTGTAGTGGCATGATGTTTCCAGGATCGTCGGTCGCCCAAAAGACAAACTTTAGGAATCTTCTGGAAGGTCAGTAAGGAGATATAAGTCTCACTCCATCACATAAGGTTACTATTACTTATTCACTCAAAACAGTGCCCTTTTATGCTAGTTTTCGGTATTCGCTCGATGGCGAGGGACCATGAAATGACATTTTGGCTGGGCTGGACCATCGCTACAGAATACATCTGAAACCCTCTCGCATCCGCCTGTCTCTCAAACTACACTCTATGGGAACCTTCCGGATCTAATTTCATGGATATTAATAAACTTCAGTAAGATACCTTCCAGAGATGCTCGTGTTCCATGTATATCCGTTTTCAGGGAAACAAGTCGTAAACCTCGCAGCATAAAAGCTGACCATAATCAACCACAAAACTGAGAGTTACCGCTGAACATCCTTTATGAAACATATACTCTTACTTCAGTACAGAAAATTGAAACAATGTGACGGAAAGCCGGGGGAGGCAAAGCTTCCTGATACATTTTAACATATCTTGCCTGCGCACATAAAATATAACAAGTATGTGAAACCTTAGGAGGAAGTGTAAGAATTTACAAGATTTAATAAATTGATACAGTCCCTCCTCAATTTTCTCATTTTCTTATAAGTTCTTATTCTATCAATTATTTCCGACGCATTCTTTCCATAGCACGAGTTACATCTTTCTCGATCAAGATCTCGCATCCGACAATACCAGCATACCTGGACAACATGGTATGAGTCCCCCAAGCTCATCAGACATCAAAATCTAATTCTTGAGTTACAGAGTCATATTATAGTAAACGCGACCACGAATCTCTTCAACGGGAGCGAGTTACGCCGCTTTGCTGACCTCAACCCAAGCGAGCCTTGCCTCGACAGGCTGGACAAGCTGAACTTCAACGAGTTCATCTACCGCTTGCATTACGACCTGTCATTTTATAGGTTCATGTGCTTTGTTGCGAGGGTCCCAACTGGTACTCCAGAAATGGTCGCGTATTGGCTCATGAAGAATTGGTCTACAGAGGCACGTGAGGGGATCTATGGTGTAAGTTTATTTATGGCTTTGTTGAAAGGAGGAAACCAGAATGCTAACCATGTGAAATAGCCACCGAAATTAAAGTAGATATACCTTCATGAGAATATCTTAATGGCAGGAGTACACTTCTTTAAGAAACCGGTTTCAACGACTCCACGTTAGGCCATTTTGACGCAGGCAGCTGCCTCCAACAACATTAATACATAGAATGACCCTCCAGAGCCCTGATCAGTTGGGCTGAACACACAGAATACCTTCTAGATTATATGAACACCAGACTCTCACCATAGTATCATTTGATCTTCAACGACGCAAAATAGAACGTACGATTCATATATAATGCATCTCACTACCGAGGAGACACGCGACCTCTCGGTCAACAAGGTGACGGATACCATCCTTTCAAAACTCAAAATCATGAACTGCGAGGACTTCTATGTGTGCATGATAGACACGACCTTCAACAAGTTCGTTCGCAACCCAGGTCGTGGGTCTCAAGGCTGGATTCCCTCCCCGTCTCAGGGTAGTCGTAGTCAAGTTCTGGGCACGAAAGGCGTGGCAAGTCAATTACTCCGAGACCAACAACGGGTGCTAACTCTCAATGAGTAGATCGTAAGCAAAACTCTGTAATCTATACCGCATGCATAAGGTGCTGGGATGCGGCAAGAAGCTGCCGTAATTGGGACGGGAAACCTATCTGCATGCCCATCGTCTTACTCATATCTTCCCATGGATTCGGTATTTAAATCTATTAGCTTGCGGTACGTTTCATGTCACCAAAGTCAACGTCAAGCATGGGGCGTTTATCCAAATGATTCCCGCTTCAAGCAAGGAACTCTAAATTATGTAGAGATAACTATGTACATGTAGTAATGAAGAATAAAGCACCCAGATCCCATCTAATTACCTCCCTTAAACGCACTGGAAGTAGTACTCGTTGTGCTCAACGCACTTGTAGGGCTTCTCGCACTCAGTAGGTCCCTTGTAGTTCTTACCGCCGCACTGGTAGTAGTGCTTGACAACACCGCCAGAGCCAGTTCCGACGGGGTAAGCGGGGGCAGTGCCTGTGGGAGCGGGAACTTGAGGAACAGTTGTCTCGGTGTTCCACTTGTAGGTGTAGGCTGAGCTGCTGCGGATGACGGGGACGCGAGTGGTGGGTTCGATGGCAGCGACAGTGGGCTCGAACTCGCCATCGTCTTCGTCACAGTCGCCGGAGGGAACGGGGGCTTGAGTAGGAATGGGAGCCTCGGTCTCGGCGCAGTCATCATCGGAGTCATCATCAACGGGAGCCTTGGTAGGGTAGACCTGGGTTCCGTTGGTGGGGATAGCGTAGGTAGGGAAAGGGGCTTCGGTTTCGGCACAGTCATCATCATTATCATCAGTCTCAGTAGCAAGAGCAGTGCGGGTCTGCTCGGTCTGAGGAGCAGTGGTGTTCATGTAGTTCGTGGTGCCAGGGACAGTGTAGACGGGCTTGGTCTTGGTCTCGAGGGTGGTAGCAGGAGCGGTAGTCTCAACGGGGGCAACAGAGCTGGTGGCAGGGGCTTCAGTGGCAGCGGCGGCGAGAAGGCTGGAAACACTGGTCCAGGCGGGCTTCTTCTCGTAGTCATCGGTGTAGAGAAGAGCCTCGCCGTTACCCTCGAAGACACCGGGGATCCAGCTGTACTTGTCAGTGATACCCCAGACGGTAACACCAACACAGCCCTTGGTGTCGAGACAGGCGCCGACAACATCGGCGTACTCATCACCCTGGGTCTTCAGCTCAGCGGCAGAAGCGGGAACGGACTCGTGGCGAATGTCGAGCTCAGTGATGGCGACCTCAACGTTGAGGTCAGTGAAGCGCTTGAAAGTGGCGGCAAGCTCAGAGCGAGAAGGAGTCTCGCCGACGATCAGATGGCCCTGGAAACCAACACCGTCGATAGGGGCGCCTTCCTTCTGAAGGAGCTTGACAAGCTCGACGGCCTTGTCAGTCTTGGCGCCGTTCTGCTCAAGGTTGTAGTCGTTGTAGTACCTAAATGGTCAGATAAATACTTCGTCAATGCGGGTAAAGAACTTACAGCTTGGCAGCGGGATCAGCCTTGCGAGCAGCCTTGAAGGAGATGCCAAGGAAGTCAGTTCCCAGAGTGCGGGAAAAGACACTGTCTCGCCACTCAGCGTTGTCATCGATGGCCTCGTTGACCACATCCCAAGCGTAGCAGTCACCCTTGTAGTGCTCAACAACGTTGGCGATGTGAGCCTCGATGACCTCGGTAAGCTCCTCGGCAGAGAAAGCACCAGAAGAAACTATATCCATTAGCATAGCACCCCAACCCAAACATGTAGTATAACTCACCCCAGGTGGGGAGCTGGCTGTGCCAAGTCAAAGCATGACATCTCAAAATCTGACCATTCTTCTTTGCAAGATCCGGAACAACATCAGCAGTCGTATAAACAAAATCACCCTGCTTAGGCTCAACAGTCTCCCACTTCTGTCCGTTCTCGGGAACAAGCTGTCCAAACTCCTCAACGTCATCAGCCAGCTTGCTGTAGGGCGCATCGCTGAGATATCCGTTATCGACAGCTGAGCCGAAGTACTTGAGTCCAGCGGCCTGCGCCAGGCTGTGAAGCTGGGCCGAGACGGGGCTCGAGGCCAAAAGTCCAAGGAGTGTAGTCTTGTGCATTTTTGTGAAAAAAGAGTGTGTAGTAGGTTTAAAAAGGCAAACAAATGAGTGTATTTTGCGTTTTTGAGCTACTGAAAGAAGGGAAAAAAGAAGGAAGGAATGTTAATAAACGACTCGCGTTTGTTAATAAAGAAGAAGCGAATATAGATGCGGGGCCCGAGATCATGATATATATCCATTCGTTAGCTTAGCCATACCACCAGCTTAGCCGCCGCATCATTAAAGCCCATGTAGATCGTCCCATCTGTATACGAAAGCCTTGTGTCCTTTAACCTTACGGTAAAATATCTTCCGTCAGTAATTTGTGGTGTAAGTCCCCTGCTATGTCCCGCTTCGTCTCAGGTCTGCGACAGGGATGCATATTTTCTCGGGCCAGGGACCGAAACTGGCAATGGAGATAGCGTATCGTGACGAAGAGATCGACCCAGGTTGTGCTGGTTACCCGGGTAAATTGGCATTGGATGTTCGGCAATGTCAAAATTGTTGGTTCCTTGCATATTGCCCTGTTGTTGACCAATTATCCATGAAGGGATCCAGGAACAGATTGTTAGTTCAGGAACCGGGCGGATAAATCTGAGCATGGCGGTTAAATATGCAGATGATCACCAACACTCAGAGAAGAACAACCTTCTCCATTGGATAATATTGTTAGTTTTCTAAGGTCTCTTGGCTTTTGATATAAAAGATTAAAGTCAACAGAAAGATCATGATTCTTGTGTTGTACCACGATCTGCCGACAAGATAAGATGATCCACGCCCCTTTCATGTTTCAGATACCCGGCGCTAGGAACCGTTGGTAATAGCTTATTTTTCGCCTCATCTCAACGTGATGATGGGGTTATCGGTGGGGTTTTCAATGGCACGTCTGTGATTTCGCTTAATCTGCTTGGCTATTACAGCACGGCTGGGGAGTAAATCTGTCAAGTATCATATCATCAAATCCGGCTAAATCTCACCGAGCTGATCTGTCTACACGATCAGGTCTTCTATAGTACCCAATTCGCACAAGTGGCTTCTTCAAGTGGGCATTTTAAAACTGCTAGTCTGCCCTGCCAAGAGCTGTTGTAATATCTCTAATCTCAAGTTCTTCCAGAGTTTTGTTCCACAACGTCTCCATAATCTTCTGTCCTGACTCGGTGTACATAAGCACAGGATACCTGGTCTTGTTAGCAATCTTATAATCAGCATCGCCCAGCTTGCGGGCGAATTTCCCAGTCCCCATACAGTTCGACCCTTGGCTCTCCTTTCCAAGGACCAGTGCAGGATGAAGAAACTGTCTCGTTCCAGTCACAATATTACTTACTAGCAAGATACCAGAAGTGTCGAAACCATTGATAATAGGCCTTCTAGTTCTCGTACGAGGCTCGTTCGACTCACAACACAGAGGCGGATAATCTCGACAGTGCCATCGTGCACGCTGATAAGCTCTGAGAGCTTTGAAAGGAACACAACTAAGAAGAGCTTAATTGTCAAGTATTGGCCTTCTCCATGGAATAATTCTTGGCATCTCGACAGGTTCTATTTAGATTCGCGTTTGAAATATCTGCTCGACGCATCTGGCTTTCATTATGGTGAAATTCAAACGTTCAAGCGTGTAGCAGCTGATGGCAAACTCATGGCCATTTTGCTGAGATCAAACCATTTAAACCACCGTAACGCAGCTTAGTGCTACTACAGTGAACCAAAAATTATTCTAAACCATTTCGATTGATTAGAGATAAATATTATTCTGAAGTAAATTATTGAACTATACCGTCGTATTAGAAGAATAGTTGCCGAATCTTTGCGGTTGCTTTCACCTACCCTATTGGCCAGCCCCGGTTTAGTCAGCCACCTCAACGTCCCCAGGTGAGATGCGCCGCTTTCATAATGCCTTTCATCCCGCCATCATCATCCCTCGAAAAGATATACCGTCTCTCATTCCTCTTTAACTCATAATTCCATAGCTATCAATGAAACCCCCAAAAATGATGTCAAAGACCACCTTGCTCGCAGCCAAAGCTCCCTCTAATCCACCGTCGCCTCAGAACAAGCCGATTATCTCAATGCATCATGGAGAGGCAGAATGGACAGCTGTTTATCCCATTATTGAGAGATTGTATATGAAAGATCGGAGAAAACTTCGACACATCATGCAGATCATGGAGGAGAAATATAATTTCAAGGCATCGTGAGATTACCCATCTCCCTAGTTTTGTCATAAGCTCACATGGGACCCAGTGTTCAGATGTATAAGAGACGCTTCACAAAATGGGGTTTTTATAAATCAAAACAAAGAAATGGGAAGACTGCTTGCAAGAAAAAGGCCCCAACTCCAAAAAACACACCAGAGACTCAAAAGCGGCCTCACAGCCAGCCGCTTGTTCTCTCTCCGAGTCCAAATTCTTTGGAGACGAGTAGTCTTGAATTTCTTACAAGCATACATGACTGGAGCACTTCATTCTATGAATCTCTCCGTACCAAGGGATTACACCTACAAGATACTCATCCTTCGCAACCGGCTGGTAAAATCAACCGCTACGACCCAGAAGGATTAAGTTTCGCCTTTCGGATCATCGTTGAGCTCATACAACGCGGCAAAGGCATTTTAGCAGGGCGTTTAACCCGCAAAGCCTTTCTAGATATCGAAAATATGCTGCACGCTGAAGCGCCTTTGTTCATCTGGAATGTCTTGGAAATCATGTATCACATGGTCCGTCTTGGTCAGACACAGCTTCTTGGTATGCTCCTAGCGCAGTTAGTCGAACTAGCGAGTAATATCAATGAGATGAAACATCCCGTTATCAAGATGTTGAAAAGTTTGCAGAAAGCGGTGTATCATTGGGAGAAGCATGCTACACTTGAGAAAATGCGACTTCTTGAGCAGGCTTGGGGTTTGAATGCAGATATCATATGTAGGAACTACGACTCAAGGCTGTTGGTGGTATACTATCGCCTAGTCTGGGAATCTTCTTGTATTAAACTTGGCGAGGATCAACTGGACGGTCTTGATAAGTGGTTCTCAGCCGTGAAGAGCAAGATTCCGCACGAGGACTCTTATTTTCAACAAGCTATTCTATTCGCCGATCCTAGCACGACGGAGGAAACAGCACCGCCGAAAGACTACGAGATTACAAAAGCGCTTTGCATCTCAGCAATACAGCATCGCTGCACAATGACCTTTGGAGAGTCAAACATGGCAAGTCTTGTGCGCTTGGGCTTACTGAAGAGTCGTGTTCTTGGCGAGATTGACGAACAGTCAAGCGATAAGATGCCACAGTCCCACACGCGATTCCAAGCAAGGGTTATGGCCTATTTGATGAAGGTACTTATGGACGTTGATAGGGAACTCGGGTTGGATGTCGATGTGGCGGACAGAATGCGAAACAAGATCGCTTTGCGAGAGTTTGGCTACTCGAGTACCTCGCCGCAGGTTATACATGATATGTGGCAGCTAGAAGCCTTTTTGCGAAAAGAGGGACATGTAGCTGAAGCAGCAAAGATAAGGAGGGAGACCTATAAGAGGCTGGAAGAGTATGTAGACCAGGTCCCCGTCGACGAGGTCTAGCAAGCGCATGATTGACAGGCACAGAAGCAATGCAATAGATAGATGCGATGAGATGGTGAGATGATTTACCCAAACGCCACGAGTCTATGCTCTATAAAATGCCTTCCTATGCAACATCAACATGCCTTACAAATACAGTCACCTCATGAATCACGACCCAGTCGCTCCTCATCATCTTGAGTTAGTTCATACGCCGGCCGGAAACCCTCTCCATTTTGACCCTGCTTCTTCAGATGGGGGTTCGGATGTGTGTCCTTTATACCGCCTAGACTCGTGTAGCCTTGGTCGTATAGAGGACAGTACTCAATGCTGAGGTGTCGAATAAACTGGTCACGTTAGTTCGTTCGGCGCATGGTGGTGGGGGGTCTTACAGCCCAGATTTGGACTGTTCGGAGGTTAGTTAGCCATTGTTCGTTATAAGGTTATGAGAATAGAGCAAGGAGAGCGATGGAAGGAGGTCGTACCGTAATGCCAGTCAATAACAGGATGTATTCTCATAAACGACGGCCAGCCAGCGTCCGTCGGATCAAAGAACGTCAAGTTCTCACCATGAGGGTCCGTTCTTCTCGTTCCCACAAACACAGCCTTGATACTCGGTCGTTCCTCAAGGTATATCTCTAGCCCCTTCTTCATCGGTAACACGTAGCGCGCAACTTCGAGGCCGTATTCTTCGCTGGATGTCTCGACGAACGTGTCAACTTCGGGAAAGGGATGCGCGGCGACGATGTATACGCATTGTAGCTTTTCGGGAGGTGTAAGTTCAGAAGTGCCGTTGGTCGTGTCGGATGTGGAATAGTAATGTCGGCCCATGCGAGCGAGGAGGAGGATTAACAGGACGAGGCCTAGTATGATCAGTACCTGTCGCTGATACTTGAAAGACCTTTAAGAAGGACTTTTATAAAGCCCCAGACCCTCATTATGCGACTTACAGTCCTTTCCGCCATTATATGATAACGATATTTGTTCCGGTCTGCTTCCGTCAGCCCTTATCCGAACTTCCCCTGCACCAAAACGCACCGATATTTCTCCAACGCCTCATCCACGACCTCTATCGACTTGCGGACCTGATCTTGTACATCGCGCAATGTCTGTGTATCAGCCTCCTCAGCAATAAACGCTTCGACCTTTTGCTGGAGCTCGAGACACTTGTCGCGCAAGGAGCGGGGTGGCGGGGTCGATATCATGATGGCTCTCGATGCCTCGGATGTAAAGGAACTGGTGTTTGGGGTATTGTCTATGCGGTTTTCAAAATCGACGGTCTAGTTTAGAGAGAGAACAAGGGAGAGGAATTGATTCTAAGAGATTGTATGTGTTGCGACGAAGCGAAAGTTAATAGCTCCGGTTTCGCCGTATACATTAGCGATGGAGGGGAGGTACGTAAAGAGGTCCTGCTGGACTGCCGAGCGGCTTGCCATCACGTGCGCTACTGTTCTGCGATTCGGTTGCCGCATCACGTGCATCACTTACAAGAGTTGATAAGTAGTGAACAGATTTACCTCGGAACATAAAGAGAGCCATCATTTTTCACTGAAAGACATATCATGAGAGTATCTAAGGTATTTTTATGTAGCTGAATTTATAAATATACGTTCAAATCATCATCAACGCCCATAGGAAGCCCGATACTGCAATGCCGAGCATTAAACATGCACCATATCAGATCCGAATGCCAGCCTGATTAACCATTATCTCCCCCTGAGTTCAGATCTCCCCCAAAGGCTCAAGTACATATCTCCTACGGATATAGAAGACCTCACTGGATCCACTGCCAAGTCATAAACTTGATGGTAATAACATCGTCCTCGAAGCTAGGCACAAGCAGTCCGGCTGATCTCATCTTCACGGGACAGATCTCGTAGAAGATGCGACCGCGAGCCCTGAATCTTGCTGGAGGCACCTGGTCTTTCCGAGACTCAGGAGCGAGGAAATTCATGGGCATCTCTTGTTGGCGTGAATCGGCTGGAATCAAGAGTCTTGGCTGCAGGTATAGGTACAATGTTCGCAATGCAGGAAACAACGCCTTGAGATGAATCAGATACTGGGGCTTATAGCTTCTCTCGAGGTTGGAGTCGACCGGTACAGCCACGGTTCTGATAGTTTCTAGACCTTGGTATCGGTTGTTCCCTGGCAGCATGAATTCGGTAACGCCATGGAATGAACTTACAGAGCGGCGCTCTTGCCACCATCTATCTATCAGGACCAAGTCACTGGTTGCATCAATGTAAAGGCTGCTAAATGCCTTTGCCCTCCTGCCACCGTCATGTGAGTTGGCGAGAACTATGCGCGCAGGGACCCGTGGCTGCCAAAGACTCCAGCTTCGAGTGACCTCTTCACAAGACGCACGGCAAACTCGCATCAGACCGTAGTCGCTGTTGGGGTTTGATGCGGGCGGGAGAGGGAAATCCCCAAGGCTTGTTGGGAGAGTGTGTACTGCTTTCACTTGCCATGGCTGGCGAAACCAATCTTTGACGTCCACGAAGTAGGCCCGCGGAGCATCCACACAGAGAGCATAGGCCCAGATCATGTTCTGTATTTCTTGGGGCAACTGGCTGAATTTGTGAAATTCGCCACGATCGGCATTGCGTCGTTTAAAAAGCTTCTTGATGAATTGAAACATTTTTGTGTTTCTACTTCGTGAAAATAAGCTGTCGTTAATGGTCTGGAAACTCGGTAGCTTTATCGCTGTTTGTGATTTGGAAGATTTGCTCATTTTCGAGTTGGCGATTGAAGCACACTGGGCTTCTTATACTGCTTAATCCTGAAGTGACCGTAAACATGCTGTTGATGATTGGCACGTACGTCGGTGAACAATGCAGTAAGTTCACTATGTCTCATACTTCGAAATAAAGGAGATCAAATGAACTCATAGGAAAGCTAGGCACTAGCGATTGTCCGTTGTTCTGATTACATCCCTGTAACTGACACACGTGGCTAGGCCTGATTTGGAAGCAGCCGTTGTAAAGGAACCAACATGTAGGTTTTGCCTGAGTGCGTAGGACTCCCAGAGCCAGGTCCGGAGCAAATGAACCATCGAAGGGATCAGGATGTCTTCGACAAAAGATCATCATGCTTGCCACTAAAGCCTTCCAAAAGCTTTCACACAACACTCCGAGCTTGAGCTCACGATTCTCCTCAATGAATCGTTGCTCATCTTCACTGCATGTGAAGTATTAAACGCTCGGATCAGAGGAGGGATCTTCATGCGGCAGAATGGTAATGCATAGTCCATGAGATAACGGTTCCCCAGGAAGAACAGCCAGCTGTACAGAACAATACTGGGCATCTGACGATACCATCAGTCCGCTCGTAGATTGAGGGGTAAAAGGGCTCCAAGTCATAGGGAATTGGGGGGGAAAGGCATCATGATGGGGGATGGTGCTTCGATGCCAGTACTGCTGATACCGGAGGTGAACTTCGTACTCAACCAAGAAGACTTGGACGAGTACGAAAGTAACGAGAGGGCAAGACATAGTGACAGGTGGGGGAAATGGTGAACTCTGGAGAAAAGAAGAAGAGGAGGAAAAGGATGGAGGGGACGAGTATATCAATCAGAGACGAACAATGCTCTCGCACGTGATTCGATTGTCTTGGATGAAATTGAGATGTCATAATGGTTTATGTTAAGCCATATATTTTGGATCCCGCGGTTGTCGTTACTAATATGATACTCAACATCCGCGCGAGAGGGCATCCAGCCTCCTCATCCCGAGTATCAAACGTGTTACCCGATGCCAACGTGCACTATATCCACTATATTATTACACAGAATACTATGAGACTCCTCAGTTGTTTGATACCTCGTCGTCATTCTTGCAGTGCATCCGTCGGGTGTTGACCTCCCTCATGCGGCAGTCTGCATATCTGCCCACGCTTCGATCACCAAACGTCAAAGTGCATCAGCGTATCGAGTCTAGACTAGCACCCGATACCAAACGTCTTTCCCGTTGTATTAGTCATTATCTCGGACCGGGGAAGCCTTCCGTAGCCGTGCCAAAGTATGATACTGCCCTGCGGTTGTCACGTATGATCAATCTGCATCTCGCCATCCCTCCACCGTATCAAGAATCTTTTTGGCATTCTCCAAAGCCGTTTTCTCCGTTGAATCAATCATCAAGCCTGGATACCCCTGAAACTTGAACAGCTCACAACGCCCCCTCATATCTCGCAAAAGACACTGATCGAGTAACTTCGTAGTTCCACTCGCCACCCGCTCCGTGTGGTCTACCCGTTCAATGTTTGCCTCAAGACCGCAAGTCAAGTATACAGGAAGAAAGGGGCGGCCTGCATAACTTGCAGCGTTTGCGTACTCTTGTGCCACACTTTGACCCAGCTCGTTGTCCGATTGAAAGTCTAATGAATCTGAGTATTAGCTAGATGATGGCACGGAGGAGGGGGGGTGTACCTGTGAAGACGACGAGGTGATCGTGGCTGGAGGGATGGAGTACGTGTCTTTGTAAAATGGTCTGACGGTATTGTTTTCGTTGGGTGTTGTATTCTGGGTGATCTCTGGAGATTACTGCTGCTACGGGGTCGATCAACTTGTGGTTGTCTAGCACTAGGATGTTGGGATCGAGTTGCCTCATAGCGTCAGCGATGGTTTTCTTGCCAGTACCTGGGAAGCCGTTTATCCACACCACAGGTGCTTTTATTGTGGTCGGCATCGTTACAGTTCGATGTGACATGAGAGGCGACGATGGGTTCTGGGGTGTAAATCCTGGAGTTTGTGAACGCTGCAATTATTTCGATGACAATGAGGCAAAGGTTGACATAGGATTTACATGATGAATCCGATTTGCAATGGCCAGTAAGTTTATCTGTTCTTTGTAGATTTGCATTATAAACTATAAATGGAACATCTAAAGCTTGAGTTGGCTATCATGAAAACCGTAAAAAGCCAATATTGCCGGACTCGAAGTTATGCTGAACTCAACTCGTAAACTCATCGTATATCGACCTTAAACATTTGCGAAAATGATGACAATCGGACGAGTCAAATTATTATCCTTCGATGGATTTCCTGATCCCGTAACCACCACGGGTTCTGTAAGACTTGCAATGAGTTGGAAACGAGAGCAATACCTATTGTCGTTTCGGAACTGAAGGCGGCAGTGGACGTCAACCTTGGTGGGAGATGAAGGAAATACTGTTCACCCGTCAATACGCCATCGTAACTCAGTCTCACACGATCCCATCCAGCATGATGGTACTTGCTATCGAAGCATTATCTATGATGATCTGACAGACTGTCCCATAATGGACACCGTACCACGCAAATCCAGGTAAGAGATTGCTGAAGGGTACAGGGTAGCCAGGAATCAGTGTAAGACAGTGTGATCTTCTCCAAATACATGCCTTCACACATAAAAAGTACCATTGATTTTAGCGCAGCAGGTAGTCCGTTTACAAGGTTTTGACTCTGGTTTATATTCACTGATTCTGCTACCTCGCTGCTACTCGTAGGTTGAAAAGCCTGTCAGTGCGCAAATCATCAGTAAAGAAGAGATAAGCATCTCAAGACTAAATGGCACATCATTTATCTACCGGTCTTAACGGGGAGGATGCAAGAGTATAACCCAAGATACCTATAGATATGAAAGTCCGTTCTCTATTGGCACTGTGTCTTAGTCTGTTCAGAAACCAACAGCCAGGATATCCATGGCCTATTGGGTTTGAGTTCACCAGTAAGTGATCAAGTCGTTCGGGACTCAGACTGTTGTATCACGGTCAAGAAGTTTAATACACTGGCTTTACTAAGAATAATCCCAACAAACTTTGTTGATGTCATTTCGGAGGGCACTGCATGACTCGTGTTGTCGTCAGAGAGAGTCTTATCTTTTAGTGTCATCATAACTCAAGCCTCATACGCCAAGAGCCACGATCCATCCAACGTCAGATTTCGATAACGTTACAATTTAACTTCCCACTCATTTCAGATTATTTACATCTCTCACTCATTTTCTTCTTTTATTACATGTTGTTTCACTACAGCACACTGTCAAAATGGCACTCAATCGAGTTGCCCCCGAGGTTCTCCTCGAAATCTCTTACCATGTCGATCATGAAGATCTGCGAAAACTTTGCGCCGTGTCTCATCGTCTAATGTCTGCATTTGAACATCAAACATACTCAATCATCGAATTAAACGAAACCTCACAATCTGGAAGTGCCTTATTGGCTCTCGCATCTGGACCTCGAAGGGATATCGTTCGCGAAATTCGATACAACCCTCATCATCCTTGGCCAGCTCGAGACAGGAGACACAAGCCTGAGATCAAGCTCAGTGATGAGACTCGAACAGCACTACAATCTCTTACCTTTTTCCCGTCCTTGGACAAATTTAAATTCGACCTGAGTCACTGGGAGTTATCGGAATGGGCTCTGTCACCACAGTGTTTGAACCGTTGGGAGTTTCATCTATGGCATGGAAAACACGATACAGAGCCTTGGAGAGTTCTTATCGAAGGGAGTCTACTGGCGCTAAGCAAAAGTGCGCGTTCCTTTTCTCGACTTGAGATCGATAGTCTTCCGCCAACTGGGCGAGAAGCATATCGTGCATGTGAGTCAGAAACGTGGAAAGATCTTCTTAAACACCTGGCGTCGTTTGAGATGACACTTGCTGGTGTCGGATACATGGGACATGGCGGGAGTTACATGTATGGAAAGATGACTTCAGCACACCAGGCGTTCATAACTCTCTTCCCGGAGATGTTTCTGGAGAATCTGCATAATGTTCAGGTCTTGCGACTCACTGGGAAGATGAATGCAGTCATGGGCAATGAGCAACTTGTGGAACCCATAAACTGGGCATCTCCGTCTATCAATCTACCGCGCCTGACAACATTAGAACTGGATTACTCTCAGATCTCGAGCCAGCTCTTTGCCTTTCTTTCCAATCATGCAGGGACACTCGAGAAGATCAGTCTGCGGAACTGTATAGCCCCAGCCAAGCAAATCTGGACCAACATCATCAACCTCTTCCTCGACAGACAGCCCAAACAGCTGCTTGAATTTACGACCACGGCGCGTCCAGTGCATAAACGCATTGGAGATCCCTTTGCTGATATTTCAGACGGATTGGATGTCAAAGTGAGGAGGTTCGTGGTTGGACTAGCAAATCATGATATCGTACCAGTAGAGGAGTGGGCCGCTGTTAGTGATAATGATCCGGAACTTGACGAGTCTGATGTTTGCAAGCTGTGGGATCAACTTGAGGAGATGTTGGAGCGGAATAGGTGCCATGCGCGAGGCTTGTTGCAGGAAGCTAGCCGTTAGCACGGACATGAGCGAACATTCATGAAGCCATCACGAGCGAGTTGCATTGGCCTCTGGTTGCACGAGTTGCTTGAACCTTAAACATTCTAAGCTTCTAGTATATACTTCTAAATATAGTCATTTTATCATAAGCGCAAACAAGCATATGGAACAGGTATCATCGCTAAGCCCAGAAATACAAACACTTTGATGTAATCACCCATCCCATCTCGGCGCATTGATGATCAGTGCCATGAAACAGCCCGACATGACTCCCGTCACCGGCAGCGTAATTAACCAACCCATGTAAATCCAAAGCACAAGCTTCGGATTAATACATCTCCAATCCCCATTCGCCAGCCCAACGCCCACCGTAGCTCCCGTAATGCACTGCGTAGTAGACACGGGTAAAGACAGCCTCGTTGCCATGAGCACCGTGATTGCACTCGCGAGCTCCATGCAGAAACCACGGCTTGGCGAGATGAGCGTCAAACGATTGCCTAGCGTCCGCATGACGTGGTAGCCGTAGGTCAACAGTCCGACAACGATACATGCACCGCCTACGACGAGGATCCAGATCGGTATGGCGACGAATTCGGGTATGCCTCCGCTGGACCATACTTGATATGCTGTTGTGAACGGGGCGACTGCGTTACTGACGTCGTTTGCCCCGTGGACAAAAGATGCTGTTGCGGCGGTGAGGATCTGAAGAGCGGAATACATGTACTCTGCACGGTTATCATAGTGCGCGGATCGAGCGTGCATGTCTTCCAAATCCCAGTTGAGGATATTGTTCCGCTTCTGCATAGCCACGACGTCCTTCTCCAGTCCGCGGAGTAGCACGCGGTTGGCTTTCCATGCCATTACTTTAGGGCTGTTCCATGAGCCGTCGGGTCGGGGAGGTATGAATTCCGATGAGGCGCGAGGCTCGAAGCGACCTGGGGGAGTTTTGGGTGGTGTTTGAGCTGGCGGTGGGAGAATCCATTCATCGTCACGATCGAGATCGGGTAACTGGCCGTCTGGTGTTTGAATCGATTGGAGAAGAGTTTCGGAGGTACGTAGGTGGCTGAGTTCCTCCCGCGTGAGATGCCCCTGGTAGTAGTCTCTGATGCGAGGCTTAGTGAACCCAGCTGGTGTCGGTGGAGGTGGTGATCGCCAGAGGAGGAGTGGTCCTTGAAAGACATGATACCATTTGAGAGTCCAATCCTCGTGCATTATTCTCGTCCACAGGAAGGGAAGGAGAAAGAATATTTGGAGGAGAGTCATCCCAGTGGCTGTCGCAAAGACTGAGATGACGATGTCTCGAGTAGATAGGTTGATAGTATGGATCCCTTTCCAAACGAGAAGCATCGTGAGTGCACCTACTGTCAAGTAGGTATAGAACGGAATGGAGTAGAATGCCCTCCTAACAGCTGTTTGTTTCGTCAAGATGAACTTCTTGGTGAACATGAACAGTACAAACCCCATACAGCCTGCGATCAACGGCGCAATGATCCACGCCGCAAAGATCTGCGACACACCATGCCATCCCCAATTGATCTTTGTTATGCCTATCGACGCTGTAGCTGCTCCGACGAGTCCTCCGATGAGCGAATGAGTAGTTGAAACGGGTAATCCTTGCCGAGTCGCGAATGTCAGGAAGAGCGAGGACGACATGATAGTGCACATCATGACAAGAAGTAAAACACCGGGTGAACTGTCGTAGTGATGAGGGTCGACAATCTTCGTTCGGATGGTATCTGCCACTCGAGACCCAACAGACACACTGCCACTGAATTCGCAAACTGCTGCTACGAGCATTGCTTGCTTCATGGTCAGCGATCTCGAAGAGACCGACGTGCCAAACGAATTGGCGACATCATTGGCGCCTACAACGTCAGCATAATCCAGCAAGATATCCAAGAGACTTACCAATGTTCCAGGCATCGAGGCATGCAAATATAACAGTCAGAGCAAAGATGTAATCATACTGATGAAGCACCGCCATCTCATTCGGGGTAATAACAATAATAGAGTATCAAGAGTTTGCTGCTGTCTCCACGACAGCGATGTTCTCAATCCATGATCAAGCCAACCATTAACAAAGGCCGATAAGCACTGGTCAAAGCATAAGCTGCAGTCGACGATCGTGGGTCCCAAGCTGCCTTTAAACACCCAAAGGACTGGTTAAACTATCCGCGCTCCCGCAAAAAGTGTGCGTCCTTGCGAAGCTATGATTCGATAGGCGAGATGCTAGAACCTATCTTGGCTTTTTCTGGTGAAGAAACGGTCGATGCAGGGGGTGAAATTGATCGAATTGAGGACCGAGCGAGACTTGTTTGAGATGTTGCCGTGATTTGGGGGCTTGTGGTGGTGAAGATGTCGATGAGCCAATGATAGGATTAGGATGGAGCACGAGGTTGATGAGAGACGCGTGTTGAGGCGATAATAAGAAGGATGATACAATTTAAGAGACTTGGCAGTTTAGAAGCTGAGAAGGTTATTCCAGTGGAGTCAACGGATATTCAAGGCGTTTGTGTGTCATTGTGGCTCGTATACCATGACTTCATCCTCGCCTGGCTTGAGTGAAGCCATTTCATCACCACCACAACAAGACATATCAACCAGCAGCTCCACGAATAAGCATCTCTCTTAATATGAGTCAACTTCTTAGACAAAGATCTCACTGCGGCCGTTACCGAAACAGCAATCGAAGATATCACATCACTTCGATCTCCTTGACCGAGCTCAGACGTCATGCTAACAACGCCACACCTACATATTGACACCGTCGATAGTATCTTAGCGTCTCGGCTACATCTTTATTTCAAGAGCCCCTTGTCTGTGAGGCTCCAGGAACAGCCTTAATCCCACGTGCCATTGAAGCCACCCGATCGGGCGACCGAAGTGCCCGACATCATGAGACGATGTGTCAGAGGTCAAGACAGTTTTTTGACTTGGTGGGTGCCTCTTTCGAAACTCGTGACTGTTGCAGTGTAAAGTCTATCAAGGTCGCAAGGAAAAGAAGCAAAAGTGTTGATGGCGAGGTTCTCTGATTTCTTTCAATTCGGGGGTGGAAGCTACCAGACATATTCTACTATGACTATAGAAGTTTAAGCTTCGCTGAAAATGATCAGAATCAGCCATTCTTATCGTGCGACCTGTCAGAGATGTTCAGCCCAGGCACCTCTAAATCGTAAATGAAGCAATCACCACTCCAAAAGATACGTACCTCTTCATCCCGATCATTCTCCACTTTGTGACCGATCAAACATGTCAATCTAACCTCGGCCCGTCTCTTCCCCGATCTGCATCACTTCCTCTATCAATTCGCCATCGCATTCTCAATATCCAAACCATACTCGATTCCACCAAACAACCACCCACGCCTCAAAGAACACACAAACACAAGCAACTATGTCACGCCTTCTCCCCCGCCGCATCCTCCTAACCCCCCTCCGCACAACCCGCTTCTCCTCAACCTTCCAAACCCGCCCATCACCACCAAAACTCCCCGCCGACCAACAAGCGGAATTCGAGCGTCTCCAGCGCGCAGCCTCCGTATCATCCGCCTTCCAGCCCGAAGAAACCACAGCCGCTGCCACCACGCCTGCCACGTCGCAGGTTCGTCACACGACTACGCCCGAAAAGACAGATGATGTAAATATTGGCTTGTTCCGTGGCGCGCCGCCTGAGTTTGAGGGTGATACGAATCCCAAGACTGGCGAGGTTGGGGGGCCAAAGAATGAGCCTTTGAGATGGGGCGGAGAGGGCGATTGGTCTTACAATGGACGAGTTACGGACTTCTAAATGTCATCGAAGCTGTGTCTACAAAAGGGAAATTGGGTTCAACATGTGGTGGCGACTGTACAAAATTGTATCAAAACTAGACGGGGCGGCATAGACTCAAAGGCCAACGCCTTCTGATTAAACTTGTTATTATCATAAGAGGGGTATTCTGATGTTACAAGACCTTGGTTTCTCTGCCTTGCAATGCAATGACACCAACGCCTTTTAATGAACATGTGACAAATCGTGACGACCAGGTCATTGATCCGTCTTCTCCTCTGAGGCTGGAGTTTCGGCGGCATCATCCATCTCCACGTCCTGAGCCTTTGCCTCGCTCTTTTCTTTGTCTCCTTCGTCGTTTGCAGATGACTGATTCTCCTTGTCGCCTTCTGCTACGGGGTCATTATTCTTCGATGTGGATGGTTCAGGCTCCTTTTTTCTCCATGTGGCAGATATTCCTCCTCTTATTTGTCCCTCTTTGTCTTTGTCGAGGTCAATGCCGTTGATATTGTCGAGGCCTCCTTTAACCTCGCGCATAGCTTTACGCATGCGCTCACGTCGAGCTTTGCCGCGAAGTCGAGCCTGTGGCTGTGCGCCGTTCTCAACCCATCGTACACTCTTGATCATATAACTTATTCCGTCGTGAACCGAGTGGCGATGGCCGTAGTCTCCACCAAATTCTCGGCTAGAGATCCCATGTCGCGTGGAGGAATAATATTTGACCAATCGAGGAAGGATCAGAACGTTGACGTGCAGATCGCGTTGCGCAGGGATCGACATGGGTCCGCTGGGGGGAGGGACGGTGATGAGGTCTTCGGATTCGAGGTCGACAGTCGAGTTCGTTGGCTTCTTACGTCGCTTGTCGGCGACTCCCTGATCAATATCCAAAACCGAGTTGTCAACGTCCTCGGCCCATTCTCCCTTGATCCAACCACTGTGGATGCACGCCGCAACAACATCAGAATCGTCGGTATAAACGTCAGTACCCCACAGATATCCTCGTGAAGTTATCTCTTCTCTTGCGATTGACGAGAGATGAATTCGTGCGACCTTGACTGTTAGGATACAATTCTCCTTATTCTTAATCATATCCCATGGCAATGGTTTTGGGTTGGAAGCAAAAGCTCGGTGTGTAGAGGTACTCGGTACTAGTCGCCCAGGTTTCAGTCCGGGGTCGTAGATGAAATCTCCAAGATGGTGCCTGGGTCGGTCTGAGACGGATTCCAACACAGCCTTTGATGATATAATTGTTTTCGATTTCGGAGGGATGACCGGAGCCGAGTTCGTCACAGCTTGTTTCGCTGGCTGGTGCTGGTGTGTATGTATAGGTCGAGGAGGATGGTGGTGATGAGGAACAGGTAGGCCCTTTTCGCCAGGGGGAGCACCGGTCTTGAAGTTCTTGAAAGGCGCAGCACCAGTTAATGGCGCGGAGTCGGCTGGGTGATGATGATGATGGTGCGGATGACTATTACGGTCAGCGAAATCAACAGAAAACGGCAAGCCAACATACTGATGATGATGGTGATGCTGGTGAGTCTTGGGACGCTTTGCCCTGTTTGCTGGAGTCGCTCGTCCTGAGCTATCATCATCGCCCTTTCCATCATCGTCCTTTAGCTTTCTCCTTCTGCCTTTGGTGCTCTTGCCTCCTGCCTCTGTACCTGATTCGGGTGTTATGTTCTCTGAGTCCTCGCGCTTAGCGAGACTTGCATTTGTAAAAGGCACGGCTGTAGAAGCGATGGGACTTGAAACTCCCATGACTCCATTGCCAATACCCGCAAACATGCGACCGAATTCGCTCTTGATTCCAGGCTCACCAGTTGGTCCAGGTTGCTGTAATTGCGCGCCCTGTACCGCTTGTGGGAGTGGTGAAATTCTACCCTTTCGATTCATCTCCTGAATGGCTAACAAGTTACGCTGGCCGTTCGGAGCTGAAGCGTCGTCACTGTTTCGATGCCGGGGAGAGTCATATTGTCCAGGGCCATGAGCTCCGTTGTAGGCAATTGTAGGTGGTGGAGGCCCTTCCTCTGGCCTTCGATGGGAATGTTGTGGTTGTTGTGTAGGAATCAAAGTCATACGTGCTCGATCGGGGGACTCATAAGGTGCCGGTCCAGGTGGCATATTCTGAGCTGGCGGATGTGAGGATGGCGCGTATCGATCGGGTGGGGGCCCTTGATAAGAGTGGCCATGAGGAGGATAAGGCGCGCCAGGGGGGTAATCGGGATGTCGCTGATGATCCATAGGTGCTCGATAGCTGGGATCAGGGCCTGGGCGACCCCATTGTGCATCTCTGGGGTCGCGATTTTGAGGATCACGAGGGTCGCGGGGATCTCTGATGTCCCTCGGGTCACGATCAGGCGGTCGGCCGTACGGTAAAGGATTCCGAGGTGGTTCGCGGTGTCCATAGTCACCAGGATGTATCGAATGTCTTCCCGAATCGCTGCCAGAGTATGCGCGCTCTCTTCTTTCGCGTTCACGCTGCTCTACTTCACCCATTCGCTCACGTTCTGCCCTATACCGATCCTCGTACGGGTTAGGTCGCAAACCAACTCTTTCAGGGTTGTATTCCATGCCAGGCGGAGGTCGGCCCATATCATCTCGTCGTCCATATGCTTCTTCTGGCCCTGGCGGTCGTCCCATCTCCATCGGTCGAGGCATTCCCGGATACTTAGGCTGGCTGCTCGGCCTTGGAGGGGGCCCCGGTGGTAACCTGCCAGGTTCTCTTGCATGATCTGCAGAGCCTGAGGGGTGCCTTGAATAGGCAGAAGGTGTGCTGTAGCGTGGGACTTCGGGTGTGGGATAGTGTCCAGGCGGTGAGTTTCTGGGCTCGTAAGGTCGCTGATGATCGGGAGTTTGAGGTCGACGAAATGGCGGGTAGTTGGAAGTTGCAGAGTGCATTCGCGGTGAAGCATGTACTGCAGTCGCGAAGCCAGGACCAGAGACTGGTGGCCCAGAATGAGGCGGATAATGCGATGGCGGAGGTTGCGATTCGCGCATGGCTGGAGGTGGGCCGCCCAACATTGACGATATCGACATGGAGCTGTTACTGCTGCCTGATCTCGCCAGCGCGCCGAGGGCAGGAAGTTCGCGACCTGAAGGAAAAGACATCGGGGGACCGACAGCAACAGGAGGACCAGGTTGCGGAGGAGGTGGACCGTAGCCCATCATGCTGTGCGCCTGTTGAGTTTGCGGCGGTTTCGCCCCCGGTTGAGGAGGCGACGTCGGAGGGGGCATTTCGCGATTGAGAGTTCGGAGAGAGTTAATGGCTGTAGAGCTTTGGAAACGCGCGTGATTTGATTCGTGGCTTGTATGGCGGATCGTTGGAGTATAAATCGAGGTGTCGGAGGGTCGTCGTTGGGCCAAACTGTGAGGAGCGGCATACGCAAGGTTTTGATCGGGGCTCAAATTCTCAACATGAGGATGATGAAAAGATTCGGCGCGCGCGACTCGATAAGAATGCGGAGTAGGTGAGGCGAGGGGATAGAATACGGCCGTTGTCGCGCTGGCCGAGGCGCTACCAGCAGAAGGGATCGTAATGACGCCGTTTGGTGTTGACGATGGTTGTTTTGTTGTTGTTGGAGAAGCGGAAAATGGAGCTGGATTTGGAACTGGAACTGGAACTTGAGGGAAAGGAGAAACAATAGCGTATGGCGACGGCGAAAAGGGAAGCTTGGGCGGATGCCGTGGATCCATGGCGCCAATTTTTTAGCTCCAAAATTCCCTTTCGCTTTAACAAGGCGCTTTTCCTCTTTGGCCTGAATCCACCCAATCCTGTTCCCACCCCAGGAAATCTCCAAAGAAAAAAAATGCCAGTCAGTGGAGGTCGAATCCACTAACTCTAGTCAGGTAACAAATTCAACGTTTTGAGTTGTCAGTCGTGTCGTTTCGGTCTGCGATAATTGGGTTTGCGCTGGAGGGGAAAACAAACGCTGTGCCTCGGAGGTAAAAGTAGAATGCGCAACTGATGTATCTGCAGTGAATCAGATCGCACAAGAGCGCGCGCGCAAAGTTCAGAAGCGAAAAAGCAAAACGACTGTGATTATGCGACAAAAACGCGAGCGGTAAGCAAAAGATGTACATACGGTTACCACACACGAACACGCAAAAAGCAAGGGACACACCCATACGACACGTGCCAGAGGTGAGAACAACGTGATACTGACGAGACACAGTAATGGTCCAAATGTTGGAAATTTCGATGTTTATCTTGAAGGAGTAGAAGATAGATGGCTTCACGAGGTGACAGTCCACTCACTCGTCTCAACCACACACAGTTGAAACTGAGGTGTTGTGCTGGCTGGCTCGAAGCAGGACAGAGGCGTGATCAGAAACAATCACATCACCCAATGAATCGACTTTGTTGTTACACTGCTGTGCCCCGGCTGGGGTGTAATAAGAATCCGATTTTGTACTAAGATCGAGACTAACAGAGAAGGAATAGCAGGGTTATGAGTTGATATCATGACAAGTATGAGCTCAGGCCTTGTTCTCTTATCTATCTGTCGCAAAACCGAAGATATCTCCTCGACTCACTTACGTTCACCTCGTCGGCACAATGATACTGTATGAATACCGTGTCTAGCTCGTCATGGCTTGAACGCCCAGGACCCGCGCCGAAAAAGATGGACAGGGATCGGGGCATGGGGAGAATGCGCCAGGGGGAGGACCTTGGGAAGCGGTGGGCGCTAAGTGGACAGTGAGACATGGATGGGCGAGTGACACACACAGCACACACAAGATGGGCAAAAGACCCTGTTGGTGGTCTTTTTTGCTTGAATCAGGTTCAATTCGATGGCTGGTAGGTACAGCACTTGAGAGGAGGGGGAGGGGGGGGCTGTTTGTCAGAAAGGCCATGCACAGCGAGTAAGTAGAACGGCAACGGCAGACAGGGAGCTTGATGTGATGCAACACTGAACCCGGCGACAGCTGACTCGGAGCTGGGAGCTGGAGGTTGGAGCTCTCATTATCACAAGCAAACTCGAGTCTCACGAGTATTTTAAGCTCAGGGAATATCCCGCTACATACCCCTCAGCATGGCACTCAATCAGAGTGCCCTGAAGTGCTCAGCTTGGGACTCTAGCTCATTCTCGAGTCTCTTCATGATCAACCATCTCATCATGCCCATGACGCCAGAGAATGAAAATCTCCAACAAAAAGCTTTCAAGCTAAACTAGTCCCAGTTCGCCCCAAGCCTTGTCTGCCGTGGCCGCGGTCCATCTGACGAATGAGACGACACCTGAAATACCCTCCCAGAACAGCATGACAGGGGTCATGTGTTCCACTGTCTGTTCATATGTTTGTTTATCCTCACATTCCCGAGACTGGTCTTACAGTAACTGACAAGTAATAAAAAGGCATGGAGGAGAGACACAGCTCACGAATGTGTTGACTTTCACCGGGTGAGATGCCCCCTCAGATCAATGAGTGTCACTGTCTGACAGTGAATACAGGGCTGGTCTTGTTCTCGTCTGCCATGACTTGAGTGACGTTACCCCATATCTTTTGGTTGAGAGCTGGCATGTCGGCATCCAATCACCCCTGGCCTGTTTCCATTTATGGCACACCTCAGCGAAATGATGAGCGGAGCAAACCCTTTCTTTCTTTTTCTCTTTTGCTTTCATTTTTCACCGCCTTGCGATTACGATTCGCGGCATCATCATCCGTCGTTCCGTCATGCAAGGTTCTTACTCAGGAACAAGATCAACAAATCTTCTTTTTCAGTTCTCTTCTTTCCAGCGGAAATCTCAGTTCTCGTGCATCTGTCCGCCCTTCTTCATCGTATCGTATTTTCATGCTGTGCGCTTAGTTGAATGTGGTGTTTGTGCGGTGTCGATCCCATGCAGCTGTGCCTGCGGCTATCCCGTTCTGATTCTGATTGACGAACCATCACCGACCGTGCTTGATTCAGATGCTGACAGGGTTTCGCGACCTGGTTGTTTGTTGATCAGCCGAGGCGTTCAGTGACTATTGGAAACAACATGATTGCTCATATTGTCAGTTTGGCTCTGCTGGATCGCGTACAAAGAAATTAATCATTGTTCATTTATGATAATCTACAAGTGAATGTTCCCGTCAATCTCAGATGCAAAATTTATTGATCATGTGTCATAACTCGATCTTCTATATTTAGCTTGATCGGTGAATATATCCCTGTTCAACATCATATCACGGTCCTGTGATCTTAATGTGCTACCCTAGAGGATATCGCAACACCTAGAAGCTGAATACTCACGATTATGATCTTCGTTTATCATGCTGCGCTTGTTCATAGGAGCGAATAATTATTTGAATCCAGCAGGCTAAATTATATACGCTGATACCCGATTATTACCTGTTCTCTTGTGGTGTTCTCGAAATCATCCTAATGTACGGAAATACTACTTCATAAACACCCATTCGTTAAGAGAACACAGATTTGAGCTGTGATTCGGTTACCGCCAGCAATGACTTGCACCAACGTGTATTTAAATTGTCGAATAGACTGAGTAGCAATACATCAAATTATCTCTCGACATCGTTTTCACGACAGCTACCACGACTTTTCACCAGCACTTACAATTTCATCGTGGAATACACTAACATCAACAAGATCACCTCGAATTGGTTGAGATAGCAAGAGGGGCGACTCGAACTTCTAATTCAAAAAGTTTTACTCATTGCAAGTGTCTATATAAAAGAATTATCCAAGTCAGCCGTCAAGCTCCATACTCTGTGCGCAGGCCACGTCTATGAATCACAGTACCTGCTACCAGCGCATTCGTTTGAACAGCCGACTATACCCCTATACTAAGGTACCTCACTGATTCTCTTCATCATGAGTTCTTCCTCCTCTACAAGCCCTCAATCAAGCTCTCAAGGCGAAACTATGGCTCCACGACGTCTTGCTGACTATATCGAGCGTATCAAGGAGGCTGACCAGACTTCATCGCAGACTACAGCTCGCCCCTTCAACAACGGCACGGCAACACAGCCTCCTATTATACGAGGTCGAGTCAACCGTATCCTAATATTCCCTGGCTCCTTCAACCCACCTCACCAAGGTCACCTCAATCTCCTCAAGCATGTCTTCTATAATGCAGGAGCAGACCTCAACATCATCGCAGCTATCATCATCACCACTGATGATGAGAGACTAAAGATGAAGATGGATAAGAGGGAGACCGGTATCGTCCTTTCTCGCGAGAAGCGAGCTAACCTCTGGCGTGGTGATGGCATTCCTGTTGACTGGGCATGGGTCTACGATAACTCTGAAGCCAGCTGGCCAGGATTCCGAACCAAGCTTGTCAATACGTTGAAGAGGGATGGAGTCGACATCAAGTTCGTTCTTCTCTTTGGTCCAGATGCCATTACTGCAGACGGCGGGTATAATCCTACATGTTGGGACTGCGGCGATGCTATCACCAGTGACATCTCTCGCCCCGTCGACTTCCGCTATCCCAACAGTCTTCGACAACTCGCGGGCTGCACACCATGGGTAAACCTCCAGGATGGCCGAGCTCGCTTCGATAACAAAGTCTCGATCTGTCGCCAGAACCGAGTCCGGCCCAGGGGCACTGTCCGATTCGTACCATGTGATCTGGACCGACGATCTCAAGATGCGCCTAGTTCGACTAAGATTCGAGGGATCATTGAGAGCTCACCCCAGGAAGAATGGGAGGAGAAGTTGAAGGGTGTCGCACTCCACCCGAAGATTTTGGTTGAGTACCTCAAGGAACTTCCACCGCCTACAAAGCCTGCCGAGTCAAAGGAGGATCTTGCGAAGAAGCAGTGGGAGAGTATTGTTTGGTAAACACCAAGGCTGATGTATTTGTATTGAGGGGATTTTCAGGCACTTGGCAGCCATGTCTTGATATCGAATGACGGAGTTATTCTGGAGTTGGTCATGAAGCAGTAGCACATGTAAGGCGCTGGGAGTTCTCAGAGTGAATGATATAGATAAAACAAAATACAAAAAAAAAGAACAACACGAAACTCAGATCCCAACTGCAGTGATGTCCCTAGTAAAGTTAGAAGCCGTATCCCTCATCACCCTGCACCGTTCCTCCATGCCATAATAAGATAAAACTATTTCTTAAGCCCTAACTTAACACGGCATGAAAGCGACCGTGAAAGATGACGAGGAATATGATCCTTCCGACTGAAATAATCCCCACAAGCTTCGCAAGTTCCACTCGGATCGGGGATCTTGTTCACTCGAGCATATTCCTTGTGAGATACCCAATAGTGACGATGAAGTTCCCTCTTGTCTGCCCCGAGATAGTCGCAGTTGTTTTGGAAGACGCAATTCAGACGACGGTTATGTTTACGATTGTAATGTTTCCTGATCAAAGTTAGAAAACCTGTAAGTGTATTAAGGTGTGATGTGAACTGACCTGTAATTGGCTCCTTGCTTCCAAGATCTTCCGCAACACACTACCTCCCCCGTCCCTGATACTAATTAGCTGACGTTGACGAGATGACGATGGAAGAGATCTGACTTGCCCGTAGCATGTTCGTCTTCACTCCTACTCTCAGACCTATCATCCTCGGAACCACTACTATCCAACGACAATCCCGCTTGTAGATCGGCCAGTCCACTGACGTGTGGATCAAAGCCATAAATACGTGCATGATTCCCAGACTAAATCTGAGGCCTGGGAGTGCTGTAGGAAGTGTTGGCTGAAGTTTGCTCGTTACCATAGTAAGTTGGGCTGTAAGAGTCAATAGTATTGTACTCTTGGGTTGGGTACTGGTGATGGTTCGGAGGAGAATTGCCAGGAAAGAAGCCTTGATACTGCTGAACTGCCCACTCGGAACGCCTCACCATAGACTTGACCTCTAAAACCATGTTAGCTTCTTTTCAAGTGACTGAGATACTAAAGAGAACTCTTACTATGGTCCGGAAAGTCTCGCTCAATGTCAATGTCGTTGAAAAGCCCCATCGTGAAGATGGTAAAATCACCAATTCAAAACGCCGGCATAAGAATCGCAGCCTGACGTGACCACAACAGCGGCTATTGCTTCCGATAGCTAATATCAAGCGAAGCAATGAGAACTGACTCCGTTGAAAGAGTGCAATGCGCGCGACTGAGTGTAGTTTAAATACCCGCCTACTCATCAATCAGCCCTGCGATGTTCAGTCCAAAGATCTTATCACCGCCCAACCATAGCCTCACTTTCAACCCGGGGGCCGGCCATTTCATCATCGATACCGACCAATCTCCCAATGCGAAATACGCCTCGCGGGTTGGCATAACGGGCCAACAAGTGCTGGCTATACGCATGATTGGCGAGAGATTCATAAGATGGTGGTAAGATCCTTGGGCCTGCATGTGACGGCCCCCGTTGTTTTCTCTTCGAACATGTTCGTTTCCTCTGCAGACTTTTCGAAGTTCAAGTGACCTATAATACCCAAGATGACGGAAGAAGTAGCCAACATGAAGAATTTCAACATAACTTATTATTCTTTACCTAAGGAATACTTAAACTTCAAATTTATGGGTAGACTTCTCTTTCTTTGGGATATTTTTGTACAGTTTTAGGTACTTATTTTATATAATCCCCTGATTTAGGAGCTGAAATACCCAAATGGAGGACATGGCGTCTTCTCTCTGCGTGGAGCTTCCTGGTCTAAGACAAAAAGTGCAATGTCACTTTTTAAAAAGGCAACTATCGGTCAACTGACTCTTCTCAAACAACATCATTCTAAATACCAAATAGAGCCCAACATGCCACAGAATCAGCGAGGCGAGCTACGAACATGTTGACGTTGACACGGGCTTGTTGGCGAGGAAAATGGACTCCTAGGCCAAGAGGATCACCCTGCACAGAGTTGTAATCTTTATAGAAGTCTGGGTTGGCCATGTGAGTAACCCGGGGACACAGCGTCGGTTTACGTACAGTTGTTTCAGACATTCCAGACTTGGTGCTAGCAGCTGAAATCGCGCCAATGATTTTCAGAAGTGACGGCATCTTGCCCGAACGCCTAGGTGCTGTCTCTGCGTTCCTCGCGCTGCCTTTCTCGTTCTTGAATAGCAATGATTAGCTTGATGATGGCAGATTGCCGCTCGGGCTTCAAGACGGCGAGGTTTCCAGGTAGTACTAAAAGCCGCGAAGCCTGCGCTCTAGGTCCTCCGAGGCCATTTTAGTCGATTCTGTGAATTGTGTGATGCCTGATAAATCGAGGGTGCCGTTGGAATCGTAGGTGAGATAAAGATCGAGATATTGGCGCCGAACATCTGAGATGGGCTCCATATCTCGGAGCATTCACTGCGCATCGGCAAGACGCGATGACATTACTAGGGCTCGTAGTTTATGGAACGAGCGCGCAACCCGAAGAATTCACCGAAGTCGCAGCACAAATTGCTCAACATGCACCTCAGCGAACGAAGCATTGTCCTTGGCCTACATCCGGAGGATCTTGGGAACCGCCGCAGGAGAAATGGGAGAAACACAAGAATATGTGGGGGGCGCTCACGCATCATGAGATTCCAGGAGTGCAGGAACTGGCTTGGGAGACTTATTCTCAGATGTGTATCGTTGATATCTTTGATAGTGAAGGCCCTGAGCACACAACACATTAGCCTCTCAGAATCACAAAGTAATAATAGTATTACAGCACACTCTTTAAGTGGTTACTTCTTCTGTGAAACTTAGGACGTCTATCCTAAGTAGCAAAAAGAGTTAAGTAAATTTAGTATACCCAACTTAGTGTGTCTTTAGACCGGATATTTTGACAACTTAGCTTAAGGTCAGATGGAGGTTTTGTTGCTCTGTAGGGGCCGCTTTAGGCCACCCAAGTTAAAGTTTAGTCCCCCGGAAGGTGGACCCCCGCTAAATGCCCCGAAAGCACCAACTGCCGGCGGAGGATCGGCGAAGCTCCACGTGACGGCGCCGAGCGATCGGGTTGGTCTAACTTACGGAGTTTCTATTTATTTACCTTGCACCATCAACAGCATCATATCATCATTATCTCTCCTCACACTCGTCGAGCATGCGTGAAGATGGAGACCCAGATCCTGATCGCGATCGCCTTCCGGGGAAGCCGTGGTGTGCCAGCACTGCATTTAAACTGACCCTTCCGCTCATTGTTGTTCTGACGATTGTTATGCTTGCGCCTCAGATTCATTTTCTATTTCACCTTGGGACAACGGATATGAAGCTTGCGAGTTCGATTGCTGTTTGTCCGGCGTTGGCTATGGCGAGGAATGTTACGTTTTATACAGATGATGCCTTGGCTCCTACTCCACTACCTCTGGCTCATGCAGCTTCAGATGGGCCGGATATTATACACGCCTTTCAGTCTTTGAGTCGCACAACTGTATGGAAAAGTATTGCGAACATTACTTTTGAGGGCGACACGTTTGAGCCTGAGGGAATGGTACGCTTAGGCGATGACCGTTACGTGGTCAGTTCAGGGCATTGGACCGTGCCGACTGAAAAGTACGGCAAAATCATCGATGGAACAGACCGAACAGCTGGTGCAGGACTAGCTCATTTAATGGTGTACAATGGCGAAGGAAAGCTCCTTGCCGATGCGACCATCACGAAAGAAGGGAATGATGAGTATCATAATGGAGGAATTGACTATGATGGACAGTATATCTGGGGAACCATCGCGCAGTACCGACCCAACAGTACTGCATATGTATATCGGACTGACCCAGCGACCTTGGTACCAGAGCGTGTTCTCAATTATAAAGATCACCTCGGCGGCATTGTTCACGACACCCGCGACAATCTTATTACGGCCCTGAATTGGGGCGCACGAGACGCTGCAGCATGGGATCTGAAGAGTGCCAAAACAGGATGTGACGCAGCACCGAAACCCGAAAGAGTTGTACGAAATCCAAGTTATTTCATCGACTACCAAGACTGCAAATGGCTGGGCCACAGTGGTTTCTACGGCGGAAAGAGTGTCATGTTGTGTTCAGGCGTCGCGACAATTGGCGGTTACAACCTTGGCGGCATTGCTCTCGTGGATGTCAAAACGATGGTCCCTCTAGCTGAAGCGCCAATTGAGCTGGAGAGCAAGCTTGGGGTGAGATTGACGCAGAATCCAATGGACGTTAGCGTCAAGGATGGTAAGCTGAGGCTCTACCTCCTACCAGACCAACATAACAGCACTTTATACATTTATGAAGCTCAGCCTTGACCGATACTAAGATAGAATAATGATATAGACTAATTGTGTAACCTTGTTGAGGGGTCATGCTGGTATTTTGGTGCCTATTGAGGTGACGATAATGCTGACGAAGCCGATTGGACTAGCTTAAGGCAGACTCACATTCTCGTATCACCGAATTCGGGTGCCTGACGTCCGTTTATAAAACATGCTCCTTTCATCAACAACTATTCCGAGACATGAGTATTTCGTGCCTTGTCCAAAGTTCAATCAATCAACATGGCCTCTTCTGAGGATTCGAGCTCAAGTCACTTTCAACTGGAAGGTCTACCGCCTGAGTTGAGAGATCTCATCTGGAAGTTCACTCTCCCTGACTGTCGTCTATTTCACGTAAAGAAGACTTCAACGCAAGAACCATCTACCAACCCTACAGTTGATGAACTTTTCTTTCGCTTTCACATTCACTATGCGCCTCCAATAGCTCTTCGAATATGTCGGGAATCTCGTGCTGTCGCACAGCGTGAAGGCTTCTTCCTTTCACCTCACGGAGACAACCCAGGCGTGTGGTTCAGACCAGAAACAGACATCCTCTACTTTGACCGGAACCAACGTGTCACCCTGAAAGCCAAACCACACAATTCAATAGTTACAATCCATGGCTATGATAAAGTCCTCAACGTCGGCATTGAATGGCGCGCTTTCTTTCGAGATGTTCCCCGCCCAGCTGCTGGTGAGACAATGGCGGAATACTGGAGAGCTTCTATAGAGTCGCTGTACGATTTCATGCCGGGCATGCGCACTCTGAACTACATTCTTCCTGAGCTGCGACATAGAGGCGGTATGGTTTGGGGACGCGAACCGTACCAGGCACAGAGCTACACGGCTATGCTTCTACCCCTGCCAGAGAAGGTCAAGATTCCGTGGGAGACGACGCGAAATCGGGGAAATGATCGGGCGGCGATGCTGAGTGAGTTTCTGTTCAATGCGTCACATGGGAACAGAGATACGACACCGCTCATGGTGACATGGGGAGAAGTCAAGAAGGATATTGAAAAGGGTCTTGAGGAGGGTACTGAGCGAGAAAGTGCAGGGCATTATCCGCTTGAAGTGATCGGTTGGTGGTTGATAAGGGATGGCATTCCTGAGACGCAGGAGAACCCGCAGGTTCAACGATTTCAATCCTAGGCACTATATCAAGAAAGGACTTGGATGGGGAAATTGATGAAGACTTGACTTTTATAGTTATACCATCGACTCGTCCACTGGTTTCGCTTCCATTCAATACTTCATCCAACACGTCAATGCCAACCATTTCACACCTAATACACCGCTCTAAGACATGTGAAGAACCTCAATGTTGTTGCCAACAGGATCAAGAACAAACGCCGCATAGTATCCAGGTCTATACTCCCTCAGCCCAGGCTTTCCATTATCAGCAGCTCCAGCTTTACTACACCAACACAATTAGCATCTTCATCACAACTTCATTTTGGCAGTCGACTCACATAGCAGTGTCGTACCACTCGTCGACATGCTTCTGGTTCTCACCATCAAAAGCGACATGAACTGGTGCAGTTCTGTTCTCAAGATTGCCGTCATATTTCTTCAAGTCAGGGCCACCGCCGCCAAGCCAAAAGTCTGGAGCGCCATTCTTGACGCCAAAACTACAGTACTGAGCTCCTTTGTTGCCTGTGCCTTCGAACTTGAGTTCATAGCCAAGAGGAGCGAGAACGGCTTTGTAGAAGTCGCGCATCTCGACGTAGTGTTCGCCGACAGAGAGGGCAACGTGACTGAAAGGCATGATGAGACTTATTGACTGTTTCTTGGGAATGAATGCTGTTTTAATGGTATGAGTTGATGAAAGGATCAAATGATAGAAGGAGTTTTCAGCTCTTATATACTTATTTCTTACATATCCCTAGTTCACGGTCCAGCTCTACATTTCCCCTCCTGAGCGTGAACCCCCCTCACGTCCGTGGCGTTTCCCAGCGATGATCCGACCCGGACTTGAGATAAAGTCCGCAATCTATCCGAATGTCAATGTACAAGTGTTTCCATGAAATGCACGGATCGATGCACCGTGACTCATACGGTGATCAAAGATTAAAGATCTTGTATGAGCTAATGGGTTTTTGGTAATGTTTTCGAAGCTGTATAAAGGAATGGACGAGTCGTGAGGTTCATGTTAAGGTTGGAAAGATCCACATTTAGTTTGGTTGCTTATTTTCCTATTTGGGAAAATGAGAAGTTCACGGTCAGGGGTTGTATTTGTTATACGAGAACGAGAATCGGTGTAAAGCGGAATTTGATCGGATTCCGTGGAGGAGGTGATGTTGTGAACCCGAAACTTCTTATCATCCCTCAGGTTATGTGCTTGCTTGCAGACTGATGTAAGTGAAACCAATCGTGGATCAATTGGTCCAGTATCTACAATAGAGCCATTCTCTAAGTTAGCTATCATAATGCCTAGCGACTAGCAGCACAAACAATGGTTAGATCATATGAGATAGTTCCTCAGAACCCTACAAGCTTTTTCATAGCTTTAGGGTCACCTCGAAGAAGCTCACCTTCTACAGTTACACTGACACGATATAGTGAACTCGTGGCTACACAGGCATGGACACAAATGCACAACAAGAGGAGACAGGAAGAGACGAAAAACCGCCAGTATCACTATTATCGATTCTGGGTTTATCGTCATCGTGTATCACCAACACTCTCCCATTGAGCCCAGGTCCCACAGACATCGAACAAAAACAACGAGACTCCAGAGGAGCAACCAACACGGGAAGAACGTGTCTGTGCTCGCTGCGTTAGAAAGCGAAGGAAAGCATACAGAGGAATTAATGGGATCTATAGATGGGGCCAGGAATATTGATTTGTCTACTACACGTATGCTGAAGCTGAGCAGTGACCAATCACAGCAACGGATCCGTGGCTGACTGTCTTCAATGGCGAATTCTTGAGGAAAACGAGTATCTTCGGGAAATGGATGGATTGCCCACAGGACGATGGAAAGATCAGCTGTCAAGAGTGTGGACGAATGCATGACGACTTTGTGGGAGAAGCCTTGTCTAGTACATGGAGTAGCTTCTGACAACCAACCGCTTGCAGTTAGAGAGTAAGTTCATACCTTTCAGACTTCAATATCTGTCCCAAAATCTTAAACTTCCTTTAGGCATTTCATAAAGATAGCAGCACCGAATCGCGAGAGCCTGTGTATGCCAAGGCACATGTTTCATATACTTAATAGCGACTGGGTCTTGCCCGAGCTTGATACAATCAATGTGTGAAGATATCAACCTGCCTCCTTCGGCTCTCTTCGGATTGGCTTCATAAGAAGATTTTGAGAACTCACCAGCTCATCATCTCTCACTCCCCGGCCATCCGTTACCTTTCATCCTGGTTTACGATGCTTGGTGGGAGCCTCCAAATGTTGCGAGCGAAGAGCAAAGTGACTCTAAGGTAGCCGAAGCATGCACATGCCAGGAACTTTTGCAGAAGGTCACGGTGTGCTGGTGAAGACGGTAATCAAGATCGAAGTCAACGTCTTATTCAGCCGGTTCTGTGGGACAACACATTGAGGATCAGATCTGGGCTTGTAGTTCGGACGCATATGATAGTCTAAGCCTGACAAGGGGATGACTGTGCAACCACCTGATCCGATAAAGAAGCTTTTACGCATTGATGACCAGTAGTAAGCTGTGCATATAAGGCTGGTTTGCGTGCCAATGGGTGACCGAGATGGACAGGAGGGTCAACTCTAAGGCTATTCTGGCATATCTAGAGGTTTACTATACTATGACATGCATGTATGATTACTCTGAGCTGATATCACCACTAGCAAAGAACGCAGAAACCATGTCTCATGTCTAAATCATCTTCGACAAAATAAAGTCTCACGGACATTGGAGGTAATGAAGTCTCGTTCTTATCCGAGACAAACCCTGGACAACGTGCTATACCCTTCTGCATTCTGGAGAGTTCAAAACAAGTCATCGAAATCTTGTAATTGGGGGCCATATAACTTTGATCAGTTTTATCCTGGCCCCTTTAAGCATTTGGCCAATCACTTGGTAATGCTGAAGCTAGCCTCTCAAAACAACCTTGCGGATTGGTTGTTGATCAAGACCAAGTCATTTGTAGATGCTGACAGCCAAGCTTATTAGTAGCCAAATCAAGGCCTCAAAACATGTCAGCCCTACCAAACTATCGGTGAACTATTTCAAGCTCAACGAACAGCCTCCACACTCAATCACCATTTCTATCGAATTGGTCATAACAATTTGATGCAACAGAATTGGAGCAGGAACGCACTTTGTGAGTCTCATTGAAGCCGTAGTGTCAAGAACTGTCCTCTTATACAGCATCATATGAACCAACATCGAGAACTTGACGGCAATCACACCCGCTTATCTCAGCCAACATACATCGCATGCTGTCCAACCATATCTTGACAGATTTTCTAGACTCATCCCAAGTACTGGACCTAGCGCTGACAGAATTTGCTAAAATATGCTTATTCCGGTGCCAACTCCGTGGTATGCCACTGAGCTGAGAGTGTCCGCCTTGGTGTGGCCCCCAATCTTATACGATTCCAGGTAGAGTCAACAATTGGTTCTGTTGATTGGTTTGAATCGTGATATTAGGGGAATCAAAATGTAACTTCGTGGCGCAGATGGCCTTGTCATGTAAGATGATGTTGTTGTAGTGTGCATTCACCGTCGGATGGATGTTGTGAGGATAGGAAGTCTCCGAATACAGTATATTACGGCGTCGGAATCCGAGTACCTTCATCACGATGAAGACATAAACTTGGCAATCTATCCTTTCGTTTCATTAACTGAGCGCAGGTTCTGCCTCGGTACCTGCAAGATGTACTTCTCACTCTCTTCTCTCATATTTCTCCCCTTACTCCTCCAATCGTTCATCACATCAGTATCAGCTACATACTGGAACAACACCAAGAAGTTTGACCTTACTATAACATGGGAGAATTACGCCCCAGATGGCTTCTCACGAAAGATGCTGCTCGTAAATGGGCAGTCTCCTGGACCTGTGCTTGAGATCAACCAGGATGATTTGGTCGTAGTGAAAGTCCACAATCAGTCCCCAGAAGAACTCACTATTCATTACCATGGTATGTCTCTCTTGTAACATAAACTTGGAGGTGCTGAGAAGCTAGGACTGGAAATGAAAGGCACACCATGGACTGACGGTGTTCCCGGCGTTACACAACACCCCATTAAACCAGGATGCAGCTTCACTTACAAGTTCCACGCCACACAATATGGAAGTTTCTGGTATCACTCTCATCATCGGGGCCAAATCGAAGATGGTCTTTACGGAGCTATCATCATTCACCCACGACCCCACGAGCCGAACCCGTTTCACTTGATCTCCGACGATAAAGAGACTCTGCGTGAGATCGCGAAAGCGACGAAACATGTCAAGCCAGTTGTTATTTCTGACTTTGTGCACCTAACTTCTACGGAGAAGTGGGATATGACTGTAGCAGCTGGAATTGAGGATTCATGCTATGACTCGATCCTCTTTAATGGCAAGGGAAGAGTCGAGTGTCTGCCAAAGGATGTCGTGGAAGCCAATCTCAATGAGATTCAGAAGAGCTACCTTGAGTTGGTACCAGGCGGGGCTGAGTTCACTGACAAAGCGTAAGTCTCCAAGACAAATTCTACTGTCGATTACTGACATTCACAGCTGCCTTCCTGCGTCTGCTCTTAATGCCATCGCCGGTGGTCTAGGCAACGAAGAAGCCCTCCTCCCAGGAACATTCTCGGGGTGCAAAGAAACAGAAGGCCAAATCGAAGTCATCAAAGTCTCTAATAAACACCACTACTCGTCAAAATGGGTCGCTTTCGACATAGTTGCTGCAGTCAACTTTGTCAACGGCGTCTTCTCCATCGATGGTCACGATGTGTGGGTATACGCCATGGACGGCTCTTACATCCAACCTCAGAAAGTCCAAGCCATTGCCGCCACAAACGGAGATCGATATTCCATTCTTGTCAAGATTGAAAAGTCTGGAGAGTTCAAGATGAGGTTCAATTCGAATAGTGCGCCGCAGATCATTACTGGCCATGCCATTCTCTCCGTTGAGGGCTTCGGTTACGCACAAGAGGTTGAACCGTGGATCAACCTCGTGGGTATCCCTGTGTCAAAGGATGTCGTGGTTTTTAACCAGATGGTGGCATTCCCTTATCCCCCAGTGTCAATTTCGCCAACTGCTGATGTCACCTTTAATCTAAGCATGGAGATCAGAGGTGCTTCGTATCTCTGGGCTTTGAACAGCACAGGTCTTATGTCAAAGGATCTCGACGAGCAGCGACCTACACTCTTCAACCCACAGCCTTATGTTCACAACAACGTCACTATTTCAACAAAATTGGGACAATGGGTAGATCTTGTCTTCGTGGCAGCGATGTTTCCCCAACCTCCGCATCCCATCCACAAGCACGGTTCAAAGATGTACATGCTAGGCACAGGAACTGGTCCTTTCAGGTGGAGTTCTGTTGAAGAAGCTGCGAAGGAGATTCCCGACCAATTCAATCTGATTAATCCGCCGCGGAGAGATGCGTTTCTTTCGGCGCCGGCGGATAAGGAGCCGAGTTGGGTTGTAGTTCGATATCATGCTGCTGATCCTGGACCTTGGTTGTTGCACTGTCATATCAACAATCATATGGTTGGGGGCATGATGATGGTTATTCAGGATGGTGTTGATGCTTGGCCGGAAGTTCCTGAGGAGTACGCTGAGGGTGGTGATGGAGAGTGAAGTATTTGTGATTGAGCGCATGGAGCAATCTTTTGACTTCTCATCGAGACTAGGTCTCACCGTTTAACTATTGATTTGTTAATAAACATATTTCGCATATAATTAATTAGAGCTGAGATCGCGATGATCACGTTCATCATGCACTAATGCAGATCTATAAATCGCTAGATTGAAGAGACATCAAGAAGTTCATCAAATTGCAATGCATCATGGTATCCTAACAAATAATTGCAAATCATATCCCGCTATCTTAAAACAACCAAGTAACCACATTCTTAACCTTCGTCTTCCACCCTGTCTCCTCCGTAACCTTCTCCTCAATCGTATGAACATCCGTCTCAAGATCCATCTCGCTCAACCCCACGAACTTTGTCTTCTTGACAAGCTTCCACACCACAAACATGAGCAGCATGACGGGTAGCTCGATGTAAAAGCTGACAAAACTGACACCATCAAATTTGGGACTGAAACAACTCCAGCCTTGAACGAGAACGAGGAAGCTGTTGAGAATGACGCAGATCCAGGGGCCGTAGGGGTAGGTCCAGTTCTTGAAGGGTAGAAGATGGGTTTTGCCTTGTAGTGCGAGGGCTTGGCGGAAGCGGATTGATGTGATGCCGATGGAGATCCAGCTGAGCTGGTTCGATACACCGACGATACTGGAGATGTTAGCTATAATTGAGAATCACATGTAGGTGATTGACTTACTTCTGAAGCCAATTCCACAAATCTCCTGCTCCAATGAAACTCGAACCAAAGCAGAGACCAGCCACAAATCCTGTCACTAGGACAGCAACCCAAGGTACTCTGTTTCTGTTGAGTTTCCCAAGGACCTTGGGCGCATGACCCTCGATGGCAAGAGTGTACATCAATCTCACGCCAGCGAACAGTGCATGGTTGCCGGCGGAGAGAACACTGGTGAGAATAACGGCGTTGATGACACTTCCGGCAGCTTTGGCGCCCGTCATCTCAAAAACGATGGTGAAAGGAGATGTGCGAGTCTCCTTGGAGTTGAGATCGGGGTAGTTGTAAGGGACGTTGAGACCGATGAGAAGAATTGAGAGAAGGCTGGTTTTGTTAGTGAGATGAGTGAGAGTGAGTTGAGTGAGACGTACTAGAAGAGAATGATACGCCAAAAGACGTTCTTGACGACCTTGGGGAGGTTTCTCGTAGGATCCTTAGTCTCGCCAGCCGTGATGGCAATACTCTCAGTTCCACCATCTACACCCGTCAGTTTCATTCCAAAAGGGATCCCCACCACAACTTACAAGCAAAAGAAGCAGTGACAAAAACAGAGGCAAAGCCACCAATACCTCCAACAAAAGGCGTACCAGGGATATGCCAATATTTCCCACCGATATACTCTCCCGTCTCATTTCCACCGCAATTAACAACGATTCCCATGACGATGAAAACAACAATGGTGATGACTTTTAGCAGACTGAGCCAGTACTCTAGTTCACCATATGCTTTGACGGAAATAATGTTGACGCCGATGAGAACAACCCAGAAAATCAGACTGAGGGCCCAGCCGGGGAAGTTGTCGGTCCAGTACTGAAGAACGAGCTGGAGAGCGACGAGATCTGAAGCTGTGGATACAGCGTCGTTGAACCAGTAATTCCAAGTGAGAGCGAAGCCAAAAGCATCATCAACAAAACGTCTACCTCATTAGCCATAATCCCGCTTATAAGTATCTCACTAGGATAACTCACCCTGCAAAGGTACAAAAACTTCCAGCAACGGGTATAAACGCCGCCATCTCCCCCAAAGCCAACATGGTCGTAAACACGATAGCACCCACGATAGCATAGGCGATCAATATCGACGCTGGCCCACCCGTGGCAAGGGACTTTCCAGTGCCGAGAAAGAGACCTGTCCCGATCGTGCCGCCAATAGCAATCATCTGCACCTGGCGCGCTGAGAGCGAGCGCTGCAGCAGATCTTGCTGCGTGGGTCGCGGGACGTCGCTGTGCGGTAGATTCTCGACGTCATCGTCAGGAAATTTGCGATGTTCTTTTTCTGGCGAGAACTCCATTGTGAATGTTGTCTTAATCACAGTTGTGAAAGATGAGTGAAGACATGTATGTAAACTTGAAATCTATAGAGATATAAGTTTCATCTCTTGGAGAGATGTACTTGGATTCGAGATCCGCAAAAGACGAGGCACGAGGAATTGCGTGCTCAGAGGCAAACCCACTCTCCAATGTCAAAAGAGTTACAGTTACGTACGAGCAAAGTGTATTTGGGTGGTATTTCACTACTATCCCTTCCTTGATGAACCATGTCGATGGGATCTTCAGAGTGACAAACTTGAACCCGCTAAGGGAAGGTCGCTAAGTTTGTATCGAGCTAAGCACTAAAATTCTGTGGTAACGTCGCATGAACCCACATCGTAGCTGAATTCAGCCTGTTGATAGGAAGACCTGTTCTCAAACCGGTAGGTAATAACAATATACGATATCTATCTACAGTATATGCTCTTGACTTCTTGAATATTTCTACATATTCTCAAGCTCATGTCTGAGATGTCGCTGAACGGAAATACGGATATCAAGTCGCAAGTAGCCCGCCAAAAAGTCACTACGGCGATTTAGAGGGTCACTCTCGGCTCCGTCATGCCGGCGGTTTATACACAAGTTGGGTTACCTCGCCGATTTGCCAGAAAATCTCTGCTTATTGTCTGAAGGATTCCAACCCCATGGTTCAGTGGTATGTTCAAAGCAACCATCTGACATCTTCTATATAAACTTCAATGTCGCAATTCTTTTCTCAATGGCAACACTGCCCATGTCGACCTCTTGAACATATTGTAGGTTGAGAAGAAGTTGCAGAGCCTCTCGTGATGTTCGGCATCCGGATGGGTCGAGTCTAGTCTAGTCTGGCCAAGCCGGGAATTAACATCTGAGCCAAGAATCGCCAAGATCTCTTTTTTCGCTTTCGTCCTCTTCTAGAAGCTTGCTTGGTTTAATAAGCAGAAAGCAGCTCCGAGATCACGCAACTTATTCCCGTGTGATTGCCACTCTATCACTCCATGACTCTGCCTATATCGCCACTTAGTGACCCTCTCACTTATCAATGCTTTTGTTGTTGTAATCAACACTGAACATGTCGCCTCATAAATCATCATAACCGCTCTCACGGCCTTACCCACATACTTTTTGCTCGCATAAATAACATTTTTCTACAGACTGTTTATTCGCATGAACTTCATTTCCACATGGCATGACATCTTGTGATAGATTGAACTTATTATGGTCTTTTGCTTGGGCTAGACTTGTTTACTTTCTCTTATACCTAATCTCTACATGGCTTTGTATGGCCAACTGGGTATGCCAAGGCTCGAACACCTCAAAGTCCTAGAGGACTAGCACATAATACAGAAACAAAGTTTTGTCTTGTGCGATACAAGCTAGACTGAAACATGTGCTCGACTGAAAATGCGCCAAGAATGGTTGATTATATTCAGTCAATGCGCGTCTTTTGATGCGATGTGTTCTTACAGTTCATAGCTAGGCTGCATTCTAGCTCATCAACATATGACCCCGAGAATCTGCCTTATATGACTCTAGAGCCGAGCAATGGCCACATATCCGTATTTCAACGGACCTAGCTGTAGCGATCCGTCAAATGGGTCTTTGAATTTTTTGGCCTTGGCTGACCCGGTTGATCTCGTCGGTTGTCACAGGCTACAGGCTTCCAAATTACTTACACTGTGATCCTTCAAGGCTACCAAATTAACATCACAACCCAACCAAGTATCACTATTACCAATCTGTCCTCAATTCAGTAGTCTAGCATTACCTTGTATTAACCAGTACTCTGCCTTAACTTATAGTGAAAGCCTAGCTGTTACTGGCGTAGGACTTGTGGTGGCTGGATCTCCACACAGCCACTCCCTCCCATCCCAGCTCACAGGCAGCAACACCAACAACAAAACCACTAATATCTTGTCATAAAACTGTCCTTTTTAGGAAGATCTACTTAATAGGCATCAATGTTCCTCTTCTCAGAATAGCATTAATTTTATTTCTCATCCTCTCAAGATACCCCTGTTGCAGTGCTTATATAATGTTATCCAACCTCGCCTCAAAACTAGGCCTCACCTCCAAACCTGCATCTCAATCCTTCCTCAAACCACGCGACCCTTCCAAAAACATGCTCACCAAAGTAGACTACACATCAAACGACATTCCCATCCCCGATTCTTTCCTCTCTTCTCCGCCTGAAAAACCAATAACGACTCATCCCATCGACTTTGCAAACTCTCCTCTTCCTCAGTACGATGGCCACACCGCTATCGTGCTGGACAATGTCCTCTCACCAGAAGAATGCAAAGAACTTCTCTCCCTAGCTGAAGCGTCGGTTCCAAGGCCTGATGAGAGTGCGCCGGCTTGGAAACCTGCTTTGATAAGCGCTGGTCCTGGATGGGAGGCTCCGGCACCGGGGTATAGGGAGAGTGATAGGATCATATGGAATCAGCAGACTGTTGTTGATCGCCTATGGGAGCGATGCATGCTTTCTGAAGGGTTGCGGGAGCTTTTGGCTGTGGTGCCGCCGCAGCCTTATATGAAAGGTGGGAAATGGGTGTTTAGTCGGTTCAATGAGAGGATGAGGTTCTTGAAGTATTCACCAGGACAGTTCTTCAAACGTAAGTGTAACCACCTGCCTTCTTGTTCATAGCTAACATATTCCAGCCCACTGTGACGGTCCTTTCTACTATACTGAAGGCCCAGGCAAAGAGTTTGAGACTTTCTACACTGTTCATCTTTACCTCAATGACTCTGTTGAGAATGATCCAGCATCGGAACTTGAAGGTGGTGCAACTTCATTCCTTGACAGGAAGGGAGAGAAGAGAGTTGACGTAAACCCCAAAACTGGAAGTGTTCTCATCTTCCAACACAGAGGGCTTTTCCATGAAGGAGCAACGGTGCATAAGGGGGTCAAATACACCATGAGAACAGACATTCTCTACGAGTGGGTGCCTGATAAGGAAACGGAAGAAGCCAACTAAAGGAGGCAAGAAACCTAAGGACCTTCATCCTGAGTAATGAAAAGATTGAAGTGAGTTTAGGAGATTTAGGAACTTGATCCTAAGTAACAGATATATTTGTTAAAGTTTAGGAAAACTTGAGACCTGTATCCTAAGCAATGGGAATACTTAGGTAAATGTAGTAAATTTAGTACAAGTGAAGAGGGCTTTTGACTAATTATTCATTACTCGGGATGAAAATCCTAAGCTTTCATAAATGCTACCTAAACTTGTAAATTATATGACCAGAATGTACCGCCGTAATAACTATTAACGTTGCCTTTGTTTTGGCATCTTCTTCTCCTCCATCTCCTCAATATCCTTCTTTTTGTGAAAATGTGGTGCTAACTCGGTTAGCCACCTTGGCTCGATCGGCATAACACTACGCATATATTCCTTGGTCGTCTGCACAAGCTCAAAATAGACCACCATTTTCTCCGGCGGGTCAACGGACATCAGAACGCTGCTGGGGTGTATCCATACAGATGTGTTGTTTTTGACTGTTCTGTAGCCATCACCGCTTTTCTGCAGTCGTGCAGCGTTGGGGAAGAAGCCTGATGTGATGGCTCGTTTAATAGGGCGAAGGTTGGTGGCACCACACGTAGAGGGGGCAACTTCGACCCTTTCGCATAGCTTTTCCAGTTGATCGCGAACATCGCGTGCCCTTGTGAGAGAACGTTGTTGAAGGAAATTCTCCTTCGCCCAGATGGGGGAGAAGTCGCTGTCAACCCATTGGTTCCAAATATTGAGGAGCGTTATATGATCACCACCGTCCTTAATTGTGAATCGGTTTCGGGCGCTATCTGCGTGGATTTTCTTGTCCTTGGGTCGGAAGAACAGCGCGGAGGCTTCGCCAAGCATCGAAACGATAGATAGGACCTCCTCGACGCAGCCCTCCTTGTCGGCAGCTAACACCGCCTTGGCCAGCATAGGGTCTGTAGGAAATTCGGCCATTTGGCGGCCAATCTTGGTCAACTCTCCGCGATGATTCAACGCTTGCAAAGCGAATAACTGGTTCAGCGCGCCAATAAGAGCTTCTGTTGGCGGGGGATCCATGAACTCGAAGTCGAGGAGTTCGTTAATGCCCAGGGACTTCAGTTGAAGCACAACACCGTTCAGGTTTGTTCGCTGGATTTCTGGTGTAGTTGATTCGTCCATTTCGTTCATGTATGCAAACTTTGTATATAGACGGAAACACTTTCCTGGGCCAACACGACCGGCTCGACCACTTCGCTGGTTCGCGGAAGCTCTTGAGCAGGGAACAACAACGAGGTTCGACATGCCGGTGGCGGGATTGTAGACATTTTCCTTCACATAGCCTGGATCAATAACATAGACAATGCCGTCAATGGTCAAACTGGTTTCGGCAATGTTGGTAGCCAGCACTACCTTTCGGGCCCCATCTGGTGTGGGTTCAAAGATCTTGGATTGTAGTTCTGAGGGTAGATTTGCGTAAATTGGGCAGATGACAAGTTCCTTAATGCGGTTTCCGAGCTTTTTTGCTGTTTGGGAAATTTCGAGCTCAGCGGCTTCAATTTCGTCTTGACCTGTCAAGAAGATCAGAATATCACCCTGGGGTTGGGATGTATGGATCTGGAATGTTGTCGTGATGGCCGCAGCCAGGTAATTCGCTTCGGGAGCAGGTGTGTAGTAAATATCGACTGGATATCGTCGACCAGGAATATTGAAGATAGGTGCATCATCGAAATACTGTGCGAACCTCTCGGCGTTCATGGTAGCTGACGAAATCAGCAGCTTCAAATCAGGTCGCGATCTCGAGAGATCCTTGATTAATGACAGGAGGATATCGGTATGTACTGTGCGTTCGTGAGCTTCGTCGATCATCAGCGCTGAATAGCCTGAGAGCTCTGGGTCTGTCATGAATTCTCTTAACAACATTCCATCAGTCATATACTTGAGGATAGTCTTGTCGCTGGTGCAGTCTTCGAATCGAATCGTGTATCCGACCTCGTTACCGACTTTGACGCCAACTTCGTCGGCCACACGAGCTGCTACACTCATGGCGGCCACTCGCCGAGGTTGTGTACATCCCACTTTCATGCCGTTCTTGGTATAACCCGCCTCGTGGAGATATTGTGGTAGCTGAGTCGTCTTTCCACTACCAGTCTCTCCAACAATGACAAGAACTTGATACTGCTCCAGTGCAGCGAGGAATTCATCTCGATATTGGTAAATGGGCAAACTCTTTCGTGTCTCCTGTATTGATAGTACCTTCTTCTCGGCTGCGTCGATCTGCGCCAGCACGGCTTGTTGATCTTTGGTCAATGTTCGACCGTCGCCAGGGAGTTTGGCGTCCGATTTCCATTGAATATATTGTGATTCATCCATAACAAGATCGTAATCGTTGTTCTCTCGTTCAGCGCGCTGGATTTGCGCTTTCACCTTTGTCGTTTGTTCCCGTTCCCATTCTTCATGCTCAGTAACAAATTTCTCCCGCCCGAACTGGTCCTTTTCAACGTGTCGCTTATAGAGTGCCTCTTCCTTCTTCTTTCGATCAAGTCGTCCCTTCTCGGTAATGTAGTCCTCGGGCATGTAGTATCCATCTCGATGGTCGTCAATATTGAGTCGTTCTTCGGCCAGGCGCAGGATCTCTCTGTTCTTGGCAAATTCGGCCTTCTCCTTCTCCGAGAGTCGCACGCCGCTCTTCAACTCATCCGTCTCTTCTGCAACCTGCTTTCGCAAGAGAGCAAGTCGTTCGGCCTCTCTTTTCTTGAGGTATTCTTGTCGCGATCGTTCTCGAATATCAGGTAGCGCCGCCTTATTCCGTGCAGCAGTATCTTCGGTCTTCCTTTTTTTCGAGGGTTGCTTCGATGACTCCCCCTTCTCCTCTCCCGCCTCCTCCATCGGGAGAAAAGCATAGCGTTTGGCGCTCATGATGTGTTTGTTGTCGAGTTGAAGTGGAAATAGGTGGGTCTGGGAGCTTTAGAAGAAGTAGGTCACGTGACTCCTCGGAGCTTGAATCATTGTCAAAGACAGGATGGAAGGGGTCTTACCTTATACATATGCAGATACTTATTAAGTTTGGTTGCCTTGTTAGGTGCCTATGATATAATTGACGTGTTTGCTAGCTGGGGCTGTGACTGGTAATAACAGTGTAGTCTAAAGGTTCAAAAGTTACACTTAACTTACCTAACTTTTTTGCAGTTTAGGCACTTGATCCTAAGGGACAAAAGGGTTTAGGTAGATTACCAAGAACTTGTGATGGCTTTTGATGAGTTTATTTTGGCATTCTACATGAAGCTCTCGAGGGTTCTTGCCTCTTGAGGGGAGTCATGTATCTACGTAGACCTTGCTACCATGAATGCTTTAAGCAAAAGTTATTTCCTGTTTGCCCCCGGGCTTGTGGGGTGACCAAAGACTAAAGATCTCTGCCACCAAGAGTCGAGTCTCGCACTTTCACTGGTTGGAAGCAACAGGCAGCGAGCGAGGTCGATGGGGAGACATCAAAATCCAGTGTCCCTATAAACATTAGGCTAGATTTAGGACTCAGTTCATGAGTAACTTATTTGAATTTAGGTATCGCTGTGAAACTGGGAGTTTGCAGCCAGCCAAAAGGTTTTACCAAGTACTGGACAGACAGGGGCGAGTTTCTCAAGCTTACAAAGCCATGCTGGAAACTTTGACAGGTGAGTTATAGACCCATCACGGGATGATGCTCCTTGATCTCCATAAGTGAATGGCTCTTCTGAGTAAACTGTACCGTGAGGCTAAAGAGCTGGGTGTGACATTATACTTGACAACGGAGAAAGCATAATCCGACAGTGAGTCAAGCCTGACGACCAGTCATATGCTCTCGATAAGCGGCCACTTGGCAGGGGTTTACTGATAAGCTTGCTACTGTCCCAAAAAGTGTAGCACTTGATAACACGCTGGTGTTTCGAGGTTCAGGCGACTTTCTTTGTCCGTTCTCTATCGAGTCAACTCACCCTCCTTTTCCCTCGCAACACCTCGAGGTCTGTCCTTCTTTACCACTCAGGTCGGCAGATTGCTTATATAAAGTCTCTTTCCTTTTTTTTTTTTCTTTTTCTTTTTTATATTTGCAGGAAGAGAGACAAGATGTTATTCCATACAGCGGCCCTCGTGGTCCTTCTAGCTCTGGTCCAGCTAGCTGTATGCGCCCAAGACTATTACAAGGTACAACAATTCCCATATGCCCATAAACATGCAGATTCTAACAGTTGTGCAGGTTCTCGGTGTAGACAGGCAAGCAGGGAAGAAGGAATTAAAGCAAGCATATCGTCAATTGTCGAAGAAGTTCCATCCAGACAAGAATCCGTATGCCCCTCCATCCACCCTCTGCTTGATTTCTAATACTGACCTTTTCCAGTGGCGACGATACAGCACACGATAAGTTCGTCGAAGTTTCCGAAGCCTACGATGTCTTGAGCGATGAGGAAATGCGCAAAGTCTACGACCAATACGGCCACGAGGGTGTTCAACAGCGCCGCCAAGGAGGAGGTGGTGGTGGTGGTCATGATCCCTTCGATCTCTTCAGCCGCTTTTTCGGTGGTCACGGCCACTTCGGACGAGCATCTAGCGAACCCCGAGGACACAATGTCGAAGTCCGTGTCGAAATCTCCCTTCGCGACTTTTATAACGGCGCCACCACCGAGTTCTCCTGGCAGAAGCAACACATCTGTGAAGCTTGCGAAGGCACTGGAAGCGCAGATGGACAAGTTGATACCTGTCATACTTGTGGCGGTCATGGTGTACGCATCGTGAAGCGCCAGCTCGCTCCTGGAATGTTCCAGCAGTTTCAGCAAAGATGCGATGCTTGTGGCGGTAGGGGCAAGAACATCAAGCACAAGTGCAAGGTCTGCCAGGGTGAACGGGTTGAGAGGAAGGCGACGACTGTTCAACTCAACGTCCAGCGTGGAGCTGCTCGCGACTCCCGCGTTGTCTACGAGAACGAAGCTGATGAGAGTCCTGATTGGGTCCCTGGCGACTTGTTGGTGACATTATCTGAGAGGGCTCCATCATATGACAATAATCCCGATAAGGCCGATGGCGCATTCTTCCGTCGCAAGGGTAATGATCTGTACTGGACCGAGGTTCTCTCTCTTCGGGAAGCCTGGATGGGCGGCTGGACTCGCAACCTCACTCATCTCGATAACCACGTCGTGCGGTTAAGTCGACCCCGCGGTAAGGTCATCCAGCCCGGCCATGTCGAGACTGTGGCTGGAGAGGGTATGCCCATCTGGCACGAGGATGGCGACAGCGTGTACCACAAGACCGAGTTCGGAAACCTATACGTCGAGTACGCAGTCGTACTGCCCGATCAGATGGACTCCAACATGGAAAGCGATTTCTGGAGCCTCTGGGAGAAGTGGCGACTCAAGAGCGGCGTCGATCTACATAAAGACAGCGGACGACCAGAGCCAGCGCACACTAGAGACGAGTTATAATGAGTAAAAGGTGATCGGCGTCGAGGATGAGGAGTTAGTTGTATGATTTATAAGAAGGGGGCTATATATATTAGTGTCGATACGAAAGGATACCAATGGCATGTTTCAGAATATTATAGACGTTATGGAAATGTGTTTTAAAGTATCGGTTACAAGATGCTTAAGGGTCTGTTGGGGTAAGATCCAGGAACCGGAACAAAACCTCCAGTAAATGACGGCGGTAATGACGTGCCCCACAGAATGTAACATCGACTTACAAGGAAACACCCAGAACAATCCAACAATCTCACAGAAGTCAAAACCTCATATCATACAATCACATACCGAAAAGAACCAATCCTCCAATCAACTATATCTTGAAGCTTAAGCGAAACTTCTACAACATCCTTGTTCTAACTAATGTGGCTTAGACCTCTCCATAAATGAAGCCATCACAGCCTAACAGCAGCGCCCATCAGATAACTATATAAATCTCAATGCGATCAATCACATCTCGCCTTTTTCTTCTTTTTCCTCTCTTTCCCTTTCCCTTTTTTCCTTCTTCTCTCCTTGACAATCATGACAGTGACCACTCCTTAGAACATGTCAAGTTCAGACTCAACCACCACCACAAACACTCCTGCAGACAGCACCCCCAGCACGTCGACTCCAGACGTGATAGAAGTTCCCCGCTCAGACCTTGTCACAGTTAAAGACACGGACTATCACACGGACAAGTATCTTATCCTCTGCGGAAAATGTGGCGGCGTCTTGAACGTCGCTAAATACAGCTGCATGTGCGAGCATGGTTCTGATGTTGCTCGCGCTGCTTGATTGGTTTATAACATTTCCATGTCTGCCAAAGACAGTCACAAGAAGCGAGATGCATATGCATACGATACTCTCAAAACAAGATGCCTGTCTCATCAATCATTCGTCCCAGTTCGAGCGAGGTAATACAAAGGATCGAGCTTCAGCTCTCCAACAAACTCCACTCTAAATAATACATCAAAAACTCACACTTCAGTCACAAGCAATACTTAACCAACATTGCTATTCAGCTGCAGTGCGGCTCCGTTATCACGTCTTCTTATAAATCATCACCTTTCGCAAGGCATATAGAGGGTTACAATTTGGAAAGGTTAGCGACAAACAAAACATAGACGGAATGGGGACATCATATAAAAGGACATCAAACCGTGTTTCTCTATATCGGCCGTAATGTATAATAGTCATAACATCATATCATAAAGCTCAACTGGAAAAGCAGACCATTAATCATATCCACCCAATGAAATCATTCCCAAAATCACAGTCGTCAAGTCGTTAATCTCTGTGTCTCCTTCTGCGTCTTCTTCTTTCGTGACCCCCGTCTTCAATAGCCTCTCGTTGCTCTGGTTCTTGTAGTCCTCCAAGAATGTTTCCAATTAGGCCAAGCCATCCGCCTTTACCTTCAAGTGCTCCAGTGACACCACGAACGAGCTGATCCACGGCTTGGCTGTCTGTTCCAGCTACTTGCCAAGCACCTTTGATGTCCCAATCATCCCGATGTCTGGGTTTGTACTGAAAATCACCTTGTCTGCGTGTCCAACCACGGCTCCTACTCGATCGTCCATCCAGGGGCCTACCCTGTCTGTCAAATCGGTCAGGTAGTTCTTCGACAGACTCATCCGAGCTGGAGTCATCATCTCGATGACGGCGTCTCTGTCCAAAGTAGTCATCCATTTCCATAGCAGGAGGAGTAGACTTCGAACGTGGCCTTGCAGGTACAAGACCTTGAAGTAGGTCATGAGCCTCCTGCTCCTGTCTCTCCTTTTCTTCTTTGGCTGCTGTTTCCTCACGGTGTCGCCTCATTGTCATAGAGCTCTTCGGTGACAAAGGGCCAAACACTACCGACTTGGCCGGTTGGCCCTCATCAGACGAGTCTAGACTATCTGTTGTAGAGTCAGCTTCCGTTTCTTCTCCTGTGCCAACAACCCTCCCAGCACGGTCGGACGCACCCTCATCAAGGCCTCTTGAGCCAAGGTTGTGGACAGGATTACTCACATTGTCAGGCGCTCTTGGACCGCCAGCCGGTGGAGGTCCCGGAGGTCCAGGAGGGGGCGGTGGTGGCCCAGGAGGTCCTGGCGGTGGGTAGTTGGCGGGTCCTGTCGAAAGTCCTCGAGGAGGTCCAGGAGGTGGCGGAGGGTAGCCCGTGTAGTCTTGAGGAACGTACGGCTGGAAGTCAGAAGAGCGATCCGGAATATTGGTGTAAGGGTTTCCAGGTGGAGGAGTAGGATCCATAGGATAAGGTGGGAAGCCAGCGCCACCAGAAGCCATGGGTGGTGAGCGTGAGCGAGGGCGACGATCATCATAGTCGTCAAATCCTATTTCATAGTGGTCAGTCAACACAGTCACGGTCACTCAAGGACTGCTCACGTTTCCTGGAACGACTTCGGGATCGGGATCGCGAAGGAGATCTGGTAGCTCGACCACGACGGTCTCGCTCATCTTCTCGCTCGCGTTCTCGTTCAAGTTCGAGTCGTCGTTCCCTAGAGCGCTGCTCTCTCTTCTCCCTGTCCTTCTTATCCTTGTATTCCTTGATACCAAGGGCTGCAGCTCCTGCGGCTGCGGCGGCCCCGAGTCGGCTTCTGCTGCGTTTACGGTTATTGTCGGATCCTGCAGACGACGCGGATCGACTACGGTCGCGTCGTCTACGGCGTCGACGTCTTGCCTCCGCTTCGGATTCGTAGCCTCGCGACGTTGAGGCTAGCGGTTGCGTCGCGAGGGGATCGGTGCCGTATTCAACTACGGGGCCTAGCTCAGGATCAGTCCCGCGCTCTGAACGAATGGATCTGGCCTTGGACCTGCTCCTGCTCCGGCTTCTCGAGGGGCCTCGGCGGTAGTACTCATCATCGCTGCTACTGTCACTGCCATCCTTCTTTTCCTTGCGCTTCTTCCAAACGTGGTGCGCAGCCTTGGCTGCGACAGCTGCACCAGCAATCTCGGCACCGCGGCGAAGTCTAGACTTGCTGCGGCTCCTTGATCGGCTGCGGCTGCGCGAGCTGCTTGACCTACTACTGCTGCGGCCTCGAGATGACTTGGACCTATTGCGAATGTGCTTGGCAATACCTGCAGCAGCAACAGTTCCCAGAGCTGCCTTGGCTGCCGTCGACAAACTACGACGACGGCTGCCGCGGCTAGTGCTCTTTGTCGTCGTGGTTTTTCGAATGATGGATCGCGAACGAGAGCGCGAGTAGTCATCAGAGTAATAACCACGACGACGGCTTCTGCCTCGAATCGCCTCCTCCTTTTCAATCTTATTGGACTGGTAGTATTTAGCGGCACCAGCAGCAGCTAGAGCAACAGCAGCGATTCCGAGACCCTGCTTTAGTCGAGAGGAGCGGTCGGGAGACTCATCGTCGCCATGCCAGCGATCGCCATAAGCGCTACGAGCTCGGCGCAAAGCCTCAGTGCCAAGAGCGCCAAGAGCAGCTCCAGCAATGACCTTGCGGCCGCGGTTTTCGGGCAGCTCACCGTAGCTGTCGCGGCGACTGTTGAGAAGAGCTGTGACACCCGCGCCCGCGAGAGCGCCCTCGGCCAGGTGTCGCTTGTGGTGGGGACTTTCGCTGCCCTCGCGGCGACGAATAACCTTGCGTCGGACGTAATAATCATCGTCATCACTGTGATAGCCGTGGTCACGACGTCTGCGGTCATATCGCTCAATGGCGTAGTCACGGTCTCCACGGGAGTCGCGGTGCTCGTGGCGATAGTAGTACTCCTCCTCCGAAGGGCGATGTCGGTGCTCGTGTCGGTGCTCCCGATGCTCCCTCCTGACTACAACCTGTTGTCTTTCAGGCTCTCTCTCACGAATGACAACTACACCAGGCTGCTGTTGCTGGCGAGGAGAAACGATAACTGGAGCCGGGGGAGGAGCTTCTTGAACAATGATCTTTTGTGGTTCAGGCGCGCGCTGTCGAATGATGACGGGAGCTGGAGGAGGCGGTGGGTCGTAAGGGGTGTAGTATTCCGTCTCCTTGCGGTATCGCTCAACGTCGCATCCATGGGTGTCGTCGATATGTTCCTCAACACGCTTCTCAACGCGGTATTCGCCGTTATCTCGGCGTTCAGTCCTGACCATTTGGTTCTCAACCTTGACATCATCGTCGAACAAAGCGTCAAAGCGAGATCGTCGGTCCCAGTCACGCTCAACTTCCTTGGTCTCTACGAAAGCTGGCGCACGAGATCGATCTCCAACCTGAGAAGGCGCAGGCATTGGCATAGGCGGGGGCGGAGGAGGATAAGTCTCTCGTTCAGTCTCCTTTTCGTAAACGTAGCTTCGGGGAGCCGTGTCTCGGCCACGGTCCTCGTGAAAACTAGCATGAGACGGAGCTCCTTCAAAAGCAGAGCGAGGGCGATCCGGGACGAAAGAGCGCCGGTCGTGTTCAGCTAAGTCGCCAGAGGAGCGACCATAACGGGAGAAATGGGAACGTCCATCATCAAATTCGGAACCTCGTTCGAAGCGATCAGACCTGCTTGGTGCGACCTTGTATCGTCTGATTGTGGTTTTACGATAGCGCTCGTCGTCTGAAGAGCCATCGTCTCGCTCCCAGTCCCTCTCACGATAGACGCGAGACTCTCTGTAGACGTCACCCATCGCGGGGTGTCACAGGTGGGGTATAGGGCTGTGCGATAAAGTTATGAGGATCCAAAAGAGGGAATGTCGTCAAAAATGGAAGTAAATCCAAAGGTTTAGTATAGAAAACGCCTAACGAGAAATCAACAGCGAAATCTAGGTTTGTTGTTTGTATGTTTGTATGAGGAAGAAGGGGACGGGAGAGAAGTGGTCTGGTGGAGGGGGAAAAGCTGGGAAGTAACCAAGATGAGCTATGACGGAACCTGCTGAGAGAGAAGAAAGGAACTGGGTACCCGGAATGAATGGCTGGGCTTTGATTCTGATTCATCCAGGCGCAGTTAGCGTGGGCATGGGCATGGGCATGGACATCAGTGCCCAGCTCCAGCGTGTGAGTGTGCGTGGAGCCCTTAAACTTCAATGGACGGCTTTTCTGACAGGGGTTGGAAAAGAAAGCCTGCTGTGGCTATGATGGAAGATGATGCTGCTTGTGCAGTGGAGCATGGCACGGGATTGGGCGAGATATCGTGATGGGTGGCAGAAGGTCTCTTGTTCTGCCCGGCTGATGCTGGGCGTTCTGAGACCGAAGCCAATCAGGCCTTTAGTAGAGTCAACTTCAATGCAACCTCAGATAGAATCTGTAGTCTTGGGGAGAAGAGAATGGTTCTTTTCTGGGTTATCTCGGGCAGTTTCTTGAAACTTGAAAGGCTCAACTGTCAGGGATCATTTATGCCCGAAATACGATTCCAAGATCCACAGACGATATCAAGAATATCGAGTCCATCCAGTCCAGTCGAGCTGGGCACAGAGCCTCACCAAACGCATTTACTCAAAATGCAAACAAGCATCCAATATCTAGTACCCAATAGTCGTCGAATATACTCTTTGTCCCGTCTCTTTCAACCCTTGTTACACCAAACGGTTCATGTAAACGCCCGTCTCCAGTTAAACAGACCCAGGCCTATCCCGCCTCGTCTCTCGTCTCAATTAAAACCCCAACAAACTTGAAAAGTCAAAAGACAAAGACCAAACTCGCATGGGGTTACCCTCCATCTCGGGATCTAAGGAGCCCCCCTCAAACCAAGGCCCAGTTCTTCATCGACAGGGACATTTCCTAGAACTCGAGGAATGAAAAGAATGAGGCGACGAAGCTTTCCATTTCCTTACCTAGAGACTGGACGTGCCGAACCGTGAACCTTGGTCGATCTCGTGCGAATCAATATGCTTGAGCATGCATCATCATGAACAAGTCCAGGTCTCCACTCGGACTGAGCTGTCGCTGGTGTCGTCATAGGCTTTTAATGGAAGAACCCCACCTCTTAAAACCCTTGACCCATCAACGATCAACATCTTGGTTCTTATTCTTACCAGCGGAGTCACCTCACCTCAGCCAAGGTCCATCCCATTATTAACAGTAATAAAAAAAAACCATAAAAAACAAATCATCAGGAGAGACATTTCCAGAGTCATCAGGCTCCGCTTTTCAAGGTCAATTGATTACGCGGTCTCTTGAGGTTTGAGTCACCAGACTCTCTTTCTCAAGACCACATGCACAATCAGATGCTGACAGCCTTATTCCACGCACTACCGTCGTCGAGAAGGGTCTCCGTCTGATGGGCTTTTCCGTAGTTCCGTGGTGTTCTCATGACTGGAATGTTCCATGCTTCTGCCTTTTCCCATATCAGCATGGCGGCGTTTTCAATACGACAGTCTTATGAGATCGGGCAAAAGCACAACTCCAGGGATGGAGAATACAAGGATTGGTTCTTTGTTGTAGAGAAGAGGCGTTTGGCTTTGCGCTCTTTTAAGCCACATTCAATAATGCATCCTTGCTTCGAGCAGACGAATTATCACCGAGTGCTTTACAGGGTAGTCAAACTGAACATCTTGGCAAATTCACAAACATTGGCTACTGGTTTATGCAAATTTGTTATCAATTCTCTTATGCTAAACCCGAATTCCCATGTTTTAACCTAAACTCCATAAATCAGTTGTGTATAACCCCAAGCCATAACTCCTTCTGCTTGGCTCTGTATCAGCGCTGTATGCTACATGCTTGTACTCCTTATCCATCCATCTACTGATCAAAGCCCTCCTTGGTTCCCAAAACACCAACACCACCGTTACTGCGTCGTCGTCGACCGATCACATCGTGGATCCAATCGCTGATTGTGAAACCCCAGTGTCCAGCAACGAGAACACCACTCATGATGTTGATGACCTTGACCAACAGGCTAATGATGCCGTCGCGGCTCTCGTGAACGGTCAACAGGATTGGCTCGATATCGTACTTGAAGAAAATACCAGGGATATATCGCTCGTCGACCGCCTTACTCTGCTCGGTAACGGCATATTGGTTGGTAAGGATGGACTTTGAGTTGACGCTGTACACAGTAGGCACAACAGAGAGGTAGTATTGAAACTTGTGGAAGTTGTCGGGAGCTGTGTTGACGGTGCCGTCGAGAGGGTTGACCAGCGACGGGTAGAATGGGCCGTATGAAAGCTCCGAAATGATGTGCGAGAAGTTGAACTCTGTGACTGGTTAGCACACGATATGGACTACAATTCGCGAACTTACTGCTGTGGTCGAGATGCTCGCCGTTACCCCGATAACCATGGCCTCGCGCAGTGATATGGAAATCACCCTGCACCTTGTTCAAGTCCAAACTTCCATAGATACGACAGCTGTCGGCATTGCCCCTGAACTTGGGTGTCTTTGCCCACTTGGCCCTCTTCTTGCCAAGCGCAACAATATCGTGAACGTGCTCCTCGCCGAAACCCTCATCTTCATATCCCAACTCGTTATATCCAGAGCCAGTGTTGACGCGGCCTTGGCTATCCCGCCCGAGCTTGTGCATGCCCTTGTTGTCGACCCATTGACTCCAGAGTGTCCTATCAGCCTTGAGACGCTTAGCAGCTAGGATATGATCGCCAGACGCATCCTGGACATTAACATGGATATCGTCGCAGTTCATCTTCACCACGATGTCCATGTTGATCTGAAGCTCTCGCGAAACACCAGCCTCGACCTCGAAGTTGTGAGACTCTGCGCCGCGCCACCAGCGACCGAGTTCGCCCCAGATGAGGACAAGTGAGATGATAGACACGGCGACTGTCCATTTTCCACCTCCCGATGTTCGTTGGATGTATTGCGGCTTCGATTTGGCTGTCAAAAGTTAGCGCGCACATAAAGCCAGCAGCAATGAGAGACATACGGAATGCATCGAAAGCGCTGACCAAGCTTCCCTCCTTAGGACCAAACCTGTCCTCGTCATAATCTGACTTTTCCATTCCGTTCATCATTGTTGCAAAAGTCTTCTAGTCCCGCTAGCTCGAATATATACAATGAAAGCTGTTTCGATGTTGTGACGTCGCGAAATCGGTCCCGTCGCAAATTATGGTCGAGAGCCACTTGATCAACAGCAAATGCGCAAAGGTATTTGAGCCTATTGCCGCATGCCTCGGTGAAATAACGGTCGAAGGACTGGAAACCAATTGAAACCGGTTTCAGTGGTCTTGAGGGATTCGTTCGAGAGTCGACCGGGAATTTGTTGTCTCGATGTCGTCGCTTCGTTGCGCTGACAGCCGCAATCAGAAAGGACAGCTATCTGTAACTAAACTCATCCCCCTGAAGCAGCGTCGTCAGGGTCCAGTCGCTGATTGGTGGGCAAGGCCAAGATGGGATAAAGTGTCGCCGAACCGAGCTTGTTCCTGAACCAATGTCGGCTTTAAAGCGGATTTACTCGAGTAGCGGTTCCACTACAAGCACAAATGGCGACACCACTGCGTCTATTCGAAGCCTCCTCGCTTGAGATCGTCAGTTCTCATGATAACATATGATACTAGTGATCACCTATCATGAGGCTGGTAGAAGATAGCTTTGAGACATCAGCTAGGATAACGGCTGCACCGAGCATCATGATAGACCGCACCTGGATTTCGTGAATTCACGTATGAAATTTCAAACGAACAAACCAGATATTAGCCTGGGACTCATACTCGAGAATTGATATTTTCTTCGAAGTTACCATAAGATTGTGTCTAAACAACTTTGGATTAGGGGCATGGTGGCTGTTCCGGTTGAACAGATATTTCTCTTGTCAATGCTTGTCACGCATTATTGCTATGGTCGGAACGGAGACCAGTCCTTGAACTTGGCATGAATTGACTTCAGATGATACTGGCATTTATTTACTTCAAGATGATTCAACTGCAGATATCGTGCAACATGTGGAAGTGTCTATCGAAGGTACGTTTTCGGACGACGGGCTCATGATGTGTCAATCAGAGGAAGTGTAAGTCGTACCAAATTGGCCTTCGAATTAATGGAGCCAGCTGTCATAGTTAATTAATTCTTGGGTATTTCAAAGAACATATTGTGAGACTGCATGCAGCTCAATCATAGGCAAATACTGGACAGAGTCACAACTCACAAGCGCTTACACAATGACTATCTTCCTCAGTCATTTGTAAAAAGAAAGGCCGTACTTGAAACTGTAAGAAGTTATCAGTTTAACAGGGAATATCTAATATCTCGGAATAAAGCTCATATTTATGCTGTACTTCGTAAGAAATTGCTCAAAGGTTGGACGGCACTGTCTTGACTCTTGTGAGTATTTGGAATAGTTTAGACATACTCGAAGATTCGAATATTCAAATACAATACTGATCCTGTTTGAGGAACATTGATCATTTAATTGTCCCATTTACGACAAAACTTATAAAGTGCAGAGGAATAATGTGATAGAGATTTCAGGGGCGAAAACGCCGTAATGGTTTGTCACGACCATCATGTGTATCAATGCAAAGAGGTAAAGCATTCCAAGAAGCATCACTAACATAAACCTACTCGGTCCGACTGTATCTCGACAAAGTCGATCATCTCAGCACTGTTGAATGAATACTGGGTCCATCATCCATTTTCTGGGGGATTTTCGAGGGCAGAGTTGGTTCGGACCAATTCCCCACCATCTCGATCCTCCGAGATAAAGTAAATGGAGAATATGGAGAAGTAAATGGGTCGAGCGTTGGTGTGCATGGATGTCGATTGTTTAAATCAATCTCACATGTTTAGATATCTATGGTTTCAACTGTAATTGAAGCCTGTTAAACCCGATCAACGGGAATACGAATCACGTGCTCTCCCTACCTGTAGTCAATCATCTCGGCGCCGAGACGGGAGACCACGCGAACGACAACGGGACAAGGTAAACTTGGCATCTGGGCATCTTGGCATACCAGACCCTGGGTCGCGAATCGGTAAAGTGTGCCGATAAGCGCCTTGGCATTGAACAAAGATATCGACGACATGTTTTGTGTTTGAAGCATTAACGACACCGAAAGCGCGCTCAAGAATAAGGAAAATAGCATGGAGATGGGCATTTAGGAGAGGCAAATAATGATCAATTAGGTTTCCGGCAGAAGCGAAAGAAATGGGTGAATCGGGGGGAATAACCTTGCAGGGCGGACTTCTCCATTCAGGCAAGGCACAGTACGGCAGCGGCAAGTCTGGATTCCTGGCGTCGTACGTTGGTTGTAATGCAGACCATTCTTTGCAACGGCGTAAACCTTCCAGAACCCAACGGTCATCTCTGTCGACTGTTGGATGTAATAACTGAGGACATACGGAGTACAGTAACCGTATACTGCAGAGTAGGAAGAGGATATACGACCAAGCATCTGTACTGTAGCTGCAGTGCAAGATCAAAACAAGAATGAACCACCAACTCAAACCATTCCCCAACCCCTGATCACTTCGTATCAATGCGTAATCATGCTGCCCCCTCCATCGCAGCAAAAATAGGTACCTGACGCCGCTAATGTGACGGTTCCCGGGTCTCGCTCACTCCGTTTGAGCCACTCAACAGCTCGTGTCACCCTCCTTCTTCGCGATCCACCGTCAATCTCATTGGTTCTAGCCTATGTTTCTCCCTCCCTCTCTCGCTCCCTTTTAATTGCATTGCGCGCTTCTGCATGTACCTCACCTTGCGGCAAGTACCTATTCCCACCTACTAACGCACGCATTAACCCCCGTCACCCGTTTCCATTTCTTTTCCTTGGCACTTTGACTTCTTCAACAACATCGATTCATCGCAGACTTTACGTCGACCGTTTGTCCTTTTAATCGGTCAGATCGACTCACACTCTTTGACTGCTCAGTCAGTTTACGATAAATCTCACAGATTTATCGATATTTCGACGAAGCCCTCGCTGGGCGCGTCTATCGCTCGTTCCCGTCGATTTCCATCGCTCGCTCTCAACCTCGCTCGCTTCATTTCACTCGCATTCGCCCACGATGAAGTCCATTTTTTCAACCGGCGCCGTTGCGCTTTTGGCCTCAACGGGTTTCGTTAACGCCCAGTCGCCTTATAGCATTGCATCCACAGGTGCGGTCCCCCAACGGTTTGCTCGGAGGTAAACAGACATTAACTTTAGCAACAGCCGACATCAAGAAGTCAGCCAAGCAACTCGCCGCTGACTTGATCACATACTACCACGGAAACGACCCTGGCGGTATTCCTGGTATTCTGCCTGGTCCTCCTCCCAATGGTGACTACTACTGGTGGGAAGGTGGTGCTATGTGGGGGACGTATATGGATTACTGGAAGTGCACCGGCGATTCTACCTACAACAAATTGGTGATGCAGGCCATGCAGTTCCAAGTCGGCGATGATCAGGACTACCAACCCGCCAATGTTACTCTGTCCCTCGGAAACGACGATCAAGGTTTCTGGGGAATGTCTGCCATGTTGGCTGCTGAGCTGGACTTCCCCAACCCTGCCTCAGACCAGCCTGGATGGCTTGCCCTCGCTCAGGCCGTTTTCAACACTCAGGCCAATCCTGATCGACATGACAGCACTTGCAACGGTGGTCTTCGATGGCAAATTCCTCGAACTAACAACGGTTACGATTACAAGAACAGTCAGCGCCCCTCTTGAGATATTTACCTTGATCGACTCTGTACTAACTTCTAAAAGGTATTGCTAACGGATGCTTCTTCAACTTGGGTGCCCGACTTGCTCGCTACACTGGCAACAAGACCTATTCCGACTGGGCTGAGAAGACCTGGGACTGGATGGAGGGCGTCGGTTTCCTTGACCCTACCACTTATAAGATTTATGACGGTGCTCATGTCGGAACTAACTGTACCGATATCAACAAGGCTCAGTTCTCTTATAACTCTGGTGTCTTCCTCCAAGGCGCTGCTTTCATGTACAACCATGTAAGTCGGCCTAAACATGATACTAATGACAATTCACTGACTTCTTCAGACCAATGGTGAGCAGAAATGGAAGGACCGTGTAAGCAAATTGGTCGACGCTACTATCAGCAACTTCTTCCCCAAGGATATCGCTGTGGAGATTGCCTGCGAGAACCACGGCACCTGCACCACCGATATGTACTCATTCAAGGGCTACGTCCACCGTTGGATGTCTCAGGCAACACATCTCGCTCCCTTTATCAAGCCAAAGATTCTTCCTGTTCTCCAGACATCAACCGAAGCTGCCATCAAGCAATGTACTGGAGGAGACACAAAGCGTGTGTGCGGCTTTAAGTGGGCCAGCGGTGTCTATGATGGCAAGACAGGTGCCGGTCAGCAGATGAACGTCCTTGCTGCCGTTTCGTCTCTGCTCATGGAGAACACACCTCCTCCTGTCACGGCCAAGACTGGAGGTACCTCCAAGGGTAACCCCAACGCCGGCAATGTCGGAGACGGCAAGATTGATAGGACCTACAAGCCTTTGACCACTGCAGACAGGGCTGGTGCTGGTATCATCACTTTCTTGGTTCTGTCCTTCGCATGCGGCATCTTCGGCTGGATGAGCATGGGCAAATAGATGATCTTTCTCGATTTCTGAATATGCCGAAAGACGAAGTCCGGCATGCACAATTGTGCTTCTTTTGCAGCCTTGTATTTGGAATCTGAAGAAATGATCTTTGGGGCGTTGGATGGAGTATACTCGACCTAAATAGCCTGGTAGGCTGGATATCTATTCTCTAAATGTTATAATGTTTTACCATTTACTCTGTGCCTTGCAACTAGTGAGAACATTCGCACAATTCTACTAGTGTTCAGAGGCCCAAACACTTGCTATATAACTAGCGACCGACACAAGCACATCAATAACATGGTTTGATTGACCGAATTGAGCATTTACTGGATTGTTAATGGATTTTCGTCATGACCACGCGGCTCTAATTTGAGAAACTGGGTCATAGAATCGATATCACAGCACAACAGAGTTTGACAAAAGTCGGTATGTTTTGCACCGTGCTTGCGCAGATCCTGATAATCTCCATAGAATATCTCGCTTCTGGATACTCGGCAATTTGATCACTGCTATGAAACGGAGGCGGTATGAGAATATGACTTGATGCTTTAACGGTCACCTCGAAACGTCAATGGTTCGGGCTTGGTATGATTGGTGATGGGGTTGTGCCATTGTGGGACTGAGACAAGCTGTCTTTCTCTTAACAGGTCTTATAACACCGAGGAGAAGCCTTGAAAGAATGATGACTGCCTCTTCGAATGCCAGCTGTCGTTGTAGAGCATCGTCGCGAGGTCCAATAGTGGGGTGAAACTCTCTTTCTCGAAAATCTCCAGAGGCGTTGACAAACTGGCACATGACCGACTACAGTGCCTCTAGTGCCACTTCGGAACGACAGCAACATGCCACATCAAGATCACGGCCATGTTTATATTGAAAGATGGTATGGCATGAAGTGAACATAGACGCTCTATACTCACGAAACACTTCGAAATTGGACAATGTATAAGCGATGTTTTCGGAATACTCGGAAAGTCGGAAAGTTCGGTGTTGATGAAGTGCTCTCTTGCTCGTCCTGTCTATTTTTACATACAGAATAGTCTATTCAGATGGAGCATATCCGTTTTGGAACAAGATCTGGGGAAGAGACGTGGGCCAAGCAGGGCTTGGATCTGATAACATGGGGAGCTTCGAGATCTCAGTCAGAGCATAGCACAGGTTGGTAAGACGATAGGATATCAACGTTTCTATCTCGTAAAAGACGGGAATTGGGTCTCGAAAACGAGAAAGACCATTGTTCAGTCAAGATTTGAGGGACACAACCTAGATCTAAGGCGGGAGTGGCCGTTGCTAGCCTGTTGTCTCTAAAGATCTTGGGTGCAGATGTGGTAACTTTCCTTGGGTGTTTGTACATCAGACTGAGGTCATGTTTGTGTTTCTGAAGTGGAGAGCTGTTACAGCCAACTGCTCTATAGACTCCAAACTCACGATGCATGGCTTGGAGTCTATTGATCGCCCTGATCGACTTGTCTCAGAGTCTCAAGGTCTCACCACCAAAAGGCCCCATTCAATTACAGAGTCCCATTGACAACGTGTTCTGTTACACTTCCCCTCATGACGACGACATCACAAGGCAAAATTGCAAGGAATTATCTGGTCTGGGTCTGGGTTGTCATGTCCAATATCCAAAGCACGTCGTCGTCTTCCAAGATGACGCTAATGCAAAGACGTCCTAGTCGTGGATCCTTACATCCCTGCATTGACCAATAGCTTGGGGGTAGTGCATTTCTATGGGGTAATTTTTACATACTAAAAACTCTAGACAATCCAGGAACACAATTTGGTAAAAATCTGGGGGGACCGCGTGACAGCGCCATTTCTCTGGGCAAGGAACAGCTTTGGATCACACGCACAGTGGTTGCCGTTAACTGCAAAGCGTAATTGACCAAGAATGTCAGGAGACGAGAAGAAGCTCTGACTTTTTTGCCTTCAAGTTCCTAGACTGGCGGAGTATTAGCTCGTTGGGTCATCAAGTCTCCTGTTTGGCGGCTATGGGTTGAGGGAGTGGCGGGTATTGACATGACGATCTAAAATGCGGGGAGAAGCGAAGGAACAAGAGAGAAAAGAAGGAAGAAAAAAATCTAAAGATGGGTCCATTTGTGGGGTGAGCTCAAAAGTATCAGGAATTGCGTTGTTGTGCTGTGTTTGTTTGGCTTGGCTTGGCTGAAGGTAGGTCACCTTGTCCAAGGCAAGGTTGTGCTGTGGCCCCCTTGAATAAGCTTGAGTCGTGGTATAACTACCCAAGCTCTTCCCATCGTGACAACCTCTCTCTCTCTTCCCAAGCTCTACTTACTCTTGACGATCCAATCTACAACTTGACATTGAATCAATTATATCCTCTTCTCATCCTCAACACTGAGAAATCATCACAACGTACAACCCACCTCACTTACACAACCACAACCAGAACCACAATGCCCAGCTACATCCTCACTGAGCCCTCTCCCTCCACAAACGTCTTCGTACGTTCGGGCCGCGGCGGCTACGGCAACATCTCTCGTGCCTCAAAAGACACAACATCCTCCTCAACCCGCACCGTCGTGACCCCCAGCACAACCCCAAAAACCACAACTACTACTACCCCCTCACGCCGCTTCTTCAGCGGCATCGGCGGAGCTGGCAACGTCCACCGCGCAAGCGAGCAACCCTCTGTGTCTCTTGACGACGAGTACGACCGCATTGCCGCCCGTGACCAAATGGCAGCTGGACATGTCGGCATTGGCGGCGCCGGCAATGTGTTCCATCGCAAGGATAGCGATGCCGGCTCTGATGCTAGCGACAGCAGCTCTATGAGCTCCAAGACGAAGCTGTGGGCTCGTGTTAGCAGCACTTTCAGCCGGGACTGAACAACAAAACATAGGAAAAGAACGATTGAGGGTGTTTGTACGAAAAGATATGAATTAGCGACTGGCGTTGATGGGATTTGATATTTGGACGAAAATATGGCGGGGACCTCAGAGCAAATGGGTTGACGATATACCCCGGATGTACGGTTGGCACTGACAATTGAGAGGGGCGATATGAAACTGCCCTTCTACTCTTGCTTTGCCTGTATGATGCTTGTTTCTGGTGAAGATTTATATACCCCCGAGCGCAGCTCTTTTCTATTATAGAAGCATTATTACTTATTACTCATTTACTCCTTACCCCTGTGACTTGTATGTATGTCCTCAGGGTGCAAGACTTCACTTCTGTCGTTAAATCAGGGTGCGAAAATAAAATGGTCTAAAGGCTTGTTAAGATATACTAAACTTACCTAAGTCTTTTCATAACTTAGACCAGAAGTCCTAAATTTTCTTGCCTCCCCTTATATATCTCATGATGCTCAGAGACAGAGACTCTTTGGTTGAGAGAACGACTTCACAAAGCTAAGCACAATCTCAACACATCAGGGTATCATTAGGCTTCCTCTATCTGGCAAAGGTTGTCTACAACTGCACTGGTGTCTCCACACACACCAAACAGCACTAAATCTTCCATTCCATGCAAGGCTTCTGCATCGCTCTATCAACAACAGCAGCGCGTCAAAGGGGGTTGGTTTGGGTTGTGAGGGCTTGCGATCACAAAGGTCAAGGTCATCTCGATCATAAAGGTCCAGACGGCGGAAAAATCAGTGTCGATGAGCTCAGGCATGTTCATGTCCGATTATTTCGTCGTTATGGCTGCATCACAAAGATGCGAAGTCAAAGGGTGACACGCATATGTACGTCGTTCTTACGTGAACTTGGTATGGATAATGTCGGGGTTCTCGTGCCAGTCATCAATGCTCACCCACATCTGTCACACATTAGTATAGTAATGAAAGGTATCACGATAAAATCACTGACCTTTCGGAAAGTACTCAATCCAGCAAGAATACTGCCTCCAATCCAGGTAGAGTACTTTCTCTCTGGTGGCGCAAAAATCTTGATCCTCATGTCCTTGACTGCCAGCTTTTGCAGCTCTGTCAAAAGACGGTCACCGAAGCCCTTTGTCAATGTGCTGCCTCCAGAAAGCACGATGTTGCTGTAGAGAGATTTTCGTAGGTCGAGATCTGTTCGGTTGATGGCATCAACGACAATCTGGTGTACACCAGGATATTCGAGGCCGATAATCTCAGGGTCAAAGAGGATCTCGGGTGCTCTAAAGCGTTCCGCGCCAATCTTCAATATGTTAGCTTGTCCAAACATTGAGCAGAGAACAAAGAGTCTCACCTTGAGCTTGAAGCCGTCTGGAAGCACGTATTCGGCAAACTTGCTCTCATTGGGCTTCACACCGACCCAATCCCTCTCCTCTTTCCGTGGATCATGAGCAACATAAGAGACGCTCTCCTTGATTAACCTCACGACTTCCTTCTCAGCACTCGTGTGAAAGACATATCCACTCTTCCGTAGCAACGTCTGCATGTACTCAGTCACATCTCGACCTGCCACGTCAATTCGGCGAATACTGCTGGGCATGGCGAAACCCTCGTAAACAGGTACAGCATGAGAAACACCGTCACCAGAGTCGAGAACAATACCGGTTGTTCGGCCACTGGCGTATAGCGATAGCACGGCTTGGATGGATGTGTGGAGTGCGGGGACGTTGAATGTCTCGAAGAGGATCTGGGCGGCCGTGTCGCGATTGCTTCGGGGGTTCAAAGGAGGTTCCGTCAACAAAACGGGATGCTGTAAGATGTCAGTATAATTGCACAGCTAGGCACTTGAGCAACAAACCTCTTCGCTGAGAGTCTTCAATCCTTCACCGTAAACATACTCCCAGATCCTCTCCATATCGTCCCAGTCGGTGACAATACCATGCTCGAGGGGATACCGAATTTTGAGCAGCCCTCTCAATTCCGTGGAGGCCTTTTGTCCTATGAATACCTCGCCCTCGAGGGCACCCGCGAGAACTCTCAGATGCTTCGGTCGACCAACCCACGACGGAAAGTAACATTTTGGTAGATCATCGCCTGCAAAACCAGCTCGAATAGTGCCAGATCCGTTGTCGAGGACTATAGGCGCATTATGTAAAGAGTCTGCCATGTTGTGTCGGTTTTAGAGTTTCTCCCTGAGCTTGTATGTTGTCGCTATGATATATCGTTCCCGGCTTCTTTGTTGTTACCATATAGGTCCCTTCTGAGCTCCCCAATGTTGGTCCTTCTGAGCTCACAGCGAGTAATAGCCTCGAGGCTTCGCGTATTAACTAACAGACAAAGAATCCCACAGTGCGTCTGCAGCTCGTCGTATCCATAAAGTGTCTTTCAAAAAAGTCCTGAGTGTTGGTTGGTATTGTCTATTTGTTTGTTGTACCCCTGCCAATCAATCAAGGCCAATGCCTCGCCCACTAGTAATCTGCCAGCTTCAGGAGGCGCCCCGTGGCAGTACTCGAGTCACGTGAGCCCGAGGGATCCCTTGAACGCCTCAGGCAGCAGCACTTTAAGTGCTTCGCGTGAAGGCGCGTCTCGTCAACCGTGGACCGCGTCTTTGACGTGAACTCATATTACCTAGGCAACTTGAACTTGGGAAGAGCTTTCGGCGATACTGCAAAGCCCATTTGCAACGTTCAATTCGACCTCTCTTTTGCCGCTGATGATTATTACGAGTTCTATCTTACCCTGCTAATCCTCCCGATTAATCCTCTCCGCCCTCGTCCCGTCACCATCTCGCATGGTCCCAGAATTGCTTCATCTTAGCCGCCCACATGGTCAAGGCCAATGCTAATGCAGCAGCTGCTGCTGCTTCTGGACCTGGCGTCTACAGCGCAGTATACAGTGGCGTAAGTCTCTTCAGTTGCTGCGACCTCTTTTATGTGACTCTATTGGTGCATTCTTCTGAACAGCTTCGTTTGAAGACGGAGTGTCATGAGCAGCAGATGTCTCTGATGGAGCTCGCCCCTGATACTACCATCCCCCACTAGTGCTATCAACCCAATGCCTTTACTAATCAGTTCTCCTTCAGATACCTGTATACGAATTCCAGTTTGGTGGTGACCTCAAAGAACATGTGATGCGAAGGAGACATGATAACTGGATCAATGCGACACATATTCTGAAGGCTGCTGGGTTCGACAAGCCAGCTCGAACCAGAATTCTCGAACGAGATGTGCAAAAAGACGTTCACGAGAAAATCCAAGGTGGCTATGGAAAATACCAAGGTTCGCCAACTCCTCAAATACGCCGTTTATCATCTAACACCATTGCACAGGCACTTGGATACCACTCGAGAGCGGACAAGCATTAGCAGAGCGGCACAGCGTATTCGATCGATTGCGACCCATCTTTGAATATGTCGCTGGTGCGGAGAGCCCACCTCCTGCTCCCAGGCATGCTAGTAAACCCAAGGGACCAAAGTCTAAGCCTCCGCTACCGAAATGGAACAGTATGTTGAGTGTGATATCAGATAGGATACAGCTGACGGTTATCAGATCCGCCTCCAGCTCCTGCTCCTGCGCCCGTAATTCACGATGATCCCGATACGGTAATGGGTGACGAAGATACACCAGATAACCTCACAGTGGCATCAGCATCGTACATGGCCGAAGACGAACGTTTCGAGATGCCCCAAGTGCCAGGCACAGGACGGAAACGCAGAAGAGACGACAGCAACCTGCAAGACCTTACCGAGCAACAACATGCGCTATATGGCGACGAACTTCTCGACTACTTCCTCCTCAGTAAAACAGACCAACCAGCAGTGAAGCCTGATCCACCCGCCAACTTTCAACCTAACTGGCCGATCGATGCGGAGGATCATACGGCGCTTCACTGGGCGTCCGCAATGGGAGACGTTGATGTTGTCAAACAACTCAAGCGATTTAACGCATCGTCCACTGTCAGAAACATACGCGGCGAGACACCGTTCATGCACTCAGTAAACTTTACGAACTGTTACGAGAAGCAGAGCTTTCCCGTCGTGATGAAAGAGCTATTCGAAACATTCGATGCTCGTGACAATATGGGCTGTACAGTGATACATCATGCGGCTGTTATGAAGAACGGCAGAGTATTCAACTCATCATGCTCACGATACTACTTGGACAACATTCTCAACAAACTTCAGGAGGGCCTAGAACCAAGCGCATTTCAAAGATTGCTGGATGTTCAAGATAACGACGGAAATACAGCATTACACCTTGCAGCGCAGCGGAACGCTAGGAAGTGCATAAGAGCACTATTAGGACGCAATGCTTCATCGGATCTTACGAATAACGACGGAGTCAGGGCAGAGGATCTTATTATGGATTTGAACGCGACGAAGAAAGAACGTGGACCTCAACGATCGTCGTCTCCTTTTGCCCCTGAATCCCAACGACATGCTTCTTTCAAGGATGCACTGCTCGAGAAGGCGAATCGGCAACCCCCGGTGGCTTTCCAGTCCGCGGCAGCAAACACTGTCCAGTCACGGATCACACCCCTGATTATGGAGAAATTCCAGGATCTAGCTAAGAGCTACGAAGAGGAATGGCGGGAGAAGGATGTAGCAGAGGCAGAGGCGAAGCGAATCTTGGCCAACACCCAGGCAGATCTGAATGCTCTCCGGCAAAACATAACAGATGCTGAGGGGCAGCTCGAGTCAGAAGAAGCGGCGTCCAAAAACAACCAAGAAGCCAACCTAGCCAAGCATCAGGTGCTGTCACTCATCACACACCAAAACCGCTTACATGTTCAGCGGTCAGTGGACAGTGAACTCAGCCGCATCAATGGCGATGGAGGCGTGCAGGAAGAGTCATACGAAGAGAGGCTGAGTCTCGCCCGCCAACTAAGCACATTGCTTGCTGAGCAACGGACAGCTGAGACGGATTATGTCGAGGCGCTGAGCATGGTGGGCACGGGCGAGAAGATTGAAAAGTATAGGAAACTTCTCAAGAGGTGTCTCGATCCGAAGGAGGGCGAGAGCCTGGACACGAATCTCGACAGCCTGATCGAGATGATGGAGGAAGAGCGGGACGAGGATGGTATGGTTGGCGCTATGGAGCCCGAACCAATGGAGCTGTCAGGTGGCATCTAGGGAACATCACTGGGCTCTCCGTTGCGGATCTAGCCCCTTTATTCTCTTTCTCTTTTGCTTTGACGAAAGTACTTATATATATCCTTATTGGTTAGGGGCGCGCAAAGTTACGGGGTTGGTTAATCCTCTGCTAGTCTTGGGAGGATTTAGCAGAAGCAGACTTTCTACGAAGGAATGGGCGATGGGTGTATGCAATTTTGCACGATAGACCTGAGCGCAAGCGAGGTGATAGTTGCCTATGAAATATACTTGCTCTTGAACTCAGAACTAGCTTTTTCCGAGGAAGTCGGTCAGTGACACTTGAGAACCAACCACCAGGTCAACGGTCAGAGTTAGTCAACCAAACTAAGATGCACTGCCGGAGACGGCTTGACGCCAAGGCATTCGATAGAGGGGAAATTCCAAGTTATCGGAACCGAGGCACTCACTAACTTCCAAGTTGTGAAGATAGCGCCGAGGCTTGTCAGCCAGCCTCATGCTTCTGTGCCTTACCGATTTGCTCAACTTGACCATAGTACACCAACAAGAGGGGCTCCAGCACCGATAATGCGGCTGATATTGATTTCCAGGAGCGGTGGTCCGTGAGTTATATTCTCAAAGAGGCTTGGTCATGCGCAAGCCATCTTCTTCGTTCCACCTGAGAGAAATATGTTATGGGACAAAAGTTCCTCGAATCAGATGGTTCGAATGATGTGTAAGGGGACCACCTATGATGAGAAGATAATTTCGGGGCAGTCAGAAGACCGGTATCTTCCAGTTCTTGCACATAACAAGTTTCCCAGAGACCAGCAAAAAGGACTTGCATGCCACACAGCAAAAGAATTGATCACTCGTCAGAATGACCGTTGTAATGCGTAATCTGGGAATCGAACCCAGGGCTCCCCGACGCTGCACGAATGGCAACGGAGAATTTTACCACTAAACCAATTACGCTGTGGTGTTCGATGTCTGGTGTAACGTTGTTGAGCCTCATATCCCGCTCATGCAGATCTCGGCCATAGTCGCTGTACTTACTTCTTGTTCTCCGGTACAAGGATCTTGAGATTTATTTGCTTTTCCTTAGACAAGAGATTCGGCTACTGTAGCTGACCGCATGAGTCTAAATCATGTGAGTTCATCAATTCATGTGAAGTCGATACATAACCTAAGTGGGTACAATTCAGCCAAGGTTGAGTTTTTCCGAAGTAAGCATAATTAACGGCCATGAGGATCGGGCGTTGCGGAGTCAATGATGAAGCTCAATATCTGGGTTTTAGTGGTATGGGATATCAAGAGGTTGGTTAGATCCGCGCTTAGGCCAAGCGGTGAGATGTAATGGCTGGTTCATGGTTGGACATCCCAGGTGGAGCGAATGTCATTGTTCATCGCGAACCATAGCTTGTGGCGATGATGATTGGGATGTTGCTTGACGCGCCCGAATTATCTGAAACTGGACACGAACGCGAGTAATTGACCTGTGAGAGTGGCAAGAGTCGTCGCGTATCTTGCGCAATCAACGAGGCCGAGCAATCCGTTGCTGTCGAATTGCGCCGAGTTTGTTCTCCGTGAGTGTTTTTTGTTGTGCTGCGCCAGTCAGACTTGTGTAAGTCATTTCCTTGTCAGCAAGACCCACGTCGAAACACGAGGCTGGAGGCAACAATTTGCCAACTCTCAAAAAGGCAATTCGAGCGATGGCGATGGATGACTCGAAGCCAAGAAGTGGAATAAGACAGGTATTATACCCTGTGCGCATAAAGCATTGGTTCGAAGAAAAAAAAGCCCTAGACAAGGTATATATCTTTGATGCTTGATATGATTTGAGGGAGCTTTCCGTGTCCGTAGGAGGTTCTCCGCCAGTATTTGTTTGTTTTACAGGGTTGGCGAGGATTGACTGGAGTTGAATGTGACATTGACAAGGATATTGACCAAGGTGGCGGGGACTGGGCTCGTAAGGCTGAACAGGGTGCTATTTTTGAACACTGACCAAGAGTGGTTAGGAGTTCTTGTTAGTCCCAGAGCCAGGCCAGGACGAAATGGAGGAGTTTTGATCCCCGTGTCAGAATGTCGGCGTGGATCCACGGAGGAAAGGATTCCGCCTGATCTAAGTTGCAGGGCGGCCGATATTTCTGCTAGAGGTACTTGCCGAGACCAGGGTTGTATGAGAGGAAGACTAGCTGTTACACTTTGCGAAAATTGACGTTATGTTGAGATGCGATGCGGCGTATGTTGCATCCACCACCAATAAGACAGCCACAACCATACTGTGAGAGCACAAGACAGCCACCCACATGGAGAGAAAGCATGGGACTCGCATTGCATCCTTGTCTTGTCATCATCAAATCGCAGGCGATAATCATCGTATCAAGAACGTTAGAAATCTCAGTTACCTCCCCGGACAGCCCAATGGAGACGCTACTGATGCGTATCTGAAGATCGTTGCTTGATGTGCACTATGGCCAAGCAAGCATGATGATGTAGGAACGGATCCCATCACGGCTGAAAACCCATTCGGAGTAGGATTGCATGCACCTCTTTGAATGAACGGGGCTGTCGGAACGCGCGGGGTTGTCTTATTGATGTTTGTAAAGACGGGGTTCACCCTCGTATTTTCACTGGCCTCAAAGTGAACCTTTTTTTATTCGGCCTGAGCTTTGGTAGCGAAAGGGATTGCGTTGCATGCGGCGCAGCCGCATCTCTTGCAATGCGAAGAGACGCCCTAATGTGGCTTCTAGAAGGTAGTAGGATATCGGTTTACCCTGGGGTGGGTTCATGCCGCAGTCACGACTGACTCGGCAGGAAGTTTATGAATCCGAGTTTCTGCGGAGGGTAAAGGGAGTTGAATAAAAATTATAGTTAGCGATTTACCCGCGACTTTCGTTGATGGCAACTGGCAGTTCACTGCCTTGGGCCTTGACAGAAGCCTAGACCCCATCGTATTGAGTCCAGCTGGGCAAGGTTACCGCCGTCGCAGATCCTTGGTCTGTGATTGGCTACCGAAACGCTGGAGAAGGTCTAAAGCGCCAGCAGGGGAAATGAGAGACATTGGCTTGGCCGAGACTGATGAATTGTTGTCGACAATATTATATTGACGGTCAACCTGAACCATGCGTCTGTGTGGCTTGTTTGATATCATGAACTAGCACGCGATGGCCCGTTCGGTATTGGAAATAATCAAACATGGTTCGAACTGCTTCGACTGAATGTTAGAACCTAGCCGAGTTAAGAGAGGGTATTCGGAGACGGACACAGCCAACCGTCGCGTTGCAATGCAATGCAATGTGACGCTTGGCAATAATGCGCGGCGATATCATAATTGCGAATCCTTGTCATGATAGTACGGATGCATCATGCATCATGCATCATGCAATACATTGACGAACCGAGTCACGTCCTTGGTTGAGTTTTTCGATAAAGCAAGATCTAAGCGGCAACCTTTAACTTGGGATGTGGGATGTTGGATGTGAGCGTCTCCTTCCTTCCGTGGCTGGGTGTGAACGTCAAGTTTCAGGCGCCCCTTGCAAGCCCGGCGCCAAACAAGGGAAGGCGGCCCCATTCCTTCCAAGCTTGTATCCAATCACGTGTCGTAATTCCATCGTTTCAGCTGAGTCTGTTCTTTCCAGTGTCACAATCGAGACTACACTGGACGATCCCCAAGACCAAAGCATCCACCACAGGGCAACGATATCGGGAGGACGGGGATTTCCATCGATGGATGCATTGACCAAAACTCAACCTTCTAGTTCGGAAGCAAGCACTTCCAGCTGCAATGACATGCTGTCCCGCGTCGTGCCGTGTCATGTACAGCGGCAGGCATCGATCTCCGCGTGGCATAGGTGGTATACAGCCACGCGACACGTCTTTTGATGCATCAAATCGGGCAGAAATGCTCATTAATCATCACCATTCAGCACAGGCATGCTTGAACTAAGAAACCCATCAAATTAACAGATTCCACAATACGAGCCCCCTTCAGCCTACAAAGCAACCCCCGAAATGACGCAGAACCCATGATGAGGCGCTTCACCAGTCAAAAGGAATTCGAGTTGCATAGACTCTTCCAGCCCAACAAAAGTTCATGGCAACCATCGTGGTTAGCTCCACATGCAATATCACTTACACCTTTCCTACCGAATGCAGAGGCAATCGAATAATGACAATAGCCCCGCCATTGATGCTCTTATGATGACTTCCACTGGGCTTGGCTGCTGGAGTGTCGATTACAGTACGCGGAGGCGGGCTTGCTTGTCTCTCCTCGGGGAGAGACCAGTTCAGTTTCGTCAGGCGCCCTACTATGCAGTGGACAGGGAAAGCAAAAGAATTCATAATAACCTTTTATGACCGCAACCGTTACTGCTACTCTACGGATATCGCTTGTTCGAGGTTGCATTGGAAGCGCCTCATGCAGGGACATAGTCGGCGCCATTACACCAGTATTGAAAAAATGAACCACACCGCTCAGCCTGACAACCCAGATTCGCAAGGCTTCTTGAGAAGCCCTATCGCGATATGGATACTTCCGTCGATCTCGTGCGCCAATACGTGTCGGACCAAGCCAATTGTCGCCGCCTTAGATCGTTCGAAAACGGTTCGATAGATGCAGTAGGGATTCCTTCTCTACAGAGGCTTGAGACTTGCCCGATTCCCATGTCACTAACATAGCCTTGTCTTGCCCAAAAGGCCAAAGGCTCGACATCGTCCGATCTAGCTCGACCAATAGCCGCTTAGACACACCCCTGGCCTGGAACAAGCTCGCGACAAGGGTCTGTCTCTAGCCCATGGCGTTGCTACAAGTAGGGCTCACCTCAGCTGAAATGCTCAATTTAGCCCATCTTCTGGCGTCACTCCCTCGCCAAACTGGTCAGATTTGGGTTTGGTCAGTAAACTAATCTGCAGGGCTTGGGCCCTGGGGGCTCGAAGCAGATTGCAGTGCGATCGTGGGGCATCATGGCCCAGGGACGCCCGGCTTGGCCAAAAGCGACTTTTGTGCCTCTGACGCCTTCGTTGGAAATCTCGGGCTGAAAACAGGGATGCCAATCGTGTGCAGACTGCAGGAAACGACTCTTACAACACGCCCTCGGGGTCCGGTACGACCTATCAACCAATTTGCTCCGACTTTATTCGACGACCCCATGGCCAGCTGTTGATGGTTGGAGACTTTTTGGAGCACGCGGTTCATCGAGTTTCCTTGATCAACTTTGATTGAGACGGTCCAGCCCGGCTCAGCTTGCGATGACATTGCAATCTCACGCTTGCTTCTAGGATCTCATTCCCTGCCCCCGATTAATGTTTCATCATGAAAACCCCAGTCCTTTCTGACTTACACATGAGATCATGCCAAAAATGTCGCAAGGAGCGATCGACAAAAGGCTCGTCCCACTGGCAGCTCTTGTCGAAGTCTTCAGTGACAACTTCCTAGAACTCGGGCAACCTTGGCCAGAGCCACACTTATTTGGTCATTTTCAAATCCTTCCAACGCCTCCAGAAATCAATACTCCACTTGTCAAAGCCACCCCTACAAGTCAAACGTCGTACCCACGTCCCGGGACCGAAGCCACAGCTAGTCTTGATTAGTAGCCCCTCTGAAAGAGGCTGTCTGAAGCATTTCTTTCCGCTCCTTTACAAAGAGAATCCATGTTCATTTTCTCCATATTCCTAGCCCAGACCCTCGAAGAGCAGGGTGTGGTCGAAGAGGGGTGTCGTACTATCCTTCGAAATTGGACCCAAAGTTCATCAAGTGATGCTCTTGGCTTGGCTTGCTACATTGACCTTACTCGAGAGTTTCCATCAGTTCATGAACAACCATCATATAAGACTCAGTACCCCCAGCTACGTAACCTTACACAAATAACCGGTATTGCTTTTGCACTTTGATCTTTTGACTCCTCTTATATGCATCTCATATGACAGGCTTCACACCACGCCCTATCTACTTAATCACAACTCGAGCATCACTTTGGTGACCCAAAGACGACCAATAGGCCATCTACCATATTCGCATTGCTGGGAAATAATCCGACGGCGATCCCCTGGTATACGTCGGCATAATCGGCTCCAGCATTTACTGAGCGTTGAGATTTGCGACGGAAGTTATTTCGTGATCGAGTCATCAACCAGATAATCTATCTGATACAAGCCACTACCAAAGTCTGGAGACACACAAGGCTTACTCAGTCGCCGCTTTTCTCCAAACGAACATAACTCGTTTTTCTCTTTCTGACCAAGCGCCCTTAAACGCGGGTGTTTGAAGCATAGCCTTGGATCAACCGGATTCAAGACCACCAACAACCCTGTCTATTCAGCCCAGCCCAGCCTTCTTGTCTACAGAGTCGACTCCGCCCAACCAACCCAGACGAGGATTGTCAACGCAACGGGCAAGCATACCCCCAGAAAGTCACCGTCTGACCGCAGAAAGTAGAGTGACCTTTGGCCCCGCCAAGTGACCGACGGCGCCAAAATTAAGTTTCCGCGAATATATCAATCAATCACTGACATAAACTACGCACCATGCCCGTAACTAATCGAGGTGTAACACAACTTACACCTGACACCACCACCTCAACGTCAACTCACAGCAACTACTTGAACAAGTCGTCTTCCTCCTTTCAAACTCTTCAAGCTGGCCTCGCAATCTTTGCTGTTGCTGTCATCGCACGCTTTTGCGTTTTGCGACTCTACCTATGGTTGCGACAGATGCGCGGCTTGGATCAGCAAACCCTACCCATCTCATCGTTGTCGCATACTCGACGGCTTCAGTCGCAACCCTTTTGGGCTATGAATGAGAAGACTATGACGCCGCCTGCTAACCAGGAGGACATGGCCCCTGAGCATATGTTGCATGCCAAGCAAACAGACAAGAAACTGGTCATCGACCCCAACTGGCAGAGTACAGACAATCTCATGTCCAGACATGTCATGTCGCGACCACCTCCTGCACCACCTCTGACGCCGCCTGAGCTGAGCACAGCCGTCTTCACTTTTGATGACCGCCCACGACCAGGCGAAGATAGTTTTATTCGTCAGCCTAACCCGGATTACATGTCGTCGACAGCCAACACTGTTCTGCCTGACAACTCAGCATCAACATCGGTCACCCGCCGGCGCTCTTACAATAAGACTCTTCCTATCGGAGTGCCCGTGCCTCAGTCATCCCAAGGGATGTCGGATGCTGCCGATCTGACTTTTTCGCCCAGTTCCTACCCACCTGCAAGCCCGTTGCTTCCACCGGCCCCACCCAACGCAGGAACCGTGGAGATCGGCGTCCAGGGCGAGATTATTGGTATTCTCGACTCCGAAGGCGCCGGATGGACGAGACATACGCGTGTCTATGGCGGCGGAGTCTGCCTTGCATGTGCGGCCTCCGGTGGCAATCACGGGGGCGGTTTCTACGGAGCAACAGTCCGGCCTGAGGAGATGCGATGACGGGTTGACAGTTTCGTAACGACCATGTGTACTACTTTCAGTTGACTTTCCCGACCAAACGTGATTGGCACTTTTGGTCTGGCATAGGGGCCCATGTGTAACGACCGTTTACGACTTATGTTAGAGGTGGACGTGGTGCAACAACTGCGCTTCTGGGCAAAATTTCCTTTTCTCATGTCTTACTTGAATGACCCACGGCCTGCGCCGCTGTTTTGAAGCGACGCATTGTCTCACTTGGTTTCGGTTTTGGATTTGGGTTGGATTTTTGTTTTGCACTGCTCAGTATAATATACCCCTTAAGGTACTCATCTACTTTATTGGTTATTAGGCTAAGGGCGCATGGAACTGAAGATGTATTTCATAAAGTTTTTTATGTCGAGGTTTAGATCTTGGCTCATGATGATATAATGACCTGTTTTCTCTCAACATTATCTTATTCTTGCCTTCTCTGCCAGACATAGGCATCGTAGCATGATCACTGAATCATTCTCATCATCTACGCATGCAAAGCCCCACATTGATCTTGTACCGCAAGCCACTCGCGAATGCCTTCAACAAAGCTCCATAATCGATGGAGACTTTGACTCGGACTGCTCGGGTCGCCATTCGAACACGTCTTCAAGTCCTTGTAAAAGTAAGCAGCCTCGAGGGCATATCACGGGATTTGTACCATGAAGCTCTCGTCAGCCTTACAGAGGAGTCTGCCAAAGTCCATACCTTGCAAGTGCTTATCGTAGGACTAAGCCTCGGACGTATCCCAGAGAAGATACCCGATGCCCGAATGGATCACCAAATGCAGAAACAACCTAGAAGATCACCAAAGACTAAAAGCGGTTGCAAAGCCTCGTGCGGGAGGGGAACACTCGCGCGTCATGCAGCCTATGCAGGTCTAGGACCGAAGATCAAACCAACGACTTATACACCTTTCACCGAATTCAGGTGATTTACCCGCCCGCCCCTAAGCTTACATTGCGCCGATGCTCGGCGATGTGTGCCGAGTTCTCTTGGCCTATGATACTCCGGTACGGTAAGCTCTTGAAGGAATAGATGGGGTCTTCGTTCTGCTTAGGATAAGATAGTATAAAGGCGGCTGGGAAGAACTTAGAGATCTCACGTCAGATGAGAGGAAATTACCTCGAAGGTCGTGTGCCGTGAGCGGGTGATCACGGGGAATGAGGACATGTGCTCATGAGAGGAGGGGGTTTGTAGGGCTGATATTGAGGGATTGAGTTGACACAGTGAGAGCTAGGTACGGGATACGACCAAGCTGAATCGAAGTCCTAGTCTACGGGGTCAGTTGTCAGAAACAAGAATAGACTACTTACCCCCTTGCTGATGGCTTTTGTGGGGAGAGATACGCTTGGTCTAGGATAGAAAGATTTATAACAAAGCCCGGCTGTGGGACTTTTGTAACATGTCCGCATGACGTGTTTCGTGCATCTGCATATGTTGTAGGACCTGGGATATTGAAACACTTTTTTGATATGGTCGCAGATTTGGCCTGGCTTTGTAAGTGGACGACTGGGATGGTCGAAAGATGATGCCCCTTTTGGATGCTTCTAGCGCGTATGCTTTAGGTATTTGCAGATTCGAAGGGGCAAGTGTCATTGGGGAATGTCGCGGGAGGTTGAGCATGGAGGTGGTGTCACTGACAGCTTGCAGCTTGTATACATTACATAGGGCCGCTTTGTGTTCCTTTCCCTGTTTTGTGAGAGGACCTTATTGGTTCAGAGGTACTTGAGTTTGTGTATCTGTTTAGTGTGGGTTGTAGTGCATCTTTTTGAGGTTCTGCAGAATGCATTTCTCTCCGGCGACCAACGCTCGGTCCGAGTTGACACGGAGTTTATGATATGACTTGATTAGTACCTTGATAGCAAGCCACGTGGTGATGAGCAGGGACAGCGAATCGGGAACTCAGCATCCTGTTCCTAGTGTAGTTCATACCAAGTCATTCGTAGATTTGTCGTCATCGTTGAAGAGTGTGCTGCTAGGTGAGGGGGGGTTACTTGTTTATCATCCAGTTCAAGATGGAACTTGATATCGTCAAGGTCGATCTCGCCAAGGTTCTAGCCATGCTTGGCGGCCTAGGGCTGAACTGGGGGTAGCTATCTAAGAGCAAGCGAGCCAGTATGAGGTGACTAGACAAGGTCATTACATTCTAGTAAGTACAGATACAAACTATATGTCGAAGGGAACTTTAGCCATCACGTGGTTCTCATTCTGTGGTAATCCTTAGAATAACAAGGTCCTTCTCCGTCTATTATGCCAGTTTAATGCTGGCTATTATCCCACATTGAAATTGTGCTAGATGGTACATATACGCTTTACGTTACTTTGCTCTCTTGGATCAATTACCTCTCTACAAGATATATTTCTGACCCGAATAACATGAGTGTATTGAACTTGTCTCTTCAAACTCAACAACACAACAGTTAGACTCGTGGATAGCCAAGGATGAGTATGTTGGCCTTCATGGGTAGCCCCTTGCTCAATTATCCCACTCATCAACTGAGGCTCTCGTTAATATTTATGCGTCCTTCCTTATAAATTCGGAATGTAGTCACTGGGATTCCAGTCTGGAGTCGTCGTGCAGTGTTGATGTTCTCAGATTCACATATAGCAAAACCCGTCTCAACATTTCCTTTTACAGTTCTCCCCGAGTTATCCGTTCGGATAGTACTCCATTGCTTTAACAATTGGTGTTGTTGGTATATCCTGAGACTCTCCATGGTCTTTCTCGAGACGTTGTTGGAAGTCGTTGGAACCGCCGAGACCCAAATCCACAACGCTCCGGAACATACTTTGCAGAATATCGAACGAAAATCCGGGGATTTGGTGGCGATTTGAGACCGTGGTTTACTGATTCCGCTTCACAGAATGTATAGTTAGGCTCACAATAGATATAGGGTACATGCTGAGTCTCGGTGACTTCAATTGCCAACCTGAGCTGGGTTCTTATTCACCCAAGGCACAACTCCTACAAACGCACAGCCCAATTTCCACTTAATTACTTTTCTTTTGTAAGTTCTAGCCTCGTATGAACTACATATCACAATGTTGTTTTTCAGCTTCCAGTATTACATATCAGGTCGTTGGGTTTGTGCGTCACAGGGTTACTTGCAGAGTCTATCACAATCTAAGGAGGACAATCACATCTATTGTTCTTTTGTCCAAGCGGTGGTAGTGATAACAGCAAATTACCGGACGACTCTATATCGAGATCCTGACTCGCGCCATGTGGGTGAGGTGATAGTCGAAGCTCATCAACACCCCGTCCACACAGGCCATAGCCATGTATAAGTTCACGACAACACAGAATAACAGTCATGACCTTCCCGGGACTCAGAATTGTCCAACACAATTATTCGCTTTCATTTGGTCATGTCTTCTTCAAGTGGTCTCGATAGCCTCTCAACCTTCCAGGAACCCAGCCTCGGTAAGCCCAGTCGAAACTCATCTCATTCACATCTGAAGACATACCCAACGATCTGGTACAAACTTTACCGAACTGCCGCTATCCGTTTTCTTAGATTGAAGTGTCAGTCTACGAAAGTTTTACTAGTGACAGCGTGTCAAACCGATCTGCCGAGTGAGGCTCCGTGTCAATTTATACAGAGTTTACTAGGGACATGGAACTTGAATATGTCTGGGCGCAGTTACGACAGGACTACTGCAAGTCGCAGGCATAAGAACAATGCGAAGCAGCTAATGCCACAGAGTCGAAAGAGAATTGGTAATTTGAACTCAATGAGACTTTTCAACAAAAGTTTACGTTGAAGTCGTGACACATCTCAGACTCAGAGCCCTTCTGATGCAGGGTAGGTTGATTGACTAGGGATGTGCCGCAACTGACCTTGTAAGAGATCAGAGAGACGATGGAGCAATTTCACCAACTCAATGACCAAAAGCATAATTGACCTAACCCTTGTAATTAAAGATTATCTTCTAATTATGAAAATAATTGGGTTGATTCAATAGCTTCCACGCTATCGATTCAACTACTCGGGCATAACCGCGACGGCGGCTGCAAGGTCTCAGACAAGCAGATCACAACAAGCAAAAGCTCTAGACCTTCGGTTACACGCACTTTACGCTAAATACTAAATACGGTATGTAAACGGTGCAGAAGCCCCTTTTGTAAGCGCCGTGAGCATTACATGATGGCTGCATATCTGCATGCGGTTGCACATTGTGATGTTGTGCGTCTTGCGTCTCTTGGTGGTGATTTATTGGTGCTGAGCCGTTGGCAAGCGCGTAAAAGGGCGGTTGGGAGGTTATGATATTGGTTGTTAGACGCGACCTGCAAGAAATACCGACTGTATGCTTGATAAAGCTGTACTGTATGAAGAGGGAGGTCTGCACGTAAGCGCGAGGATGAGGGATGCATATGCGGCAATAAATGAATGGTTCGTGATGTGGGTTGGGAGACGAAAACATTATAATTGAAGCCAGTGTTGGTTGCGCTCAGGCGCCACTATGCATACTAGATACATAGTAAGAGCACGGTATTTGTCAAAAATATGCAGAGAACCAAGAGAGCCGACGGTGGCCTATAGCTCGAGGCTGCATGTTTAACCAACCGTTTATACCACTGAAACACACAGAACCAACACAACTTTCCATGTCGGTGCCAGTGAAGAATGACGGTTGGGTTTCGGTATCTCCCCGTGTAGAATAAGGGAGATCAAGACATGTCTATGCCTCTGGTAAACCCCAGCCAGGCTCAAGACATGGAGCGGGTAAATAACCTAGTTCATTTTTGGGTTATGTTGTCTTGTTCGTGATCGCGTCTTGCAAGCTGTCTCCAATTTGCAAAGCCCCTGCATAGAATGAGACGAACACGACCACGTATCGCATTAGGGTTCAAGTTAACCTACACTGACACAAACCCAAAAAGTTTCTTTGTGTGTTTGTGCGTGTGTGTACGGTTGCATGTACCTGCGTTTGGACAGGCTGCAGGCAGTACCCTCGCTTGTCCCATCGACTTATTTGGTGGCTACGGTGCCATAGTGTTTCGTTTCTCAATGGCTCAAGACAAGGGTTCAGTCCATGGTGCATCAAAGCTCATTCCAAAACCTGGGCCATGTCTCTCAAGCTGCAGCTCGACCAGAATGAAGAAACAATGGGGAAAGCTACTGAGCTATTCATACCAAAAACAAAAAATTGCATCCGTTGAAGATGCAGATACTTATTTAGTAGCAAATAAACAAAAAAAAAAAAAACCATCACCTCGGTTCGTCTGAGAAATAGGCAGCGCGTCACCTTTTCACGGCACGTGTCGCGTTGAGCCAGGGTCTTCTTAGTGCTGGGCCTAGCATCGAACTTAGCCCCCAAAGTGGACAGGGTAAGGTAGGGCAGGACGATGGATCGAAATGGGAAATGGACAAGGAGTTCTGCGGTGATGAAACATCTCGAGACGTGGGGAAAATACGAATCGAGTTGGACGCCGACAAGGGGCCTCGGGCGATGCTGACCACGATGGGCATAAACCTGCCGAACTGATAGCCCAAACAAGGAGAACGGATGTGCTACAGCACTGATACTCATGTTTATGGTTTTTCAAGCAAGACGGGATGGTCCGTTCCCCAAGATTCAGGTATAGGTGGCCGTGTGCTGTGCTGTTGGTGTTGTGTGGATAAATTGAGCAGCAGCAGTCGGTGCTAAGGCAGAGCTAACGGTCACTCCGATAGAACGACTGCCTGCGAATTACGGACTCTGGGCAAGCTGAGGCAGGCGTCAAAGAATAACAAGACCCTGCTATAAGCAAAGTGACGATAATAAATAACAGCCGCCCTGTTGGATGAGTCCGGCCATGACGACAAAAGCAAGTAGACATGCTTTGCAGGGACGAAGCCCACTGCGGGCGATCCGTGACAGGGTTTGAATTTGACATTGATATTGACACTGACAGCAAAGAGATTCCCAGCGCGCCAGGTATTTCCCTGTCGCTCACCGGGATTCTTAATTGCGACTGGCAGTCAGTCTGGCACTCGTTCTTGGCTATTTGGCGATTGTGTTCCTCGGGACTCGGTTCATTCCTCAAGGTGCTGAATATATCAACCTGTGGCTGCTGTCATCTCCAGTGTCTCGCTTCCCATAATGTTTCGTTTATGGAGTTAAGAAGCGACGCTCAGGCCTTTCTGTGTGCGTGCGTGTCGGTATGCTACCATGACAATTCACGAATCCTTCATCAACGTGTCGTGATCTCTTTGATCTTGCCAGCCAGATATAGCAACAATCAAACCAACAAAGAGGCACAGCTTCAAAGCGACTGGCCCTCGAAAAGAATGGATGGATGCCGATCAGGCCGTTACAAAAAGCGGCAAGGATCCATTCTCCCATCACATCCGATGCTTCAATCCCCTGAAAGGCCTCGTATGATTGGCGGCATCAGACGCCAAAACGCCGTCTTGAGACTGTGCCCCCTGTCGTCTACCCCTTGGAGGCTGCCTCATGTCGGTCGCGGCGCCCGCAGCCTCCTCTGATTGGAGATGATGAGCCTTCGAGGACCCTTGTCACTTGCATGTAAGCTCCAGGGGGGCGTCTTTGTGGATGAGCTGTCCAGTCCATACCCACCAGAAGGAGGTCCTTCTAAGGTCCTTACTGGATTGTCACGCGCTATCTCGTCAGAGACTACTGCGCGACCAAGTTAGTATCTTCAGGTGTTATTTCGAGCCACGATTGGCCACCACCGGAAGGTGGGAGGTTTTGCCTGCTGTGGAAGCTTTCCTTTTTGGCATTTTAAATGAGCTGCTCCGTTTAGCTATTCGTATTCTAAAAAATCTTTTTTTTGTGTGCATACGTACCCTAACTTCTTCCCTGCGGTGAAGCGAATGTTTGATGGGGTCAACTTCGTCATCAATATATCTTTTTTTGTGAGTCAGTGCCCGAAACCAAATACATGGATTAAACTCAGCCGAGCGTGCGAGCATCAGAAGAAATCCATGTTCCCCAGGCATAAATGAGGTGATCGATCTCGCACTGTGTTCAGACACTGTTGATACCGGCCATGCCCCCTTGCCTGGCTTGTTAGTGAGCAACTGGGCTCTCAGTAGCGCGTTGGCCGCTAAGTGAACGTGCCTTAGCCCTGTAGCTTTCATTCCATCCATCCAACAGCATCGTTTAGACTGCTGCCCAGCGTTTCTACCGTCGTGTTGACTCTGAAGATGGAGGGAGGGAAATGATGGAATAGGGAATATCCAAAATTGGCCCAAGGGGCTGGCACGTATTCTCACTGGCCAATATAGCCTCTAATCTGCGTGTGATGCACTGTATGCTTTCTGTCCATTCACAGTCTTTGAAACGAACATCGCTCAAGGCGGTGGGAAGGTTCGCCTGCCCACCTGGGGAGTACAGTAGGCCCCTAATGATCTACTGTATCGTGGCAGGCTTCATCGGGTCATCGCACAGTGAGCGTACAGTATCGCCTCCGTTCCTTCCTTCCCCCAGCACGCCCAAGCACACCCGCCCGCCAAGCAAAGGGCTTCTGTGGTCTCCACACTTCCCACTCTTGCTCGTTCTCCATTTGACACTCGCGCCTTCTCGTCTTCTCGCTCATCCTCTCCATCTCCACTCCTTCCTTCCTTCCTCTCCTCTAGTATCCGTATTAGACTTAAACTCCACCACTTACTTCCTTTTTTCCTCCTTCCTTCCTCTCCTCTCCGCCTACTATTTTGCGCCCTTCCTTCATTTCCATCTCTCTCCTCTTTCCCTCCTCCCTCTTTCCCGCGTCGCTTCGGCTGCATCGCAATTCCTCAAAGCAAGCTTTACGCTTCCGCGTTTGCGAGACAAGTCAACTCCATTCCCACTCAATTTGCCGCACGCATTCGCTCTCGCCCATCCGTCCGTTTGCCCGCTTTGCACACCACAAAGAGAAAAGAAAACCACAACGACAAGACGGAAATTTGTAGGAACAAGACCAAATTCTGAGGCTCTGGAAGGCGCATCTATCTACTGGTGATTGATACCTGAAAACTCCAATTTTAATCTGTGTATTATTCTTTCGTCAATTATTTGCCTTATCGCCTATTCCGCCTTCGGTATTCGGATACATCATCGTCACCACCACAGCTTAATCTCGACACACCGTCATCGAAATCAGACTGCGAACAGAATTTCCACTCACAGAATAATCGAAAGCATCAAAACATTTTATCAAAACTCCACAAGAGGAGGTTTCGATAGAAGATAATACCTGGACCATTCACATCTGGTTAGGCATCGTTTTGAGGACGTTGTCTGCTGAAACTGTCTTGGAAAGACAACAACCAGCTGGTGCTCGCGTTTCAGGTCGTGTGTTAATCACCCGACTCACCGCTTGAGCGTGAATAAACTTCAAACCGACCACGTTCCCAGGCGCTTTTGTTACCTGATCACGGTCTGAGCAAGTACTCAACCCCGTTGAAGCTTGCTTCCCTCGATCCTTTTCAACGACTCTTCGCTGAGGGATCTACCGCTCGACATTTCGATATCCTTTCATCGATCGCGTATTCGCGTCGCCCTTTCCTTCATCAATTTTCACTTGTTTACTCTATCGACTATTCTGGATTTAATCTTTGACCCTCTCTCAACTTTGTTCTGTTCGATCACCCGGCTTCTTGGATTTGCCTCTTTTGGCTTCTCGCGACGCTTCCTCGGCATACGTTTTGCATCGACAATTCATCGGAATCCACCATTTGTCGATTTTATCGATATACCCACATCGCTTAATTTGGTCGCCTTGATTTATACAAACGCTACTTTCTAATCCGACCGGCTACTTTCTTGAACGCAAGAACTAGTCGAACCACATTCTCTGTCTATTTTTCTTATCTCTCGAATCTTTAGATCTACGAATCCCGCTTTGAGCCAAGGACGCAGGCGGTCTCGCTCAAAATGTCTTCCAACGGTTTCGCTAACGGCCTCTCCATGCCCACTGGCGGCCTTGCTGCCCGTCGCGGTGGCCAAAACCCCAAGCCTCTCTCGGTTGAACTCATCAACCAGACAAAGGATCAGGACCCTGGTGCTCCCACCCCTCGCACCAGTCGTTCACACCTCCTTGCTGGCCTCAGAACGGCCCCCAAGTCCGCTACTGCTGCTTCCTTCGGCCCTCAATCTCCCACGACCGCCGGTCCCACGCAGCAGTATGCCCGGAACTCCATGGCTGGAAATGCCTATGGCATGGGCCAGGACAACGCCTACAACGCCCCCAAGACGGCCTATCCCCAATACGGTGCTCAGAACAACTACAACTCAATGGTAGGCCAGCAGTACACTGTTGAACAGGTTCTGGCGCCCCCTGAGCTTGCCATGGATGAGCAGAACCATGACGATCCTGGCCTGTATGCCCAGCTTCTTGCTACCAACATGTACTTGGCTCAGCAGCAGCAGCGCCTTCAGCAGCAGCTTAGGAATGTCCAGGCAGCTGCTCAGCAATTTCAACAGCTGAACCTTAACAACTCTCAGTTCACACAACAGCAGATTGCTCTGTACGAGCAGCAGCAGCAGCTCCAGAACCTGCAACTTAACGTCCAGGCTGCTTTCACCCAGCAGGCTCAACAGCAACAAGCCCAGCAGCAAGTTCAGCAGCAGCAGCAGCAGATATACTACAATCCTATGACTGGTCAGTATTTTGTTGGAGACCCTCAGCCTTCTGTTCAGGTCACCTCGCCCTACAACGAGCAGCCCTCGACCCCCGGCTTTGGAGGCTTCCACCACCAGCAGAACACGCCTTCGGTGCAGGTTTCTCCTCCTGTTGAGTCTCAGCCTTTCTCGTTCCGCAGCAACTCGCCTCCCAAGCGCTACGAGTCCCCCACCGAGGTTGCCCCTCTTCCTCCCCCCTCTGCTAATGCTTTCCGCCGTGGACACAAGAAGGCCTCATCTTTGGCTCCCGTCAACAGTGCTCTAGCTGCTTCTTTGTCTTCTGACGCCCCTAAGTCTGCTGGACCTAAGACTTCCACTTTCCCAATCACCCCCCTGACTGGTGGATACGGACCTGGTCAGGCCCGTGCTGGAGAGCATCCTATCCGTCAGCCCCGTGGACCTCCTTCCCTGGACGAGCTCAAGGCCAAGCCCACTGCTAAGCACGAGGGAAGCAAGAACTTCTCTGCTCGCACTCGTCGTTCCGCTGTGCACAACCTTGTTCGTGCCGGCCTTGAACGCCGCAAGGGAACTGGTAGTTCTTGCGGAAGCATGAGCCCCGTTTCCGAGACTGCCGAGGAGTCTTCGACACCTATTACCGATAACGAGTCCGATTCCGGCCGCAGTGGATCTGGTAGCTTAGCTGGTGATATGGAGTGTCCTAGCTCGCGCACTTCTGCTAGTGGTAGCTGGGGAGCTATTGGCTCTGATCGTCCCAGCTCGCGACAGAAGGCTCGCAAGAGTGTGGACAGTGTGGACAGTGTTGCCTCAAACACGGAGAGCGAGAACAGCTCTTTTGCTAATGTGTTCAAGAACGGCGCTCTGCGAGCCGCCAAGGCACAAGACTCGGCTGATGGCCAGCGCAAGGCACCTAGACTGGTGCTCACCAAGAGCACTCCCACTGCTTAAAAGGTGACGCTTCGGCCTGAACCCTTATCCACTGTCACGATTTACGCGCCCGGACTTTTTCTTTCTGTTCACACGACTGCTTGGACTGGCGGACTGCATTTTGATGGTTGTCGTTTAGTCTTTTCTGATCACGCTGGGAGTCCTGTTACCATCTGTATGGTGGATGAAACACGTTTTCCTTATCTATTTCCGCGAATTTTACCATTACAGAAGTTTTATAATTCACTTCACAGTCTCTCCTTCAGACTTTTCTTCTTCTTCGTCACGACATTGGGGGGATCGCCCGGGGATAATCTTGTCTCAGCCTAGATGGACGAATGGGTTATTTGGGGGGTTTGATGAGGAATCTTTATACCAATGAGGATGAGAAACCATCACCGGGGAACAAAGTCTGGACTGGCGGCCTCTGTGAGGCAATCAGCCAGCCCCTGATGTGATTTACGGCCGGCGTTCCTACGGGGACAATGTTTCGGCAAATTTGACATTTGCTTTCTTGCATTCGTTAAGGTACCACATGTTGTCTTTCTCTGCTGGTCATGGTCCAGGTCCCAGAAGACTTGGTTCTTCTCATGTCAAGGCGTACATAGGCAATCAGGAGACCTGGTATGCTATCATGGACCGATATGTGAACTGGCATGGGGAAAGGCATATTCATAGATTAGTTTTACAATGGCACAATCACAATTTGAAGGCCACTTGATATTTGTTTGTTCATACAATGACGTGTCTTTGTGAAGATGAATTTGTCATGATATAGTAACCATATGCATGGTACACAAATAATTGGTGTTTTGTACGGAGATGTACATGAGTCTAAGGAAGCCTGGTCTAAACTCCTCACATTTAGCCTAAGCATTTGTCAGACTCTCCATAAGTTTAGGAAGCTATTATGATGAGTAGTCGTGATTTCATCTCTACTTTCTCTCTTCTTTCTCCCTTTGTTCTCGGTTGGTTGGTTCAAGTTGCCCAATCCGACTTCGATCTTCAACAATAACATCTGGACGGCTTCCGTAGCTCAGTTGGTTAGAGCGTCGTACTAATACTTCAATCCGAGTGTTCGGTAATGCGAAGGTCTCAGGTTCAAGCCCTGGCGGGAGCAATCCCAACAGCCCTCCAGATTCCTTTTTGCTGTTTCCGGTGATAATGTGATGATGTCTTTTAGGGCTGTGTTGTGATATCGTGAGTTTGCGTTGTGGTGTTGAGGTTGTGTGGATGCTTGGAAGCAGGAGCGGAAAGGGAACGAACAAAATGAAAATAAGTCGGTAACAAGGCAGTATTGACAACGTGAATTGCTTCATAATCTTTTCTTTCATTTATTTATTGTCTTTTGTCTTGTGTGTTTGTTCTTCATGCAATCGCAGTTTCGCCACTTCTTTACCCATCCTCATGTCTATCATGTACAGCCCTTGAATTATCATATCGTGCTCTTCATATCATGCATTCCGCTCATCTCTCGTCTTCATCCTTTCGTTTCCTTTCAATTCGTCATGTCCATTTGGGCTCTCCAGGCATTCGACTCCGTCTCTTACTTATGCCCGCTCGTTCTGCTACCTCTGGCAACCCTGGAGATGCCATGCTGCCATCTCTACTGCCGAGCCCGTCTCTACTACTCAATCCATCTCTACTGCTCAACCCATCTCTGCTTCTGAGTCCATCACGACTGCTCGGCGCGCGGCCTACGTTCTCCTTATTGCTCAAGCTGCTATCGCTTCGGGCGCTCATGGTAATATCGCTGCGAGAGTTTAGGGCCGGACTGTTGCCGTTGGCACTGATCCCAATGGCTGCTCTGGAGCTACTCGACGTAGCCAGCGATGTGCGAGGGAGGCGACTCTTTGCAGATACAAATTCGCCGCTGACACGCCGGGGGATACCTGTTGGCCCATCCCTACTTCGGGGCCTGTATAGTGCCCCCTCCCGTTCTCGTTCGACAGCAGCTGTTCGCCGTGGACTCGCTGCTACTTCGATATAAGTATTGCTCGCAAGACTACCACGGCTCCTGTGCGTAGGTGTCTGCGGAACTGACGCCGACGAATGTAAGCCAGGGGGTGTGTAGCTTGCACCCCGTCGGGATCCTGGCCTTCTTGACGACGATGAACTTGGTACAGCACCGGACGCTCCCTCGCCGGATCTTCCACTTGGCTCGATGTTGGACCGCACCAACTCCGAAGCGAGGTTTCGTACGAGGACAGCCGAGTCCTTCTCTGATAGAGTCTGAATAGCAGCCATGAGAGATCGCACTTGGGAGCTGTTGAGGGATCTCGTTCCATCGCCACTGCCCAAGCCAGGCTCACAAGCATCCATGATAGTCCTCACCAGTCTCAGGAGGTTAAGTCGCACAACCGCCTTCTTGTGAGTCAAACGCTGCGCAATGCCCGCAAACATCTCGGGCTTCGCCAGCGAGGCCGCGACTGACGGGCTGAGGCGCAGAAGTTTGAGTAGTGGTTCCAATAGGTTGGAATCAAAGGCGTTCACCCTGTTGGTGCTAAAGCAACTGATAATCGCTCGTGTGAAGTTACCATCAGCAAGGTGAGTCTCTACATTAGCTGTTTCCTCCTGTAGCCAGACCAAGATGGCATCGAGCGCAGTAACCTGCCAGTACTGGTCTGTAAGTAATGATACGTAAAAGTTGAGACCCTTGTTCTGCCACAAGTATCTGCGGCCCTTGGACCCTGAGTGTGCCATGTCACAGAGTATCGGGAGGGCGAATTCTTTCGGAGGTCGATCGGTCTGCATGATTCTCAGCAGTAGAGGAATAATGCCACCAACAGCAGCATCCTCCTGCCGTTCCTTGCTCAGGCGGCAGAGATTAAATAATGTGTTGAGAACCTGATTAGATATTTCCCGGAAATGTGTCTGGCCCTTCTTCATGCTGTAGCTCAGAAGATCGATCAAGAATTCGATAGCATCGGCTGAGTGCAGCGACTCAATCGTCGTCGAAAGCATCGAAAGGTTCTTGATGAACTTGAGCATTGTGATCTGATGTATTGGCGTCATGCGCCGTAGATCTTTTAGTACACTCTTCAGTACTTGCCGATCTGCTACAACCTCCTTGACGTAGTTCTCAGCTTGACTGAAGAGATAGAAAATGTTGACGATTCGTCCTTCGACAAGCTCACCAAGCTCGTCCTCGCCCTCTTCGTCTAAGACTCGGTGCAAGACAAGCGCCAACGGATATAGAATCTTGCTTCGTGAGAAGATTCTGCAAAAGTCGTTCTTGGGGGTTGGTCCTTGAAGCTCAAATACGTTCCAGATACCGTTGACCCCAATAAGAACAAGGTCTCGAGTAACGTCGTAGTCCTCATCAAGGAACTCGACCAGCACGTTCAAACCACCCGCAGACACGAACATCTGTAGGGTCAATGTCGACGTTTGATACATCTGCCGGACAAAAGCAGCCGCCTCAAGACGAATCTCATCGGAGTATTGTCGTGCAGCAAACTTGGTAATAATGGGAATGCCACCAACGAAACACAAGTTTTCTTGAATTTCCACATCATCGAGGATGATCTAAAAGGTTAGTAGGCCACGAGTATATTACAGGGACTAAAACTTACTGCATTGACGACCTTGAGGAGCTGCAGGATCATGTACTGCCTGCTTTTGACGGTACAAGGCTCCAAAATTTCAAGAATCGGTAACAACCCGTGAGCGCTGATGATTAGATTCTTCACCTCGTTGTTCTCCCAGAGCAAGGCAAGCTGTGATACGTTAATAACTCGGTTCTGAGTGTCAAGTGCGACAAGAACTTACCAAATCCTCCGAGAACTCAGCCAGGGCGTCCTCACCCTCAGTCGTTTTGAGAGACCTTACCAAGTCCTCTACCCTCTCGGCTAACCTGGCATGTCGGTCTCTGGCAATGTTGGCCTCCAGATCCATCTCATCCCATCCTGGATCCATCGATGCGAAGGGATCATCTTCGTCTTCGTCGTCTCCTAGCCAGGAATTGCTCGACACACGAGACATGAGCATCAAACCGCCGTCCTCGGACCCCTTTTCGCTCTCCTCTTTCTCCGCTATTGATGATTCAGGTCCGAAAACATCGCTAAAATCTTCGTCGTCATCTTCTGCGAACTTCTGGATTTCTATCGATGATCGTGTTCGTCGCATTGGCCTGTCAGGGAGAACTGATGGTCGAGACAAAGGCTTCTTCTTCATACTACCTGAGCCAGATTCCTGCATTGACCTCGGTAATGATGTAAGATCAGATGGGTGAAAGAGTTGTGGTGCATCAGTCTGTCGTGAGTTCTGTAGCTTTGTGAGCCTTGAGCGCATGGGGTCCAGACACATGTAACTTACTCGTCTAACAGCTTGATTCGCATTGTGAGTGAAGACGTTGTCATTATCCACGAATAGATCTGAGAAGTCTTCCATACTCTGTTCCCGATAGATGATATCTGGCCTTGGTGGAAGCTCGAACTTGGTATTTAGATTTGATTTTGTCGGCGATCTGGTCCGGCCTGGACCAGCGACCTTACTTGAGCTTGATTTATTTCGACTGTGCGTTTTCACAGGCTCTGAGGGTTTCGTGGGCTTCTTCGGTAATGGTCTGATTGTCTGCTCCTGTGGATCGATGTCTTGCCAGTGGCCTGGCCCCTTTATTGTCATCAACTCGCCCTCAAAGTCGTCATCGTACGAATTACTGTCATTTCTTCCATCATTCACTGAGGCAAAGGCTTTGAGACGATCACTCGAGAGTAGACCACCGAAGTTGTCTTGTGGCTTGAGATGCGGCAGTTGTAGTGCGCTTGGTGAAATAGATGTCGCAAAATCATCGTCCCAGTTGTCATCATCTGTGATACGGTTAGGGTTAGGCAGAATACTCAGACACCGAGACTTTAACGCACCAGCTAGTTCAGGCTTACTGAAAGCTCCTGCGCCAGGACGTAGTTTTGCAAGTGACAGACCTCCCTTGGCAGGAGTTCCACCAAGAAATCTTGACGAAGGCCCGGCATCAGAGCCTGTCGATTGTCGAAGTCTTGGTCCGGAGGATTTTAGAGCTTTGTTCCATTGCTTCACTTCCTCCACAGCATCGCTGAAATTGGCTGGTGTTTTTGATACAGGTGCTTCAGTTCGGCGACAACCTGTAATCCAGGCATGACGAAGTAGTTTTCGGGCAGTTACACGAAGATTGGGGTCTTTTTGGAAACATTGCATGAGAAAATCACGGGCAGCCTGGCAAGATCAGCAAAAACACCCCCGAATACAACCGGGGAGACTCACAGCAGAGATGCCTTCAGGCAATGGGGGGTGATCGTCGTTGACAATTGCGAATAGAGCAGGCATAGCAGCCAAGTTATGATATGGCGGCTTGCCTTGAAGAAGCTCGATAACCGTGCATCCAACACTCCAAATATCGGATGCGGAACTCGCCCCGGAAAGCTGAATGATCTCAGGGGCCATCCAATATGGTGTGCCGACAACCTGTGCCTCCTTATCCTGACCACCAGCGAGGGTGCTGGTTGAAACGCCGAAGTCTGCAAGTTTGACGGTGCCATCCTTTGTGGTGAGAATGTTGGCGCCTTTGATATCTCTATGTATTACACCCTGGTCGTGCAGGTATTGTAGTCCCTGCAGGACCTGCGTCATGTAGACCCCAACCAGATTCTCGGGGAACTTGCCATATGCCTTGCATATTGAGTGCAGAGAACCATTCTCACAGTATCTAGGTTTGTTAGTTCCATGACTTCAAGACTAGAGATGGAATCGCATACTCTAGAATAATGTTGAGGGCGTCAACGGACTTGACAAAGCCAATGTACTTGACAATGTTGTCATGCTACTGCTTGTTAGTCTTCAGATATGATACCATTTCAGACCAGGATTCCTACATGAAGGTTCTTGAGCAGATCGATTTCACTCTAAACAGCACTCACTCATGTCAGTTTCTCAATCACAAACCATTGAGCTTTAGGGTAGAGCTCAGAAACAACCCACCTCGATCATGCGCAATTCGCTCTTGGGAAGATCTGCGAGCTTGATCTGCTTCACAGCAACTGCCTCGCCATTTCCCCAGTTGAAAGCCTTGTACACAGATCCGAAAGCACCTTTCCCAAGGCATTCACCTAAACGCTAAAAGCAGAAAAGGTAAACATTAGCGACAACTTTCTACTAAACCCTGCTGCTACTCTCGCTTATCATGATATCCGACTTTCCAGGGATCGGGATCAAGCACCGGTGATATCGGTAGTTGGATATACGCACGTAGTCCTTGAGTCCTGGATCTTGAAGGGCAGAGCTTTCTCGTATCTTGTCTTTTCGTGAAGGTGTTCCTGGTGTATAGGGTCGTTCGCGGGAGGCCACGGCGGCGCGGCCATTGGCGTGGTACTGCCGCTCGGGCATTATCTCTCAGGTGCTCTCTAACTCAATGATGATCTGGTATGGCCGTGGCAAGCTGAGTAATGCCTCCTCGGTGAAAGCAGAGGCAGTTCGGCGGAGGAAGGACAAGGTTCAGACCAAGACGGAGATATCATTCCCGGCGAATATCGAAGGAAGGGAGCGGAGCGGCGCAGGGCAATTCGTTTCTACATACGAGATCGGGTTCGGAATAAGGCTGTTGTCGTCGAGTTTGGCGAATGTCGTTGAGCTCGTTGAAAGCTTGGTTGACGTCGTCAGCGTGATCGAGGAGGGGAATGGATGGACCAGGTCCGTTCGTTCGTTCGTTCGTTTCGTTTCGTGCGGTCGCTAACAGAACAGCCCAGGGTTAAAGGAAGGACAGGATGAATAACCCGGGAGGGCAAGGGATTGAATTGCGTGAGAGTTTGTTGTTAAGAGAGGGAGAGAGGGAGTGTAAGGGTCGTAAGTAACTAAGTAAAAATAAAAAAAAAATAAAAAAGTAACGTAAGAAACTGGGTGGAAATTCGGAGTTGGACCAAAAAGCCACTGATCTCCAATCAATCATGCGCTGGACTGGACTCGACTGAAGGTGTTGTTTTTCGTCTCAGATTCACCTCCATCTCTCTAGACTAACTCATCAGGCAGGCTCGCAACCCAACCCAAATCGGCCCAGGGCCTGGGGCAGCCCCGTAAGGTGATGGTCGGTAAGGTACATCCTGACGGTCCAGGTACCTTGAGCTGTGCTGCGTGACGGGGTGCCCGGGGGGCCCGTGCCGCCTGCGAGCCCAGCGCTCTTCAACGCCCAGCTTCAACTTGCAGGGCCATCCCCCACTAGCGAGCTATTCCATTCTCCACCCTCGAGACCAGTCGACACAAGCAACAACACGATGACTTATAAAAACAATTCATTGTTAGGACTCGATGATGATGTCAACATCGATTCTCAGCACCAGTTTCAAGAGAGAAAGTTCTTAGTATGTTTTGGAATTCTTTCACTTACAAGGAACGCTCCACCTTTTGAAACAGTTCATGTTCATGCCATGCTATGCCATGCCATGCCATGTAAGCCAAGGTAGTGGATGCATTCAGACACAGGCACACCCAATACTGGTATTCTCTTCCAAGTCAACGACATATCTCATCTCCGCTTATTATTAGACAGAAGTACCCGAATTCATAAAAACAAAGCAGAACTACATCCTCCAAATTCCAACAACGGCCGAATATGCTTACCACACTTCAAAACAAGCCTCACCGTCAACGATCAACTTGGAAACTCATCCGTCACACAAACTCTATAGCCATCCGGGTTATTCTCTTTCAGCCAGCTCCCCGACGCCTCAAATACTAGTCAAGTTATGTCTTTCCCTGTCAGCAACGACCAACAGCCCAATCGAAATACCTTGCTCTCGAGGACAACGCCGATCCAACCCTCGAAGCCACTAATGCGTCTCATATCATCCCAGCAGGTAACTCAACTTGATTTGACTTGCTTGATAGAGTTAAGTTACAAGGCGTCAATGCCGAGGAGGGAAAGATATCGTATCTCGGCGTCGATCAATATCGTGCACGGAGACTCTCTTTTCTTGTTTTCCTTGTAAGCTGAACCATAAACTAAACTGAGATTGCAATCTCATTTCTTGTTCAAAGCGCCTCCGCTTGGCTCGGCATTACGTGACGCTGCCATGACGATACTTCACGCCCTCTACAGACACTGCAGTTGAGACATTCACCAATACTATATATCTCAATTTATGAGTTATAACATTCGATTTTACCCTTGATCAATAGTTCGGCCGCAGGGTCATCTTTGAGTTTGATATGTCATGTTGACAGCCGTGCTCAACAACCCCTTATACAGTCTCAGGGGAGGCTTATGCCGGCAAATGGAGTGTGCTTTCACTAACTGAGCAGCAAGTATTGGACGACAAATGAAAATCATATCAACTTGATACCCTATGTTCTCGTATTTCTTCACCGTAGCTGTACATATCGCAAGTTAGCAGCACGTAGCCGTCCCGAAGACAAGGTCCTTCAAGCCACATCAAGATAGATCTACCAGGATCTCACGATGATGTGCGTCTAATCGTGGCCGCTTTATGGACCAGCAATCCCGGCAGTTATCCATCATATCAGTATGTGGTAGTACAAGCAACGGTCCAGAAGAATGAGTTCTTTCAACGTCAACTTTCATTAGATCTTCTCCCTGCTCATTGTCGAGCCAAGATGTTAACAACCGTACAATTATGATACAATCCATTGCCGACACTGCTCGGTTTTCCGTTTTAACGCCATCTGACCAAATCTGTAGCAAGTAATCCCGGTATTTTATATCCCGCTTCAAATCGAATGCAAACTGGTACCATGTGCCCTCTTTATTCTGTCCCGTCCCCTGGTAGGGTTCGACTGAGGCCAGCCTCAGCCCACCATTCATCGGGGATATCTTCACGTCGTGCTAGGCTACGCACGATGCGCTGCATTCCTATCCAGTCATCTTCGAAGTTTGTGTTGCTTCCTGATGTTGCTGAGCTCTCTCGGTTCTGTCTGTTTCGTTCCGGTCCTTGCTCATCGTCTGAGTTGCCCACGGACAAGTGTCCCACCCAGGCGGAACGTGATCGGAGGGAGCGCTCTCGGCGCCAAGTCCTGAGCCTGTGGTGATGATCACTGGGCACTAGTCCATCCGGGGATCTTCGTTGTCTGGAATCAAAACCAACTGCCCCGTTATCCCGACTGGCGCCTCCATCAACTGGGGCGTCTTGGCCAGCTTCAGGTATTCTTACGTGAACACGTCGCATCTCTGCCCGGCGTCTTCTAATTCGATCCAGGACGCTCAGAGTCTCATCAGGGCCTTCAGTTTCGGAGCCTTCGCAACCTGACTCACAGGCCTGGTCAGCCAATGCGTCAGGGTCTTGGTCGGGCGTGGTGAAAGAGGTGCCTGATGTAGCACCGGCGCTCTGAGATGCAACATTTGATGCAAAAGAAGAACCTGCGCTAGGTGGTTGAGGGTCAGGGGTAAGTGTGGATAGAAGAGTATCCCACACCTCTGGACTGAGGCTCCTATCACGGTCGCCAAGTCCGTCGACACGTTGCATAGGTGCGAATCGCGTATGCCTGTTTGACGCACGGAGAGCTTCGCGCATTGCCGAGCGGTGAGCTCGGCGCTGGCTCATTTCTTCAGAGTCATCTGTGCGAATCACGGGGTGTGTTACAACAGAAGGAAGTCTCTGCCGTTGAGCTCCATTCTCTTCAGGAGCTCGTCCAGGAAGCCCCGACACTGGTATCATCTGAGTTAGTTGTTAGTAAAAAGCATATAGATTGGACAATTGGGATAAAACATCATAGATGATAGAACTTACCACTGCAGGGCGAGGTCGAGGACCCTCATGCCAACCCAGATCCAAATCGTCGTATGATGGATGTGAATTAGTATTGTTTCGGTCTTGTGTGTTGCTGCCATCCCTAAACAGCGAGTTTATGCGCTCTTCAAGCATGTCCCTTCTGCGATCATCCGATCTAGCCATCTCTCTAAGAACATCGCGAAACGGTCTCGCTCGGCGCAGCCCATCAGGACCTCTCGTAGTCTCTAAATCAGGTGGGAATCCAGCTTCAGCCCATGGTACAGAGCGACCATCTCGGCCGGTCAAAGTGCCGGACTGTTGTAGCGAGCCATCATTTAAGCGGTCGCGAATTGAGAAAATACGGCGATGCGCGGCGCGGCGTTCAATTCGTTCCGTGCGTATATTGCGGCGAATGGCGGAGCGGGGTGGCGACGTCGCACTGCTCTTCTCTGCAGCTTTGGAAGGGAGATCTGACTCAACGGGGGCAACAAACAATCTGCAAGACAAGGTTAACAAGTGCACGATGTTGAGAGAACGAGGCCGTCACTACTGCGACGAATATGCAAAGCACGAAGCGCGCATTATCAAGCAACGGATGTGCGCATTCGCGACATTTGCAGCATGCCTTTGCGTTGATATAGTGAAGCGATGGCGACAACGACAAGATCGATCGACCGGGGCATCACTACGTTGGCGCGATGGCAACGAAGGTAACGGACGGGTAGAAAAAAACAAGGATGCGCTTACGGGAGGCCCATGGCTGATTTAGTGGAAAGTGAATGACGAAAACGAGCGAAAACAGCGAAATAAGGAATCAAAGAATTAAGTCGTAATGATTGCAAAGACCAGAAATTGATATCATTGATGAAAAGTCGATGAACAGTGATGACGATGCTGCCTAGAGTAGCAAGGTTAATAAAAGCCAGACGACAAATGCGTGAAGCGTGAAGCGGGTAATTAACCAGTGGAGAGGATGAAAGAACGGAGTGGGCAAAAGAGCAAAGGGGTGCGGGGGGTTCCAAGATGCAGCTCCCAGGGCAGGGAGACTGCGACAAAATTAGATGACCAATCAGAGGGCCTAGAGCTCTTGAGGCTTAGAGCCCAGGGCGTTCAGTTCGCGTGCGCGTCTGATAGTGCTTTCTAACGTGTCGCGATAAGGACTGTTAGTGGACGACTAGCTTCAGCCAATCAACACTAACAGACCACATCTGACCATCCGCCGAGCAGATCAAAGACTGCACAGCCACAGAGCCACATCAGACCACTTCATCGGCGTTCGGAGAGCGGGTGAGTGTGGCTTTCAACACCCCACCCCATGTCGACATGAATTGCCCCAATGTGAAAAATAATGGACATAGTAGTCTCACTCATGTCGTGACGACTATAACGAAACTCAACTCATAATCATCGCCAAATACGCCAATTCGCCCTGGGTCTGAGTCAATCAGCATCTCAGGAGCCTCATACGGCACTTCTCCTCCCCAGCGCCGGGCTCCGATGAGATGCCGTCTCACCTAAATCTTCACCATGTCTTCCACTCAGGAAATCCAGTTCGCCCTCAACCGCATTAATCGGGTCTTGGCTAGCAAAAGGACACCAGGTTACAGAGATATTCGACTAGGCCTGGATCGTATCAGCCGTGTCGTACCAGACAAGCAAGAGTGGAAGGGTATTCATGTTGCTGGCACCAATGGTAAAGGCTCAATATGCACCTTTCTTGCTGGTATGTTCAAGCTCGCTGGTCTCGGTTATGGAAGCTTCACATCCCCCGCCTTTCCAGAGAGGCACAATGGAGTCACAATAAATGGCCTTTATGTGAATCCGCGAATGTACGACATGGAAATGAAGCATGTTGAAGAAAAGTACAATCGTATTGCTGCTGGTTGGAAATACAAGCACGGACAGGAGCCTCTGAATCTAACACCATTCGAGTTCGAAACAGCAACAGCATTCCGAGTATTCAACAAAATGCATGTTCCCTATGGTATCGTCGAAGTTGGCATGGGCGGTGCTACCGATGCAACCAATGCCATGAAGCAAAAGTCTGTTACTATCATCTCCAAGATCGGCCTCGACCACCAAGAGTACCTCGGAAATTCCATCGATCACATTGCCAAAGTCAAAGCTGGCATTATGCGAAAGAACGTTCCTTGTATTGTTGACCACACTAACAAGCCTTCTGTCATCCATGTACTACGAAAACATGCTCGAGAAGTAGGAACAGACATCATCCTCACATGGAAGGGTGAACCTTTACTGTTAACTCTCGACAACTCAAGATGGATGCTTGAGAGCTACCAAGTCCAGAATCTTTTGTGTGCAGCCATGGCCTTTCGTCATCTCTTCCCATTGCAGGAGATCAATTTGGATAAGCTCTTAGAAACCGATCCTTTCTTACCTGGTCGATTGGAAACAGTTCAAGTCAACGCGCCACTTTCTGGTATTCAACCACGGGAAATTCTGGTTGACGGTGCTCACAACATGTTGGGAATCACAGAATTGAGCAGACATGTCAACAGACGCCTACGAAAAGATGACCAGCCAGTGACTTGGGTTATGGGTATGTCCCAAAGCAAGCACAAACCTTTCTTCAAGATGATGGAAAACCTTGTCGAGCCTCAGGACAACTTTGCTATGGTTGAATTTACTCAAGGTCCCAATGATCCTCAGCCTTTGCCCGCCTCATTCGGTGCCGAATACGCCAAGACGAAGCAAATCGATCCTGGTAATGTATACTCTGGAACGCCTGACATTGCGAGTGCTCTTCCATGGGCTTGCAAGAAGAGTGACGGTGGTCCTTTAGTGGTTACAGGAAGTCTTTACCTGATTCGACAATTATTCAGCCTCAAAGGCATTCATCGAACAAGAGAACTAGGTACGAGGAGACCTGGCAGAGCTCAACTCTACCGATATTCCAAGATTGCTCGAGAGAGAAATCTGACAGACGAGGAGGCACGGGAGTTCAAACAGGCGAGACGACATCACCACCTATCACCGAAACGAAGTAAGGTCTTTGCCCAAGTACGCGACGGCGGCCCTATCCAACCACTAAAAGTGCCCGTCAAGACAAGAGAGCTGCAAAGGAAGGCTGCGTTTCATAAGAAACAGGCAGAGGGATATCGGAAGTCTATCGCCGCCATTAAGAGGGATATGGAAAGCCCAAAGAAGGAAACAGATAAGCCTGAAACGGCCGTGGAAAATATTGCCTCCCGTCTTGAAGACTTGGAGGCACAGGCTGCGAAGCACACGGCAGAATATGAAGATGCCATGTTCAATATTAGGGGACGACGTGCACTACCGCACATGAAGTACAAGAGTCATCGACAAGTGTTTGGGTATCCAGCGACCCCCAAGCCCCCAACTAAGTCCCCCTTCCAACCGGCAGGGGAGTCAAAGAAGCGCAAAGGCAAATCTAGTGTGTCATGGAAGGACACCAAGGAGAGCTTTAAAGATCAACTCGCTGCGGCTGAGAAGCAAAGGGCACTGGAGATAAACCAGGCCAAGACGAGGGACAGCAGCGATCCTTTTGAAGCAAAGGTGGCTGCTAACAGGAAAACGGAAGGAAACTTATGATGACTTGGGCTGTTTGAATATCTATAACGCGAATGTACTATCACAAAGCGATTTATGCATTGGAAGGGGAAATGGAATGGGGAGATTTGGTAGGATCTATATGTACAATACCAGGGTAGAGGGGCAAAGTCTATCTCAATCTATCACGAAGCACCAGTGCCATAATGTGAACAGCATAAACCCACTTGATTTATTGTATCTCAAGACACTCTCAATTCTTTGTTTGCTTGATTTGCTTTCGAACTGGGTATCACATGATCAGACCCTCACTCTACACCCAACCTGTCTTGAATTCCCTCATCTTCCATCTCACCGCCATGCCACCGTCGCATCTTATCATCGTCTGCTGCCACGGAGTTTGGCTCGGTGGCCCAACCCTCGGCCAAGATGAAAGCGAATGGCTAATCGCAGACTTTCAGCGTGGCGAAACCCCGACTTTTGTTCAGCATATTAAAGCTGGCGTAGATGCCCTCGCTCAGAATTGTCCTGGTTCTGTTTTGGTGTTTTCTGGGTATGTAGCCTGGCTAACATTTTGTGCACGTACTAACCATGATAGAGGACCGACGCGCAAAGAGTCAAGAATTTCCGAAGCAGCTGGCTACAAAAGCATCGCAGCCAAGAACAACTATTGGGGACTGTTACAGGATGAAGACATCAACGATGCAGTGCTATTAGAAGAGCGCGCGCTTGATTCGTACCACAACGTCCTCTTCTCCCTAACACTCTTCTATTCCCACTACAAAAGATGGCCAGCTCACATCACCATCGTAAGTCATGGTTTTAAGAAAGAGAGACTTGTCGATGGGCACTGCGCAGCTATTGGCTTCCCTCTCGACCGAGTCACATTCATTGGTATAGATCCTCCCGGGATGGCAGCATCTTCGAAAGATCAAGATAAAGAAGAGGCGATGAAGGGCGCTGCGTTGGCGATGGGGGAGTGGGGGGATGATCCCCATGGACGAGGGGAGAGTCTTGCTGGGAAAAGAGTGAAGAGGAACCCTTGGGGGGTTTGGCAAGGTGTGTTTTCAAGTGAAGATGGCGATCGCGGTGGTCTAGTCCTCAAGATGGAAAACGGGAGCGAAGTCATGGACGAGGAGCAAGCTAGGCCCTGGTGATCTCTATGGTGTCTATATCTATACCACAAATCTACAGAACACTCTTCTCCCCCTCCCTAACATGTGCCTTGCCTCTCGGCCCCTTTTCCACGGCATTAACCAAGAACTGCACAGCATCCTCCACCATCTTGGGACTGAACTTATGTCCAATACCCTCATATACTCTATCGTCCACCTCCAAGCCACCATCGCGATACCAGCCCTTTTCACCCACGGCTTCCTTCAATAACGTCGAAAATTCCTTAGTGTTTGCGTATGGAACCAACTCATCGTCGCCGCCCGAGCAGAGGAGTAGCTTCTTGCCTTTAACGCGCTCATCCAGGATAGCCCTCAGGCGAGTCTGCTCGGCAGAGGAAAGTGAAGATGGGATGGGCGCAGTACCGAAGCAAATAGCCTTGGGGTCGTGTTTGCTACAAATCTCGATAAGATCCTTGGGGAAGTATTTGCTTCCGATAAAATCAGCGCCGCAGTCGAGTTTCGATCCAGCAGCGCGACCAGACATAAGTCCTATCTTGATCAGCTCACGTTCTTCACATTTAGCCATAATAACTCACCTGCGAAATCAGGACACCCAATAATCACTACAGCCGCATCAATCCTCTTCTCCCCAAAGAAGGCCTGCCAGGCACCATGTCCACCTAGACTCCAGCCAAGGCACACATGGCCATCAATTTCAAGACCAAGATACCCCGAAACAAGGTCCATAAGACCACTCATATCTGATACGCCTCCCTTTACCATGGCAAACATGTCAAGCGCATGTGTCGGATTTCCCTTACTCCAAGGATGGTTCGCTGATATGCTAACTATTCTAGTTCCGTGGTTGGGCATATCAAATGCCAAGGCGATGAGGCCACGCTTGGAGTTGCTACCAGCATGCGCGCCCCATGCTCCTATGGTGCGTCTCGCAATATCATTCATGGTGTCTCGAGATCTGGTACGAGGGTGCAGAAGCCATAGGCATGAAACGGGGACATTGGGAGGAAGTTCATCAAGACCATAGACATCGACACGCAAACCTGACATATGAACGGTCTTGATGGAAATTTCTGGGGCGGCCGGAAGGCCTTGTGTGACGTATTTGATAGACATGGCGAAAGAAAAATGCTTCGTATGAGCAGAATGAGTAGAGGCTGAAGTTGTTGATTTGGAGTTGAGTCCATAGACATTCATTGTATCCGATCTTCCCCAGGATCGCCGGTGGGTCTAGGGTAGCGAGCCGGTGTCGGCCCCATGATTTCGGAGAAGCATCATATCATAGACAAGGGTTAAAAGCACTAAGATGTAAATGGTTATTCGTATTCAGAATATATCTCATTGATATTTTTTGCCTCAAAAGGTACATTGTGCGGTTGAGGGAAGATTGTGCGTGGTAAAGTTGCAAAGACCTCTTATTTGAGGTTGAAGTTGAACAATTATACGAAACCCTTGGCTTAAAATCTACAAACTCAAGACCCGATTTAGCAATCTTGATGGATTGACTACAAGATTGACAACATCTATTCACGTTTAAATGCTGCAACCCTCAAGATTTCAAAAGAATTATTAATTCGCGTCGTGCTGCTATTGCCTCACGCAAACTAACTTATATAAAAAAGGGGTTAAATAAAACCAACATCATCATCCATCGCCATGCTGCTGTAAAGCAGAAAACAAAGAAACAAAAACCTGCCAAGCCCTTCCTCAACGCCATGTGCGGTATCGTGCCTGTCCCGTTGTCCACTGCCCTATCCCAGTCCAGCCCAGTCCAGTTCCTTATGCTGCCTGCGAAAAAATAATGTGTGCTGATTCGAAAAAAAGCAAATCCATATCATCCATCTTTTAAGTCCGTTCTACGGTTCAGTACTCCCTGAGAAGTACATCGAAGTCGTGTGTAATAGTCTGCTGAGCAGACATCTGTAGTTCTAGAGTCTGTGACGTTTAGTCAACCTTCCAGTGGTCATGCTCGTCGGAACCCAGATAGAGCTCGACACCATACAAAACCATAGTCAGGCCGATATTGGCCCACTGCCAGTTGCTGCCCTCAACATCACCACCTCGGAGAGTCCAGCCATCTGGACCGTCGCTGGTGGAGAAATGTTGTAGGAGCAGACTGGTGTAGACTGCTATTAAAATTGACGGCGAGAACCAGCTGAGGAATCCCAAGAATTTACCTGCAGTCTCAGAGTCCTCCCAATCTGGTTCTTGCATCATGGCTCGCGCACCCGACTCGCGGATTGAGGGGATGATACGTGTAGCGCAGTAGAATACCAAAGAGCGGTATGTTAGCGAGATGATGACTGATGGCGTGATAGTCTGGAAGGCGGCATATAGTAGCGCCAATGACGAGTGAACAGCGGATGGCAATGAGCCCAGCATGTGGAGGAAAGTCGAGTAAGATGCCATAATGACAGGGGGCAAAGGTGGAATATCAGACTCTGAGCCATCGTGATCTTGTGTATGGTCTGCATTTTCTGATGGCAGATAATCGGTGAAGATCTGGTAGATGCAGAGCACAATATAGGCAAAAAGAAGCGACGACTCAATAGGATTGCCGCGACCACTGCCGATACCAAAAGCGCACAGGAACACGGCAGTTGTCATTGCGATGCCAATAAGGGTAGCATCAAGGTTGCCGATTTGAGGGAATTGTGCTACCCTCCAGAGGAAGTACACAGCGCTAGCCATGATGGAGCTGGAGAGAACCAGAAGAACGATCTGCGCCAGGGTTAGCATGTGCCAGATTTCAAGATTAGACATAAAACTTACCAACCAAGTATCACTTCTTCCACGGTTGACGAGCCATCTTGTGAGCTGTCCCGCTGCTTGGATAACCAACAAGGTACAGAAGCCCTCCAAAAGCTGGAACACGGGCCCCGAATACCGTAGCACATTATCCCATCCACCCAGCGTGATCGTCTCAACCAAGCCATCCTTGCCAAACATCCATTCCCTCCAGCTCGTGTTCTTAGAGTTGAACAGACCACCCACTGTTCGCTCCACCCAATTTGTGTTGCCGGCATCGACAGCGAACTGTCCCAGCGCCCAGATGAGGAGGGCGGGGATGATGATCCACTGCGACAACCGTAGAAATCCAGAAAGGAAATACCGCGAGCGTGACTTTTCTGGCGTCAAAAGCTCGAGGCTAGAATATGTAAAGTAGAATAGGAACAGGGCTAGACTGTAAGCCAGCCCACTATCGCGACCGCCGACATCGAAAGCGACGGGGATGGAGAGGACGATGCTAAGCAGGAAGATAGAGCTGAATAGCGCCCTGAATAACCACCACATCGGAGCGAAGAGATGGCAGGCGTAGGCCGCGCCGAGGGGAGGGTATCGAGGTCGTTGGTTGCGTTCAGCAGGTGGGCATCCAAGTGCGATACGTCAGGCGATAGCGAAGAATATCGTGACAGCTAAGATGTCGCCCGGTGTGCGGAGTAGGTAGTTTCAAGGGGAGAATTTACCCATCGATAAGGCTCGCTCGTCTCGATTTCGTCAAAGTGCGTGCAATATATCGAAGGTCGGTGACAAGCGGCAGAGCTCGAGCGGGACAAGATGAAGCAGTTTGAGGTTGAAGAGTTCAAGATCAAGATAAACGGTCAGTTCCCCAAAGTTGGCGGTTGGTCGGTCTGAAATTCACGGTAGGGTAAAGGTACGTAGTGATTTGGAGCTCCCGTCTGTCAAATCTGGGCTCGGCTGTTGCTTGATGTTTGAGTGTGACTTGCGCACACAGCAATGCAATGTGGCTAATCGAGGTAGCGGCCAAATTTTGCTTATCGTCTGCTATCTTCACGTGGCAGAGGCAACTCAGGTCTAAGGTGGTCACCCGGCCGCTAAAATCAAGTAAAGTTTGGTGGGAGGGACCGTTTCGTTTGATGATTGGCACGTGTCATTCATCTTGATATTTCTCTTATTTGATGTGTTAATTTAACAGATCAAGTTTCATGTTTCAAGAAAGGCAGGTTTATGCGTTGTGTTTTTTGACTGATCGACCAAACAGATGCTGCTAGGATGACCTGGGTTGGCTGGTGCATAGCGTCACATCAACATGATAGGTTCGCAGCACATCTCGCAATCAAGAGAGCAGATCAGTACCTACATAAGCAGGGCAAGATCTGGGACAATGACAGCATCAGAGGGCAACCTCAGCACTGACAAATCTTCCGGTCTAAGTGCTATCACCAAAACCTGCAAGGTCTAAGTATGATGCATCACCGTGCATGCAAAATCTTGATTCAACCAAACCAAGGTCATGAAACCAAACTCAACTGAAGAACAAGTTAATTTTTCACAACCTCAAGATAAGACTCGTTCAGCTTAGCTTGCTTGCCTTCCATGTTGGGCGCAAGTCGCGTCTTGTACTTATCCGTATATGCCTATAACCGACCCCACCTCGTGATCTGCAAAACACGGCCAAAGCCCTACGCATCCACTTCAGGTAAGAGTTTGTCTCCACGTCGCGTTAGAGCCTCCTCATTTCTACTCCTTCATCATCACAACCATGCACCCGGCGAAAACCACCCTTTTCCTCCTATCGCCGACCCAAACAATCTTCTTTTTGATCCCTCGGCATTTTGATGACCATGGCTATTTTGTATTCTTGCGCTAGTGCGTTGATACTCGTGTCTTGTTATCCTCCTCCCAATCTAACACTAGACACTTGTATCCATCCATTAATTGCCCTGCTTGCCCATGATTTGAAAATGAAAATAAAAATGTTGCTCGAGTGATGCAACATGGCCTTCCTTCTATCGCACTCCTACTCGCGCGAAATGATCTGAAAACAAACGTTGACTTGCCCCCTCCTGATCGACAACCCGACGCGATACCGATATAATATCCAGAACAATTGTACCAAGTGTTGCCCATCTAACGAGGAGGAAACTGCAAAGTGGATCTCATGTGAGGGAGAGCAACCTTGGCCAACGCGAAATCGTGGCGTCTGTTGTATCAAATCAAAAGATTTGACGATGTTGTTGGGGCATACAGCTGTACAAGTACTGTGATGCTAGAAGACTTGGTTAACATGATGCAAGTGCATTTATTTTACATTCCTATTTCTCAACAGCTTGAGAATTATTCTATTCCCATGTTTGCTGTTGTGTATTGTGTTGTCCCTCTATGGATGCGGTGCTCACTATGGTCGTGATCATATTGGGTGGTGGCGATAGCCTCAACATCTTGTGAGAAATGATTTGGGTGTGGGGATGCATCGCGGTGACTTCAAAACACCTTGGAATCATTACGGCGCTGTGCTGGACGGGGTATCAAGAGCTTCACGTCACCAATGGCCCACGACGCCGCTGAAGGCTGCCCACCAGCTGGCAAAACACCAGCTGCCCAGTAGCACGCCGGCAACCCCGCTGGCCTCACCAGAGCTCACAGCACCACCACCCAAACTCGCACCAGGAAGTGCATGAGATGAGGAGGGGATATAGTCTGTTCTAAATCACCTCTCTTCCAAGGGAGAGCAGGAGGCGCCGGGGTAACCGGTCAGGACAAACTGCTCTCGCCTGGTGGATAAGGAGTTCGAAAATCCGACGACACCCCGAGTTCGAAACCCGACGACAAAAAAAACGACATGAAAACGGCGAATAAACAAATCCTAGGTGGTGGGGGAGCAGAAGGCGCCAGAGCAACTGGTCAGGGCAAACTGCTCCCGCTGGAGGAAATGGCTCGACGACAAAGAGATGTAGGAGGCTTAACACCAGCCTCCGAACTCTTTTGCCAATTTGGCATATTTTATTTTTATATATGAGCTCAATGTATATCTTGATATTTTCCTTTTTGCAAGACTTTGAGATAGACTGAAATAAAACCATTGAATCGAAACTACTGGCAGTGTTAGAAATAGCTGTCTTGAAATGGAATTGCTACCTGAGCTGGAGTAGCTGATGTACGTTGGTACTACGCTGCATAAGTGTGCAGAGTGATATGGGCGAAATGACATGCATGTGATTGCGACGCGTGAAAAAACATACTGTGATTGACTTGGTGTGGAATATCAACTCTTGAATGCTTCTCTCTATATCTGATATTGACAATGATTGATTGACGTTGAATGCGATGCTTCATTATTGGCTGGCGAGTCGATCGCCCAGAGATCGCCCAGCCCTTGGCACTAGCTTGGCGATAACCTCGCTGGCTGTGGATATCAATCATCTCAGAAAACACCACAGACGCTCACAAATTGTTTCGCGAAATAAGCTTAAAAGCCCCACATGCGCACAGGACATTGCGCTCTCACGTTGTTGAGAAGAATCCCCGAACTCCCCGAGGCTGGCAAAATGAAGCAAAAACAGAGCAATAGGCAAATGGTGGAACGCTTTACGTGAGAGAATGACAAGACGATACGATATGGCATCAATTTCACGACCCGAAGCAAAGCCCGACGAGCCGCAATTCATTTCTCCTAGCCTAAATGACGCCTTTTAGGGATTCGATGATGCAACAGCAGGGTCTAAAGTAAAGGACCAAGACGGGAATGGCACCACTCTTATTTCCATCGAGAGGGGGTAAACGCTCCGGACCCTCGGGACATGGTTCGTTGGTTAAGGCAAACTTCAAGCCCGTTGCCATTTTTGGTTTCCTTTGACACTAGCGATTGCATCATTCCTGGAGACTCAGCCATTCTTGATCATCTCCCCGTGAGCAACGGTGATGGATAATAAGGCTCAACGGCTATCGAAAGATAGCACGAACGAAACATTTAGGGACTTTTCATCAAGGAAAGGGTTCACAAGCATCACCCTCTGATGAATCGACATCGATGTGACGTTGGGCCTGCATAAGCCTGCAGCGAAGATCAGAACCTCAATTGCTTCTTTTTGGTCTGGTTCAAGCACCCTTCTCTCTTGAGCTCAGATCAATGTTATCACAGCTGACCACAATCACATCCGATCATCCACCTGGTCAACGCCTCATCAATAGTTGATTATTGCTCAGTATCCGGCCGAATTGCGTGCGATCTATCAGTACCAACTTGCAGTAACAGGCTTGCAAAGTCGGACTCGCCTCCATGGCTCATGTACGTAAAAGCTACGTTACGCATGCACCACAGCTAAAGACCCCACGTATTGGAAGACAGTGATCCAGTCAGGAATGTTGAAATCACCTTGTTTTGAGCCCCTGCCAGGCAGCAGGGAATACATCTGGGATCGACCTGACGGAGATTCCGGTGGATTTGCAGTTTGGAAGATGATGCGACCCAAATGGGCCTTTACTGGCTGACGTGCAGCTTCAGTCTGGGTCGTCGGGGTTGTTAGAGGTCTGATACGGATGTTCGGCACATGGCGTGGACCGGGTGGGGCACCGTTCGCCGCTCCGGATAGATTTGCGGCCTATGGCTTCACTTCATTTGTCTGCTCATATCTAATGTTGGTAGGCATTTGGCGACACTCCGGTGCGTGGAACATATGATCCATCGTGAGTGGTGTGCTGTGTTGCAGTTTGTCGTTAATTGCTATCCTAGCGTGAGCTTTGATAGATGAGAGGGCCAAAGAGGATCGATATGGGCGACGTCCGAGAGGCTCGATGAAGAGACTGACGACTAAAAGACCCCATTTCTAGTTTAGTAGTGAGCTTCTACTCCGAGTATGGAAGCAGGCTCTGAACCTTGTTTGTGTGACCAACAGCCAAGTTGGTAGGGATCGTAGGATCGCAACCTTGGTATGGGATTATGCCTGGGAGTTGAGATCTTCTCGCCCTCTTTAAATGCAGCTCGTTTCCTAGCATTTTCTTTCGCTCACACCTAGCACTCGCCGAGTTTGTGATTTGTGCCTGGCCCACCTTTCTTCTTTTGTTCTTGTTGCGATACCGTAACACCTTGAACCTGGTCAGCATCGTGGTGTTTCAATTCAACACAACACACCTACAGTCCTGACAAGCTCACACTCTCCTCTTACGCTGTCATAATGGCCGAAAAGACATCTCTCGGTTCTGGAGGCGGAAGCCCTGACCCAGAACGTCGCCAATCTCAACTCCAAACTCCTTCGTCACGATGGGCGTCTCTGTTTGGTGGCGAGGGTGTCACTGCCGGACCTCGAATCGCTCAATTGCCCGAATTTGTGAGGCGTGATCTTTCAGACTCCGAGGATTCAAGTTCTGCCATTCTCAATAAACAGCTGGCTGCCGAGCAGGGAGAACAAATCCAGTACCGCACTTGTTCATGGCAGAAGACTGCTGGTCTGCTTTTCAGCGAGTACATTTGTCTTGCCATTATGAGTTTCCCTTGGTCGTACAGTGTTCTCGGATTGGTGCCTGGTATTATCCTGACGATTATTGTTGCTCTCATCGTTCTTTACACCAGTCTCGTTCTCTGGGAATTCTGCCTCCGCCACCCAGAGATGCGCGATGTTTGCGATATTGGACAGATGCTATTTTGGGACAAGAAGTGGGCTTGGTGGGCAACTGCTGTGTGCTTCATTCTCAACAACACCTTCATTCAAGGTCTTCACGTTTTGGTTGGTGCCAAGTACCTCAACACCATGACCGAAGCCGATGATGTTGGTAGCTGCCGGACCGTTATGTTTTCGGTCATTGTTGCTGTCATCAGCTGGATTTGCTCCCTGCCCAGGACGTTCGACATGATGGCCAAGCTCGGAACAGCATCGGCTTTCTTCACATTCATTTCCGTTCTGCTTGCTGCCATCTTTGCCGGTATTCAGGATCACCCATTTGGATACGATCCTGCGAAGCTGGGCGAGCCTATTGTTACAGCTATCCCTGTTAAGGGCACGACCTTTGTCAACGGAATGTCCGCTTTTCTCAACATCAGCTACACCTTTATCGGCCAGATTACCCTGCCCAGCTTCATTGCAGAGATGCGAGATCCCCGGGACTTCCCCAAGGCTCTGTGGGCGTGTACGATTGCTGAGATCATCGTCTTCAGTCTCGTTGGAGCCATCGTATATGCTTATACCGGCAACCAGTATGTCACCGCGCCGGCTTTTGGTTCGCTCGAGAATGTGTACAAGAAGGCGGCCTTCTCGTTCATGATTCCTACCATCATCTTCCTTGGCACCCTCTATGCCTCAGTATCGGCTCGCTTCGTCTTTTTCCGACTCTTCCGAAACTCCAAGCACTTGAATAGTCACACTCTTGTTGGTTGGGGATCTTGGAGTGGAATTCTTCTTGTGACCTGGATCTTTGCTTTCATCATCGCCATGGTCATCCCTTTCTTTAACTCTCGTAAGTGCCCGAAGCAGAATTATTGCATCGATCGTTACTGACCATTACCTTCCAGTGCTTTCCGTTATGTCGTCTCTCTTCGATAGTTGGTTTGGCTTCATTTTCTGGGGAGTTGCCTATTTCCGAATGCGCAAAGCCGATAAGGAGATTGGTCGACGACATGGCAAGATCGCTGATCTTACTGGAAACATTGTTAACCTCATCTTGATTGCGATTGGTATCATGTTCCTTACTGTTGGTACATATGCCAGTGTACAGGGCATTATCGACCAGTACGAGGCTGGTACCGTGGCTGGTGTATTCTCTTGTGCGTCCAACGGTCTTTAAAATGAAGAAGAGAGAAGGGAGAAGTTGTAGAGAAATAAGTTATGCAATGATACCCGAGCTGGAACAATACACGCGGAGTTGGTTTTTCTTGATCGAGACGATCGTATGCTGCTTTCAGCCACGATCGGTCCCGTTACGGAGTACACGAAGTTGTAGAATTGGATCCATCATGATGAATCATTGAAGTAGAAGTTGACGTGTTGTAGATGTTGAAGTAGAGTTGAAGTGGAGGCTGAGGCTCTGCCGGAGCTGAACCTTAGCTTGACACCCACGCCAACCAGTTCTCGCCAAGAACGCCTAGAGCTTGTTGTCACATGCTCTTTATTCATCTGATGCATTTCCTTTAAGCATATTCATATCATAAATTGTCAATCAAACTCGAGTTTGATGAGAATCTAATGGGGCAAAGTTGCTGCTGACTCCAACATCTAGGTGTCGATCCTAAGCATTTGACAGCATTGACCCACCTTGGCCTCTGGTATATTCGATTGGAAGCTTAACTTCTTAAGCTGTCCCGGACATTGAATCGATAGTAACACTTAAGAAGCCTTCTTCATATATTCAGCATATGCACACTCAAATGGATTATCTGGAAAGACACGTTGACCATCTAGTATTCGTATTCGCACTTCATGGGGATCAAGAATCACACTCTGTTGTATCCTCATCGAGGAGGTCCACCTATCAAGGGAAAAGCCCTACCAGATTGCCGCAATTAGGCATCTCGCCAACAGAATCGAGAGAGATAGAGCTAGGGAGTTTCCAAGAAATACCGAATAATCGTATGGTATTAGTGTTTATCAACGGGAATTGACGGTCCCGAATGGCACCACTCGAACCATTTCCCCTCTTGTCGTTCGACAACTTTATTCGAAGAATTTGAAGTTTTTATTTTGGGATTTTATTCATTTATCCACCTATTTATTATTAGGGTTAGAAGCGATAGTAACACAGTCACACTCAGCGCAGTGCAAATTGATATTATCTAAACTGTCACTGCTGGGCTATGTCGCTCAATTGCTCATGATACACACAAATAAAGCTGACCTCAAATGCCACGCTATACAATTCGCCTCTCTGAATGGTCTGAACATGCCCCGCCTTCTTGAACCCCTCAAAAACCATCCATCTGGTCCCCTGAATTTCTCCCCCCACCCGCCAAATCTAGCCCCTAACCAAACCATCATTGGCCAGATTCCCAATTAACATTTGGACCTGGATTTTCACCGCCTTCCACGTAGCTTTCTCTGCCCCCTGTTTCCCGCGCCGCAGCTACCAAGGAGGCAAATGTATCACATTCTTTTTTAATTCAACCGTCCTTGCACTTTTTGTTCTTCGGGGGTTTAGACTTTCTTTCACCTTTTCCAAACTATCGAAGGAAAGATGCCTGCGACGAATTCATCTACGGTCACTTCGAGGGCAAAGGGCGATAGCCCAAACCCAGCTCCTGCGGCAGCCGAAGGTGCTGATAAGAGCCACGATTTCTTCTGGACATACACTGAGGAGCCTCATCGAACTCGCCGTCTCGCTATTATCAAGGCTCACCCCGAGGTTCGTGCTCTACTGATTAGCCCCGCTGTGCCATGGCATGTCGCTAATCTAGCCTCCATCTACAGATCACCAAGCTCTGCGGTCCTGAGCCTCTCACGAAATGGGTCGTTCTCGGTGTCGTCTCTCTTCAGGTCTTCCTCGCATGGATGCTCCAGTCGACTCCTTTCTTCTCATGGAAGTTCTGGGCTGTCGCCTACGTCTTTGGCGCCACTGCCAACCAGAACCTTTTCCTCGCCATCCACGAGATCTCACATAACCTGGCTTTCCGAAGCGCTCGTCTCAACCGTCTGATCGCCATCTTTGCCAACCTTCCCATTGGTATTCCGTACAGCGCTTCGTTCCGAGTATGTGATCCAGATCGCATTTCGATATCTGAAATAATGCTAACACTCTACAGCCATACCACCTTACCCACCACAAGTCCCTCGGTGTCGATGGCCTTGATACCGATCTTCCCACTGCCTTCGAGGCCTTCGTTCTGGATTCGATTCTCGGAAAGGCCTTCTTCTGCACTTTCCAGATCTTCTTCTACGCCCTGCGACCCATGGCCGTCTACCGCGTTCCTTTGACTGGAGTCCACGCCCTCAACATCGCTGTCCAGGTCGCCTTTGATCTCGTTCTCCTGAAGTACGCCTCTGTCAACTCTCTCCTCTACCTGCTGCTCTCCTCCTTTTTGGCTGGGAGTCTTCACCCTCTGGCTGGCCACTTCATCGCCGAGCACTACGTGTACGAGACCGTTGCTCCCTCCGCTCGCGACCCGGAGAACAAGATCCCCGTTCCCGAGACCTTCTCTTACTATGGACCTCTGAACTGGTTCACCTACAACGTCGGTCTTCACAACGAGCACCACGACTTCCCCGCAGTGCCCTGGACTCGTCTCCACAAGGTGCGCGAGATTGCTCACGAGTTCTATGATGACTTGCCCCGCCACGAGAGCTGGTGCTATGCCATCTGGCGCTTCATCTTCGATGAGAACGTTGGCATGAGTTGCCGCGTGAAGCGTAAGCAGGGTGGACGTCTTGTAGGCGGCGGCGCCGTCGCCGACTGGAAGCAGTCTGAGATCGAGTCGATTTAGAAGCAACGCAAAAGTACATAGAATTAGTTGTAATGCAACTGTTTTGATATTTTGACAAAGGGTGCGGCATATCAAGGCCATGATCAACTCAAACTTTTGCTGCATTTGGTACCTTTTTGACTGAGCTAGGCAGCATAGATTCAGACAAAAGTACCATAGAATACAGATCTTGTATGGCGTTTTAGGGTATGTATAAAAACATAAATACAATCTTTTGAGCGATCACAAAACTCAGAGACCGACTCCGTGACCTAACGAGCTATCACCATTTGGTTTCTGTGTAACGACTCCAGACTTTCAGTCCGTAATATGTAAATAATTGAGCGGCTAAGCTTGCAAATGACCGGGAGACACAAAAGATGAAAAGTAGAGTCGACGAGTGATACAAGTTAGAACTCCAAATTTATCAGTTAACGCAAACAGAATAATACGACACAAGAAAATACGAGAGCCGCGAAAGGCTCAAGGTAAGGGTGTACAGTCAAAGCTCCCGCCTCGGAAGCCACATCCTCCTCCCATCGCTTTTAAACTCCTCAGCGAAACTTTCATCCCCAGCTGCAAGGCGTTCGAAGCCCTGCTGACCGAAACCGCCTTGGCCTAGAGACATGGTCCACTGTCCCCAAGGTACCTTCCAAGTGGGTTTCGATTCGTACTGAGCTGTGAATCCTGCAGTGTTCCGCCGATCGCATGATATGCTTCCTGATCCTATGCTTTAGCCTCGCCGTACTTTAAAGATTTATGCATCCGGGGATCCCATGTCTCCGGCTGAGTTCTCATGAGCGTCGTCAAGCCTGTCTATTAGTTTCGTTTGTCGAAAAGATCCAAGGGCTGTCACTTCTTCCTTATCTCTAGAAGAAGAAGTAGGCAAGCAAGAAGCTGACCAAGCAAAGAATGGCCGCCATTTGCACAGGAACACCTTCGACGGTTTGGGTGACAGCTTGGGCGGTCTGGGCGAGAGGTCGTTTGTCATCATCGCCGGAGGCGGACTTGACGTTGCGCTGTCGAAGACCGCTATCCTTGAGAGCTACAAGCTGCTGTTCGGCCTGGGCAAGCTTAGCCTTGAGCTCCTCATAGGTCAGCTCTGCAGTCTCCTTGATGGCTGTTGTAGCTTGAGTAATAGTGCTCTTGACTTCGGACTCCTCGTAGGTAGATTTGGGTTTCTCGTCCTCATAGGCGGATTCTTTGGGTGATTGGTAAGGAGGGGGCGCTGCCGAGGATGAGGGCGACTCGTCTCGAACGCCAGGTGAAGAAAATGTACGCGAAACGTCAGGAGTGTCGTTGATCTAGATTATACCATTAATTGTCAACTTCCGAATCCGAGTCGGCGAACTTACGCCGTTGGCAATAGCCTGCTTGTTAGGCGTGGACAAAGGTCGGTTAGGAGCTTGGTCAGCATCACCAGCCGCGAGCCAGTTGACGCGAATCTTGCGCTCGACAAGGTGGGCTTTATCGGTCGTTTCAAGCTGGTGATTTAGTCAGTTTTACAGTCCGGATTTTGAGATCGATTGGCTACGTACGACATTGGCAACGCTGGCAAACTCCTTATCGGCGGTAATGGGGGCGGATTGGACAAGGAACTTGTCACGGCACTTAGCGTCAGGAGCGGGATCCTGCTTCATAGCCTGGAGAAGGACTAGGTGATCGTTAACGGCTATCGGAATGCGCTTTTAGGAGCAGACTCACCAGAGACATCGAAGCTCTGGCCGGCCTCGATGCGGCCTGCATTTGGTCGAACACAGTATCTAGTAGGGAGATGTCAGGTATGCGATCGGAAGGGCTTGGTTAGAGGGGCAAGCATACTGTTTGGGAGCAGTGGTCTTGACCTGTTCTTCTTGTTAGTAAAACCGTCGCAAGAGAATCGCTGACCGACTGACCTTGAAAGCCACTGGGGTAGGGTTGGGGTTCTTCAGAGTCAAGGTCTGGGAGACCTCGGTGGTGAAGGGGCCTAGCAATCATGTCAATCCTCGGAGACCCATCATCGTCCATCACAGATCACGCACGTCTAAAAGACAGCTCAAATGGCTCAATATCGACCGACATTTTGGCTTGTTATCGTGGCAGTGGGAAGAAAATGCAGAAGTTGTTATGGTTGGTGGTATCGCGCGATGGTTCCTCGGCGGTAACCAAGTGGAAACGTGGCAACGGGAGGTAGAGTACAGTATGAAATGTCGTTCGTTGATTAGCAAAGGGGGGAAGTTTGATTAAAGGTGAGTTAAAAGTATAGCGACACGAGGCGGCACCGAGTCGGTAAGATTTGAGGAAGTTGGTCGCGTGGGAGAAGGAAGAAATTGGTGACGAAATGAAAGATTAGTAGCAGTGGAGTGTGGTGAGTTGAGTCGAGTATACCTGGAAGGGGAATGGAAGGCAGGTTGACGTTGGTTTGTGTCTTGGGATCTCCTACGACGTAATTGCTTCTGCTATGGCGCCCTATTCCCAGTTGAGTCGGCTCAACTTCAGGTGGTTGCTACAGGGAGCACGAGCCATCAGGGGGCTTAAACTCCGCTATCAGTCACTATTGGACTTCGCCCATGCTCCAAAAACTGCCCGCCATTGATTTCATGGATATCCGTTGATTGAACACTGATGAAGCCACCACATACCTTATTCTTCTTCAAACGTCATCTTTGCATTTTACCTTTGCTATTTACTCCATTGCCCTGCAGTTGTCCACTATCTTTCCAAGTCTCCGTTTGCCGTCCACAAAAAAGGGTCTAGCTGGTCCACGATATGCAGGTCCTTGTATTGGTAAGCACCTGAATGGTTAAGCGTCTCAAATCAGGGAAGTGAGGGCATCATGGCACATGGTTCGAGAACAGATGCGGAGGACCGAGGCAAACGTGAGGTAACGGAAGGTAGCGTCAGAGCTTGGCAGGTCCGTTAGCGCAGCCGTCATGAACTCTCTATTCTTTGTTGAGCATTGACAAATAATCTCGAACAGTTTTGATACCCACCTCCATATTCATTGAAACATTAAAAGACAAGGGATGAGCATAGCGATCTCTTGAGTGGAGAGTAAGTTGCATTAATGGTCTGGGTCATCAAAAGAACAAGACTTTTCCAATATTCGTCGAATGGGTTGTGAGAATGTGTCATTGTTTGCAACTCAACTCAGTTCACAACTTTCGTGGACCAAAAGGACTCGAAGACCATTTTACCCGAGGACTATAACAACTAGTGAGCAAGCCCTCCAAGATTATCTGAACTTGTCTAAGAACTCTCGTCACTCGCAATCGAGGTCTCGAGTTTTCCCACATTCTCTCCTTGAGCTGAAATGATGCTTCAAGAGTAACAATCATTGGATGAGTGAGTTGTTTAATGACTGAGTTCGCTGCGCAAGCCAGTTTCGCTGAATATTCTCGAATATCTGAGACTCGACAGGCTGTGCAACTCCAGAACGAAAAATTCTTCAACGTGGTGAAACCTACAGTGCAGTTTATTGATTCTACATGCTGACAAGAACATGGTCAGCTCGTGGGTGGTGGCGGCCGGTAGTTATAGGGCTTGGGCTGTGTTGCAAACATCACCAAACGATGCTCAACTCAGGCACGAGAGTTGTTCTAATGATGAACTTTCGCGGTTGGCGCGATGAACGACTTGACTAAATATCACGACATGTTAACCAACCGCTCACACGTAAAACTACCTAAGCCTAGCAACTGTTCGAGGGATAATAAGACGTCTAAAAATATCCTAAACATTGAATTCCGACGCTACGGATAAGTCAGACTCAGCCTACCACAGTCCTCCAAACTGAACAAAAAGGTGGATAGCTAGGCTCACAGGAACGCCATCTGCGGGTAGGACCCTCGTATTTGATCGACACGAGGCGGTGCCACGGGCGGCTACTCCATTTCTCTGCTCCTACGTTACAGTAGGAGTAGAGAATCATCCTGCGGCTGACTGAATTCTTCTGGAACAACCGCTTATGGCGCAAATGTGTGTGTGCTGCTCCTGGCTTAAAGGTTGCAGTAGGGCTATTCGGCACTTGGCTTTGGTATTTATACGAACAGATCCCCAGAGTCAGGTGGACAGAACCCGAGAAGATCAACTCATTATACGATACTAGATAGATCTCTCGTATCTCTTGCAGTATAATACTCGATATTAATCCAGTATTATTTCAACTTACCCTTGTACACCTCTCACCACTTCACCATGGGCTGCAACAACTCTCGCCACATCCTCGAGATGGAGTCTCGACCTATCCGTCCTGTGACCCTCTCAAGCCATTCAGTTGGCTCTGTCATGGCTCCCTCGTCCATCTTTCAAGACTTCCCTGAAACCTCAGAGTTGAGTCGACAGCAGATCATCGACGCCTTCCAACACATGGCCGAGTATCTGAACGAATGTGGTACACATGTGAAGTGTGCTGTCGTCGGCGGTGTTGTAAACGCACTTTATCTGCGTCACAGAGAGACGACTCCCGACGTCGAGTTTCTTCTTCACGATCCTGCCTCGAAAGAGTATATCACGCTCAGCAATGCTGCCAGTTTCGCCAACAAGAAGGCACAGGGAACTCTCGGAGAGCAGTGGTTCAACAACTCTATGCAATTCTTCGTGCCTCGAAATGTCCAGGTCGATATTCTTCAATGGGCCAAGGACCAGCATGAAGTCATCTTCGAGCACCGCGGAAACTACGGCGGTTTGACAGTTTACGCTGCCCCGTGGGATTATGCGTTGTGCAGCAAACTCAACAGTCTCTACGACAACATCCGAGCCGATGATATGGAGGATGCAGTTGCATACCTACATCGATATCTGACAGTTACTCACCAAGAGTCTCTCAACGGAAACCAAGTCAACGACTGGTGCAGGAAGTACCATCAAGATGTTTCGCGAGAGGTACTGAATCGTCTTGGAGAGGCATATGCTCGAAAGCACGGTAGCTGGCCGCTTCAGTGGTGAAGACGGTTGCAGGAGGATTAAGAATTTGTTTGAATGTTAGATATAGACGGCATGAACTTATGATGATACCCAAAGCTCATTAGCGAGCCCACTTAATGATAATACTTGTTTGAATCGGTAGATGAGTCTGCATATATGAAGTATGTGACTATGTGGTTTCGGGAAGCTTGTCTCTCGTAGATGTTCGTGTTTGAGAATGTATTTTCCGGTTTTCGAGTATGTCGAACTGTAGGAATTAAAGTCTTGAGTGGTACTATTCATCATGAGAAGAGAGAGAAATCACTACCTATATCGGAATTTCAGTCATGATTACGCCCGTGCTTAACCGTAGTAATCCCGGCGACGTCACTGAGGCAGCGGCTTGAATGACGTTCTTGGGCTTTACCTAAGCTTTGGTTCCAGCATCAAAGGACAACTCAGTGCAAAGGCATATTCCACCTTGAATTTATTCACGACTGTGAATTTTTGCCTGTCTCACCAGTTTGCTGATACGCAAATAATCAAGATCTCATCTCTTCATTCTTTCCATCTTCATCTGCTCAACTCATCAACAGTTGCCCCTCATCCAACCCCACTATCACCAACTCTTGCTAAACAACACCGCCAACATGCCTTCTGATCTCGATACCCTGCTCGATATGGGCTTTGACAAGGAACGTGCTGAGATAGCCGTCAAGAAGACTGGAGGCCGTAAGTTACATTTTTTCAGATGACTCGTTTCAGGCTAACTTTAGTAGTTCAGGGCGCTCTTCAGTGGCTTGAGGACAACCAGGACAAGCCTATTGATGAGATCAAGGCTGCTGCCGCTGCGAAGGAAGAGAATGACGACGAGGAGGACACGGAAGCCAAGATAGCAGAGCTCGAGACTGGCACTGCCAAGTCATTGATCTGCAATGACTGTGGGAAGCGATTCAAGAACCATGATCTGGCTACCTATCACGCGACCAAGACGTATGTCAACCTGACACAACTATCTACTGGAGAATGTTTGGCTGACTGAGGCTACAGCGAGCATACTGACTTCTCGGAGTCAACAGAGGAGATTGCCCCTCTAACCGAAGACGAGAAGAAGGCCAAGCTTGAGCAACTTCGCGAGCGCCTCGCCGCCAAGAGAGCACTTCAATCTGTCAAGGACAAGGAAGATCACAAGCGCAACGAGGTAACAAAAGCATCCAATCGCACCATTACTCAGTTCTAACCTGTCGTAGCAAATTCGCCAAAAGTCTACCAAGGAGAGCCAAGAAGCAAAGGAAGAGCTGGCCCGCAAGCAAGCAGTCAAGGAAGCAGCCCAGAAGCGACAAGAGAAGCTCGAAGATCAGGAGGCCAAGAGGCGCATCAAGGCAAAGATCGAGGCCGACAAAGCTGAGCGACGCCGAAAGGCAGAGGAGGCCAAGGCAGCCCGTGAGGGTCGAGCTCCTCAAGTCGAGGCTGCTACTCCTGGTGGCGCTGCTGCTGTCGCGGCCGCATCCAAGCCCAAAAGTAACCACAACGAAGCCCGACTCCGACTACAGACCGACGGCGGAAACATCACCAAGACCCTGCCGGCTGAGACGACACTGTTCGAACTGGCGCAACAGCTGCAGAGCGAGACAGGGAATGCTGTATCAAGCTTTACGACTACGTTCCCCCGCAAGACCTTTGAGGGTGACGTCGATTTCTCCAAGACCCTGAAGGAAGCGGGACTGGTTCCGTCATCCGTCCTGATCGTCAAATAAATTTCTGACGTAGACATGAAAGATTGTGCATGGCGCGGCGTTGGTGGGGACATGGGAGATGAATCTGTAGTACTACGAAGAACAGAAAAAAGTCCTTTAGGTAGAGTTAGAGCAGACAAGAGGACGACAACATTCGTCCTGATCACAATCACAATCGCTGGCACTCTGGCGAAATAGTCACACTTTGAAGAAAACCCAGTTGAACTCAAACCACCCATGGCGGGACTTTTTTTTATCAGAGCCGTATGAATTGACCAATTCTCCCTCCGCGAAACTCCGTTGAGTGCGTTCCTCATAGCATCGTATGTAAGAAGCTACTCTGTCCAGGGCGCAGGTTACAGTGCCCGCTCTCCATCCTGTATGATCGATCGATTGGAAACCCCGAAGCCATGCAGTCGAAGTACAAAGAACAAGGAAACAGTCGTAGCGGCGTAACTTCTTAGTCGAAGAGACCGAAGCCCATGTCCTCGTCAGACTCCTCCTTCTCTGTAGTGGTTGTCAGCAATCCGCAGTCAGTCGTTGTGCTTCGCGGGTAGACATACCCTCCTCCTTCTCCTCCTCAGGAGCAGCCTCAGCAGCGGCACCACCAGCAGCGGCGGCACCACCGGCGGCAGGGGCAGCACCGCCACCGGAGCCGACGTTCACGAGAAGGTCCTTGACATCCTTGCCCTCGAGAGCCTATTCAAATAAAATCCGTCAGAAAATCGAAGTCCTGGATATGGGCGCATAAAAATCGCTGGAGTTATTCGGTTCGTACCTTGGCGAAGATGGAGGTCCAGATGGGCTCAACCTCCTCGACCTTGGCGGCCTTGATGAGGGTCTGGAGCTTGTCGGCCTGGAGAGTCGCGATGACGATGTTAGCTATCAATCACCTCACGCACACACAAAACGTCGACAGAATCGCGGGGTTAAAACGTACGGTGATCTCAACACCGTCGTCGGCGAGGATCAGGGCCGCGTAGGACGAAGCGAGCTCGGCGTGAGACATTGTGAATGATTTTGACGTGCGGGTGGGAGATTGTAAAGTCTGCACGAAGTCGAGTCGGTTGTAGTTTGAAGTCGGAATATCACCAAATGGATGCTTACCACAGAAAATCCTGGTCGAAATTCGGTTGGAGGGCTTCAAGACCTAAAGGAAAAGTGGAGGCAGGAGCGATCGATATGAATTAATCCGCTCCGTGGGTGTAGAGAGAGTGAGTCACGCCTTTGATTGGGTGCGATCTAACGAGCCAATAAAATATGTTTCCAAGAATGCTGTGAACTGCGGCGCTTTTTACCCCACCTTTGGGAAACAGACAGAAGACATCATAAGAGCATTGATTGTGAAGATATGATGATAAGGGTAATTACAGTTTTAATATCATAAATTGTATAGTCTGCAGGCTTATAATTGTCTGAGTGAATAAGATGGTATTCAACCTCACCGACGTCTGATTAATATTCACTGATCGAGACCAATCCTCTATCAACTCCTTCCTCTCTCCCTTGCCCACTATCGCTTGTTGGGAAACCCCCACTAGCAAACAGCTTAGCCGCTGCCGTCTGGCTCAATGCCGCAGCGAAGACGTAGGGCGTACCGCGTACGGTAATAGGTGAAGTGACTGCAGGACCTGATGGAGGGGTCGGTCTGGGCCTTCCAGTTGCCATGATTAAATATGTGACAACATCCGTTCTTGGTCGAGGCAGAGAAGGTCAGGTCCAGCTGAAATGAATGAACTGTAACCGTGATATCTTTTCTCCACGATCTACCATCCACTAGTCAACTTCTTCCGTCATCAACTATTTCATCTTCCATGGCATTCTCGTCTCCGCATTCTGCCTCCAGACTATCATTCTTCATCCACCGCTTAATTAATATCTTGTGACTTGTATCGCGCCTACGTGAGTTAGTTCATCACGACCTCCCCACCAAAAGTCGACTCAACTTCCCTGGATCTTGAGCCCCGCCGCCACTCGTCGACTTTCGTCACTCGGAGCCTCGGAGACGTTGCGCAAGGCACAAACAACAAGCCAATACACTTCCAAGCTCAATAGTGACAAACTACTACTCTTTCAACCCTTTACATCACATAAATCTATACGACACCCCCATAAGAAGCTCGGAAACGGCATCTATCAACATGGAGACTCCAGCGATCCCAATGCCGCGGGACCCCCGGGAGCAAGCTATCCTCGAGAAGCTACAGCTGGTCCGAGATCGCCTACTGCTTCTTAAACAGGATCGCACAAACTACATTCGAACTCAAGATGTCATGCCATTGTTTGATGAGACCATGGATCAGGTTAAGGAGCTGGCGGTTGTGCGCGCCGAAACAGGCGATAAGGAGGAGAACAGATGTATGTCACCGTCTTTGTCGCATCCAAACGCGAGTGTGCTAACAAGTTTGTTTCCAGTGGACAAGGTCTTGGAGAGCTGCTTCCAGCTGCTATCCCTATTCTATCTCACGATCGGACGAAACAATGAGGCACCAGCAACATACGCTATGACCTCAACTGTCAAGCGACTACTCGACCACCTCACTGAGGCCGAGCTCTACTCAGCCAAGGATCTCGGAAGCATCAAGTCTACACTTGAAGATCTGTCTAAAAGCATTCACGATGCTGCTACTGATCCATCACTCGACAAGCGACACCCTCCATACATGCTTGCACTACTTGAGAACCGCGTTGCGCTCTGCAACTCAACCTTGTCGCGTCTTCAGAAGAGATTAGAGCGATTGCCAGATTACCTGCTGGAGGCTCATGAGAAGCTCATTTCGATCTTGCGATCGATCTCGTTGGCCAACACCAAGTCCAAGGTAAGCGAGGCTGGAATTGAATGGAATGTTTGGAGATGTGCTAACGTTGACTAGTTCTCCACATCCGAGGTCAAGAAGCTACGGAACCAAATTTTGGAAATTGGCGAAAAGCACAATGGCGGCACATTTACCGCAGAGGATGGAACTTTAGAGGAGGGAGGTGAAGTGCTCCGAGACTTGTACCACCGTTGCGTCCGCTGGTCGGACATGGTTCTTGAGAGGTGAGATAATCGACACTTTCCATGAAGATGTACTGACACTTTAAAGACAAGGAGAAGTAGCTGAGCAATGGCGACCAATCTACGACCAGCTCATTCAAATTCGCAACGACCTCGAGAAGCTTTCTCTTACACAAGCATGGTCGCTCCGAGAGACTGATCTGTATGATTTCCAACGGCAACTTGACAGAATTGATGAGAGCCGACAGAACGGAAACTGGGTGGACGAGCGGGGGCGACCAGCTGATCTCTGGACTCAGCGAACTTTGCTGTACCTAATCCGACGGTCGTATGCGTACATCTACTCATTTATGCTGGCATCCGAACCAGTGTCCGAAGCTCTGTTGCCTGTTTACAACCAACTGCAGACACTGAAGCGTTGCCTCGTTGAGGTCAAGAAGAATGGGGGTGTATCCTCCGTGCGGGAGCTTTACCCCTACAGCATGAAGGTATGTGGATACATTGTGGCATAACCCAGTTCTCTCTAACATGGGACAGCTTAACTCCCTTGATAACATGAAAGTTGACGGTAAGTTTGTGGTAAATGGCGACATCCCCGAAGGACAAGGCAGTGTTACCGGATTGTTGGCCGAATGCTTTGACCTCAACTACGAATTGAGAGTTGCAGCCGAAGAAGCAGCTGAGAATGGTTCAAATGGCAACGAAGCTTAAACCACGCATGACTTGGTGGCGGGCCATACCAAAGGAGCATGGATATGTCAGTGTACGATGGCGTTTACTATCACTTGAATTGGAATTGGAATTTTTATAGGTCAGATAGCTCTTCCTCGCGGTTTTTAGTAATAGCTTTAGCTCGCTTTCATTGAGCTGGTAATGACATCGATATGCAGGGGTTGTTGAGGGCTGGTATTAGCAAAGCGGTAGGGAACGAACGATCACAAAGATTCGATGTTTCAGCAATTGACGGATGGACAACAGGAACATCATGGTAGCGGGTCATGATAACTAGCATAAATAGTATCAGTTCACTGTTTTGAAAAGGGTCTCTATCGTGAGTCTACGGTAATGGTATTGACTTTGTGTATTAGTTCATCCTGAAAGCGGCCTTGAAGGGGTAGATTTGGACCTGTATATCACATCAGCAAATTGTCCTCGAATGGATTCACGTTCTGTTTACCTTGTCCATGTCCCAGACGCCTGATGTAGCATAGATATCTTTGCTGAGTTGCTCTCTGACCTCTTCTACGGATTCAGCGATGCAGACAAGGGTACTGCCAGCAAAGTCGAGGCTGTCGACGCTATCGTCTTTGGGAACACTGTTTAAAATGGCACCTAGACACAACATTAGTCTCACTGTTAGGATCCAGTTCCTAGGCCTGTTTATTAACACACCTCCCATCTTCCAACTTCCATTCTCAACGTTAGGAACCATGTTCTTAAAATGGGTTCTTCGGCTTGTTAGCTTAAGCCACATATAATCCAACATCAGAACGCAGCTCACCCTCGAACCTCGAGTCTCTTCTCCCGAACATTGGGCTTGTCATGGACGACAACGAGAAACTCGTACTTTCCGGGAGGGACGGTAACAGATGAGGAAGCCATCGTTCGAAATGTAGTGAAGCGAGGTGTAATTCTAGCTCTAGAGAGTGAGAATGCAAGACGAGAGTTCATGTTTGGGTTATGATGATGTTGTATTTATGTATCGAACAAAGGATGAGGTGATACGGAGATGGGCTCCGAGTTGCGGGGGAGTGATTGCCGTGATTGGTGGGGTAAGTGTAAAGGGCGTAGGAGTTGGTGATGATAGTGCGCCTTTGGGGTGATGTAGTGGATTATCGTGTCTTGGCTTAAAATTTCAATGCTGGTGTTTATTCTTCTTACTGGGATCAACGAGTTCAATGACTAACTGTGAGGTACTCGGAGATCTACATCGAGGTTTAAAACATCCTGAGAATACTAAAGACTACCAGGCTCACGGGTCAGAGATACTGGCAAATGTATATTCGTTGTTGGATGGTAATGCTGTTAGATCAGCCTTATCGATAACCTACTCATCTGACCGGGTAGTTTCCGCTATGGCAACTATATGTACATAGCAGGAAAAGGGAGGAATACAAACGTTTCCGATCCTGACGGAAACGCTCTCTTTATGGCTTCGTTCCTGCAGTGTCGACGTGTATCAACCAACGAAAGGTAGGCTCCCGTTATAAACTAGTCAACAATGTGCGCTGTGGGAACTACTCGATTCGAAGGAGGAGTGAAGCTTATTCTCATCATCTTTCCTATTCGCAGACCTCGGTTGACCCTCTTCGCAGAAGCAATTGATTCGACAGAGGATTGCAAATAAATCAATAGCTAATATGATCTTGGAATGGCCCGAAAAAAGACGAAGCAAAGTTTCTCATGTCTTTAGGGTAGGATCGTCACTTGTAGCCACAACTTGCTCGCTTTCTGGCGACATCGTACGCATGCTCTGCGAATTAAAGTGCCTACTACTAATACAATAATTCACCTAAATCACATCTCACCGGTGATAGACAACTACTGCATCTAAGGTACTAATATGGTAGCTCTAAATCGGAAACCGGAATATGCTGGCGGAATCCCCTTCAGCCCTCCCTCGTTAACGTTTATAACAGCGCAAGATTCCCATTGTTTTCTTTTCTTGGATTCGATATTGGAATTCGATATATGTATTCACAATTCTTCCCGTCGATATGCAATGGAAGACGCTGAGCTGCCCCGTAAACGAGCACCAGATCATCAGGCTCAAGCCCTACCAACACAGCCAATGGATATCCAGAATCAGATTGTCGACTGCGTATGCTTGGCTTCTGGCATGCTTCGCATCCACGGCTTTGCTCACCTCCAAGCTCGTCCTCTGGAGCCATATACTCCTCCTCTCAACTGGCTACGCATCTCGAACAGTAGCAGAGATCTATTCCTACGAGCTTTGGATCTTGTGCAAGACAAGCCGAATCTGTCGCCTACGTCATGATAGACAGTGTGTCAGAATTCCTCAGCGAAAACCAAAGCGAGGAAATGCGTCGAGACTGGAAACACTTACTTAGTCGTGAGGAACCCCACGAGTTAGAGGAGCCATAGGACTCTGAGACAGAAGTCGCCTATGCTGGAGCATTGAGTTTATTAGGGGGGATATGGAAGACTATGAGGAGCGTTTGCCGCAAACTCATCGTTTTCCCTATGCTTCTACATAAAAGCTTCGCCGATATGGCACAGGAGCTTCGGCCCGAGGCCCGCGTCGTACTCGCACACTACTTCGCCCTTCTATCAACGGCCAGCAAGAGCCGGTGTATAGGCGACTCCGGGTTTAGGGAGGTTCGAGCAATTTGCCAGAATGTGCCACAAGAATTGCAGAGTTTACTTGATTGGCCAAAGAAAATATTGCTGGAGCAAGTTGTACCTTTGGACGAAATATAACAGCGACAGTTGAGGATGTAGCCTGATATGAAATTACGTGAGAACCTTAAGTTGTTAGTCGTGATCGTTGACACCAGTGTAACTCCGCCACTACACTATCATCATCGCTTACACCTGCTCCAGGTTACGTATGATTGGTCGAAAGCTGATCTCGTCGAATTCGTTTCCTTATTGGGATTCGACATCGAAATTGGCTTCCATAATGAAGAAAGGCAGCGTTGAAGAGGCAGCCAGAAATGGAGTTGTGGAAATAGTATAATAATGTAGGAATAACCGTGCTCTTGGCAGTTTTATCGAGACAGTCATCACAACTCACTTACAACGATCTCCATCTGTTTCCTCCTTTCGAAATGACCGACTCTATCTCAGCGGCTAAACTGGCCATTTACATTATTCTCCTTCAACCTGCTCTATATTGCCTATTCAAGCATGGAAAGACTGGATTTATAGGATGGCTCTACGTCCAGATATTCTGTGTACTCAGGATTGTTACCGGCAGTATTGGTCTTCATGAAACTAACAGCTCAACTGGGTCAATTATACTGAACAGTATTGGCCTTTCTCCCTTGCTGTTGGCTGCTTCTGGGATCTTGCACGAGGCGTAAGTATCATACACTGCCACTGCTCTCTGACTTGACTGACTAGCAATTGTTTAGTCGACGTGGAACAAACCCTAGACTCAGCAGAAAACTCGATATCATTCTCGAGATCAAGTATCATGGCCTAGTTGGAGCAGCCATGGCCCTCATCATCGTGTCTGTTGTCGGTTTACAGAATGGCGACTCTGTTTCAACCAACAAGACCTTGCTCAAGGTTGCTTCTGCACTCATTGCATTAGCATGGTTGCTTCTCGCGATCTGGGCTTTGTGGTCTCTCGGAAAGTGTCAAGAGTCATCTACAAACAACCGTGTATCTTCGTTTCGCGGCGGGAAGCTAGTAAGTCGAATCCTCCGCTATCACCAAATGGGAGAACTCAGTACTGACACTTCCAAGCTTATGTATGCAGTCTTTATCAACCTCCCTCTCCTTGGATTGCGCCTTGCCTATGGTATCGCGTATCTCCAGCTCAAGATCTCACATCCAACTTCGGGTTTCTTGACCTCGAAAGCAGTTCAAGTCTGCCTGAGTGTTGTACCGGAGATGCTGATTACGACTATCTTCCTCCTGGTTGGAGTCATGACTAGAAATCTGAAGCATGAGATCAAAACACTTGACTCTGCTCTTCCGGTTGGCGACGGGTACGAGATCCAAAGGTGACTAACAGAGGCGTAGTGATGAGCGCACTGTCTATCATGTTGAACAAGATATGGGGTTTCGATAGATTTGTCTGTAACGGAAACTCAGGGCCAGAGACCTCTACCAATGATGTTGGTGTAAGTGGGAGGAGATTATTTTGTACCCTTGTGTATCAATGTAGAGTTTATTATTTTTTAGAATAGTAGTTTCTTTTGACGAGCATAAACCATTGTCATTTTCAGATACCTGACTGCTCCGATACTTCTCATTAGAAATAGATATCCCATGGCTCTGTTCCCATGAGCAATTGACTCATGATGAAAAAGCAGAAGGTCGCCGATATACGGAGGATGGAGACAAAGCTGAAGCCGTGCCCCATCGATGAGGTCAAATGATGATGTATTTATTTCCAGGGGTAGCTCTACTAAGCGAGCGAATACCTGCTTGGACCCTGACCTAACAACGAGACCCTGTTTTTAAGCAGTCAATGCCATCGGGAAACTCGGCGAATCTGATTCTGTCTTGTCCCCGAGATTGTAAAACTTTCCGAAAACCCAACGTCACTGCAGTTAACCTATAATAATTTTTTTGGCTTGAGCTTTATGATGGGATTTCTTTCGGTTTGTTGAGGTCTGTCTGTATCGTATGTCATCATGCTATGTGATATCCTTGCTAGTAAGATGGGCATGGTGGATATATCGTGCCATGATAGATTCCTGGGGTCACTGTATCTGGGGATGAAGACCACAGTGAAAGCAGAAATTGTATCTTTTCTTCAGTCCTCGACATTATGACACAAAACTTTTCATATCATGGGTTCAAAATTTACATCATAACTTGTTTTGATCGGCGACTACCGGACGGGCCGGAGTTGTTAAACCCGGGCTGGCTCCGCTTCAGCTCCGAAGCTTCGGCGTTGGCTCTCCGTACTGCGAATTCGCCCCCCACGGGGATCTCAGGTCTCGAGATGAACCGAGTGAATTCGGCCGCAGCGGACTCGAGAAGAGCTGAATAGGTAATATGTCTTGCTTGCTAATCTTGGCCCTACTCTCGCCTTATGAGTAGTCACACCACTTATGACAAGCCAGAAGTCGCGCAATTGCTGGCGGGGGAGGGGTCCAATTTAGACATCTATAGAGCTTAGTTAGGTCACCTGGCAATTGGATTGTGTCAGTGGAGGCTCGTGCATGAGGTGGGATCTAAATGTGATATAATATCTCAGCTTCACCCTCTTCCTTTTCCCAACCATACTCACACAATTGAACAAACATACCACTACTTAAACAATTACACACAAAAACACACAACAACCTATGCCATACATTCTACCTGAAAACCACACTTACCTTCCATCCCCCTACAAGCTACGGAACCAACCCATCATGGCTCCCTCAGTCTACATCCTCCTCCAGCGCGATACAGAGTCCAACGTCACAGTTACCTCTGTATTCCTCGATCTTCAAGACGCCAACGCTGCTCTGCTCCACACAGCACAAGAAGCTGGCGTTGACCCTGCGAGCGCCAAGCCCGCAGACGGAGACGCCAAGGACTCACTCACCAAGGCACCGCTGCGATGGGAGGCAGCCGATGGAACAGCGGCTTGGGTTGAGCGACACACCGTGACGAACAGAAAGGTTCAGGCGCCGGGTGCTGAGAAGCCCGGGTTGAAGAGGAATGATAGTCGGCTGTACATCAACGATGACGATGATATCATTGAGGTTGCGGACCATGATGGACACTACGATTAGGGGAAAAGATACTGGATATTATGCGATTAATGTGGAGGAGTTTGTCGGTATCTTACGGGGCGGGATATAAAGCGAGGGGAATATGGTGGAGGTCATTGGTCACGATCATGGCCAGGGGATAACATGCTAGACAGCATAGGATAAATCGATTTTAGCCGCATTTAAATAGCGATGCTTTATCAATTTTGGAAACAATTTCTATACAACTTCTTCTAAGACTCTCTTCCTGTGATATTCTAAACTTGAAATCTATGCGACTGTGAAACAAACACCACATTTACAGCTTCGCCTTGGGAGCGCTCATCATTGTCTCGGCAACGATTCTTCGCTGGATCTTGCCAGTCGCGGTCTTGGGCATGATCTCGGTGAAGTAGATCTAAGACACTGTTAGCACTTCCACTCTCTACGTGTAGAGCATATTGAAGGGAAGCTCACCTTCTTGGGCACCTTGAACTTGGCGGATCGCTCAGCGACCCAAGCCTTGAGCTCCTCAGCAGTCAACTTCTCGCCATTCTTGAGAACAACAGCAACACCAATATCCTGACCGTAGACCTCATCAGGGATAGCAAAGCTGACAGCCTCGCTGATCTTGGGGTGACGGGTCAAGACATTGTCCAGCTCAATAGGGCTGATCTTCTCACCGCCCTTGTTGATAAGCTCCTTGATGCGGCCGGTAATGATGATATAGCCATCCTCGTCCTTCTTGCCTTGATCGCCGGTTCGGAAGAAGCCGTTCTTGTGGTAGGAAGAAGCATTGGCGGAAGGGTTGTTGAGATATCCCTTGGTGACGTTCTCGCCAATGATGCAGATCTCACCCTCGGAGCCTTGAGGAACCTCCTCACCCTGCTCATTGAGAATTCTAACCTCGACGCCCTGACCAATACCAACAGTTCCAGCCTTTCTCTTAGCGGGAGGAAGAGGGTTAGATGTCATCTGATGAGCAGCCTCAGTCATGGCGTAGGCCTCGAGAACGGGGGCGTTGTAGGTCTCCTCAAGCTGCTGGAAGACAGTGGGTGACAGAGGGCTAGAGCATGATCGGATGAAGCGAATCTCGGGCTTGGGGCTGGGAGGAGGGTTCTTGAGCAGGATCTGGTGGATGGTGGGAACGGCAGTGTACCAGTTGGCTTTGTGGGTGTTGAAGTCGGCCCAGAACTCGGAGGCGGAGAACTTGGTGGGAACGACCATGGAGCCACCGGTGAGGAGAGGAGCGAGGAGAGCGCAGAGAAGGCCGTGGACGTGGAACAGAGGCATGACCAGCATGGTTCGGTCCTTGGATGTGAGTTGGTATGTGTTCTTGATGTTGTCTGTGAAAAGAGTTAGTCAATGAAGTAAGATGAGTGTGGTATAGCGTACTCATGGTTCGGGTCAGGTTGCGGTGAGTGAGAGGGACCTGTCCATGTGAGTATAAGCTGTCAATGAGAATCACAAGTAAATCTACTCACCACCTTGGGTCGCGACGTAGTGCCGCTGTCAATTTGTTAGTTATGAGCTTATCATAGCTATCATGAGAACTTACCTGGTGTGAAGGATAAGAGCAACATCATCAGGCTCAGCTGTGAGAACCTTCTCCTTCCTGCCCTTCAGAAGGCCATAATCCTTGACATCGAGCGCAACCTCACCCTTGGCAGCATCCCAATAACACTCAGCAACGGCAGCGTTAAACTTTTTAGCAGCCTTCACACTGGCCGCACCAGCAGCCCAAGCTCCTTTGGGAACAAGCACGATGGCGCTCTTGACATCTTCGATGTAGAACTCAAACTCATCCTGCTTATAAGCCGGGTTGAGAGGCGCCGCGATACCGCGCTGCCAAGAAGCAGCGAGGAAAGAGACGATGAACTCGTACGAGTTGACGAGCGCGATAGATACGGGCGCGGCTTTTGTGATGCCGAGGTCGGCGAGCTTGCGCTGAAAGGCGGACACGTCGGCCTCGAGGTTGGAGTAGCTGATGGTGAGAGCCTTGGGCTTGGATGGCACGATAATGGCCTCTGCGAGCGGATTGCTCTTGTCAATGGCTGTTTGGAGTGTGAGTGCCATGGTGATCAAGTGAGATTGAGGTTTGGTCTTGGCAGGGGTATCGCTGATACGAAGAAAAGACACGACAATGGCTGGAAAGGACAACAACTGATGATGAAGAAGTAGAGTTGAGAGAGCGGTTTTAGATAGTAGCAACGGTCTGATAGTTTTAGTTTCGCATAGGGGAATTTTAGGAATAGTTTACATGACGTGCTACTGCTGTTACTGCTACTGTTACTGCTGGGCCATGTCCCGGGGGTCGTTCGGCTTCCATCCGAGCCGACCACCCGCCGAACTATGTCCACTGCCAAGTGGATTATCAGCCAGTTTTACGCGTCTCTCTTTTCTTGGTTTTGGGTCCTGAGGTCAGTGTTGCCTTAGAGATGCATAGGCGAAATATTCTGAAGCAGATTGTCATAGAGGACCCTGTGTCATCATAGCCCCTGAGTCTGATTACTGCTTGGCTGCTGGGCATTGATCTTGCGGTGTCGAAGCTGTCAGACAAGAGCACTAGTATATCTAGCATGGATATATCTTGTTTCTAGATTTGTTGCATTGGTATAAATTGGATATGGTGATGCCCGATTCGACCCCTGATATACCCATCATGACACATTTCTAGAACAAATTCGACAGTCAAGACGTCAAACTGTCTGTACCTACATGAATGCGACTCTGACAAAGGTTTATGCGGCTCAGACCGGGAATCGGCAAAGTCTTCCCAAGCCTAAATTGAGAAGATCTCGGGCTTGCTCCAAAAGACTCTCCATAAATTCCTAGCATGGCGTCGAGCTGGGGCGCATGATGGGGGTGCCGGGCGCCCCCCAATATCTCTTTATTGGCGGGGTTTTAGGCTCTCAATGCTGCAAATTAGGGGCGCTAGAGCCTAAACTGACCACCTACTCCATACCTGCAGGGTGGGGCATGTTCTATCGGCTGCCCACGCGGCGCGGTGCGGCGGCGCCTTCTTCCTTCTTCGTTAGTCTACTCTTCAATTGAAGTTACCTTCCATTTAGTTACCTTATACTGTATCCTCATAAGCTGCGCCTCATCTTCCCCCGCTATCGCTGGCTGTCATTATCCATTATAACCTCACTTTTACAAATAACTACCAATTCCAAGCTTATTTCCATAACTCAGGCCGTTTCCTCTCGATACATCCTCGGCCTCGAATCTGCGATCTCGTACATGTCTCCGTCTCATCCGCGCCGACCGATTACCCCCCGCTCCTGAGATCGATTTGAATACACACGTTGCCCATCATGGCTGAGGTGGACGCGATGCCCACCTTTGGCTCAGAGCTCAAGGTTGGTTGCCTACTTGACTAAAGATAGCCCGTTGTTCATAATGCATCATTATGGCCTCCTTTTTGCCTTGCGCCTGCATTGGAAGCTCCTTTCACATGCTCTCCCAACATTCGCATGGCTAACAAACATCTTCCTAGGATGGCTTCAAACCCGCGAATGCATGGCTCGGTCATGGCATCGCCTGGCTTGAAGATATACAGCAATTCTACCGCGAGCGCGCAGCTATTGAGAAGGAATATAGCGCAAAGCTTACAGCACTTGCCAAAAAGTACTTTGACAAGAAGAACAAGAAGACGGCCCAGCTTAGTGTAGGAGACACTCCTGCCATGACGCCCGGCTCGCTCGAGAGGTACGAACACAATCCCCCATGAGTTGGCTTGAAAGCATACGCTGATCACTGTGCGACAACTCCAGTGCTTCTTTGACCACATGGACAACCCAGCTTACGACGCTCGAATCCCGCGCCAACGAGCATGACCGATACGCCAACAATCTTATTTCCCAGGTCGCCGAGCCGCTCAAGTTCTTTGGCGGCCGTTTCGAAGAATTGCGCAAACGACACTCCGACTACGCCACCAAGCTCGAGCAGGAGCGCGATGCTTCATATGCCTCACTCGCCAAGACAAAGGGTAAATACGACACTGTCTGCCAAGAGGTTGAGTCTAAGCGTAAGAAGACCGAGTCGCATTATGACAAGGCCAAGGCTCAGAATGCCTACCAACAACAGCTATTCGAGATGAACAACGCCAAGAACACTTATATCATTGCGATCAATGTTACCAACAAGCAGAAGGAGAAATATTACCACGAATATGTTCCCGAGGTTATGGATAGTCTACAGGATCTTAGCGAGTTTCGAACGACCAAGCTGAACAGTCTTTGGACTGTTGCGACAAACCTCGAGTCTGACATGCTGCAACAAAGCAACGGCATGGTCCAGCACCAAGGCACCGAGATTCAGAGGAACTTGCCCCATCTCGACTCCATGATGTACATCCAACACAATATGGGAGCTTTTAACGAACCACCCGACAAGCATTTCGAGGCCAGTCCTGTTTGGCACGATGATGGCACCATGGTAGTTGACGAGACCGCAAAGGTCTTCTTGCGCAATGTCTTGGGCAAGTCCAAGTCGCAACTAGGAGAACTACGGAGGGAGGTTGATAAGAAGCGACGAGAGGTTGAAAGTCTTAAACAACTCAAGCAACGAGTAAGGGAAGGAAAAGAGAAGAAGGACGAGGTGGAAGTTGTTCGCATACTCTTCTCAATGCAGGAAGATCTGCATTCTATTGATCGTCAAAGACTGACGGCCGAAGTCGAAACTTCGACAATCACATCTGTGGTGGGTGATGTGACGTTGGGTGCGAAGAACCACAACTTCAAGAGTCAAACGTTCAAGATACCCACGAATTGTGATTTGTGTGGAGAGAGAATCTGGGGACTGAGCGCAAAGGGCTTCGATTGTCGTGACTGCGGCTACACATGCCATAGCAAATGTGAGATGAAGGTGCCCCCTGACTGTCCTGGCGAACAGTCCAAGGATGAGCGCAAGAAGCTCAAGGCCGAACGCCAGGATGCCGCGAATAAGCTACTCAAGCCCAGTGCCACGATGACATCGGTGCATTCTAATGCTTCAGATGGACCCGAACTCACCCGTTCCAATACCATGACGTCTCTAAGCTCTCACTCAGCACGCCCATCTCTATCGGGATCCATATCTGGGCAGCTCAGCCCATCGGAGGAAACACCACCAGACGCAGGACGGCCAAGCATGTCTTCGGCCAAGTCATCTGGCACTATGCGCAAGAACAGAATCATGGCGCCTCCACCAGCAGCTTACATCACAGGTTCAGGCGCCGGTGAGACAAATGGTGGCACAAAGGAGGAGAAGAAGGGCAAGATGCTGTATGCATTCGAAGCTAGTGGTGAGGGTGAACTTACAGTACATGATGGTCGAGATGTGGTACTGCTGGAACCTGATGGTAAGTCTGAACCCCTGATACCCTAGTGACGACATCTGATTGTATTATAGACGGCTCTGGCTGGGTCAAGGTTCGAGCGGGCTACAAGGAAGGTCTCGTTCCCTCATCATATGTCGAATTCACCACCGTTACGACACCGGCTGCTCCCGCTCCCGCAGCCCGACCATCATCTACTTATTCCACCTCAACAACATCCTCCCTAGCACCATCAACCAAGAAGAAGGGTCCCGCAGTAGCGCCCAAGCGCGGTGCAAAGAAGCTCCGCTACGTAGAAGCTCTATACGAATACACGGCACAGGCTGAGTCAGAGCACTCCATGGCCGAAGGCGAACGCTTCGTCCTCGTGCAGGATGACCCGGGTGATGGCTGGGTCGAGGTCGAGAAGGCGGGCGTCACGGGAAGTGTGCCTGCGAGTTACGTGCAGGCCGTCTAGAGAACGAGCAGGGGTTGCAGATGCGGGTTTTGTCGGCGCACGATTAAATCGACTTGAAAGAAGCTCCATCCTTACCTTGTACCCATTTGGTTTCTCAAGCATGAGGCCTGGTTCGAATGTATATATGAAGCGGGCAAAGCGGAGCTGTATGATTGGGATTCTGTTTCAAACTTCTACCCAAAAGAAGGAGAAGAGAAGAAACGATTAAACAGGAGCTGTATATTTTGGGTTAAGGATGCATTCGTGGGGAATAGGTACATAGTGCATGAATTCGGGGTTCAAAATGGAATATATGCTGAGCCGCATGGCATCGGTATGAGCTTACGAAGCAATTTGTGGTGTCTTTGCCACCCTACCGAAGTTTCCGGAAATTAAGAGTCATAGCATCACGAGCACAGAAAAAAGCCCTAGGGAAAGTTTAGAGGACGAAGAGCTTGATTTGAAACATGAGAACTCTAATCGTGTTCAGATAGGAGAAGAAAAGGGATGTTATGGCATCCGTCTAGTATATTACAGGGGTATTACAGATAAAAAAGCTCAACCGTCCGACACCATTGGTTCATTTCTCATGCATACTGCCTGGTATACGATCCCGTTTCCTAGCCCCTAATCCATCAGCCATTCTTTCATTGATCATGTAAAGTGTGCGTGTGCATTGTATTTGTGTATCAAACAGGAGGGGGATATCATTTCTTTCAGTTCCAGTACCTTGGAATAAACGCCGTGCCAAAAAATTGAGAGTAAAAAGTGTGCAGAGTCATGTCAAGACTCATACTTGATGTGAAACCATGAGCCCCATGCATAAAGCCGAACGCCGAGTGGAGTGTGTATAAGTTGAGTGAAAGAAGATGGAGCTGTCAAGGAATGAATTTCCCGAGAATATCAGGAATTTGCCTGGTCCAGATCGCTTGTGATGATGCTCAGACCTTGATCTCCTGCTTATGGTCCATTGAAGTTAGGGACTGCCAAAGGCAAGATTGGATCCTAGATCATCTGTGCAGTGGGAGCTCCCAGGGTATGTCCGAGACCTTCACGCAGAGCGTCCTGCAACTCGGCGATCTGGGCCATCATAGACAGAGAATGTTGGGAGTTTTGGTTCATCTCAGCCCTCAGCTTCTCATTCTCCTCCTTCAGGCGTTTGACTTCTTCTCTGAGTTCGGTCAGCTCCTCAGTGGCCTGCTCGCTCGAGTGGCGTTTGCGCTTCATGCCCGTCTTTTCGCTGTCGTTGTCGCCGGGTGATTGAACGATTTCGGTAGGAGTAGATCCATCAGGATTGGTATGAACCCGACGTAGGTGCTCGTTCAGGTTCTCCTGTCTTGAGAATCCCTTGCCGGTGTGTCGCTTGCAGTTGGGATGAGGACAGTTGACCGTGTTCTTGGGTCCTCCATGTTTGCCATGAACCTCTCGTTCATGCCGAAGCAAACCGCCCGAGTATGTAAAACCGGGGAGATTTTCGCATCCCTCGGCAGGGCATCGGTACGGCCGTTCATGCTTGTCCATGTGCTTGCTGCAAAATAGTTAGCAAAATGTTACTAAGTGCGAAATTCGGGTGGGAACTTACTTCCACTCGCATTTGCGCGAAAATACTCGAACTTCTTCCTTACAATCGTCCAAGGTACAGTGAAACTTGCCGTCGGCGCCCTTTACCGCTTCTCTCTCGGGCTTTGGAATGGACTTCACTCGAGAAGACGAAGGAGGAGGAGATTCGATACTCGGGGAAAGATCTTTGTCGTCGGGTAGAGGGTCGAGTGATGGTGCTTGCATAGCGGCCTCGATCGGGGACGGGAACGTATGGGATCCTAGGTCGAGTCGGGTTGCTTCCTGGACAGCAGCAGCATCCTCTGGCATCATCCCTCTATCATCTCCCAGAACGCCTGTGGAATCCGGAAGCATGGACGCCTCGGTTGTGTAATGACTGAGTTGCTCGGCGACATCACTGTCTGTAAATCTTTGGTCCGCACCATGATCGTGGTCGTCGCCGATGGGAGGATAGCTCCCATCATGAATAAAGTTACGAGGTTCGAATGCGACACTCATGGTGCCTGTGAGTGACTGACGTTGCTTTGCGACAATCGGAGGCGACGCAAGAATCGCGGTCGCAGGAGTTTGTAATCGAGTGGCGCGTGAATTAAAAGCGGTGCTTGTGGTCGGGGGGCGAGACTGCGCTTTATAGAGGATCGTAGGCGAGAGTTGGTGTTGAGTGATAGAGGAGGCGTAATTGTAAATCGTTATGCCGACGACTACTTGCTCGGTTCGGGTTGGTTATGATGAATGAAGCTTGAAGGTTGGAGGCCTGAAAATTCTGGTATGAAAAAGCGGAAGGCTACGGGTAGAACAAGGTGGAGTAAAATGTGACGAGTGCTAGGATTAGTCAGAGTTAGCACGTGACATCGCGTGTGCGTGGCTCAGCAAAAGCAAGTATTGTGGCGCCGACAGATCCGAGTTGTTGGGCGAAAGTTTGTTGCGAACACGACTTTATTAGTATTTGACTGTTACTCCAGGCAGACAACGGGTAAAGATGACTCGATACGGCAGGTCCCATAATAAGCAAAGTCCTTGGACTTATGCGGAACCGTTAAAAATCGTGACTCACGCGCCGTGCCTCTTTTGGTGGCGTCGCATAATGGAGGCGTGGGGAAGTGCAAGGCTACGACGACGACTAACAGCACGCAGGTAGACTTCCTTGTGTGTCCGCCCATTAATCGTATTCGTTGCCTTTTCTGATCTTCGCTCGAAGATAGTATAGTTAGGCATGAGGCTGTGCGGGCCGCGTTTATGGATCCTTTGCAGATGCATTCCGATAGGATCTCGTGATCTTGTTCACAGTCTCTGGATTTTAAGCCAACTTTGCTTATTGGAGGATCCGTATCATCTGCCAGGATTTTCCAAGTTCAAGTCCGTGACGTGCACTGAGAAGTGACTTGTCCGACCCTGGCTCTTAGGACTCAATAGGCGTCAGGCTACTACCGTTCAAGTCGCTAACAGCACAGTGAGGGATCTCTGTTTCCGAATAGTGCGCACTTACTGGGCATGAGATAATCAGATAAATCAAGGCAGCTTCCAAAAATGGATGAAGCATACGATGACTGGTGGCCTCGTCCAAGTTGGTCTCCCATAGGTGCCTGACTCATCGTGCCAGGTTGGTGTTGGTTGTGAGGCCTCACAACCTTATTTTCCAGGTGGTAATAGTCGAACATAAGGTGGGCACCTTTGTCCAACGGGAACAATATCAAAGGGGATGAATGTATCAACGTCTAGACCATTGAGTCTTGAACGGGACATGTCGTGGTTTGCTAGATAGACGGTCCAAATCAATGCTAGTTTGCGACAGGCTTGCGACTATCAGCGTATCGCAGACTTTGGCGTGGAGTTGTTGCGTATGTATCAGAGCACCAGCATGTGGGTGGCACAAGCAGATGACGCTGGTGGTGACGACGATAATCCCAAGTGAGGCATTGGCGAGACTACCGAAGATCGATGAGCTCGCTAAGGATGAGGGTCGGTTCGTAACGAGTAAGGAGTAAGGATTCTGCCGATTCAATAGCATTTGAGTCGCAGATGATCCCTGGTGGTGACGGTTTTGGGTGTTGAGAGAGGGGAAATTGAAAATGGGTGAGAATTTGGAGATTCGGGCGCCTTGTCGTTTAGATTAGGGACGGGACGGGAAGGAACGATCTGAGTTCTAAGGCATTTGTGCATTTACACCAGAAATATGAGGTTGAACCTCAGGTTGAACCATTCAACGACGGGATGCAACCTGACATGGGCCAGGCCTAAAGCAGCTAATGCTGAGCTTGCGAGGATCAACCATGGCCATGAGCCACACGAATTATGCGTATCGTTATTGGTTTATTACGACGATCAGAGCTGATCTCAAGAACCTTGTCAGAGCTTATCAATTGAAGAAATAAAAAGGATCGTATTTGAAGGTTCCTTTTAACCTTAACCCTTGGGCAATACCAAACCCGCGGACTCATCATCTTCTCTGCCCACAGAACGGTTTGAGGGGTTGAGGCCCAAGCGGATGGAATGTTATCAGTATGGATAACAGCAAAACCTCATGTCGGACATTTGTCTTCCGTCTTATGCTTGTGTTACTGAACCAGAAGCATTCCCCGCTCTCAGTCCTCAGACCCAACAGAGACAATTGGTTCGACAATGCGATAACTAACGCCTCTATATGAAGTGGCTTTCGGCAAATGTCCTTGTTCACGGTGCTCCAACAGTTTGCTGTGTTATGATGTGAAAGCCTTCATCTGTGCATTTCCTGAATCTGCTAACCCCTGATGATTATTGATCTAGGTCTTACGCCTCAATATGTGAACAATACTCCTGGCATAAGCCACCAGAGTTCACGGTGTTGGTTCAATTAACGCACAGGTCTATAAAGAAGATGTGATTTCTCCCTCTCGTCCTCCATACCATACTCACGCGCAATTCAATACTCTGTCAAACAGTCCATCATCACTAAACACCATGTCTCTCGGAAAACTCACTACTTGTCTCTGGTTCGAGGACCAAGGCGAAGAGGCAGCAAACCACTACGTCTCAATCTTTGCCCCTGATTCCAAGATCAACAGCATCCAACGCTACACTCCCGCCGGTCAAGACCAACACGGTCAGGAACCCGGAAGGGTCATGGTTGTCGAATTCGAGCTCCGAGGCCGTTCCTTTGTCGCTCTCAATGGCGGTCCAGCGAAGTGGAAATTCAGCGAAGCCATTTCTCTCATGATCGACTGCAAGGATCAGGCTGAAGTTGATCACTTCTGGGAGAAGCTCAGCGAAGGTGGTGATGAGGCCCGCCAACAGTGTGGATGGTTGGCCGACAAGTTTGGAGTTGCTTGGCAAGTCGTGCCCTCAGCGCTCAAGGAGATGATGGGGTCTGAGGATAAAGCTGCAGCTGGAAGAGCGACTATGGCTATGATGAAGATGAAGAAGTTTGATATTGCTGAGTTGGAGAAGGCGTACAAGGGCTGATGTACACAAGGCGAAGCTGCCAGTAGGCAATTTGATGTACCCCATTCCTAGCTGTGATATCTATCATAGTATCCATATAAGATGATGTTATTATTTGGAGAGTCGCAAAGATTGAGCCTATGATTGGACTAAACTATCTTCGTTACAAGAGTCGTTGGACCCTGGCTGCAGGCACTTTGCCTTCCCCCAGACATCAGATCAACGGATGCAAAGCCGAGAGTACTCCGGACTGCACCGAGCATTTCTAGAATACCAGACACTGCCTTTAAGCCGAAGATGGGCTAACAGAGATCACGCTGTCGTTTTATACAAGTTTGAATGACTATTGCTGTTCCGATCGTCGGTGTTGGACTCGGTAGATTGCCGAATAAGCTCTTACACGGTGGTAGTACCGAGGCGGCTCTTATCGGGCCGTGTCGCATCCGGAGCTTTGGAGCTTTGGAGCTTTGGAGCTTTGGAGCTCTATAGCTACAATTGTTGAGATATAGTTCTCATCTCTGAACTAATCACCTTTCCTCTGATGTCTATAGGTCACCAGTCACTCAATTGATACAACATTATCCGTGTCTCTTCATATTCAGGTCCGGAGTGACTAAAAACCAGCCGATCACGTTGGCAGAGTCTACGGACAAACAAGAAGGGTTGGGTTAAGGGTTGATAATTAGCTCTAAGTAGCCGCATTTAGTGGGCTATAGCTACCCCAACCAGCAAAAGCTATCCCCCAAGAGTAAATCTGCATCGGTTTTAGCGGCCTAGATCGGCTCACAAACCACGGATCTCATCCAATAATCGATTCGGACCCTCAACTTTTTTTCTTCCATTAATAAATCCCCTCCACCCTCTTTCTATTTCCTCTTCCCCTCGACATCAGTTTCTTCTTCATCTTTACCTTTGTGAAAGACTATAAAAACCCTCTCGACTGGCATTGCCTCTCTTCCTATTCAATCTGCTGTCGTCACCTGCAATATCTGAATCAGACTTATAGCACGCTCCTCCATTGCTTTCAAGTCTTGTACTTCCAATGGCAGAGTCAGCTCATAGCTCGCTCGCCAGTGGTGGCCAGCATGATGACCCCGCATCCAAGCCTCATCTTGCTTCTACTGGGCTTGAGAATCAGGAAGAGGGAAATGCCCGAGAGGGTGATTATGATGTTGAGACGGTAGAGCGTATCTACAGGTTTGTGGCCAACCTCTCTGAGATCGACGTATGGCTTACCAGTTGAATTACAGAAAGATTGATCGCCGTATCATTCCTGGTAAGTTTCCTTTGTACTACCTATGAAACCATTCACTCATCATGTTGCAGCTTTTTGGGTCCTCTATTTCCTCTGCTCAGCCATCAGGTCCAACATTGGTATTGCCCAAACCATGAACAAGGACAAGGGACACGATCTCATGACTGTCCTTGGAATGACACCAAAGGATGTCTCGACTGCTCTCGCTCTCTTCTACGTCGCCTATGTCATCTTTGACTGTCCCTCCAATCTTATCATGAGCAAGCTCAGCCCTCGTCTTTGGATGGCACGCATTGTCTTTGCGACCAGTGTTATTGGCACTTGCTTCGCTGCTGTCAATGATCCCTGGAGTGTGAAGCTGCTGCGATTCTTGCTTGGACTCGTCATTGCTGGCATGTGGCCTGGTATGGCCTTTTATCTCACTCTGTTCTACCCTCCTTCGCGTACTGGACAGCGAATCGGCTATTACTTCACTGCTTCTCAAGTTTCTGCCGCTGTTGTTGGTCTCGTGTCTGCGGGATTTCAACTTATGGACGGAGAGAGAGGTATTGTGGGTTTCCGCTGGATGTTCATGGTTTATGGCCTTGTTGGTGTCGTTCTGAGCGTTATCCTCCTGTGGTGGCTTCCCGATCGCCCTCTTGCACCTGGCCAGACCAGACCCAAGACTGGTATCTTCAAGTGGCTCCCTGCTACTCCCGAAGTTCTCAAGGGTCAAGACGCTGTTATCCACTACCATGACCTTCGACGTGTTTACCACGCTCGACCCTGGAACTTCAGGGACCTAGGTCTTGTCCTGATCGACTGGCGCCTGTGGCCCCTGACTATGATGTACTTCGGTGTTGTTGGCGTCGGCATCGGCACCCAGATGTACGGATCCGTCATCATCGCATCCATCCGACCTGAGGCCAGCGGCGTCGAAGTGAGTCTGCTCTTTGCGCCAATCTGGATTATGGATCTCATCGCCATCCTCATCGTCACTCCTATCTCGGACCGCTTCCACCGATCTCGCCCTTACTTCTTCTCCGCTGCTGTCTGCATCCAGATCGCCGGCCTTCTCACCACTACTCTGGCGACTAGCAATGGATGGGCTCGATATGGAGGCCTTCTGATGGTCGGTTTCGGCCTTGGTCCCACTGTCCCTATTTGCATGGCTTGGAGCTCTGAGATCTTCCAGAAGCGCCATGGCGAAGTCGGAGTTGCTGCCGCGACTGCTCTCGTTTCTGGTCTCGGCAACCTAGGCAGTGTCATGACAACTTATGCTCTTTATACTGGCTGGCCTGAGGACGCCGCCCCTGGCCCTCACCAATACCGTAAGAGCAACTACACCATGATCGGAATTCTGTGCATGAGCATTCTTAGCTCATTCGCGATGAAGGCTCTTCTCACATGTTTCGGCAATCCAGCCAGCAGCAAGCTTCAGTCAGACTCGTCCAGTGAGTTTGAGGATGGTGCAGCCAGACGAGAGGGCCAGGAGCGAGGTTTCCGATCTCTTCCTTGGAAGAAGTCGAGCCGCGTTTAAATCTACGGGACTCCTTGGATTCGTCCGCCTGGATTACATCTTCAACAATCGCCCTGGCTGACGTCTCTTAACTGAGCAGCTGGCAGTAGCCCAACCTGCTAATTCAGCTGCCTGTATCAACATGGCTATTCACTCATGATACGCCTTGACGACATTCACTTCTCATCCTCATCCGGTAGGGATCGATCGTTACGCCTCAAGGCGTCGCCACATCTTCAATCTGGTACACATACCACCAATATGATGGCCTCGACAACGATTTATGCTTCAGAGAGTCCCTGACCTCGTGACAGCTGGGTGACAATGCTTCAGCGCTATCACCCTGCTCCCCTCGCAAGTCCAGACCCTCTAAGCATTCCCCCATCGGACTATTTTGATCTTTTTACTTTGATATTTACGCACTGTTTTGCTCTTTATTATGATACCCCATCAGCGTTTGTACACGCTGTCCTACGAGTTTCCCCAATTTCCCTCGGCAGCGAAAGTGCTTCTACGCCATCGCTTTGCGGATAGTGTGTTGAACCAGAGCTCGCAGCGACAATGCTTGTTACGCTATCGTTTGGCGAGTTCTGTGGGCGTTTTGTGTTTTATTTATGGTGGGAAGGGTTGTGTATAGCTCTCTGAGCTTGGTTACGAGGATGGCATATTATTCGATCTTTATTATATAGTCTTGGTTAGCATATAATATGAACAAGACATATTGCTGTCCCGCTTTATGCATTCAATGCACTTGGTGACCATTCACAACTTCTATGGGAAACGGGACGTAAGTGGGAATTCTGGCGAGACTATCGTTTGAAACTTCCTTCTATACACTTATGAAGGCCAGTACATACAGGTCACACATCACATCACATTCACATCTGAACCATATTGTCACTGGCAAAGACACGAGATCTCATGAAATGGCGTTCTTTATTCTCTAATCCAGGCGGTACATACATCGTGTTACACGCCCGCAGGCAAAATCATAAGCACATGAAGATAACAAAAGGGACTCAAAAAGTTCAACTCCAAATCTCAATATTTCTCATTTCTCTGCGTACCATCAAACCCCTCGATCACAGAATTTCCAGTCGCAGACGGAAGTGTGACCGTAGGAGGATGACAGTCGCCGCCCTTTGAAAAGAACTCCTTCCCCAAATATCATACCCTCTAAAACCTTTGTGCGTTGTTTTTATCCCAAAGTTGTCTGAAGTTGAATCGAAAAAAGGAAAATGTGGCCAAGCTGCGCTTGTTTACCAGAAGCCGAGCATGCGGCGGAATCGCTCTGGAGCGGGCACGTCGCTGTGAAGACGAGCGGCCTCGACGGTCGCGGTCACGTAGACCGTCTCGGGCTCAGGGGCACGGGTAGTGGCCAGAGTGGTAGAGGCAGGGCAGGCTGTGACGACAGAGGTGATAACCTTGGCGGTCTCCTTGCCAGCACCACAGGGGACAGTGACGGTCTCGGTGACCTGGTTGGTGAGAGTGACAGTCTCGACGCCGACGGTCATGGTGTTGACACCGACGGTGACGTAGGAGGTGACCTGGTTGGTGACAGTCTTGGTGATGACAGTCTCGCCGGCAGCAGGGACGGTAGTCTCCTGGCCGATGGCACCCTCGGAAGTCTCAGCGGGAGGAACCACAACGGTGGTCTTCTCACCCTCGCCGGGAACAGTGACGACACCGGTGCCAGTAGGGACACCGTTGGAGACAGTGATAGCAGTGGTGCTGATCTCACCGTCAGACTTAGTCATGGTGATAATAACTACACCAGTGGAAGTAGCAGTGACAGTCTCGTCAGCCTCGGAGGTCTCAGCACCAAGGGCAGTAGAGCCAACGGCCTCAGAGTCACCGGAGGTCTCAGCAGCAGCAGTGGTCTCAGCAGCCTCGGAGGTAGGAGCAGCCTCAGCGGAGGAGTCGACCTGGGTCTCAGGAGGGACGACACCAGTGCCAGTGGGGACACCGTTAGTGAGAGTGATAGCAATGGTGCTAATCTCGCCATCGGACTTGGTCATGGTGACAACGGTGACAGCCTCAGAGCTTTCAACAGCACCGAGGGCAGTCTCAGTAGCAGCCTCAGAGGTCTCGGCACCCAGAGCGGTAGAACCAGCGGCCTCAGCATCGGAGGTAGTCTCAGCGGCGGCAGTCTCAGTGGTCTTGACAGCACCTGTGGAGGTAGGGCCCTCGATGACGGGGGTACCATCGGAGATAGCGCAAGACTCAGAGACAGTAAGGGTTCGGGTAGAGATGACAACATGGCCGCCAACACCGGGCTTGGTCTTGCCAGTGACCTCAGCGTCAGAAGGAAGAATGACGGAGGCGGTCTCAGTGGACTCCTTGGTGATGGGAGTAGGAGCCTTAGCAGTGGAAGAGGCATCGGCACGGCAAATTTCACGCTGCTTCTGGCAATCAGAGACCTCGAAGTTCTTTCCGGCGTTCTCAGAGCAGTCCTTGAACTGCTTGTCACAAGCGTCAGTGAGAGCCTCGCCGAGCTCAGGGAAGGTCTTCTCGTCAGAGCCGGTACCGACAACGAAGTCGCCCTTGTTGCCACGCTTGACGGGAGGGCAGGCGGCACCAATGACGACGGTGCGGTGGAAGATGGTAACTTCGCGGATGACAACAATGACAGGCTTGTTCACCTTGCTGACAACAGCGCTGCTGGTAGCGGCCTCAGAAGAAACGGCACCGGGGAGTTCATCAGAACCAGTGGTCTCAGCGCCAGCGGCAACAGTGGTGTTGGCGAAAGGTCCGGGCTGAGTGGCGACAGTGCTCTGTCCCTTTCCAGTGGTGAGGATGATGGTGGTAGGAATAGGAGCCTCAGTCTCAGTGCTGGCGTCAGCCTCATTAGTGGCAGTGTTGGCAGTCTGAGTAGCGTTGTCGATATCAGTGGTCTCCTCCTCGACAGGGGCGGAGGTCTCGGCAGAGGTCTCGGCGGCGTCCTGGGTAGCTCCGGTAGTCTCAAGAGCAGCAGAGGTGTCCAGGGTGGTCTCGCCAACGACTCCAGTGGCAACAGTCTTGGTCTTACCACCAGCACACTTGGTGCAAGGAATGGTGATGGTCTGGTTGACGTAGCGAGTAGTACCACGGGTGATGAAAGAGGTAGGGACAACAGTGGTCACGTCAGCAGTCTGCTCAGTGATGGAACCGGAGTCAGTGGCCTCGGCAGTGGAAAGAGTCTCGACCTCAGTGGTAGCAGCCTCGGAAACGGTCTCGCTGGAAGCCTCAGACACAGCCTCAGAAGTACCAGCAGCTGCGGCATCACCAGAAGTAGTGGCATCAGCAGTGGAGAGAGCCTCAGACTCGGAGACGGTCTCAGACACAGCCTCAGAAGTACCCTCAGCATCAGAGTCACCAGCGGTGGAAGTAGCAGTGCACTTAGAGCAGGGGATGGTGACGGTCTCGTCAACGAAGATGGTTGTTCCGTCGGTGATGTAAGAGGTAGGAATGACAGTCACCTCAGCAGTCTGGTCAGAGACGCTGCCAGCATCGCTCGTGATGACAGTAGTGATAACCTCAGAAGTGACCTCGGCGTCGGCATCACCAGCAGTGGAAGCTGTGCATCTAGAGCAAGGAATTGTGACAGTCTCGTCGACGAAGATGGTAGTTCCGTCGGTGATGTATGAGGTGGGAACAACGGTCACCTCAGGAACATCAGGCACCTCATAAGGGTTGCCAGCAGAAGTCTTGGGCTTCTGACGAGTAACAGTCCTGGTGAGTGTGACCTTCTCCTGGGCAATGACACCCTCAACGAGAGCCTGCAGGCTGACAGCCGCGATAAGAACGTTACGCATGAACATGGTGAAGGAAGTAAATCGGAAAGGCGTAGATTGGTTTGGTGTTTTGTTGATTTGGCAATGAGTGAAAATACTCTATCAAAGAGCAAAGTTGTTGTTAACTTGGAAAAAGGCGACCAAAGCACCTGTCAGAAGAGAACGACTGAGAAAAGAAGCCCAAACCTGGGAACAAAACGGAAAGAGAATGAATGAGAGTTGAATATGAAGAAGATTGGACTCCAAAGAAGCAGCGACAGCTTCGTCTTTAAGAAGGCATCTCGCCTGCCAGTATCAAAGTCCTCAGCGTCAAACTGTGACGGGTGGCGGAGCAAACAGACATCCTTGACATCGATCGGGACTTAATTAAAGTGGTCTCAACATGAGACATGATGGATATGTAGGCGCCCCCTCATGTGCCTTGATTCAGCGAGATTCTAGGATCAGTATACACGAGACGTGGTTCGGAAGCAAGTGGATAACTAAGCATGGACAGATATTACCATATTAGGCTCGAGGGCCTAGGACGAGTTGCCTTGTGGACTGGATGATAGACGTAAAATAGCATGGGCCCCAGATGCAAGGTTCGCGTCCTCAGCAGATAGTGGAGGGATTGATGGCCCCAGTCACCGTCCATCTGGTCATGATGAATTTTATCCAGTAGCCAATGGTAGCCAAGCCAAATAGCTCTCCCATGATGGGGACTTGTTGATGGTTCTATTCGGTTGCCTCGGTACTTTTGGAATCAACAGGCGTTCACCGTTTGTCGGTATACGGCCGACTGTATAACGGTGAAACTATTCCCGCCAGATCCAAAAATAGGACGGGCCAGCACTTGCTGGCAAACAATATGGATGAGACAGCCCATCATGATTATAGAGAAGAGCTAAGTTTGAAGTTGTTTATTCGGTCCAGTGCCGATCCTCCTAGTAATTTAATTTGCCGTTCAAACAGATTCGTTGTTTGTGATGTGACAATGTGATGAGATACAAGGTAGGATGGAAATGAGGTGAGGTAAGGTTAACGGAATAATGGTCAAGGCTAGGTCACTCTAGAAAGGATCGTATGCAGGGATGCGATGCATGGGAATATGCATAAAGTGGATGTTGCAAGGGGGCGGGGTTTTAACGTCGCACCAGAGACATGGGGGAGACAAGGGTTTATCGTTTGCTTTTCCACATGATGGGAATATCAGAAATACGAGTAAATGTTGTATTACAGCACTAAATCATGATATCGATATTATTACTTTCGGATCTCGGTTCAGTTGCATCGTGGTTTTGACGATCTCAACCTGAACCACTTACAACCCACTCAGCCTCTTTCAAGTCTCTTCTCACACAAAACAATGCCAAGTAACAGATCGGACAGACCGTCCGCAAATATTTCCTTTTTAGAGACCAAAGCCTTGGATGACAGATGGAAAGATTGGTGATGCTGAAAGAGACCCTGGTCCAAGCGCTTCGTCTCTTACTGTAGATGAATCAAAACCAAGTTTCATGATTCCCCAACCTTGCCTCGCCCTTGTTTCAGAAACGACTCCACGACCCGAATTGAGGTGTAGAGTTCATGCACTTTGTCTCTGTTTTCACACGAATAGCGCTCTTTCGTCTACACTCAAAACAAGCATAATCTCTTCCTGAAGATGCTGCAATTGCGCCTCACCCTTTTCCCTCCAAACAAACACAGCCCCCCTCCCTCACATCGGGGACATGGTGTAGTAATAGGCATGTTCCGACTGTTTGTATCAAAAGAGTGTTATTTTAGTAGCATGGCCAGTGTGTTTCCGTCAACAAGGATTATAACCAACTTTCTTGGAAATCCTTTGAGGCTCATAACGGCACACACATTTACGCGGATGGGTGCATTTCGGTGATGAGATGGCATTTTCATATAAATTGATTCGAGCCCAGGGTTGAATCAATGCATCAGCGCTACTCACCACGCTTGGATGCCGTTTGCCTTGCGAGAGCCACTCGTTAGATCCCGCTATGATACTGCACGGCCGGATCGCCGCATTTTTAATTTACGTAGCTGCAGCTTCTCATCCTGTTTGCTATTTCCCTGGATCGGCTTGTTTCTGTTTCATGAAACGGGATGGGGGTTCATGATCCTTCGTAATCAATATCAACATGATTTCTGCTCTTGACGCGGCTCGATATGGTTCGAATTACGGGAACTTAGGATTGTGATACCATTTGCCTTGGATGCGGATATCTCGGAAATTGCGTCACTATATGGGCCGTGTATCAATGGAGTTTGTTTTGTTTGAATCCTACGTCTGCTCATATTGAGTTTGATCTTTGAGTTGATGCTCTCAACAACCATCTATCAACACTTGTAATCCCTGTTGTAGAGCCAGCATAGCTGTTATTGGGAACGTCATCGTCGTCTCCATCCTCAAAATTATCCATCCAAGGATGCTCTCGGATTTCTTTTTCAGGGGCAGGGAATCCATCCTCTCCCCGTAGCCATGTGAATATGTTCCGTGTTACCATCTCTGAGTCTTCATCCTCCGAATCAATATCGTCGTAATCAACATCAGCAATCCCGCCACACTCGGTCGTTGGACTACATTTCAAGCGGAACGATGTCGCAGTTTGCGAGCCTTGCTTCCTCGTTGCTTGGTCCCTAGATATCCATGCAAATCCGAGATACACAAGGCGATGATCCTTTCCACAAAGTACATGCTCTCGGGCATCCCAAGTTAGTATCAGTCAGCCTTGTGAATCCAAATGGTTGAAAGGCAACAATGGGGGGGCTGGTATAGAAACTGCCATGGCTCAGGTATAGAACCGGCATTCGTCTGCACGAGAAACTTGAGCTTCAGGCCTGAAAAAGCCGAGATTGGTTCTTGAATGAAAGACATAGGTGTGTCTGTCCAGGCTGCTACCTTGAGGTCTATATTCCACCAAGCTGCTTGAGCCCTTTGCAAACATTGGTGGTGGGCACCTGTCATAAAGGCACCGACCCAAAGGGCACCAATGTCCGGATCGCGTCTGATGAGAGTTCGTGAAAGGGCATTGTCATCGTTGAATTGGTTCAACAATGCAAAGGAACCTTGTAACCAGATGCCACATATGTTGCACTCAACATTGGGTTCGTAGAAGACGCTGCCTAAGAGTGCTTTTATCCCTCTTGGGTTGCAACCGAGGGTAAGGAGCTTGTCGAACTGAGACTTATCCATGCGATATGGCCTGCTGCGGCTGGATTCCCTCCTGCCTTTACCATAAGACAAAACTGGTCTTGATAATTCGATAGACCTACCATCATATTTTGCAACTGGTATTAGCAGAGCGTCCATCAAGGCTACCAGCTTCTGATCTTCGATCTCGTGGAGAGAACAGTAGTCAGACCAGTAACCACGGGCGGCGGCGGATGATGTAGGAGTTCGGACTGCTCCACGGCTTCGTGCTGTGATCTTCTTAGCGATAGGAAATGACTCGTTCAGTACTGGTCGTATGGACCACGGAGAATACAGTGGCTTGCCATTCGGGCCTCTTGAATAGTTGAGTCCCAGCTGCCATCGTTTGACAGAACAGCACTCCACCATTGAGCAGCGTCATCTTCAACTTCGCCAATATCAACCTCTGTAGAAGAATTACCAGTATTCGAGGGTGTTCCGGAGTCCTGGTTGACGTTGCATGACAAGACTGAGATATTTGTGCCTCGTGGATCAACTCTGTCCATCGTGCTGGGAGGATGTATGCCCACGCATGGATCAAGATTGGGATATGGTCTTGCTCTCTATCGTCAGCGCTCATTGGAGTAGCTTTCAAGTTTTTGGGTTTTGGAGTCGCATTAATTTGTGTAGGTTTGTCCCAAGCTACTTGAAATATTGTATCTTGATCAAAAGAAGGTACATGATTCGTATCGGATGTGGCAGCCCAAGTTGATCTTCCTCGAATTATGGCGACATTGGTAAAGACTTGGTCGATCTTGATATCTTTAGGAAATTGAGGATGTTTAGGAAATGCCGTTTGCATGCTTGATAGACAGTCTCCGATAAGCTGGTCGTTGTCGGACGCCAGGTCTCGAATGTTGAGCCATGTTCGGTATCTTCGTTCATACATGGCGCGAACGTCCTGCTCGCTAAGGCGTACTGCATTTTGCATTTCCTAGAATGTTTGCCTTGGTAGGATTTCGAGGATTTTGGAGGTGTTATTTCACGGTCAGTTGGATTGTCTGGTTATGGATCATACAAAACTCCTTTCTCGACAGTTTGTTGGTTGAGATCTATAATGACGTCTTGGTAAGCACCTATCAAAGGACATTCAAAATTTCATAAGATTCTTGCTTTTGGGGGTGTAACTCGAAGCCAATTTTAGAGGCGACGTTTTCCATGTTCAGAACTTTTTATGCCAAAAGAGTGAAAACAACGCGACGAGAGTTGTGTGATACTAATGACATATAGGGAAATTGGCAAGCTTCCACTACTCAGCGTACATGACGCCGTAACCTTCCACTTGCACGCACAATGCAAAAGAAATAACTCAGATCGAGAAAAGAACAACTCCCCTTTATTTCCGAATATCTCTTTGTCAAACAACTCCGCCCAACTATTCCTAATAGGATGGTATGGGGTAAGCTGCAGAAGAGATTAGATTGATAAGATGAGATTGTCATGGCCCCCGACACCGGAACGATCTAAACGGCCGTGTCGCAATTCTCTGCTCGCACATTGCAATGCATGCCAAGCTAGACCTGGGTATTTTTCTATAATACAGTGTTGTTGTACGTAACGAGATGCGTTGTTGGGAACTGTATGGTGAATCCCCTGCATGATTGGCATGATGCAAACAAGTGAAATCTTCTCGTCTCATGACAGGTAAAAAAACACGTGGGGTACCCTCGTGACGTCGCACAAGTCCATAAGGAGAGTGTGGTATTTTTGTACTGTTTTGTTTATTCGGTGTAATAGTATTACATTGCAGCTCGAGCACGGCATGGCCGTCACCGCCGGATTATACCATACGTATTGTTTTTGTACATGGATGTTTGAAAAGTTGACAGCACTAGATCCACTTGAGCTTTCGGGAACAAAGAGGGGCAGACGAGACAAGACTCGCTTCCATGATAGGTTTGAATCGGGCTCTGAACTCGAGGGTTATGCTATTCTTGGCAATTCTGACAAGCTTCAGGAATTGGTCCTGGACTTTACCGTAGATATACTAGTTTCTAGTTTTGGGGTTGTTATCTAACTTGATTCGAGTCTGGTCGAGCTGTGGCTGGCATCAAGTGACTGACGCATCATTGACGAATCTCATTGATGCAATCGATCTCACTGCCACTATTCACTCATTCATTCGTTTGCTCACTCACTCACTCACTCACATTCCATTCCATTCCCTCAATCTCACTCACGATCTTCTACGCAGATCCACTGGGAACGACTCTGTTCTGCAGTTTCAATGGCTGCTTCTAAGCTCATATCATAGCTCATTCTTCCTTTTATCTCCGTGATTCTTTCGTCCCGCTCCGTCTCCCCGCTTCATCAACTCCCGGCCTCCGTTGGTAACATTGATAACATAACATAACCCACTTCTTTCTCACTCATCATAGCCCCAGTTCCAGTTCCAGTTCCAGTTCCAGTTCATTCCCCTGCAGACATCATTAATCCTATTCTGTAACTAAACATCACCTTCTCTTTTCATACCTACTCTCTCTCTTCTTGCATACCTCTCTCTGCCGTGTCTAGCCCCGATCATACAAAGTTCCGCATCCCGGGCCCTCTTCCGGCCTTCGACATCCGGTTCTATCATTCTCGGACCCCCCTCTTACCGACTCGAGCCCCCGAAATTTGATACCCCCCTGCCCATCCCATCCTATCCCCTCTGCTTATCAGATCCTGGGGATCGTGGGCTCACACTGTACCTACTGTTTTTTCCATGTGCCAAGACGCAAGTCACTAGTAAAAGAAACGAAAGAAACACCCAAAAAAGCCATGGCGCGTTTTGTGGATTTGGAAGAGGACGAGGATGTTGGGGCGGGCCCTGGCGGCTTTACCGTCAACGATCCTCGTGCCGCTTCTGCACCTCATCATGAGGTCGTGCCGCCCATTCCGCCTCCTGGTCCTCTTCATCATGACGACCCCCAGCAGAGTGAACTTTCTCAAAAAGATCAGCATCTTCTTCTCCTCAGGAAGCTCCAGTTGTTGTCTGCCAACAGCCGGAATGGACCTTGGCCTCATTCATTGTACAACCCAGAGCCGCTAGGCACCATGGACTCTTCTACCTTTCAGGCGCCTATTACCAACGCCTTTCAGTGTTATCCGTGAGTGCGATCCCTTGTTCAATCAATTTTCTGTCCAAATGCTTTGAGTGATTCGTGGTTGAAGCTGTTGACCTTCATCATGATATCTGCTGCTTCGTTTAATACCGAATTTGACATGTCATGACAACTCCCACTAACCTCAAAATAGTGTTGTCGAAGCCATTGCATCTTCTATCGACCTCAATACCCTTGATGCTCTTTCACGTACCTGTCGTCTCATCCATCATGGCCTCATTCAGTACCGTGCTACTCTGATCAACTCTACCCTCCACTGCCAAAACGAAGAAGTCCCCGTTGATGGCTCCGAAACCTTTCGCTACCGCGCTCGCGCTGGTAATTGGTTTTACATGGAAGATGGGCGCAGCTACAATGGCAAATCAGGCGACTGCGCTCGCGATATGGTTGGCGAGTGCCGTCGATGCGGCGATGTGATATGCCGGGTATGTACAACGATCTGCGAGCTGCCGAGTTTTGGCCCAATCGCGTGTTACTGACCATGAACTTTGCAGAACTGCGCCATCAAGCCACCGGCTTCCGTCGCCCTCAAGGAGAGGCATAGGAGACTCTGCAAACCTTGTGTTCACGCACCTATAGCCACTCTTATCAAGGCGCCTGTAGATTCAGATGTACCACTGTCATCGGAGTTGGTGTCGCGAGACGTCTGTAAGTGCGCCGACGAGGGCGTTTGGCTCTGTCAGCCATGTGGGCGAAGCATTCGTGCCGCAGATCATGACTACCAGCGGTATGTGTTAATTCCCAAGGAAACTTACTCTCTTACTGACTGATGGCTTAGTATCTGGCGTTGGCGAAATCAATACGGTGAGGTTCTTGGTGGTCTTGGAACAGGCATTGGCGAGGGCGTTCGTGGCGTCGTGTGTGGCCGCGAAGCAGATTGCTGTGCCGCCAAAGAAGTCGAGCATCAAGTAGACTGCGACGCCGAGGACGCCCGGGACGGCAATGTCGCCCCGGCTCCGGCCCCGCAACAAGCTCCGGTTGACGCTCTGATCGACCAGCTCCGTCTTACACATGAGCGCACACCGTCACCGTCCCTCGGTCCTGGCTACCTTCGTCATGAGATCGAGGGCATTGGCGGTGTTGTGAAGCGCAAACGTGTTCGCATGGTGCGTGTTGGTCATTGTGTCCCCGAGTGGGATGATGAGCGCACCAGCGGTAGTCGTATCCTCGGCCGGGAGGTTAGAGGAGAACGTCGTTCGTGGTGTGGTTGGTGTAACCGTGTGATTCCTGGTGAAAAGGATCTCTTGAATGAGCCACCCTCCTCATCATCTTCAAGTGCTGGAGGAAGCCGTCGCACATCGACGTCGACTACTAGATCGACTGAGATGAAGTTGGATTAGAACAAAAGTTGCTTCGTATAGTTTTTCTTGATTGATTTAACGAATGTTCGTATATAGGTGTGTATCAACATCTTGGATTAGCTTTAATTGTTTGCTATGTGGGAACAAGGGGTACATATGGGACACAATTGGAGAATTGTTGGGCATTGAATGCCATAAACTCGTCGGCATACGCTATTCATGATACATGAAATAGGGAGACAAGGGTAAAGAATACAAGAGGCTATTGTATTCAGGGAGTTTTTGGTATTTGGCAATTATACAGATTTTTGCCCTCCCGTTGGGCCGGAATCAACACTATTCGCATTTCACTTCATTCCTTATGACCATAATCCTACATCAACCCAGACGATTTTCCATGTTTGTACAAGTCTGATAGGCTGTGCCACACCGACACATCGAAGAATAAACTCCTTACAACTCGCCACGGTACAGCATGTCTGTCCTCCTCTTGCGGTCCTCTCTTGCGGCGGTTCGAATAGCACCCCATCGTGATTCCCTCCTCTCCTGCTTGCGCTTAAGACCCTCAACATGTGTCTTGGGTGCAGGAGCAGCCATCTTGACGAAAACGGGCGAGCAGCCAAACTTTTCAGCCAGTTTATTCACACTCCATGTAACGGGATCGTCTGCCCTTAGTCGCTTCATCTCCCTGATATCCTCAGCCTTGAGGTTGTATACAGGATTGCGTCGAGGATAGTCCATCTTTGGGGCAAGCTTGCCGGGTGCAATAGGTTCCAGAGGAGAGCCCGGGGTGTGTCGCATTCGTGTGAGAGCGGCACGGCGAGGGTCGTTGTGTGGGAGAAAGATGAAAGGTGTGTGAAGAGGAGAGGCCTCGGAAGAAGGAGGGTTGTAGATGATAGAGTCGGAGGCGGGGAAGGCTGCCTTTCGGTCGGGGAGAAAGGACTCGTGAGGAGCAATCTTTAAAGATCGTTTTGTTCGGCTTGTTGTCTTGTGGCCACGGCAAGGAACGGTAGGAAGGGCAGCACGAGGGCTGAATAGCCTGGCGACTGGTCGGACGAGGCTTCGAAACTCCATTGTGACTTGATGGTCTGTCGTCGAGGGTCCCGTAACGAGTAAATAGTTGTACAGGCGACTTGAGATTTGATTTGACTTTGTATGGACCTCGAGGACCGGGCTGAAGGCGATTGGCCGCGGTAATTGGCGTATCGTGTGGTTACCGCTGGACCCTGCAAACCACCTAAAGTCCAAGATCTGAAGTTTCTGCCACCCTCAGGCTACGCTTACCTAAGACACCTTACCTAATATCAAAAAGTCACGTGCTTGATTAAGCTCCAAAGTCACATGGCATGGACCATGATCAGCTTCCCAGCTCTCTTCGCAGTTAGCTCCAAACTTGTAAGCTGATGACGTCGGCTCTTCGCCAGGAGGAATGCCCCTCAACATTGACCCCTCGTGGTTATTAACTCCCGCTTACCTGCAGTCAGTGCTTCAAGCTGACGAGTCCCTTGTTTCATTTCTTCAAGGCCATGGAGATCTACAGAAAATTCCAGAGAAACTGGAGAAAATGTGGAAGATCAATCAGTCACCCTTATCAGTGGCAAATTATAACAGGGAAAAAGGGGTCAACGGGGTCGGCACATGGGGCCTGTCAGGGCTTGGGGTAGCCGGGACGGGGCTGGATTGGAAGCCCAATGATGCATCTCAGATTGGGTTTTTGGTGTTGTTGATGTTTGGAACCAAAAAGCAATCAACGGTGGGTAAAGCAGGGCAGACTTTTCCCTCTCCCTCCTCGTTGGTCATTACTTTGATGCAGATACGCGCGGATCTTTATCCCTTATTAGCCTGTTCCGCCAGGGCAAGATGAAGAAAGTGCCCTGAAGGAGTCGTCACGAGGTCCATGTTGGTAGCGGGGCTGTAGCCAGGTTGGTGATTGACAGCAATGGGATGTGATAAGAGGTGACCAACTTGGTGACCATGGACACCCAACCGACTGTTCCAAGGCAGAGAGAAAATATGCAGGCTGAAGGGGAAATGGAGTGATAAAGACTGATATAGCATCACATGCTATCCAGGCTGTGACTGTACGAGGGAGAGAGCGAAAGCAATATCATGTCATTTCAAGGTGAAGGGATATTTTGAACCCATCGGATCAGTCCCTCAGCATCTGAGATAGGCAGCCCAGGGCTGGCCTTGGTATTATTGGGAGAAAGTCCCTTTGATACAGGCTCTGGTGCCTGACTTGCATTGACGAGAGTCCCATGTCGGGTGCATGCATATGGATGGATTGGTGCTGCACGATACCAGACAGACGTAGCATCAGATATAGAATCACAACATGGAGACCCAACAGAAAGAGCATCTGGGAGGACGAGATACTAAAACGTGGTCACAGTCTGGGGCCTTGTATCGCCTTTACGGCATAGCATCTCGATGTCCACCGTTTTAAGCAGGTTTTGCTAATAATGCCTCTCTCGTCTATCATCCATCGTCCATCGTCCGTTGGCCAAGTTGGCAAAGGTCCCGTGGTCCAAAACCCTTTCCCAGCTTGCATCGATTACATTGGATCCATGGAATTAAATCTCTCGTCCCTGCAGACGGTGGAGGCTTTCATCTGTGCGACTCACATAAATTGCCCCATAAATGCCCTGGATAGTGCAATCATCCCGCCTCGAGTTGGTCCCGTGCCTTGATCAAAGTGCGCTGATCTAAGGTTGAAGCTTGACTTGACCTCTAAAACGAATTGTAAAGCCACCTACGCCGCCCGTCAGCCCCCCAGCCATTATCAATTCCATTTACTTTTTTTTAACCTTTTGAAGCTCGTCTCATCCATTCATCCCCCTCTTCTCGAGTTCTGACTTTTGTCTCCCTTTCATTGTTCATTTCGGCAGACAATAAATAGAATATCCATCTCGAAAGATCCTTGCAATTACCTACAACGGGCAACGAGGCGAGCGACATCCGACAAAAGCAATAAACTTATTTTAGTTTATCGTCTTCGTACCTGCACGCACCTGCACCTACGCTTGCGCCTTCAGGCCTCTCTCCCTCCCTTGGCACCTACGAATACGCTACAGCCGTAGCCACAGCGCGCCCAAAGTCTCAGCCCGCTCTGCCCTGCCGTGCATTGTACCTAACTTATCCACAATCTATCTCCGACTCTCTCTGTCTCTCAAGTCTCTCTTCAACTCATTCAGCATCGACCAAATCTTGGAATCATTGTCTCGGCCACTCTCCCACCAGCCACAAAAACTCAAGTGCATCACGCAGACCCTCAGACCAAGACGGCGTCAAGCGGACAACGGCATTGCCGCGATTAGCAGGTCCCTAAGAGTTAGCGCTGGCCGTTGCGGGTCTTTGTTTACGGAGTCCCCAGTATTGTACCGGGAGCTACGGACTGTTTTACAGGGCAGATATACCTAGGTAAGTTCCATGAGGTGCTACCTAATCCAATATTCAATGTTTCTCCCATCCCAAGGGCAGCATCAACGCCAAACTCAAACTCAAAGTCTCAGTTACACAAGGTCACATCATATCTGACTTTGTTTTTTTCTGCTTTTCCCGACTTTCTCATCCGACGCTTCACGCCCGCTACTTAAATATCTCTCCTGCCCGCCTGTCTGTCATCTGTCGTTGCTCCTCCCACTTGCCGATATAGACTTGCATTCCACGACTTTCGTTACTGACTCAACCTTATTGGGCAGTCCCATACAATCTTTTGCAGCTGCAAACGGTCTTCCGTATATATTTTATCAACAAAAACCGTCGACGACGCTTTACCCCAGACGCTCAACATCTGGGCTCATCTGTCAACATGAGTCTCGCCGAAGCAGCCCCCATCACTCGTGATGACCGTTTCGTCAACACTGAGTCCGTCGATGACCAGCGATTAGGTGACTCAACCCCTCGAACCAGCGATTTCAACAACGAGGCAGATCAAAGAGAAGATACAAAGAAGGACGGGAAGAGCAAGATGCGTAGCTTGTTCGGCCTCGGCAAGAAGAAGCCCTCAGTGCTTACGAAGTCTGACTCCAAACCCGACACAAACAACTCCAAGCCTGAATCCCAACCCGAATCTCGTTCTGAGTCACAAACACCTTCCAACGCGAACTCCAACCCTGCCAGCCCACCTCTATCTCGAGATGCTTCCAAGCTGTCCTCGAAACAGCCATCATGGCCTCCTGCTGGCGAGCAGAGCTTTGCCCTTCCCTCATCTCCAGGTCGCGGCTTCACTGGTTCTCCACGACTTTCTTCGCCAGCCACATCACAGATCTTTGAGCGTGATGTCCAGGATAGCACTGTGCTCAAGCCGAACTCTCCAGCCATCCCTACGCATATTCAGACCGAAAACTACATTCCTCCTGTTCTTGATGATGCGTCCGAGGCCATCACGAACGAAAAGCTTGACCCTGATACAGTCGAGATTGTAACCCACAGCTCGCACCAATCCGCCGCTGTGACAGTTACAGGAGCCAGCAACGTTCTTCCCTCGTACGACCTCGGAGCCAGCGAGTGGGCAGCCGAGCTCGCTTTCTTTGCTGACCGAGAGGCTGTCTCGGCCGACAATGCTTCCAACTACGGTTCCCTAGATTCTTCCGATGTCCGCCGGCTCTCATTCATTTCGTTTGCCGACGTTGTACAGGCTGAACACAACCCTCTTTCCGGTGTTGCGAGCTCCCGCGACAGCATCCATCTTGCAGGACTTACGTCTCTCCCAGCAGCGGTCAACCGTTCGCCTTCGCCAATTCGATCACCCGTGTCGAGCCAAGGACCCGAGACAAGCCCTCCCACAAGCAACCCTGGCAGCATGAAGGGTATCGAGTTGAGTCCAACTCGAAGACCTCTTGGTAGCCCAACAAGCACAAACAACCTCAAAATCAACCCTTCAGGGGGTGATCTGAACATCGAGACAATGAGCCAAGCCCTACGACGAACCGGTAGCAGTGATCTGAGCCATGTTCGCAGTGGTCCTGCAAGCCCAATTGAGGCAACTCACCTTCGTTAATTGCATTTTCAGCACGACAGGAGTACGCTATTCAAGAAGGAGAAACGATGATATCCACACAGCAAATGCAACATTTTATACAATTTGGTGATTTTAGTTAACTTTTATTCCATTCGACTACGATACCCTGTGGGGATCGACATTTTTTTGGGAGGGATTGAGAATGAGGATACTGGGATCTGGCAATGGGAGTTGGAAGAGAGTGTTTTTACCAGGCGTCGAGACTTTGCGCGATACAGGCACCATGCACATATCATGCTTTCTTGGTCTTCTTTTCATCTTCTTTTCTGACGCGAGAAAATACAAAGGAAACTGCCCAAATTGGTGATTACGTATTCAACATATTTTGTTCGATTCACTTTCGCCTGGGTGATTTCTTGCGGGTCGAATGGCGTGGTGAAATCATGATGTTGTGTCATATCCATGGAAAGTTTGAACATCAGACGTTGAGAGAAGGGGAGATGGCATATTAGCATGCTATGTGTAATTAGTACCGTGTTTGTTGCCGATCAAGGAAATCCTTCTGCACAAGATGGGCGCGAATATGACCTTTCTTGGCATGAGGAAGTTCTGAAACGGTGACTGCAGCTGTTGTGGACCATGATGAAAAAGTTTGTGGCTCTCTTGGTGAAATCATCGTCTTCAGCATAGTCTAGTTAGTGGGGCTTTCGTCTCATGAGCAATGCTACAAGTTTCTAGAATATGATATGTAACCGTGTTGCTGGCCTCAAGAACCGACATGTCGATTCTAGATCCTGATTGGCAGTTGTGTATCTTGGAAGATTAGCATATTTTCTTTTTTGATATCAATCACCTCGACCGATTGCGTGGCACCACATGAGACAAGGATATAATATCATGACGAAGCTCTAAGAAGGCTATGCATGGAAACACAATTAGGCTCATCAAATAGACACTCGTTGATAGAAGCGGTGTAATTCGGAAACTTGTGTTGCCTGAATTGTTGCACTTTGTGAGCTGATGTTTCGAAAGACTCTTGGGTTAGGTCGAGAGATGGACTGTGCTTGATTACCTGAGGTCAAAGGAGGTCACAAATGGGGACATGTCAGGCAAGTTTTAAAGTTGGGAACCGTGATATTCTCGAATGATTGGCCCCCGGCATTCGAAAATGGTTCTCTCACGCTGGAACACGTCGGCACCATGGCCTTGACCCCTGACTGACGTTGAAAAAGAAGCAATTGCCTTGGAGGTAAGATGCGTCTTTCGTGTTAGCAAGGGTTGCATCAATGGATCAGATACATGGTACCATTGGTGACTCATGGAGAAGCAATAGCACAGACTCAAAAGACAGGGCTCTCCGATGACACGTAAGATTCATCTCAGAACCTAGACATTAACAAAACCAAAGAATATGGAGATGAGGGTTTTTCTCGATGCCACACGTGGGATCGTCCCACGCCAGCGGGACGGGACAGCGAACCCAGTGTTGTTGGAACCAACAGCCTCACATTCCATGCACATCTTTCTTGCATATGCTCGATATCAGCAGCGGGCGTTGAATCGTAAGCTCAGGGGTTTGAACGACAGCCCAACATCGAGTTATTCCCGTAATCATAGACATCATCCGGATATGATTTTCAGGAGAAAAGAGGAGTAAGTACATAGGTAACTATCGTGAATATCGGAGATAGACCACGGAGAACGCTTTGACGGTCCTATTTGCTTTTGAGGAGACCTTGGGGTTCCTTAGCCTTGCCAAGAACTGTTGGTCACAAGAGAAGATATCTATGTGGGCAGGGCAGGCCTCAAATCTTAGTTTCTCTACAGGAATGCCAGGAACACGAATTCCCATCATCTCATTGGATTTCACCCGTTGGGTTGATGGTTCTGTCAGCTTGATCTTGCTTCTTGGCTGTCATCAACCCCGGTATGCTTTTGATTGCAGATCTCGTACCCTGAACCACTCAGAGATTGTCTTCAGTCGGAAATGTGATCAACTCTGGTGCTAGGAAGCGAGTTCCGAGAGAGTTCTTGGACTAGCGGCGCTCAAGTTTGAGTTTTGCTGATGCTAGATGCGTGGGATCTCAGCCCGTCGTTGCGGGCGAAGGCTGATACTTGCCGGGTGACATTCTGACTATTCCCATGTTATGACCGTATTATGGCTGACGCCTTGTCATGCTAGGAACCCAGATTCCCTGTCCCGCGTGTCTCTGAGGCACTCTTTTCTGCATCTTGACACCGAGAATCATCATCAACTCGAGTCATTCACTGTCAGCTCTCTCCACGAAAACCTAACGAACGTTGAGATTGGATCGACTATCATTAATCAACTAAAGCCCTGTCCCCAGCTAGCGGGTCTGCAGCCAGGATAAGGGTTACTTGCACAATCGCAAGAAGAACCCTTACTGGAAAAGCTCATCCGAAAAATGTCCTCTTTTGGGGAGGGAGGAAAGCATCCGAAGATCCTGGCTCGGCGGGACAGGGCGATTGCCCGGGATTTGATGGAAACACTGGAAACGCTGGACGACTTGGGATGAAACTTGGGAGCAGGGAATTTGATGTGACGCTGTGCGATGTGATGCTGTTGGTGTTGGTGTTGGTGTTGGTGTTGGGTTGTGGGTTTATCAATCAGACGGACAACTCATAACCAGTCTGACGGGACCATGGTTCCACTCTCATGTCGGACAGAGTCTCAGTGCATGATACAAAGAAGCTTTGAGGACAGCAAGGTTTCGGTTCTGAAATGAGAACTGGATCACTCAGAGGATAGGATACTCGAGCGGCCTCAATACTAGTAATATCTCAGTTGACTATTGCTTTCCATAGATAGACACATACGTACGCACATCATATGTGCTGATATTGTAATCATACAATCACGGTAAAGGAATTAGGCCGCTTCCTAGTTTAGCATTGTAACTCTCCATCAAAGAGATCCACTCTCGTCCATTAACCAACTCCACACTTGTCCTCCACTGTTGCGTGCTGCGTTGCGTGCCCGGGACAAGGCCAGGTCTTAGAGTGGGATCCGACTTGCAGGGCACACCTGTCAGGGAGACCCTGCTGCTTCCCTCCACTGCGTCGGGTCTGAGTCTGAGATTCTGGACGAAAAGGAATGAAAGGAAGTTGAAGAGGACTATGCATTGTGTAGTTGAGACAAGTCACAGACAGACTCGTCAGCAGCTGAGATAGAGTACCTGTCTTCAAAGTGTTGCTTCACCGAATTCGGTACCTTGGGAAGGTATCGTCACGGCCCGTCTTGTCTCGGCATCTTTGTTCAAGTAAACGATTGGACATGATTCCTCGCCCGAAAACTAAAGCCGAAAAGGCTGCATGGCGTTCCATTCTGCTCTGTGATCGGCAGCAAAAACCGTCCCTAGTTATCCCCCGCTTCTCGAAGCCGGATCCAAGACAGAAGAAGCAGGTCAATCGACCTGATTACAAAATGTGCCTGGCCATATGCAAACCGGAGAGAAAAAAGCATAACCCTGATGTTATCTCACGATATTATGGTTTAAACTTCCGGCAGTTGCGAAATACGTATTCCTCTCTAATATCGCCCAAGCAAGGCAGACCCGGGCTGCTTTCATCCTGTCAAAAACCCTTTCAAGACCCCTACAGGTCAAGTCAAGTCAAGTCAAGTTCTGGGACAGACAGCGTCAAGGGTGGTTGGAGAAACAAGGGCCAGTTGCGCTTAAGCCTGAGCTTAAGGACAGGCAAAGTCATTGGTTCTTCTGTGGAGGTGCTTTGATTTATTACAGAGGACACAGACAGAGAAGAGGCGTTCACTAACTTAAAGTGAGTGTGTCGCTGAAGTGCGTTGCGTGTGTGGCGACGTTTAACTTGAATTTAGCCTTGCCAATTTCTCTCCAATTCCCGCCATTGTCTCGACTCGACCTTGACCTTGTCTTGTCTTGTCTTGCTTCTATAAGCAACATAATCGAACTCACCGCAATTCGATTCTTGTTCTAAAAAACGACGAGAACAGAACCCATTGTCCGAGCGCACCTACGCTTATCGTCATCTATTTACTTCCTATTTTCTACTTATTCCTTTATTGGACCATTCCTGCTCTTGGCTTCTTCTTCATTTTTTTATCGGGTCGATTAGTGCATTTCCAATTCAATTGTAGTGGACTGGTGCCGGTACAGCTGCTGTGTAGGTGTGCTAGGTGTGTTCCCCTCCCAGCTTCCATTGCGATTCTCGCCCAGACTCTAGACTAACAAGCCCTCTCCCCGCAACCAGTCACTGACTGATTTGCGAGAGATCCCTCATCTCAACAATCAGATACTACATCTGACGATAGCCAAGATAGTCGCACTATCTTGTTACAATCGACGGCCATATTCAAGCCATTAATTACCGAGGTCAACGTAATCGAACCCATCACATCGATTAATCCCCTCCCTTGACTAGCAACAAAGAAAGCCCTCGACACCTCCACCCGTCAATCAATCACCAAAGCACCGACTTATTCACACACAAAAAACAACTGCTATTGCTTTCTCTCTCCTCAATGCGGAACGGGCGCTTGTATGTGGACGTGGACACACAATGGCTTAGGCTTGCGACCGCCAAACATGGACGAACAAGACCACTCACGATCTGGCACCTCCAGTGATGCCACATCCTGGAACCAGGCCTCCACCTCCGACCTCAACCTACCCCGGGACCCAAAGATGGAGCGCTCCAGCGCATCCAACCTGCGGTCAGCCTTTCGCCATACGCTGATAAATGCCACCTCCACCGTTCGCGCTGTCACACCCGACCCCGTCGAGCCTCCAACTGTCAGTGTCACTGCCGAGTCTCAAGAGTCCCAAAGAGGTGCTTCTTCACAGCAGAGTTCGCCCCGGACTATACCTCCGGGCCCTACAAGAAGACAAGGCATGGTTTTCAACGAAGTTTTCAGCGAGTCGTACGAGAGCAGCGAATCTAGCCCTCCGAGACAGCATTTACGGCATACGAGCGGTAGCCTCCGGCCAAGGACGCGCACGATGGATACCTCTATGCTGGCACAAAGAAGTGTACCACCGCCGACATCAGAACGACACCGGGTTGGCAGTGTGAGCTCGTCGGGGTCATTACATCCCTCAGACGAGCTAAGGCCACAGCTCAGTTCATTAGACTCGCTACATCACGTTGTGATAACAGGGCGAGAATCATTAGTACCAACAAAAGACAAAAAGTCAAGAAGACTCATGAAGCGACAATCATCCAGACCTACCTCACCTCTCATTTCTCCACCACCTACCGTCGACTCACTCCCATTACCCATAGCTACCGATGACGCAAACAAGGTCCTGCTTCTTATGAGAACTCTATGCGGTCGAATGCGCGGCGAGATCGAATATCAAGGCGAAACGGGTGGCCCTTGGCATAGTGGCGTAGCTTACATTGAAGAGGAGAAGGGCTGTCTCATGTTTGACTCAGGGCAGAATGGACCCTTTCATATCCCTCTTGTTTCTGATCTGCGCGGCTGCAGGGTCCTCCCTGTCGATTATCCCGAACTAACCAAGGAATGCTTGGAGTTGGTGTGCCTGTCACCTCCAGTGGAAATCCTAATATGTCCTTTGGTGACAGAAGAGTTCGACTTGTGGCTTGCAGCTTTACTGTGCTGGCAGCAATTACGTCCAACGGGTATTAAGCTTGCCAATGGGAAACCAGCCAACCAGGTGACGCCCATGAGGCCGGAATTGAAGAGACATGGTTGGTCACAAGAAAAGAACAAGCCTACGAATATCATCAAGGTTGGCAAGGTGATGCTTTGGGACAAGGGCTTGGCTGTTTCACCAAGGGCGATTGTCAAGAGACCCTCAACGAGAGACCTTCGATCACCCACGACATCCTGGAGGAGAGTTTCCTGCATTCTACAGGACAGCGGCGAGTTCAAACTCATGACAGAGAATGATGTTACTGTTCTTTCCATCATCGACCTCTCACAGCTTTCCCGGTGTGCTGTTCAACAACTTGACCGTACAGTGCTCGATGAAGAATATTGCATTGCCATATTTCCAATCTACTCTTCTACATCTACTCACCTCTCTATCTTCCGACCTGTTTACTTGGCGCTCGACAGCAGAGTTCATTTTGAAGTTTGGCTTTGTCTACTTCGAGCATTCGCGGTACCCGACATATACCGCCTTGACGACCCTAACACATCGCAAATTGTGGAACTAGAGGATATCGAATCAGAGTATGAGGGCGAAGTTTTCAGGCTTGAAAAGACAATCAGCGTCAGGGTTACTGAAGCAAAGATTAAGGCTAGACCCAGCGGTGGTGGAGGGACTGAGCCGACAATTCCAGAACGACCCGGGCGACCGGAACCTGATCCTTTGATTGGAAACTACCTTGCGGAAGTTATCTTAGATGGCGAAGTGAGGGCACGAACAACAACGAAGACAGCCACAAAGAACCCCTTTTGGAGAGAGGAGTGCGAGTTCACCGATCTACCACCAACCACGCCATTATTATCCATCGTCTTAAAGAGAGTGGAAGGAAACCTGGACAGCTCGAGTAATCTCCTCCAAGCATCCGTTGGACTGCCTCGAACACGCAATCTGCAGGAGTTTGTGGTAGGTGCCGTCGACATTTCGCTCGACCAACTAGACCGCGGGAAGGACAGCGAGCAATGGCTTCAGATATTTGACGAGAAGCACCAATCGGTTGGACAGATGCTAGTCAAAGTGAATCACGATGAGCATGTCGTGCTTTTGTCGAAGGAATACCAACCTCTCACGGACTTATTACACCGATTCCCGGCCGGGTTGACGAACCAGGTATCGGCGGTTCTCCCGGGACAGCTTCGTCGATTGGCAGAGTTATTCCTCAATATCTTCCAAGTGTCAGGTTCCGCCAGCGAATGGCTCATGGCATTGGTTGAGGATGAGATCGATGGCATCGGCAACCAGACCACCATGAAGAAATATCGATTCAGCAGCCGGCTGAAGTCCAACGATTCTATCGACGCTGCAACTGATCGTGAACTGATCGTACGAGATATGAGCAAGTCACTTGCCGGAGAAGCGAACCTGCTGTTTCGAGGCAACTCTCTCCTCACACAGTCGCTCGAATTTCATATGCGCCGCTTGGGCAAGGAGTATCTGGAGGAGATCTTACAGGAGAAGCTGTTTGAGATAAATGAGATCAACCCAGACTGCGAAGTCGACCCCAGCAAGATCCCCCACGAATCGGATCTCGACCAGCATTGGACTGTGCTCATCCACTACACGACTGAAGTGTGGAAGTGCATTGCTAACTCAGCCAACCGACTACCTCCGGAGCTACGACATATACTCAAGTACATCCGAGCCGTTGCTGAAGATCGCTATGGAGACTTCTTGCGCACTGTCACATACACATCAGTCTCTGGCTTCCTGTTCCTCCGCTTCATCTGTCCAGCTATTCTATCGCCCAAGCTTTTCAATCTTCTACGCGACCACCCTCGACCTCATGCCCAACGAACATTCACACTTATCGCAAAAGCACTACAAAAGCTAGCGAACTTGTCCAACTTTGGAAAGCGAGAGGAATGGATGGAGCCGATGAACCGATTCCTCAATGTGCAGAGACAATCTGTTCGTGATTATATCGACCAAGTGTGCAGTATCCCAGCGGACCGCAACGCCAATTTCGTTCCTGCTGGCTACAGCACACCGGTCACTATTCTCGGCCGTCTAAGTCCTACTTCCAAGGAGGGATTCCCCAGCCTTCCATACTTGATTGACGACACGAGAAACTTGGCGAGTCTTGTCAAGCTATGGGTGGACGCTAGACCGGTCGACGACAAGAAAGAGGAGGTGGATCAAGAGCTTCTCGCTTTCAACGACGTATGCTTCGCTCTACAACAACGCGCCGACGCTTGTCTCGCTAAGGTCGAAACCGAGCGTGCCAGTGAAACAGCAACCTGTGCCACTACAGAAGACGTCGCCGAATCCATTGAACAAGCATCACTGATTGAATCACTCTCTATTTCCTACGGCGGCTCCTCAACAGCATGGAACGACGTCTACGAACCCACACCCGGTAGCTCAGGCAGCGAAGTCAACGATGACAACACAATACGCAACCGCAGACGAAGCAAGGAGCGTCGCCGTCACCATCATCACCACAAAGAAGGCTGGGAACAACGAAAGCAACGACATGCAAGCACAGGTGGAAGTGCGAGTGCGAGTGCAAGCAACACTATCAAGTCTAAGAACGGACGTGTGGGACGTACGATCCTCAGCGGCATCACCCGCATAGTCGGTCGTGGTGAGAGTCCTGAGGGAAAAGATTCCTCGAAGCATTTTAAGTGAAAAAGAAAAAGCCATTATATCCATCTATACATATACATATACATATACACATTTTATATACCTTTTGATGACTAGATGGCAGAGCTAGTTATTCATGACTGAATGAACAATACAACTTCTTTGAAATACCACTTTCATCTTTTCACATAGTCTCATTTATACTTGCCCTTTCTTTTGTCATTACTACCACGGATTTTGGAAATGGCAGGCCATTCCTTCATACTCGCATAGCAGACGGTTGGGTTCATCTCGTTTCATTTGTTGTATTATGTATATCTGGATTTCTTAATTTATTTATTTTTATTTCTGTTTTTTTAGCGTAAAGTTAAAAGACTTTGAGTCCAAGTTACCTTCATGCTCGGCATGACTGATAGACATATAAACTCTGGGGGAAAAGAAGACATATATGATATGTCGATTTTCCCCCATGAACTCAAATCACAATTAGAATCATCCCCTCTTTACTAAAGCCAAGTTATGCGTGGACGCCTTGCCTGACTTACGAAGCATGACTATAGCAACTAGAAAGTGGCATAGTTGATCACGAAGCTGATATTTATAATGCGTCATCTCCTTATAGAGTATTGCAATATTTGCAATTCGATGGTATCTCATTCAGCGCCGACTCCTAAGTAACCCGCTTTTTCCTCGCATGGGTTATGTTACAGAAAGTTTGATCATGTCCTCCGCCCTCATTCCATATGAAACATTGCTATAATTTTCAAACACAACTGGCGTTCTATCCCGCTCGCAATGAGTAAAATGACGCTCTCTATTTTGCGGTATGCCTTCTCTGCAGCCGCTTAGGCGAAGAACTTCTTGTAGGCAGCCTTCTCCTTGGCGGCGCGAGCAGCAGCCTTGGTTCGGACGGTGTTGAGCTCTCGGGTGATGGCGCTATCGTTGGGCGCAAGGGTGTTAGCCTCACTCAAGTCACGCAGAGCAGCCTCCTCGTCCTTGAGGCGGATGTTGGCAAGACCACGGCGGTAGAAAGCCTTTGCACGGTCGGCGTCCTTAACGCCTTGGACGTCAAGGGCAGCAGAAGCGGAGCGAGCAGCGTCATCCCAGGCCTCCAGCTTGATGTTCAGGAGCGCCGAGTTGTTGTTGAGGGAGAAGCGCAGAGCCTGGAGGTCGTCCTTGATCGACTGGGGTTGGTTCTCAAGATCAGGGTCCTCGTTAATGTAGCGCAGACCCTTCTGGTACTTGTCGAGACCGAGGGAATAGTTGCCTGACTTGAAGGCAGTGTTGCCGTACTCCTTGCAGGCCGTGGCGATCTTGACGATGGCGACGGCATCGAGAGTGTCTGTGCAGTCTTCGGGGAAGTCCTCGTATGGGTCGCCGAGGGCGTCGGGCTGCTTCACGTCAGCAGCGACGGCGGCGTCACCCTTGAGCTCGCCGCAGTCGGCAATGAGAGCCTCCTTTGCGGGACGGTCGCCGGACTGGGTAGTAAGGTTCTCGATTTGTCGAACGACGGACTTGCCGTTAAGTACCTCGCCGAAGACGACATGCTTGCCGTCGAGGTGAGGGGTAGGAACGGTGGTTATGAAGAACTGGGAGCCGTTGGTGTCTGGCGGGGTAATTCGTCAGCGTCATGGCCCAAAATGAGGGGCATCATGGAACTTACTGGGACCAGCATTGGCCATGGACAGAAGGAAAGGCTTCTCATGCTTTATGGGGAAAGCTTCATCGTCAAACTTGTTGCCATAGATGGACTCTCCGCCGGTGCCATCACCAGCAGTAAAGTCACCACCTTGGATCATGAACTGCTTGATGACGCGATGGAAGATGGAGCCCTTGTAGTGCAGGGGCTTTCCCGACTTGCCGATGCCCTTCTCGCCGGTGCAGAGAGCACGGAAGTTCTCAGCGGTCTTGGGGACAAGGTCGGCATAGAGTTCCATGGTGATACGGCCAACGGGCTTGCCGCCGAGCGAGATATCGAAGAAGACGCGGGGTCGCGCGGGGGAGTCGCCTTCGGTAGCCATTTGCGATAGTTTGTGAGGAGGAATTGGGTGAGGAGAGGAAGGAAATGGAATTAAATCAAGGCGCCGGAAGAGAGAAGAGATGTAAGGTTTAGTTTATTGCTTGAGAGGATTGGGGAGTAAGACGGGATCACAGCGTGGGGGTTTATTTAGGTGTTCAGTTGCTATGGAGGAGCAGAAGCAAACAGAAGGTAACAGAAGAGGGGAGCTACCCTGCCAATTGAGGAAAAGTCGCGATGCAAGTGAGCCCGAAGATCGTGCCGCTTATAAGTGGGTAGCCCAGCATGCATTTAATTGACGGCTGAGAATCCAATTCCTCATTACCGGGAATATCACTATATATCTACACAAAAGGCTACTGAACTGTAGGTAGGCTATCTACCGTTGATGCAATTGACTCAATCAGGTCATATCTAATGAACCACAATCACTCGCAAACAAGGTACAGCTCCGATATCCCTCGGACTAAGCCAAGCATGGACGGACGGGATGTGAATATCATAACCAAGAAGACAATTGCGTATGCGGGGTGTCTTTTCTTTTTCCTACACCGGTGATGAGCAAAAGAGATAAGATGAAGCAAACAAGATAACATAAACAATCAGCTGATACAAATAAAAACAACAAATATCATCAACTGAAACGAGACAGGTTCAGCCGAGAACTTTGAAGCCCAAATAGACACTCTCCTGCAGCGAGGCTCAACCTCGCCCTGCAGTTGAAGGTCAGATACATGACCTGTCATGCAGCAATTCTAAATGTGTTTTAATTAAAGAGGACACATAACAGTTTGTGTAACGATGACTGCATGACCTTGACCGAACTGCCTCTCTCGCAATCCAATCAGTAAAAAGTGAGAAAAGAGAAAACTCTCTCATATTGGTCAACCAAATTCTCATCAAGGCGGGGGAGGGGGGAATATTTCATGAGAGGGAACAGGGATCGAGATGGCTTAAGCCTCGTTGCAATAACGCTTTCAGGGCATTGTAATCCGAGTCAACGAGTGCCGATATCAAAAGGAGAGTGAATCATGATTGAACAATGGTTACACAAATTCTCAGAACCACTTACAGGTCTTGTTACTGATCAAATCTCACCTCTCGACTACCTATATCCCACTCAACTATTGCCCGCCTCCATATCTCATACCCACCTACCAACGCACAACATCCATTGTAGCGTCTCCTAGGGATATCCCGATGCAAGAAATCAACGACCAATCCGATTTTATCGCCCGGACCAAACTCCCCCGTTCAACCCTGGCCTGTCTATATTGGATCCCGTCCCGTTACAGAGGAGAGACACTTTGCCGCTTTGGCCACCTCTGAATTGCTTCTTTTTAAACCACAAACACGGAACTCCAGCCCTCGGTTGCACAGCACATGATGCAGCCCTTCCGCTAATGCATCCAATTAGAAACTGACAATACACGAAAGTGGCTGTGTTGGCTGTCGTTTGCTGTAAGATAATTGCACTTTCGGATACAGTCCCGTCGACAATTCGCCCTTTCAGGTTGTATGCTGTACCACACATATCAAAGATGTGCCAGCCCAGGCAAGCTGAACTCTTCAAGAATCATATCATGTTGATTATAGACGCCAGGGCTGACTCCAAAACATGTCTCTATTACCGAACCTATAGCAGATCCGTCAATGTACCTGATGTAATCCCTTCGCTTTCTCTTTTGTCTACCCGTCCCGTCTAAGGTATCGTCAATAGCCTATCTCCCTATATTTCACATTTCTATAGCAGCCAGCCACTCACTCCGTCTTGGCGCCGTTCTTCAATTCCAGAGTAACCTATGATGTATCCCCGGTGGTTAGCACAGACACCCCCAAATGCGAGAAAAATACGGGCTTCCACAAAACTTACCGGCCCGTCGTTGACGAGAGCAACCTCCATCATGGCCTGGAACTGCCCATCCTTGACTCTCTCCTCCATGTATCCCGCCCTGACCTTCTGCACGAAGTAGTGGTATAGCCGACGTGCCTCCTCCGGGTTGGCAGCACCGTGGAAGTCAGGCTTGGCTCCCTTCTTTGTGCTAGCCAGCAACGTAAACTGCGACACTGTATCTGGGTCTCAGCCACTGCTGCTACCCTCACGCGACCGGAGACAAGAGGAGACAAGACTCACCGCAGAGAACCTCGCCGCCAATATCGCTGACACTCTTCTTCCACTTGACAAAGCCTGTCAGATTTGAAACCACAAAACGAAATTATCGGCCCAGCCTCTTTTGTCCCTTACCTTGCCGCCCTCCTCGTCATCCCACAGCTTCATCCTCAGCACCTTGGCAGCCATCAGGTCAGCCTCTTTCTCCGTGTCCCCGGGGGCCACGGCTGCAAAGGCCAGGACGCCCTTGCCGATGGAAGAGATCATCTCCTTGTCGACGGTGACGGACGCCGACAGGACACGCTGCAATATGACTATTTGAGTTGTTGGTGAGCTTATGTTTCATTTGTCTTTTGTGTGTCGGTGATTACACTGTGCTGCACGTACCCTTCATATTTGTGATGTATAAGTTTTTGTGACTGGGAGATGCAAGTTGAGTAAAATATCAGACTGTTTTGACTGGGCTTGAGTCAAGCTCTCTTCTGTATCTAGACGTTACTCCGTAGTCGGATCGGCATCGGTCCCGATTTACCGTGTATTACAGCAGCGAAAGACAATCAAGATTAATTTTGATGATAAAACATAAATTCTCTCAAGCGAATAGGCTTATATGGATTAGAAGCCACCAAGTTTATACTTTTCCCTATAGTTTTCAATATTCATAATTTGATAGAGACGTCGGTTGGCGATTGAGTTCCAGACTGGACGTTCTAGGTATGGTCTACCCAAAGCACTGAGGCAGTGGAGGGCACTTAATTGCCAGCAAGGTATCTACTAAGGTAGACGCTTAGCGAAAAAATGAAAAACCACGTCATTGAGTGCATCCCGCAATATTGGCCTGAATTTGCACCACTATTCGGCTTGCAATTCAATATTACACAGAAATGTCATTCTTGCTACAGATTGACTAACCATCTTCAACTATTACAGCCTTTTCAAGCCTGTAGATGCATGTTCAACCCTCAATTTCCACTTCAACACGTTTCAGCAGCTAACCGCGCCTCGTCCCAGTGAATCGCGGCCCTTCAGCCAATCACGACACCGCGGCTCTTTAGCCTCATTGGATGGCTGCACCTCCCACCTTGAACTAACCTTAACCACCAAATCAGTGCTGGCCATCCTTACTTCCAACAACCACATCTCATCTACCATCGGCTCCCGGCATTGACGCTCAGGACGACGGACACTGTATTATCACCCTATTATAATTAACGACGACTATCGGATCGCCCCCGCGACGCGCCGTTATATCATAATAACCCTTCCCTGCGCTGCCACATCTTCCCGAACGGTGCTGGCAGAGACGCACAACAAACCGAATCGACAACAACAGTCGGACGACAAGATCTATACGAGCGACTAGACACTGCGCCCGAGTGGCTGCATTTTTCTACTCATAATGGCGGCGAGGAAACTGGCCCAAGAGGTCGACAAGTGCTTCAAAAAGGTCTCAGAGGGTGTGGCCGAATTCGAAGCTATTTACGAAAAGATCGAACAATCGAGTAATCCTGCCCAGAAGGACAAGCTAGAAGATAACCTGAAACGCGAGATCAAGAAGCTCCAGCGACTGAGGGATCAAATCAAAACATGGGCCGCCAGCAACGACATCAAGGACAAGGCTCCCTTGCTGGAGCATCGCAAGCTGATCGAGACGGTTGGTCCCCGCCACTGACAACGGAATGCCATCCAGTATTTTATTGACGGTTGTATCGGGTTTTTAGCAAATGGAAAAGTTCAAGGCCGTGGAGAAGGCCATGAAGACGAAAGCATACTCCAAGGAAGGTCTATCAGCTGCCGCCAAGCTCGATCCCAAGGAGCAGGCAAAGGTTGAGGCCAGCGAATTCTTAAGCGGCATGGTCGACGAGCTGGAGCAGCAAATCGAGACACTCGAGGCAGAGGGCGAATCGATACAGGCGACCATGAAGAAGGGTAAAAACAACACCGCCAAGGCCGAACGCATCGCCGAAGTCGAACGCATTATCGAACGACATAAGTGGCACCAGGGGAAGCTGGAACTTATCAGGAGATCCTTGGAGAACGGCGGAGTTGAGCCCGAGCAAGTGACCGACCTGGAAGAGAGCATTCGATATTATGTGTCGGATGGCATGAATGAAGACTTTATGGAAGATGAGGAGATGTATGAGGAGCTCGACCTTGAGGACGAGGAAGGCACCTACGGCATGGGCGCGGATAACGAGAAGAACTCTTCCCTGGATGCGCAGTCTGTGCAAGAGGACCTTACGACCGACAATGACTTGCCGAAGACACTGACGAGAAAGGCGCAGAAGGAGGCTGACCCAGTACGGAGGACATCTTCTCAGACAAAGTCACCTTTACCTGCACTCGCGACACTCCATGCTCCGTTACCGACTATCAGCAATAGCAATTCGGGTACGCCGGCTATGAAGCCAGCATCAGTCCCTACAAGGCCCGCTGGAGAAGGACTCAAGTACGCATCAGCAGCCGCTGCCGCTGCAGCGAGCGATAAGAACAACGTTGGTATCGCTCCGCTACCTCCGCCCCCTGGTGCCGCATCATCAAGCATATCCCCATTGCCGCAAGCCCGAAGCAGCGCGACCAACTCTCCTGCGACATCCTCTGCCCAGCCCGCTTCTCAACAACCAGAGTCAAAGCAGCCCACGCCAGCTCCTGCTCCTGCCGAGCCAGAACCTGTACCTGCGCCAGCCCCTGTGCCTGTCACCACGAAACAGTCCAAGCGATCAAAGGCTGCTGGAAAACAAGCAGCAGTCCTCGAGGCCGCTCCATCTTCAAAGGGTACGTGTGTAAAACAGTTTTGTAAGACTCGAATGACTGACATTGATGTAGCTCCACGGACAAATGGTACAGCCAATGGTGTCAAGCAGACCGAGGAGGAGGAAGAATGCATCTACCACTTGCCAGCATCGTTACAAGATCTTGTTGACACATATGAGACGTCGAGAAAGCGGCCATATCCTCCATCTGCGCCATCAGCTCTGCGCATGATGACTGCCAGCCAGGCCAGCTGCCCCGATATTGTGGATGCTGATGTTCCACGATCATACCGACCCGACCAACCGGTACCCCCAACAGGGTCAGGATTTCCCCGCGAGCCACTCGCTATCTTCGATGACCCGCGGTTATACTCCCGTATGGACCCTGACACTCTGTTCTACGTATTCTATTATAAGCAGGGTACTGCCCAACAGTACATGGCAGCCAAGGCTCTGAAAGATCAAAGTTGGCGATTCCATAAGCAGTATCAGACTTGGTTTCAAAGACATGAGGAGCCTAAGAACATCACCGAAGACTTTGAGCAAGGCACATATCGATTTTTCGACTATGAGAGCACATGGTAAGTGGACTCGCGAAATGCCAAAGTGAGGCGTGCTGACATGAATGCGCAGGATGAATCGACGCAAGGCCGACTTCAAGTTTGTCTACAAGTTCCTTGAGGATGAGGTCTAATCAACAGTGCTTCTTCACTGGAGATTGAAGTCCATTGGCCGTGTATGAGAAATATGGGACGGAGCTATCGGTTTTGGTTGGACGCACCTTGGTTTTGTGAACTCCTGGAGAGGGCGAATTAAGAGCACAGAGAGAGTAAGAAAGGACTTAGGCGGCAACCTCATCTTGCTTTCATCATCGGCTTTTGATGTGCTTTCTGGAATAGGTAAATATGCAACATGCTACACGGGGCGTTATCAACCTCATTGTTTGAGATATGAATACGAACCTTTTGAGTGCAGGGCATTGTCGCCCTGAACGACTATTCTGCTGAAGTATATGGTCAAATATGTGTGGCTCGTTTGCCTCATTATATCCGTGATCAATGTCTTCCCGAAGGAACTGGTTCCTTGGATGGTCTAGACCCTCTGCAGCTCGACAGCCTCTCTTTCAGCCAGTGCAGCCTCAGACTCGGTAGGCGTTAGGGCAAGGCTCTCTTAGTGGCGTACAATGATGTGAGGTGTTTCATTCCTCCGTGACTGACTGTACGGTGTCTGCATTGACGTGGCACGTCCTGAACCGTAGCCAAGGTGAAGCGTTCAGATTGGTGAAATTTGAGGTCCAGTTCGGTGAACAACCCAATATCTGAGGGCTGCTGCATTGCTACCCAAAAGCCGAGAAAAGAGTTAAGAGTGTTGGATTTCTCGACTACTTGAATGTAGATAGACCCGGTCTCCATAGGAAGACAGTGAGGCACTCTTCGGGTTCATCAAGCTTCCTCTTCTTGTTGTCTCAACGATTTATACACAACCGGCGTGGGCTAGTCGCGTTACCGCCATCGAGGCGATGCTACACCTGTAGCACATTTCAAGTCATCGCAGACAACGTGGCTTTCGGATATGGGAAAATAGTCGAGTGGACAAAGCACAAGATGAGGGCCCTTGTCGCCCCAGGCGACACAGTTACAGTTTCGTTTGTCCTCTTAGCAATTCCTTTGGATTGTTAAACCTGAGCTGACATGTGTATGACTTGATCATTGATGGCACACTTCATCAACGATAAGGTTGCCAAAATTGCGTCGTCAGTTGGATTCAGGGCTAGCGAATGGGTGCTCTGCTTGCCTTGTCACCTATGACGCGGGCGCCTTTTTCTGTGCCATCGTCATTATGCCTATCAGACTCTGCCGAGGCGACTTTCAGCAGCGTCCGCCATCCAGCGCTCTTGTCGGTGAGGGATACCCTCTTTCGAATGGCAAGCTTGCGGCACAGTTCTGCGCTTGCTGCTATATCGTCAAAGACTCAAAGTTAAGGGTGCCCACTTGGGTAACAAGATCGTCGCCCCCAACTGCATCGGCGTCACCGTGCAAGTCGACTGGGATTTGAAACGAAACCAATGCAGGATACAACAGGAAGGTTTCTAGAATGCTTCCATGCTTGTCAACTTCTCAAAGATTCGGATACGAGATCCCTCGCAAGCGAATGTCAATTCCATGGTTCGGGTGGCATGGATTGGCTTCCCGGCGAGCTTGTCACGGATGGGGAAAGGGTCCTAGTGAGTCTGATGACCCTGTCGAAAACGATCATGATCTCATAGCGGGCGAACCATTTTCAACTGCTTCTCTTGCACTTGACACTTGCTACTCCAGTCAGCCTCACTAACACTCCTCGAACTTTTCCCTGAGAGCTCAACTACACTATTCGGTGTGTTGACTTGCCAGGTACAACACATTGGTAAGTTAAACACCTGTAACTCGGGGATTTCCCAAGCGTTGTCTTGCAGATGCCGGTTAGGGATCCGGTAGGACTCAGGTGAGACAAGGCCGTTTAGGGCGTCCAGGGTGGTTTTCGTTCAGGCGCTTGCTGTTTTTGCTGATCACTTTGGGTGTTCTAAAGAACCGCCTTGTCAATTATTGAGACATGTCAGATTGACCATGATACGCCAGGCTCTGATAGACGCAGCGAGTTACACAACCCAGACCACCACCAACCTTGTAATTCAAGCAGATAAGTGGGATCAGAAAGGTGTGTGGGAGATGCTAGAATGATGATGCTGGGTTTATTTTTGTCTGTGCTCTGTTCTGCTGCAGACCTCGAAGGTTACTGTTGTTGGCTGTTTGTCCCATGTTGCCAATTGAGCACTGGGACTGGCTCACAGGTGCCATGACCAAAGATCAGAATTCCTTAGCTGGTCCGAGTCTAGGCAGCAAAATATCGTTGTTGATTGAGTTAATTGATCGACACATGGCAAAGGGGTCGCTGCGTTATTGGTGCATCTGTTGACGTCTCCATAGCGTTGAGGCTCGTGCTCGTGCTTGTGCTTGTGCTCGTGAGCATCGAGAAGTTGTTTGATGCTTTGCGCCGCCGAGATCGACAAGCTATTATCCATACCCAGCGGTTGTTTGGTGCTAATGCGAAGCATTAGATTTAGGCCACCGCATAAAAGTGCATGTTGATGATTTTATGGATTAAAAAAAGGCAAAGTCAAGATGGCAGATGGCACTTCGACCAATACGACGCCGACGTTAAGAAGGAGCAAGCAACCCTGGGCTGGGGTTTCCACTACCGTAGCAGGGGCCATCGACAAGGCAGGAGCAGGAGGGGTAAGGAGTGCGAGCGATGGAGTGACAGCTGGAGGCAGGTACTGCCCTGGGATGTAATTCTACCTCCACTCTACAGTGCCTTCCCTGTGTGTAAGGTGGTACCTAGGTGATGGAAGCACATTGCATATTGCATTCTGCCTCGTCAAGAGTCCTGAAGACCTTTGTTCCATCCAACTTTCAACCCAATATCATTGACCGGTTACCGATGAAACGGTATGGAAGAATTCCTTGTCATGTCGATCGAATACCTCACTCAATCCTCCCGTTACCGAGCACCAAATTTGTCCTGTCCCGCTGTTGTCGACAACCCTTCAAGTGAGCTTCCAGCGGCACATGCACGCAAAGGCGCATTGGCCAAGCCAGCTTTCCCTCTGGTAGTGACCGAAATCTGCTGAGCTGGCCTGGCACAGCCCCTATCCTAGTCCAGCCTTTGTGCGGTTTCTCGGTTATCTGTCGTCAAGGACAGCTCGTTGTTAGGGATGCGCATCATGTCAAATCATTCCCACATCCACTGCCGTCAGCCCGTGCCAGAATCATTTGCTCCATGATCTTCAGCCCCAGGGCATCGCCACGCCCTGTTGGAACTTGCCCACCCAGAAGCAAGTATGATCACCACTCAAGAGGAGGCAAGAAAACTTAGGTCCTCTTTTCAAAGTGATGAAAAGACTTAGGTAAGTTTAGTATTTCTGAGCAAGCCTTTAGACTGGTTTATTTTAGCACCCTGGTTTAACTTCGGAAGTTTTCTTGCTCCCTGGGGCACTTTTAGCTGTCAATTGCTGGGCGCAACCACTTAGACTCATCGTTCTCTCTCTTACCGAAACAGGCACTCGGCCAGTTTCCTAGTTCCACAGAAGCAGTCAAGGCTGGCTTTCTGGTTAGTTTCCAATCTGAAGCTTGCATTTAAAAGCTTCGTTCCACGGCTTGTGGATACACATCCTGGACCGACAAATCCACACATTACACACCTCCCATTGGGTTTGTCCCGGGCTTGTACCTCCATGCTGTTGTAACAATCACAGATCCCGGTTGAGCCGGTATTCTATAGGGTACCACCAACTCGTAGCTTTTTATGCAAGCCAACTACTGCTGTTCCTGGGGACCTCTAGCTGACCTCAGAGTGAGCTATCTTAGCTACCTACATTCGCTACTGTCGCTTCGCCATCTATGTCCCCTTTCCCCCTTGGGACACCGGCCAGGAGCACACCACACATGATAGGGTGTCTCCAGTCTTGACTCGCTTCTCCATGCTTGTTGCTGTTATCTCCATCCAGCTTGACTTTACCCTAGTCTCCCACCCAGACGACAAGTGTCGATTCACGCATCACGAGCCAGCTTGCGCCAGATGCTGCTTCGCCTTACACCCATGCCTGCCCTGTGTACTGCCACCCTTGCCTTTCTCCAGTCTTCGGTCTTAGAACTGGTTATCTTCTGGCTGTCCTTCTATCAAGCTACCTAACTATGGTTATATCTGTCCAAAGGTTGGCCCGGGTGGAGTCCGCTGTGTTCCCCGACAGCTACCCTGGCCATGTCATTGACCCTTGAACATTACTCTGGAGCTCTAGCAGTACAAGCTGGTACTCTCTTCCAATTCCGACCGCAGCTGTTTCTAGAAATCGGCGTCTCTTACAGTTTCAAGTCCATACTGCCCTTTACCTTTGTGTATTACACAGATGACTCCTACCTTCGCCTCACTAATCAATGTGCGATTTGAGCCTCACCTTGGCCAATATCATCCTGGACTGCACTAGTTGTCCCCCCCCCCTTCACTCTTTTACTTTCTCAAGCATATAACCACCTCTCTGGTCCCTTCTATGGCTTCGATTGTTAGACCATTATCATAAGATCAAGTCTCATGCACCAAACTTCTTCTCTTCCCTTCCAGGACCGCCATCAAGATATTACTTTGGTTGCGGCCTATACTTGTTCTATCTTTACATCATCTACTTCCCTCCGTAAACTTATTCACAAGCCCTTGGCCCGTCCTCTTAAACACCCGTGGTTGCTGCCTTCTCGCTGATTGACTTGTACTATATCAGCTTCTTTGCTCAAGTTTCCCCTACCAACGAGACAAGTTTTCATCAGACACAATGGGATCCAACTACTGGAACAACAACAGTTGGTATGATGCCTCGTCACCACAGGACCAGGCCTCGTCACCATCTGGATACTCCTTCGACTATTATCAGTCACAGCCTTTGGTCAGATATGGTAGTTCTGGCAGTAACTCCCAGGCTTCCACCAGGGGCCCCGAGTCACCTACAGACGGCAGCTACTACACTCTGCATGGCTCACCAACTATGGACGATGCTGTTTATCAGCAAAGCCCTAGCTATCAACAGCATTATACCTCTGGTCAGACAAGGGCCGGAGAATCTTCTGTGCCACGGGGCGAAGCGTAAGTCCAGTCCCTATTATAAAATAGTACATTGCTAACTCTTGTGTTTCTCAAGTGGAAATGACTGGCCAGTCTCTTGCCTTCACCCTGGTTGTACTGCTCGCCCTTTCAAGCGTACTGCCGACCTCATTCGTCACTACAAGAACACGCATGCTCCCGAATCGAGCAAGGATGTCTATCTGTGTGACTATCCTCGATGCACTCGCTTTCGTGAGCCCTTCCACCGTCGCGATCACTTCCGAGACCATCTCCGCGAGTACCACTGTGAAGATATCATGAAGCGCGGCGCCACTGTTAACGAAGAGTGGCTCGAAGGTCGCTACACTCCTTCTACTTGGTGGCGCTGCCCCCGATGCCTTGTCAGAGTCAACATCTCAAAGCACGGCTACGAATGCCCCGGGTGTAAGACATCGTGCGAGTCTAAGCGCAAAGAGAAGCGCCGCAGTCGATCTTGAGGTGTGTGGGCAGAGATACGGCCTTGCCCATACAATCAGCCAACCACGACGCACCAAGCATCGCATTGGATGGCTTGAAACTACACTTCTGTTTCACTCTGGGCTTCTTCTATCAGCAAGCTTACACAGACAAACCAGTGGCATAGTACTGATCGCCAGCTCTGCATTATTGCTTTGGCCAGCTCACCGACACTCAGCACCATCTCGCCATTAGCCTAGCTGAGCAGCCAGCAGCTCTTGTATACATATTGTTACATCAAGGACAACAAAACAACCTACGCAAGGCATCTTTTTTCTTTTTGTGCATAGACATGCAGCGAGGAAACCATTTTCTGCAACCGTCTTCGAAGCCAGGCTTTCTCAGCCTTGGCCTTTTCCCTTCCTCATTCCTGGCATCCACACTCACACTCTCTAAGACATCCTCAAGATCAGCAAAAACGCCTATGCGTTGCAGATCTTATCCCCACTGGGGGGTTGCATCACGCTGAGGCTGACTTGAGAGAATTGTTCTAGAAGCGGGGCTGTTTGCGGGGATTATTTCAGCGTGGCTGTGTGTGTCATGCACGATGCTTCTGTCATGCTTCCATTCCTTCTTTCGAGTTTCCCTTCTTGGCTAAGACTTCTGGGGTCTTACTGGGGCCTAAGACTCTACTGAAGGCACCGAGATAAGACGTCTTGGTTATTGGGGGGGGATGATGATCACGCAGTGACGTTTATGATGATATATGAGGTCGATCCTATTTCTTAGAGGCTGGTGTTCTTTACATAGACGGTGGGGATTTTGTTCGTTCTACACAGTTTTGGTTTCTGGCGCATTTAGAGGATTTCTTTTTCTGTATACACCCTTGTTGTATTTTACATGTACATATGATCCCATGATACCTACAGTGTCCTACCTCGGAAATGTTAGAATTGTTGTTATCTCTTTGCCCTTCAATGTGACACACATCTACTGTGGTATTTCCCCTGGCTTAAGCATGTGTGACGAGGCAAGAGACGAGTTGCAATCAGGAGGCTGATCAATCCTAAAGGACCCCTGTCTAAGGTACGTGGATGTTGTACCGTGTTCCCCGCCATACCTCAAATGTAGTGGATGGCTTCCACAGCAGCCGGGTGTCTTCCCCAGGTAACATTGCGCGATATGGCGCACTACATTTCCAGCTCGTGACCACATACGTAGTTTGCGGCTTTTCTAGTCTGGAGTCCCTGGACGTCCTCTGACTCACTTTGTGTCGATGCACTAGAAAGAAAGGTAAGGGACAATTTGCCTCAAATCTTCAAAGTTGCAATTGCTTTCGCCCCGTCGGATGAGCAAGGTTCGATCGAACTCAGCTAAAAGCGCAGGAAGAAGTATCATGAAAAAATAACCAGCTTTCTCGATTTGGTCTGTTTCCATACATCTTTCGAAAAATATAGGTTTGTGATTCTGGAGAAAGTGGCTGATATGATGGTTCCAGCTAACTTTCTGTTAATCATCTTATCTCCGAACCCCTAAAGTTAGTCTTCCTCAATTGGATCGTCATTGTAGTTTGGCATGGTGCGGAAATCAGGCCGCCCCTTATCCCTGCGCCTTCTAGATCGTTGCCGTCTTCCCTTGCTCCGTGGCGTATCCAAGTAAACTGGCAATTTGGTGGAGGGGACGTCACTAGCTAATCGACCAACAAAGTGCTGCGGTTGATAGAACTTGAACTCGGCATGCAGCGGTTGAGGCGAGGCGGGTTGAGCAATGATAGAGTCGGTCGCGTCCGCGATATCTACCCTTGCGGCGGCTTCCGATGACGGGGCTTCCAGCTCTGCGCCCGGTAGATCTTGAATTTGGTCATCTGCCAAAATAAAGTTACGTCCTTCCGTTGTAGGTGTTTCTCCTCGGGATGCTGAAGGGGGGTCTGCGATATCGCTTGGAGGTGCGGTCGAACATGAAGGCAAGGATGATTCTACAAACATCCGGGGAACATGTGGCTTCTTCAAACCCAGTGCGCATTTTGTTTGTTCATGTGCCTCCTCTCGAGCCTTTCGGCTGGTCTCAGCGCTATCGTTATCAAGAACGAACTTCTTCCAAATTTCGTCTTCGTCGTCAGCATTTGGTGTTGTTTCTTGCTGTGTTTGGTCCTCAATATTTCGCTCCTGCTGTTCCTCGCTAGCAGTCAAGAGATCTAGTAGGTCTTGAACATTGGGAATCACAGGCATGAAGGAGCCCATTGAGAGAACCAGGTCGCTTCTAGTTTTGAGATTGGTCTCACTTCTTTCGTAGCTCGAGCTTTTAAGTAGAGCGTAAGGACTTGTTGCTGGCGGGAGAGTAGCAAATGGGTCTCTTGCTTGAAGCTCAGGTAGCTCTTGTTCGTCGTCTAATGGCTCGTGTTGGCTCTCAGATGGAGGTATGCTAGATGGGTACGTTTCCGAAGACCTTAGTTGTGGCTCTTCGTTCGCATGTGATGAGTTCTGTCCTTGATTTTCGCTGCTTATCAGATTTTCTATATGCGACTTGTCATTGAAGGTGTTCATATAGTTGCTTAGACTTGGGCTGATGGGTCTTGGAGGCCCCTTATCTCGACTTGGCTGAACGGGCTGCTGTTGTCTCGGTTTCGTTGTTGATTCCAACCACATGTTCCATCGAATGTCTTCGGCTGTGATCCTATCAGAAGGTTTTGGGGTACCCAGAACAGCTACGGCACTTGCACCTTCATCCAACTCAGGAGACTTAGCTTCAAAGACCTGGTGTCGTCGCCGAGTTGGCTGTGGCTGATGGATGATAGGCGCATGAGTTTGTACAACGTATCTTGGTTCATCAGTTTCTCTTGCTAACCATTCCTCCTGACCCGGGAAATGTACTGCAGATGAAAGGCTCGTGAGTGGATTACTTCGTTCGTTATGGGTTTGAGATCCATGAAAGTCGTGGGCTCTTGGTGGCCTCTCCCGATGATGACGAAGACTGCGAGATTGCTGGTAAGATACAGACGCCTGGCTCGTAGCATTATTGGATTGTGGGATCTCGAGACGGGATATTAAAATTTGTCGTGTGGCAAAGCTTCGTACTGAGTTACTATCCCTGCTCCATCGCAGATTTTGACTTCCAATGTTGATCTCTATGTCGTTCTCGGAAAGTCGACCTAGCGTTCTCTTGTTGGGTTGATCCTTCGGATCAGGACTGTACATCGATCGGTGGTCACTCCTGGAGGTTGGTTTCGCAAGCAACTTAGTGGATCGATCCCTTTGTTGGGAGAAGTCAACCGTTACAGGCTTTTGAGTAATGACGCCGGTCCAATCAGGCTTCTCTAATAGCCTGCGTCTTTTGGTTGCTATGGCCAACTCTTGCTTGTCTTTGTCTTGCGGACTTGTCGGGGAGCTCTCGGCTTCTAGCCCCTGATTTCCGATACGTGGCTCTCTCCCTCTTCCATTTCTTTTCTTGTGTGAGTTTTCTGTCTCGGATTGTCTATGTATACGCTTTCCTCTTGTTGTTCTTTGCTTCCGGCGAGGGGTCGAGGAGTTCGACTGACGACCTTGAGATGAAGTTGGCTGTGGAATATAATCAGGTACGAAAGATGAAATATCAAGGCCCTTGCTTGTAGCTGGAGCATTCTTTCTCGCTCTGGCTTTAGCAAAGTATTGCTTTTGTCGGGCAGCGTCTTTATCCCAGCCTTTTCGACGAGAATGGCGGGCGAGAGCGCCTTCAGTCCAGTTCATCGTGGATTAAGAGATCAGCCCTTCCGTGTGTGTTCAAGGTTGAGGCTTAGGTACTGAAGATTGCGTCCTTGACTAATAATTTTATGGGGGCACGTGAAAAGTTGATGCAATATGGCAGTTATCAACAACATCGTAGCTGCCATCTCCTGACATTGGAAGCTCACTTGCCCACTTTGGATTGCACAGTAAGCGTCCAAAATTTGATGGTATCTTTTGACTGACAGAAAACCGATACCCTCAATCCTTCAAAACCAAATTTAAGAAGACTGATCTTTCGGGTTGATCACAGCTCGAGATAGGTGAGTGTAACATTGTTGGACTCATCGAACAAATACAATGGATTGTCATCCCGAAGCCAACATGCGGTATATTAGTGGACTAATGAAATAGGTTCAGTAAAACATGACTCTCAATAATTTTATATCAAGAACCCTCAGAATTTGTGATACTACATAATACATCATGGTACTCTTGATCTCATGCTAGGAAATGTGTTTTGCTAACTTACACGATCATCTACACGGTGTTAATTGGTGGCCTAGAACACGTGCACGGTGCATGCTCAGGCCAGCTAAGCTTCAACGTGATGACGGAGCTCCCTTGAATCGAGTCCCTGAACGTGGAGCTACATCTCCATTAGCATTTAGCGCCAAGACGACACATTTCAACAAGAACGACAACGCACCTCATACAGAATTGAATTATATACACTTAAGCCAAATAACACCTCATCATGGCCGATGCAGAAGAGAAGGCCCGCAAGGAGAAGATTGCTGCGGCCAAGAAGCGTGTTCGATTACCCCTCCCTTCTTATCCTGGCTACTTTCGCTAACATTGCGACATAGGTCGAGCAATTGAAGAAGAAGAATAATAAGAAGGCCACTCCAGCAGCAAAGCAAACAAAGCCAGAACCAGCCGAAATCGCCGCGCCCGAACCCGTCGCCGAAAAGGCTGAGGCCGCCCCAGCGAGCGAAGAGAAAGCCGTCGAAGAACCCAAGAAGAAGGCTCAAGAGAAGCCACCTGCTAAGGAACCCGCGCAGCCACTTAAAGTGGAAACCCAGGAGAGCAGCGACGAAGACGACGATAGCGATGAAGACAGCAGCAGTGACGAAGAGACCTCGGCTTCCGCTACCCCCTCTCTCGCCCAACAGTCGAAACTGAGATCTACATCATTTCGTGCCGGCTCCATTACCTCAGGAGGTGCTGCGCCTGCCAGCCCTTTCAGTCCCGATGGAGAAACTGCTCCAGATATCTACAGAAAGCACATGGCCAGAATCGAAGAATTAGAAAAGGAGAACAAACGTTTATCTAAAGAGGCGGCGGACTCGGAGAAGCGATGGCAGAAGGCCGAAAACGAATTGGCCGACATACGCGAGGCCGATGGTGAAGATACAGAAAAAGCAGGTGGACACGAAGATGGGCTTTTGGATAGTTTGGTAGGTGATAATGCATGCAACCACAACCGCACTCAATCCGCTAACTCTTTCATAGAAGAGCCAAGTCGCCTCGCTTCAACGTCAAAACACCCAGCTCCAACAACAGGTATCGCGAGGACCTGGTCATGGCCACCGTCCTTCCATGTCTGTGGCCTCACCTCCAGCAGATCTCAAGGCTGAGCTCGAGGCCAAGACAGCAACCATTGAGTCTATGGAAATTGAAATCTCGAAACTCAGAGCACAGGCAGAGCGACACGCCAGTGGATCGTCGTCCGAAAAGGAACAAGTTACTGCTCTGGAGGACAAACTAGCCCGTGCTGAGGCTGCAGCGGGTAAGGCTCAGCGCGAACTACAGGACCTCAAGCACAACCTCGAGAGGACAGCAGAGAAAGCAGTCCGCGAAGGTAGCGAACGAACAAGTGCTGAGACCAAGATCAAGACTCTCGAGCATGAGCTCGAAGAGGTCAAGAGCGCTCGCGATGAGCTGGAGAAGAAGGTTGAGGCATTGGATAAGAAGGCGACGACCCTGACTACATTACATAAGGAGCAAGATTCCCGCTTACAGGCGATCAAGAAGGAGAAGGAGAAGGCAGAACACGATGTCACAGAGTTGAGGGCACAGGTTGAGAAGCTTGAGAGCGAAAATGCAAAGCTCCGAAGCAGGAAGTCCATGGAGGGTGGCGGCGGATTAGACGATGAAGGTGTTGATGAACTTGAGGATGAGGAACGCCAGAAACTTGAGAGAAAGATCCGAGCGCTGGAGAGCGAAGTGCATGAGCTTCGAAGTGGAGCATGGATTGAGAAACGTCGCGAATTGGAGGCAACTAGTCCAGGCTTCCATGATGTCGACCTCTCTCCTGGACATGCGATGTCTCCAACTCAGCGTAGGAAATCGGGACCTGGAGGAGGAATTGGTGATTTCTTTACGAGTGGCCTCAACGCTCTCGCCGGTGGTAATGATGATGATTTCCTTGAGGACGACGATATGGACTTTGACGAGGATGCATTCCGCAAGGCGCAAGAGGAGGAGTCAAAGAGACGGATCGAGCGGATCAAGGAGATTAAGAGATCACTTAAACATTGGGAAGGTTGGAGGTTGGACATTGTTGAGAACAGGAGGGGAGGAAACGAAGGAGTTGGTGAGATCTTTGACGTTTGAACTGATGCTGGATGTTTGCAGTGTTGCTGGGTGGACGAGGCCCAAGTAAGGAATGTATTATTAGAATAGAAAGAGATTCCGGGACGATAAACGGAAAGGATATCGATGATTATTCTCAGCCGCTGTGGCATATCTGTTTCCGGTTTTGTTTCCGAGACCTCATGAAATATGAGTCGATAGTCTCCTACCCTGAGGTTGATAGGCCCGACAGAATGAAAGGGCACCTCGGTGCTACTACAGCAACCATTGGTTTCGACTGAATGAGGTATTTAAATGCCTGTTCATTCCTTCACTGCCGGAGGGCCCGTGAACTCTGATGATTCCCGCGGGACAAGTACGTATCCGACTCGAAGAACGGAACATAACCAGACACACAGCTGGTATGAAGCATGTTGGAAATATGCTTACCCAGAGGCAATGATTGAGTTGGAGCCATATTCGGAAGCTCACAATCACTACATATCCCGACTCTAAAACCCGGCATCGAGTGTCGGTATCTCATTCCTGTTGCTCGGACATCAACCGAATATCGTCCCCCGATGACGGCGCGGAGAGTGGATACCCTGACCGGAGATCCGAGTTGGAGAACGGAGATGCGCTCCGCGCCGAGATGCAAGAGGCCGGGAGGTGTTATTCCCGGTAGAGTGTGCCAAAAGGGTTTATATAAATCAATCAATATGAAGCTCAGAGCATCATCATACTACCTACACCAAATTGAGGTTCTGAGGCTTGCATCGGACCCGCTTACTTCCGGCTCATGTTTTAAGATCGACCACCTGTAACCGTATCAAAATGCAACTGAGAAGCTTCCAGCACTCGGCGACAGTAACACCGAGATGAGGCAAAAAACGAGAGCAGCTGTCATGCACGAGATGTAGCGCCTAATTTAAAGCCAAGCAGCCATAGCGTCCGGCGGTAGTCGTCGTCCCCCACTGAGCGGGGGACCAAGTGCGGAATCCATCGACACTAGTGTTAACCGTCGAGGCTGGGACTGGCTGGGCATTTTTTTCTCTCTGCTTGCAGCTTTTGATGCGGTGCCCCAGCTCGGTCAGGTACCGAGCCTCATCCCCAAAAGAACCTGGCAGGAAGAGAAAAGGAATACTCGAGACACACCCTGAGAGTTGGGGGGATGTAATGGAGGCTACGAGGGGTCTAAAGACTCTCGAAAATTATCGCGAGATGGTCAATTGAGGTGAAGTTGAGCTTCATGTTGGACAAGAACGTCATATGTAGACACTTTAGATAGAGAGACTCGACCCCTGTCATATCATAGCATGCGATTGTCTAAAAAGATCATGTCAGCCACGTTTGATATCCCGCACCGCATCATCCGTCTTCGGCCTTGGACCCTACAAGGCTAAAAGGAAAAGAGAACAGTCCGTTGTCGGAAGAATTGGATTTGAATGTTCCTTTGTCCTTCCTATTTCTCTCTCTCGATTTCGGCTCAAATCCCATCTCTACATCATCAACATTGTTTCTCGTCAACAGCTTCAGCACCAGAAGAAAACGACGTTTCGATCGAATCGAGCCTTGTAAGTGCAGCTTTTATATGTCACGTCGTTGCTAGCTTCGCTAGTTGTCAGTGGTCAATTGTCAGCCACAATAGGTGTCATGATACAGTTGTATCGTCATTGACCAACGATATTCCTCATGAGCATATTCGAAGACCACAAGGCTTCTTCTAGATTCGCCTCATCTAAGGATTTTAGCAGCTAAATACTATAGATCTGATCTCAGATTGGATCATACCTATTTCTGCTGAATTAAAGATGCACTACCAAAGCCTCGTGGTCTTGTCAGGACAGACATTTCCTAAAACTCACACCCCTCAAGATGCCAGAGGCAAAAGAAAACACTCAAAACATGAATCGCCTCATAAACCATTTCCCCTCTTCCCATTCTTGCTTACGCGCGCATCTGTAACTAACACCTGACGAAATTCCCCAGCTTCCAATCGACTAGCGGCGCCTCTTGATCAAATTCACCCCGTCTCATTGGGGGGAAACCACGCATCAATCACACCTGCCAACCTAACACTTACCCCATATTCTCCTTCCCCCGTCGCATCGTCGGTTTTCCTCTCGGACGCCGCACATCAACCGAAAACCTATCCTCGGTTGAAGTTTAGAAGGTGCAAAACCACACCCCAAGCACCTTCCTGAACCCGACCTCCGACCTCCACTTCCGACCCCAAACCAACCGCTTGCCCGTCCGTGTTGCAGTTACACCCCGCGCTGGGCACTTGCACTTGCAGTTTGTAACGACTAGCGACTCAAGGAAAGTCCCAAGTCGAGCCAAACTTCCGGCGACGATTCCCGAGTCCGGTTCCCGTACCTGCCTGCCTTACCGTACCAGACCCTTTTTATACCTCTTTTATAAACTCCCAACTTCTTCCTCTTCTTTTTTTTTCGCCCATCATGCCCGCCGCTGTCTTCGCCTCTTCCGTTCAGCGATCTCTTCTCTCGTCTTCGCTGCGCCGTGTCGCTATCACTTCATCCGCCGTCCGCCCTGTCCGAGCTTCCTTCGGTGCTATCCAAACCATCTCTCCCTTCGCCGTCCGCACAATGGCTTCCCACCAGAAGATCAAGGTCAAGAACCCCGTCGTCGAGCTCGACGGTGATGAGATGACCCGCATCATCTGGCAGGTCATCAAGGATAAGCTCATCCTTCCTTACCTCGACATCGACCTCAAGTACTATGATCTTGGTCTTGAGTACCGTGATGAGACCAACGATCAGGTCACCATTGATGCCGCCGAGGCTATCAAGAAGTACTCCGTCGGTGTCAAGTGTGCCACCATCACCCCCGATGAGGCTCGTGTCGAGGAGTTCAAGCTGAAGCAGAGTAAGTTAATTCCCATTCCGACCCTGTCTTAGTTCGCGTTGCGCCTCGATGTTCGCCCCGCCAATCGCAACCCCGCATACATGAGGCATGCAGGAAAAGCAACATGAGGGGAAACAAGCAGCAGCAAAGCGAATGAAACCTGCAGTAGTCAGCTTAACAAAATTGAATTCGGCTAACTTGCATGTCCAGTGTGGCTTTCCCCCAACGGAACCATCCGAAATGCCCTTGGTGGTACCGTCTTCCGTGAGCCCATTGTCATCCCCCGCATTCCCCGTCTTGTTCCTGGCTGGAAGAAGCCTATCATCATTGGCCGTCACGCCTTTGGTGACCAGTACCGCGCCAAGGACGCTGTCCTGCCCGGCCCCGGTAAGCTCTCCATGGTTTACACCCCCGAGGGTGGCCAGCCTCAAGAGATTGAGGTCTTCCAGTTCAAGAACGGCGGCGGTGTCGCTCAGACCCAGTACAACACCGATGAGTCCATCACTGGTTTCGCTCACGCTTCCTTCAAGCTGGCTCTTGACAAGGAGCTCCCTCTCTACATGAGCACCAAGAACACCATCCTCAAGAAGTACGATGGTCGATTCAAGGATATCTTCCAGGAGATCTACGAGTCCACCTACAAGAAGGACTTCGAGGCCAAGAAGATCTGGTACGAGCACCGTCTCATTGACGACATGGTCGCCCAGATGATCAAGAGCTCCGGTGGTTACATCATGGCCCTCAAGAGTAAGTCCACCCCTGTAGTCTGAACACTTGTTCAGGCTCTGCCTACTTAAAACGCATGAAAGCTAACATCTACAGACTACGACGGTGATGTCCAGTCCGACATTGTCGCTCAGGGCTTCGGCTCTCTTGGTCTCATGACCTCTGTTCTCATTACCCCTGATGGCAAGACCTTCGAGTCTGAGGCTGCCCACGGTACTGTCACTCGCCACTACCGTGAGCACCAGAAGGGTAACGAGACCTCCACCAACCCCATTGCCTCCATCTTCGCCTGGACCCGTGGTCTCGTCCAGCGTGGCAAGCTCGACGACACCCCCGAGGTTGTCGCCTTTGCTGAGAGCCTTGAGCAGGCTTGCATTGACACTGTCGATATTGACGGTATCATGACCAAGGATCTTGCCCTTGCCACTGGCAAGTCTGAGCGCAAGGACTATGTCACCACCAACGAGTACATGGATGCCGTTGAGCGCCGTCTCAAGCGAACCCTCAAGGAGAAGCTGTAAACGCATTGTCATCTGTCGTTTTTTTTTTACAGCCTCCCTTTAGCCTCTAATTCCGCTTCCACCTTCCTGGCCTCTTATGCCTCTGCAAAGAGTAGCCACTATTTCATGAACTCTTAAGAATCGGCGTCGAATATGTTGTCACAACCTGAATAGCATCTCACAGTCTTGAGAACCACAAGAGCGTCACCTCTTGCGATCTCTTGGCCACTCACTTCCTCAGCAGAAAGGAAGTTGGCGTCGTCAAGAGCAATCATGAACCGGAACCTTCTGCACAGACACATGCAGTTGGCTAACGACTTATGAAAAGCATTCCTCCATCGTCATTGTGGTTGGATAGGATGTTGGGTTTTTGAATATGTAAAAGCAAAGATTTGAGGAGGAGACAGCATGTATCATGCCACCGAGTATTGGAAAGCAGATGTCCATGTAGAAAGCAAGCTTGTTCTTAGCATATAGACAAGATGGGATACCCAGCCCTGCTTTATAGTTTTCTTCACCTAGATCTTCCCCGGCCATTCGCATTGTGACCACTCGTTCCCCGTAGTGCATTCCTCCTAGTCCTTCTTTAGTCGCGGATCAATGGGTGGTAGAGTCATAGGATGTACTCAAATTGAGCTTAAAGCAAATCTATTGGACCTTGAAACTTGTCCCTGCACCTCTTCTCACATGTACGATACATTCAATGCACAGCTGCTCTTGGTAGATGCCGCTTCTGACGCCTCTTTTTGTCATACTGCTTGCTGTCAAACCTCGGTAGTTGTCCGTAGCTAGCGTAACCGACACCCAATCTCCAAAATAATTCCCTGTTTCAGAAAAGCAACAATAACAACCAACTCCCTATTTCCCTTTTCCCCCTTCCAAAGAAAACAGATGTGCGTGTTCCTAGCTTCAGCGTCTGTATGCAGCCCCGTGGTGGGGAATGCCTCGGCTTAAGCCCGCACGTGTATATAAAAATGAAAAGGATCGTATAAAAGGCTGACATCAAAGGCTGACAAGTACAGAGGATGAACACACCCGCAGGCCCGGGTTGACCCGACCGAGATGGCCTCGGTTGGCCGGAAGGAAAACCGCGGTTGTCAAGGCATGCGATTCTGATGCCGGGGATTTCGCATACATACGGATTCTGTCCGTAGGGCTCCGTTCTTCGATTTCGATAGTAATACAATTTTGCAAGCTTTGACCATACAGTCGAGAGCGGCTACTCTCGCTCTAACAGTAGTACCCTCATGGCAAGGTTGCGTGTTTGGACACAGACGTATCTGTTCAGCCCTATGCCGGACCTATTCAGCGGAGGCTAGAGGAGCCTCCTTGTCTTTCTTAGACTTGCGTGCGCTTGGTGTCCCTTCTGCTGCTTCGCTCTTACGCTTCTTCTTCGTTGGTCGTGTTGATGAGCCACGAGGCTTGTATCCCGTGTCGTCTTCTGCATTTCTCTTGCGCTTGCCCCTAACAGCAGGTGTTGAGGCAAGCTCCTGATCCTCATCCATGCTGGCGTCCACGTCGCGATCTGCGGCTGCTGCTGAACGAGCTGCAGCACTGACACGCTTGCCCCTTGTGCTGGCTCTTCCGCCGCGCTCACCTCGTGACCCACGCGTCTTACGCCCACCGGTGTGACCACCTTCAGCATCGTCTGCGTCTCCATGTGCTTCTCCGTCCTGGAGGAAAATCTTGGGAGCGTGTTTGCGCAGCCAATTTGTCACACTTGTAGGATTCTTAAGATGTGGATGTGATTGATGATTGCCAGGATGAGCGCGGGGAGCGAGTGTAGGAAGCATATTCTCAGGGTCGAGGGCCATATCGATTTCGTAGATGTAGTTGTCGATGTCATCGGCAGATAAGAAATCGGCAGGATAAGTTTCGCCATCGACAGCCTTAAGATCGTTGATGATTTGTGGTAATGTCTCCTTGGCGCTGCTGTATGATGAATGTGGTACACTCTTAACAAGGTCTTCAAGCTTCTTCTTGGGCGTGTCTTTATGTAGCTCATGTTCTTCATCCAGGGGATGGACAAGCGCATCGGCTTGGGATGGAGGCTCGAGGGATACATCGACTTGTTTCTCTGGAGGAATTTGGGGAGAATTGTTGATTTCGAGTAATAGATCCAATAAGCGGCTATTGATAGTAGGTTAGTATCGTGTCTGCTGGTAAATGGTTGATGGACTGGAGATAGCCTACTCGTTCTCTACAGCCAAGCGCTTGACCAATGCAGCAGCCTTGTCTTCTTGCTTGTGCAACTCCTCACCATCATGCATCTTGTGATCGAACACGATGCGCATCTTTCTATACTTCTTCTTCCATGATTTGTATCCAGCGCGATGACGAGTGGCGCCCTCAGTTTTCACGGGGGACTCGTCCATTGCGAGGGAGGCTGTGATCGACGCGCGATCGGGCGAGAGATATCGTCAATGAAACGCGCTGGGGGTTGCGAATATAATCGAGATACGAAATGATCAATCGCGTGGTGTTTGTTGATGATACGAGTTGGCGATGTTGTCGATGCTGAAGGAAACAATGGGACAAGCAGAGAGTGACAGGGTTTGCCAATAAGATTTGATGTTTTGGCGCATTCAGTTCTGTTCAGGGCCAGGCCAGGCCAAACCAAACCAAACCAGGCTGTGACGGGACCTACGGGTCTCTTCAGGTGGTGTTGTTCTCACATTAGATCGGTACGTACCTTACAGTAGCTCAGGCACACTTGGCAGTTGCCCCAGATCAGCTTCTCCCAAGCCTGGTTCTAAAATGTTCCGCGTACCAACTCGGAGAGGCTTAGGGTAGCACGCGACAGTAAAGGAGACTTTGAGGATGTCACAAGAGGTGTAAGATTGATGAAAGAAGGGGATTGAAGCAAAATGTCCTCATTTGATTGCTTGCTTTATTGTGCTACTTATCATTATTTCGGTCAGCACACACAGCTTCAGTCAACAAGGTACTTAGTGGTTCAGACACACATCAACAGCATACCATTTCACTGTCGACGAATTGTCTGAGAGTACCTTGCAAAAAATAGTTTGAAGTCAGGTTGCAAGCTTTTATTGTGCCTCCTCATTATCTATTCTTTAAAGCCAAAGCATCATGATGCTACCTCCTTTCCTAGTGTGTCTAGTTCCTCCTTAATGAACTCTGCAGCATTCACCATCTCTGTGCTGCCATATACAACCCTCTTCTTAGCCCTGTCGCCTCCTGCTCGACTCACCCACTCCTGCAAGTTACCATATTCATCCATGCTGCCACCGCCAACTGTAAAAACGACGGCTTCACTGAAGCCTTGTCTTCTTTGACCAAAGCTAGCAGTCTGTCCGGGCACTTGGGAGCCAGGCATGCCGCCTGGAGTAGCTCCAGCGCCAGACCGCATAGCACTTGGTGGAGGCATGGTGCCTCGAGCATTGGCGGATCTAGGATCGTAGTAGAGGTAGTGCTCTGTCTTGGCAATAGCTGAAGAGGAGGCTGACGAGGGGTCCATGATCGATTCGACGATCTTCGTAACTGTAAAATCGCGATCGGCAGGGAGGAAGTTTTTCACACCGCTGATGAGACTCTCAAAGTTTGATGACAGACCAGTGGGCACTCCTGATTCTTTGAGGCGGTCGGTGAGACGAGATGACATAGACGAGAAGCGGCCGAAGAGATCTGAAGTTTGAGCAGGCTGAGCAGTGTTGTTGTTGATGGTAGTGAGTTGTGTCATCTTGGTTGTAGCGCGAACCCTGTCCTGGTCAGTATGCGCAAGACAAATCATTGCTTTAAACACTTACTGTCGAACATAGGGCAGACATGATACATCCGCGCCAGCTTCTGAGAGGGCCTTCTCGAAACCCTCGAATTCTTGTCGACTCACTTCTTGTTCTGTACTCAAGTACCAGATGATGAACAATCGCAGCTTATCAACGGGTTCGGAACCCTTGGTACTGTCACTAAGAATTTCCATAATCTGAGGTTTGGTCTGCTTCACAACATTCTCCTCCAGTTGGAAATAGTTGTCAAGCTGGCGGTCCTTAATTCCTGTCAACAAAGCCGCCAGGATGTTCATATGCATGTCGAGAATGCCTTTGCGCTCTCTCATTTCAGGAAGCAACGTTATTGCCTCCTTGAGATGCTGAGCGCTCGCGCTGGTATCGGCCTGCAAGTCTTCGAAATTTGTAACACCAGTCCTTTTCGTAATCGCAGCTGTTTCTTCTTTGTATTTGGTCAATTCAGCATCGATGTCCTCCGCTACTTGAGGGAAAGGACTGCCGGCGTTTTTGGCCCAGAAGAAGTCGTTTGTAGTCAAATCGTAGCCCTTCTTCGTGGGGCCCTTGGCAGGGTTTCCTTCCTCCGCAGGGCTTTCGATGGTGATGCGATTGAGCTTCATGTTGAGAACATCATGAACCAGACTTTGATATGTCCAAGAATGAGAAAGCATTGGCACCAAATCAATGTTTCGATCGAGAAGAATGAGTACGGGTCGGGAAGAGTGAGTACTGGATGAAGCGTTTGTTCGCGGCCCTGAGAAGAGGTTGTCCTTTGAGTTGAGGATATGATCTCGGAGTTTTCGGTCGAGACGCGCGGCGACCATCTCTGCAGCAGCGCCTTTGGGGCATCGGATAATGGGAATGACTCCTGTAAGATTTATCAGCATATTGGGTTTGAATACAGAATGTCCGGCATACCCATAGTAGCAATCACACTGAAGAGACCGCTAACAATCTTATCCACTACGCGATCAAGCTCCTCGTCGCTGGTGGCTGCACTGTTCAATGCCCAATACGTATGCTCTTTTTGCATGCCCAGACTGAATAGATCTGGTTCAGCGACAATGAAATTTAAATATTGGTCAAACAGTTGAGCAATATGTTCGGATGTTCCAGCAGCAGCAGTTTGTGTAGCGAACTCCTCGAGAAGGACACGGGGGAGGGAGGAGAGGAAGTTGATGTAAGCGGGAGTGTAAAGTCCCTTCTGCAAGTCGGATGTAATGGCTTGGAGGTTTTGCGCATTCGGTTCGAGGAGGTAGATGACTGGGACATCGGGGATAGGGTGCCTTGCGCCGCCAATGTGCCTGCGCAGCTCATGTTAAACTTTGTATATCTTCGTGAGGCTCGTCGACTTACATGTGCATGGTTACGCCCATTGACCGCAAGTCGCTGACGCGCATAACACTGCTGATAACATCCCGACCGAGGTCATCAAAGACCAGTACCTTCCAGATAGGGTTGCCATCAGCATCGAGGATAGGCGCAACAGGAGCAAGTAGACCGTTGGCATGGGCTTCGTCGGCCTCGGAGGATTCGACACTCTCGTTCAAGTTGAGGATTTTCTTTAGCGACGCTGAGAAAGGCATTAGTCGAAGAACGAGGGGCGCACTGAGAGTTCAGCATCACAAACCTATTTGGCGATCGCGCAGGGAGTTTCCCTTGGTTGCCATACTGGCAGATGACGTCGGGGCGTCGAGAGCTTAAGGTGGTGGTAGTGGGATGTAATTCAGGAGAATGGCCAGGTCGCTTGTTCACAGCAGATTCGATTGTAGGAGGAAACGTATGTCGAAACAAGATATTGTAGCCTTAGAGAATCCTAGGTACAGAATCTTCAGTCAATCTTCAACTCAAGAAATCGTATCGATTTGGTTGATGGCAGCTTGAGGCCACGATCCAATACTACGGTTGCTGGAAAGCTCCCCCGACGGCGCGCAAGCTGGAAGCACGGACCGATACAAGCGCCGACACGATTGGACATGGAAAGTGCCACGGTGCTGGGCCCGCTGGTTCCAAAGGGGCACTTGCCAGTGCAGTTGCCCACCGTCATGATTGTGTTTGTGCCTGAAATATGGGGCCACATCATAGCCAAACACGTCCAGGTCCGTTCTCTGAGTTCCATGCGAAATCGCCAGGGACTTCTCTTCATTCTCTTCGATCCGACGACACTTCATCAACCACCATCAACCATCGCGACAAACGCTGACTGGCGCTCAGCAGGTCAAACGCGTTTATATATAAGCTGCGCTTGGTATTTTAATTCCCATCTTTGTGCTCATCCTCCGGATCTGCGCCCACGTCAAACGCCTTGTGCTGGCGAACCAACGAGTCACCCTTGTGCTGCTCTCTTTGCCTCTCCGACAGGTCACACCTCCGTTCGATAATGTTGTAAACACCACGCGACTTGCGCAATATACAGATGGCATAGAGCTACTCTGCATCTTTTGGTAGGAAGACGGACAGAGTTACTGTACTGAAGGAACCTTATCTGAATCAAAGGGTATGCCCAAACTTGACCCCATTCCCTTTTCCACCCTGCACCAATCAACCTCTTTACCTCTGTCGCGTCATTCTGCATGGCTGGGTCATCCCGCCATCATGAACCAAAGCAGCAACGTTGTATCTGTGATTTCTCTATAACAATGGAACCAACCACTTGGACTCTCTGCAGCATTTAAATTGCGAGATGAGAAGATGGTTACCGTCGTGGAGACTTGCTTGGAGATAAAGCTCCTCAGCATCGTCTTCTAGGGGCGAAGAGCTGTGGCGGCTGGGTAACCCAGAGAGGTCCAGGCGACGAAAACCAGGCATCTACAATCTGGCCAGTTTGCAGGCGAACGCGCACCTAAAAAAGCTGCGGCACGAGTATTTGATGATATAAAGAGCATTCATTCATTCATTCATACAGAGTCAAAAAGGGCGTCATGGCTGTTGATCATCGTCTTTGCGACGTTGCAGGCGCCTGTCTTTTCAGGCGCTTGTTTGGGTACAGGGGCTGGAAATAACGCTGTTTTCAGCTCCAACTTCTGCTCAGCGGCACCCCAAGACAGCAACATCACAGGGACTACGCTACACTAAAATGCGGGTGAACACGCATCTGAAGGAAACAGTGGCTCCACCACCAAAGTCATTCCAGAATGCCACTATTTACCAACAAAGCAATCTGAATTGCTTCAGCGATCAAATTATTGCGACAAAGCCAAGTTTCTAAATCTCGCTTCGAGTTTATCATTCTCGATTTTTTCTCGAGTTGCTTTGTCGACGAGCCTGTCGCACTCAATTCTTTGTCCAACCTTTGATCAACCAGCCATACACCCTTTTTCTAAACCACCGGCCTTTTAATGGAAGATGGATGGATGCTCTTTATCAACGCTCTCTACGCCTTAATCTTACAGAAATCTCACGAGAATCCCTTTATATTATTCTTCACATCACTTATTACACTACCGATCTTCTAGTTCTTGTTGCAGACTTTGCTGATGGTTTTTTTTGCTTTCTCTAGACTTTCAGATTCATTCACCTTGTCCCTTTCCCCAAAGACCTGGACCCTTGTCAGCCCGTCCATTTATCGACTAGCGTACTTCTATGGTGGGCCACCTGCAGCTGCGATAGCCGAAAGCCTCTCCCTAACAGCAAGACACTTGCATAAAGTCTCTTGTCAGCTTAATTTCTGTATGTCAGTACATTATTTCTCGCTTTTCAGATACATGAATGGTAGCTCCAATCAAGGCTACGTCAACCCCCAGCCACACCTTCGCGTTGTTGCGCGAGGCTCAACTGCCTTCCTTATTTCCTTCATCGCATCCTCCGCGTTTACACATTCGCACCTCATCTTAAGGTAGCAATGATTGCTAATACCATGCACTAGCTCTTAAAGCTGTTCAACATAATTGATCCTTGGTCTCTGTGGTCGTATTGCTGTTGTAGCAGCTGCCTCTTCTAAACACAGCATCTATCACAAGATGCAGTCTTGGTCAAACAATGGCCAAAACGGCGCCGATGAGACACAGCATCAATGGCACAATAACTATGCCTTTGCAGGCCAAAACGGCCAATTTGACCCTCATCAGCCTTGGTCACAGCCTGTGAGCGAGCAGGCAGCCTACTCACAACTTAATCCTCAAGATGCTTCCCCGTCAAACTTTTTCGACTCTGATCAAAGTCACCCCTTTCTCTCAAACACTCTGCATGACTCTCAACAGGACCAAGCAGGCTACCACCCAAGCCATGACTCTCTCTCTATGAACCAACAATTTTCACAACAGTCACAAGATGTAATGGAGACAGATTTTAGTGGAATTCATCCTGATATCTACGGTCAACACGGCAAAATGAACCTGGATAGCGCCATGGCTGGCATTGGACAACTATCAAGTCATCCTCATTCTACCAACTTCCCATATTCTATGGCACCACAAAATGAGTCATCCTTCGAACCTTCTATCCAGCAGTTTTCTCAGCAACATGTAATGCCACAAACAAGTAGGCAGCAGAGCCATACACCAGTGCAGCAGTTTGACGGCATCTCGTCTGCTTATACCCCAGGTCATAATTTCAGTCGACCGCCCCAGCCATCCCCGGTCCAGAATCAGCAACAGTACAACCAAGCTGCTTTTTCACCTCCAGTGAACGGCCAGACGCCTCAACCACGACCGAATGAACAACTGAACTTCCAACAAGGTCACCCGCAAGCACGACAGCAACCTCAGCCTCAACAGCAACCTCCTAAGCCTCAACAGCAGATGCAACAAAACCAACCGCAACCACCACCACCGCAGCCTCAGTTCGCCCCCAAGCAACCTGTGGTCTATCCCCAGACCTCGCAGCCTTTGCCTGGCCAGAACTTCCAGCAATCGATACATCATCAGCAGCCATCCCACTTCATCAACAACGCCACATCACCACCCACAGCTAACACTCAATACATTTTGTCACAACCAAGCACGAATCAAGATACTGGGGCCCTTCAACCCGCGACGAACGAACCGCCTCCTAAGAAGAGGAAGCGAGTAGCTAAGACAGAAATCAACACTCCTACTCCCACTCCGGAGCCCACTGCAGCATATGTCGACTCGCCTGTTGGGTCTCCTGCTGTGAAAAAGATTGATGATCTCGATGGCCTCTCAGCTCCGACTCCCACGCCCGAAGAAGCCCAGTTAATCAATCAGTTTACTAAGCGCACTAAGGCCGCCCAAGCCAAATTTCCTGCTATCAAGGGGCTTCCTCATTTGGTTCATGAGGGAACAATTAAGCTTCCCGCACCTAAGAGCTATGATAAGCTTGCCCCTCTCGTGGCACTGCCAGCTCGTAGCGGAAGACAGATGGTCCCCGAACTTGGTTACAGTCTTCCATGTGAAGTCCAGGGGCGTTTCACCAGCCAATACCGCCCCTCTCCAGATAAGGGTGGACTTGATGAGAGGCGCATGGAGGCTAAGGTGCTTTTGGATGACTTTGATCGTTCCATGAAGGGCTTAGGCAAACGGCGTCCCAAATACACGGAGTACCCGCATGCTTTCAAAGAGCAACTTAAATCTGATGAGGCTTCGAAGAACAAAGCCGAGAAAAAGGCAAAAAAAGAGCTTGAGGAAGAGCGTGGTAAGCCAGTAAGTTATCCGGTACAGTCTTTCGTAGGCCTTATGACTAACCATGTCCAGATCCGCGCAGCTACTCGCCCAGCCGACCCTGCTGAAGCTGCTGCCTGGGATGCCATCGGGATGGTGCACATCGAGCAGTCTGTTGCACGTACCAATGCCCTGATTGCAACTCGCGTTCAACAAGCAGGCGAGTATTTCATCAAACTTCGCAGCGAAATGAACCGTGCCAAGCAGGAACTCGACCAAGCTATCAAGGACAAGAAGCCGGAAGGTGTGATTGCAAGGGAACGACAGGACTTTGAACAAAAGAAAGAAATACTCTACCGAGCTTTGGACGCCACTATCGAGCATGCAGATGATGCGGTATTGGATAACCTTGGCGGTCACCAAAAGCTAGTTTTAAGTTTGGTGAATGCGCTCATCATGTGTATCAAAGCGAGTGACTTTTCGGGAAAGCTCCCCAAGATTGTCCTTGAGATGTTTACACATTTTCCTATGACGAAAAGGATCGCTGAGACAACAAACTTTGAAACAGTGAGGAAACGTTTTGCCGACAAGGGAGACTCGGAGGTCAAAGAGCTTGTATCAGAGATCACAGTCAAAGTCAAGAAGCTCAAGGCCAGTGAGCCCGAAAGCACAGGCTATCAAGGCACTTCTGCGTCAAGCAGAGCGAAGGCTAAACCGGGGATGGAGCCTTCAGCCAAGCGTGGGCGAGACGAGGAGGCTGAAACAAGAACGGTTAAAAAGATTGCAGTAGAATCTAGCGGCAATGCTCTTAGCAGGAAACTTGCGCAGCCCAAGATTCAACTTCAATCAGCATCCAAAACCAGTGCAGCAAAGGCAGCAGCAGCTTCTATTCTGCCTGGCAAACCCAGACCAGTAGCCAAACCTGCACCAAAGCCTGAAACCAAGGCAGACGTGAAGGTCATAAGTGACGACAAGATAAAAGCAGAAGCGAAGCCACCGCGAACTGAGACGAAACCACCGGTACCTCGAAATGGGACCACTACCGCTCCGACCTCAAGCTCAGCCAGCGCCCTGTCCGGCATTGCTTCGCTCTTGGACTCGATCAACGCACCAAAAGCCGAGGCTCCTGTTGCACAGAAGGAGACAAATGGGTCTCAAACCTCCGAATCACCTGAAGAGAAGGCCAAGCGTCTCCGGAAAGAGGCTCGCCGTAAACTTCGAGTCAGCTGGAAGCCTGAAACTGAGCTTGTTCAGATTAGGATCTTCCAGAAGGAAGAAGCTGAGGACGAAGGACGAGAGTCGAACATGACCCGAGATGCCGCCGACGACCGATCTGAAGGAATGGTACTCAAACAGCGTGCGAACGTAGAGGAAGAAGAGGATGACGAAGACGTTCCTTATCAACCTTGGATGGGACCTGTCGCAATCGACTTCTCTAGGCTACCAACAGACGTCCGAAACAAGAACTTTGTTACCCGAGGTGGTAATGTCACCTTTACAACAGATGAACAGCAGCGCATTGCGGATAGGGAGCAACGGGAGCTCATGGCTATCTATGCTGACCCCGATGACATACCGCCCTCACCCAAGTCACCGATGCCCGAGGCTACTGGAACTGGTCAACAGAAGACTCAATATCTGCCTGATGATTCAAAGTTCCAAGAGATCCAGCTTCGATGGCGCGATGAGCAGCAAATGGGATCTGATGGAGCACTCTACACGGCCCTACAACGCATCGAGGCAAAGAACAATCCAGGAACTCGTCTCGATTCGATTCTGGGCAACCTCCGGGGCGCCTCAGAGGCGCCCCGCACATCCCCTCAACATGCCTCTCACTCACAGCACCATCCGGCCCTGGCTAATGATACTCTACCTCTTATCGCTGGCCGTGCCGTGTTGGAACAGGTCATTGCGGTGCTCAAATCCGACAAGGTCAAGAGCTGGCGAGACTCTAACCCAATCACGAACGATGCCTGGCGTGCCTTTCATTACTCTGACATGCCTACTCGCCTTTGCGGAGGTGCCATTGAAGGTGTGGCCAAGTCTCTCTCAGGCATGCCATTTCCCAGTAATTCGCCTCCAGAATGGATTCTCCATGATCAAGAGAAGGTCCGCGAGTGGCAAATGGGGCGCAACAAAGAACTGGCATCTCGACAGAAAAGGGCAGACGAAGAACGTGCGCGCGCAGAAGCGGAGGCCAACGCCCTGCAAGCAGCAGCTGTCGGTGCTTCGTCTGGCCAAGCCCCAGCCAATCCTCAGGACTGGGCGGCCTATTATGCTCAGCAACAACAGGCTTATGCCCCTTACATGGCTTTGTTGCAGCAAATTCAGCCCCAGCCCCAGACGACAACTGCACCTGCACAGCAGCAGCCGCAAATTCCTGATACCCAGCTCCAGTCTATCCTGGCCGCTATCAACCAGCCGTCGCAGGCTTCAGGCCAAGACTCGACCGCGACCTCAAATGTTGCTTCATATCTCAACCCCAACGATCCATCATACCAGCAGTACATGATGCTCAGCCAAATGGCACAAGGGCAGCAAGTCCCGCCTCCGCCTCCACCACCCGCAGCGGAGCGAGAATGGGATAGAGACAGAGCATACAGCCGAGATAGAGACCAAGATCGAGGTTGGGACCGTGAACGGACGTATGACCGCGACCGCGATGATCATCACGGAGGCAGAGGAGACCGTGATGGAAAAGATGGAAGGAAAAAGAAGCCTACTCTACCACCACACAAGCCTGCTAACAAAGCACTCATTGGCACCAAGCCTTGTACTTTCTGGCAGCAGGGCAAGTGTGCTAGAGGAGACAAGTGTACATTCCGACACGACTAACGATGAGCTATATAAAGCTTGTTTACTATATTGAACCTGACTTGGAGTTTAGAAGTGGGATATATCATGGTGTATTTTTAATGTAACCAAAAATTCGCATCAGCTAAGGTCAATCGAGGATCAAGACATTGAATTCCCTATACTATGTGCCCGAGCGCGTGATATGCACCATTACAAGAAGAATTAAAATCTTTCATATTCCACGTCGTTTACATAACTGTGATTCCAATTTGAACTGTACATGGATGGGCCTGATACCTGCGGCCAGTTTTAATCATTGATTTATGCTCTCAACTTTGAGATGTCGGATATTCTACCTATATAAACGACCTACTCGGCAGCAGCCATCTCTGTGTCACCCTCGCCAGCCCTCTTGACCAGTCCACGCAGGCTCAGGTCATAGACAACATCCTCGACTCTCTTGACGTCATACTTGACAGCATCAGCTCGCTTGCGGAGAATGTCGTTCTTGAGGTTGAGAAGCTGGAACCCGGCGAAGAGATCCTTGATGAACCCGCTAATGACGAGAGGAAGCTCAAAGTCTCCGAGGGTGACAGCATTGGGAGCCAGACGGGCAAGCTCGTTGGTGAGGTCCGTCAGAGATAGGAGATACTCCTCGATGGTGAAGTGGAAGGCATCACGGTCCTTGAGGTTTGTGGGGACTGGGGGCATGTTAGCGTTAAGGTTTCTAGATAGGTTTGGAGATGGCTCGCGAACCCTGGAAGACCTCGCCAACTTGCTCGAGAGTGAGAAGGCGACCGAGAGAAGCAGGCTGGGAGTCAGAGCCTAGACCGCCGAGCCAGGCAGTGTAGACAGCGGTGCCGATAGCATTTTGAACGGTTCTCGCCCACTTGCTGTTGTATCTATCCCCGAGTCAGATTTTGACGCTTTTTGACATGGCTGCGAGGACGTACTTGTAGTATGGGTGCTTGCTAGCCACCTCATTCAGCTCCTTCACAATAGTGACCTCTTCCTTGATAGCATCCTCAACCTGTGACACAAGCGCAGGGTCTGCATTTTCTCTAATCAGCTTTGCGCATTACAAACTTGGACATGGAAAAAAACTGACAGCGAGCGCGGGGCGTAGAGTGGACGCGAGAGAGAAGACCTTGAGCGGTGGCAACGGCGCGCTCGAGACGCTGGATAATCTGGGTGAGGTTATCACGAACGGCGGTCTCTTCATCGAGCTTCTCCTGGAGGTGGGAGAAGATGGAAGGATCGAGCAGAGGAGTGTCGGAGGACATAATGGCGGTTTGAGGGAGGGTGAATGAGGCTCTGCGGATGAGGCTCTGGAGAAGATGAAGGTTGGAGCTACGCTAGTCGTTTGTGTATTCAGATGACGGGCGATAGGTATTTGCCTAGCACGAGGTTGCGATGATCACGAAAAGAATATACAGCGAAGAAATGGAGGTTCATAGGCACATCATTACTCTGGCTACAAGCATTTGCTTTCTACCATCGGCATCACATATCACAACATAGTAAGATCACGAAAGTGGAGGGAGTTCTTCCTCACTGCCCAGGCAAGCCCGAGCAAGCAACGAAAAACTAGGAGCTCAAAAAGTGCATTCGCGTCACCTGGAGGCAGTGTAATACCAGGGACACTGTGGGCGGAATCATGTGCAAGCACAGCGGAGACCACCCGAGTTTCAAAAATAGGAATAATCACGATTGATGTCCTTAGACATCTTTCAGAGATTAAACTGAAAAGAACAGATACTACACTTGATCTAAGCCAAAAGGCAAAGAGAGCTAAAGAGAAAAGAAAAAAGGAAAAGCGTAGCTTGGAGGGGCAGAGCGAGATTATATACTGGCTCTGAAGGCGGTGAGGGAGGGAGTGATCTGGAGAGTGGCAGAATTTGAGCCAATGAAAATTCGGGACTCAGCAGGCTGAGAGTGCTGCCTGTTGATTCACGGCGGGTAGGAGCGCTCCACCGAGAGCGAGGGTGCAGGCAGAGAAAGCTCAATGTGCAAGCCTGAGGCTGTATGCGCTTTACGAATTGATGCCTCAGACGTGAATTGCGTGGCGATACCAGAAGAAGCTTTCTGTGTAGCTGAGACGTGTCGCTCATCTATTCGCATCGGCAGACATAAACAAGGGAGCAAGTGACGAGCTTGCTTTCGTACTGAAGTGTATTCATTGCCCTTATGCAGCTTGCTTGCTCAAAGTTTGAAGCTGTGCTTCGATGCAAACCAACGAGGATTCACATCCTAACCACTGGGAACGACTTTCATGTTGACGATCTGTAGTCAGCTTGCATTTGACAAAGGTCTAAATGTGCTCCGAGTTCCAATGCTGGCCAAGCTTAAACACCGACTGTTGGTTGTGCTCATGGAATGCCCGTCGTGCGTTGCGCCGTTTCAAGAACTTCTCACGAGAAAACCGGCCAGTCCGATACATGCATGCCTAGCTTCCCAATAGTTTCTGATATTGGACACTATCTTCTATGCTTCATGCATCCCCGAAACGTTTGGCCTGGAGACTCCCGATGCGGCCCGCAGGTGGTTTCCTTGCTTGAGACACAGTTGGCTCTAAAAGCGATCATCCAGCACATTCCAATATTTGGGCGGCACCATTGGTCTTTGCCCTCAGCTAATGGTTTGGGTTTGACGCAAGCATGCAACCATTCCCCGCAAGATATAGACGAGCAACGCCCCGACCCCTTGCCAAGCAAATATCAAGGACCTAAGGACCAACAGGCGAAACCTTGGTCAACCGATGATCTTCTTCATGCTGGAAGTCACCAAACGAGTCGACCTACAGGTCAAGCTCGGACAATATTTGACCAGAGCAATGCAATGCAAGGAGAGGCGCAACAGCCACCGTGTGTTGCTTGTGAGCACCTCATGTAAGGAATGAAAGACACGAGGTCAAGGTTTGTCCACATATTCGCATAGCCTTCGATGCGACCTGACGAGACTTCCAAGCTCGAAGTCGTTATCTTTTGACAGGGGATGCAAATTTACGAGCGTAAATCCTATCGTATGTGAATGTCTCAATGTTTATCTGTAGTACAGGCTTCTCCCGTTCTTCTAGAATAGTTGGTTCACCAGTTCCACGGCTGAGGGTTGTCAACGCCTCAAGCTCCGTGCTTCCCGATATGGCAAATGATATTCAGCATGAAGAAAGGCAAGTATACTTCCAGAGATTAAAGGGCTGTTTAGGAAGGAGTAATAACCAGGATCCGCTCTGTCGGAACGGTTGGGTAGGATTGTGTTGCTGCTAGTTGGTGGTACCTGCCACGAACAATATGAAGTGGCTGAGTATTGTTCTTCAGCGCCCACCTCCAGAATGGGAACAGGAAAAATAGCCACAACTCCAACACCTACATCTTCACAATCGAAGCGGTGATATGTGATTGATGTCTTAATTTTGTGTCATAATATGATATGCAAAAATCCCATATAAAGACAGCCAGTTCCCTTCGATAAGGGAGCATATCAGCAAGCTCTCAGCCTCAACGTGACAAGCAAACCTGCAATCTTCACATTGACATCTCTTTACAACTCAATTTCTATCACCATGTTGGTAACTAACTCCCTCGAAATATGGAGCCTTCTCCTCAGTGCCGCCGCTGTTTTGACAAGCCCAATTGTCCTCGAATCTCTGGATGAGACCCCTGCCGACTGGCAGGAGTCCGACTCACCAGACCCTGATCAGATCATTGAATTCTCCATTGGCCTCCAGCCTGAAGATAGCCAGTCACTTGATACTGCTCTATATGGAGCCCCGGATCCCGACCATCCCAATTACGGCAAATATCTCTCTGGAGAATCTGCTAAAGCCCTCCTCAACCCATCTAACCAAGCTACCGAGTCCGTCAAGCGTTGGCTTACAGATGCCGGAATCCCTGAGCATCATGTCCGTGACGAAGATCTCAGGATTAGAGACTCAAGAAGATCGAGAGTCAGCTTCTCTAAGACATGGTTAGTTTATCCTCTAGAATAAATAATTCTATGCTAATACTAAGACAGAGAGTCAAACCGGGCTAAGACAGAGCTCGTTCTCAAGGAAGATAGCGGATCGTCCAAGAAGCGGCCGGAGGTGGAGAGTGATTGTAGCGACATGCTCTAAGGAAGCGATGTGAGGTGGCTACGATGGACAAGAGGAGGTCAAGGTGTATTCATAATTCGATTCAAGTTCATGTCTACGAGATGTGGCATAATTGACAAGAACATTCATTCTCACAGTAACTGATATCTCCACTCCAGCTTCTGTAGTGATGGCTGTAGTATTTAGCCAATATGTTTCAGGAATGGCTCTTAAGATCCAAAGACCTTGGTCCAGTCCTGCTTCTTCAAGTATTCCTCGGCAGTGCTAAGCTTAGGTGCAAACTTAAGCTAAACTTGGGTCAGCGATTACTTGGTAGGAAAGAGGCTTGTGAACTTACATCACGAGGATGAACCACAGTAGGGTCATCTCGACCCTCGTAGCCAAACTCATTAAAGTACGAAAAACAGTCAATCATCTCGCCCAACAACTCATCGGAAATACCGGGGGGGATAGCACCATCGTCCTTGATGGCCTTTGACGGGATACCAGTAGCCTTTGTGAAGGCAGCAGCGATGTCATTGGCGGATAGCCACTCTCTGTAGGCGATCAAGTTGTGGCCTGCAGGCTCATCAATGATGAGTGCCTTGACGAAGGGACCGGTATCCTCTTCAGGAGCGATGTAGGGGAACTTTGTGTCGACTTCAAGAGTTGAGACAAACTGAGCAACTCCGTCGGCATTCTAGACATGCGTTAGCTGGGTTCGCTTACTGTGAATAAATCATGGACCGACCTTGAAAGGCTGGTTTGGCGGCAAGAGAACGAAGTTGCTTAGAAAAAGTCCAGCTTGGTAGACACTTGTCTTGGCCCAAAGATCAGGATGCTCCTTTTGCGCATACTCTGTCGCACGAGCCTTACCGTCAAAGTGGTAGACACGAGTATATTTACCCTTAGACCACTTCTCTGAATGAGACAGAGACGAGAGAATAAAGCGCTCGAGCGTGGGAATTTTAGCAGCAATGTCAATGACATTCTTCAGCTGCTGTTCTTCATGCTGAGCGGCCCAGTCATTGAGGGCCTGACCAGGCTTAGTCTTGGATCTGTTGGACTCGTTATAATAGAGGCCCCAGAAGTCGCTGACAGCGAAGATGGCGTGAGCACCTCCAAAAGCTGAATTGAGTGAAGAAGGGTCGTCGAGATCGGCTTGGACGACTTCAGCGCCCTTGGAGGATAAAGCTTTGGCTTTGGCGCTGGACGTGTTGCGGGTGAGGGCGCGGACTTTCCAGCCTGGTTCGGAGAGGAAGGCTTCAGCGACGGAACCACCTTGATTGCCTGTGGCCCCGAGGATAACGATGAGCTTTGAAGACATAGTTGAAGTTGTTATAGAGAGTTAAGTTAAGTAAAGTAAAGTAAAGTGAATAGAAAGCTGTTGAGTGATGTTGATGGGTGCTGTCCAAGTCGAGCGAGGCCCTCCTTATATACACAATCTCATGACGATCTGCAGCTCTGCTTTCTCATCATTAACAGGGCCTCTTGCTGTCGCCATCGATTGTCATGTCGTTATTGAAGTTGTTGGCAGCGGATGCCGCTCTTGGCCCCATAATTGTCCGCTCTACCGCTCCGAGTGTTCCAGGAATAGGCCGGGTTGAGCGGAGAGTGGGTCCGGAGCCGGCGTAATAAACTCAATCTCATTATCGTGTGCATTATCGTCCTCGACTGACGGAGGAACCAACCCCCGACTCTCCAATTCTTTTTCGTGAGCGTTAGCTGTGAGTGATTGTGTGAAGTGCTGTTTATCTGATCGGTGGTATTCACAGATCTAGCCGATAGACTTTGTCACTCTGGCCCTCGATGATTTAGTGGTGAACATGGCAGTCCGCAACAATTGATCACAGTGCTTTGAAGGCCAATTTCAGGTATAATAAGGACCGCAATGGCGGTGCATATCGTCTACTCAGTGGCAGAGCAACTATCCCCCTCCGAACAGCAAAAGAAGTCTCATCATGGAACTCGAATACAAAAAGCCCTATGACACCAATCTTCCAATTTACAAACACTGCATTCCAAGGAAGCTGGTGATCGATGAGACTGAGTTTGATGAAGCAGTTGTTGACATTTTTGGAGCTTGGGACTTTAAATTCGTCAATCGCCACGACGCGACGGAGGACATGATCACAGTCGAAACAAACGATAAGAAATCGATAGACTTGAAGAAAGATCTGCAAGAGAAGGGAGTTCTAAAGCAAGACTAGCCTTGTTGATAGCGAAAACTGGGGTATTTCTTCACTCGAATAAAATCGCTTGATCCAGCGGTGCAGCTGAGACGATGGAAATCTTGCTTGTATGCACATCCCTGGTTTGTGAAATTGATCACTATTAATTCATATAGTGAAGATAATGGTGGCTATCAACGACTGCATCTTGATCATATGTCGAGCTTGGTAGAATGAGATATTAAGTCTGTCTTGAATTGAGTATAAATATCGCGTTGACTATATGTACTGACTTCTAACACAAACTACCTCACCGTCCTAGACAAAACCACGAAGCTATAAACAAACATTATCACCATGGCTCCCGAATACGAAACAACCTTTACCCGCACTCTTCCCTTCACGACCCACAAGATTCCTCAAGAGCTGGTAGAGAATGAAGAAGAGTTCTACAAAGCTCTCTGCGACAAATTCGGGGCTTGGACATGGGTATGCGAGAGAAAAGAGGGCAAGTATGTAGTTGAAACAAACAAGGACGCGTCGACAGACTTGAAGAAGGATCTGCAGGAGAAGGGCGTCTTGAAGGGTGATGAGCACCTGGTTCAAGCCGCCTCTTGATTCAGAGCGGATATGAGGGTCGGGGCGGAGACAATAGAGAGCCCGCGCCAGAGATTCGCAATTCGGAACATTTGCTCAAAATGAATGATATCGGTTAATTAATTGCAAAGCCTTAAGAGTATAGCGCCGTGGTTTTGCTTGCCTCAGTGCGGGTGACATTGACATGAGCAGACTCGAGCGGCCTTTGTCCGCTCCGCACGCGCCCGCGCCCGCGCCCCACTCCCGCTCCCCGTTCCGGGGCGGCTCTGGTAACATGGAGCGTTGGCCTGTGTTCACTTCCTCCACGATACATACCTCTTGCTTACTCCCGCAAGAAGCCAATTCCCTTGAGCCATGGCCATATTTCGCCATCCGATATGTAATCGCCTTGATAGCCTTTTGATCCTGTATCAACGCACTGGCCATGGGTCTGTCACAATGTTACCTATACTTGAATAGCATCATCTCTTATTGGGGGGTTTCGTATCCACCCCCGCGTCTCCTGTAGAATATATGTTATAGGCGGTATGATATCTGCCAACCTTTATGATCGAGCTGTTGCATCATAGCTTCCAGACTGAAGCGCAAGCTGTCACAGACGTCTGCCGATGAGCTGGACCACAAGGCCAAGTTGACATCCGCTCCAGTAATGAGACAACTCTTTTGACATGAGCTTTTTCGAAATGAATAGTGCGATATATAGAGTAGCACCCGGCGATGGACCTCCAAGTGAGAAGAAAAGCCACAATCAAGGACGGGTGCGCTTAAGAGTGACTAATTGTACACACCTATAGGCATGTGGCGAATGTTGAGGCACGAGATACGTTGTGGAGGTTTGTTCAAGTCACTAGTGGTATATTCTTAACCAAATTTCCCTGATTCCTTGAAGATGTAAAAAAAACATTGAAGCCGTGTAGTGTTATACAGTAGGCAATCCCAATTTGCCCTGATCCTTTATGCCAATACACCTTTACTCCGTTAACCAACCTCATTACAATTTCATATTTTAGTGTCTAGGCTCAAGAATGTCTAAATAATCGCCGCATAGGGTCGAAAAGGAAATGTATGTCTCGTTCTTGAAGTCTGTCAAGACACCACCGAGTTGATCCTCTGGTGCTCCTGAATCAGGGTATACTGTCTTGTAAACCCACTTGCGTCCGTCGATGAGCTTCTCGGTAATGGGCTCATCTTGCCTGGTAGCTTTGAAGCCAGCCTGTAGCAGGGGAACGGCGTAGGGGTGGAACCAGTACTTCTTGAAGTCGGAGATGAGGTTTCGCTTACTGCATGTGGCGTGGTAGAAACCGAAAATGCTGCGTGTGGCGACGTTTGTGTCGAGGTCTAGGCTGCCTACCCAGTCACGGGCGGACATTGTGGCCACCTCGGCGGGGAGAGATTTGAAGACTTTGATGAGAGATCGGTAGACATTCGTTGGCATCTGGATGCGATAAGGCTTGAAGTTCTTGCCCACGTCGTAGACATCCTTGGACATGGTCGCCGTGTTGTCCGAGTTGTTGTAGTTGAGCTTGTTCATCCACCTATGGGCGAAACATCCAGTCTGCACGAAATCCGACTCGAAATCGATGGCGGCATGGTACTCGGTGATGTTCTTCGTTTCGACAGCAGTGGCGTTGTCGCCAAAGCTGGCCATCATGGACTCATTCTCAATCTGCTCAGCGCGCGAGAGCTCCTGGCGCGCATAAAGTCTGGCAAGGTAGATCTGGTCCGACGTCTTGTATTTAAAGTTGGGGTCGAAAGTCTCCTCCAAACTGGCAATACCAGCGTTGATAAAGTTGCGCAAATCTCCGACAGGTCCAATGACACTTCCTGAATTGAAGTACTTGGCGTCGCGATATGTGACATCACCGCCGCCAGTCTTGGGACCATAGACATTACGAGGGAGATGCGATCCGGGGATCTTGGTGCACTGTGCCTCGTTTAGGGCTGGCCAACACATCTTGTCGGCACCCCAAAATAAAGTTTGCTTCAGTCCGCGTTTGTGGGCTTCTTCAACGGTTATGCCAAAACGGTCAGCCAACCGGCGGTCGGCATCAGCAGCAACCTTAAAGTAGCGCTCAATCACAACCTCAACGGGCAGCTGGGCCATAACATCGTATCCATCTCCGAAGAAGACGAGGTCGTCATCGTCGCCGCCTTGGGGAAGTTCGTCGAGGTACTTTTTGATCGAGTACAGCTTAGCTGTATGCGCGGCGGAAGCGTTGTATTTGCCCTCGCCCTTCCAGCCGACCATGTACGGAGCGGGATATCGGTTAACAAGGGCGGAGGTAACGATGGCGCAGAACATATCATTCGGGTTCGAAGCGGGCAGCAGGAAATGCAGCTGCGACGTCTTGATGACCTTCTTCTTGGGCTTCGAGGGCGCATGGACCGATGGTGAAGCCCCGGTCGATTTGGATCCGGACGATAACCCATGTGTAGGTGTCCACTGCGGAAGTGTCAGTTTACGAGGCAGCAAATGAGGACGAGGCCGGAACCCACGGCATCTGAATAAAGATAATAAGTCTCAAAAAGGATAAAAAAGACCAACACGCATGCAGCCACCATCGCCGTTCGGCGGTATGGCGATGTTTTTTCCGACATGGCAGCGATGGCCATCTTTTTTTAACAAGAAGCGAATGAACGATGCAAGAAACGAGCGACCCAGATTCAGAAGAGGAGACTTAAAACATTGCGTTAAGTAAGGATCTCCCCAGGTAAATATAGATAAAGATAGGGGTTGCGTGTTAAACTTGATCAGGGAGAGAAATCGATAGTACACTACGTAGTAAGGGGGATGGCGTACAATACCCCACTTGTCCAATTTCAGATCTGATGTAAGCTCCAAGATTCGCTGCGCAGCGGTCTTGTCAGCGTGCCATGGCGTCCTTAGCACGCCCGTTGGCGTTTTTTAGTGCAGCCGTTACAGGTACAGGGTCTCATTTCACGTGATGATAGCGCCTGAGTCAAAGAGATTCGCCCTCCAAGAAAAAAACAGCCGGTTGAAAAAGTGGACGAGTATGACGAGAGTTCAATTGATACGAAACTTCAGCCCTGTTTGGACGTTACAGTTACACTCTAATTTATAGCCTTGTTGGGTCCCGCACCCTGTAGCATCGACCCTATATGCCGATCAATCCTGGAACGAGATTGAGATTGTCTATTCCTTCAAGTTTCAGATTTTTCCTTCCGTTTTCATGTTGGCCCTGGACCCCACTCTCTTCCAACCGATTCAGTGATGATGGTGCCTGAAGCAGTACCCACAGCGGGGTATTTCGCTATAAATGCATGATATCCGCAAAGAGTCTGGAAGCAATCTAGAGAGAGCTTTGAACCTCGGGGGATAGGAAGATAGTTGGTAGGGTATCATTTCTTCTAGTGACAGAAGAATGTTTCAATCATGACGATATAGAAATCGCTGGCCATTCCTGCCCTCTGGCCGAGATACCCGGTAGCCTTGTTGCGACGGCCGCTGGAATTCTAGGATAACTGGCTTTGGCGTGTGTTGATCATAGGTAGGTCCTGAATATGGCGGTGGAGGAGTTGGATCATTGTGTGATGTAGTTTGTAGTTGATAGGAGTTTGCGTTCTTTGCAGATGTCGAGTAGTATTGGTTTGGCGAGTTTGTAACTGAGTTTCCTGATAGGAAGCTCTTGATATGGTTCATGACGATCGACATGGTGCAAAGTCAGATTTGAGCAGGGTTTATTTTGAGATGATGAGAAGCGGTGATGCCAATGACGAAGTAGTAGTGACGAATACAATGGAATGATCTATTCGAATTACCATCTTCTTGATTGAAGACTGAGACTTTATATAAGACAAATTCGTTATTTTTGGAGTTGTTGTCTCGACTGATCAGCATGATCATCTACGTAGCCTCGATGATACTCGTCGTGGCTTAGCTCGCCCAATATTCCGATTCCGGCTTATCCGCCCCTTCACCACTCGCCAGCTCGCCAATCGCAAAGGGCGAGTGAGGCTTATCCTTCAACACGCGTATCGAATTGGTGTGCTGCGGAATCCCGATAAGGCTGACACCCTTCAGATAGTGCGTAAGATGCGCCGCAGTGGTCTCAATTGAGAACAGTGGCTCTTTTGGGAAACGGCTTCGACCGCGGTAATCCGACTTTCTATCAATTACTCCGAAACGGAGTCCGGGAGCTCCGCGGAGGAATCCGTTGATGCTTGAGTTTGTGTAGAGTTTTAGAGGTTATACTAATCGATGGAGACGAAACTCAAGATGAGGGTTACTTTCGGCAGTTTCAGGAATTGCGTCATCCAAGATTTACCTTCTGAGTATGCCTGCAATGACTATTCAATTCAAGCTAAGCAACAAAATCCCCCCTTCTCAGGCCTTTACGGGACGATACACAAAATAGTCGAACTCTGCCGACTTGCCATTGCCGTTCAGGTCCGAACAAGCCATACCAACAAATGCACCAGTGAAGGAACCCCCAGAACCTCGAGGGCCACAACTGCACTCGTCTGAAAGTTGAGAAGCGTCCAAGACGGGTCCATACTTCTCGAGTGGCTTATCTTCAGTAGAGTAATAGAACTGCAACTCTGCCTCCCTTATAGTGAGCGCCAATTTGACTTTTCCTGCTGGTGGGAGACTAATCGGATCAAGATGGTGAATTTGGAGTGACCCCGTAGGCCACGATTCTTCCGAGCTCATGATGGACAAGAGTCTCTCGCCATCTTCATTAGCTGTGATGTGAAGATAGAAAAAGTTGAAACGGCTGTAATAAGCAGTGAGACCGGCAAATTCGCGTTCGTTCTCAGGCTTAAAGCCGATAACTGTCTCGGCGTCGTAGGAGAAATGGGTTTGACGACGAGCTACGAGGGCTTGTTCGAACCAGGAGCCGATAGCATCACGCCCGGAAAGAACAAGTTTTCCATTTGTAGAGAAGATTTTCTCTGGCTCTGGCGTGCGAAGCCACTGAAAATCGATAGGCAAACCACCGTCAAAAGTGTATCGAATCTCTCGCCAGTGCTCATCTTCATTTCGTGTACCAGGCACATCAACCAGTGTTGAAGGAACCGGTCCATTCTTGACATACAGCCAGTCATCGTCTTTCCAAAATGCTTCCTGAATGGCTGCCTCCCGTCCAAGAACACTGCGGCGATTCTGTGTTATCGGTCGACTGAGAAGATGAACCAGATATGTTCTTCCGTCTGGTGTCTCAACAAGATCACCATGCCCTGCGCGTTGAAGCTCCGCTGATGGAGACCCTCTTGAAGAGAGAATGTACTTGTCCGGGTGCAGCTCGTAAGGACCCCAGATACTTCGAGATCGAGCAAGAGTGCATGAGTGATCGTATGAAGTTCCACCTTCGGCTGTGAGAAGATAATACCACCCGTTCCGTTTATAAATGTGTGGCCCCTCCGTTATACCAATCTCAGTCCCATCAAAGATCTTCTTCTGCGGACCAGTAAGCTTCCCAGCTTCTGGGTCAAACTCCTGCAGCATAATGCCACAGAAATGGTCTCTGTTCGGAAAACGGTGGTCTCTTCTCTGATTGACGAACCACTTTCTACCGTCATCGTCATGGAATAGTGAAGGATCGATACCTGAAGAGTTGGCATGAATGGGGTCTGTCCAAGGACCATAGATGGACTCAGAGGAAGTGATATAGTTCTTCAAGTCCCAGAATGTTCCGTCCTTTCTCTTAACATCAGTATACACAAGCCAAAACTTCTGACCGTCGTGTGACAGACAAGGTGCCCAGATTCCGCCACTGTCTGGATCTCCTCTCATATCCAAAAGACCTTTACGATCCAAAGGACGAGTGATAAGTTTCCAGTTTGCAAGATCAGTGGAATGATGAATTTGCACGCCGGGAAACCATTCAAACGTCGACGTGGCGATATAATAATCATTGTCAACTCTGATTATCGAAGGATCTGGATTGAATCCAGGCAGGATAGGATTACGAATTGAAGGCATCTTGGTAACTTTGCAGACTTTGAAATTCAAAAACAGTTCAAAAGCCTAGAGCGAAGGCGGTTTGACTGATACAAGAATTTATACCTTGACCCCGCATGTACGATCATCCCTCTCTATCAGTAGTCCAACAGCGAGAAGTTTAACCTGAGGAGTCTGATTGATCATCAGGCCCAAGATATATGGGCGTGATTGTAGATCCATCAGACCATCTCCACACTCTCGCGGAGTATCGCTCCTAAGCTGTACGCTAAGAATTGTGCGAGATCTTGTAATAAGCACGATTTCGTGAAATGTTAATTAATCTCTACTGATGACGCCTTTTGGAAGACAAATCCAGATCAAAATAAATTAAAAACCTCGCTGCAATTATTCTATATTCTCTCCATCTTTGGAAAGAGTCAGATGCCATCGACCTTAGCCTTGTATACCTTATGGCATATATTCATCGCGGAGTATCGCTTGAAGTTACGAAGCATGTACCTCAAATGAAAGGAAATCGAAAACAAAGACAGCGACAGGAAACAATTAGTCAGTCCAGTCAAGGCACAACCACCTGTGGTTTGTCCACATTTCTCCTGCGACTTAATGCTCACCATGACCAAGATGTCATGCCAGAAACTACCAATCAAGTCACCCGGAGCCCCCCTCATGTTGATCCAGAGTCCTATCCCAAGTATAACCTTGGTTACGGGAAATTTTCAGATTGAAAGCGGTAGATATTGTCGGTTCGTCGTAGCTGCACTGAGACAGAAAGTGCGTCAGTATCAAGGCTGGGCTCACGTCCCTGAATGTAGTTGGCTGAGGCTAAATATCTGTATTAGTTGTTATTTTGTTGATATGCTGTACATAACTGAGACATACTGCGCACTGAGACAAATGGAATGCCGCGGACGCTTGTCAGCCTATGATCAGGCTGGTAGCGGATCGGGACGGCTCATCAAACCGATTTCCGACGCCATTGCTAGGCCCAGACGACATGTGTCCCAGGAACTCGTGAGACGATCAATCCTGATTACATTGTCGAGTACCAATGTAACTGGCTGCGAATTGGCGAGAGCCACACTGGTATCAACTCTCCCGCGGGGTGTGCCGCTCTCGCTAGAGATGCTGGTGCTACTTCCACCTATCACCCTCCTACCAAGAAATGTGTCGTCGGTAGAGAGGGTGGCACCGAGAAGGCTAACGCTGATACCCACTACATGGTCAAGACTCAGGTAGACGAAGAAGATCCCTTCAAGGAGGATGAGGATGAGGAAGACCCATTTGCTATGACCTGTGATGAAGAGAAAGAGGCCTGTCCCGAGAGAGAGACCGCTTTGAAGGCCGAGCTGGCTTCCAGCAAGGATCAGCTTGCTGCCAGCCAAGCAGATAAACGACCCCATTATCATATACAGCAACATGGCTAACAGAGAATACAGTCCATGACCCTGCTGGCCAGCGCGAATTTCACTCTACTGTCTTGATGGAGGCTTGCGTCAAGCTTTGTACGTCCAAGCCTTGGTGTACTATGGTCCTCCACGGAATCTTCCGACAAGATTGCCAGCTTTATGATCGCAAGGTCAAAATCGAAGCAACTCCTCCTCAGTCTAGCGGCTATTGGAGCTCCGCCGTTAATGGCAGGGCTTGATTTCGTCATTGAAGGGCTAGTAGCCTCAACTCAGAACTGCTCAGAGTTGACTCAACGTCAATAGTAGGATTTACTTTCTTGTGGAACGGAAACCACCTCGATCTCATTATCATCTAAGTTGTGGTTAAATCTTAGGCTTGGTGTCTTAATATCATGAACCATCTTTTATCTACATCACTGACTGTCCATTGAAACTTGGTGAAGTGTTAAACTTGACTAGCCAGTCAATACCTTGCAGCATGAGACTATTAAATACCGTAACCATTATCAATTGAGGCTGTGTTAACCTCACCTAGAACTTGGTTCCACTGTCCAATGAGATGTATAGTTATTAGTTAGCCCCTGCAACCATGCGGCTATTTATGGAATCCATCTCCTCAAGCTGACTCCCCTCATTTTCTTCCTCCATTATTGCCCTTTCCAACTTGAATAGTATATTTATTATCATGTATCTTATCAACGCTTCGACCTTGCAGCTCGAAGACTTCTATAGCAATATTCCCGAATATGCAATCCTATCACATACGTGGGGTCACACCAGTGAGGAGGTCCTTTTTCAAGAGATGCTCACCAACTCATCCGACGTGAAGCTCAAAAAAGGTTACAAGAAGATCGAATTATGTGCGAAGCAAGCTCAAAAAGATGGTCTCGACTATTGCTGGGTCGATACCTGCTGCATTGACAAGTCCAGCAGCGCAGAACTCTCAGAAGCTATCAACTCCATGTTCTCTTGGTATCGAAACTCGGCCGTCTGCTATATATATCTAGAAGACGTGGTCCACGAAGAAGGTTTGGGTCAAGTTGATCAGTCTCTTGGAGAAGCAAGGTGGTTTACACGGGGTTGGACATTACAAGAGCTCTTGGCTCCTCGAGTTCGCCAGTTCTTCGATGCAAACTGGACCATGATCGGAGAGATATCAAAGAGCCGTTACAGAGAACATCTAGTTAATGGTTTCTTTCGTATGGATACGACTGCCGACGAAGAAGGAGATCCTCAAGAGCTTGAGGGAATGAGTCTGGCGAGTCAAGTTGCCCAGATCACTGGGATACCCAGGAAGGTCCTTTACATCGGCGATCTAGGATCCTTCTCAGCTGCTACGAGAATGTCATGGGCAGCAAGGCGACGAACAACTCGCATAGAAGACCAGGCATACTGTTTACTGGGAATCTTTGACGTTCATATGCCCCTCCTCTACGGCGAAGGCAAGCATGCCTTTATACGACTGCAAGAGGAGATCATAAAAAAACAGCCAGACCATACGCTGTTCGCATGGCGCTCGGAACCGACTTCGCCAGCGCCGACATTCAGCGGTCTTCTTGCTCCTTCACCGTGGAACTTTGACAGCGACCACTGCCGTGGTATATTGCCAAAGCAAGTTGACATACCATATGAAATGACCAATAAGGGCTTGCACTTACAGGTTCGCTTGGTGGAGCATGATCCGGGATCTGATGAGTTCTATGCCATTTTGGATATCACCCACCAGTCAAATCCACGGAAAGATATATGGTATGGCATCAAGCTTGGACGGCTAGATAGTTGCGGCCAATACGCTCGAATCAACACTGGTGAACAATTGGTTCGTGAGGTTGAAACGACACGTACGCTTTCGATCAAGCCAACACATATTTATGTTCAGCATCTCATCCGCCACAATTCTCCACTATATGGCAGAAATAAACCTTCTACGGTTGTTCTGGGTTGTGCTATGGAGTCGATGTCATTGACAGTCCTCGAAGCCTCAGGGTCTAAGAGCTGGGACTCTGAATCATTTACCTTCCTCCCCTCTAAAGATGATTTGTTCTATGCGAGACTTGCGTTTCAATGCAAGCCAAATCTAAAGGGTTCGTCTCCGTTGACTATTGGGTGGATAGTCAGGAAGGATGATATAGAAGGCATCAAATCTCATCTTGCCATCCTGAAGGAGAAGAATGATTTATATCGGCCTAACACTCTTTGGGAAAATGGTATTCGATCAGGAATGGTCAAAATATATCCTCAGTCGACCTATCATATTCGTGATGGCGAAATGGTGGCTATGATAGCTCTTCATGATCAGATAATTCTCAAAAACTAAAGTCAGGTAGCTCAAAACCTGGTCCCTCTACTTCTGAGCTAGAAGAACCCAGCTCTCAAATTTGATCCCTCCATAACTTTCAACTTCCTTCTTGAGTACCTCATCAACAGCCTCTGGCCATCTCTCCTCCTCCTCATTAGTATATCCCGCTCGAGCAGGACGCATCAGATCTCCCAGCATAAACTTCTTCAGTCCATCTTCCAGTTCAGGTCCGCTAACGATAATACTATCCTCCACAAGTTTAAACTTGGATGAGTCAAACCCAGCTTCGATCGTCGTCTTTTCCAGAACACCTGGTTCAAAGAATTCAGGATGAGGTATTTTCAATGGTGGAAGGTCTGGTCGGACGAGAGCTTGCGCAGCGTGAATGAGTTTACCGACTCCAAAACGTTTCCAGCATGAGATGGCGGCTAGACCATCAGGCTGGAGCGTACGGTAGATCTCCTTGACGCCTTTGGCGGGGTCAGCCAGGGTGTAAACACTGAAGTTGAGGATACTGTGTGTGAAGTGCTCATCGGGAATTCCCTCTAGATTCTGAGAGTCAAGAACCTTCGCTTCGATCTGTGGAAACGAAGTAAAAGAATCTTTGGCGGCTTGGACCATTGGAGGTACATTATCAGTCACCAGAATCTGAGGGACATCATCAGCCGCGAGTCTGTCAACAAGAACTAAGGCTGCTATTCCGGGACCGGCTGCATTATCATGAACCACCGAGCCCTTGGTTATAGGCCTTGTGGCTTGGATGCTATCGAAGGCCAAGTCAAGGACACGGTATGTGCTTCTTCCGGTTTGTTGAAGATAATTTGCTGCGAACGCAGAAAAGTATGAGGAAGAGGGGAGGTCTTTGCTTTGGGATGTCGCCATTTTGAAAGTTTGGTTTGTTGAGCTATCGAGATATAATTCGAGGTCACCGTAAGCTGACAATGTAAGCCTTCTTATACCAAGAATGGCTCTATGAGGTTGAGGGGTTGAAAGAGTCTTCAGTGGGGTCATGACAGCAGATGGAATAAGCACTAGGACTTCTTGCCACGCAATAAGCCGAACAACGCGAGAAGAGCGAGAATAGGAGAGATTTCCCGCTGGTTATGTGAGATGTGAACCCAATGATGTAGGCTGCAAAGTTAACCATGCCACAAAACTTTTGATTATATTCCCTAGAATCTGTATGCTCGTGGATAGTCTATCAGAATATTATATCGATCTCACCCAGCGAGCCAGAATAAAAGTTCCCGCTGAAATGTTCTGGACCTTCAGCCCCCTGTACCGAGTCCTGTTCGGGGCTTATGATGAAATTATCATTGAAAAGTGAGGTCCCATCATTTGATATAAACTCCCCCAATGAATGAAGATCTTTCCACGAGAAGCTATTAAATGGATCAGAGTTCATATGTCCTTCGCTTGATTCAGCTTGTGACTGCAAAGCTCCGTGACTGGCCAGAGCCAAAGAGTCTGATCGTCCTTCAACTTCGGGGTTCCGTGATCTCGACTTTCCGAGCATCTTCAACCAGAGAAGCCTAAGAGACCTAGCGTAGCGCTGACCGAGACCCTGTTGATTATTTGAAGTTTTCTGTAGACGTGAGATGGTTTCGTAGATGGCACGACGCACGCCTCGTGCTTCTGATGGTTTGATAGCTCCGGCAAAGATAGCCTGTAGGCCACCGTATCAGACTTGTTCCCGAATGAATTGAAGAGATGCTTACCTTGAAGAGAAATACTGCTGCATAGATAACGTAAAGATAAAACTTGAGCGGCATATACTTGAATGCTTCGGTGGGATCTATGAAGCTGTTGAGAGTACATAAGATAGAATTTGCTGCATCGATAGACTCGTAAATGAACCTTGCATCTGGGGCAGCGGCAAGTTCCGAGAACAAGGGACCAGAGGGCCTCTTCTTTGATCGCCGAACAATGCGATTTAGGTTTGCCTGGAAAGCAAATGCGTTGATATATAGACGAAGAAAATCATATGATAACATAAGAGATGCTTTGACGCGGGGGATGAAGCTGAGGCCACCCCAGGAGAGTTTCCATCTGCGGAGGACTGAGGAGAAGTCATCCTATAGAGTTAGCTATATGGCTCCATGAAATGTCAGAGAAGCATTTGCTTACAATGTACCTCACATACTCTCCTCCTATGTATAACTGCTCTCTATGACTTGTTGATGAGTATAGAATATCATGTGCGTTACTGAACAGCTGAGTGATTTCAAGATGTGCTTGAAATAGTAGAGCGAGGTTATCGTTACCCAGCTTTTGTGTTTGGAGATATGGAAAGTCAGCCGCTCGAAGGTTCACGGATGGACCTGGTCCACGAGACCAGAATCCTTTTCCGAGTCGTATCGAAACTTGACGATCGCTCATATAGCAAGCTGTCTTCCCGTCAGTCACTGAAGAGCGCCACATGGCGGAGATGAAGTTACTAACCAGCCCAAGCTATCCTTTTTCTACTGAGATGATCCGGCGCACCTTCAACTCTCTGCACAAGACCAGTTTGCTCAAGGTTCTGCAGGTATGCAAGACGAATAGCAACACCAACCAGCATCCACGATCCCTGGTCCTCTTTGCCACATCCAATCATGAGGTTCTCCTCGAGTGGCTGTGGCGCCCATTCAGCCAGTATCAACAATGCTTCGACCGCGCCGACCGTAGTAGAGCCGGTGTATATCAGCTTGGAGATTTGAGTCTCCATGTGTCTCGCACAGGCATTGTGGGCCCTGGACCACGAGGGATCATCTTTTGTGGCGACGGTGAGGATTGCTGTGATGAGATATGGTTCGTGCTCGATGAGTTCTAGGATACGGCTGGAGTCGAAGGCGGCGCTGTAAGCGATGGGGAAGAAGATGTGAAAGTTGTCATGGTAGCTTTCCCAGGTTAGCCTGCATCAGAAATATGTGTGCGTATAACATACTGTTCGATCAGAAAGGCTGCCTCAGAAAGCGTCAATGCTCCAGAGGTAACAGGTGGATAGTCACAAACACCCTGGGATGTGTTTGCCATCCTTGTCGAATTTTCGGGATCGCCTTCTGCATCTTGCGTTTGCGCATGTCCCTCGGGTTCCATATCAGCCACATGAGCCAGCAAATCCAAAGCATCAGACGGATTCAAAAGATCCGACGACGTGAAGTGGCCCTTGAGCCGCACCGCATCACCTGTAGGCTCTTCATCATCCTCGGATTGTTGGTCTAGAGGTGACCCAAGGTTTGATGACAACCATTCACTTTGTTGGTCTGGTTCACGGGGTTCCTGTGCTGGCACTGGATTCATTCGGTTGATTGGTCTGCTTGGCGATGCTTGATGAGAATCATTTGTTGACCTAGAATAACCAAGACGCTGGCCCTTGATACGGCGACCACCCCGTCGAGACGTAGCGAGGATACATTCTTGATTCTTCTCGATGCATCGCCGACACGGAGGGTCTCCAGGCACGCCACTAGAGTCACTTCTCACACGTCAATTGATTTCTTAGCCAGTGGCGGCAATTGCCATGACTTACAGGTCACATCGGGTCTTACGAGATCTGCAGCTCACGCAGGCTCTCGAAACCCTCTTCTCGGTCTCTGGTCCCGTCGGTGGTGTCATCATGCGTGGAGGGTTTTCAAACACCGAGAGGAGAGGGGAACGCGGCATTTGAATATGATGAGGGTCTTGGTTAACTAATCATACGACGACATCGGTCTAGGGGGCCTAGATTGGTATGGCTTGGGTTAAGCTTTGAGCTATGGACATGTACCAATGTCACAGGACTTGAAGATACTGAGCTAGGACGGAATATTCCGCTACAGAACGTGACTAGGGGGTCTAGATTCTAGAAGATGACATGGAAGCTGAGAATTATTGGTGATGGCTATTGAAGCTGAAAACCCCGGTCTTTGAATCGTATCACGCTAGAGCGCGACCTACTCCGGGGGAATGGGTCGGCCAAGGAAATAATTTGTGAATCTTCGTCTTGCCCCAGTTTTAAACCACCTGATATTAAGGGGTCGGGAATAAGAAGATAAACTTGCAGCCTAAATGTCTTGATTTTAATCTATAGGAGTTACACTGTAAGAAATATCTATTCTAATTTGTAGCTAATTTTACAGTTGATCCAGTTGCCTGTGAGATCAGAGCATAGTGATCTATTTCAAGCCGCCACTCAAAAGGATATCTTGTCCGGTCATGTAACCATTCCTTGCCAACCTATAACATGTATTAGACAAGCGAAGACCCTCGCGTTCAACGGGACTTACATGATGATCGCCTCGCAAACCTCATCAGGTGAGCCGAGACGGTGAACTGGAATAGATGCAGCAATGGCGAGACCGGGGTCAGTCTTTTTCAGCTGTTCCAAATCACACCCTTTATTCCAGGTTCTACAACCAAATATTAGCCAATTTACGATATTGAGATAGTCACAGAATCTTACTCTGAGATGGGCGGCGGAATCATGCCCGTGGAGCCAATCATAGCTGGCGAGACCTACACAAACCGTCAGTTTCCACAGGATTCTGATAGATACATCAAAGAACTTACGATGTTCACTGTAACGCCTTCGGGCGCCAACAAAGTGGCCAAGTTCTGCCCCATTGAACTATGGCTTGTCAGCGTGATCACACAAGAATTCCCATGTTACTCACGTCAGAGCACCCTTTGAAGCAGCATAATGGCATCCATTCAGCCCACTTCCACGAGCAGCAATACTTCCAACCAGTATAATTCGTCCCCAGCCTTGCTGTCTCATACCAGCAAGACAAGCTTTGGTGACGACAAACTGGCTTCGACTGTTAACCTCCATCATCTCATCCCAATCATCCTCTCCAATCTCCGCAACATCGCGGATCCGTCTTCCCAGACCAGCATTTGCAACCAGAATAGATACTGCCTTGTGCTTGGAGGATACAACATCTTGGCTCAATAAGCTCGAAACCAAAGCTCTTGTTGACTCTCTTTGTGAAAGGTCTGCATGCACAGGCACAAACAGCTGAGATGGATATGTCTCACTCAGCTCTTGTGCAAGTTTGTCTGCCTTTTCTTTACTGGAAGAATAATGCAGACCAACGTCACAACCTTGAGCAGCAAAAGCTCTCGCAACAGCGGAACCTATTCCGCCACTACAAATCGTTAGTTTGGCTGACAATACACCTCGAACAAAATGGCAAACTCACCTTGAACCCGTCACCAAAGCCAATCGGCCTTTGAGGTTATTGTCTATCGTCTGCAATCGAAGCGTCATCCTTGTATGGTTCCAAACTTGTTTATGCGAATCATGCAAGTGTTGGTTATTGACTTTACTTGCTCATCTTATAAAGGGCGAGAAGCTAAAACTTAGCTTTGCCGCTATTCCGAAGCCATTTACCATCGGCAACTCCTTTTTCAAACACCGACGGCAATTGAAATTAGCTTCTGAATGAATCCTGGAGAAAGAGTAACTAAACCTTTCCCCGCAAACATGGGGTCCCCATGGAGTAGAGTCGTATTAAGCTTGGGAATGTGGGTTGGTCTTTATTAACCCATCCTCCGTCTCTGCTTTTTCGAATTTGATTTTCGTTCTCCACGATACAAGGCATATCAAACACTCTATCTCATTGTTTGTTGTTACACGATCAATTGTTCATCATGGAGTTGCAGGGCCAGAGCCTCATCTTGACCGTCAGTGTCTTGACGTCGTTGGGTTTTATGCTCATCGGTTATGACAATGGCCTCATGGGAGGTCTTGTCAACACTTCGGCTTTCAAAGACACTTTTGATAGTCCCGATTCTGATATGATCGGCGTTATTGTCGCCATTTACGAGAGTAAGTTCCACTTCGCCAATGGACTATGCTAGTCACTCACAGTCACTAGTTGGATGCTTCTTTGGTGCTGTCTTCTCCTCTATCTGGGGTGAGAAGCTCGGTCGCCGACGCTCTGTTTTCATCGGTTGCGTGTTCTTGATCATTGGTGCGGTCCTCCAAGCCGCTTCTTATACACGAGCTATGATGATCGTTGGCCGTATTGTTGCGGGCGTCGGCATGGGTACTGTCAACTCAACTGTTCCTGTCATGCAGGCTGAGTTTAGTCCCAAGTCAAGCCGTGGTATTTGTAAGTTCCTGTCCTTGATCATGAGGAATAACTTTCTGATATCATATAGACGTCTGCGCCCAGCTCTCCACCCTCAACTTCGGTATTTTCCTAGTTTACTGGATCGACTATGCCCTGTCATCCCATACCGGCAGTTATGCTTGGCGCGTTCCCGTCATTCTTCAGTGTGTTCCTATTCTGGCTATCATGGGTCTCCTGTTTGTGATTCCTGAGACACCACGTTGGTTGGCAGCACATGACAGACCCGAGGAGTGTCTCAAAGTCCTTGCTCAAATCCAGAGCACTTCCACTGATGATCCTGAGGTCCAGGTTCTTCATAGCGTCATCACCCAGACTGTCGCCTATGAGACATCTATCGGTTCAGGTTCCTGGAAGGATCTTCTCAGGGAAGATAGTATCAAGTCTCGCAAACGACTTCTTTTGGCCTGTTTTCTCCAGGCTGCGCAGCAACTCGGCGGCATCAATGCAATCATCTGTAAGTCTCAACCCTTCTTCATCGTGTTGATGAACCATGCTGACGATCTGTAGACTACTCAAGCACCCTCTTTGAGAAGAGTGTCGGTTTCTCTGCTCACATGTCAGCCCTCATGTCTGGTTTCCTTCAGACTTGGTTCTTTGTTGCCTCTTTCATTCCTTGGGTCTTGATTGATCGCATTGGCCGAAGACCTCTTGTAAGTACAGCTCAATCCTTTCCTTATACACTAAGCTAACTTGTAAAGCTCCTATCTATGATCAGCGTCATGGCTGCTACTATGGCTGTCCAGGCAGGATTGATCTACCAGGTCGAGAACAACACCGCTACAGCACATGCCGCGGGTATTGCAGCTGCAGCTATGCTGTTTGTCTTCCAGGGTGCCTTCACCATTGGTTTCCAGGCCACAGTCTGGGTCTATCCGTAAGAAATTTCTCCGCCAAACTTTATTGTCCAACACTAACAGGTTACAGCTCTGAGATTCTTCCTCTTCGCCTCCGACAGCGTGGTTCATCTATCTCCACCGCTGCTAACTGGATCTTCAACTACGTATGTCACTCCCTTCTCAAACACATAGCTATGCTAACTTTCGTCCAGATGATTGTTCAAATCACTCCCATCTCCATTGATAACATTGGCTGGAGGACATACATCATCTTTGCAGTCCTGAACAGTCTCTGGGTTCCTATCATCTTCCTCTTCTTCCCTGAGACCAAGGGACTTGAGTTGGAAGATGTTGACCACCTCTTCGGTGGAGAGGACATCATCAGCCAGGTTGATGAGAAGACCAATGCTGCTGTTGTCATGATGGAGACTGTTGGCAACAAGACTGCTGCTTAAGTGGCTGCGCACTCCTGTCGAGAAGCGGGAGTTTGGGGTGTACTATTCATGTGTTGTAAGATAGTCCTGAAGATTTAGTTGACGGCTTCAAAGAGGATAAAGGAGCGAATAGTAATCAATATCTTTGGCATATATTTAATGATGTCATGTGAAAGTTACATGAATAGCGCTTACTGCCGAATAATGCTTGATTGGGTATGCTATCGTTCATATGCACAGAGTTTACGTATTCTCCCTGCGTGGCTTCGGCATATGAGCCACCCGCTGCAGACATTTCCACATTGGGAACGGAATTAAGTTCAGCATTAGCCGCTGAGGGGTAACGGCAGGTAACCCAGCTCAACCTCCAAATTCCAAAGCCCGATGTCCAATATTTGTTATGTTATCTTCGTCTTCATATCCCGCTTGTTTAGCTACCCCAGCATTTCAACCTCGGGATACAACCCTGACTACTCGGCACGATGTCATTTAAGATCTACGACGAAGGGGCCAATGCCATCTTTGACGCTTCTTCAACGGTCGAGGTGATTCATGAGAATGACCAGTTTCCGTTCGCCCACGAAGCCGGCGTCTTCATTCCTGAAGAAAATGCCCTGTTCATCACCAGTAACCAATTCCCGGACCCAACGACCGGTCAAAAGACGATCCAAATAAGCAAAGTCCAACTCTCCCCGGATGGAAAATTCATTAGCTGTGAAGAAGTCAACGCGCCTGATGTTACCATGGCAAATGGTGGTGTGAACTACAAGGGCGGCGTACTCTTCTGCTCGCAAGGATCCTTGACTGCGTCAGGAGGTCTTGTATTCATGCAGCCTATCGCACCTTACAGATGCGCAGCGCTCGTTACCTCATTCTACGGGCGAGATTTCAATTCTCTGAATGACGTGGTTGTTCATTCTGATGGCTCTGTCTGGTTCACTGATCCAATTTATGGATACGAGCAGGGTATAAGGCCAGCTCCCCAACTACGAAACCAGGTCTATAGATACGATCCCAAGGACGAATCGGTTCGAGTCGTGGCAGATGGATTTGGCAGACCGAATGGTATCTCATTCAGTCCTGATGAGAAGGTTGTCTACATCACTGATACGGACTGGATTCACGGTGATGGAACTACTGATGACACTAGAGCAAGGACCATGTAAGTCGCCGACGGCACAAGACCCTGAAATTTATCTTGCTAATTATCTACAACAGCTATGCCTTTGACCTATCAACCATCTCAGGTGAACCATTCCTCACCAACAAGAGAGTTTTCGCCATGGCAGACACCGGTATCCCCGACGGCATCAAATGCGATACGAAGGGCAACGTTTACAGTGGCTGTGGCGATGGCGTAAACGTCTGGTCACCAGGCGGCGTCTTACTCGGAAAGATCCTTATTTCTGGAGGCGTTGCGAACTTTTGCTTTGGTAGAAATGGGGAGTTGTTTATGCTGAACGAGCACAAGATTTGGAGAGCTCAGCTAGCCAGCGGCGTCAAGGGGGCGCTGCTCGGCATCTGAAGACATGGTTTACTTGGAGGGACTACTAGCCTCAAATGGCCACGAAATTGTATTCATGATTTTTATTACTATTAATATTACGGCAAATGATGCTTCATTCCATGCGTGGCAGGGCTAATGAGAGGCTTGGCTATTTACGGAGGCATTTGCCGTTTGCCGATCTTCGGCCTCTGCTTCGGCGTCTGGAGCTAAAGCCGGCCGTTCTCCAAACAGTCTCAGTTAATCATGAGAGCAAAACCCCATAGCGAATGCCTCGGCTCTTACATCATACGGCAACTGAAGTTCGGTAAATGATATAGCTATAGAATCTACCCCAAGTGACTGTTCTTCATATGCCGTCAACAATTTTAACCTATACTAACTACCTAGCTACCAACATCGCGGGGAGATCCAAGTCATTCTTCCAGAACCAACCCTAACCCACATACACACACATAAGCCATGTCTTCACAAACGAAAAAGCAACCGAGCAAGCCTCGAGTTCGCAAGTCAAGAAGCACAACAACCAAGCAGCTAAAGCCCAAGAGCACAGCACTATCATCATGTCTATTCTGTCTCCGAAACCGCAGAAAATGCATACGAGTAAACGGACAGGCACAGTGCTCTGAATGCACAGCCTTATGCCAGACTTGCCACTGGCCAAATGTCCAACAGAACCGTGAGTCGCCACACCAGACCTCTTGCAACTCTTCTAACATCAATGACAGTTCATCAACTATTACACGAGAAGCAACAACTATATCTTCAGCGGCGATCACTATCAAAAAGCTTACTAGAAGGCGTCAGAGACATGGAGTTCTGCTCATCGACGATAGAAACACAACGAACTTTGAAGAGGTTACTAGACGATATGGTTAATGTGGAACAAAGGGCATTCCAGCTCGAGTCGGAGGAGTCAAGGCTTTGGGGGTTGAGGCTCAGGGCCCAAGACAGCGACGATATAGATTCGGAGGACTCGTGTTCAAGTGAGAGTTTGTCTGAGCCATCTCAGAGTCTCGATTGTAACTTTGCTTTTCCATGGTTAGATTAATATCAAGATGCCTATAAGCGGGTGCATGGTCAGAATCTTCTAATTGCAACAAATCGAGAACAATAATCTAAGAATAGGAAATAAACGAGGGCATTAAATGAAATTGAAAGCATTGAATGATAAGCTAGGCCCCCCGGAAAAGAGTCTGATCACCTCTCATTTGATCGAGCTCCGTCTCAAACATCTCTTGTCCACCATACCAAGGGAGATCCCCTGCCCCAGGCCTCGAAAAGGGATCACTCCCAATCTCTTCAAAGTTCGCAATTCCAGCGACGTCGGAACAGGAAAGCCCGTAGGTTTCAATGGCTTTAAGATGATCAAGATATTCCCCAACTCCAATTTCTGACTGGTCGGCAAAAGGTTCTGGGATCGGAGTGGTGGTGTTATCGACTTCTATCAACACACTAGGCTGAAAAGTGGTGAGTTCGTCCTGATCATACCCGAAGCCCCTCGAATCAGGTGTCTGCGAGTTTTCAGGTATGTCGTCTTCCATAGTCGAAATGGGCTGTGCTTGATCGACTGTTTCTTCTTCGGAAGCTACCTGAGCGCTGATCTCATCTTCGGTATAGAGGTTGTCCCACAACTCTGCTAGTAGTTGTTCAAACGCACGCCTCATGAGTCTTTTACTTAGATGACCAAGTTGAGATTCCTGTATCATTTCACGAACCTGATGCTTCACAGATGGCTGACGGAAGTAGTCGTAGCAATAAACCAGTTCCCTCTCATAGTCGAGATAGGGGCTCAAAGGGATCGGCTCTTGGGGGAAGATAATCTTGAAAAGTCTCTCCCATTGCTCCTTTGGAGTAAGTCTGGTATCAGATCTCTCATTGATCGCAGTTGCCATATCCCTCGTGATAAGTCCGACTGGGGGCGGGCGTGTCGGAAGGCCAAATATATTTTTACATGTTTCCTCGTGTTTGGTCAATTCCTCTGGTCGAAACTCTTTGAAACAGAAACGGCAATGATGTGAGAAGTGCCTCTCTTGAATGTGCTTTTTGAGGCGATATATGTCCCTGAGTTTCTTGACACAACTTCCTCTGTGCTTTCTGGGATCCCACTTCATGAAAGGACAAGCCCAAAAGAGGCTATTTTCGGACGATGTATCAGTAACGGACCGGATTTGCCCATTACCTCTAGACTCCTCATCCTCACTTCCTTCATCCCCATCAATAGTCTGACCTCTGCGGCCTGTCGGTTTGGCACCTTTACGTACAACTGTTGCTCGAGTGTTCTTGGTCGAACTACTGGAGCTTCGATCAGCTTGCTTACGCTTTGCTGCAAGAGTACGTTTCTGTGGCGCATACGACCTGTAGTAGTCGTCGGCAAGTGTTTCCACTATTCTGTTGACAGTTTCCTGACAGGCAATCTCCTCCTGAGCAGGTTGACTTGCGTCGATGAATTCTCCTCGAAAGGCGGCTTCAGACTGCGAAGTATCGCTGGAAACGGAGCTTGCTGCGGATGTGATCTCCGAATTTCCGTCAAAGTTGTTTTCATCCTGGTGTTCGTCTGAATCGACGAAACTTCTAATGCCAGCAATTGCAGATATCTGAAACTCGTCATGTCCGCGATAGGGCCCTCCTATGCGGGGAAAGGACCTTTGAGATATCGAAAATTCATGCTCTGAGCCAGGGCCACCTCTCGAAAACTGGCCATCGCGTGTTGCTGGCAGCTCCAGTAGCTGATCATCAAAACACAGGCGGGCGTCCTGACCATCAAAACATATGTGAGGGTCCTGCCATGAAAATTCAGGGATCCAAGATAATGAACGATTGCTCCTTTGTGTATCAGTTGGAGTAAGCAGCACTTCATCGCGATGTGAATCGCTTGCCTGTGAGACGCTCTGGGCTGGAACAGTGTAAGAAGGTCCTGAGTGTGAAGGTTCAGAAGATGATATGACCCCTGTGGGCCCTGGCTGGGGCAATCTAAATGGAAGTAACGACAGTAAACCTGACTGTGGAACATAGTTTTCCGTCGTTTCCCAGGTCAGATCAATGTATGGGTCACCTTGCCCATCACCTAACCCTAAGAGTGAAGGGCCATGGGCCAAGTCTTCCTCACGGGTAGTCACACCAGTGACGGCCGCGTCTCGGGCCTAATCTCATCAGTATCACTGAGTTTCTGCATGTAGGTATGGTCCATATGGAAGCAACTCACTCTTAGCGAATGCTTTGTTGGGGGTACTTCACCAGCAGCAGCACCGCCAGGGTTGGTGGAATCCACCGAGTCAGACATATTGTAGGTAGTAATGGAGGTTTACGGTACTGAAATTGTAAAGAATCGAGGTAAAGGCATGGTTAAAAGAATAGGAGAGGTGGAATTCATTGCGCGACTGTTCAGCTTCTTATGGTAAACTGAATTCAAAATTTGTCGTTTTTTTTGCCTGTGTCTTGGACGTTTTTTTGAATTGAGAAACCCTGCAGAAAGCATTGGCTGTCGTGACTCCAAATCATATCATCCATGCCAGAAAAAGCAATGAGGCTTACAACTCATCATATCATTGGGAGAGGGAAAACAGGCTGTATAAAGTGCATGCGCACCGGCTGACCGCTTGGTACTTGAGACACCCTTCAGAGAGCCTCAGCTTAAAAACAATCATATCATGTAATCAATCTGGGTATAATTGAAGAGTTGCAAGTCACCACAGAATCAACCAGTATTGTCTCTTCGCACCCGCATCGCAGATGGCTAGGTAATCAAAATCAAGTAAATACAATGACAACTCCTCTACACATACCTATGCTCACATAACCAACAATTGCCTTCAACATTACTCGTCGCGAAAACTATCACAGGGCCCTCATCTGAGATGTTCTATGGTCTCTGCCGGGCCTTGTATTCTTTCTCCGTTTCCCAACTGAAAAGCAAAATCCAAGTCCCTTCGCCCTGTCATCCAGCCGATACCTAGTCCACTTGCGTTCTATCCAACCAGCACCCCAGCTCAGTCTCAGTAAGAACCGACTTCCGACTGATTGCAAATGTGAACAGAACAGTCGACGCTCCGTCAAGTTTCAATTTGCTTGCTGATATCGTGGATACCACCTCAAACTACAACTGCGAATGATCTCGATAGCTCTCCGAATGCCCCCAAGTCGGGTTGCCGTGCCCCAGAAAAGAATGTTACTGATCAATCTTTCACATTCTCGTTGGCTTCCCTCATTTCGCATGTCGAGAGTTCTTACCAGACAGACATGCTCACTGGTCTCATCCCATGCGTAACTGAAATAAATGGAGGCCGGTGGTCCGATTTAACACGAAGCTGAACACAGAACTATAGAGTCCCGGAATATTCCCGCCGCGCTCTGCAAGGCGATGGCGCAGTCTCTCGACCATTCTGACACTGATAGAACCGCCTTGAATACAGTTGTGTGCTGTCTCATGAAGGTTTCCGCGTTGCTCGTTGTCAGGGCCATCGAATTTGACCACTAGAAAAGGATAGAGGGGATTTTCCCCATCGACAGCCCCTGCTTCTACCTTGGACCAAGCGGATATTTCATGATTGTCGATCATATATTGGGGGGGGGATCCATCCGTAGATGAAATCAGGTTGAGAATTCAGCTGCCGAAACTCGTTTGTCGATTCCATTATGGTCACATATGCTCTCACTTCCTTGTGATTTGTATTGTTCAGTATATGCGCCTCGCTGATACCAAGAGTGTTGAATTCAATGTTTCGCAGAAATTTCTCTTCCCGAGAACAATCTTGTGTCGTAATAGCAGCCTTGAAAACTTCGTGAGCGTCCTTTAACACTGTTTGACGCGCAGGCAAACTACTGACATAGCGGAAGATGTCAGCGTTGTTGGGGCCCATTTCTCCAAGTGCATCACGATGTAAAAAGTGAATGCGAATCGCACTGAGTTGCTGAACCTCTACATGGGGAGGATTTCCGTTGGTATCTTCACACAAAAGGTTCCTTGATTTCTTAGACTTCAGAGTTGTGTAAGAGGATAGAGGTTTCTGGCCAAGTTCTGAAGGTGAAGATATTTATGCCGAAAAAGCAAAACAAAACTGCTGAGGGTAGGGCTTTGGTGAATGTAATCTCTTTACCAAATTCTGTCACTATTCACTAAGTAGGTATCAAAGGAAACCCCAAATCATATAAGGTCACTTGTCAGTATGTCTTTCTTTCATAACCCTTTATATTTCTCTTTTTATAACGGTACACAAACTTTCGAAAATCATCATTAGTGTCCAGCGTGAGTGAAGTTGTCTGTAATTAGCTGCCGGCGCCAATGCAAGTCTCCGCCCTACACAATTTATCGTGAGCTGATCTATCCGGCCCATTTCACCTTCGACTGTTTAACCTAGCAGGTAGGGAATTTTAAGTGCCCTTTAGTGCTGTCTCTTGTTTGCGCTTCTTCTGAAAGAATATGCCTATACAAAGATGGGCCAATGCTGGTTGAAAGATACGTGGACGGTAGAGGATAGATGTATAGGTTTAAGCGGAAAGATAGGTTAGACGACCTGCCCTGACATTATCTATCATCAGCATCGGACCCATGAAAGGCTGGAATTTCTTCTTATATACTTCACAACTTACACTTTGCAGTCTGTGGCCATTAAGAACCAGTGTGTGTAGAGGTTTCGAGACATCATCTTTTGGCCTATGTCAAGTCTAGCCTCAAAGAAACTTGATCGACCGATTACAATCACATTCGCAACCAGAGGCTACTTGATTGACGATCCTATTGAGGGCCTGTACTGGCGACAGATGGTGGGTGACACGATGTTGGTGAACTGGCATGCTATATGTTACTATGGTTAGTTAGCCCGGATAAACAATCCAGCGATAGGGTGGCCTCAAATGACCAAAGCTTGAAGCACTTTGTCGACAATCGCCTGTCTGAGGCATTCCAATGCTAAACATGTAACCATTGGCCAGATTTATCTCCCTTGGCTAACAAAGTAAATCAGGTTTTGTGCGGTGATATAAGCTCCCAGCCACAGGTCTCAACTGCAAATAACACACCTAGCTCATAACTTAAACAATATACCGTAATGCCTGATTAAATTCTAATAAGATAAAAGCCTAAATTATGACTCTTTGGCCGGCCTTGAAGGTATATAAGATGCTGCCTGCATTCAACAAGAGTGTGATCGGAACCTCCTTTGTCCCACAATTTCACTTCCTTCTCATTTCTCGAGCAAGATCAAGCATTTGCACCTCATCATCTCTGATCTTTTATCCTGGTATCACAGCCGACAGAGAATTTCGATCCCTACAGCATGCAGCGAGCGACGCAGGACGGCCTTGAATGGCAAGAATCATTTCTGGATTTAGAGCCAGTATGGACACGAGAGCCTTCCATAGGCGCCATTGAAAGCGTATCCCGTCAACAGCTCAAGATAACATCAGATAATCCCTGTACCGTCACATTCCACGGAGCAGGTTTCTTCAACAAGGTCTACCTCGTTCGTGCTGAGGGAAGTACTCTCGTCATGCGCGTTACCTTACCTGTCTACCCGCGCCACAAAACACGTGCCGAGGTCATTACCTTGAAATGGGTGCGCGAGAACACCACTATTCCCGTCCCCGAGATCTTTGCTTTTGACGACAGTAACGACAACGAGATCGGCTTTGAATGGATCTTGATGGAGTTTATGCAGGGTACGTCCGCGCAGAAGCGATGGCGTACTATGTCGATGGAGCAGAAGATTGTGCTGACGGAGCGAATTGCAACCTTCCAGTTTGAGCTTTCAGGTCTCGAGAAGCAAGAACCAGCCTTCAAAGGTATAGGGACATTGGATTCTCCTGAGATTGACCTCGAGGCCGACTTCAGAGCACCCGAAGCTGCGATTACACCCGGACGCATGGTTATCCCTGAGTTCTTCAAGGGCGATTATCTTACATATGACATCCCAAGGGGGCCATTTCTCTCTACTCATGATTGGCTAAGCGCCGTATTGACATTCGCCATACACCATCAGAAATTAGTTCTAGAGAACTCTCAGGATGAACACGATATTGAAGACGCCGAGGACATCCTGCCAGTAGCGCAAAGCCTTCTGGCTCTCCTTCCTAAAGTTTTCCCTCCGGATTTGGGCAGGCCAGAGCCATCAGCTCTCCATCACCACTATTCCCACCTCGACAACATCCTAGTTAACGAACAAGGAGAAGTTACAGCTGTGATCGACTGGGAATGTGTCACAGCACTGCCCCTCTGGAAGTTGAGTCAGGTGCCCAACTTCCTTATTGACCAGCCTCGCGAAGATGAGCCTCAGCGTGACGCATATATGAACGAGACACCAGAAGAGGCTGCCGAAGCAGCGGATAGGCGCAACGATCCAGATTACCTCGACAACGAAGGCAAGAATCAGTTATACTGGATTCACATGATGGAGTATGAGACTACGCTGCTACGCAAAGTCTACAAAGCAAAATTGGAAGAGGTGTGTCCGGATTGAGTCAAGATGAATCCTTTGGAAGAAGACTTCTTTGATGCCGTCTTGCAATGTGATGGACTATGGATGAAAATGGTACGGAAGTGGGTCGAGTGTATTGAGAAAGGCGAGTCAGTGAGGTTCAAGGATATGTGGAATAGATAGAGACACGAAATTTAAAATATCTCGTCTTATCAGCAGCGGCATGTCAGCTTCGAGAGTAACAGTCAAGGAATTATAACTCGCTCGCATCAATTAGTGGCTTTCTACCATAGTGATCTCTAGTACTGCCAAGTTCTTGTCTAAGAACTGATTAATCAATAGAGAGAAATACTTATTAGGGTGTCTTGGTTTTGGACTGTCCATATATTGTTTACAGTGTGAATAGCTTCTGCTAACTCGACGGCTCGCTGGATTGCGAAGTTCATATTTTGATATTTGCTGCAGCTGCAAGCACAGATTTAAGCAGGCAGCTACTCTCTGTTTGATACCTTGCCTGGTAGTTGGCAAACTGCATGATATACCGTCTCAACGCTATGGCCAGCTCTAATAAGCTCCAGGATAGCAACAGCGTCCTCCCATACTCCAGCATACAAGGCCTCTGCAATGGCAATATGCATTGTGAGCTTCTGTTCCATACATTTTATTCCCTCCTCACGCTCATCTATCCCTAACTCTTCTGGATTCTGCGAATTATCTATATCTCGTTGATATTTCATACTGAATCTCCTATCGGCCGGTAGAGTTCTGCTATTAAGCGATGAGCACAGAGACAAAGGATGATAACTCAAGATCAACTCTATAAACACCAATAGTATCTTCTCTGAGACCGCGGTTGTCATGGATGGGGCATTTAATAAATGTTTGTCTTGCGTCTGGTTTCTTGCATAAATGATACGTATACCTGGAAGGCTCTCTGTTACTCGGCTGGACGGTGCAGTAAAGACAGCAAGATTTAGTCAAGAATAAAACGGTACTGAATTCATGAGAATATCGTATCTTGAGGCCTAGAAGTCTCACCAGATGGTGGAGAGACGTCGTCTCAGGAAATTAAAGACTCAAGAGGGGACAATTTGTGTAAACGGTGGGTGACCCATATCCATGAGACGCACAAAAGGCCGCATCCCCAAACAAGCTTTCAGAACTCTAAGAGTGTCATCTTTTATGTGGAGTTTACTGCTCCGAGGCTTGTGATTAGACAACTCGCGTAGTATTTATGACGAGTGTTGTTGAAGAGAGCAGCTTGAACTGTGATTGGCGAACCACAGCGGAAAGTGCGCCGGGACTGTAGCCCAATGAGAGGCATCAGAAAAATAAGAATGATGTGATTGGGGAATATCTGAAGTTAATATTCAGTTCTAAGAAATAGGTTGGTTTTTTCCGAGTATTATTTTCTCTTTGGTGTTCTTCATCTCTGCATCAGTGACTCTATCGGCCTGTCAGCTCAGTCATAGTCTTTGCGCAATGAACAACACATCACTTTGGCCATCAAGTTTTCAACAATTCAAGAGCGTAATTGGTTTAGTGGTAAAATTCTCCGTTGCCATTCGAGCAGCGTCGGGGAGCCCTGGGTTCGATTCCCAGATTACGCATTCAATTCTCATTCTTTTGAATGATTCAGCTTTTGGCTGTCTTTCTTTCATTATTTTTGGTGGTGTTGTGATGTTGGTGTTGACTGGTTCCTCATGCTTGGCTCTGTTCCACGCTGGTCGAGATTCTGCCAAGAGCCCAGTGGTATCAGTGCAGTTGCCAATCGCCTGTTCCTGCCTTGCCAAGACTTTTGCCTCGCCCACCTTGTGAGGCAATATCGCCGATCCCCAGAATGAAGTCACAGAGCAGGTCCCTTGAGGCGCATCAAAAGCAGATCTGATGGCTGTGATCTTAATGAAGCGGATATAAGCAGCACCAGAGAAAACTCAGCCACCTTCTGAGATAGGAAACAGCCGACAGATGAGGAAACGATACGAATAGAGTTGCAGTTTCCCGCCTTAAGCGATTGGCTACAGTGAGGTCTCATACGCCACATTAGCCTTGCCAGGCTAGGCCAGGCAGCTAGAGCCTAACAAGAGGTGCTGCACTCAAGGTTAATTTTAGCATTTTGTCTCCTGTTTGAGGTGACCAGCGGTGTATTGATTGATGTATGTGACGGTGAGATATGGCCCAGACTATGCACTCACGAGGAACGTTGCATAGAATGAAAGAGTCATAAGTGTAAGCATTAACCTCTTCTTCATCTTTAGGCTAGACAACGCATTGACTAGACCGCAATGAACCAACAAACTCGGTGGAGATGCTCTGGACCCTCGCTTCGCTTCTGCGGCGCGATTAACCTGTAGCGCCCACTCAGCCTTGCCAGGGGTGATCTTCTGAATCCTCCGCCAAGATGAATCCCATCCGCCTCATTGGATGCTTCTGCGGTTCCCATTAACTGTGCCTCGCAAAATTTCCCTTGGCCTGGCCGGTGACTCTTTTGCCCAGGCGGACAATGGCACGTTGTAGCGGCCATGTCCTAACTCAGCACATCGTGAGCGTCTGCTATAAGTAGCCTGTGTCCTCACACATTGTTCAGATCATAATCCACAAAGCATCTCTCTCAGAACATCTCTCTCGTTCACTCTTGAATATCTTCACTCGCTTATAACAAACCAACCATCAACATGCAGACCAAGTACATCTCCCTCCTCGCCGCTGCGGCTGCTACCAGCGTCTCTGCCGCTGAAGTCAAGCGCGTTGATGTCGTCCACATCTTCGAGACTCTCCACGTCGGCAAGCACATTCCCAGCTTCACTCCCAACAAGCGCTCTGTCAACGCCATCTTTGAGCGTGACGACAAGGAGGAGTGCCAAAGCTCTGCCATCTCTATCCTCCGAAGCGCACCCACTGCCAACAGGGACCTTGAGTCCTGGGCTCTTACTGCTGAGACCACCGACCCTTGCACTCTCACTGCTCCCTCTTCGCTGTCTTCCGATCTCTTGAGCTACATGACCGCCGTGGTCGAGTGGTCTAACGAGAAGGCCGATGATATGCAGGAGCTTGTTGACAAGTGTCTTGATGGGGAGGACGCCGACGATTCCGGCGAACTGGGCGTTTGCTCTACTCCTGGAAAGATCATCTTCACTGCTGCCACCACTACAGAGACTGTCCAGCTCAAGACTGTTCTCGAGACTTTTGCTACTCCTGGTGCTTCTTCCACTGGCAGCGCTGGTGGCTCTGATGACACTGAGAAGACCAACGCCGCTGCTCCTCGTGGCGCCAACTTGTTCGCTGCTGTTGCCGCCGTCGGTGTCGCTGGTTTCATGATTGCTGCTTAAGGACTTGGCTTCAAGCTTTAATGGATGGGATGGATGCGTAATGGATGAATATACACGTTATGGAATTGTCATGTTTAGATGATGGATAGAACAGATTGACTTCTGTATGATATCCCGTGCAGAATGCTGCACTTTAAATTATATATTTAATGGTTATGGAATATTTCCTTTTACTGTACCCTGACTTCCTCGGTGCTCCTGTGAAACAAATGTATGTTTGAAGCAGCATGTCGGCTCAATATTTCATTCCATAAACTAAATAATATGCAAGCCACCGATTTATTAACAGTTCGGCAAGTGTTCTTTCGGTCTAGTTAGCTTTATTAGACGATCCAATCTCTCGGTGCTCCCTTTCAGCAACATTCCCCCATGTCTAAGTGCTTTACGCTTTCAGTTGTCTTTGTTCAAAACCTCGCGTGCCCCTCCACCTTCTTACAACTTCCTTCACAACTCCATTCGTAACCTCAAGGCTAACAGCACAGCACCATGGCCCAAGACGAATGCCATCTCCTGCGTCTCTCAACGGAGCTCATTCTCCAGATCTTGGAGTATGGCCCTACATCGGCATATCTTGATGTGGCCCTCACTTGCACTACCCTACACCACCAGTGCCGGAATCTCTTAGATCCTCACCATGAAGCTCACGCAAAATACAGAATCACATCAGACCTGTCATCGGAAACTGTGATTGGTCTACTCAAAGATACTACCAAGACCAGAATCGAGAGATGGCATGTTCGTGAGCTGGAGATCTGGGGTAGCCGACAAGATTGGGAGGATTGGCGACCTTGGGTTCCAAAACTTCCCGGGACTTGCGGCCTTGCTGATGGCTTCCCCAGAAGGTATGGGCTGGATTTGCAAGACACGCAGAGATACATCCGCACTGCACTGGAATTATGGACCTTTTCAGACTTCGACTCTGAGGCAATCCAATGGGATCTAAAGGCTGGCCAGGACAGGTCCCTCAAACTCCTCCTCATTGCAACATGTCCTCGTCTTCACAGTCTGCGATTCGTCAAAAGAGGCCTCGATCCTCACACAACTCTGCAATCGATGAGAGAAGTCATCAAAGATAGTCGTCGTACAAAGGGCGGGCCACACGAGCTACAAGGCTTCGAGTCCCTGCGAGATATCGCAGTTGGTATCGAGACAGATCAACGTTCGTGGAACGACATAAGTCCCCTCCGCGATGCCCGCGACTTTGCAGCCCTTTTCTACATACCAAACCTTGAAAGCCTCTACTTCAATGATTTGCACTACATTGAAGATGGCAACGAAGACTACCAACACTCCGATGTGGTTGACCAGTATGGCTTTCCACGCGGCACTTCGAGCGTCAAGCATCTCTTCATAGATAGCGCTTCAGAGTTCTCTCCCGAATATTACCAAGGCATAGCAGATGTATCGAAGAAATTAGAATCAGTCGTTTTGAGGGTTGCGAGTGAACAACGGCAAGATCTTGACGACGTGGATGTGTTCGTGGGCTCGCTTTCTTTCAGTAATGGGAAAACGCTACAGAAACTCATCGTTTACAATCCGGCGGTATGCACGGCTATCAATGCAGAAACTATCGACTCGATGACCTTGACGACTTTGGAAACTTGAAGCTGTTTACGTTGGCAGTTTCCGATATAGAGCTTGAAGAGCTTCACCTCATGCATAGTTCTCCCAATGCAGAGCAACTTGCGGAATACGTCTCTGACTCTTTCCCTGCTAGTACTGAAGCTATTTATGTCTGGGGACGATCGGACGGGCATGCGGACGACTCAAAATCTGACGATATCCCATCAGATATCCTCGACTCAACACTTGCGTCACTCATCGAATCTGGCGTCCTTGAGAACCTCAAGGTTGTTTACCTCGCGGACGTCGAGAAACGACATGCTCAAGACAATAGAGAGATAGCTCTTGGGAGACCCATCGACGTCGGCCTCAAGGATGCGGGCCCAAAGCAACTGATTCTGCAAAAGTCTGTCGCTGCAGGACTCAAGACTGGTGTGCATGTGTGCACGCTGATGAATAGAGATGATGGGGGATATTGGAAGAACTTTCCTGGCAAGCCGGATAGGTTTGAACTGAAGACTGGTCCTTGTTATGGCGAAAGGCCCGCATCGTGGAGATTGAATCTGCAGTCTGGAGAATGGGGGCCGGATTGCGAGGGTTGCGGAGAGTGTAAAGACTGCTTGGTCGTGTATCCTGCTGAGTTGTGGAAGAGTAGTCGTCCATGAGAAGGCTGTCGATAACATGACGACTGCCATCGATTTAGGCTTTAGTAGTACATGTAACACATGGATACCATGTCCATCAAGAGCCTCAAGATGGAACTGCCGGTGAAGGCCTGTGCTTCGATGTTGCAGGTGTGATGCCAATGAAGCCCAAGATGATATCAACGATCAATGCCTCGCCATGGCTCGGATTCAGCTGAGCAAGCATTAGTATCAGTCCATTACCAATCCATTGCCTCAACTCACCACCATCTTAGCCTCCTTCACGATCCTCCAGGCCGCGCGTACGACGCGTCTCTCACCACCCTCAATTGCCTAACAACTCCTCTTGCCTGGTCCCAATATGATAGCAGCACTGAGTAAACTGTATCAATCACTCCCCCTCATACCCCATCGCCTTCTTCCACCAACCCCCCAGCCCCTTCTCACCCATAACCCTCCCAAACTCCCTCACCGACTCGGTCTCATCAAACCCCGTCTTGCCTCCCACGCCCTCGGCCTTCGCGGGCTTCGCAACACATTTAAAGTCTTTATACCGCAGCGCTTGCACCGTAGATACCCACTCTGTCAATCCAGCTTCATCGCGCCCCTCTGCAAACATTATCCCCGGTGACCCGCCGCTTCGCACGTACAGCCAGTCCACGTTTAGCTGTTGTGCTGCGCGACGTACGCGGGAGAGTTTCTTGCGGGATGTTATATGGTGGGTGCGGATTAGGCAATTGAAGAGTGAGGGCGTTCGTGACATGATGGTACAGGCGGTGTTGGAGAGACGTTGGTGAGAAGATTCATGATATCACGATCGGACTTTTATGGATCCGATGAAAAACACAACCACACCACGAGAAAATAAAGACTAAATGGTATAGAGCGTAGTTAACGTAAAATTCATCCTCGTATGTGCACATCTAAGGATATAAACCTAGCCTAAGCAAACCAAACGCCTTCCTGGTATGTATCGTATCCTCCGCAGCCGAGTCAAAACATCATGACATGACCAACATCAAAGTTTGTTTACATACACGTACGTTATTCAACAACATCGAGTCCCTCAATCCCCAGGGGCTCCTCGTCATAAATGGGTATAATGTGAAAGCTAAACGAACTTTCTCGTTCCCTGCACGCCAAAAGTTCGAGCTAAGTTGCGCTGCGCCTCTCAGCTTAGACACCTCGGAACATGCGCACCACCAAGAACCACATCGCACCGATAAACTTGAACGCGCTCAGACCTGCCACACTCCAAAGGACGATAGACATGTAGATGTTGGATCGGCTCAGCTGTTCCGCTTCATGGTCCTTATCCTTGTTCGGGCTGATTCGATCCAGACCTGCAGAGCTCAGAACAAGCGCCGCCAGACCAAAGTTTGACACCATCCAGATGAGCACGACGCCAGTACGAACACCTCTGTAGTAGTCCATTTGCTTCTCCTGAAGTTGGCTGGGAGTAGGAGTAGTCTTGACTTCAACATGCTTCTGCGCAAAGACAGCAAGTTCTCGCTGGTATTGTGCGTTCAAATCTCCTTCGTCGGGCAGATCCGTTTTTCCAGTACCATCCTTGGTGTTGACCGAAGGAAGCTTCTCAACCTTGTCGTCACCCTTGGTACCCCAAGAAACATCGTGGGTGTTGCAGAAGGCGTAGACGTTCAGAACATTTGTAAAGGTGGGCGTGAGAAGCATGTACTGGACCAAAGAGGTAGCCATGTGCCAGGGATCCAGCATGATCAGCGAAGCGATCAACCAGATACCAAATGTCGACATGACTGAGATGATGAGCATGTAAAAGACCTTGTTCTTAAAGATGTCTGCAAAATTAAAGCCGTTTGCGTCGTTGACGTCGGCTATGATAGCTTTGACAGCGATGAAAATAGCAGCAAACAATAGATAGCTGGCCAGCTGTTAGTGTCAGGCAGCAAAAGCATGTCAGTAAACTTACATCATGATAATAGCCCAGAACCAACACATGGCGGTATAGAGCCTACCAGAACCTGCTGGGCGATTGCCCAGAGATAAAACGAAGCAAGTAATCAGGAATACACCGTAGAGCCAGGTGAAAACGACACCCAGAATTTCTCCTGTCCGCCCAAGTAACGTATCATCTCCCAAACTTGTTGTGAGAATCTTGAAAACGAGGAAGAAGTTACCAATAGCGAACCAGGCGAAGATCATGTTAATAGTGTTAAAGATGAATTCGATGAAGAAGGCAAACTTTCGCAAGAAAGTGTGATCAGATCGGAGGAAGTCGAGGAAGTGAACAATAGCGTAGATAGCAGCGAAGAAAGAACCGTTGAGCCAACGACGACGCTGGAGAACAAGCTCGGTAACCGTATCGGGAACATCAGTCTCGCCAGTAGCTGACTTGACGTACTGCAGGATCCAATGGCAGTTGCGCTTAGTGACCAGCTCGAAGCAAAGAATACGATCTTCGGCGAGATACATGTTGGACTCGAAAAGACCAGCATCGCTTCCACCGTGGAGCGTCTCACCCAAGAAGTATTTCTCAAGAGGCCCCTTTCCGTTCTTGTCGTTTTGAAGAGCTACATAGCGGTAGGCTGAGAAGGCACCGGGCAACACAGAGATAAAACCAAAAGCAGATTCCAATGGTTTATCGAGAATGTTGCTCATCTTGTACTCAAAATTCTGAGCAGCGACGAGGGGGTTCAGAAGGTATTTTCCACCAGTACCCAACATAGCCTTGATCTCACCACAAGCACCACCACACATGGGCTCGAGATCAAAGGCCTTCCAGAGATGGTAAATTGAGCTTCCACCGGGTCGAGTACCCGCATCGAGAAGCACACAAATGTTAGGGTCCAGGACTCTACCAAAGGCCGTAAAAAACCATCTGTGTGAATTAATCTTCTTGGCGTTCTTCTCCTTCAAACAGAACAGCATTTGGACTGGCTGGCGTCGGTGGACGAGCTGAACAACGTCGTTCTTGATCTGAAGGTGAGTCTGCGTGGTGTATTCGTAAATATGGGCTGTGACGTCCTTTCCGTTGACCTGCTGCTTGGCGATACCCTCTTGGTACACACCCATACCGGCCAAAAGAGCCTTGGTCCTGGGGTTGATCTTGGAACGACCATCACTGACGACACAGACGACGATCTTCTTCCACGCGTCTTTACCCCATGTCTTACTGTTGGGACGGTTACACATGTACTCGATGTTCTTGAAAACACCGGTCATGGTTCGGGCAAACAAAATATCGTCCTCGTTATACATTGTCACAACAATGAACAGCTCAGTATGGCGGGGCTTTGTGAAGAGCCTCTGTCGCAGTGTGAAGTCGTGGTCGTAGAAGTCATTGGGATCGCAAGTCGCAGCGGAATATCGCATGTGTGTGAACTCATCACGCTCTCCATGGGGGTTCTGTTGCAGCAGAACTGGAGGAACAGGACAATCCAAAACCAGGTTACCGCGGTACAAGAGGACTTGCTTGACGGTTTTCCAGCGCTTAATTCCACCACCTTGTTGCGGTTGGTCTTGGTATGGTTCGCTTGGCGCATCTGATGGTTGGTGTTGCAGCATAGGCCTGTGATCGTCGTAGGGTTGGTCGTACTCTTGGTCATAACCCTGATCGTAGGGTTGCTGCTGAGGACGAGGCTCGTAAGGTTGGTTGTAGTAGGCATCGTGATGCGCTTCAGGGTTTACGGCGTAATCACCAGGAGGGTCGTAGCCAGACAAATTGTCGACGGATTGCTGCGACAAAGTCAGTTCAATGCTTGATACCACGTGCGCAACGTTCAATGTAGCGAGGAAGACTTACAGCCGCATTGAGGTTCAAATGATCGCTTGGAGTAGGTAACCGGTGCTGGTCGGGGCCCGAGGGCATAGCAAGGTGCTGCTGAGAAGGGCCATACTGTCCATATCGGCCATCGTCGAAGGGATTGTCGTCGAGCTGGTAGCCTTGCTGGAGCGGCTGTCCTGGCGAAGGCGTCCGGTGAGGGTGTGGATGTTGCTGAGGCTGTGCCCCATAGCGAGGATCCATTTCGTTGTTATAGTAATCGTCGTCTGAAGGCAATCGTAGTTAGACTTATATGTTCAAGAGTATGTTTGTTGTTTGAGTTGGCAACTGGTGTGAAGAGCAATTTGAGTGGGCGCAGGTAAATAGACTTGCGAATGGTGCCTCGGTGATGCGCATAGAGACGCAGCAGCAATAAACCTTATCACCACAACGAAAGCTTGTTGCAGGTGATGATGATAAGATTATAGCCACTTTTGCAGGTTTGCCGAGTATCAAGAGCAAAGAGTGAACAGATGCCGAGTCGCAATGTAATGCAATTCTAACCAGGGGTGTTTAAGAGGGAGGGGTATGTCTCGACTGTCTCATATTGAGGGAGAGAAAGGGGCAGATGACGATGATCAAAGAATTGGGAAGGGATAAGGTGCTGTACTTGCCTAGGCGATTATACGACATGATTGCGGTTGTTTATGCGCACAAGAGGCGCTATAAACACAAGATTTTGAAGTATTTGGTTGGGTCTGTTTTTGAGCGCGGTTACAGTTGCGCAAAGGATGATTTATGGTTGATTGACTATTGCTGTTGCGCTGGTGGTTGCCCCGGGTTTCGGTTCCCACCAGAGACCAAGGAACCGCGGGCGGGCGAGAGGTCCAATGTTTGCGAGGCTTGAGTGACGTTATGCGAAGATGCACAGACGCAGGAGAAGCGGTTATAAATGCGTCAACGAATGATACTGTGAAACGAATGCACAGTAGACAAAGAGGAGAGAACAAAAAAAAGGTTGGACAAGAAAAAAAGATTTTGGTCGGTTTCAAAGCTGACGAAAACCAATGTCAGTTCAGTGTCAATGTCAGACTGCAGCCGCAGAGCAGAGACAGGGATCGATCAGGCGCTAGCTACCTCCAACTCAAGATGCGAGGGAGCGAGAGAGCGAGCGAACGAGCAAGTCTGTAGGTGGCTAACAGCTGCGTCTGGTCTGTGGCTCGGCTGCTCGATATGCGCGTCCCAGTCTGCGAATGAATGGCCAAAACCCTTGTCCTTGTCTTGGCAGATCCGTTTACTCCGATAAATCCAAGGACCAAGGAGTTGGAGGGTCCAGCTTGGCGTGCTCGAGAGCAACGGTCTCTGTGTTTCACACTCTGCCCGAGTGGGATAGTAAAGGATGATCCTCCACTGACCCAGTGACGGATAAGGGTATGAATGAGCGAGTGACGTTGGTTTGGGGGGCTCGGCTTGAACCGCCAGCGGGGATAGGACGTTGCAGGTGGCAGGGGTCGGAATCGAATCTGCCTGTCCAGTCCAGTCCTGTTATCGTGGAGGAAATGATGAAGTGCAAAAGAGAAATGAGAGTCAATATCGACGCGAGGCAGATCAAGTGGTTATACAAAGAGGCTGACTTACTTGAGTCCTGCAGCTGAAGCTTAGTAGCTAGCAAGCTACTGCACAATAGCTCCTTTCCTCTGACCTGTCTCATCACACCTCAGCCCGATTACTTTCTGTCAGCCCAGCCGCAGCTTAGATCCATCCTCCAATTCCTCTCGCAGTCTAGTCCCAAGCCGCGCCTCCGCCAAATATCCAGCCCAGAAAGATCCAGCCAGGCCTAACCTCGCGCCTTTCAAGCCTCCAGATAGAATGTGCCTTTCAGCTGCATTCACAAGGCTCTCTCGTGCGACACATCATCGCATCTTGCCGTTGAGTTTTAAGAGACTAAACCAACCGCCAACGCTGACTAGCCAAGCCTCCATCATCCTCTCTCGCCCGAGCAGCGTTAACCTGCTTACAGACGCATGCAGCCCTAGATGGAGTAATCGCATCTGGGTCCCGTCCCTCCACTGTTCTGTTGCTGATGCAGCCAGTACCTGATCATCAGAAATCCAAAAATATCTCCAACGGTACATGAATCGCCACAGTTTGAATGCTCTTGGCTCTTGGCTGGTTCATCAGTCAGGTTTAGAAATGCCGCAGTCTCAGAGTAATTGACTGCGCCACGACCTGTCAATGAGAACCCCAGGTGCCAAGGCTCGCATTCAGATCATTACGAATTCATGTATTTTCGGATTTGCCATCATCTCATATTCTCATTTGGCTCTCTCCCCGAACTGTTGGACTGTGTGCTCCATTCCGCTCGATCTTGGCAGATACAGCACATGACTCTTTCCTGTAATACTTGCAGTGTAGCTGAAAAATGACCCGCTGGAGGTGGAGATGACCAACCTAACTCAAAAGAGCTTAATCCAACGGGACAACCCTTTTGTCTTCTCCCACGACCGCCTTGACAACCCTTCAATATATGGGATACGGTACAGGAACGGGAGAAAGTTAAATAATAATTAGACGACGTAAGGACCCAATCATGAGAAACAAGATTGTCATTTTCAACAAGCTCGACACTTTCGTCAGCCATCAGCCCTAAATTGGCTGCTCCGGGTACCGCTTCTGTTTGATGCACAAGAAGCGGAATACATACGAATATACCATTAAAATCATGTCCTGGCCTTTTGGGTTCCCTCAGTGCATATGGACTTCGGTGTAATTCTGAGGACTTGTCGAGAGATCAAGCTCTCCTCCTCCTTATACACAACAGAGTTGAACCATACGTTGTAGTGTTTGATTGGAGGTTAGGGCAAGATGTACCAGCGTTCTCGTGGCTACGCCTGTCTTTGAGTGTGAACTTGGTGATAACCCAGGTATGCTTGGGCACCTCGTTGCAGCCATCAACTTCATGCCTGAGAATCGCGTAACCAGGCTTTAGAAATCCTTCGTCACTGGATACTGGCTTTATTTACCAGCATTACACACAAACTCCGCCTTATGTATCGATGAGAGCTGTCCTTAGAGCTTCCACCGCCTCTTGTGCAGAACTATACTCAAAATGCCATAACTTCTTGATAACATCCTTGACATGGTTACTGTCACCAACGTAAGGATACTCTCCATCCATAAGTTTCTGCTGGAGTTCTTCTATCTCTATTGGCCCATAAGGGACAGTCCATTCTGTGATCTCACAAATTGCAGTACCAAGCGCAAACAGCTCCTTTTCGAGTGTACTTCGAGTAGTAGAGTCTCCTTCTGATCCTGGCACCCAACAACGAGGTTCACATGTAAAGAGAAGCTCGGGGAACTTGCCCTTCAGAATCGAACCAGCAAAATCGCAGAGCTTGATGTGAAGATCATCGAAGACAAGAACATTTCGAGGTGAGACGTCGCCCCAAATGACCCCGCGATCATGGACATACTGCAAAGCCTCTCTGAAGTCGACGGCTACTTGCAAGCGACGAGCCATTGTCGGAGGTTCGTTCTTCCCAATGTATTCCCGTAAGTTACCATGCGGCGCCCGCTCAAGACACAAAGCTCAGGCTTCTTCTCCATCAGGCATCAATTCGACACCAATACACTTGAGGATGCATGGGTGTGGACCAAGGGCTTCATATATGGCAGCTTCGCGCTTAAATAAGTTGCTCGTATCTTCAGCAAACGCGGCGTGGTCATACATTTCGCCGTCTAACCAAAACCCAGCTGCCTTCAGAGCGGACTTGGAATTGCCTTTCTCTGTGTACACGATGCTGAGGCCTGTTCGGCCGAGCGGCTCGAGTCTGGCCCGGATAGCATGGGCAGCTTCCCGGTCCGAGAGTCGCATTCTGAAATTACGCAGATCGATTCAAAGAGGTTCGAGAGTGAGGCTAGAAAAGGTAATGTCGAGAAGAAAGGTATCACACTGAGTATCTTAGACAGGTCACAATTGTACAGGCAGGACAGGTTCTAACGTTATGGTGCGGGGAAGTTTAAGCTTAATTCTTAATCCAGTGTCGTCTCCAGCGAAAAAAGACGTAAGGTACATGTAAATAGACAACTCAAATATGAATAATGACCATTCAGTTAATCAACAATGGAATTTCTCAAAATGAAGTGATATTTAGTTATCCTCGCCGGGCAGCGTTGCCAAGTAGTAACAACAGCCTGTTATTAAATGCCGATGCGCCCTCCCTTTGGCGTCCAGGCGATCAATTCCCGCCCAATATACGAATATCCCGTAACGAACAACTGATCAGCTACTCCGGAGGCAATAAGCTAATGCAAGCTTTGGAAAACACTTAAATTAGCCAGGGTGCCTTGGTCACGAGAGGTTTCAGAGACCCTCTCGCCAACCAATACAATGCGGTTTCGGTCCGTCCCTTGTTGACTGCGGCTGAACTTCTAGCATGCCTGATCCTTGTGCCAGATAACCTCTTCCGCACCAGATATGAACGTTGTCACCGTATTATCCAATGGTTGTTCGGCAGACATGCAAGTTGTTTGTCCAATTCCGCTCTCTTGAGTCTTCTCTTCGAGAGTCGACATCTTCAACACTCACATTTCACCGATTAATGATAGAGAAGGCTTCACTGGAAGGCCTATTTACTATGTATTTTCACAGATATCCCTTACATCCTGTCTGAGTTTCCACTGCCGGCCCTAAATGCCACTCAAACATCCTCCCACTTACTGAGGCACCTTGCAGACATGGCGGTTTCATCTTCCATCGTGACTTCACATATACCCTCCAACTCTATTCAGCTCGTGCAGTCTCTGGCCCTATCAGAGCTTTGTCTTTTCAAAAGAACCAATAGAAACGGGCCGCCCCTGGCATAAACATAAACGGGCATGCATTGGCGTGTATGGCTTCGATGCAGATCTCCTCAAATTAGCTAGGCCAGTTCCCGAGGGCAAGCAGGGACGATAATAGTTGAGATACGGTGTAAAGATATGCCGCAAGATGGGGGTTCTATTCAGAACTGTTGTGGTCTCTTATAGAGTTGATGCCCTGTTGTCAGTTGTGGGAGCAAGTTTTCGTTCTGTCAGTCAAGTCGGGGCCCATTGTTTCCACTTGCACGTCTTCCCACAGTCTCTAGTTGGAGCAACACCAGCAACTATGTCTCGAATTTTCTCAGTCCTTCTCCTCTCTCTCCCCCTTGCCCTCTCAGCAGACTTCGAAAGTGTGACCATCAGTGCCAACCTCGACAACGTTGGCCACACATGTATCAGCAAATGTCTCTACTACACCCTTCTGTCCGATATGGGCAGGGCTATGGGCTGTGATGACCCCTATGATAACAACTGCTACTGCGCTACCGCCGCTGCATCTGCCAACAAGGCTGATGGCTTCATGTCCAAGTGTGCCACCTCGTTATGCTCAGCTGGTGATCGTTCTCGAGACTTGACTTCCATGCAATCCTACTACGCTTCGTACTGTATGGGTGCAGGCTTCACACAGCCTGGTGCTACTGAGTGGTACAACCCTGCTGAAGCTACAGAGGAGCCGACGAATGAACCTACTGCAGAGAGCGGTGGTGGCAGTGATGCGAGGCCCAGTCGAACTGCCAACTCGGGTGGTGACGGGACTTCAACTCACATGACCATTGTCACGCAGACGGCAGAGGATGGTGCTTCGAGGACGCAGGGTAAGTTCCTGCTGCTCATGGTGATGGTGCCTTTGCTGTTGCTTCAGGTACTGTTCCTGTGCGTACCCTATCGAGAGTTCTTGCTAAACATTCTGGTCACTAGTAATCGTCGAAGCAACTTCCACTTACTGGGTCAACTCGGACGGGTCCCCAGCATCATCCAAGAACGAGGATGGCGGCACCTCTGTTGTCAAGATTGGCGTTGGTATCGCTGTACCAGTGGTAGTTATCGCTGCTGGCTTGTTTGCTTGGTGGTTCATTAGGCGAAGAAATCAACAAAAGGCACAATACCCCCATACTACTCAACCGCTCAGCGAAGTTACAACTGGCGGCGGCCCTGCTGTCGTGGCCTCCGTATCCCCTTCAACACCTGAGAGGAGGGACACTTTACCAAGAAAGCCTGTCGGCGCTTCAACAATCTCTTCTGTTTCTTCTTTGTCCAAGACCAATGAGTTATCCGGTATCGGTGTTCAACGTGAACTTTCTGGGCGTGAAGTTCACCCTTTTCCTAACATGACACCCAGTCCGCCTATTCAAGTCGCAGGACAACATGAGATGTCGGGTGAAGGATGGAGGCCAAACTTGGAGATGGATGGTCGTGATGCTCGTGTGGAAATGTCCGGTGAGGCACGGCCTCCTGAGCTCCCAGGCTATATCAACTCAGCGAATGCGTACACGCCTCATGAGAATGTTCAGCGATGGGAACTGCCTGATAACTCACGTCAGAGATAGGCCGTAGGCTTTGACGGCTGCTATATGTTGTCTTGTATTCTCTTCTTAGTAGTTATCGTTCCACTGGGGTCAATGTTCCTTTTCGGCAGTGGAGTTGGGCGAGGGAAGGGTGTATCTAGGGCTTGGTCAGTTGCGCTAGATGTTATTGATAGGTGTAGAGGAGTAAACTAATTACTATGCTATTTCTTACTTGTATCGCTGCGTGTCTATTTACACATGGTGATAAGTTAGGGTAGTGGACGCTGTATTCATTCTCTTGCTCGTCACTTCGTGGTAGGCCGAACAGTATACTGAATGAACACTCGAGCATCCATTGGCTTTGAACGCGGGAGCTGCTTGACTCGAGTGCATAATTCAGGCGATTGAGCTAACACTCGCTTTTAACACGCAAAAGATGATCGGAGATTTGCTCTCAGACATTGCTACCCCCTTCTCTGGGAGTAAGAAAACCAGGGACCTTGATTCTAAGTAATAAAACCAACTTTATAAAAACCCTCCTAAGTTTATAGTAACTTACCTAAGTTTATTTATCATGTAAGATCAAGGTCTTAAGTTTTCTTTCCTACGCCTCTACTAATATACTTCTTTAAGATCAAGGTGTCCCGAACCACTCTGCAACACTAACAATCTCAGGTTTAGAACAGCCATCAAGGAGATCGCTAATGCAAAAAGAACCATTGAGTTGATTTACTAAAGATCAAAAAGTGTAAAAGAAAGGGTCTGGCCGGGGATTGAACCCGGGACCTCTCGCAAGCTGTGCTGTAGGGTTTTCCCTAAGCGAGAATCATACCACTAGACCACCAGACCAGTGTTGGAGCAGAACATTTGGCGCTGCTGTTGATGAACGGCAGGGTCAATAATGTGGTCTAAGAGCAGAACCTCGATAAAATTGAGCGTCCTTTGTAGAATAATCATGTCTGAGCTGTGCGACAGGGTGGTCAGCAATTGAAAAACAGCAGAGGTCGGTCATTCAGATACTATCATGGGATGTTCAGCCCTCAGTATTCATTAGATAATAATCATCAGATCAGTCTTCAGCCCATCTGTGCAAGTCCGCTCGTCCGCAAAATCTCCCATGGCAGTATTTGGAGCGGAATTAATAATCACATCCACTCCCTACCAACACCGCACAAAGTGGGTGTCGTGCAAGCCACAGCCGCAAAGTAGTGCCAAGACAAATGATGAGAAACTCCAATTCCAGCCTGCTGGCCTCTGGTTGGTCAATTCGATATCACAACTGCTGGAAATGGACCGTCGGAGTAATCAATATCTTCAATCGCCGACTCTTACGGTGGCCGCGTGCCCCGAGATCACTTATTCACAAAATTGTGACGACAATGGCATCGTGAACTGCGGAGTTGGGTTTTGATATTGAGGGTATCGTTCAGCTATATAAGAGTGGTCGTATCTGTGAAGACGAAAAATGTCTTATCATCAGCTTTCAAATCATCAACACTCAATCATAAGACGCAATATTTGAATCATACCCTTATTCCTCCTATTAAATCAAAAGGATGTCTTCTCCCAAGCTCATTACTGTCTTTGGTGCCACTGGCTCTCAGGGCGGCAGTGTGGTGCAGTCCTTGCTTCAGAACAAGTCCCAATCCTTCAAGATCCGAGGAATCACTCGCAATCCTGATTCCAAAAAGGCCAAGGCTCTCGCTGAGCATGGCGTTGAGGTCGTCAAGGCTGACGGCCTGGTCAAGGAAGAGGTGATTGAAGCTTTTAGGGGCAGCTGGGGAGTCTTTGCCAACACAAACTCGGATGATCCTGTAAGCTACCAAGATTAGTATTTTGATTCTCCTCTGACACAGTTGCAGTCAATGAACCAAGAAGGTGGACCTACCGAACTTGATATCGGTAAGAGCCTCGTGGATGCGGCCTCTGAGGCAGGAGTCCGTCACTTTGTGTATAGCGGTATGGCCTCTGCCTCTGAAACCACTGGAGGGGCGGTTCCCAACAAGGCTTTCGACAGTATGCTATCTTCTCTTCCACTTCACATCTCCAAACTGATTCAATGCAGTGAAGCATGCTGTTGGAGAATATGCAAAGCGCAAGGGGTTTGAGACTGTCAACGTTGTCAGCCCAGGCTGGTACATGGAGAATCATCTTGTGGAAGATTTTGCCCCAGCATTGGGCGGCTTCCCTTTCACTACTGATGAGGAGAGGTACCTCACCCTCCATGTTCCGCGCTGGGGCGGCAATGAAGAGATTCCCTTCATTTCGATTGGAGATGACTATGGTGATCTTGTTCATGGCATCTTCCTCGATCCCAAGAAGTACAACGGGCGTCTTGTCCAAGGTATCAGCGCCAGCGAGACAACTGAGAAGCTTGTTTCCGAATTTGAAAAAGGTAAGCGCCATGTGGTTCCAGCTGCTGAGTTCTCCTAGCTAACGACTTGTCAGTGACAGGAAACAAGGCTCGGTTCGTGCCCATCGAGAACTGGAAGACCATGGAGACTTACGGCGACCAATCCTTTGAGACTGTCAAGGACATGTTCGGTTTCTGTCAGTACTCTGGCGGCTTGTACTATGGAGTTCCTAATGATTTGAGCCCTGCTGCTGAGCTGAAGGCGAAGGCGGCTGAGGCTAAGGAACAGTCGGGCGGTGCTAAGTTGATGACTCTTGAGGGATTCTGGGAGAAGTATTTCGCTTCTTGATCGTCGGCAACGATGCTTTTGGATAGAATGGAACGCGGTTTGATTCAGGAGAGCTCAATCCTTGATCTGCAACAGTCCGTTATCAGTCTTTGACCATAGGTAGTTTGTGCTGTTGCTTAAAGTTAATGTTCATCATTTGTCGATACCTTATGTCTTGTTGGCCTATCACACCAGTGCGGCCATAACGCATTCTTTGATGCATCCTTGCTTGGTAGATGAAGTTAAGGAAGCGAGCTGCAGCTTCCCGTCAGGATGATCTGTAAGGGTCGGTGCATCCGGTGGAACGTTATCATCGAAGGAGCGAAAGGAGAACAAAGATGGATCATGCATATACCGGGCCAGGACTCTGGGAGGGAGATGTGGGAATGGATAGGAGAAGCAGGTTTGTCAAGCCACATCCACTTGAGCATCACCCGGGCACATATAGCATCCCAGTGGGCAAGCAAGCACCTACAGGTATGAATGGCCTCCCCTGCACGAAGACTCACTCGCCTCGGGCCCCTACACTTAGATCATTTTAGTATTAACGATCCCTAAGCTTCCAAAAGTTTGGGCCATTTCACTGTATGGCTTCCCTAAAGCTCTTCAGCTTTTTCTGCTGCTGCAGAGACTCATGGCCTAGCTACACTTCCGTGCCTAGGTATAAATTGCATCCGCACCCACTTCTCGCCTTCTCTCTTCCCTCCTTCAACAATTTTCCACAGCAACGAGCAACATAGCTCTTCATTCAAAGATTGTTTAGTCCTCCATCTTCTATTTCCCTTCTGTTACACCTTACTTCCATCCCGCTTTCTCTGTCAAACCTTGACAGTTCTTCGGGTATTTACCTCTCGCCTCTTCCTCTTCGTGGTTGCCCCGGGCATCGCACGACAGCGGAGAGGAGGAGCGAGGCTGCACCTTTCCTTTCCTTCCCTTCCCTTGGAGCTTCACAATAAATCCTCTCTTTGACTCAAATAGAGTCTTTGCCCTTGGTCCTTTTTTCACAACACTATCCCTCAACACTTCTTAGTTCTTTCGCGCGCCCATCACAGCCTATCATTGCATCAAGCGCTACGGGGAAATAAATACGCGCTCTTCATCACCCTTCTATAACACATTCCAACCCGTTCTGTTCACGTTCGTCAGAATGAGCAACAGTATTGACCCAGATGCCGTCAAGGCGGTCACAATGGTAAGACTTCCTTGGTCCCTTCACATCATCGGGGTCTTTTTTGCATACAATCCCTTTCCCGAAACTGCTTTCGCTGCTGGTGCACCATTTTATCATCTTCTCCAAGCCATATGGCGACGCTATAACTGACAAATCCTGGTAGGCCGACCTCTCTCGCTTTCGCCAGGAAGAACTTCCTCTGAGCCATCAAGCGAGAAGACCAGATCGCCCAACGTATGCCCCAAGCGGAAACAATGGAACCAACCACTATTCGGATACTACAAAGGCTGTTCTCGAGAACAAATGGGCTGCCAAGATCAACGATGGAGAGTCCCAAAGTATGGAAGGCCTTGAGCTAGAAGATTCACGACCTTGGGCAAAAGGCCAGACAAGAAAGAGACTTCCGAACATCACAGTTGACAGGTAAGTCTTTCTACCTACAATGTTGAGTTCTTCTAACGCCTTCGACAGAGTTGCTCCAGCTATCCCTGCTTCCCGCGGAACGTTCTCCTCATATCAGTCTCGGGGAACTCGCGTTCAGTTCAAACCCACAACACCTGGTTAGAAGCCTTGTGTGTCAAGCATAATTGAGCGTTACAATGTTAATATGGCCATAGCGACATGGGGCCCGCCACCTACGGAGACAGCTACTCGAACTAATCGTCAACAGCCTCCGCCTACTGCTACTCACAACGGCAGCTCTACCACTGCGAACGCTGCTTCTGTAAACGGCACCTCTTGTACACCTTTGGTCGCGAAAAAGAAGAATGAGGACGACCAGGATCTTATTGCATCGGAGCGCCTCGTGTACAGAAAAGAGTGCCACCTTGTTCCAGGGAAGGCTGAGGCACTTAGTATCGTCACAAATGTCGCCATCAAGATCCGAGATGCAGATAATGACGGTATTCTGGAGATTCAAAACGACTCTAAGGGCGTTCGAATCTACAATGCTCTTGAACTCGAGCAACCTGTCATTGACGGCGTCTTTTGTACCATCAAAGTGAAAACTAGGCCCTTCTCCGAGAAGCTTCGATTCGCTACAGTTGGCGACGCGCAAGGTTTCAAGATCAACCTGTTCAAGCTCCAGAATGCTCTGCTGGATCAACAAAAGGAACAAGACATCGGCGAGTCTCAGGTTGCTGACAATACTGAGGAAAGCAACAAGGCAGAGGAAGACGGCGACCTCTTGATGGCCTCCAGCCCCGTTGCAAGCACGGCATCCGATACTTCCATTCCCGTCTTCAATGGTCCATCTCAACAGGCACCCACTGCGGATCAAGAGCCCCTTATCATGGCGGATGACGATTGGGGAACAGCAGCTAACAACAACATTCCCAGCGTGGGGCATGAGACCATACAGCTGAGTCAGTTGTTACGCCAGGTTCTGGAGCAATTCGCTGCCCTGGGGAACCGCTCCGGTGAGACTATGAATGGGTTCGAGTATGAAATCCTCGAACAGGCTCTCGGTCACGGTTTCCTGCATGAGTGCGATGAGAAAGTGCGAGAGGATATCCTGGCCATCATTCGTTCCATGTTCAACGTGGGTTGCAAGTTGGTCTCCCATGAATTTGCTTCGAACCTCGGAGATACCATCGCAATCGAAACCCCTGTGAATGGCAATGCCAAGGGTCTTGGTGGTGCAACCGCCGAGCAGGTGGAGGATTCAACCAACCGCTCTGTGGTCGGTATGCCTAAGGGCTTGGGTGCTTCACGTTTCGCCAAAAAGCCGGCGGCATACCAAGGCAACTTCACCGGCCCGATCAAGTACTGAGACTGATGCCGCTATGCTATGCTATGTACGAGAACAGAAAGCTTGGGGAAGGCTGTGACTTAATTTGGTGTAGAGGATCTCTCTTTTGGGCCTGGTAGTTGGGGCATTTGCTGTAATGAAGGTTCTCCAACAAATGCTTTCAAGGGTAATTTTGGAGATTGGCCTATCTACAGGCAATGGAAGCGACTAAGGCATGTTTGTAGAAATTGAGATAGTCCCAGCGTACCCAGCGTAATTAAGCAAGCTGTCTGGATCCTTTTCACTGCTGGTTGTGTGAATATGTTTATAATTGTTCGTTTTTCTCGTGACATCTGTCTTTATATGTTTCCAGCAACTGTCTAGAGTCACGGTCGAGTCCTTGGCCATCCTTCAAGGCGTCGGCAGCAAGTTGCTCAGCTTCTCTATAACGGTGAAAGAAGTAGTGTTCTTCAACGGCATGGATAACCTCCTGAATGTCCATCTTGGTGGCGTCAGGGCCAAGTGGGAGCTTAACTTTCTGGTAAATCTTTTCCCAAGTCAGTAGATATCCCTATTTACGCCAAGGTTCACTTACATCGCCGTTCTCAACCTTTGCCTGGTACTCCTTCTGGACTACTCGCCAAGCTTCTTCTGACTGTCCTGTGCGGCGGGACTTTGTCGCCTCTGCTTCATCGGCTTCATCTGAAGATACATCTGCGAAGGCGAAGTTGGCGAGGGGATCTTCTTCATCCATTTTGTGGTTTAGTTTTGGCTGTGAATGACGATGAAGGAAGGAAAGTAGAGACTGAGTTTTTGGGTCGATGATAGGACCCACTTGGATCTGATGTGTAATGGTTGGATGGCAAAGGCCTTGACTACTTGACTGCTGCGGAGTGAATCTCTGTATAGTTTCAGTTTGAGTTCCTTGTTAATATGAAGGTCACTACTAAGCCTCATATGCTGTGCGTCTGGGTATGATTTCTCGTCTTGTAAATAAGATGGGTATAGACCTCGTCCCCCGGGGAGCAAGTAAGTGAACGATTCTGAAATAAACTTATTAAAGAGGCCTCTACATTTAAGCTGAGTTACCTTAATCTTCTTATCATTTGGAATTTTATATCCTAAGTTTTATTACCTCCCCTACGGTCACACACATACCGTCCCTTGGTCTGAGTAATAGTGAATAGGTATGAGATAAGTTACACCTGATTGTGAAGTACTGCTGCTATCAATCCCTGGATTTACAGGGGTGGATAGCTGTGATGTAACGACGTGGGGCAACGTCTCGACGCGGGGCATATTCCAACGACATTCAAGCTCCTGGTCACTTCTTCGACTCATTTCATTCTCATTTAACATAATTCGCAAATATGGAGAGCCAGGTTGAAAGGCTCGTCGAGAAGGCGTGGAAGAAGTATGAGGAAACGCCAAAGGATAAGAGATTATGTGAGTACTTGTCAGCTCTCATCTTCTTTCAATAGAGCTCTCATGAGCTGAGACGTTACCCTTCTTTACATCGATATACTTCACACCGGACCAAATGGATTATCTGGTTAACACTCTTAGTGATCGGCGTTGCTGGTATCCCCGGCTCAGGTCAGTAAAGCCATTCGACTTCAAGTCTCGACACTCACAACTTTAGGCAAAACGACCTTCTCACAAATCATCACCGACCGAATCAATGCCCGCGCCTCCTCTTCAGATCCTTCCTCTCCTCCTCCAGCAACATTCGTTCCCATGGACGGCTTCCATCTCACCCGCGCCGCCCTCTCCGCTATGCCAGACCCTGATACCGCCCATTTCCGCCGCGGCGCAGCCTTTACCTTCGATGCATCCAAGTTCCTCACCCTTGTCCAAGCACTCTCCAAGAGGCCAATTCCACCAGAGCCAATTCTTGCGCCATCCTTTGATCATGCGCTGAAAGATCCTCGAGATGACGATATTGTCGTCAAGCCGGAGCATCGTGTTGTTGTGCTTGAGGGGAACTACCTTGCGCTAGATCAGGATGTTTGGAGAGATGCGGCGAAGCTTCTTGATGAGGTCTGGTTCGTTGAGGTGGATTTTGAGGTTGCGAGGAGGCGACTTCGAGAGAGACATGTAAGAGCAGGTATTGTGAAGGGTCTTGAGGAGGGAGATAGAAGGGCCATGGAGAATGATCTAGTCAATGGTAAAGAGATCATTGACTTTAGACTTCCAGTAGATGAAGTGATCCAAAGTCGCGAAGACGGAAGTTGGGTGCATGAATAGAAGACCTGAATAGAGAAATAATAAATACTTTGTGCATTCTATCAGCCAATGTCAAAGGATATCTCTTCTAAGTCTCTCTAACCATATCATCGTAGTCTTTCCAAAACGCAAGCTATGCCAATATAACCAAAACCTACTCCAACGCTGTAATAAGAACCAGAAATGCTCAAATTTGCTCAAATCCAGTAGCCCACTCAGTTGGCAGTCGCATCATGTTTCGTTCGATGTTCTAGATCGTTCCGCGCTCAGCTTGCGAATCTCTTGCGCCATGCTATGTCCCTTGCCCTTGCGCGCTGAAGTGATCGAGCCACGACTCACATCCCGTCCAGCGGTAGTGGTCTGGTCTAGACCCAGCACTTCAATGAGCTCAGGAATCTCAGCGTGATCGCGCGTCGTCTTCATTCGATGGCACCATGTAACTCTCTTCTCCTCGTTTCCATCGTAGTCTGGGCCTCGTTCTTCTGCTTCTTCGAATGCGCTAATAGGCTTCGCCTTTTCGTCTCGTGGTGTTGAGACGGGTGTGAGGATGTCTCGGGGTTCGAAGAGGAACTCGCCGCCAACTTGACGCTGATCACCCATCTTGAGAACGTTTCCAGTTGGTATTTGCTTCACTCCTTGGACTATGCTGCCTACAATGCTGTGCATCATGCTTCGGCGCATGTAGGCTGGCTTGGTGCCTAGTTGCAGCGTTTTGGACATGCCAAGGGCGTCGAAAAGGGACCTTGTCGGATCGGTATATACAGGAAAGCGACATCCTGTCTCATTGACATACATATCAATGAGCGCAGGATCACCACACCCAATAACCGCAATGAATGTGCTCACTGGTAGTCGCAAGAGAGCTTCGGGAGTTATAGCCTCGGACAAAGAGCGCAGAAACTCTTGGCAGTTCTAGAGGGACAATATCAGTAACATGAAACGACCACGAGACGAAGGGGTCACGACATACGCCACAGAAGAAATGTCTAACAAAGATGATGAGCACGCGTCGTGCAACGTTGCTACCAGTGTAAAGGGTCTTGAAGGGGTGCGATTTTCCGTGTCTGTCGAGAACAATGTAGTTTTCGATCTTCTTGAGGGTTTCGGCAGAGGGTAAGTCGTTATTCGTCGCAAGTTCGCCTTCAAAGTCTTCGGGCTGCGTCTTGTCGACCTTGATCGGTGTAGGAGGAGACTTGCTTCTTGTAGAACCAGCTTTTTCAGGTACAGAGCAAGTATCGCATTTTAGAGCTTCAGAGGTCTTTTCGTCAGAGTCTTGCGCTGGTCGTGGAGGAAGAGTCGGGGCTCGTTCGACGGAAGGACTCTCAGGAGGGATGCCTCCCACGGGCTTGCGCTCAATGGGAGATTTCGTGGTGGTTGAGGCTTTAGCCTCTGTATGGTTGTCCGTCATGTTGGTCCAGGAGATCTTCAAAAACTAAGAGATATCGCGAGTCGTGAAAGACCAAGGTTGCAGTGGAAGTTGAGCTTAATTAAGTGAGGGAACCCAATCGCAGAGGGGCATACAAGCGGCCCGTGAGTGGCGCCGCTAACAGAACGGTCTCCAGCTTATAAGGGACCGGCCGCAGTGGAGAAGGAGTTTCGCTGCGTCGTAAGCGTAAACGGAATGACAGTGGCTTAGATTCGTGAAGAGGGAGGTTTTATGAAGTTATCACGAGATTCCTGGTTCTGAGAAAAGGGGGGAGACGTGGCGTTTTAGGTCGGGTCGGGTTTCTTGTCCATGAAGCGGCAAACTGACTTATGACCTGGTGGCTACCCTTGTTTGGCTGACGATGCCCTGAATTTCAGCGGCAGGGTAAGTTTTAGCTTGATTTCTGGCTGCTTGTGAGGTCATACATTGGACTGCCAGGGGATTGGATACCCTGGAGGTGTTGTGAAACCGTCCATTTTGTACCGACTGGAGGCATGAAAAATATCTCCATTCTGAGTAAGTGTATTGAGAAATAACTTGTTAGTGGTTCTAAAGGTCTTTTAGTACAAATTGGGTACTGCAGGGTCGCGGCGTGAGAAAAGATCAGCGTCTTATCACAGGAACAGGAGTGCTTCTGAATTCACTGAAACACGCTTGACAGCCATGGCAAACGTCACAGCATAAGGTCGGGCAGTACCACGTCTACAACGCCAATACAGTGCTGTGAAACCAAGCCATGACATAGATCATCAACCATCATTTATATCCATAGGTCATCACAAGATATACTAAGAGTTCGATGTTTGGTAAAGGCATGGGCTGTAAGTAATTGCCGATTACGACAGCTCGAGCACTATTTATAAACACCAACAGTATCAATTATGGTCCAATCCATATTCGAGGCCTCAGTCGTTCTCTAACAATTAACCGCCTCGCGTATCATTGGCATGGATGTCCAATCCACTTTCGTCATGTCAAAAATCTGTCAGCGGGGACTAGACCAGACAGAAATGCTTGTCCCCATCGAGAGCAAAGTCCGTCCAAGTATTTCTGTCGATAGAAGTCAAAATCTTGGTGGGGTGTGCCATCCTCCCACTCATCCAACTCTCCCACCAAATTCTCTCTTTTTTTGCAGCTCTCACTCATGCGCAGTTAGCCAAGATGGCAGCTCAAGTCCCCACTGAAGCTCTCAAGGAGCTCAACGGTAAGTTTCTTCGTATACTGTCTACTCAGTGGTGAACTATCACGTGAAAATGTCTGAGCCAAAAATACTGACGACGATTGCCCCGCAGTGGCCGATGGCTCTCAGAAGCCCGGCGCAAACACACAATCAAAGACCGACGCTGCCGGAGACGATCACGGCGAAGATGATTCCGAAGACGAAGCCAACGGCACCGCTCCCGCCGAGGGAGCCGCCAAAAAGAAGAAGAAGAGAAAGCCCAAGAAGAAGAAGAAGAACCCTACCAGCCAGAGCGACCCTCCTCGAGTCCAGGTCAGCCAGTTGTTCCCTAACAAGTCCTATCCCCACGGAGAGGAGGTTGAATACAAGGACGAGAACAACTACCGAACTACCGATGAGGAGAAGCGCCATCTCGATAACCTGAACAGCGACTTCTTGGCCGACTACCGTGAGGCAGCCGAGATTCATCGCCAGGTCCGACAGTGGACTCAGAAGAATGTCAAGCCCGGACAGACCTTGACTCAGATCGCTGAGGGCATTGAGGATGGTGTTCGTGCTCTTACTGGACACGCTGGACTTGAGGAGGGTGACAGCATCAAGGCTGGTATGGGTTTCCCTTGTGGTCTTAGTCTCAACCATTGCGCCGCGCACTACACTCCCAATGCCGGTAACAAGATGGTTCTCCAGCAGGAGGATGTCATGAAGGTCGATTTCGGTGTCCACGTCAACGGCCGTATTGTCGACTCTGCCTTTACTATGTCTTTCGACAACAAGTACGACAACCTTCTCAAGGCCGTCCAAGAGGCCACTAACGCTGGTATTCGCGAGGCCGGCATCGATGCACGCGTCGGCGAAATTGGTGGTGTCATCCAGGAGACTATGGAGAGCTTCGAGGTTGAGATCGACGGAACCACCTACCCCGTCAAAAGTATTCGCAACCTCACAGGCCACAACATTTTGCCCTACAGCATCCACGGAACCAAGGCCGTACCCATTGTCAAGAGTAACGATCAGACCAAGATGGAGGAAGGCGATGTCTTTGCCATTGAGACCTTTGGAAGCACTGGCAACGGATACGTCCGCGACGATATGGAGACGTCGCACTACGCTAAGCGAGGAGACTCGCAGCACGTCGATCTCCGTTTGAGCTCGGCCAAGTCGCTGCTCAACGTGATTAACAAGAACTTTGGCACTCTGCCGTTCTGCCGTCGATATCTGGACCGTCTTGGCCAGGACAAGTATCTACTTGGAGTATGTATTGGAATTCACAGGGAAAAGAACTATTGCTAACAGTTTAAAGCTCAACAACCTGGTCAATGCTGGTATCGTCGAAGCGTACCCGCCCTTGTGTGACAAGAAGGGCTCGTACACTGCTCAGTTTGAGCATGTAAGTGAATCATTGATGTGCAGCTGGTGATAGTGACTAACAGATCCTAGACCATCCTGATTCGACCCACCGTGAAGGAGGTCATCAGCCGTGGAGATGACTACTAGACGGATCTACTACTATGCCATGGAGCGGATTGTGAGATGGACTCTGAAATATGACTCTCCTCTTTCGACACGAACAAGTTTGACTATGTAAATAAACACAAAATATGATTTACGTTAGGAATATATGGCATTATGGCATAGCCAACTACGTATGAAGACTTGTAGATTGGTTTATGGCATAAATGATGAAGCATTACAGCGGCCAATAGCCTGAATACCGACAACATCATTATGCAAGAACCTGGCAGGTTATGCATTGCTACGTTGATAAATTGCGTAGTTATGAGCCCCAATGCAATCAACTGCCCATTTTGACGGCTGCAAGATGATCGATCGATCTATCTAATCTTGGAATACCACAGAAAATGACTGATGCTATCTTGAGTTTCTGTATCGATTCTTGTACATTCCACAGACCAAGACCCTTGAAATTTGATCTTCTCACCCGCGTTAATCCCTTCCCCATATCGAGCCTCACAGTGACAAGTTGACCAATGCTTGACGTTTGATCACCAACGCTTAGCTTCATCGTTCTCCGGTTTTTCCCCATCATTGACGCACTCGCCACTCTGTGGCACAGTCGCTCTTCCAGCAATGCACGAGACCAGAAATCGAGCTCCGACCTCCTCCTGCAGACCGAGCCAATCACCGCATCTCGATATCCCGAGGCTTTATCGCGATCGAGAGGCTTTGCCGTGTAGGGTTAGCTCTGCGTCGTATCGGGTTTAGTGGCTGAACGCGGATGTGCTCGGGCCCAGAGCCGATGGCCGGCGATAGCGAGTACCCTCCTTCACATGGAATATTTTTTTCTTAGAGGCTCGTAGAAAGAGGAGTCAGGGCGGTGTCCCCAATTAAAAAGGCCGCATCGCCATCCATCTCCGTCCAGCGCTCATCTTTACCCTCACTTCCGTCACTCTCCATCGCCACTGGAGCATCTTGTATATCTTCGTTTTCTGCGACTGATATAATAAGGAAGGCGTGTACTTTCTTTTACATCTTTGATTTTTTGACTCTTCACAAGAACGAGTTTCTTCTTTCTTTGAAAAGCTTTTAGCTTCTACACCCGAAAAAAAAAGTTTCTGACTCCCACGCGAGCAACTTCTATCTTCCACAACCACCTGCGACAAACCTCAACGAGCCTTCATCAATCAAAATGAAGGTCTTCAGCAACAAGGTCACATACAACTACTCCTGGGACGAGGTGTCCACAGCAAACTGGACAAAGTACGGCCCCTGGAACAACAAGTCTGAGCATGTCATTGCCGTCGACACCCTCTCCCGCGAAGTCGACCCCGCGACCGGTATCCTTCGCACCGAGCGTCTGATCACCTGCAAGCAAACCGTGCCCGATTGGATCAAGACCATCATCGGTGGTACTGGCGACGAGAGCTTCATGTATGAGGCTAGCTACGTCGACCCCATCAACAAGACCGTCACCATGGTTAGCCAGAACTTGACATGGAGCAACCTCGTCAACGTTCAGGAGGAGGTCGTATACAAGCCCCTCGGCGACCACCAAACACAGTTCATCCAGAACGCCAACATCACTGCTCTCTGCGGTGGCTGGCAGCGAATTAAGAACAGCATCGAGGACACCATGGTGTCTCGCTTCCGTGAGAACGCTGTCAAGGGCCGTGAGGGCTTCGAGCGCGTTCTGATGATGAGCCGCAAGGCTTTCGCCGAGGAGAAGGCGCGCCAGATTCTATGAGTTTCCCATCACATATGAATCACGCCTTATCTCCGACCCGCAATACCTTATCTCCAAGGGTTGCACACGACACCAATCTCCACTACTCACCGCTACACTATTTAACGACGACACGGCATAAAAGACGGGCGCGCGATATTAAAAAAGAGGAGTAGATGACACTTGCAGCATTTTATTGGCGTTTAGAAGGTTGTTCAAAAGTTATACACAAAAAGAGGATTTTGCTCATTTCGGCATGATACATCTTATTACATCAATGCCTTGCGTTTTGGAGTTGTTCGGACTATACCCCCGGTCTATTAGACAGTCGAGAGCACATGGACCCCGAGGAATTGCCTCGGGTTCATCGCCTAGAACGGGCTTCTTGATAGAATCACTGATTAGAATACTTAATCATGAAACCTATTACTATAAACTGCTATTCCACCCACAGTGATGACTATACAATACTATTTCTTAACCTTGGTACTAACATAGCCGCTTCGGCTGAAGCGATCTCACACACCATATGCACTCACCCACACTTGATCGCTTCTCAACGGCCTTTGCCCGGCATTCGCTATTTCTAGTGCCGAATGGCTCACACCTTCATCTCTCCGTTCCCATCCGGCCGAGCATCGGTGGTTCGTGACCCTTCTTTCCCCGCAGCGGCCGGTTTGAAGGGGTGGGTGACTAGGGAAGTTTAAAGATGGGATTGTCGGAAGCCGATGCTTTGTTCTATGATTAGATTGGGCTTGGATGAAACTCTATAACTTTTTTGAATTGGGTATGGCTTGCAGAACAAGGACGGAATTTGGTGTTGGTCCGAGTATAGTAAATAACTTTATGAGAAGTTCCTGAGCGTCATGAAGTTCAGTCCGTACAAATTCTGAGGCTTGGGGCTTCATAGAGGTGAATGAGATATCACGATGTTCATGCCCAATAATCACTAAATTGCCTAATTCTCGGTTCTCAAGTCGCTGTCATGATATCAGAGGCGTTAAAGAATTGCACCTGATGAGGATGATTAACTTTACATAGCCAGCCCTCATGGAGAAGTAAAACTTCTGACCAAGTCAAAGAACCGCACCATGCTGAGAGAAAACTACTTTTGATGACACAATACTATCTGTTGGTCCTGGCACGTAGGCCGAAGTTGTTCAATGTCGCAATATACTATGAAACCCATGAGAGTTCGCTAGCCAGTGTTGCCATCTAGATGATATAGCAACTGAATGCAATTTGCACTGATCTGCCCCAATCCCAGACCTATACTCTGTTCTTTGCCGTCTGCTCTCAAATCCCTGTGAGAAGTATTTTGTTGAACTTCCATATTGATCCCCTGTCAAGAAATGGATCACTCTTTGGTGATGTGTAATACAAATGAGGCAACAAGATCAAGAACCCTTAGAAGAGTGAGTTTCCCTAGTTGTCGTAGTGATCGAACATAGGAAGATCAGAATCATCAGACTCCTCAGACTCATCATCACTGTCATATTCGCTCTCACCATCGCTCCCCATCCCGACCTGTCCTCCACGAGTATCTCCCAGAATCGCCTCAAGCTGCTGCCGCAGTTCCGCATTCTGCTTGCGGATCTCGTTCCTACGGCGCCGGAGCATATCCTCACAGTACACAGACAGAATATTGTCTGAAGATCCAGGCTGTCGAGATTCCCAGTTGGCAGCAGCCCGGGCTGCAATGTGCAGCAGTTGACGGGCCTGATGGTGGTGAATCTCTTCTGTATCCCCTTTATGAAGTTCATACTCCTTGTCATCCGAGATTCTATCAAGAGTCTCGTGGAAAGTTTCGACAGTCTCGATGCAGAGCTCTAGGGCAGACTCCTTTGTCATGCCAAGGGACGTAGAGATAGAGAATTTGGGCTTAGAGTTCCCAACCACTTCCTGCCACACAGCGGACAGAACCTCACGTTCTTCGGCGGCGCGCTCGACTCGGTCGCGGTGATCTTGAGTAAGAACGTTGGTGATGTAGGCGCCGTTCATGAACTGGTTATGGTTCGCAATCTTGAAGTCCTCGGCATACTAAGCGGCGAGAGCATTGTTGAGCTGTTTGCGAAGAAGACGGACATGCATACGGTACAGAACAGTGTCGCAGAGAGTACCAGACCAAGTACCCTGAGCGAAGACAAGAGGAATGTCGCCAGGAATCTCAGGGCGAGAGTTGTAGACAAGGTTGAGGTCCCACATACGACGGATGACGCGGAGAGAAGTCTCGCCATACTTGATGACGATGGTCTTGGAGAGATCATACATCTCATTGCTGTCTTGCTTCTGATACTGCGCGATCTCCTCGCAGAGTGGACCGATGACGTCCTTGAGGGATCGGTTGTCGAGTTCTTTAGCGTAGCGGAGCTGGTTATAGAGGTGAGTGTTTCGGATGATGGCGTGAGGGACGGTTAGAGCGAATGGGCCTGGGGATGGCTCGGACCTGCGCGAGTAGGCCTCGACGTTGAGGCCCTCGGACCAGGGGACGGTGACGAGCTTGGAGGGGAGCTCTGGGGGAGACATGATTGATGGTCGATGATGTCGTGATTCTGAGTGATTGTTGTTAGAGAATGAAGGGATCTGGCTGAGATATGTGTCTGGATCGAATTGATGATGGGAGGTGGAGGGAGAGTCGCGTAAATTTATGTGCGAGAGGATAAGAAAACGGGGCAGAAGAGTGATGACCAAGCACTGCAGACGGACAATAGAGGCATTGCCACGTTCAAACAGTATCGTCGTGGTTACGGCATACGGTTCTCTATTGTTGATTGTAGGTCAGATGACGCTTGATCAGAGCGAAAGCGGAGCGTAGAAACAATAGGAGATGAAACATATCGGCAATAAAGGAATACGCATAAAAGGGTATCATTGACATTTATCTAAATAACTAACTTAATCCTCCTTCAAATATCACCCCGTCTGTCTGTATGCTCAGGGTTCTCCAGGCAGTCTTTTGGGAGCCTAGCTTTAGCCATCAAGGTCAACAGAATGGCGATATGTTCCTTTGTTCCAATAATCGCTGAACCTCAGGAAAGAACCCTGCCTGGTGCATCATCCGCGTCGTCCTGAGTGCCGTAGAGTCGTAGGTATGTGCTGTGGATGATGATCTCGCTTTGTGATATGACCCATTCCGCCATGTCCTAATTTGTACCAAACTCGTCGCCTCCTAACGTATAACGCATATGTTCCTCTCTGCTGATTTCACACCGACCCGTGGCCGGTCGCGACACTCTCATGACGCTGGAGGATGGGGATTATTTCCCACCGTCTTGTACATGTCCCTCAGCTCAAACTCATCATAACCTCCCTCGGGAATCTCCCCAATAACCTTAGCCGGCTGTCCCGCAACGATAGAAAAGCTCGGAATGACCATACTCGGCGGCACAACCGTCCCATCCAACACCTTGACGTAGTCCTTTAAAATAGCAAACTCTCCGATCGTACACCCCTTTCCGATCTGCACATGGTTTCCCACAGCTGCAGCTTGCACTACCGTCCCTTGGCCAACAAAGACGTGGTCTCCTATGCGCAGTGGCATGTATGTAAAAGCGCCCTTGTATATGCGGCCTGGTGGACGCAGCAGGACACCTCGAGCTAAGAAGCAGTATCGGCCTATGGCGACGGCTGTGTTGTTCGCTGGCGAGCTACCAGAGGATGACGATGTGGCTGTCCGAGCGAGATCACCGCGGATCATGACTTCAGGTTGGATGACGGTTTTGCCGCCGAGCATGATGTTCTGAGTACCGACAAGGACAGCTTTGCGTGCGACCTTGTTACCTGTGTCCTATAACAGCGTTAGCATCGAGTGATTCGGAGGTCGCAGAGTAGCTTACGGTCTCGATGTACTCGCCTTTGGGAGGTCGGCGAGACATGTTGGGCGGTTCTTGAAGCCGGTGGAGGGCCGGAGCGGAGGCGGAGACGGAGATGGAGGAGAGATCGGGCGGTGTTGGAGTTGTTTTGGCGGTCGCTAGGCCGATGTCATGGACAAGTGGGGCCGCATTTACGCAGGCGACGGGGGCCTCAATTAGATGCAGTAAAGCCAAGGCACGGCAACGCAAGGCAACGCGTACCAAGTAAATAGATGCTGTAATTATCGAATCATATGGTATGCTGTGTAACAGAATCCAATTCGCTGTTGAATGAGAAAACTACTAACGAGGTACTGTTGGTAATGAGCTGGCAACAATCTTACCAACATGATGCTATTTCAGAACAAAGAAAGCCTTGCTGAGCCTTGAAAGACGTTAGAGCCAACATTGAATGCCTACCTTGGCCTTTCAAGCGCCGTCATGACCAACAACTGATAAACCCAACAAGCGATACATTTGCCAACCGCAATCAGTAGATTACCAACCAACACCTCATCAAGCATCTCCATATTTTACTACCTGCATATAACAAACATCCAGAGTGTGTCACAAGATTGCTGTAATTCCCACACTTGGTCCGATTGAGTCTTGTCCTACACCAACCTCTCAACCCAGCTCCTCGAATTGGATAGCCAATGATACTCTGACCCTAAGCTAAACCTAAGCTAAGGAATTGAGAATCCTTTGAACTAAACGCAAACAGTTTAGTTTGTATACGATAAAAGGAAACGGACTCCAACCTCCCGCTAAAAAAGTGCAGTTCTTCCCGTGCCGCAAGCCAAGAGAAGGGTGCGCCGAATGAACCACTTATAGCTCTCGGAGCGGTTGTGAGCGGTTAATTTCCCCAATTCTTCTCTATTCTCGTCTCTCCTTCTGTATTCTCAATTATCTATGACCATGTTGCATTTTCGAAATTTTGGATTTTAATTTTAATTTTTCAATACGAATTCATGTGAGGGAGATGCAGTGGAAATGAGTTATAAAGTGACTCGGTCGTTTCGTGCAGTAGCGTACACTAGAACATAGCTGAAACTGCCAGGGCCCGATGTTTGAGATAAATTAGATGGCTTCTCAGATTTCTCTTATTTTTATTATCATTTTTTACTTTTTGTCCAAGTTTCTCATCTTCAGGTGAGACTTGTAGAAACTATTAGATTCCTCCCTAGGTCCTACTCCGTATCTCCTACATTACTCGTTGTCCGTACATGCTCGAATACCACATTCTAGATGCAGGTGGTTGACCCCGGACCTGAACCCGGACCTTGCTTATAATATTGGATAGCTATGTTTGTTCTCTTACGATTCTTGCATCCTTGCCCTTCCCGCTTATAACATCGTGTCCTTGTCTTAGTAGTATACACATACTTACGTAGACGGTAACTTACCGTCTTGGCCCGCGGGGCGCAGGGCGGAAGATGCTCTGTCCGATCTGAGCCAAGGATTACAAGAGTTGATACCTGAGAGGTTACAAGTTCAGACGACGGTGGGTGAATCTGCGTTTCATCGACAGCGGCTGATCCTCTTGTCGTTATGGTAGTAATAGAGGATGAAGACAAAACCAAACCAAACCGTAAACATCAAACACTCTCTTAATTAACCATTTTAGCCATTTCCTATTCATTCCTCTTCTGACATCTCAGACTCTCAACTGAGACTCTTGCTGACGGCAACACCAAGCCGAATACAACTATGATCCCTGCAGCTACACCTCCAGAAAACGACGCTTCCGCCCGCGCTAGGGTCGCCTCTCAACGCGGCCGCCCTTCCATTAGATTATTTCCCTCCTCCTCCTCCATCCCCCAAGCGAAAAGCGTTGCATTGCACTGGATTTTCTGACCCCTACACTCTCCACTTACAAGGATTGGAAGGGTCTCGCTCTCTCTCGCCTCCGCCCGCGTTTCGAGGCCTAGCCCATGCTTGCTTGCATCGCTTTCGTCTGAGTTTTTGGCGAGGCAAGAAACAGAAACAAAGGAGAAACTATGTTGTTCTGTTCTGTTTGTTGGGTTTCGTGTCCATCTCAAAATCTGCCTAGATAGGGCGCAGTAGAGTTTGACTTGTTTTGTATATAAAGTCTATCACGACCTCGTCTCCTCAACCACAATCAACGCCATCAATTCCAAGTCCAATTCCACTCTTCCCTAGTCCTCTTCTATTCTTGTTCTCTAATAAGTCTTGTCTGGTTCTGGTAACCACTGCATTTCTTATCCCCGCTTCTTCCTTCTGCACTCACCACACCAACTCTCAATATAAGCGCCCAGGTGGAAACGCCCCATCCACTTAGACCCCTTGCTCGTTGCGTTTATTATTAGCATTGCCGCCCTTGTACTCGTTGTTGCCGCCGATTGTATACAAGACCGAGCTCTGCTCTTCTTCTATCACCCTTTCTATTCTGCTATCACCGCTTCTTTAGTCGTTGTTGGTGCTTTAATTCCCATTACACACGATCGACACCATCTTTTACCTCCTTAAACGCATTGTCATAGTCCGGTGTCTCAGAAAGTTGCATTCGATCTCCTACATCATCATTAACCATGCTCGCCAACTCCCTTCTCGTCCTTGCCTCTGCCACTTTGGCTTTGGCTTCTCCTCTTGCTACCTTTGGACCTGGTTCTAGCTGCAAGCCTGGAAAGCCTGCTCCTGTCCTCCCGGTCAATGGTGGTCGTAAGTCTTAGCTCAACCGACTTATACATCCTCAGTTTCACTAACATTGCTTAAAGCTTCTGAACTCCCTGCTCCTCCTCAAGGTGTAGCTCTCAAGCACATCGCTTTTGGCTTCGGCATTCAGAACTACACCTGTGCTGATGCCGCTGCTACTCCCGCTGCCGTTGGTGCTCTAGCTGTTCTCTACGACATCACCCATCTCTACCCAGGCCAAAGCCCTTCATCTCTAACTCCCGACAAATGGGCCTCTTTCACTGGCGATGTCCTCAGCACCGGAAAGGTCCCTCTTAACCTCAACACAAACGGCGTCGGAGCTTCCACCACCAACCCTTTCCCCAAGAAGGAAGATCTTAAGGTTCAAGGCCTCCAGAAGAAGCTCCCCTACCTCGGACATCACTTCTTCAACGCTGCTGGAGTTCCTACCTTTGACCTCGACAAGGCCAACCAACTTCTCGTCTGCAAGAAGCTCGACGGTATTAAGGCTCCTTCTACTGCCTCCGCTGGTCCCGATGGTACCGGCGCTGTCGACTGGCTCTACCTCGGTGACGCTGGCGGTAGCATTGGTGTCTCCTACGTCTACCGCGTCATGACTGCTGGTGGTGTTTCTCACGGCTGCAAGGCCAAGGGCACCGACAGCACCTCTTACACCACTCTCTACTGGTTCTACGGTTAAAGCAAACCAGTCACGACTTTTCACCTTTCACTTCTTAATCATATATTTTCTTAGTCAGATAGAACGGCGGTTCATCGGAGTTTATAAAAGGTCACAATCGCTTTACATAGGATACTCATACGTTTCACGACGATCGTTTACTGGTACAAAATCTCGGGTTTTGGGAACAGATACCATGGTTTATTACGGGTGTGAATGCATCATTACCCCAGAGGACATTTAGGGAACAACCCTTGGCGTTTTGCTTTTTGACACGAAGGTATTGGAGGGCGTATTGGATAGTGAGATGGGGTGGAACGGAGATAGGTAGTTAGCCATTGTCAAATGGAAATACATTGGATCAAGTTCGTTAGGCAAACCTTGAGTTCTCACATGACCGTGAATGAAATGGCAAACCAATGTGAGCAACCAAGTTGCACAAACGCGCTTCAAGTATATCAACTAACTCCCATTGCAAAGAACGCTAGACAATCCATCATCAAGAATGCAAGATAATACAGAACACATCACTCAAGCATCCTCCTTTCCGACAACCTGCTTCTCATGTTCCAGGCTTTCTCTCTCGCAAGCAATGACCACATTGGTCATATACTTGTGGCACTTGTAAGTCAAAGCCGTACACCAGATGATCATGGCGATGCTAACAGCAATCATTGCCCACATGCCTCGCTAATGAAATGTCAGTGCTCTGTCAAGGCTAGTCAACATTGAATGATAGAAACTTACAATGAACCACGGAGCCATTGAGGCACCATAGAAGACGATACTCCACCAAGCATTGATGGTATTGCTGCCCGTGTTCATGCCAGCCAACACGATACCACGGAACATGGCTGATTCATAACGCATGACATCGTTGCACCAAGCGAAGAAGGTAGCCTGGCACGCGTAGACAGAACCGGCCCAGTAGTAAGCTGCGAAGACAACCGTGGTAGAACGTGGGTTCGTAGGGTCCTTGGAAGCAACCAAGACCATGATAGCTGTGGCGATTCCAGTGATGCCAATGAAGTACCCAACAAGATATCGCTTTCCAGACAGGAAGTCGGTCAATGTTGCCCAAAACAGCGTAGATATAATACCAACGGCTGGCACACCACTGGGATAGTTGTTCTTCTGGGCGACAGTGTATGTTTTGGTCGGGTGGTTTTGGAGGAAGAGGGCGAAGAGGGCGTTGGTGCTGAAAGACTCGGTCTCACCGGCGATGATCCAGAGAATAACGAATCCCCACCAGAGCCAAGATGTGAGAACCATCTTTCCATAGCCAAAGGTAAGCTTGGGTCGTTCTTCAGCGGGAGGAACACGCGATCTAGCTAGGGCTCGCTCCTCTTCGGAGAGGTAAAAGGCGGTGGTCGTATGCGGTGTATCGGGGAATAGAAAGAAGCCGTAGATAGCAACGGGGATGGTAATGAGGCCATCGATAATGAAGAGCCATCGCCAACCGGTCAATCCATTTCGACCATCCATACTTGAGTGAATACCCGTCTGGATGAATCCTCCAATCATAGTTCCCGCCAGGCCAGAAGCAGTAAAGATACCACTTCGCTTGCCCAGTTCTCTCTCTGTATACCAAGATCCGAGAATATAGTGTGTGCCGACAAAGGTTGACGCTTCGCAGATGCCCTGGAAGAAGCGAATTGCCATGATGGACTTGGGGCTCTGAACGGAAGCGGTGGCCATGGTGAGACCGCCCCAGAGAACCATCATGAGAGGGAACCAGATGCGAGGCTTGATGTATTGGAGGGAGAGGTTGGAGGGAACCTGGCCGATGACATAGCTGTGACTTGTTAGAATGTGTTTATGGCGAGAGGGAACATGAGATAGATGGGAACCTACCCAACAGTGAAGCAAGTAAAGATCTGGTTCAGCTGGTCGCCCTCGAACCCAAGGTCCTCCTTCATTCCAGACACGTAGGCATTGTTGATATTATTTCGGTCAAGCTATACAGAGTCAGTCAGTTCAGTACATGAACCAAACAAGTATATTAGGGTATGACAACGTACGTAGTTGACAAAGTAACTCAGACAACAAAAGGTCAAGATGAAAAAGTCAATCTTTTGAACAAGACGTCTCTCTCCGGGCTTGTAGTCAACATGAAGATACTCCTTCAGTTTCGACGACATATTTGCGACTTGTAAGAAAGAGTCTGAAGTGGCGAGTATTTTGATGATGATGATGAAGAGTGACAACCAAGGGGTCGAGACCTGGTCTACTTATACATGCCGAGTGAAGCTGCAGACAAAGATAGTCATTGGCAGTATTAGTTTCTAAGACTCAATTATACCGACCTTGGCAACGCTCCTATTCCGCTGCAGTATCAGAGTCAAGTCGCGTGTTGAGCGAGCAAGTCAAACGATTTCGGCCAAGTCTAGTCTTAATCTGCCGAAACGATAAGCAACCAAAAAATTGGGAATTTGCGGGGAAGCGATAGGCTAGAACGTGCAGGGCGCTGATCATCCCTGAAGATATGATTTCTCTCCGCAATTGATTGCTTGATTCGTTTCCTGTTTCGGAAACGTATCTATACGAACCTGGTAGATAAGTTCCTTGTTAGTGAGATAGGAGATGCCGGGGTAGTTTGGCGGATGTTACTGAGGTATCTATCTGGATGGAGACGGGGGTTGATATGTGAACAGCTGATATTAAAGATAGCTTAGTTTGGATAAATGACAAGAGTGAGCAGATACGAAGAATTGTAGATATTTCTCTCTTCTTAGATAAACAAATAGTCAGTGGTATAGAGAGAAAGTCAGTCTATATAATTGGAGTTGGAGTAGTTCACCATGTCTACTAAGGTAGTTAGTTAGGCGAATCTTTAACCATCCGCCGGATATACTCACCCAAAAAGGTCAAAGCATGTCAAAGATATAGCTATCAGCAAAGAATTCGGATCCTTGTTCTATTACCGAGAATCTGGAATTACCCCAGATATTCGTATCTCATTAGTGTCAACACCTCGTGATAAGCTGCATTTCCCCTCATACAACCACGCTTCACCCGTTGATACCTCTCCCCATCAGGAAGGGAACCAAAATCACTAGTGCACCACAGTTAACTCCGGACCGGCAATAACCCAAATAGGAAAGATATCTATTACACTGCTACAACCCTCAACTGACGCCTTCGACTAAGATATCTCAGACTAGATTTAAGCTGCCTCTATTCTCTATCTTCCCTTGGCTAACCCAAGATACTGCACACCAATAGTCTCGCCCATCATGACTCTCACAACCACCACCACACAAACAGCCACCCTTGATACCACTCCTGTCTGGAAGGATATCAGCGACAAGAAGATCAAGGCTCTGGACTCTTCCATCCCTAAACAATGGCGCATTCCTCAAGATATACTTCCCCCTGATGATCAGACTGATGTTACAACTTGGCCAGAGTCTTCAGGGTGGTTTACAAAGGAAGAGCTCGCTATCACATCTTTGAATGCTGCTGAACTCCTTGAGAAACTTGCTTCAGGGGAGTACAAGTCTGAGGATGTCACCAAGGCATTCTGTAAACGAGCATCTGCCGCTCATCAGCTTGTAAGTCAGTCACACAACGAGAACTGCGTTGTACTAACACGATGTATAGACAAACTGTCTTGCAGAGACTTGCTTTGAGCGCGCTCTCCAAACAGCCCGTCAACTAGACGAGCATCTCGCCAAAACTGGAACTCCCGTCGGTCCTCTCCACGGCCTTCCCATTTCTCTCAAAGACAACTTCAACCTCGAAGGTCTTGACTCAACTGTCGGGTTCACAGCTCATGTTGGAGACCCAGCCAAGTCTGACTCTGCACTTGCAACAGTTCTTCAAAATGCCGGTGCTGTCTTCTACGTCAAGACCAATGTACCTACGGCTATGATGATTGCAGAGTCCGTTAACAACACTTTTGGACGAACTGTGAACCCTAAGAATAGGAGTACTACCAGTGGTGGAAGTTCAGGCGGAGAGTCGGCACTTATTGCATTCAAGGGAAGTCCTCTTGGTGTTGGATCTGATATCGGTAAGTTCTACGCTCTCAAGTTGGCAACAATAAACTTACACTGCCATAGGCGGATCATTACGTATTCCTGCTGCTTGCACTGGCATCTTCACCATCCGTCCTTCGGCAGGCCGATTCCCAGTGCGCAATTGTCGCTCCGGCATGCCCGGCCAAGAAGCCGTCCTCTCCGTCAACGGCCCCCTAGCACGAACTCTTCAAGACGTTGAGCTCTACAGCAAAGCCGTCATTGACTCTCAGCCATGGCTCGTCGACCCCAAGTGTCTCCCCATTCCCTGGCGCCCAGCCCAACTCCCTGAAAAGTTAAAGATCGCATTCATGTGGCACGACGGCATGGTCCGGCCAACACCACCTGTAACTCGAGCTCTCCTGATCGCCAAGAAGAAGCTCGAAGCGGCGGGACATACCATCATCGAATGGGATCCTGTTGACCAGAAGGAAGGCAGTGAACTTCTTCAGCGCATGTTCACAGCTGATGGTGGACAAACTATCCGAAAGGAACTTGAGCGTACAGATGAGCCTTGGAGACCTGAGATGGAAGCCTATCGAGTCGCAAGAGATTTGAGTACCTCCGAGATGTGGAAGCTTCAGCTCGAGCGAACAGCTTTCCAGAACCGCTATCTCGATCGCTGGAACAAGGCAGGCATTGATGCTATCGTCAGTGCAACAACTCCCTACAGTACCGGAAAGCATGGAAGCCTAAGACATGGTAAGTATCCAGGTTACTGATGAGATGAGATGACAGACTAATGATGGATAGTTGCTTATACTGGTGTTTTCAACGTGGTTGATTACTCAGCTGTCTCTTTTGCTACAAGCATCAACGTTGATAAGGATGTTGACAAGCTTGATGCTTCGTATGAGCCGCTGAGTCCATTGTGCAAGTCTGTCAACGAAGAATGTGAGTAGCCCCCCTTAGTCATACGGTCGAATAGTATTAACACAAACAGACGACGCAGAGCTGGTCCATGGACTACCAGTTAGTCTCCAAGTCGTTGCACGTAGGTTAGAAGAAGAAAAAGCCATCGCTATGGCCAAGCTCGTACATGAGACTGTTGGCTGAAGGGAAATACTGTAGAATAGACATCAGCATATAGACATTGGAAGACCTTGTGCTCATCATATAGAGTATCATCACTACTGGGACCGGCACGAATCATGTAACAGATAAAGAAATATCGTATTCATCTTGTTTCTCGTTTGGAAAAACAGACATGGAAATTGAAGACGAGGGAATCGCTGCTCAACCCTCTCAACCCATGTACAAGCATGCCACATCAGCTTCTTGAAGCTGAATCCTCCGTCTCTTATTTTCCTCGTATCAGGCATTAAATTCTTGAAATCACCAAGACTTGTCCTTGTTTCCCTTTCCTAAAGCATCTCTCTCTTTTTGAACTTGAAGCGATGTCTTTGAACCTCCTCTAAGACACTATCCGACTCTTATCATACGCGAATATGTTTCCTTATCTCCTAGAGGCATCCAGTCCTCCCTGAAGATCCTGCTCGAGCCCCGTGTTTCCATGGCCCTGATACTCCTGTGGTCGAGGGTCCTCCGCTGTCCATTGGCTGTTGCCCTGAGGCAGAGGAACGGGGACACCCTGCTGGTTCTGGAGACCAGCGGGGCCACCTTGGCCGGGAACAGTGCGAACAGTCTGTCGGAATCGCATCACCTCGTCCAGGATCATGCCTCTCATCTGGCCAACATCCTCAACGACCTCGAAGTCGAAGTTGAATGTGGTAGGGCAGTCGGGCTCGTCTGAGGCATCGTGCCAGATGTGGAGGTAAGGGTGCTCGAGAGCTTGCTCTACACTAATACGAGATGAGGGGTCGAAGGCGAGCATCTTATCGAGAAGGTCGAGAGCGTCAGGGTTGGCCTGAGGGAACAGGCTAGGGAATGGCTTCTTGGGCATGAAAGGTAGGTTGCGAACGTATTCCTGAGCACGGGGTGAGCCAATGCGAGAGAGGGTCTCTTCGTTAGGAGTTCCAAGAATGTGAAGAATCTGGTTGAGCTGGTCGACGTAGTCACGGCCCTTGAAGAAAGGTCGGCCACCCAACAACTCAGCAAGAATACAACCAACAGACCAAACATCAACTATATTGGGTCAGTAAGACAATCCATTAACACTGTGGCTTTCGGGTCACACATACTCGCTTTGGTGTAGCTCTGGAAGCTCAACATGATCTCGGGCGCACGGTACCATCGGGTAGCAACGTACTCGGTCATGTATCCTGCATTCTCCTCGGGATCGACTGAGAAACCTCGGGCAAGACCGAAATCACAAATCTTGAGCTCACAGTCGGCATTGACGAGCAGGTTTCCGGGCTTGAGATCTCGGTGGAGCACATTGGCGGAGTGAATGTACTTGAGACCACAAAGGATCTGGTAGATAAAGGATTGGAAATGGGCATCGGTAAGAGGCTGACCAGATCGAATGATAGCAGCCAAATCACACTCCATCAGCTCTACGCTGTGTCAGCTTATGGTCATTGTTTCTTCTCGGCTCGTTACTGACCCTCGTACAGATACGTCTCGTTGAAGTTATCGGGTCGAGGAATGTCCATGTCGTACAAACATGTGATCTATTCGTGAGCATATTAGCATACGCGTCCTTGCTTGACCCTGGTACTCGTTACGCCTCGGCAGAACTCACGTTGCGGTGGCCTCGGAAGTGCTGAAGCAGCTTTATCTCGCGCAGAGCGCGCTTGGCGAGGATCTTCTTACTGAAGACATTGGTGACCTTCTTGATGGCGACGCCCTCGTTGGTTTGGTTGTTAACGGCGGCACTGAGAGGCGGGGTTATCGTCAGCAAATGCAGATGCGGCGGGGTAGAAGACGAGTTTGGAGTCGCAGCACAAGAGACGACGAGTGCCACGAGTAACAGGATGGGCACTCACCAGACGATACCGTAGGCTCCCTGTCCAAGCTCCTTGGTGACCGTGTAGCGCTCGTCGACAATAAAGTCCTGGTTAAAGACCTTGAAGACCTTCCGTCCTTGGAGGTCCGACATGGTGTCTGTTCTGATATGATCTTGGATGCGGGGCAGATAGAAGCTTCGAATGCGACAAGGTTTGGTCAAAGAGGAACAACCGTTTGCATCGGTTGGGGAGTGAACTTTGTAGGGAAGGACAAGGTATATAAAGATGCAAAGTTAGAAATGCTGTGTAAGAATAAGACAAAGAAACAGTCAGCGCCGTCTTTGCGATATATGTATGTACCTTATATTGCTGGTTGGTTGGGTCCCGCGGATTGAACGAGTGGAATGGGAAATAGCTCCCTCAGCTGCTGAGCCCATCTCTGGACTGCTACTGGACGAAGCACTGGGTTGCTGTTTTAGCAGGGGCTTTCAGGGCTGCTAGAACCGATCCACAGTGACCCGAAGCCGCTAAGGTATGAAAAAAGGGACCCCGCAGCGAAGTCACCGCCTGGTGATGTGGCTGATTTGCTCGGCTTGCGGCCCCCACACGCACTGGGCCAATGAGAGAACGAATCAAGCTCTTCACTTGATAGCCGCGCGACAACGACCCTTGTTCTCAAGTCGCAGTGATGCATGCAACGGCTCGGCCTCATCTACTGCAAAAAGGGGAACTCGTCGTGTTGGACTCTCAGAGGACACGGACTCAAATTTGATGATTTAAAAACACGCGTTCTTTTACGAAGTCCAAAGTTTATCTCCTCCTCACAAGAGACGACCTAACGAAGGTATCTCGGCATTCACCTCCCGCTTCGTTAGGTCGTGTATCCAGCCGCACGCCGTCCCGTGCCACCAAGGGGCTGAGTCCGTTAAAGGCCATCACTGATGGTCAGCAATCTCATCCAATCTCACCCGGCATCTGAGAGATCCGCCTCACGTAAAGCCTCCACTGAGAATTAGGATCCAATGCCGTCAAGTTGCCAGGTGTACAATATGACCTCGTGTTGTTATCATAGTCTCTGGGTCCGGCATCACCGATGCAACATGACAGAGATGAGAGACACTCGGAGTGAAATCAGACAAATTGAATGACGCTGTTCTTCAGCCCGAGTTCAAGGCCGCCCACTAGGCCGCTGCATCGTCAGCCCTGGGAGCATAGGGCTGAAGCTTGCCAAGTGGGACTGTCACTGAACTCTCAGACTGCGACATTATGGTGTACGGTATTGTTTCTGATGTCTTTGGCAATTCTCCTCGCTCGTTTGATCATTGTGAAGGCATTAGAAAAGTTCAGCAAGCTTGTGATTACACCATCTCGTAACAAATGGCCCAGAGAAAAGTTCGCCGAGTTTCCTTCTTTTCTTGCTTCGAGACCAGCATTCATGGGTGTTTATCTGAAACCGACCTCATGGATTCTGAGACACAACCTGTGGGATCGACATAGAATAACCTACCCTCCAACTTAATCGAACCGTCTTGCTGGGATTCATTCAGCCAATAATCATCAACTTTGTTGAAGTGTCAATAAATATTCTAATCTACCTATCCGTAGTCCCTCTAATATGTAACCTACCTCGTTTCCCTTCATTGATCATCTGTATGTACAGGTATCGGGTATTAAATCCATCACCACCCCCCAACTCCATCCGTGCCGTCCATTTACTCTTCTCCGAAAGTCTCCTTCAAGAAGTTCTTGGAGAACCGTGTGCACTGCTCATACGCCTTTGCGAAGCCGTCGTCTCCGCCGTAGTAAGGATCGTTGACGATCTCGGGTCGCTTTGTTCCGCTGAATTCGCCGAAGAGCATAACCTTGGCTTTGGAGTCTGGGGCGTTCTTCTGTAGTCTGTGGAGATCGGAGAGGTTCGACCTGTCCATGGCGAAAATGTAGTCAAAGGTGTTGAAATCGCTCGGGTGGAACTGGATATCGTGTCAGCAAGATTGTGCTGCGGGTGAGCTGGGAAACATACGCGCCGCGCGAGATGGTCATAATCATTTATACCATTGGCCTCAAGAGTAGCCATGGTTCGGTCATCCGGGGGTTCTCCGCTGTGATAGGCAGCTACAGCGAGAATAATCAGTTGAATTCTGGTTAGTTATTCCGATTTTCATACCTGTACCGCAAGAGTCGATGCGCCCAATCTTATCCTTGAGATTCGGCTGCTTGGCAAGGCTCTGGAAGATACCCTCAGCCATGGGTGAGCGGCAAATATTGCCGAGACACACAAAGAGGACGTTTATTTGATCCGGCATGATTTCGACGATGATACAGTGATATGAAACAGAGTAGGTCGATCGCGAGAAGAGAAAAAGTACCAATAAGCTTATTTATCGAGAAAGGAGGGAAAAATGAAAGAACCGAAATACTGATGATCGCAATGGGATTGAGTGACGTGACGGGCCGATGCGCATAATCTAATCTGCCCCGCCATCTTACAATTCCAGGCTTTGGAGTGGAGAGATGGAGGGGCACGGGCACAGTATTAAAAGCCATGGCCATCAAAAGCTGAACTAATGAAGAGGATAGATTATAATCAACAATATTTCCGGTGATATAGACAAGCTACCTATAGCACAACCAAACTTCACCTCTCATCTCCAACTGCCACTATGTCTCAGTATCGCTTGGCATTGTATCAGATCATTTACACAATCCGAAAAATAAACAAGTTTCAGTGAACCAAACACTGTATGGCCTTTACTAAGCAACACGTGCTCTCGTGCTCAGCTGGCGTCCGATACCCTTGTCAAGATGGCTTCTTAAACGCGTTCCGATTGTTGAAAACGTGCAAGCATCGTCACTTAGCTCAAGCCATCGGCCTAAAGTCTTCCCATCTTCACGGTTCACAACTAGCAATGCGAGAGAAAGGTGTGAATAAGCGTGGATTCATTGTGTGAAGAGGCAGCAAGATGGTCTATAAAAAGGGCCTCGATACCTCAATGGCCTCAGGTTGAACTCTCCTCATCATCCTTCACTCTCAAACAACTCCTCATTCTTCTTAATATCATACCAATCGTCCAATATGTCTGAATGGAAGCCACCGGCCTTTGGTACTCCCGTCTGGATGAGCATCCCTGCCACAGATGTCAGCCGTGGTATGTCCTAGCCAACTGCCAGTTTGTCTTGCTCTTACATCTCTATAGCTGCAGAGTTCTACAAGGCTGTATTCAACTTCAGCTTCAAGGACTCCGACCACAAGAATCCTGATGAGTTCAGGAAATTCGACTTCAACCCTAGTCTTGGCTTGACAGGTGGTATTCAACAGGCTCCGGACCACACTGGTAATTTCCACCCCGGAAAAGGAGGTCTCTGTGTCTACTGGTTCGTCGAAAACGTTGACAACATTGGGTCCATCATTGAAAAAGCTGGTGGTAAAATGTTGACTGAGAAGGAAAAAGAGGGCGAGTTTGGCCTGTATAGATTCTTCGAGGATACCGAGGGTTCTGTTGGCGCCGTGTACCAAATGGCTTGAATTTCTAGGAAAACTAATATTGTGCTCTTGAATTGAATACACTCCTTTTTGCTTATTGCTTTGATCCTCTCCCCGTATAATGATACAAGTATTCAACGACAATTGCCCAGGGGTTAGAGTAGTCTGATGGAGGTCTCGGGAACGGTGGTAAGGGGTCGAATTCCAGGCACTTGTGTATCAAAGCAAGTTCAATAACAGTGCATACACCAGTGTTGGGAGGAAATGAGGAACGAAGACTGAGATCCTTGATGCTGGGTGGAATTCAAGGTAACAACTGGATGATCATAGAAGAACGGCCCATCGCTGCGAGAAGAGGTTACTATGTGAGTGAACTATACGGCCGTTAGCATGTGTGGAATATAGAATGGTGATGTCCGCTGCTTATCGTAGGAATAGGAGTTGTTAGTGTGCTGCAAAGAGCCATCATGAAAAGTCACCATGACAAGGGCGACTTCAAAGCTTCCGTCGTCTGCCTTTTGTCATAGTTTGCCTTGACAGTAGAACCACGACCGATAGCAAGACTTCTCGTAGTAATCTCCCTCTCTCCCTCGGGCCGCATTGGTATCCGTAGGCATCAGTATTGGTCCTACGAGACCAGATGCGATTGAACCCTTCATGGATGAAAACCATAGCTCTTTGCAGTGTGGCATACTTGCCAGCTTGTCTAAGAGCTTTCGCAAGTAGCCTTGTATCTGCCCGATACCACTCATGGAAAACCACGCAGCGAAACGTACAACTGAAAGAGATACTTGGTGTTTGGAGCAGGAGTGCATCACTTAGACAAAGTTTACGATATGATACAACAAAGGTTCACATGTATATACCTTTGTTATATAAGTAAGTCCATAGGCTGTCTAAGAGCTTGGAACGTACACGACCCAAGCTTGTTACCTCAGATAAGCTGTCGGGCAAGCTCAAACCTCACATCCACGCGGCCAATCACTAGACCAATAAACTTCTTTGAAATTTTGTTTCCATTCATTCTTCATACACAATACAAGAGAGGGGATGCCACATATAGTTGAGGCGCCGTGTCATCACACGTTTTTCTGTCCCCTCATCCGCTCCGCTGGCCGATTCCAGCATCGCATCTCCAGATTTTCCACAGATTCCCCTATCCAAAAGAAAAAAGACACATACGCCAGGCTCAAGTGAAAAGCAATAATAATACACAGAGCGTACACAGCCCATCAGGAACCTTTCCCTCCCGAGACTGTGCTGCTCAAAGGCCGTTGTCGTTCATTGTTACAGTTGGTCGTATCGTTATGCGTTCAAGCGAGCTGTCGTTGACGTTCTCGCCGTATCGTCTCGAGGACTCCCATTACGCCATTGTTGCGCAATCGTTCGAGGACGAGTTTCATGCCATCGCGGCTTTTACCCATTTGATCCTGCGTTTTGGTAGAGGCGATGCTTTCGATGCTGCGTTGGATGCCCTTCGTGCCCCAGCCACCAATGATGCCATTCTTGAACCAACCGTCCTCTTGGGCTTGTCCCAGCTTGCCCCTAATTTTATCCCCCAGTCTTGACCTGAACTGAACCATAGTCGTCACAGCAGTCTCGTTAGGGTTCTGGTTAACACCTTCGGTAGGAACGTTGAACTCCTGCTTCTCAATGACAGAAAGTACACCCGTGAAATTGAGGTTTCGGCTCTCCGTCTTCATCCAACCCTCCTTGATATCAACAACACTCGTCTCCAGGATGTATGAAGCCTTGTCTCCAGAGCCACCACCAGTGACACTGGCAGGAAGTAGCTTGTATACAGCACCAGGCATTCGACTTTTCTTCAAATGGATGCGAGTTGTGTGAAGTCGACGGGTTTTTGGGTCGACATAGCTCTCAATGGTGTCGGTGCTGAGAACATGGGCGGCGAAGGGGTTTAGCTGAGGCGAGGAGTATCGGAGGAAGTAGGCGAGAGTGACAGTCGGGAATGGGTGGTTATAGTTGTGGTTTGTCGTATGAGTGAGAACCATTGTCGCGGATTCGAGCAAATACTGCTCGTCAAGAAAAAAGAATCGAAGAGAAGCGAGGTAGAACAAGAGGTCCAATTGATCGAGTGGCAATTGGCTTGACTTATCAATTGTGCAAAGAAGCTCTAAAACAAATCGTAGAGCTGTTTGAATCCCCAATTCCTATCCCAATGAGCCGTAAGCTCGATGATGCTCTTGGATCAAGTTGATCACTAAGAGGTTGGTGGTTGCGGAAAATTGAGCCGGCGCCTCGGCTTAAGCACTGGCACTTTCTTATCTCCGGGGGGCGCGGAGCCGGATATGGGAAATCGACAAGAGAAGCAGTAAGACGGACTCAAGAGCGGAGCTCGCAGCTATGTCGGGCCGCGAGAGAATTTACACAAGGGGAAGAATAATACAATAGAAGAGCTGATGATGGAGTGATCAAGTTTAGATCTGGAGACCCTCGCGACCTCGACAAGCAAAGCAGAGCAGAGCAGCACGAGACTTTGGCAGCAGCAGTCGGTACTCGTACTCGACTGGTCTGGGCTTCTTTCTCCGCTGTGGAAGAAGAAAAAGAGGAGGAACTTAGAAGAAAGTGGAGGCAAAAGCACGAGCAATCGGCTGATTGAGGTCGTTTTAGCCAATTAAGAGCTTCTTGATCACGAAACTCACAAGTTTCCGATTGGGCCGTGATGAGGGGTCGTTTGATCTGGGGAGAGAATGTGGCGATTAGCACGTGATGCTGTATCACAGCGTCATCAGACTGCAACACCAAAGCTTGGTGAGATGACGACAGTTTTGGAACTCACGATGCCACGGTGTGGGAGTATGACGAATTAATATAACTTGGTCTGCACCATGACATAGCATACATGGGAGTTAATATCTCAATGTTAGATCTACCTTTTGCCTAGAGATCGGTTACATAGATTTAATAGATCATCATTATCCCATGAATTAATGAGTATCCTCGCTAAAGTCGCTACAATGTCCTAAAGGTTTCCTTGCCTGTGTCTAATAAAAGGCATTTTGTGAAACTCCATTTCTATCCATATATCCCAACCGTATTCAAGGTATTCCCAACGCCACGCAAATGCATCTCACATAAATCCATTACAATCCATTGCAGTAGAACATTCCCCTTACATGAGGAACTCACTTCCAGCAAAGTGCTTCAAAACAACCCAACCATCAGCGAAACTCTCCTTATCCATGCGCACGACAATAGCCGCGTGACTATGTCGATGCTTCTGAATGTGAACAGGAAACTTGCGCCAACCAGCTGCATCCAAGTTCTCAATCATCTCGAACTGATCAGGAGTCAGCGCAAGCGTAGGCTGTCCAGGAGTCGACATTCTGCGCTCTTTCTTCAGCAGCTTGCGATCCTCAGCATCATAAGCCAGATCATCTTCTGAATCTGACGATGCCAAGTATTGCTGGTTCTGTGAGCTGTTGAGAACTTCGTAAGCTTGTTCGACTTCTTCTCGGATCTCCTTAATCCGCAGGGGCATGCGGTACTGCTCGATCTTCAACCCAGCCTCTCCTGACTCGTGCGCCTTGATTCTATTGGCACTTCGAACTGTTTGGACGGCAGAGTTGGCGAGGAAGACAACAACTCCGATCGGAATTATAACACCGACCGTCACCATAAACGGGATACTCTTGACCCACTTCTTGAGAGCTTCGTAGTCTGTCAGTAGCGTGTCTTGTTGGAATTTCGGTCGAAGCGCAATAGGATGGTCAGGGTCAAGAATCACACCCTCGTATCCCTTGAGGTAGTTGAGGTTGACCTTTTCAAGGTCTGTATAAGGATCATGTTTGGTAATGGCGGATGTGTAGTGTACAACACTTCGATCGTTGACAATGTTTGTGTATAGTGTGCGGCGCTTAAACTTTTTGAGACCAGACATGAAGATAGAATCTGGATCGGCGAGCACTGCGAGAAGAGGTCGATTGGTGTCGCGGAATTTATCGATGGTAAAAAGTTGGCGACCGGACATTGATAGCGTTCGGGCGCCGAGGACGTTCCAGATGTTGTTGAGCCATCCTTTAAGTGGCGTTCTTACTCCGAGATGGGGGGATGCAAATGTGGTAAAGTTCTGACAGGATTGTTAGTTCATCCAATCTTTTTCGTGTTATCTCTTCCCCTATTGTGCGACTTACCATGCATTCGAGATCATCAAGAATTCCCTTCGCATAAAGCAAACCAACCGCATACCGCGAAACTAGACCACCGAGCGAATATCCTGCAATACTCAACTTGGTGATCTTGCCTCCTTGCTCTTCAATGTTGCGTAACTTGTCCTCGATCTCTGCGCACACGCGCTCGCCACCAAGTTCAATGCCATCGTATGTGAAGTTGCCGCAGTTCTTCTCAGCAGGCAGGATATATAATTCGTCTTCGGAATATTCGTCGCGCAACGCCTTAGCGACATTGCGCAAATGACTTGGGTTTCCCCAAAGCTATTCTATGGTCAGCGCTACATGACGTATAAGGATTGATCGTCAGGGGATGATGCTTACGCCGTGAACTAAAACACAAAGGTGAGTAGCCTTTGCGCTTCCGCCAGTAACGTCTTCAAGAACAACAGGTTTAGACATGATGATAGATGTGCGATGAAATTGAAATGGCCAAAAAAGAAGAGAAAAAAAGAGACTGAGGCAGAAAAGTTGCCAGTCTTTTAAGAATAAATTAGTTGAGGTTTCTCAGGAGATGCAGCCCCAACGGAGTTTCGGATTGCGTAAAGTCGGGTTGTCTGAAGTCCGCTCAACTGCAGAAATACGGAGGCAGCACGGAGTTAAGCCGATAAAGTCCCCACCAGAATATCGATGACAGCTATCGACGTCGACCAAACACGCGACAGCATATGCCGTTTTAGGAATACAATCTGGTTGCTGACAACGGTGTTTAGCGAGTATTAATGCCGTGGGGCTGAGTTGAAGACGTGGTCGTCGTAGCCATAACAGCAGAGGCTTCATTCAGTCTTTATAGTTGCGGACTTATCGCAGTCTACACGATATCTCGGATAGATGTGAATTCCGACTACTGCCAATAGCTGGCTTCGGTTTAGATTGCATGGACTAACTGGTCTACCGGATCTTACTTCATCTGTTTAATCGATCCTCAGATGTGGCGCTTTCCCACACCATCGCGGGTTGGTTCTAGATTTGGGCGAGCTGAATTCCTATCATGACGCCTACAAAGGAGTGCGAAACCGAGTGCGAGCCGTCTTTAGGGTGTACTATGTAAGTGCACTGAAAACAAGTTTGTCGTCCATGTAAGGAGAACCAGATCTGATTCAGTATGTGGTTAGGACTGGTACACAGATAGTCAGCTGCATTCTTATAATTCTGTGATTATTACTGAGAACCAAAGTCCATCCCTTGTTCCAGTTGGTATGAAGCGTCATGGCTCATGAGCCTCTAAAATCGTGGCGGAGTTCAACACTGGAGTGCGTACTGCTAAATGTGGGTCTCATCATGAGAGCAACCGCTTGAGAGCTGAAGGCTTAGGCTACCTGCAGCTGTCTTCAAGCTCAGCCTCATCTGTATGTCAAAAGCTACAGTTAATACAATCTCAATTGAATCAAAACGACGATAATTTGATACTTTTCTCTTTTGGCTCCTCCGACCCTTCAAGAAGCTCACGTGCATTTACATCAGCACGGTCTTCCCTTCAACCTCTCCACAACAACTCACCTCACTGCAGTGGATAACCTCCTATTGTTTCGCCTCACCAAGCACAACCACCCTAAACCTGGCTTCAACCTCCAAACTCGATTCATCCATTCACGCTCAACGATCTCGCTGGCATCAATAGAAACTCGCATGATCACGAATGCAGACACAGAGCTCATATTAGGAAACCCTCAACGTCACTTTGAGGTGTCGTCACCATGAGTTTATTTAAACACATCCCCTGTCCCAAGGGCGATGATTGCGCAGCGAGCCTCTGTCCATTCAACCATCCAAAGGAGAAATATGAACCACCATCACAAGGACTTTCATCAGATGACACGAGTAATGAGACCACCGCAGCAAACCAGGATGTACCACGCAAGCGTGTGAGGACAGATCCCTTTCATCCGCCTCCTTCACCTAAAACTCCCCAGGAGGTTGCACCCAGCTCTTCTGGAACATCTCGTGGGGGTTCAACGGATGATATCCCAAAGCCAGTAGCCAAGAAGCTTGAAACAGCAGCTCGAACAGTCTCTCCTCCACCACTGAAACGGAAAATGGACACTCAAGATCACACTCCAAAAGCTTCTTCAAAGATTGCCAAAACAAGTCATTCTGCTACTGAATCACGTCCGTCTTCTGCCCGAAAAACTGTACCAGCAAAGCCCAAGAAGGCCGAGACACTGAATCCGAGACTCCTTAAACGATTGCCTGCTGCTCATGACGTCCGTCTCAGGCTAGTCAAAATGCTTCACCAAGAACTTACCCGACTGAACAAAGAACTCAAAGCTAAGATCAAGAAAGACGAGACGAGACTTCTACTATCAGATCAAGATCTTATCGTCCGAACACTAGACGAAGAGGAATACGTTGCCGTCCACAAGACCGCCGTGTACTCTAATGTGATGAAAAACAAAGTCATGCAATACAAGCGAATGAAGGTTGATCAGTGGAAGGCTGAGAGAGAGGATGAAATAAAGAAGAAGGAGCTCGAAGCAGCTGGAAAAGATCCCAACGAGAAACCCACGGAAATCAAGACCGGCCTGACCCCTGCTCAGGAGGTTGAGCTTACGAAACGCATATTGACTCCCATCGATAAGCTATCAAATCATGGTTATGTTGCTAGTATACCTTCAGAAGCTGATATCGAAAAGGCGAGACAAGGTGTAGCAACAGCCGCAGGATGGGAGAAATGTGACCGTTGCCAACAACGCTTCCAGGTCTTTCCTGGAAGACGTGAAGAAGACGGTGCACTCACTTCTGGTGGGACATGCACGTTCCACTGGGGAAAGACCTTCATCGCCCCCAAGGCTCCAGGCGACAACACCAGGCAGCCCAAGCGATATCAGTGTTGTGGACAAGAAGTCGGTGACTCTGTTGGCTGCTTCACTCGTGATCACCACGTATTCAAGACCTCAGATCCCAAGAGACTTGCCTCTGTGCTTAACTTTGCAGAAACTCCCGAGAATCTTGTCGTGCCTACGGATAGAGCAGTGGCTTTTGATTGCGAGATGGGTTATACAGTTTTCGGCATGGAACTTATCCGTCTAACCGCAACATCATGGCCGACGGGCGAGGAGCTGCTAGATGTTCTAGTTCGACCGTTGGGAGAAATTCTGGACCTCAACTCGCGATACTCTGGTGTCTGGCCAGACGATCTCGCCCAAGCTGAATCATGGACCGCGGACAAATCGACGAAGCCAACTAAGAGTAGCGACGACGATGTGAGTGAAGATGGCGAGCTGAAGCCTAAGAAGAAGCAGCTCAAGATCGTCTCATCTCCAGAAGTCGCCAGAGGCCTACTATTTCAACTCATCTCTCCAACAACACCCTTGATCGGACATGGTCTCGAGAACGATCTCAACTCAGTCCGTATTGTGCATCCAACACTAATTGATACCGTGCTGCTCTTCCCCCACAAGGCTGGTTTACCATATCGGTATAGCCTAAAGATGCTCATGGATGTTCATCTCAACCGCAAGATTCAACAGGAGACGGGTCCAAAAATGGTAGGCCATGATTCTGCTGAAGATGCAAGGGCAGCAGGAGACCTTGTTCGTCTCAAGATTAGGAATGAGTGGATGGATATGCAGAGAGAGGGTTGGAAACTGGTGGATGGTAATTTCGTGGCTCCTGGGAAAGCTTCAGGATTGACGGAGGTATTCATCGAGGCATAGCTCTTGAGCATGGGCGCCATATTCAAGATAGGTAGTTACGCATGTGAATTTTCATGGGACTGGAGAGCATTGGGCATCATAGATCTCGGGGTGTTCTGGACTTGGTCACTGGTTCAGCTTAGTTAATGCCGTTTTGGAACGGGAGAAGCCGTGAAGCCACCGGCGATTATACATTGCGAGATAGGGTTGATACTCCCGTCTGGTCTCGTTCTAGAAATACATAGTTGGCGCTCATGAATAAATGTTTTCATCGCCAACGATAAGCGGGGATTTCCCAGTCATTTCCTCAACATCCTTTACATCATACAAAGTCCGTTACTTTAAGCCCTACCCACTGACAGCAGGTACTGACCGCCCTGCTTTCCGCTTCCACCAGGCAAGTAGGCGACGTTGGGGTTTGAAGAAAGAGTGGCAGCAATCTCACGACTGGCCTCGATCTTTCGAATCTGAATGAGGCCGTCACCAGCCTTCTGGATGGCCTTGCTGATGGCCTCGGCAGATTCGGACTCACCCTCGGCGCGGATGACGTTGGCTTGACGCTCCTGCTCAGCACGCTCGACGATGAATCGTGCTCGCTCAGCATCTTGCTGGGCAATCTGCTTCTGCTCGACAGCCTTTGTGAACTCACGACCGAAGGTCATGTGGGTGATGGAAACATCCTCAAGAGCGATGTTGAACTCGGCAGCACGAAGAGTAAGGTCGTTTCGAATTCGCTCAGAGACAGCCTCTCGCTGGGTGATGAGCTCTGCGGCATCGAACTGGGCGACGATAGCCTTCAAGACTTCGTTTCCAATAGAGGGGAGGACTCGCTCATCGTAATCGGCACCGAGGTTCTATCAGAGTCAGTCATATGACCTGAACCAGAATTTACTTGTTCATCTTACCTGGTAAATCTTGGGGAGAGCCTTGACATTTGGTCGGTGCAGCACTCTCAGTGTCAAGCTAACCATCTGCAAATCCTTGCTGCCGGTAGTTGTTGCGATATTCCTGGGCTTGGTGCGGACATCGAAGATGATGCTCTTTTGCAGCCAGGGAACAAGGAAATGGGTTCCTTCATTGACGACGGTCTCCTTAACACCAGACAATCTGTCAAAGATGACAGCCCGAGTTCCTCCCTTGACGTCGTATATAGACTGACTGCCTAGGAAGACGACAGCTGAAGCGGGGACCGCCATGCGGTACATGAAGTTGAGGGCTCTCGCAGCGGCCGCCATTTTGATGTGGTGTGCTTAAAGTCTTGTTCGGCGTATCGTTGCAAGACGTCGGTCAAAAATGGTGGTCGTTAGAACCCAAATATCGATGGGAACTGAGGCGTAGCTGAAGCTTTTCGGAGTCAACGGACGGCGATGATGATTTGAAGCTCTTAGTCCACCTTTGGACAAATTCCCAGTACGATTCGTTGGTTGGCTGTTGAATTCCTTCGGGTGGGTTGGTACTCGGAGCTAAGCTACTTCGGGAAAGCTCGGCTGATGGGGAAAGCCTGCGTCTGCGCTTTCCTTTCCAACCCGAGAAATCCTCAAGTGGCCCTTTTCTGCCTTTCGCCTCCAAACCGACGACTTCAAAAACCACACACGAGAGACCTCGACTTTTCGTGCCAAATCCGCCAAAATGAGACCGACTCAGATGCTCCGAAGCGGCGCTGCCGACCCCAAGAACGGACAGTACGTGGATTGCGATTGAACGAGGGCAATTGGTGGTTCTGTTGCGTGCGGCTTTTCCAATGGTTAATGGTCGAACGAACAACACCAAGCCTCCAAAATATACCAATAGAGACGGAATTGAATGCTGACGGACTTTTAATAGCTACATTGGTAACTGGGGCCACTTTGGTAAGTGATTGCTCCTACGATGTGCGAACGAGGAAACTGGGTCGATGAACGCGACGGACCAACGGATAATGACGATGCACGAGGTGGAAGCAATTGGGTCGATATAACACAAAAAATCGATGCATGCGCATAACCGGTCTCGAAATTCATCGATGGGATATTCTCGGGGATTCATCAACGTCATCAACGAAACTGGAGACTAACTCGATATCAGGTGGTGAGAAGCAGCGTGGTATCATCACTTACGGTCTGTCCGCCAACCGACAGAACCCTTGGGCCGGTGCCTTCCACGATGCCATCTTCAACACTTTCCGCCGAACCAAGGGCCAAATCTTCTACTGGCTTCCTCCCATGGTTGCTGGTTACTACATCATGAACTGGGCTGTCGAGCGGTTCGTTTATACACAGCGCCCAACCACAAGCAAAATACTAACTTCCGCCATAGAAGCGAGTACCTTAACTCCAAGGCTGGTCGTGCCGAGTTCGGTGATGAGGAGGAGTAAATCGGTTACATTACTGGAGCAAAACCACGGCGGGTGTGTTGGAGTAGGTCCTCTGGACTCATTGTACATCATCAATACCTAGATCAGGAGGTGCAATAGACAGCAGTCACACTATTTATTTGTTGATTGACCTTTCGGCATCCATACATTGCAATCGAATTGAAGTCTCTAACACAGTGATCCCATCAATGGCATATGTCTTGATGATCCGAATCGATATCGGATCCACTGGTAATAGTCATTGCCGAGAGCATGATTGGACTGTTGATAATTGTCACGTGAACCTAGAAATGTGGTACGGAATCGGCGGTATGTAACGCCGAAACTCTTCGCGGTAGCTCTTCTTCCACTCGCCGAAGAAAAAAAAAGTTAGAAAATTTCGAGGTCAGTGGAGTGCTAAAAGAAAACACGGTAACTTTGCGACCACCAACATTGCCGCGGACCCTTCAATTCGCACAAACAATCTCCGTGCGACTCCAAAGAAGACACAAGTAATAACTTCGACGAAGCTTCCTCGAGAGAACCGCAGCAATGGCCGCCGAGAAGCCCGACAAGAAGGAGAAGAAGGACAAGAAGAGAAGCGACGAGTCCGGCGTCTCAAAGTCCAAGAAGGAGAAGAAGGATAAGAAGGACAAGAAGGAGAAGCTCGCCGCCGCCCTTGAGGAGAAGCTCCAGCAGGATGCCCCCGTCGCTGCCGCTGCCGCTGCCAACATGGACGAGGACTCCGATGCTGAGGAGGAGAAGGCCGCCGAGCTCCCTCTTGAGCGCACTGTCGTTCCCTTCGCCCTCCCCGTGGCGGATGAGAAGGGCATGAAGAAGGTCTACAAGACCATCCGAAAGGGTATGCGACTACAGAGAACGATGTGTTTCGGACAGATCGCTAACATTTCACAGCTGCCAAGAACAACACCCTGAAGCGCGGCGTCAAGGAGGTCGTCAAGACTCTCCGAAAGTCTCCCCCTTCCGCCCCCGGCAACACCTCTTTCCCCGGCGTTGTCATCATCGCCGGCGACATTTCTCCCATGGACGTCATCTCTCACCTCCCCGTGCTGTGCGAGGACCACAACGTGCCCTTCATCTTCGTCACGTCGCGCGCTGAGCTCGGCGCTGCCGCCAAGACCAAGCGTCCTACATCCGTGGTCATGATCATGGAGAAGGCCGAGGGCAAGAAGTCAAAGGACAAGTCTGCTGACAAGGACGGCGAGGATGATGGTGAGGCGTTCGGCGAGAGCTACGCGTCTCTCGTCAAGTACGTGCAGAAGGAGTATGGCAAGCAGGCTTTCTGGGTCAAGGGTGGAACCAAGTACTAGGGGGACAAGGTCCATCGACGACGCGACAGTGCCGTCAGTATAGGAAAGGTTCCAAAGATGAAGAGAGAGCGGGGTTCCCCAAAGATCAAGAAAGAGCGAGGTTACCCTGGGACGGATGGTGTGGTGTGTTAGAACAAGTACAAGTCTGGATGTATTATACCAGAACATCTAGCCGGAGAACCAACGGCTGGATGAGGGCTTTGGCGGCGTTCAGGTTTAGCTATTGCATTAAAAATGGGACATGATTATCAAGGGTCCTTGAATTTGACACATGGCAGATCTTGAGCTGTAACCTGTGAGCTCGTGATGTTGATGCGTTCGCGAAATTCAGATCATTCGTCAAGCCACGGCACGCGATCCAACCCGCAACACCACCACAATACACCCGAATGTGACAGCCCAATACCGAAGCATTGTCACGGCTTAACCCTTCTCTGGATACTCACCTTAGCCTGATCACATCATTGATAGACTATAGGACGAACCATAACCTCGGTATACTACGAGTCTTTGGATAACTTCAGCCACGTATTTGCGAGTAGCAGTTGCCGCAAGGTCCCTTTATAATATGCACATCGCTTCATAGCTTTCCGGTCGTCTAATTCCATGCATTCAAATAATTGACATCACATTATCAGGATGCAGTTTTGTTCATTTGTGTGGTATTACATTGCCTTAATGGCTTTCTGTTATAGGTACATCGTCCCTATTCCTATTTCACACAGGCCCGAAGCCGCGGTATAACAAATTCATCATGAAAACCCCATCCCGATCATGGGGAGATTAAAAAACCTTGGTCAAGAGAGGATTTACTCAAAAGGGTTGGTTCGGGTTCCCCACCAGGTGAGGAAGACGGAGAGACCGAGGGTCTCAACGAGCTTGGTAGCCAGGCTGACGCCGACGGTGTCGAGAGGTCGCTTCTCAACGAAGATCTGAGCAATGTACTGTAGAAGGTAGGTTAGTGAATGGATGCAGTGAGAGACAAGAGTGAAAACATACGCCGGGAGCAGAGGTAGCGAAGAAGATGAGGGATCCGAGGTAAGCAGCGCCCTTGTAGCTCAGCGTACCAGTGGCGTTGATGAGAGCACCGACACCATAAGACTGAAGAGCAGAGCCGATGAGGGAAGAGCCCCAGGCGAGAGCAGCACCGGAAGCCTCCTTGGAGCGGATGAACTCCTCCTTGGTGTTGGCAGCCTTGGCGCGCTGGTAGGTCTGGCCGAAGATGGGAGCGAGGACGGCGAGCTCAATGCCGTGGTTGAAGGCCGTGCCGAGGGCGATGGCAGAGGGCTTGACGGGGGGGAGGTAGTGCAGAGACATTTTGATGAGTTGTGTTTGTTTGTTTTGTTGTGGTTGAGTTGAAGTGTTAAGAGATGGGTATAGCTTCAATTGGTTGAGATGAGTTAGAGTGTGAAAGAATAAGGTGGCAGCTCGTTGGATTGGATCCTTCCCAGTATTTGTACTCTCGAGCTGGTCACAGATCTCGATCTCGCATCATTCAGAAAAGCGCTTCCGGGTGGCTTGCCTTCCATTGCCTTGACTGTTTCTCGGTTCTCCCCTCCTCCCTCTGCCCTTGTGTCGTCACCAGATGTGATGATGTCACCATTTGGTGAGACAAATTTCAACTCTGAACCGTTTTCCTCCATGTTCCAGCCACTGCGGCTTCTCTTCACTGCCACTAACCGATTTAATTCACTGAGCTTCACTTATTGCGGGGTGCATCTCTTTTCCTCCCCTGCCAACTTCTTTGTACCTGATCTGACGTTTACGTGCACGACTCAGACATGTCATAGCAGAGCTCACTCACTCTTGCATACTTACTTACTCACAGCTGCCCTGTCTGTAGTTGGAGCTTCAGGAGCTTGATCTCCTGTGGGCGGGGCAAAAGATGGGGAAGCTTGGTCCAGGTCCAGGTCCAGGGCAAGTTTCTTGGTGACCAGGGTTTGTAGCTGCTGCTCTAACTCCAGCAGAGTTCAGTTCCATGAAAGCAAGCAAGTCTTAGCGGGGAACAGCGCCATAACCAATCTCTAGCACAGTAGGTACCCAGACTTTGTCAGAAGTGAGTGACGAGTGACGGTGTCACGGCGTCATTTACATCTATTCCTTTCCTTTCCCTCGGCTCTCTCTCACAATGAACCCCGGTAATATCAAAGCCGGCCATTGACTTTCTTCTGCCATTGTGTCCCTTTCCAGCCGAATTCCCTTCGAGAGCCCCCAGCTGAAAAGTGCCTGATGTGATCCGCGGAACCGAAGCCGGTCCAAAGCTTGTTTTTTATTCCCCGTTTCCAAGTTCAGTTCAAACAAATTTCCATCTTCAACCCTTCTAAAGCCGGTCCTGGCCTCCCGAAAACAGTCAGCTCAACAACACATTCCGTTTCGAGCTAACCTGCCACTCTTGTCTCAGACTTTCAGCACATGCCTTTGACACCAGACCCTGTCCCTGAACATCACAATTCGAGTACAGAGGATTGGGATGTCATGACGGATTTGACGTGTGATTGTGGATGGACCCTTGTTCTTTGTTTGCGAATAGCTTGTGTTTAATTGGAAATATTGGTGCATCACAAGACGACAGAAAGCAAGCCTGCATTTAAACGCTCCAAACCTCCAAAGGGCGTTGCAACTGGAGCTTTGCCCAAACTTAGGGTTACCCTAAAATTGAGAGGTTTAATGGAATTCCGAATAACTACAACTACATCATCGTAAATCTGACCCTAACTTAGAAGATATTCGTAATATCATCATAAGTTTACCTCAACTACGTCAAGCCACTCGTCTGGTCTGGGGTAACATGGCGGTTGCTCTCCCGCCACATCTACTACTTAAGGTACCAACTTTATCCCCTTGAACTACAGCGAAAACGAGAAATCAACTCCAGATTAAAATACCTTATCATAAGTTATGCCTAATAAATGTCATAAGTTATGCCATATGTTGACCATCTTCACCACCCCTTAGGGCTAATAACGCCCTAACATCATGAACATACTGCAGGCCCTCCAACAGCGGCACCAAGTGCATCAAGTCTGTATCCGTTGGGTCATTGATCCAACCCTGGATAGGAATCGCATTGTCTGGCAAACGAATGTTAACAACCTCTCCCCTGAATGACCCGACCGGGGCATCTTACCTTGGTGGAACAGATAACTCAACGGACTGTTGTCCAGAATCATCACCTTGCTCAGGTCTGACTCGACCGAGCTGAGGTCCTTGATGAAAGCACCTTGCCGGAATGTGCAGTGCTGACGATAGTATCGCGCCGAAAAATACTTCCTCTCCGCCTCTAGCCAGTCAATCACTGGATCTGCGTACTCCTGCACTGACGCCGTGAAAACAACCAGATTGTACCACTTGCACACCCGCCTCAAAAACTCGTCGCAATACGGTCGCTTGTTAACCCAGTATAGAATCGGATGCTGCGGTCCAATCGATGTCTGTCCACCAACCCCCACATATGTTGTGTTCAAGCGCACTTCAACCATGTGTCCGGTGCTCATCCTGCCGCCCTTGGACATGCTGTGTATCAAGGTTTCGTCTAGATCTAGAATCAAGGTCTTCTGCGGGCTCGTCGGCGGCTCGAGGTTGATATAGGACGGCTGCCTGCGTGGGATCAAAGGTCGAGGTGGTGCCGGTGTCTTTGGGTACTTGGTGAGCGCTGCAATGGGAGAAGTGGGAGATTTAAGATGCGCCGAGAGGTCGCCGCTGCCCAAATCACTAGCCTTTGTTCGCGCGACTGCCGATTGCGTTTTCCTATGCTTCCGCTGCCTGAGATCTTCGTCGCTGTTGAGCTTGATGCGAATTGACCTTCTCGCCGGACCGGTTTCCTCTGCAGGCTGTAGTGACTTCGATCGTGCGTGTCGACTGAGACTGCCTGACCGTGATCCATCTGATTCCGACTCCGATGAGAGGCCTGATGACGTCGATGATGATGATACGGGCCTCGGTCTTGGTGTTAGCCTCCTATATCCTGTAGTCCTGCCATAGTCTTTTTCAGAAACATTTTCAGGTTCTTCCATGGTCTTATGTTGAGTTCCGTGTAATCCAAATAGTTTTCCGAGCTGCGTAAAGGGTGCGAAATTGCCGTATTCGTCATAGAAACAGGCAATGAGATAGACACCTGGGGATGCCAGTGTCGCGAGAACCCATCTAATAGAACCAATAATGCTAGAAGCAAAACGTCGAGGGATAGAGTGCCACCATGAGCTTCGTTTTTGGTTGTCGCCTGTGTCGTTGAGCAATGGTGTACTCTCGTCAGCCGGCTTTTCGGTGAATCGCGATTCGTCGATAGTATCCTGGGCAAAGGATTCAGTCTCGTGACCGGATGGTCTATCGTCGCCGTGCTGGTCTTCGGAGGCCAATCCAATTGTGCCAATGGGACCTCCTCCTATGCTGTTTGATCGAGATTGAGTTGGGCTCGGGGGCGGCGATACGCGGGCCGTTAGGATGTTGAGGGAGTTCATCGCCACAGGCTATCGCATTCCATGAGGTAGAAGAAACAGTTCAGGGGATACGTTCGAGTCTTGAAGGTAGATGCAAAGAGTTCGGAATTCTGTGACGGCGGACGGAAAGAAGGGAAACAGTCCCGAGGAACGGATCGTCGGGCTATTGGCCGGCCTAGTTTCGCGGGAAGGAGAAGCCGTCAATACAAAAGCTGATTGACAGAAAGTGAAACGAATGTCAAGAGGGCATCGAGTGCGGCCAAGCGAAAAAAAATAAGGATAGAGCCAAGGACTAGGACAGGGGCGCAGTACAATCGCGATGGTAGGGCCAGGGAATGTACAAATGGCCTAATGATAAAGAGTCCCAGGGAGGAAATAACAAGGGCACTTTTTGAACGACAAAGCCCAAGCAGCAGAAACAAATCCAATCCAAAAGTACAGATGTCTTGAGTGGTGAGACGATTAGGTTAGCCTGGTCTAGTAACCTGTAGGTTGGTTATATAGACTGCTAGACGAGACAGGCAAGGCAAAGCAAAGTCAAGCCGCCCTCGCACGGTTGTTAGCGAGTAGTGATTAACTGTTTCGTGGCGTTGAGAGGGGAGCTGGCTGCTGGAGAGAGTTCTAAGGCTGGGGAACCTTTTGTTGGTCAACTAAGTTAGGACCAAGATCGGGTTCTTCCAAGCTCGAAATAAGCAGCCGCGCTAGTTGTAAAACAGTAGCAAATACGTAAGGATAGCGGGCTATCGACGGGGTGAGGCGGGGAGTCTTTTTTTCTGGCTTGTGAGAAACAAGAACAAAGAAGCCCGTGGCAATTGCTCGAGAGGAACAAAGATAAGATGAGGGGGGGCAAGTTTCCGAGCCGCTTTGAGCGCGCGCAAAGAGAGCGTGAGGGAGCTAGTCAAATCAGATCAATTCAGAAAGGAGTGAGTAGATCACAAAGGGAGTGAGATGTGAGAGAATTTGCTGATGGGTGGCTCGATTGACGACGGATGATGGTTGAGAGGGATGGCACGTGTTGGGGATTGAGGTGCCGAGATGCTGGGGAACTGCCAGGCTTTGGAGTGGAGGGGCTCCAGCCTGCGAACTCGAGTTTCTAGGCTGTTTTCAGTGCATCACTGGTCCCTGCTACAGTAGCGCTACAGGGGTTCTTGGATACCGCGGCTCGTATCAATCGCATATGCTCTTACTGAATTCCTATGTACTATCATAAATGACCTACCTAAGCCTCTGTCTAGGGTGAGAAAATAAAGTAGTCAAAGAGCAGACTAAATTTATCCTAAATTATCCCAATACTGTCTAAATCTTTTTGTCACTTAGGTCATAACCTAGTCATAAGCTTTCTGCCACCCCCTGGCTAACGACGTATTACAATAAAAGACTTCTTCCACAATCAATTATAATCAGCGCCAGTATTCCTTTTGTTTCCCAAACAGCTCATGTCACCACAGTGATCATATTTCCTATTGATAACAGCTTCGTTATGGATCTTCCTTAGGTCCATCCACTGGGCTCAGCTTCCACTGCCCAGGCCTCTCTTTGCAATGTCCCTTCCTGGCGTATCTGCCGCAGCGATGTAGGATCAATTACACCATCAGGCAAACGGAGATGATGGATGGCATCGCCATGAGAGATGATTTCGTCCTCCACTCGCTCAATCCTGAAAAGGAGTTGGTGAGAGTCACATTGACCAAAACATCCTTGATGAGAATTACATGTGCAGACGACTTTCTGCCATGTCTCAACCACCTCTTTACTGAAATCGAAATCGCGTGTTCCTCGCCATGTTAGGGTCGCCGAATCATGTCCGTTTCTGTCTTCCCTTTCGTTCTTGTGGAAGATGACTGCGCAGGCCTTCTCGTGGGAGCAGTGCCAGATGGCGAGACTCTTCAAATGCAGCATCTGTTGCGCAACCTCGCCAGCATTGACCAACAAGCCAGATATACTGTCCCGAGATCCTTTCGTCATGATCGGCGCTGTGAGTATCAGCGATCGGAGCCGAGGCCAGTCACTGAGCATCTTGCAAGATCTGAGGAAGTCTCGAGCATCGATCATAAACGCCACAGAAAGATGTTCGAGGTCACGGCTCTTCACAGCAAAGGCTTCCCCCAACTCAGATCTTGTGAACCGGCGAGTCTCTATTTGCATGGACATACTGATGATGGACGGGTCCATGTCGTTGCGAATAGCCTCCATGATTTGTTCGTTGAAATCTTCGAAAATAGTCACTGATCTGACGTGCTGGGGCAGTTTGCGAAGCAGAACCTGCATCACTTTGCAATGTTGGATACGGGGATATACCTACTATGTCTGTCGTCGACTTACTGAGGTCATGACGCCCGTAAATCGAGCCATTTTCATCGAGTGAGTGGCACAGAACCCGCCACGGCTCGTAGTCGATGCTCTCCGCATTTGGAAACCGCTCCAGCAGGATGCAGAGCGTTAACGGGTTGATTCTACGTCGCATCTGTCGGCGGATCACAATGCCCTTGACGGCAGGGACTTGTGCGGGTTTCGCGCCAGCCGCGATCTCCGGACTGATTGTTTTGAATAGCTGCAGGATAGAGGCTGCGTTTGGAAGCGTCACTTGCTTCCCTTTAACCCAGCCGTGTTTTGGATCATCCCAAGTTTTCTGCTTCTCGAGGAGATTTCCATCATCTTCGTGGTTGAATCCGTAAAGATGGTTCTTGAACCAATGGTCCGGGTCGCTGGGTGAGTATACATTGAGTTCCAACGTTATACGATCTGTGGGCTCCCAGGTTTCGAGCGCTCCAGAGAGCTTTCGTAGCGCCTTTTTGATGAGCTTTGCTGGCTCCTATAAACCAGAAACTCGCTGACACCGCCGACAGGCATAAGAAGGGAGCTCGATGTTGAGGTGGATTCGGCGATGATGTGCCTCTGCAGAACGATCGTTTTCAGGCCCTCGGCGGATGCTCTGTTCAACTCCAGTCGGTTGAGATTCTTCGGTGCAATAAGGGCATGCCATTATTTACAAACAGCGGACGCACAACCCCATCGTCTTTGACGAGAGATCTCCTCTAAGATAAACGATAAGTAGTATCCCCGTATGTCTTTCATAAGACGGTTGTAGGTTGGTTGACAGCTGACAAGGGTTGAGAGCAAGGGCATCTTAAACCTGGCCAGGTTGTGGATCTGTCGGGTTTGCATGTTCGTTTTCGTATCTACAATCTGCAAAATGACCGAGTGGTTCTGAACGCGATGCTCTTTGCATGTGAAGAGGAGTCGCCTTGCTAAGCTGGTAAATATATGATACCATTGGTACATAAAGCAGATGCCAGCAAAGATGCTAGCCATAACAGAGTGTTTGTTGATGACCCCCAACTTCATCGTGGCTCATATGTTAATATTCTTTGATGATTGTATGGTTGCAGGAAAACAGTCTTCGAGGTAAGAGTAGGAAGAATATTGGGTTTCACCACCTGAGGTCTGAATAGCTTCGAGGGGGACTATTGCAGTTGTGTTGGAGGGTAGCCTAGTCTGCATTTATTAAGCCAACTTTGGCGTATATAGGTGCAGAGCTAAAGTCCATTTCCTCCCAGTGCAGAGAGGAATATCATCAGATTGCTCACTTCCAAATAGCTGGAAGCATCCTAATTTAGCCATTCTCCCTACCATATCCAGTAACCTTAGCGATTCAAGACAACCCATCCAAACCCTTGCAACAAATCCACCGCCGAGGAGGGCAGATTTTTAGTGTGAACTCTGACGATGATCTTCTCCACTGAAGAAAGAGTTCTTAGCTCTGCATCGATGCACTGTAATGCGTCTGCTTCAGTCAAGAGCACGGACGATTCCCCGGCAACTTGCATTTCTAATGTTTTTAGGTTGTTGCGCTTTCCGGAAAGAAGAGCTAGATTCTTCAAGCTATCTTGTCTGATATTGACCTCTTTGGGTTGACCTTGTGCGACTGGGAAACTGATTGATAGGTGGGATAGTAGGTTGGCATTTGTGGAACCGATGCAGCTTAGAAACGATCACAGAAGGCTATCGTGCTATTTGGGCTCGTCCACCATGATAAAGTGATTTTTGCTATAGAGGACCTCCCTAGCCTCGGCGTATATTTGTTTGTTGGTATACAATGTGGCGAGCCATTGCTTTGGCTTGTCGGGTGCGAATGTCTCTATCCAAGTTCCAAAATCTTGGAAAAAGATATGGTGGTGACCTGAGTACGAGAAGTTGTCTGTATATTTCAAGACGAATTTCTTCGGTCGGGTCTAAGAAGCTGAGAAGGCCTGACTTTACGGGCTGCGAGGCCTTTTCGGTTTTCGAGACGGACATAGAAGAGACCTCAGGTATTCGCGAACCCATGATCGTCGATAATAGTGTCCTGTCTGATGGCTTATAAGTCCTGCTGATATGTGAGACAAATCGAAATTGGATGGACAGACTTAATCCTTACAAAGGTTAACTTATGGAAATAGAAAGAGGACGTATGACAGGCTGATCTTTATTTCATACTACCTATCAATGGTGTACATATAGATATATATGTTCCTGGTCGTGTCAAAGGAGGGGATGTTCGTGCTGGAAGTGAACGTGGAGATATAGGGAATAACAGATGGGAATAGGATCTGGGGAAGATCGAGATACAAAGATGAGGGGTTGCACAGCTCAACTGTAAAACTTAAAGTGGTGTGGAAGCTTATTACCTAACAAGTTACAAGAACCAACACGCAAACAAACCAAACCAAACCAAACCAACAGAGCGCCAAGGTTGGTGATAGCATGGATGATATTACTATTGGTTAGATCGGTGGAATACAGTAGGAGTTGTGAAGGATGTGGGAAACATCGGATATGATTTACGTATTGCTTTTTCTTGATGTAGAGAATGCTATGCACCTTTGAGAAGATGTTTCAAATTACAACTCTAGATATGTATGTAGCAGGAACTCTTCCTAGGTGTTTAAGATAGGTATAACGAAATAAACGAGAGACACTTCAGCTGCCGTAAACCTATCGTCGTTGGGCGCTGACTATCTCGACGTGAGATCCTCCCGGAATTGACCATCGTCTATGGCCATGAAGAATTAGTCGACAACTTATGCACAATCATATATTAGTTATCAATGGTCACTATACGTGACCACTTAGCGATCATGTAAAGCTTAGGAGGACTGGTACTATGTCTGAGCAGCTTGGCACTTTAGACACGAGAAACCTCTGCCCTCAACTGCTGAGGTGGATGGGTCCCATACCAGCTACGACGAAACGTAACAGAAGAATAAATAAAAAACCACCATGCCCAAAGTGAGGGCTTATTATTATGTCCATCTGTTTGGAAGGCGTTAAGTGAAAAAGCCAATACCAAGAAATATAGCAGTACACTCATGGTAAGCCATTCCTGCGTATCGAATATGTCACTGGGATAATGGTGTTTGATGGTTGAGACGAACCAATTTGACCACTTTCTTGGCAATGAAAGAATCGAATCGAGCCTCGGAAGATTACTCCGTAATGCCTTGAACATTGCCAGCTCATCAATTGCCATTCTTGAAGTTAGTGACAGCTCATAGATGATGGCGGTGAGCCCAACTCTCAAGTTTGTCAGCGAATATTGATAATCTACATATATCCCACCCTTGATTGAAAATCTGTGATGCTCTCGCAAGGATTCTTTCGATAACCAAATTCATCTAATTAGTACTACGTCTTAGTAGAATCTGCCCCTGTCCCATTGTCGTCATGGCTTGCACTCGGGGCTCGGGGTATAGCCCCACAAAGCGACAAGGCTGATGGCCCCCACCTGAAGCCTTGCACAAAAAAAGGCTCCGATGCGAGGAGGAATTGATTGACTCATATTCACAAACCGTACAATTCGTTCGAAGCAGCAACAATCGTTTGCCTGTTCAACAACGTCGACGCTTCGCAACACGCCAGCGAAATCTCTCACTCGAAATTAAACAGAGAATAAATCAGTTTCTACAGATCAACAGCATATCTCCTCTTGGCCGATATTTGTGTTTGACTCACAAATCACCCCTCCATTTCACCCCGCGAATCGCAGACATCCCACCCCGGCTTCACTACCTAGCTACGACAACTGGCGACTGTGACTCCGACCGATACACCTCCTAGTAGATATGGCCCCTCTTTCTACAGGCTACGCGCCTGATCTCGAGAAATATCTCAGGTCTCTCAAGGGTCAAGCACTGGAATCCTCTGTTGAGAGCCTCATCTGGTGAGACACCCGCCAGGTCCTTTGCCAAGATGCTCGTTACTAAGTGTTCGCGATACCCTCAGTCTCCTCAAGCGACGACAAATCAAGGGCTCTGAGCCCTGCGCCGTCGCTACAGCTCACATTCTACTCCAAGTCGTCGCCCGATCGAAATGGTTCAACGTTGACAGCTTGATCGACAACGTCTCGCGTATTGGTCGTCGCCTGGTCGAGGCTCAGCCCAAAGAGCTCGTTATTGCCAACATTGTGCGCCGAGTCCTAGGCCTCATTCGTGACGAAGCTGCCGAGGATAGAAACGAGGGTGCGAGTGAAACCCCTAGTGACGCCCAGATCACACCAACCGATGCTGTCCCGAACCCAGATGCCCTTTCTCACCAATGGCCTCCTTCGACATATGGCAAGCAAGATTCTGCCGGAGACTATATCACCAACAGCGCCAAACCTCCTCCCGCTCGGCCTGGTCCACTATCCTCCTACAGCTCAGTCAACGTGCCTAAGACTCTCTTTCACCTCCTCTCAGTGTCTACACCCGGCGAGCTCGCGCCCAGCAGCCAGGGATCGCCCCTAGGTCTTTCAGGGGCATCAACTCCTTCATGGAGAGCTCCTTCGGCTCAGGTTCATGCTTTGAGATCAGAGGTCATCGACGGTATTGAGGAGATCAAGGATGAGATCAGCTCTGTGGACGATCAAATCGCGGCCTTGGCTGACGTTCAGATTCACCCTGGCGACTACGTGCTCATTCATCAGCCCTCACCTACAGTCGAGCGATTCATTCTTCGCGCAGCTTTGAAGCGCCGATTCACAGTTCTCATCGCGACCGAGCCACCAAAAAAACAGACCCCAGAAATCCCCCATGCCTCGTTCCGTAAGAAGCTCGCTTCCGCTGGTATTACAGTGATCAACATCATGAATGGAGGGTTGATGGCATACATGTCCCGAGTGGACAAGGTCATTCTGGGGGCGCACTCGATTGTCGCCAGCGGTGGTGTTATGGCCGATGCGGGTGCTGCAGCCATTGCTCGAGCCGCAAAAGAGCGAGGACGTGCTGTTATTGTCCTCGGCGGCGTGTACAAACTCAGCCCTGTGAACCCTTTCAGCGGAGAGCTTTTGATTGAGTGGGGAGACTCTGCCAGCTTTGTCAACTTTGCGGATGGACACATGGTGAACAGCGTCGAGGTTCGGACTGCCCTCAATGAGATGGTCCCTCCAGAGTTGATCGACATATACATCACCAATCTGTAAGTCAAGAGGTCGTTGTGTAAGGCAAACAACTAATTTTTCATTCAGGGGGACACACTCAAGAGATCACTTGTCCAGTCTCATCGCAGATCATTACAAGACGGAGGATGTCGATTTTTTCCTTAACGAAGAATGATGGAGGAATACAAAAAATCAAAGGAAAAGAAAACGTCGCAAAAGTTGTGCCATTCATTCATTTCTCGGCGTTGAGCGAGACAGGGTTTCCACTATCCAGTCAAGGAGTGAAGGTACCATAGAATTTGCTTGATAGCACATATCACCAGCGTTTAAAATTTCAACCATATTGGGTTGAGATCAGCCTCACACAAATCATCAGATTACACCGCAACCGTGTGCATCGTATCGAGTCGTATGCGGTGTATGAAAGCAATGACGACGACGGCCCAAGTCAAGCATAACTTTAGAGTATTGTCAGAGTGATCAGAGGCCGGGAATGCGGCACCACAGCTGTCGGTTAGTCTAGGCTCCCTCGCTCGGCCGCGTAAGCACCAGCTCGGCCATTGGACGCAGGGGATCCTGGGGAGTCATAGGGCTGCGAATGCGAGTTGCGTAACCCCCTGTAAGGCGCTGTAGGGCATTTTCGCAGTTCGGTGATTTGATCAGACCGTTGAAAGCGTTTCCTCTTTGGTCATGATGTGAGGTGATAGCTGAAGGTCATTGATAAAGGTTAAATAAAAGAAAATACCCTTCTTTTCAGGCTATGATGCAGTCACGTTTATCAGATAGCTTCCCAAAGCTTAGGTTGATCAGTGTGCTATTGTATCACACCATCAGCTCTCACCCATTCTCTCTCCCCCCGTTAATACCCCTCCATAATCGCATCACCCTTCTCCTCCTCTCATCATGACAACTCCATCACCAGCTATGGACTCTACCAGCAGAAACAATCCTCCATATCTCACAACTGGCCAGGCCCCAGCAACAGCTGACGATGCGCCACCGCCTCCATACTCAGAGACAGATATCTACTCTACCTCTTCTCAGCCCCCGCACTCACCACATGCTGGTTCCGTCGCCGGCTCCGGGCACGGCCCCGCAGCTCCCGGTGACGATACCGCCTCCCGCATGTCCTCAACTTCAACTACAGAACCCATCTTCACTCCGCCACTTACACCTCGCACCGAATCTAATGTCAACGCAACAACACCTATAACACACGAAATCCCCCTCTCTCCCAGTGTAGCTCTCTACTTTGAGACCCGACCTGTTCCAACATCAGCGTCTCAATGGGAGCCTCAGATCCACAGCATCGCTGTGAAGCCGACCTCTGTGCCAGATGACATTCCTTATCCGGAGAATTGGGCGACTTCGTACGATATCACAGCCCAAGATTGGGCGACCTTTGTTAACTTTCTCCTCCCTGATCACGATTCCGTCCGGAATGAGGCTATCCTGGGTGAAAAGGGCAAATCCGAAGATGGCTCAGATATCAAGTCATCTATTGGCGACGGCAGCGTCAAGTCAGAACGACACACAACTGATCCTAATGAACTACGTCGCAAGCGTGCAGAAGTCGAAGCTATCGTGCAACAGTGGAACTCTGGCTTCTTTGCTCCCCGAAATGTCATGGTAAGGCTTCAGCCCGAGGAGCAATCGCACATGCCAGGAGGATGGGAGACCACATTCGACGATCCTCCAGTGCAACTCCCACATCAAGCTGGCCCATCTTCTCCAAGAGAAGCGATGCCTCAGCGCAGGCCTAGCGGTTGGACAGGATCTTGGGGCGGCTTCCAAGTCGACAATGACAGCGTCCGGTGGGGAGACAGATTTGTTGCTGATAGCAATGGGCTTCGCATAGGAAACATTGTTATGGATAGCAGGGGAATTCGCATGAACGGCCAGCCTGTGGGAGCCCCTTTTGGCCCTGGACCATCCCAACCACCACCTCCGAATGCTCGCAACATGCCTCCTTTTATGCCCGGACACCCAGCATGGCATCAAGGTCCTCCTGAAGCCCACACCTTCCCCCAACGAGGACGAGCAGCTAGCCATGATCACCAAAGACGCCGCTCTCGGTCATCATCTTCATCTTCTTCCTCGTCCTCAGATTCCTCTTCTAGCTCAGAATCCATCGGTTCTCTCCCTGACTACGACGATCTCAAGGACCAGCAGCTACCCGTTTACATCGCTCGTCTACAACAATGGACAGCTAATCCTCTCGAAGTGCGCAGCAAGGCTGATGTCAAGCAACTGAAAGCTGAACTTAAAGCCTCGAACACAAATGGCATTGCTCCCAATCTCGACCGAAAGGCTCTTAAGTTGCAGGGCAAAGCCCTTTCGCAACAATGGAAGACTTTGAAACGTCAGCAGAAGAAGGAACGGAGAGATCGAAAGAGAGATCAGAAGAAGAAGAAAAAGGCTGAGAAGAGGGAGAGGAGACAGCAGAAGAGGGAGATGAAGGCTGCTCGCAGAGATCATAGGAGGGGCCAAAGAGGTCGGGGCCATGTTGAGCCAATTCCTGCTCCTGTGGTGCCTCCTTTCCAAGTTCCTCCCGTTCATGTTCCCGCAGTCAACGTTCACGTTCCTCCTGTCAACGTCCCTGGTGTCAGAGTTCCTCCACCAGCTCTCGGTGGCTGGGGATGGTCAGGCAGAGGAGCCGGCCGAGGAGATCGAGGCCATCATAGTCGAGGCAGAGGTCGAGGTTGGGGCGGTTGTGAAAGTCAAGGTCCCTGGGGCAGAAGTCGAGGAGGCTTCCAAGGAGGCTGGCCAAACCACTGTTCATTTGGATCTCCCGGTCGAGGCGGTTTCTTTGGTGGCGGAGAGTGGCCATCTCGTTCAGGAGAAGGTCCTCCAGGCTCATGGCCAGCAGATGCCAACAAAGATGGCAGTATTCCACCGCCAGGTGCGGCATCAGCTGCAAAGTACAACACTGTCTATGGAATAGAGACTGAGATTGCGACGAAGCAGAAGGATCTGGAGGTGAAAGAAATAACTTTGAGTGAGCGCAGGGCGCTGGAAAAGGAGATTGAGGCTCTCACAGAGACAATGGAGAGAACGAGGCTTGAAGCTGATGAGGCGTATGCTCGTGAGTTGGCTGAGCAACTTGATGGATAATGATGATTTTTTCAACTTCTTATGTACTTATATGGATACCGATTTCTCGAACGTTGTATTAATATCTATCGCCAAAGCGACTGTTTGTCTCCGTATCAGCTATATCGAGTTATCTAGGTTGTATACCTCATCTGTAAGGTTAGTTGCACCACTTTTCAGTGTGGTTGACCCTTGCAGTTCTTGTAAGATATGAATCTTTATGCCTAGAAACAGTACTTGTGATTTACGCTTCATCGTAGTATTTTATGGATCCAACCTTTCACTCCTCAGTTGCGCAATAGTGTCCCAAGCGTAGACTCATCAACATCATAACTATCTTCCAGCTACTCATGACATATTTCACCCGGACATCACAACTTTTTATCTATCCGTCTATTAAAACACACATTCCCCCTTTTTTCACATTCTCTTCTCCTTAATGCTTCGAGTCATCCTTTTCCACCAACGAACCAACGCCCAAGCTCCTCCCCACAGCAACCTTCATCTTCTTCTTCTTGTCCTTGTCCTTGCCTGCTTCAGGATCACGGCCAACCTCACCCACGGCTTCGCCCTCGTCCTCAGCTTCTTCTTCTTCTTCCTCCGCAAGGGCCTCGTCGACTTGTTTCTTGATGCCTCCAAGGTCTAGACGCATGCAGAAGGCGTCTTCACCGTCGGCGTAGTATTTGGATTCGGTCTTCTCGTTGGTGAAGCCGAGGGTGTTTTCGTAGAGGTGGCGGGCTGCGGCGTTGGATACACGGACGTGGAGGGAGACGTATTTTGCCTGGAATGTCTCGACCATAGCCAGTTCTACAAATGTCAGTTTCTACTATGAGGCCAGCAGATTTGAGTACACGTACGACTTTGGCGCATCAACTTCTCAGCAATACCCAGTCTTCGGTGTGTTCGCATCACGCTCAGACTCGTAATGTGGCCATGCGGAATGCCGTCTGAAGGCTCCTCCTCCATCTTGGCAAGGACATATCCGACGATCTTGGGGTACTCGTAGGGATCCTTCTTGGGTCGCGAGACATCAACGGCGACGTAGCTCAGTTGGGGCCATGAGAGGGCATGGTAGAGGTAGTACTTGAGGAAGTAGTTCTCGGGGAGGTTCTCGAGGTTTGCGTGCTGAATGAGGGGCAAGTCTGCGTTTGTGAGGAGGCGGATATCCATGGCTGCAGGTGATTCTGTGGTGCAGGTGGTGATGAGGCTCAAGAGTATGTACGTAGTATTTGGATGTCGGCAGAGAATGGTATAGCTTCAGCCCGCTTCAGTCCAGTGCAATTCATCAAGCGGAATCGGCCCCTCAACTCACACGGCGGGTCAACAAGTTTGCGGTCAAAAGTCAGCCCGGAGGTCGGCAGTAAAGTCCCCCGCTGCCGTAGAGGGACGACCCCACTACGATGCTCTGAAGCAGAAGACCTAGAACGCTAAGCCAGGCACCAATTGACTGCCCCTCCACTGTAACACCCGAGAAATGTCCCCTCGTGGAAGCGCACCTGTCAAAGACAAGCAATGGCCGCCACGGGACTTGGGCAGAAGGTGGATTATTGAGTTGGTGCTTTGTCTCTATTGGCGCGACAATTGCAGTGGACTCTTGAATTGTGTCAGTTGTGTAAACTAACGTGCAAGAGGACCACGACAAGAACAGTCTAAGGGCGTAGATAGATATAAATACAAGGAGATCATCGTCAGTTCTTGTTCTTCTAGACAAGCTGTTCTTTTTCCTATTCAATTTGTGTTCTTCTGTTGTCTCGATACCCGGCTCATCACAGTGCCTCACTTGACCACCGACTAACACATCACCATTATGGCTCTTCCTCTTACTGGCAAACTTGCCATCGTCACTGGTGCCTCTCGGGGTATGTTCTCTTACCTTGTCTACAATCAATTGAGCTCTGCTGACTTCAAAAGGCATTGGTCTATCCATTACCAAGGCCCTTGCTGCCCGAGGCGCAAACCTCGTCCTCGCCTACACATCCGCCAGCTCTGCTGATTCAACAGCTAAGCTTGCTTCTGAGCTGTCTTCCAAGCATTCTATCAAGGTCGTCCCCGTGCAAGCAGACCTCGGCACCGTCTCAGGTCCTGCCTCGCTCATTTCTCAAGCCGCCGATGCCTTCAGCCCCCTGCGCATCGACATCCTCGTCAACAATGCGGGTGTTGCTTATAACGACAAGGTCCCTGACATCAAGCCTGAGGACTTCACAAAGAGCTACAACGTCAATGTACTTGGCCCTCTTCTTCTCGTCCAGGCCGCACACCCCTACCTACCCACAGACCGCTCCGGCCGTATCATCAACCTCAGCAGTGTAAGCGCAAGTCTTGGTTTTGTTGGCCAGAGTGTCTACGGCGGCACAAAGGCTGCTCTCGAGGCTATGACACGAACTTGGGCCCGTGAGTTCAGCGAGAGAGCTACCGTCAATGCCATCAACCCTGGTCCCGTCCGCTCTGAGATGTACTCTCGCAACTCGGACGAGTTCAAGCGTCTCATCAAGCCTTTTATCCAGAATGCGCCTCTCATGGCTGCTCGTCCTGGCATTGACGATCCCGAGGTCGTCGAGGAGGCCAAGACTGCGGGTGGTCGAGCAGGTGAAGCTGATGAGATTGCTGGCATCGTCGCTATGCTTGCCAGCCCTGAGAGTGCTTGGTGCACTGGTCAAGTAATTTGCGCCAATGGCGGTATGATCTTTGGTATGCAATAGAGGGTTTCATCATGGAGTAAAGGAAAATAGAAGTCAGGTGTTTCTCAAGGGCATGGTCATTAGAAGGCATCTTTTGTAGTAAATTCTACGCAACTTATACAAATTCATGTTAGCCAGTAACTGTGTTGCAATGAAAGTTAACCCTTCCAGACTGTTGTAATAAGTCTAACTGCCCCGCCATTAGTGGGCGGTGACGCAAATTCTGCCACTCACTCACTCAGTCTCGCAACTCACTTACAAATCAGTGAGTCAAGATTCAACCCAAAGAACACACACAGATACCATGGAAACAAGACAAACAGACTCCTTTGATCCCTTCGAGGATGTCCTCAACCTCGAAGAGCGCTTTTACTCAGAAGGCTACCAACAAGGCATCAAAGACGGCGTTCAAGCGGGGCGGATTGAAGGACGATCTTTTGGTATGCAAAAGGGCTTTGAGAAGTTCCTCGAAAGTGGCCGTCTTGCCAGCAAAGCTATCGTATGGGCGAACCGAATACCACACAAGGACGGTACTGCTTCAGGAGAGACTTGCACGTTGCCACCACTACCCAAGAACGCAAGACTGGAGAAGAACATCAACACTCTGTATGCTCTCGTAGAGCCAGATACACTTTCGACTGAGAACTCGGATGATGCGGTTCAAGATTTTGATGACCGGGTTAAACGGGCACAAGGAAAGGCCAAGATTGTCGAAAAGATGGCGGGGAGTGGTGGAAGAGAGGCATCGGGAGAATCACCAACATCCTGAGAATATCAGAAACGGATTCGGAGTTTGGTTTGGCGTATGAACATCGGTATCAAAGACTTTCATATTTGAAAAAGGAAAATCATCTGTATTGTCAATGGAAATTCTATACCCTCACTACCTCATAATTTGTATCCACAACCACCCTCTTCGCTTCTAATTTATTTGAATGATCTGCAAGGGTATCTGTAACAGTTAGCACATATTCTCTTCGCGATTCACCAGCGTCTGCAACGTACCCTTCACCATAAGATCTCTCTGTCACCTCATACTTGTGCACATCCCACTTTCCAGTTGCCAAGGTCTGGCCACTGGGCAGAGGGGGCATACCATTAACGAACACATCCTTAGTCGCATCGGTCGCCTTCTCGAGAGCCTTTGCCAGACCAGTCTCGGATTCCTGCTTGACAGCCACGAGCTGCTTCTCACCAGCCTCGCCGATGAGCTCGACCTTGGGAGCCGCGGCGCTGCCGACAGTGAGGAGCTGGGCGAACTGGGATTGGTTGACGACGCTGAGCTGGGGGTAGTTTCGGCGGTTGTCGCGCTTCCAGTAAGGGTTGTCGGCGATGTCGCCGGCGGGCAGCGTAACGGGGTCGTCGTACTCGAGAGGAGGGTTGGCGCCGGGTGTAGGGTTTCGGAAGTGAGGGTTCAAAGGGACACCGTTGGATCGCTCAGGGTCGATGGCCATGAAGCGACGGAAGGCCTCCCAGATGCCCGTCGACTGGAGGGTTTGCTTCTGTACGACAGAGGTTCTATTAGCGGCTGTATGTCATGTATTGGCTTTCATGATGTGCGAGGTAATTCGAACGTAGGGGCTGCTGTCGAAGGGCCATTGGGAGGCATTGGGTTCGGAGATTTGTTCATGAGTCGTACCTTGGCGATGCTGACCACGTTGCTGGCGGCTTTGGCCGCTTGGGACGACATGATGGCGGTGGTAGGCTGATGAAGGCTGTCGTTGAGGTTCGGGTGATGGAATCGATTCCAAGTTGAAATGGCGTCGTGATTATTGGCTGACCAAGTTGGTTTAGCCGAGGCTCCACCGAGAGATGATAACTACCCTATAGACTCATACGCGTAGGAGGTGCTGCCGCACATGTGGTTTCGGTTTCATAAATGACTACGGAATTTATAGCAACATCATTTATGGTGAGGATTGAGTCTTGTTTATGGCGGTAGGTATGTTGTGATGAAAGGTAAGCTGCTGTAACTTGATTGTTGGTGGCTTCTGCCACGACAACAACGATACCGCAGTCATCGAAACAATTATTCTCACAAGCCATGTTTTCGAGCTCTGAGACATCAATTGGTGAAAGTTGAAAGGACTTGTCCTAAAATCAAGCCTGCACCATAAGAAACAACGGTGTCATCAAATTATGGCTAAGGATATGGTTCAATGGCTGGCATTGCCACTGGAAGGCCTAGTGACCGAGGACTAAATAATCCTCGTCAACATCGAATCCAGACCAAAATGGGAAACTTGAAATATTGCTATCACTCGTGTTACTATTGGTCTATGAACCCTTTTAATTTGCAGCAAGATACGAAAACAAAAAGCCTGTAACCCAGGCATATCAAAAGTCCCGATAGCTCCCACTAATCACCATCATGCGTAGGTGTGGGACCGATCAGAGGCCTCGTCTTTATTTGCTAGCCAGCTCTTCAACCAGTGCCTGAACACGGTCAAGAGTGCCCTGGGGGCTTCCGGCCTCGGCAACCAGAATCTTGCCCTCCTTGCTAATGACAAAAACACCGCGCGTCGTTCCCTTGGGAGCCTTCTTGAGACCGATGGCCTTGATGAGTGTCGCCTTGGGGTCGCATAGCAGTGTGTAAGGGAGCTTTTGCTTCTCCTTGAAGGTTGTGTTGGCTTTGGGGGAGTCGGCGCTGAGACCGTAGATGGCAAGGCCGTCCTTGGTGAGAGGCTCATAAGAGTCGCGGAAGAAGCAGACTTGCTTGGTGCCTGCGGAAGAGTCAGATGGATATTCGGATGAGAAGGCTTTGTCAACTTACAGCCAGGAGTAGATGCCTTGGGGTAAGTGAAGAGGACGACACCAGACTTGCTCTCATCAACAAGCTTCTTCAATGTGGTCTTTTCACCATCATTGGTCTCTATCTCGCCCCCAAAGCCATCAAGGTCCACAACATCGCCAACCTTGGGCTTGCCACCGGACTTCTTGGACTCATCCGCCTTAGGTTCCTCAGCCTTGGGCTCTTCCTCAGTCTTCTCCTCCTCCTTAGCCTCCTCAGGCTCTTCCTTCTTCTCTGTGACCTTGGCAGCGGCCTCCTTCACCTTGGCAGCCGCTTTGGGAACCTTGGTAGTTGACTTTCTCTTCACAGGAGGAGGGGGAGGGGCAGTAGACGCCTTGCGCTTGCGAAGTTCCATAGGCATGGTGATATGTGGATGAAGCGAGAGGATTTATGCAGTTTGCGATAATGCGATGCGATGCGCTGAATGCAACGAATGAAGAGCAATGCTGTATCCTGCAGAGCTCGCAGATGAATTTGTGATTAAAACCACGGCGCGAAGAGTACGAAACGCGTAAAGAAAAGGCGGATGAAGGAGACAAAAACAAAAGATGAGGTTGGGCGCTTGGGGGAAATGGGACTGCCCGTCCGTCGCAGTCGCATTCGAATGAGGTGCCTCACCCCGGTTTGGGAGGTCTCGTCTGGGGACCAATAGAGGCTGTTCCAGGTCCTCTCAAGCTTCCGGGAGCTTGGACCACAAGCTGCTCGGCAGCGGATGACGCACGGGCCATGCCTTTTCGCTTAGATGATTGATAGTGGAGACTCTCTGTTCTGCGATTGCGGAGCTGAAAAAAAGACGGTTGAAGAGATGCATCAATTGAAGTTATGCTTTTACTGCGCACCAATAGAATACCTGCCGAAATCATCCGTTTACTTCCAATAAGATGAGATGAGACGTTCACCATTTACCTTCACCTTTAAATTATAATGCCAAGACTTATAATATGAATCCCCGAGTAAGTCTGTTTTATGCAAATTGAAGAAGCTTTGTGCTAACTCAAAATCTACAGAATTTTATGGCCCCAGGGGCTGCCTTCACTATGGCATGTGTACTGCTCGTGTGAGTAAAAGAAAGTGGCGTGTTCTTCAGAAGTGAAGATATCCCAACATTTTTTTATAGAAATATATCCAAAAGACTCCTGACATGATCAGTAATCTGATAATTTACAGATACACCCGCTCATCCATTCACTCCGCTCGAGACCAAGCAGTACGTTCCTCCACTTAGCTTCATCAACGTCAACTAACAGAACCCCTTGACAGAGATCCTCGAAACTACCAGGGAATGGAGAACATGCACCAAGACGTGGTTCATCATGAATGTGGAGCAGAGTAACTTGTAGCATACATCGGCGTATAGGAAGCAAATTGATTACCCCCTGTCACTAGACCTGAGCGTCAATCCTTCTGCAAAGCATATGAATTTGAACGTATAGTATTTTTATGATTTGTTGTCTAGTTTCTCAAACATACATCATGAAACAAACTCCATTTGAATGCCTGCGCTGCACCGATTTCGCCATGCCTCGACTCATCAGCCCCTTAATGCGACTCAGAAAGTCAAGCTCTCTCTGCCCTTCAGGTAAGATAAGAAAGGGGTCGTGCAGCCATATGCGCCTGCTGTATACATTCCTCTGTGTATATGAAAAATGGAAATGATAGGAACCAAGTCGCCGTAACGTTCGCCACGTATGTCCCACTGTGAACCAGAAAATTGTCTAAGCCTCCAGCCGACTAAGGGTATCTCAGCCTTGCCCCATCTCCTAATCCTATACCTTCTGTGAATCCATGTGTACATTCCTTCGCCAAGGGCCGTTCAACTCCTATGATTCTGACGTTTTGCCCAAACTCAGGACCGTTGTTGAGTATTTATGACTCCGCCGTAGGGTCTAGCAATAAATGGCGTGCCTCAGCCCTGGCATGGTATAATTGCCTCATGACATATTCATAAGTCAGCATCGTGACCGTTGCTGCTGGAACAGCCCGCATCATATTAGTACCAAGACCAGCATAGAACGCTCGCCAACCTTCCTCAGCTAGAATGGTTCGAAAGGTATGGACGACGCCCTGATACTTAGGCTTCTCCACGGGGGCCCTACTCCTGGGGCCTGAACTCGTCACACCCATCCCTTGAACGAACTCTTCGCCGGCAAGTGGGCGCCGTTGGGTTTGAAGACGGGTTCGGATGACTTCGTGAGGGTATGTGGCAGTACTGGCGAGAATCTTGGATAGAATCGAGGCCCCCAATATTCCGAAAACATGAGATTTATCATCTCCCTCATTCGATTCGCCCATTCCTTGACCGGTAAACTTGGTCTTCAAGTACTCGTAGGTCGGGAACTGCACAGCAACATGTGTTAAACCGAGGAGTGCTGGTGTTAAGCCTGAATAAAATGAAATGAGGCCTTCTGAAGTGTACATCTTGCGAGCTGCATCTAGCGTTGATCGGTAATGCCAGTCGTGCAGTGTCGGCCGTGCTGTTGGTGTGCCCACAGCTTTCGGGTAGTACGTAGAGTGGTGGTCTTGTGTATTGTGGCGGATATTGCTCTGTGACATGAGCCGAGTTTTGATGACCCATATTGGGTTGGTGACGATTGTACTGCTGGCGCCTGCTACGATAGACGACCAAAAGTTGACTATGTGACTGTTGTCTGTTTGGTGAAAAAAAGGTCAATATGCCACCCTCACCATTGGACCATGCGCACTTACCAGAATGCTGTGATATATACCCCTTGCTCTTGTTATAAACAGTAAACCATACAGCCCATGTTGGCAAATAACCCATTACAATAGGCCCCAGACCGCGGTAGAGGCCTCTAATACCTTCCTCTCTCCATATGACCTTTGCTGAACCAACGAGACCGTTGTATAACTTGGGGTGGCCGACATGCCGTCCCTTATTCAAGGCAGCGTAGCCGCCCTGCGCCTGGAGTTTGGTCTTGATGACGTCGAGAGGGCATGTCACGACACCTGATGTGAAACCACCCACTGCGCCGGCGACAGCGTTGAACTGGGTATCTGAGGCGTTGAGTGCCCATCGGTGTAAAGGGGTGACCGTCGTGGAGTGCATTGGAGCGTCGGAGGATGCGTAACCGTAGGATGATGCAGCATAGTCTGAAGACGGCGACTGGGCAGCTTCGGGAGGGACCTGGTCAGTTGACGACATCCCAGTCGTCCTTTGTCAAGATTTGTCTGTCACTGGTCGTATTTTTGATAACTCGATGCGTGCGATATGGACTCGAGAATGAAATGTGACAGAGTTATTATCTGCCGTTATCGCTCAATCGTGTACACTATCCCGGGCGCTCGTCCTCAGATTCGTCTCGACTCGATATATCTTTGTCTCCCGGTCCGGCGCAGACGTCAAGCTGATGTATTTCGGGAGCCGGGATCAACCCTACGACAAGTCCTACGGGCCGTAGATTGTTCGCAACCTAGTATTCCGCTATCACAGTGGTCCCTCAATGTCCCAACCCGATTCCGCCCCCAAAAAATCAAAAAGTTCCGCCTGTCGAGAGGAACTGACGTTTGCTGCTATTGGAACCTCGCAGCCGGTACGAAGGTACTGCGGGGGAACGCTCCCACGCGCCGTGACCGACCGCTTCCCGCTCAGCGAATGGCGCCGGCCATTGACTTATAAACGCAAAAAAAGCGATAGCCTGGGGACCGGAGAAACCGGTGAGAGTTGGAGGCTGACGCTGAGAGTGAGGGCAGAAAAAGGACGAAAAAAGAGGTTGGGACGATAGAGAGAAAAGAGTTGTATGAAGTTGGAATAAGTGAGAGGAAGTAGAGGGAAGGAGAATCAAGTTTCCCCGATGGCGAAACGGAGCGGATGGAGAAAGCAGCGCGGGCGACGGCGGAGGGAACGACAGGGCCTGCACTGCACGGGGCGGGCGGTTGATCAACTGGAGGACGCCTAGATGCACTAAAACCCACTATAACTGCACCACAATAGCACCTGCAGGGTTTGATTCTGTGTTTTTTTGTTGATATGGAGTGCGCTGAATGCTTGTTCAACAAAATCCCGAACTATTATTCCAGGGCAGAAAACGCTATCATATTGGTTATCTTGCAGAATTCCTCTTCTAATCCGGACTTGTCATCTTTTTTTTGCACCGCTGCAAGCCGGTATTAGCGGAGACAATAGATAACTCAACAGTCGAAATGAAAATGACGCAGTGTGAACTAGCAGACACTAGAGAAAAATAGATACTCGTGGGTTTGACTAAAAAGGAACCCCACTCATAGAGTGGGCGGCAAAATTCTGGGACAAGGGCAAAATTCTGGGACAGCTGATGGGTTAGAAATAGGTGGGGGAAATCAGGAAATCTCTGGCTTACACTTCTAATTTTATCGCAATCTATTCGAAATTTCTGCTGTGACTCAATTGAAAAGTATTGAAGCTGTCGCCAAAAGTATTTTATCATGCGAGGCATATTTGCGGTGGTGTTGCGGCCGAAATTGTGAACCTTGACTGCGGGCCAGTCCAGCCCCGTTTCCTCGCCCCACGATGCCTTCCCCTCTGCCTCTGATCTGGCCGCCAACAGCACAAGGGATATCGATCTATTATTGTGTGTGCCTTTGGGGGTGTAATGTATTCATGATTCTGTGATAAGTGGAAGAAAAATTGGTCTCGAAGCTGGGTAAAGGAGCAGGAAGAGGCGGCAACTCGGGCTCCTCGATATCCTGTGACAGATCAACAAAATCAGGGCCTTCTTCATCGATTTCTG